CTAGCCACCCTTAGTAAGGACGTGTAATAGAGTGAGAAGATAGATCTACGCTAGATAGGGGGGAGAGGACCTTTTCTCCTTATCTAACGTCTTATACCTATACGTAGATACCGAACATAGTATATTAATCTAGCCTACCTAGGCCTTAGATATCTTGCTCGTTACTCTTATTATATATATAGACGATTACTAATAAGGCTATATAGTAGTAGGTAGCTATTAATATATATACGCGCCGGGCGCTCATTATAAGATTTAACACCTAGAGGAGGATTACGTTGGCGCTCTATAATTAGGGCAAAAAATTAGTTAAAAGGCACGCTTAGGGCGCCCTAATTACCCTTACTAGGCCCTATATGACGGTGTTAACTAGCCCCATTAAGAAGGGTGAGCCAGGTGGGCCAGATAAATTAAAGGACTAGGAGTATATTATTAAGGACCTAGTATTAGCTAAGCGCTTCCTTAATTTATATATATAATCTATATAATATATAGAATATAGAGGCACACTCTAGTTTATAGGGATCACTAAGGGCGCCAGTACTACGCTTAAGGCTACACTCATTAACTATAACTCCATGGAGCCCTATTCACAACTTCTACACCAAAAAGGGGTTAGTATAGATGATAAGGGGTTTATAGAGGTCCCTAACAGCTAGGGTAACGTCCTGGAGACTTAATTCACCCCCATTGGTTCTCCTTTTGTTACCCCTAAGCCTGTGAGTAGTAGCAGCGTAGGCGGCGACGATGAGGGCTACTCATCACCCTGCCCACCATCAATATATGGAGGATTTGGTACGTTAACTCGTGAGGAATGCGACTGGACAGTATAGTAATCTCAATAAATGTTTTTACAGCACAAATTACTATACAAATCACATTTTGGGGGATTATTGCCATGGAGCGTGTATTGCCATTGAGCATGTGGGGCCGTGCTACGCACGGCCTCTCCGCAAAAGATCGCTAGCGCGACTGTTTGGGCCGAGTAACAGATCAGCAAAAAAAAAAACTCAAGTCCCGACAGAATCCACCCCACGGACATTGGGTACCAGAACATGGCATCACCCGACTTAATTATCAACAAGTGCCATATCTGAAATCTACATAGTTTATTCATGCAAAGGTTCGTTTGTTATGCTATCCGGTGGCTTCGATCCGTCGCTTGCTCTTATGATCCCCAAGTTATGCCCGTACCCATCGACTAGCGCAATAGATCCGCGCCTTGTCTAGCACGGAGAGATTCCAGTGCAAGCTATAGTCAATGTAAGCTTCACGATACTAGACACGAGAGCTATACGTACAGGAAAAGAAAGAGGCAGGCATCATGCCATTCGAAGTTGGATTCAGACGGTACCACATACTGCGCAGAGTCAGTATTCGAGGATATCCAGTCATCGCAATCACTAAGAGACGTACGAGTTTCCATTAACGGCTTCTCCAAACTGGTAGCAGTAGATTTGCACGATAGAGCCGCAGGGCGTGGTACCAACTGGAGAACATTGATTGGTATTAGTGGTCGCACACCCGTATCGAGTAAGACTCCCGGTGCAGCAACTGGCAGTTGGTCCGCCATTGACAGTACAAGAGACGACAGCCCTAGACTCTAGCCCATGAAGCTCCGGAACAGCGGCTGGAGTAGCCTGAACGGAAAGGAAGAGAGTCGCAAGCGCAGGAATGGCGAAGCTGTATTTCATGGCGAATTGTTATTGATTAAATGTTGGATGGAAGAGAGTTTTCGAAGTGTTTGATGTTAACGCTTGATGTTGTTGCGTCCTTTATATTTCTGGATTGGAGATATTGCCAAGGTATCCGTACGAGGCTGGACCTCAGCTGAGCTGTGTAAAACCATAACGGGAAGGACCATTGTTGCAATACGATGGTGGACCCACCAACCCTTTCTAGATCGAGTTTCCGAGGTACTATAGAATCAATTTTGAGAAAGCTGAAAGCTCTAGTAGATTACATTGCATGCGCTTGTCCAAGGCCTGGATTTGTTCCGGCCACTCCCTTGCTTGTTGCCTTATATGCCAAGCGATGAATGTGGAGAGATTTCGGCAACCGTCGTGATGTTTTCGTATTTCTAACGGGATGTACCAATGGACTCGCGGCTGCACTGCACACTACTGTTGCAAGCTATCACTTGACAAGCATACGATACGCTCTCTGTAAAACATATTGCTCGTGTCCTACGTTGGTGCGGAGGATTGATTACTCCGACTCAAATAATTGCTCCCGAATACATGATGTGTACACCGATACTATTTCAACGCTAAGACACTCGCTGCCTCTTGGCTTGCAAGACAATTGGGTGAATGAATGCGCCTGGAAAGTACGTGCAGGGCACACTGAAGAAATCTGATTGATGCCACGGCTTTGTAGATTTGCACAAGAGTTGAACTCGCTCAACACGTGTAGCATACCTAATACATGATTGTTGCCGATCGCAAGTAGCGATACAATGTCAAACTCCGGACAATCATTGAAAGAGAGGTCGCCAGTGGCTATCTCAAGTCAGCCCACAATCCCAAACGGCTCGAACTCGCGCATTTATCTCTGCATATGTATACTCTACAATTCATTCGCGGCCATCACTGGTGGTAAGCTCCCTTGAGTGTACAAATTGGACTTAGCATATCAGCCACAATTGGCTACAACAATTAGTCAAAAGTTCCCGGGCATGGGTTTACTAATTCAGTCACCAAGCTTAGCGATATCGAAACTCTCGACGCTCGTCGAGACCAATGTTTCCATTAGTTGCTGCGAAGGACGCAGAGTGCCAAGCCAAAAGTATCCTGCAGAAGAATACGATCCTGTGAAAACTCCCAACCGCCATCCTTTTCTACTCTATTGGCTCCCTTTCCACCATTTTTCTCCGCATCTTTCCCTTCTCTTGCCTCCACGTCTTCGATCCTCCTTCTTCAGCCCCAGATCCAGATGCTCTGCTCTCACCGTCCACTCCCTCGGCCAGTCGCAAGAAGCCAGTGCGCACGCGAAAGCTACACTGCGATGTTGACCGGCGGCGCAGAACGCCGAGATGCGAATTACGTGCATGTAAGTTTCAGCGTCTGCATCCTCGTCTTCGCTGTGTCCAGCAGCAGGATCCAGTGCATCGATGTCGGTGACCAAACCCGAGTGTTCGCTAGGCCCGATTGCATCTCGTCCACTCGTGCCATCATACCCTTCCCGCTCTTCTGACAGATTCCTCGTCACGCCTTCCTCTGTCTCCACCACATCCTGCACGACCTTCCTCACCTCACTCCCCGCCCTCTCCAACAGCATCATGAACTTCGCCCCCCTCTGCATCTCTTCCATTAACCGTTTATCCACCCCCGTGTATCTGTCTCTCATGTTTTTCGGCGGATTAGGCACGGCGCGCAGATCGTAGTTCGAGGCAAAGGAGAGTGGCCGTGCGACGTTATGTGCAGATATACCGGAGGCATCTTGATTTAACTCTTTTACATGGTAAGATCTTTCTTATTAAATTGAATCTCCCGAGTCAAGGAAGCCATGCATTGAAGTTGTCTGGTTGTACTGTCGTGGACCAGATTGCCTACCGCAGAATATATTCTCGTCTCGATTGCCGCCTAGATATGTGCTGAGTCAAGACAAGCTGCATAGCCTCTGATTCACTGGCGGAAATGATTAGCTTTAGCCGACGCATGACTCATTCTGCGTTCAACGTTACGGTAGATGGCTACTAAATCCGTCAAATATGAGCAATCGCCATGCGCGTCGCTGCCGTTGGCTCTTGTTCTCTTATCATCAGCCAAATCTAACGTTGCGCCATCTTCTGCCGATTCCCTATTATGCTTCTTTGCGATCGTAACACTTATTACTAGCCAAATTCAAAATTACGCCATCTTCTATTAATTCCCTATCGTGCTTCTTTGTGATTGTAACAGCAAGGTCCGAACCTATAATTAGGTAAGTGGAAACCCCTTATAATTACCATATTCGGCCTTAGCGCAATATACCAAAATACCATAATGAACTTCGTAATCTACTCATTATAGAGGGTGTGTTACTTAAACGTAGATGCAGTGAACTGTATCGTGGATTAATGATGGGAATTACCTTATGGTTATCCGTCATCTCTATATACTGCTTATCTGGTTTGGCTCTATGGGATCTGTGCCGCAGAGTCTATAGAGCCGGCTCTGTGGATGTGTCGCGACAGAGCCACAGATCCAGTCACGTGGTCATATTGTGCTCAACATTTGACCCGTAATCGTAATTTCCTTCCTATTGGTCATCGCTGCTGATGTTGTCATTATCGTAATTCAGTTGCGGCGCGGTCGCCGTAACAGTCGCGTCAACTACATTCAGCCATCCCTGTGCGATCTAGTCACATCGTCTATATCGTCAACCCTCTCGTAGCACCACCTGCATCCATCATCTGTGCTGTAGCCTTCCGCTTTCTTGCCATGATCTTCGTCAAAATCTGAGTCATAGTCCTCGCCATCGTAGTAGCCATTATCGTCATAGTCGCTCCATGAGTACTCTACGTAAGAGCCAGCGGGTTCAGCAGGGCCAGGAAGGCTGTTCAGGCCGTTAGAGCTGGCAGGGCTGGGAGGCCCGGGAAAACCAGCAGGCCCAGGAGGACCGGGAGGACCAGCGGGCCCAACAGGGCCAGGAGGACCATTGAGGCCGTTAGAGCCGGGAATTCCAGCCGGTCCAACAGGGCCAGGAAGGCCGTTAGAGCCGGCAGAGCCGGCAGGCCCAGGTGGACCGTTCAGGCCATTGAAGCCATTCAGGCCATTAGGGCCATTAGGGCCGGGAGGACCAGCGGGCCCAACAGGGCCAGGAGGACCGTTGAGGCCGTTAGAGCCGGGAATTCCAGCTGGCCCAACAGGGCCAGGAAGGCCGTTAGAGCCGGCAGGGCCGGGAGACCCAAGGAGACCAACAGGCCCAGGCGGACCGTTCAGGCCATTGAAGCCGTTCAGGCCATTCAGGCCATTAGAGCCGGGGGACCAGCGGGCCCAACAGGGCCAGGAGGACCGTTGAGGCCGTTAGAGCCGGGAATTCCAGCTGGTCCAACAGGGCCAGGAAGGCCGTTAGAGCCGGGAGGACCAGCGGGACCAACAGGGCCAGGAAGGCCGTTAGAGCCGGCAGGGCCGGCGAGCCCAGGAAAACCAGCAGGCTCAACAGGTCCAGTCAGGCCGGGAGAGACTTCAGGCGTAGACGCAGGAGAAGCGGCTTCAGGAACTTGACGTGGAGTAATCCTCAATGGAGCTAAGAGCGTTCCTATTGGCACTTCTACGCCCATATTCAACGCTTTAGCGAATTTTGCGATAATTCGCGTTTTGGGGGACCAAATCCTGGTTCTACCTGAAGCATATTTAAGAGGCTCCGGTAGAAGTGGAGCAGCTGTAGACTCCCTAACGGGAGTTGGTAGGTCAGCTGTAGGAGAAACTCCGACCGGGAAAGCTAGAATTTGGTTTTTAAGGAATATTGTCTGGGTTATTACAGCCGAAAATAAAATGGCCTTCATGGTAGCCAGTAAATAGAAGTGTAGGATGTGACATATCATAGGAGAGCCTAGGATGGAGGGGTAGAATAGAGGAAACCTTTCATTTTCAAGCACGTTACCTGGTTAAAGCTAAGCATACATTCCTTCACAAAAGACAATGTAGTTAACTCCTGGAATGTACCACAACTTATTGCGTACTGCATTCTTCCCTTGTGAAGGATGGTTGGAATGTGGAGCTTAGCACGACTTTCTACGCGAACATTTCGAGAGGTTAATCTAATCGTCATCAATCGAGGGTCTACAGAAGCAGTACACGTAGGCAGCGTTCGGTGTCATAAAAGATCACTACCGGTGCTCAGATAGTTAAGCGTCCGGTTTTATGGAGTTGGGCATGGCTGACGCCACCGACCTGGACACAAATCGTTCCTGTTACTGCTTTGAGACTGCGTTCAGGACTCTGGCCTCATAGTATCATTTGACTGATTGTGTGCGGTGCATTTAGTATGCGAAGACTGGAGAACTATTCATCCACTTTCTGAGAACTGTAATTCTAGCGGTCTGTATGACTAATGATGTGAGTGGAGGAGGTTACAGGAAGAGTAAGGATGCGCTTTGCTTTTAATGAGATTAGGCAACCACCTTTGGGCGCCCTACAAGCTACGGTGGGTACGCGCCCATGCTCTCTTGGGGATTAACTTCTGATTTACATTGGCAATTAGTCCTTACCTACCGTCTCATATCATATACCACAGCGACGGGCGCCTAGAAATGGTCACCAGACATGGCGAGGGTAAAGATCGGAATGCAATCGGAACTGGTAGGGCCAGCCTAGCGTTGAAAAATCATCGCGCTGGTCCCACTATACCGGACCGAAGTATCTTAGCTTCGTCGAATGGACACTTTCGTGAATTACTGGTTCCTGTTCTTAACCCTAATGGGATTTTTTAGCCCCGGTTCATCCGTTTTTTGGTGCCCGTTTCGTGACTTCGCCCATATTCTGAATATAGCACTCTTGAACGTCTACCTTGGTATTATTGTAGCTTCTCTATATGGAGTCGTTAAGAAACTAGAGTGCCGACGGCAAGTAACTTGGCGGCAGCCCGTATGATTCGCGATTGGAGCAGGTGTTTTGCAGGATATCCTTATGGAAGCCAATTCGACGTATTGTAGACTAAGATGAAAAACTTTAGTCCAATTACTATTAGAAAGATAGAAAGATGTGGGATGGGATGATAACCAATTAACACAGCGACGCTAAAGGGCCCTTATGGCTAGCGTGACCAATATAGTGTACTCATGCTTCTCGTCTCTAAATGTTTCTTATTTTCTTGTGGAATGCCTACCAAGAAAGGGAAAAAACCATTTTAGGAATAATTAGGGGTGCGCCAGCCACCTCGTAGTGCCAATGACCATGTAATCGGACATCAGGCAATCCGGGCCCTCTCACGCCCCTTCGCGCTAGCGCCGAACCGTCAATCGGCCTCGACCTCCTACCATAAGACACCCACCTTCCGCCGTCATCTTCCCCATCCGCTCGTCCTCTTTTGCTCTCTACTCAGTCCCCCCTTTTTGTTGCCGCCTTCGCCCGATCAGCCCATTCCACTGACGTGACGCATTATTCCCTTCACCCCTGAAACTCGATCCGTCGCCGCCCATCGCCGGGCTGCCTTCCTGCTCGTCCTCGTGGTTTCGAACTCCTACATCGGCTGCAGCCATCCAGATCCTCTTGCGAAGGCGGATTCGAACCGCAATTCGCATTCGCATTCGTCTGTGGTCCCTTCCTTCCTCCCTTTCCCCTTTCATGCGCTCCACAGCATTTCTGGCGCTCCTCATTTCCGCTCCTCTCTTCCCATTCTGTCCTTTGCAGGCTCTCCTCTTGAATATCGCGGACGACGTTCGCCAGCCTCACCCCAGCAGCAGCCGCCGTCGAAAGCTGGAAGCTCGCCACCAGTCACCAATCCACGCATGCGCACGAGCATATGCAGGGCTTGTGGAGCCCCTTTCCCTGCTCTGGACTGGCCGATGCTACCAGTCGCTCTTTCCGCCCCCTCCTTTCCCTTTCGAGGCCGATGATTGCGTGGTCCTCGTGCCGTTGTCTCAGTCCCAACATTCCTGGATCACGTCTCTCTCCTTCGGTCGCTGGTCGAAGGGATTCCGCCAATCCTTGAGACCGTGCCCCGGTCGTTCACCCGCATGGCACGTTCATTTGGGCCGTTCTCGAACCTACCTTACGTATTGCCAAGATAGCACTGTGCCCCTCCTTACGTAGGGCATGTAACATGGCCACGCAACGGGCAAGGATTACAAGCACCTTCATTCTGGTAGCTGACATTTCGGAGTCGGCATTGAGCACGCTACAGGAGGCGAACGAGTCGTCCACTTCCAATCGTTGGACGCCACAGAAGAACGCCGGCACCAATCGTAGGATCGTGCATTCATGCGTTAACTAGTTGAGACTCAACGTACCTAAAAATAATGACTGTGATCGGAGCTGGAGCTGGAAATCGGTGGTTTCATCCATTTAGGTAGTGGGAAGGCGCGCGCGGCCAGGCAGTAGCAGCCACTCACCGAAACTGCCGCTAAGCCAGCAGATGAGCTACGCCAGCCCTTCAAGGCCGCTCAAAAAGGTAATACGCAATCGTTTCGTGGGCACCGAGGCCGATGGGAATCGACACTATAAAGCAAACCCAAGTGCGGAGGCAAGCCTACATCTTCCATACATCCATTTTCTCCTCCTGGACCCGATAGCAGCGTCGCCACATCAGAACGGCGCTCTCTTGCACCAATACTTCACTGGTTGCTTCTCGTCCCTTTATCTCATACGTTGGCCCAACATCGAAAACCAACCGCAAGCCAAAATATAAAGCCTCCACAGTAGAATGCAGCATTGTCGAGGTTGATAGTGCTGATTGTCGAGACGAATTTCATACCGACGACTTCCTGGCGCCTTGTTCGGATGCATCCTCGCCCCTTCTTGACACTACCGGTAGCGCGTCTACCTGCTTAGCAGCTGCAGACGCTTCTGATCCACAGACCCACCATACAATCGGTCCATCAACTGGTACAAGCTAAGAGCACCCAAGCGATACGCACATAGACGGGAGCGGAAACCTCAATCATTCTTCCGTGTTGCAGGAGTTGGAAAGCTTCAAAGGAAATAGTTAACGTTAGCACGCGAAGGTAACGTGTTGCTGATTTACTGACTTATAACAGATATATCTATTAATGTAGAGGACGACCCGGCCGAGGAAGAGGCGAATAAGGCGCAAGTTTACCCTAGCTATGGAACATATGACTATTAAGTAGATGATGACGGCAAGGCTGCTAGTGCGGAAGCCTGGTGCGCTGAGTAGGGTGGCGAAGTCGACTGTGTGCGCATAGATGCCTTATCTAAGTAGGAGATATGATGTGTTTCTTACGGTGAGTAGTGTCCTAGCTCATAATTCGAAGCTCATCGAATCTGTTCGAAAGCAGGATTAATGGCTAATCACTAACCGCTCGTTGATGCTTCGAGCGGATCGCCGTTAGGACGTAAATGAGCACGCAGTCCACAAACTGGTGCGATATTCTCCTTAGCAGAGACGCTGAGTATTCAATTAGTAGCAAGGCTACAATTTTCTGATAAGATAAAGAGGTAATAATGATCGGAAACACTGGGAACCCTATACTTATTCTTACGCCTACGCCCAAGCCGATGTCCTTACTGGTGACGTCTAGTGGATCCCTTGCTCATTGCCAAGCTAGTAGAAAGCTAATTCCCCGTCTGCTTGACAGCGGAAGCCCCCTCACCGGTCCTAGGACCCTATTCTCGCCTTTATAAAACCTCGAAGAGGGTAGTGACGCTGGAGTAGAGGAGCTGCTAGGACCCCTAAGACCCAACGTCACATATACCGGAGGACAGGGCTATCAAACTATCTAACCAAAATAGTAGATGTCTGCTGCGTTTGGAATAGACAGAGGCGGTAGTGACGAAGTTGAGGAAGGCCGGTCGGCGAAGACAGTCATGTCGACGTTTTCGACAGACGTTTGGGAACTTCTCAACGGAGCAATCGCAGAGGCCGTCCAAGCCGTATGAAGGGAAGATCTCGCAGAACCAGGGCTCCTGCGAGCGTGCTGCCAAGGTATAACTCCCATACCTGTAGAAATAGGTAGTTTAGATGCTATTTAATCTACTATATTAATATCTATACATTGGTCTACAAGGTTATTAACATATACATCTGCAGAGGTGCGCAAAGTTGGTGGGGTGACCGACTCGGTTGTATGACCGACTCGCTTCTAAAACACGTTATCAGGTTTCAGGTTCAAGCTTTGTCGTCAATTTTCCCTAGCCTCTACGCTTTATTTCTGAAACCGCACCTCTTTCCCTTGTGTCTCTGCAGTGACGGTGACGGTCGTGATGCTTCCATCCGGAAGTTAATGTGGTCTGTTGTGTAACAGATCCACAGTTTCGTTCGCCATGTGCTGCTACGTGATTGGACTGAGGAACACTTTCGATTGCACAACACGGAGGCAATTCTGTTCTACATAAGACTTAGTATTTCCAATCGTCACGTTCTGACTGTGTCTCCTTATATTCATCCTAGAATTGGAGCGAACAAAATACTGCAGTCGTACATAATATGGACTACTCCTGTATCCTCTGCGTTCGCTATTTCGGCAGCAAGGGAGTGCTCGAATAGCACCAGCAAAACTCGCCCGTATATAAGAAGAGCTTCTACTGTCAGAATTGCAATTGCTGTCTCAGCAGCAAGAAGGCCCTGAAAAGGCACAGAAGGAATTTCCAGGTCTATAAAAATTGTTCAATGGGGCCTCCAGAAATGGCTGAATCTACACAAGAGACAAGAGAGTTCCTCATGTTCCCAGCACTTCATCAGAAGCCATTTTGTTCGGGTACATCAACTAGTTACATCCGTTTGTGGCAGCGAATCCCCACGCTCATGGGGCTTCAGAGTGTGACATCCATCGCATAATAGGCATGAGAAAGTCGGGCGCATGCTAATGTTGACCCTTCGCGCAAGGCGAGCCGAATCCCCGTTTCCCCTCCCGCACTGAGGACAATTCCCAATCCCGCCTCCATCGACTGGCAGTATGCTCGGGCAATTGCGGGACCCAATATGAATATAACGACAATTCTCACACATGAAATGGTACTCAGTAACCTCTTCTGCCTCAAGTCCATGTCTCATACTAAGAAGAAGGCGAGGGGACAGTCGGCCATACCTTTGGTTTATAGCGAGGGGCGACCGCTCCATCGATACGGAGAAGGGTGATAGTGACGATGCTGTCTGTTCGTCTGCAGTATGTTGTGGCACCGATAGTAGCATGCCGGGTGTCAGACAGCGCCTTGTCTTTAGGGCTTAAAACATGATTTAGCCTTATTAATGCAGTGTTTGGTCAACTTATAACGCGCATCATATTGTACGCCTGGACATCCTCAACTCTAAATCCCTTTGCCGTGCCACATTCACGGGCTAGCAACGGTGAAGGATCGAGAGACTACTACATGACTAACGTTATGGCGTGGTGCTGAGTGCTCCATCTTTCGGGAAATTGAAAATAGGAACTCAATCCTGATAACTCAAGAAACAACAATGGCTCTTGACCTTATCCATTAAGATAAGCATTCGTGGATTGCGTGTGGGCCTCAAGACACTGCTTTTTGATGTTCGTCAAGGTCCACAGCGCGAATCTGCCTCGGCTCGGTGTACAGCCAATCGTTCCTCAGTATAGACCGGACGTTTCTCCTGCTGCGAATGACGTCTTTCAGATTGCCGTTTCCGGTGCACTGGACATGCGGCCTGAGACTGCCTTGATCGGACCTGCGCCCAACAATGATGAGCAAGCGTTCCCGCAAATTACTGTCATCGAAGCTTGGCCAAAGTGAAGCGATAACGTATCCTATCGCAACAATCCGAAGGCGCGATCCACTGAGCATGGTTTGGTCCCAGCATGAGGGCGCTTGAGTTTTAGGCGCTGATAGGACAACGTCTCCCTACTCCAAAGAACATTCAACCTCCTTCTTCAGCACTACCATCTGAAAAGTTTGTCCTACATCCCCAAATTCCAGAGTACACACCCGTCCGCACATTCTTGTATCCTATCTTTCTCCACTAGGAACCAACAAGATATTCTGCGGCCAAGATCCACAATGTCAGCACACCTTTCTTTCCAACCTTCACTGCGCCATCAGACTGCTCTAAATCCGACTCACTTGTTTTTCGTCGCATACCCTTCTTCTATACCTCAATATTGTATTTCTCAAGCGCCCCCAAGGCCTTTATAGCAAGCCCATTTTTCAAATACTGCGGATCCCAATCCACACAAACAGCCTTAATCTCGTATCCTGGGCTCCCTCCCCGCGCCTTCTATGTCCCACCCGCCGGCCCACGGTTTAATGGTAGCACTCGCGACCAAATTGCCTCTCTTTAATTCTCCGGCGCCGGCTGGTACTTCCACGGCAAATTCCGTATCATCACAAGTCGCACGACTCTCATCCAAGATCACCGCCATAGTACCACTCTCTCCAGCCATTTCAAGAACGGACTGGGTATTTGGGAAGCGAATAGCGGGTATTATCCATTTCTCTGGGTTGGCAGATTTGGGGCGCGTAAATGCAATGTTTGCGAGGATCGCGAATTGATTCGTCAGTCTGGGTTTGTGGCTAGTTCGTTGCGGGTGAGAAATACGGGAGCGGTTAAGTTGGGCTGCATCGCTGCCATTGTTATGACTATCTTGAAGTAGCTGATAAGTATTCGAGTATTGGAAGGGATGGTGGTCAATCGCTAGAGGGAAAAGGAATTTAGATATCGTCTTCATCGTACGGAGTATTTGTAGGGATCGATGTTCCACCTACACACTGTCGGCGTGTAAAACCCTGCATTACTCGTACGAGTTGTGAGCCTATGCCTTGAGACAGAAAGGAATGTACGAACAACCGTTTATATTGATGATTGCGATTAGTTCCCTACAACTGTCGAAAAACTCTTAATGGGCACAATTTAGGTTGCTTTTTGTGCATGAGCTATTTGAAGTCCAGGCTATGGCTGATCATATGGGGTCACCGAGTGTTCTGAGGCTTGTTTTGCCGGCAATGGTGGCAGCGCTAGAGCGGGAGCATCGCGAGGATCTCATCAAGACCTACGTGGCAGAGTCTAAAAGCCGGCAGCGTGCTTGCGTATGCGAAATTGAGCTCACTAAACGACATCTGCGGTACTTAGAGTCGGAGCAATAGACGGACGAGGAAGTCAATCAGATGGAGGTTTCTGAACATGTCTAAAGTTAACTACTAACACGCACAACAGAGCTGCGGGTGTGGAGTTCAAAAGACCATTACGACTGTAGAATACACGACTCTACAATAACGCGCTTCTAATGCTCTACCTCGCACACGTTTCACGCAATAGTCGATTTTATGGTGTTAATCTCTAAGATACATGCCTAAATCAGGTCAACCCTGTCTTGGTTTATCGACCAATCAGCGACGACCTCGCCTCGACAACCCATGTCTCGCCACCCCTCATCGGAATAAGTTTCTTGCCAACGGTTTGATCACACAAGATTCAATGCGCAAACGCGCAATCGATGTGAAGGCCCCAATGCGCGTTGGAAGCACCGCGTCTTGGTCGCGTCCGCTGTTTGCGACCGCCCTAACCTCTTCACGCATCACGAATCTCTTCACAGAAACCTAATACTGTTCCTGACCTTTACCATTATAGACCTCCCCGTCTCTAATAGATGCGCGTGCCTCGCTCTCTATACCTTGACTTAGGTTAGTTAGAACACTTTAGACCCCTTTCGCACAATACAGATAAAAAGAGTCGACGCGCTCTCAGCCTAATCTTAGCTCAGATTGGGCAGAACTGTCACACAGATGGAAGGTTTGGAGCCCTGCAGCTAGTATGGGCCGTTCTGGCCTATCCCTTTCGTGCAACGTAGACAACGAATGTCGGACCACTGCCAGCTTACTCTTAGCTCATAGCTCATGATTAGAAAGTTTCAACGAGTGGTGCATCATTCTATGGGTTGCTAGCAGTTCGTCAATCCCTTCGCTAGAGACCAACACGCACATTTTGCAACAGGCCTTGAATGTGAAGACATCCGAAAAATTGCGCTATGCAGGCCTATGGAAGCCCGGTGGGCAGAATGGATTGCTGTCAATCAACGGGCATTATAGTTCCACCGCATTTTAGATGTCACTCTGCATGTTATCCACCATACACAGGTCGTTGACATGAGCAATTCTGGATCATTATGAAACTTGGTTTCAACTAACAGCATCCGAACCCATCTAGACCTTGATAGTGGCCTCCGTCAAACAAACTCCTCGATATGTAGAACTTACGGGATATCTACAAAAGGAATAGTTGGAGCAGCAGTATCTGCCAATACACCGAACTTATACGCTTAACTCGACCGTGAGACTGAAACAAATTCAAGGACAAGTTAGTCGGTCGCCCACTAGGGCACAACAATCGTTTAGCAGCCTCAGACTGCGTTTCCTGGAGGAATAGACTCGAAGAAAACTCTCTAGGCCCCCTTAAGTTTGCGCAGCCACTTGAAACAGGCAAAATGAATCTTCAAAATACCAAGGGTCCAACCAGGAAGGCAAAGATTTCCCTGATAGTTGTTGGGAAATGCTCCTGGTACAAGCACGTAACTGAAATGTAACGTCAGCTGTTAGATCTATCATTAGCATTGCTAAAACTTCCCAAATATGTAGTACGTCAGAAATTAGGGCTTATAACTCGCCATCTTCACGTAAAAGCCGTGTCAAGCTTCACATTCCAAACATCCTTCACATTCATAGAAGAGTGCCACGACGCAGTAATCTGTGGTTCATTCCAGTAGTTGATCACAGTTCCATTTGATGCCCAATGAATACGGCTAGATAACGCCTATTATAATATATGTATTTCGTAAAGGAATGAATACTAAGCTTTGACTAGGTATCATGCTCAAGGACCATAGGTTTCTTTATTAACCGTCCTTTTTGCGCTCTCATTTCCTATGCTGCATCCTATACTTCGATTTACTACATTTCTCTCACAGTAGGCTACCATGAAGGCCATTTTATTTAGGGCTGTAGCTGTCCAGACCCTATTCCTTAACAACCCAATTCTAGCGTTCCCAGTTGGAGTTTCCCTCGCCACTGACCTACCAACTGCTCTACTTGAGCCAGAAACGCACAGAACTATCGCAAATGTTACTAAAGAGTTTTATGTGGGCCTAACGGTGCCAATTTATAAACTCTTGACTCCACGAAGGATCGCTCCACGCCAAGTTCCCGAAGTCACTCCCGCTGTGTTGCCCGAAGTCACTCCCCCTGTGGTGCCCGAAGTCACTCCCCCTGTGGTGCCCGAAGTCACTCCCCCTGTGCTGCCCGAAGTCACTCCCCCTGTGGTGCCCGAAGTCACTCCCCCTGTGGTGCCCGAAGTCACTTCCCCTGTGGCGCCCGAAGTCACTCCCCCTGTGGCGCCCGAAGTCACTCCCCCTGTGGCGCCCGAAGTCACTTCCCCTGTGGCGCCCGAAGTCACTCCTTCCGCGCCTGAGCCCGACGTCCCTTCTGAGAACGACAATTGGAGTATTCCGGGTCCTCCGGGCCCTCCAGGTCCTCCAGGTCCTCCAGGTCCACAGGGCCCTTTTGGTCTCGAAGGTTTTCCTGGTTCTGAGGGTCCCCCTGGCCCTGCCGGCTCTCCTGGTCCTCAAGCCGATCCCGGCCCTCCCGGCCCTCCTGGCCCTGCCGGAGTTCCCGGTCCTGCTGGTGTTAATGGTCCTGTTGGCGTTTCTGGTCGTCCTGGTTCTCCTGGTCCTTCTGGCCCTCCCGGCGCCACTGGTCTTGCTGGGGCTTCTGGACCTCCCGGCAGACCTGCTCCTCCAGGACCTCCTGGACCGGCAGGGCCCCCGGGACTGAATGGGTTGGATGGTCCTCCTGGTTCCACTGGCCCTGCTGGTGCTAAAGGTCTGAACGGTTCTCCTGGCCTTCCTGGTCCGGCTGGCTCGGCTGGCTCTGCCGGCCTTCCCGGCCCTTCTGGCCCTGCCGGCCCGGCTGGTATGTCTGGTCCTGCCGGTTCTCCTGGCTCTGCCGGCCTTTCTGGTCCTCCCGGCCGTAACGGCTTGAATGGATCTCCAGGAGTCCCTGGTGCTCCTGGACCCCCGGGGCCTTCTGGCGCTCCTGGAACTCCTGGTCGTAACGGCTTAAACGGATCCCCAGGACTAGCCGGCCCACCTGGACCGCCTGGACCGCCTGGACCGCCTGGACCGCCAGGGCCGCCAGGGCCTCGAGCATCACCTGTTCTGTAACAATCCGTACTGAAATAACGGATTCCGAGGCTACGGTGTTTGTAAGATGACATCATAATGGAGAAGGAGATGGAGAACTAAGGCGAAGAGACATGAACACCGTTGCATTAGTAAAATGGCATCATGGCTTCTAGTGGTCTAGGAGTTCGCTTGCGTGAAGTATGTAGATGCCTGACATTTTAAATCTATTCTAATATGCTTTTCCTATAATGCTTCTAACAAATTATATCGTTACCTAACTTTCTTGCGTAATATTTCTATTATAGGCTTCTTGGGATCATGTTATAAGGGGTCTCCACTTACCTAACCTTTAGGGAAGGACCTTTGGGCGGGGCACACATCGCTTAAACCTTAGATTATATCGCCCGGCCTCCTTTCTGCATACGTTTCGGAAGATTTGTTCTTCTTCGGTGACGCGTCTGACAACGGCAAAGGCTACTGGCTCGTTGATACGGTACTATTATCAGCCCAGTACTACCCCAACTTCGATGGAACAGCTGCTCTCTGTGATTCTAAGCCATATACTACGGAACGAAATCACGGAAAATGGCACGCCAGGAAAAACCCTACTTCTCTTGCTCATGGGTCACCATCATCTCCTAGGCCCCTGGTTTTTCATTGCATAAAAGATCCTCCCCGTGAGGTCAGCACCACAACTCCAAAACAATCGAATTATGATAGCGCATAGGATTCCTCGAATTCATTTGATATTGAATATGACTCCGACCTAGACAGCGATTGCTTGGAAACAAGTAAGCCCATATTGCAGCATTGCATGTTCGTCCTGAGAGATAATACTACACCAATTCGGCAATTCTGGTGTTCCGAAAGCACCATGGAAACCGTACCGGTTTTTCATCCCACCGAGCCAATCATGCTTTGGAGTCCAGCTCCGAATCATGAGTCTCAGATCTGGCAAGATGCAATCAGCTATCCTTTCTGAGCCAGTAAACGCCCACTTTTCCGAAATCTCCGCAATGCGCAAGGAGTTCCGATCTTCCAACGCAGGCAATACGCTGTCTTATCTCTTGTATGCAGCCTTCTCATCTGCGACAGGGTTAAAACAGGAGTTCTCGCTTTCTACTCTATGCGGTGCTTTCAATGACTCCGAAGTCGTTCTGGAGCAATCATATGCTCCTATTACCGTCATCTACAAAAGCGGAGGACCAATCCAACAGCCACTAGTCCTAACCTATTGAAAATCTGACTTCTCTACGTCGCCCTGCCGCCGCTGTCATGCAATGCCAAGATTGTTCGTATACAGCTTCCAAGCTCATCCATAACGGATCCAGGCCCCAATGTTCAGACCTTGTCCTAGCCGGTCTACTTTCCGTACTCGACACCCTATCGCAATCCGCAACTCAAACTGCTTCTGAATTGTCTAGAAGAGCAGCTCATGATTCTCACCTTCGATGCAGAATATCGCTCCTCAACAGATAGCAAGGCTTCGAACCGCCAGCCATATTGACGTGGAGTATCCACCCAAGAGAAGGCTGGAACCCATGGAAGGAAGAGCTCAATGCGATAGAAACGAGTGCCAGAGCTAACGAAGAGCCATTTCCATTTCTTAGGGGTAGCTTTGTGGACCATGACAGGCGCTTTAATGTTGCAATCAGGAGGAATCGACTACAGAAGGAAAACATTTCTAAGCTGTAGGTGAATATTGTCGCCTACGCCTTGGTATTGCAGTATTTTACTTAGCTAAAGAGGTAGTAATTGAGCTGAATAAAGTAAAGTTAAAGTTTTAGAATCTTACTAAATTTCTAATATAACAATTTATACCTTATTTTACTTATTGTGAATATTACTTGAGAAAGACGTGTAGCCTTTTGTTATTTTCATCGCTTCCGCATTCGAATGTGTGTGTGTGGTGGTTTGGTATCATCTGGGTCTCAGCGTTTAGGTTGGCTGGCCTTTCTTTCTGCTCCTGAGCGTACCCGAAATCCTATGTGCTTAGGGGATGGGCCATAACAAGCTTAATCTCAAATCGGCGAAGAAACGACCAGGCTAAGCATGTCTAACATACCCAAATGCCATGTTCTCTAGGTTTGAGGACTCCCATTTTGTACAGCCTGCGGCTGATGGGTCCTTTCCCACGGTTTGTAATATCCTTTCGTGTCGCCAACCATCAAAGACTTTAGGGTTCGGGTACAGCTCTGGGTTCATTGCGATCGCCTGAGATGGAGAGCCGATAAATGTCCCGGGAGGAATTAATAGGTGACGCGTCGCGAAAAGTTGGTGGGGTGCACCGCTCGCTTGCCTGCGCCGCTCGCTTGCCAGGTACGTTAGATCTTTAGAATATAATGCTAGTCATTAGTTGCCCTAGTAACTAAAGAAGTTAATGAGTATTTTCTCTCACACTAGAACTGGCCTAGTGAGAGGATGAAGGTGGTCTTTATCGCCGTAGATTTTTCACAGGTCACCTTCTTATATTTCTGTCTGTTAAGGAACACTCGCATTGATCTAGCTTGGAAGCTGCTAGCTGTACTATTTTTAGTTAATGGCAAGATATAGCTTCTCGCCTATAAGGGCATACATCCAGACTAACATAATTAGATAAGCTTAAGGAGATGAGTTTGGAGGAGGGTAAAGCCTGCAATGACTTGTTAATTGCCACTAGTAAAGGATAGATTCCGGTTGATCGTAAGTTGAAGCCAACAAACAGCAAGCATCGTTCTCATATCGTTCTGGGTAACTGCCTCAAGTACCGAGAGTGCGACCTTGGAGAAGCGTAATTGATTGTGATCCCCTCGCATGTCCCGTGGTGACTTACGTTTGCTAGGCTTCTTGGTGCACTCATGAAGTTCTCTATAGACATCACATTCACTCCATCGCAGTCCACACTCGCAAAATAGCTTAAGAACAATCGCTCACGCCAGATCTCCATCATGAACGATATTTAATCATACAAGAAAGAGTACAAGGTATCACACGAGATGAACACTAAGGGTGCATTGCTCTGCTCTGCTGTCGCATTTCAGCGAAGAGGCTGGGATGTGTATCGAAGCTTCAAACTGTATGCTCTGGTGTATGGTGCGTGAGTGGGAGATTATTCATGAGCGACTGGTGGCTGAGGCTTTGGAGGTTCAGAACATGGATGAAGGTATTCTGAGGAGTTACGTCAAAGGTCTAGAAGATCAAATGAGCGGGAATGAGCTGTAGAGTAAGACTACACCAATGTACTACAAGGTCGACATGTGAGGACGACAGGATAATGTACCTATGAGTCTGAGCTGAAGGATGTGACAAACGCTTTTCCAGCATAAGCGGAGCCAGAATTCTTGAAAACTGTCCTATTTTATATTCTGCTAAAGCGCATCTATAGATTTTCTTTTCCCATGGTACAAGATTACATATTTTCACCCGAGTAGAGGGTGATTCTTCATTTTCTAAGAGGGCGTCCTGCTTGATTCTACGTAATAATGTAGTAGCAAATATATTCTTAGTTTGGTTTTTTTAAGTTTATCCTTGCATTTTCCATAATTCGTAGAGTATCAGAATTCCTCTCTATATTTTAATATTTTCTTCTGTGTAACATCTCAGGCGTCAGTGTTACCCCGGAACAGCGACAAAAGACCCGTCCCACAATGTCTCGTACTGGATCGCAACGAGTGCATCCGTCCTCAGTATCCCGACAGGGTCAACCTACTATAATTGCCTATTGTGATGCAACACGACTACTGAAGAGACAGTGAATCGCTTGCATGATGGCGTATGGTGGGGCTTAGTCTTGGCTCCAAGGTTTTACATACCTCAAATATGAGACCTCTGTCTCTCGTATCTTGGCGGCGTCGTCTGGGAATCACGACGCGGGGTGTACCTGGTGGCTGCAGCGGAATGGTACGTCCTGGGTCAACACAATCTTGCGATTACCACGGATAGAAGAGGCGGAGAAATATTACAATGATGTGTGGGATTGTGGTGTTTGCCTGCTGATCCCATATTTTTTGTTGGGGCAAGTTCCATGACATTGAAATTGTTGCGTCCGCTGGTCCATTTGACTGATTGAACATAGCCACCATCGTACCTTTCCCCCCACTATGTCTTGGCATGCTTCTCGTACATGGCCATTCTATACTGCTCATGTGAATGCAGGATACCTGGGAACATTAGAGGCAAAATCTGACAAAGCGCAACACCGCAGAGCCCGGCTTCGGAGTCAAGATACCAGCCAGGTATTATAAACACCTTGAAGGCTTGAGAGGTAATGGCGAGACACTATCGAATGACCTGATCATGTTGTGTCATTCTGAAATCGCCCAAACGCAAGTTTTATCACAGGCTCCTGCACGCTCCTGCACCATGCAAGCGGTGGCCTTAAATTCTAGGACTAGAAGTGTAGATCTGCGCTCACATGTGGGGATCGCAACACATTAATATCCTAAAGAGCTTCGGTATCCCGCGCCGTTTCAGTCATCTGAAGGTTGGGGCGTGAACGCCATCCAGGTACTGTAATTGCAAATATGTAACATTTGATCGTACGACATGTGGTGGTTTCCAGTAAGTGCCGAAGGTGGCAACAGAAAGCTACCCAGGGTAACCTTGTGGGGCTGTTTGAGATGACGGGGACGGATGTGCGGGGAACCGCTTAGTCAGGGGCTAAATCACGTGCAAGGCTATATATGACGAGTCAGGTGAGACCCTCCACGGATTCACGACTGTAGAGGTGGCGTGACTTGAAATATCCTCCTCACACTTCCGATCTCGTTACACTCCGACTGGAACCTGATTAAAGACTTATCATTAGCTACTACAGGAGAGCTGATAAAACACACTTCCTCACATAACTGACTTACTTTTGCTTATCGAGTCCAGTGCAATGAGAGCATTGACATACATTAGCCCGAACCACCCCCCAGCTTTGGTGGAGGTACCGAAACCAGGGCTCGAAAAAGCAACAGATGCTATTGTGAAGCTCAAATACACTACCATCTGCGGGACAGACTTGCACATCCTCAAAGGCGACGTTCCAACTGTATCCAAAGGCCGCGTCCTGGGCCATGAAGGTGTCGGTACGATAGAAGCAGTTGGTGCAGGAGTATCGTCCTTTAAGCCGGGAGATACTGTACTCATCAGCTGCATCAGTGCATGTGGGACATGTGACTACTGCAAGAGGGGCATGAATTCGCACTGCAATAATGGCGGTTGGAAACTTGGAAACACAATCGACGGCACGCAGGCAGAGTTTGTGCGGATTCCAAACGCAGAGAACAGCCTCTACGAAGCACCCGACGGCATTGATGAGAAGGTCCTTGTTCTGTTGTCCGATATCTTCCCCACTGGCTTCGAGTGCGGTGTCCTGAATGGAAAGGTTTCGCCAGGTGGAACGGTTGTGATTGTGGGATCAGGGCCTGTGGGCCTGGCGAGCTTGATCACTGCGCAGTTCTACTCACCAATTGTCATTGTCATGGTTGATGGAGATCCGCATAGATTGGAGATTGCGAAGAATTTGGGTGCGACGCACACGGCGAGCGTAGAAGATGCAGCAGAAGTTGTGAAAGCGGCCACTAATGGCAAGGGGTGTGACACTGTGATCGAAGCTGTGGGTGTTCCAGCGAGCTTCCACCAATGTCAAGAGTTAGTTGCACCGGGTGGCGTTATTGCGAATGTAGGTGTGCATGGTGTGAAAGTAAATTTGCATTTAGAGAACTTGTGGGATAAGAACATTGGTAAGTCGCTTTCCGTAACTGTACGATGGTACAGGTATTACAGAATGCTGACATGCAGCAGCTATAACGACAAGGCTTGTTGACACTACAACCACGCCTATGCTGCTCAAGCTCCTCTCGGCGCACAAGTTGCCCACGGAGAAGATAATTACGCATGAGTTCAGCTTCGAGAAAATAGTGCAGGCATATGAAATTTTCGGCAACGCGAGCTATAATAAGGCGCTGAAAGTATTGATTAGCTTTTGACATTGTAAAGAATCTTGTGAGCTGTCAATTCCTCCGTCTAGTGCTACACACAGTACCACAAGCAATGCACAACTATTCCCATATTCTTGAGCCACTACCATATTTGGGACTTAAACTCCCTTCGCGTCAATATCATTTGTAACTTCCTCGGACTGAGTAAAATTTTAGGAACTTCGCAGTGATTCCTCTTCCATTTTTTCCCATTCCATTAGAAGTATTCATATAGCTTTTTGAATACTGTGTAAGAGGGATGCATCGTGACCTGGGCGCCGCTTACTGTCGTCGTATCCACTTAACCCGGCATACTTCTGACTAGTCGAGACAATAGTTCTCGATAGCGACGGAGGGTGCTTCTGTAGAAAGATTTGAGGCGAGCCACTTCTCCCCACATTTACAGCACACTAACATGATCTTAGCGATTTAATTCAGCATTATACCGCATATACTTCAAGCTCAAGCTGTAGCAAACATTCCCGTCTCTAACGATCAATCGCAATCCCCTCAACAGGGAGAGGTCATCACCACAATTGGATTCACAGATCCGCTACACAGCCATCCCGTCACGACTAGTGGCGAAACAACAATCATCAGTGTTAACACTGCGCTAGAAAGTAGGGATGCAGACTAAAAGGAATGGGAAGCTGCTGCCACACGTAGTAAGAACACTACAAATGAATATCCAACATCCACCGACCTCCTCTAAAAACCTGCTCCCACACCCGCAACATCATCAACCGATTGTAATGCCTCCCATGAGCCGGGCCGCCGAAGCGATAGGATAGTCAATAAAGCACCAGAAGGTCAAGCTTCGGAGAACAGGGGTGTTGAAGCGACATCAATCGTGGGTCACTTGCCCAGAGGCCCTGATCAAGAGATAATTTAGGCACCAGCGAAGCTGAGTTCAAGAGCGTACCAGTTGGGGTTTCTGAGGATGCTTGGGTGAGTCTCACCTTGGGAGTTGACTACGACCTGCCTCCAACCGATAGCGAGTGAACAGATGCTGAATCCTGTGGAATGGGCCTAGTGTGCCATAGTGCCAGCAAGAAATGGACAAACTGCTGACACGAAACAACACTCCAACGCTTGGACACTCATGTTGACTTAACGATCAAGAAATGTGTGTTGGTGCAGCGTTTTTGATTTCGACCCATGAAACTTCAAGCTTCTATCAGGACAGACAAAAGCCTGGACCGCGGTATGAGGATTTGAGGGTGAGAAGTTAAAATTCCTAGTCTTGCAACTATCAATGACAAGAAAAATAGGCTCTGCTACGGCTATTTGGCCTGCGCACTGGTCCCGGCGCGGTGTATGGTAATGCCTTTCGCGAAAACGTTGGAAAATATAATGCTGATGACAAGACCTACATAGGCTACATTGCAATGGAAATGCTAAACTACTTCTTCTCGATCGGCCGCTCATTGCAAGACTATCATCAATTGCAAGCAGCCGCACTCCCTATATGTTAGAGGTCTGTTAGTCTTGCGATGACATATAAGCAGGTGCGAGATGTCTTTACGTACGGAAGATGAAAACGACTATGCAATGTCTCCCTTTTCCCCCTTGAACCTCTATATCAAATTCTTTCATTGTGACGCTTCCTTGGTAGCTATTTCTCCTAAAGTACGGAACCTTCCATGAAGTTACCACCATTTGTTCTGGTGCACCGCCTACAATGCGGTACGTGATGCTTCCGCTCGTGCCGCATCCAACACCTGCGGATTCGGACTGCCACAACGCACCCCCTCCGGCGAGGATGAACGATGGAGGCTCTTTTCCGAGCGACCATTTCCCTTGATGGGGCCATTGAGACTGCGTGTCCAGACGCAGCTCCTCGTTCGTTTGATTCAAGAATAGCACCAGAGCACTTCGACGCAAGGATTTCATGATTATCTTACTAAAGTAGTGGTTACAATGTATTGATCACGACCTCAATACAGTGCTTACTTCAGGGCTACGGAATGTTCAATCTGGTCGAATAAGTGGAGGGAAAGACGTGGGGGGGGGGGGGGGGTGAATCTGGGGAAGAGCGCCTTGAACAATAATCATCATGCGGTTATAGTGCGACGGGATTCAGGCTTTGTTACGTTCCCATTTTCCGGTCTAGGCGCCGGCTGGGTCGCTTAGTGTGTGAGACCCTGGGTGATGAACATGCGATGAGTAGTAGAGGCGCAGCCATGAGATCAATACCAGGATATACGTAGCATTTTTTCAGTTTAGGCGTTTTGCGGTTCCATGGTTCGGTGCTTCCTTGGCTCGATACTTCGTTGGCTTGTGGAATTTGCGGTCAAAGCCGCAGTGAGAAGCGTATGAGAAGCTCCGGACTCCAGTTCGTGTCTAATCATCAGTTGAAGCTCAGTTACTAATAAGAAGCGCACAGGCGCGGATGTGCGCGGCAACCTCCACGAGATGGATTAACACCCTAAGTATTAGTGCCTCAGACTTGCAGTTTGCTGAGACTTCGGTTTCGGGTCCTAACGGAAAACCGAGTGCTAAGGGTTCCGTGGTTAGACGTAGTGGGGTGATCTATTCAACGCTTGCAAGGATTATGGCAGCCCACCGCAACTTCTTCATGAGAAATAATCATCTGGCCATAACATTAAGAAAATTTCCAACCTGGTTGCAATGTTTTGGTCTGTATCTTTCAGGATGGTGGATGGAATTGCGAAATCAGAGCAGCTACAAGCCAACGAATTTGAGGCTAGCGATCAAAGCCTAATGCAGCTACTCTGGGTCGAAAGCGACTGTCCGTCCAACGCCTGCCTCGAATGTAGATCTACAGCTCCGTACGCCGAAACCGGCTACACAAAACAGAATCAAGTAACAAATGCAATGTAGAGCCCTAAACAGCCTGGTTTACAATTGGATTCGAGTCGTAAGGACACCTAGCTTTTTTTTTTTTGTTATCATAGTATTAGTAGCCTTGAAAAGCCGGCTTCTGTGATGCCATAGTTGGCACTTTATTTATCGGCCGGGTGGTCATAAGCTAACTCTGATTTAGGTTAGGGAACTGGAGACTAGTGGGTTCGTTATGCGAACGGACAGACGGAAACTGTATACTTAGTCTGCGCGACGTCGATATCATTCTTTCGCCGAAAATTCTGATATAAAACTTAGCTAATGCCTCAAAATTTTCCTATGAGAACATGTATCTGCGTTTGTGAAGCAAGCGAACCTAGATGGATGATGAAATTGTGCCGTTTTCGTCAATCTACCAAGCTGGGGTAGGCAGGCGTTGCAGGACATACCAGTCTCTCCTTCGTCCATTTAGATGGAACTAATAGACCGATAAATGACAGGCACATGGCGTGATACAAATGCTCTTGAGAGAAGCTAGCCAGCCTGCTACTTTCTCCTATGACCCCACTCTCCTGCACCGATCTGCCAGTACTACTCCTACACCAGGCATATCTTCGCCATCAATTGGTGCCTCCACTGCCTAAAATGATCGGGATGAGTTCGATCTTAGCTGACGCACGCCGTCGTCTGATGTTTACGGGCCACCTTAGTACTCAGCATGTGCTTGCATGCGAGTTAATGTGATCTCCGAGGAGATACTGCTGTAAGGTGCTATTTCCTGGAAGTCGCATGTTCTTGATTTCAATAAAGAGAATCGAGCCTAGGTTTGTGCGAAGCTGATTCTGCATTGCCGTCGCAAAGCATCGGAGTTGAATGCGAACGGATGCAGGAGCTTGATGGGATCGTGTGCCCGCTCACGATTTACGTAGTCATACGAAGTAAACAAAGCCTGCCTATATCCTGCTAAAGTTGCGGGCCATACATTTCACTGACAAACCTTTCTTGTCGCACGGGCAAACGGAATGTATTCCGAGCAATCTGTATCTATGCAGTTACTGTTGAATTACATAAATCATAGTGAGAAGCTGACAATACTCTTAAGATCAAGTCTTCTTTTCCGGCTTCCTAGAGTATGATCCACCCTTTTGTACATTATGGTTGGCAGATGCGACTTTCCCCTAATTACTCGCGAAAAGGCTATGCATCCGACGATCTCTACGCCAAGGTCCAATGTACTCCACAGCATTTGGAAGCAGTACTTGGCATGGGCGGGTAACAGATAGCCCCTTCGATATTCTTTTAATGAGTTCTATGTGCAAGTGGCCGACAGGTCTCCTACTAGCAATGGCATAAGGTTCTCAATATCAGACCTTACCCCACCTACAACTCGCACTATTCCTACGTTCCACGTTCACCGTCTCGACATAAGCCTATACGATGCCCAATTTGATTATCTGACGGGTACTTGGGTGCCGATTCCTGAGCCCGCCATAAACGACGTCGTCGCCGGACTTCTCCGCTTCAAAATTATCTGCGCAGACTTCGGCGTACCAAGCTCCTGTATTCGCACTATTGCCACGGAAGCCACTCGAACGGCTATCAACTGCGCCGAATTTCTCTAGACGATCTTCAAAGCAACCGGCGTATCTGTCGAGCTGTGAACGAAGGAAGATGAAAGCAAGATCGGTGCGCTCGGCATTGCAAGTAGTTTCTCGGGAATGGAGGGGATTGCTATGGATCTCGCAGGGGAGATTATGCAGATCACGTGGCTTGTTTCACATTCAGGGGACGTAAAGATGAGTTTCAAAGTCGCGTTCAGCTTTCCATACGGGGCGGCGGCCTTGAGACAGAAGCTGGACGAATTGGAAAAAATGAAAGAATCACAATGAGGCAAAGAAAGCGATGTAAAGACTGCGTGAGGAGATGGAAATAAGATTGCGCAACGCTTACATCGGCTCTGAAGTTCCAAATGACACGATTAAAAAGTCTAAGCATGACGGCGATTTCAGGATTTATTTTTCAGGTGGCGGTTTCCGTGGGTGGGGGTACCTCCGAATGTACCAGAACCAGACCGAAAAGCATCATTATCCAATCTCCATTATCAATGGCTTCACAGTTACAAACTCGGAACTTTCGGATACGGAAAGGCTGAAAGAAGTCGCGCACACCGCACAAAAGATTTTCAGGATTTCCGACCGTCGACGTAAGCAGGTTCCCGCCGTAGCATTCTTGGTAAAAGTCCTGGCGAATGCATTGCCATATGGAATAAAAGAAGCTTACTTCTGTCAAGGAGGTGTGAGAGAAGGTGTGCTGTTCCAGGCTCTTCCCTTAAGCATTCACAAACAGAATCTACTGACTATGGGTACCACTCTGTACGCAAAAGCTTCAGCCCCTAAGATTGTCGAGCCTCTCCTTAACGCTATACCAGAATATAGTGGTGCATATTCTGATCTATTCTCTAATTTTTTAAGCGTAGATATTGTCGAGGCGCTTGTTAATACTCTCTACGTCCACTCCACCATGTCGAAAGGGTCATCATGCACGTCTGCTCTCTGTAGCACAAGTACCGGATTGCTTTCTTCTACGCACGGTGACACGGTGACGATGACGGTGATAGTGACGGTGACGGTGACAGTGACAGTGACAGTGACGGTGACGGTGACGGTGTGTCCTACTCTAGCAGCGCGCTACTTGCACTGGTTCTCGAGGAAAGGTACGGGGCGGAGCTTCCGCCACGAGAGGCAAGGTTCAAAGCAATAACTCGTCACCACAAAAGAATCATTTGCTGTCTCATGTAACATTTGGCGTCCTTCACGACCCTTTGAGGCCAATTCTATCTTGTGTATCTTCTCCCTTGGGATTGGCGGTTTTTTTGGGGCGTCTAATTATTGGGCCCGATTTTCCTTGCTTACCAACTTCAGACATCTTTCAATATTGATAACTGTGACGTGAAACGCCATTGGGCAGCTCCTCTGCGGAGCTCCCTTGTATGCTCGGGGAGCTTCCTGTACGTATATGGCTAGTTCTGCGCTTAGACCTGGCAATATCTCTATATATATGGAGCGTGGGAGCTCTCTCCCACACTCCAGTGATAATACTATAGATCACCCTGAACTGCTTGCCAGGCTCCCCCCAACAATAACGTTACACATTATTGTGATACATGTACGTCTAGGATTGTGTTCACTTTTTCCCGTTACACGTTGGCACATTATCTAAATTTGACTGGAAACCGATGTTTTTCAGAGGTCATTACGCAGTAGACGTTGGTTAAGGGCTTCGGGGCTTTTCCAAGTGGCCAATGGCCACCACACTACTACTTTGCGTATTGATATCACGTCTGCTACTTATTTGGTACACTACTACACAGTTTCAGTAGTTTCACTGCTAGCACGACGAGCAAGAGCTTTCGAGTTGTATATACAAATCAACCCAGCGTCTGTGACTTTACTGTCAACACCACCATCAGCCAAAATCCCAAACGCGACTACCGTGCAAAAGAAGAAGATAACATGAATAGGCGAAGCGTAGAAGGAAATCCGAGAGGAATGATAAGAACGAACAAGAACAGAATATCCAAAGCACACAAACTCGGCATATTTCTGGGGATACGCAAAGGCGATCCAGGTTCCTGGCGTCACCAATGCACGCTCACCACTGAAAGATGAATTGTCCGTGGCCGCTAGGGTTCCGCTGAGACGAGTTCTGGGATGTGGAGGATGACGGCTTCATGAGCTGTAGATGGTGGGCTTAATAGACACCTCACAAGCTTGCTCACATGGACTCTAGTACGCCGAACTGGGTGAGCACATCTTTTCCTCCACTATCTGGGTCCTTCTGTACGTGATGCTTCTTTGTGCGCATTCAAGCGAGACTTAGACCTTGAGGCGCTAAGTCACGGACCGTCTCATCTCCTGAGTTGAATGCCTTGGAGCGCGTCTCCAAAATCAAATTTTATAATCCCTACACACATTCTATTATCTCTACTAATGCATTGACGGCTATCTCCATTTATACTCCGGCCGCTAACATTGCTACCCAACATAACGATCATCTCACAACGTTGACGGCCCTTACACAATAATGCACCGTTCTATACGCGTAAGAAGCTCTTTTCTGACGCATCACCAAGCAACGGCATCACCGAATCAAGGGTTCAGAGAGCGGAGAGGCCTTTCGTCTAAACAGGGGTAGTCTGGCATCCTCGAGAAGCCGGGGGTTAATGATTGTTTCATAGAGAGATGACCGAACCGAGGCAAGTTGGGCTCAACATCATCATTGATGCCAAGATGCTGCCGATTAGTACGTCGTTTATCAGAGTTCCAATTGGTGTTCTAGAGACCTAGTGAGCGTATCCGAGATTGCTATAAGCGAAGCAAATTCGCAAGTAGCCTTCAGCTGGCTGAAGGCAGAGACGTTCATTCATTTGCGTGGCGGCAAGAGGTCACGATGCTGAATATGCTGGAAGAGTCTCAGTAGCTTCGGTAACCTCTCGAGATAGTATATGGAACGGTGTATAAATGACGATTTCGAAACATCGTCGTTTTTCAAAGTCTGTAGGATCCGATCTTGGAAATCGCATGAGGATCTAATGTCATTGTAAGTCAACGAGCATAGCTTTGAGAAATTTAACTACCTTTATCCAGTGGTGTACTCAATATACTGATACGTGGTATCAGAGTGCAACCTCAGAGATTTGTCGTTATCCTTCAAGGTATGATAGCTCGGGAGTTGTACAAGGAATTCCATCTCTGTGAATGGAAAGCTAGTATATCCGCTTAGACTACTCAAAGGCTTCATTAGTCCTTGGTTTGCATCTTTGAGGCAGCTAAGTCATGGTCGAACATAAAACGGCACAGTAGCAACAGTTCTCTCAAGGTTTGCAGAGATGGTACTCGTTGGTGAGGCATCTACCTATTTCTCGAATAGTTGTATCGTTTGTATTGGCTCTATACGGTGAACGCAATCGTTTGAGCACAAAGTTTCAGTGTGATCTATCGCGAAATCCTTGATTCAATGGAACTGGACATCCGCTAGCAGCGTTATTTTAAACGAGAGGGGGATCAGTACACCGAGAGAAAAGGTCCTCCTAGACACAATGGAATTGATATGCAGCTTATCCTTCCATCTTCAATCTATTACAATTGGTTCAAACTGTTCCAAAGAGCCTTCAGTTGGGGTGCGGATGAGGATGATATCTTTGGACCCGCCGAGATCAGCATGGAAAGCTCCCTCACGCTCAAAGATGACTTTGAGCTCGTAATTTACCAACCCGACTCAAATTTGATAGTTGCCAGAAGATTGCAATCCAAGGGAAACTGTAAATCGTATACATAATCGCGGGGGTCAGATATCCGGTACCTTTGTTGTGCTGTTTAAAGCGCTTGAGTCGAGGAACTGCCCTTTAAGAGATTTCACAAGGAATTGACTTGCCCTGATAGCCCGTGTAATCTCGAAAAGTCCAGATTCCTTCACGAGCTGTTGCTTGAGCTACGTAGCGGATCCCGGTGAGGTGGCACATCTCCCAGAAAACGATCGAAATGCTCAACATGATCAGTTCCAGTTCCAGTCTCTGCCGTCAGGAGCTGATTATTACAGATTTTATTATTTGTGGTTAACTACAGTGACTGTATCTTGATATCTGACCTTCTCGGGAGGAATGGCTAGTGTTGCTTCAGCACCCGTGCATACATAGCGAAGGTAGAATCATCACCTTCGGGCCAGTTTGTTACTACTTTACCATGAAACACCAAGGTGATTGCTTTCATTTTCGTACGCTTCGTGATATGCATGTATAATGACCCACAAAGCATAATGGCGCTTTGTTCGGACATTCAACTTTGTCTGAGACCACGAAGAAAAAGTACTGGTTCGACCAAGAAAACTTGGACATCGATACCCTTTCTTGATGCCAGGAGCTTCCCTTTTAACTTCTATCCTCGTGAACTGTCTGAATCGTGTTTCTTTGACCAGCAGCTACGGGATTGGTGTCTCGCCACTACTGAATCATTAGGCCGCAGCCCCAAATTGTCAACGGTCTACTTCCCTGGCCGCGTATTTGGCGGCAACACACAAGCTCGCCCAGCAGGATTTAGCAAATATTGCGAAAACAAGCAAGCGGTTACGACAAATTGATGGAGTGCGTTGGCATCGAAGATCGAAGGAAGTAGGCGTTGGGGGAGAATACAAAGCTCGCCACTTATCTTAGCGCTCGATCTTCTGTTAGTCCGGCTGTGCGTTCAGTATTTCTTATTTGCTGCTATCGAATGAGAGATGTCTTGTGCGGCTTGAGTCGTAGCCTATTAGGAACATGATGTTGATATTTGCGCTGAAGTTCATGAGAATCTGCCATTTTGGCACGGCACAGTCAAAGTAAGGCAAGCCGTAATGCTAATAGACTGAACAATAGAAACGATAAAAATAATTATATGATGAGAGCTGTACAGCTCATACCTATTCGCGTTCAGTAGGCGTCGAAACCATCGACTTAGCTCCACTTCCGAGCTATAGCCAGATCTCGGCCCACATTTTCATGAAGTTGCAACGAGGTTTCTCGTTTTTGCTGCGTTATCAAGACATCGAATTGCGGGATCCAGGAAACACTTTCTCGTATAGAAAAATTGCAAAAGGCCATCGTGTTGCACGATCTACTCGGTAAACACCAACAGCGCCTAGTCCAAATACTCCCGCTAGAGTACGAAAAAGATAGCGAACTCATTCCAAGGTACTTGGCGTGAGCTGTAGAGGACTGCAGATAATTGTTAAAGGCCTTCTTGCACTGCCCATTCAGCCGAGCCTTGAAAGTTCATCGTAGGATTCAGGTTTGAGCATCCTGGAGTCCCGCCGCGGAACAGCGTGCAAAAACTTGAAGTAGTCACTCGCACTAACATACGCACCGCCGCAGTCCAAGCAATCCTTGCCACCAAACAGTGGATCGAAAGTAGCCGCGTGGGCCGCCAAGCCTTCGCCTGTCTCGCTCAGCATGCTCACTGTGGCAAGATGGTTACTCACGCCAGGTCGCCTGTCCGGGTAGAAGGTGATGTTCTTTATGCCGAGTGGTTCGAAGATCCCCTCGATCATGAATTGTTCAAACGTGTTTCTAGTAAAACGCTCCATTAGATTACCAGCCCAATCAAATCCGCCGCTGTACCGGAAGCTGGTGCTTGGTTCAAAAAGGAGAGGCAGCGTCGCTTTGTGTTCGACGGTCGGTCCAGTCCAGGGCAGCTCTCCCCGACTTGCACCCCATTTCGCCAGTAATGGACTGAACTAGTCATATTCATAGCCCGACGTGTGAGAGAGCAGGTATCTATGACGCGTTAGTCAGACCAACTGCAGCCTCAGAAGCTTTAAAAGGGTTTACCGGAGCGTGACTGGAGTCTTTTGTTGCATGTATACACTCTCGTTCTTCTCGTCGTCGAAACGAGTCAAGATGCCATATTTTCCTACTTCCGGCAGTATTTTTGAAATGGGTTCGTCCAGGCGCACGATGCCTGCTTCTACGGCCTGCATGCATGCGACGGCAGTGAGTAACTTGGTCATAGTTGCCATCCAGCATGTTGTGTCGAGTTCGAAAGGTAAATGTAGACTTTTGCTCCAGCGCCGTAGAGAATGCTGGAAAGCTCGAAACCGAAACCACTGCTGCCTCCAGTAACTATGAAGAATTTGCCGGTTTGCGTGGGGATGTTGTCTTTGGTGATAGGGGCGCTATTTTTTGGCGGGCTAAATTGAGTTCATATCATTGAAAGCGCTGCGCCTCCAATTGACACCATCCTTAAGTCTGGAAATTACAAAGATCTAAGTCAATGCAGAAGTTTCAATGATGTGATTCAACTCGCAGTGTTGTTTTCAGCTTTCTGTATCTCACTGGTCAACTGTCTGTGAGGGATAAGGTGACGGTGTTGAACCTGCTGCCCGGGTTGACAGCGTTGTGTAAGGTTTCATCTGTGGCGGTGTATGGACGAATGAAACTACGATGCATGAATCCTGCCGCATTGTGACTACGCACGAATGTGGCTCGAATTGTTTTGATACTGCGCCGCCACAATACGGATCGTTGTGTGTCCGTTGAACAGGGCTGACTGCCGGATAGTCTGTGTCGTTACTCATGGCATTTAGATTAAAAACTATGGAGCATCCAATCATCTCTAAGGTTTATGGTTGAGCGGTACAAGTCGCCTAGGTGGCCGAATAACGGCTATGAGTGTCTCGGTTTGCGCGTTCTCAGGACCGTACCCGTTCCGCGGGATGCGGACTCTCTGCATATTGCAATAACGAACTGGTCATTCACGCTGTATGCCAAAAGTGTGGAAAATGCTTGGTGATCGCTTCCTCAGAGTTAATACCTTGACGTTCTTTACGAATCAACCAATTGTTACCGACGTAACTAAATCATAGTAGTGACCGTAGTCATGGTAGTGACCGTAGTCGAAGCTGGCGTGCCACGAATACAGGCCTATGTGGTGGAGAATACACTCCGAAATCACCTGGCAAAATCTTGAAGTGCAGACATCGCGAGCTGAAGATACATTGTCTATTGAGGGGGTCGTGTGGAGGATACTTGTTGCACAAAGTGAGGCAGTGAGAGGGAAATGTCTCTCTGATGTCGACCTGGTCTGGATGGAAGAAGTGTGGGCTGATTACGAAGATCTGGTAATCGGCCGCTGCTGCGAATGCTTAAGGATGTTGCAAGGCACGGTCCCTCGACGATTCGGAAGTGTTGCGTTTGCGATGCGGACGCCTGATGTCAAGGTTACAAGTTCTGGCGTCGAGTGCGAAAGATAGTGCTCCACGTTCGGAGAACTTAAAAGGAAGTGTTGAGCCGTTGAATTTCGCAACAATCGCGCCAATAATAACCACAAGAAATGCACGCGCGACTAGTCACACCAAGAAACACAGTTATCAATACTCTTAGTCTTCGTTTCACCATATCATCACCATCACAAATCCTCCTCCAAACACCCGATGTAACTATATTCGCCCCTCTTTAAGGTGCACGCATCCTCCGACGTCAGCACCCCTCCCGCCTACCAGGATCTCGCCCCCACCACCCAACGCCATCGGACTTACTCAGCACAACCACCCACCTCACTCGTTCTCCCCACTCGCGCTATACCGCACACGTCCGCGCATGTTTCCCCTCCCCGTTCTCGAATCTCCGCCTGCGACAATAATTTCAATGCACAAGCGGGTGAGCGCCTTCCTTCAGCCTGGTCAACGGGTGCGCTGCTAAAAATAATGTGATCGACGACGCTGGCGGAAGCGAGGAGGACCGTAAAGCATGGAGGAGTGAGCGCCGGGTATAAAGCCTCGGATCTCCCCAGCACATCTGCGCATGTCGCCTCGCGCACTTCGAATCTCCAACTGCTCGACTTAAACCACGACCATACTGTGGGAGGACAACAGAATGGTCTCCGCCGACCTCATCAACGCGGTCCTCACGCAGGCCGTCCGCGTCGCCACGCACTCCTGGGAATACGGCACCGTGGCCGAAGCCCTGCTCGAATGGGACACGCCGCAGCTGTCCATCTGGAATGACCCTTTCCCAAACGGCCAGGTACCGACATTGATTGTGGATGATGTAAGCGCGTTGAGCTACATCAAGCCGCATATCCGAACGGACAATGTCACGCTCGTCGATGGCGATGGTAAGGATGTTAACCCCACACAAACAATCTGCATAGGTCATTGACGATTTGGATGTAGGGTCCGCAGGCGACCCCGCCGCCGAAGGTATCCCCGCGCTCCTCATCGGAAAGTCCGACGAGGCCTACTGGGATGCCGCCCTCCGCCAATCCAACCACCTCCTCACATCCGTCCCCCGCTGGTCCAACGGCGCCATCTCCCACCGCGAAGCCGTCCCCGAGCTCTGGGCCGACTTCGTCTACATGGTACCCCCCTTCCTCGCTTACACCGGCGTCGCAACCTCCAACGTCACCCTCCTCAAGGAAGCCGCACTGCAGGCGAAACTGTACCGCGATGTGCTGATCCAGCCGGCGAGCGTCTGGATGCACATCACGGGCCCGCAGGTGCAAGACTACGAGCTATGGAGCACGGGGAACGGGTGGGCGGCGGCAGGGATGGCGCGGGTGCTGGCGACGCTGAAGAAGGGGCCGTATGCGGCAGATACGCTCGACGAGCAGGCCTCCCTCACTTCTTTGATCAAAGAGATCTTGGACGGCGTAAGGGCGCTGGATACGGATGAGTCGGGGCTCCTGCGGAACTATCTCAATCAGACATCGTGGTTTGGCGAGATCTCTGGCACCAGCGTCCTCGCTGCTACGGCGTTGCGGGTTGCCGTGTTGGAGCCGGACACGTTTGGGAGCGAGTATACGGAGTGGGCCGTGGAGAAGATGGAGGTTGTGGATGGACATATTAATGCCGAGGAGGGGGATAACAAGGGGATTGTTTCGCCGGCGGTCAACCCGTTGAACTGGTGGGATACGGCACCGTACACGACGGGAAGTCCCGAGGGGCAGAGCTTCGTGGTGCTGCTGCATGCCGCGTATCGGGACTGGCAGGAAGGACAGCGGAGGAAGTGAGGTGACTCGCGAATTCATAACGGCTGTTTCTAGTCAGTATTATAGACTTTGTGTTCAATCGCTTCTTGAATCCAGGAGTTTCCCCCTTCTATCTCAGATCCTCTTCGAACCGGCTCGGCGTCCTTGGTCTCCTCTCCCCGCCCGAGACAGCACCCAGCCTGGGACTCGCCGCCGGACTCGGCACCACGAGACGTGGCGTTGGCAGTGGGCTGATGCTAACCAAGCTGTCATCCAGCCTCGGTGTTCCCGTACCCGCCGTTCCCGTCACCGTACCCATGCCCTGTTCCTTCTTCCTCTCCATCTCCTTTGGCCCTTTCTCCACATCCAGCAGTCCCGTATTACTCCTGCTAACGCGGTTGTTCCGCCTCCCGAACCGATCCACCTCCTTATCCTTATCGACGTCTTTTTCCTCCCAGAACGACTCCCACCCCGCGAACACCGGGAGCGCGAGCAGAAGCACCGGCAGAAACTGTCCGAAACCCCACTCATTCTCGCTGCCTTCCATGAGCACGGAGGGGTTGCCGAGCGCCTGCGTATCGCTAAGCATCGAAGCAGCCATGAAGACGCCTAAGAAAATGCACATTAGCGGAATCCAGCAGAGGTAAGTGAAAAGGGTATGATGGCGCACCATAAATCGCGTACACCGGCGTGATAACCCACGTCCTCACCCCCGCACCCACCCTCTTCGCCCACGCCCACTTTGTCCTCTCTCCACCCATGGGCGTCTCCGGCAACACATACATGGCCAGAATGACCGCCGTGTGCCCCCCAATCGCGCCCACCAGCAACAGCGCCCACTTCGTTTGAAACGCCGTCTCAAACTCTGGCTTCGCTCCTTGATAAAAGCACGCCAGTCGGCTGCTCAGATCCAGCCCCGCGAGGTCGTAAGTATAGGAGATGTAGCTCGTGTAGCCCAGCAAACCGAGGTTCGCCGCCATGAACAGGATGCGCGGCAGGTTGATCCACTTGTTCATGACAAAGTAATTCCGCAGCGTCACGAGCGTCAACAGATGCGTAACAGTCGTCAAAAACGCGAGTTCCGTCACAATCTGGAAGTGGTAGATGGAGAGCTCGCAGTGCTTGAGGAGCGCGGTGAACTGGACGGCCAGGCCCGTCATGATCTGCGTATCTGCCAGCGCCAGCAGGTTCTTGGACAGCACGCGCGACCAGAAGGCGGGCGAGCGCCAGTAGGAGCGCGACTCGTCGTGGACATGGTGGGTTTTGGTGAGGAAGGAGATGAGGCGGTTGTAGCGGTCGAGGAAGAGGACGGACAGGCTGACGAGGAAGGCGAGGCAGGTCGTTGCGAGGAAGCCGACGATGACCTGTATGTTCGTCAATACTCGTTCGGGAGGGTTGATTGGTGTCCTAGACGAAAGGTGCAGTCGATGACCGTCGTGCCACTCCGAACAGACATCACCACAGAGACACATAACTCACCCCTATACCAGCGATATCCGGATTCGCCTCCACCACCTGGTTCCTCGCGGCGCAATTGAACTTGTAGCCCTCGCACTTGAAGGCGCCCATCACATCACACTGACTTTGGTCTTGGTTCCAAGTCAAAACTCTCCCTGTCTCGTTCTCCCCTTCGTCCAAGAAAGCGCAAGTCGGCTGAAGAAGAAAACAAAATCCTCCCTGCACGCCCGCGAAGCCGATATTTGACTCGCCCGGGAAGGTGTTATGCATGGCCCTTGCGCCGCCCCCAACACAGCCTTCGCGCGAGACACGCTGGGGGCTGAATGCCCTTTGCTGACACCCGACTGCCGGATTGGGGTGGCGCAGTGCGCTAGCGTTGTGGGTGTGGAACCCAAGATCGGTCGCCGGCACGTGGGTGGTATTAATAGACGACTTGATTGCTTGCTTGCTTGTTGTGGAGGGTGGACAGAATCGCTACCCTCGCAGTGTTGCAGTGGGGTATGGTGTGTATGAAGGTGGTCTGGATGGCGACCAGGACCAGCTCACAGAATGTCTCTCGACGATTTATAAACTACGCGTCGGTTTTCTTGTAGCACGTACGGTGCGACAAATTCTCGCATGTTGCTGGGACATCTGCTGCGGCTTGGTTTGGTGTGTGGTTGTTTGCGTGGAACTGTACACGTGGGTGCTGCAACGGTTGCAGCTTTCCTGTTTATACACTAGCAACAACAATCGACACTGGAAGAGAGTGCAAAAGAGTAGGTAGTCAGGGGTGTAAACATTACGTATTGTTCGATGCTATGAGGCTAATGATGGATCGTCTATCGTCTATAATGCGCGGTCTCGAGCCACGCAAGTATATCCAAGAAGCAAGAATGGAGTGTACCTAATCTAAAAATGGCGCGTGTGCAGTCATGGTCTTGTCTTGTGAAGGCTTCGTGCCTAGTCCAGGCGCCCTTTGTCAGAGCGGAATCCATTCGCAGTGCCGTTCGAGCTCGCCTTCTCGTTCGGCTTGCGGTTGGGAATGGTGAGGCAGTTGATGCCGAGGAAGTTGCAGATGCTCGAGATGACGAGGTGCGCCCACCGCCCGTACACAACGGCCGCGAACACAAAGTAGCCCCGCAAATACCACAGCTCCGTGCTCGCCGAGACGGGCCCGAACGTTGTACCCGTGATGGTGAAGTAGGGGTGATTGACGAGTAGCGCGCCGCCAATCATGGGCGCGAGCATGATGGTCCAGTACGGAAAGGGCTGGCGGGTGAGATGGGCGAGGATGATCTTGGTGGTCATGCGGCCGAAGACGAGGGACATGGTGAGGCAGTAGAGCACGAGGTGGTTGTCCTGGAGGATGAAAGAGTACGGCGAACCGAGCCAGGCCATGGTGGCGGCGCAGAAGATGACCAGCGGGGTCCATTCCCAGAGGATGGGCAGGACTGGGAGGTTCTGGGCGCGTCGCGCGCGGGCAACGTTGACGATGCAGGCGGGAAGGTGGGCGATGAAGAATGTGGACAGGATCATGGGGATCCAGACGTCCCGGAAGCTCATGTCACCAAGCCACTCAGCGAAGCTCGGAAAATACGTGACGAGGGGCGTCGACCAGATCTGGGGGCCAAAATACCCAGACATGCAAATGAATGTGCACGCAAGAATGAGGCCCTCTGCAGGGTGTTATCGGGTCATGGTCTCAAACTCGAGGTGGATGTGCCTACCTGTAGGGCCATTGAAGTAGCCGAGATAGAGTGTGTGGGTGTGGTATGTCTCCCAGGTCGAGAAGAACATGGGCAGCACGGGGATGAGGGCAGTGAAGGCACCAATCTTGCCGCTTCCATATCCGACAGCTGCTGTCTCGAGCAGACTTGCCAGTGTGCAGTTGAGGGAATCAATGCCGTGGCTGCAGGCCATCAGTCGTGTGTTTGGTGCGTTGGGCTGGACGTCACGTACTCAAACAGCTCTCCCAGCGGGCTCGATGTGCCTGTGCGACGCGCCTGCTTCCCGTCTACGTTGTCCATGGTGGAGTACCTTGATGGCGGTCAGCGAAGTCTCGGGGACGGCCGCCGGCAGAACGCACATCCACATGCCAAATGCAAAGCTGTAATAAACCCACGACGGTGCCTAGGACGCAGTTTCCAGTCAGTCCGCGGCTTCGGAGTCCATGTGCAGCGCTGCTCACCGGGCCGACGAGATCCGGGATGTACACCTCGAGCAACACGATGTTCCCGAGGATGAAGAAGAAGCCGAGCAGCGTGACGAGATTTGGCGCGAGCCACATGGGCAGCAGCTCTACGAAGCCATTCCACTGTGCGAGATCAGCCGTGGCGTCGCGACCGGGCGGGTCGTCGGGACGCGTGCATACGTAGTGCTTGAGGATGTAGCGCGAGATGAAGGACTTGTCGACGCTCGAGTACTTGTAGCTCTTGAGGTGCTGCAGCGCGTCGTCGGACACGCACTCATGCTTCGCAGTCTCTGCCGTTGGTTAGCAACCGGCCTGCGCGCGCCTGTCTCCTATCGCGTGGGCGGCGCACCTTTGCTCGGCGGCATGTTGGGGTGGGTGGCGGGCGCTGGCAGCGACATGAGGGGTGCGACTAATTTATAGCAGAGTATGCAGCGTCTCGGCCATGTGGAGTGAAAGAGTTTGGCGGGGGCACAATTGCATGCAGATGTGACGAGTGCCGCGAAAAGAAGGGCCCACGTCAAGCGTGCAGTTTCCCGCCGCCGTCCAACGCGCACAACCGGCGCCGCCCGGAACGCGGCAGGCCCTGATCCTCTCCCAGAGCTTAGCTTGCACGTGAATGTACACACGCTGGGCATACTCTGCGTCGTCGACGCGGCTCTGGAGAGAGGCTGCTTGCGCTGGTCGCCATGCGCAGCTGCAATTACGTACATGCATGCACGGCCTATCGCCTCGTGCATGCGTCGCGGCCCTGGATTCCATCGACTTTCCAGTTCTTTGCGCGGGACGGCCAGCCGCCTCGGTGGAAGCAAGCTGCACGCGCTAGGCCCGAACGCCTCTAGCCCGTCGTTTCCATGCACGACGTCTTGGCACGCCGAGACCAGCCCGCCAACACCAAACTTTTATCCGCCGCACGTTCACGACACCACCACTCCAACATTGCTCGAGCCCACGGCTGGGCTGCAGAGGCACGAATGCGCCTGTCTGCTATCGCGCACAATGCTTGTCAGTGATGCTCACTCGTTCTAGCAACCGCTATTGCTTGCATCGCGAATAGGTACGTTCGGCGAAATCTCTTTTCTCGTCCCCCACTGCTACAAGATGAACTACATCGACCATATTATCTTTAGGAAGAGCCGGAAAAGGTATGGCGAGCATTTGTGCTTCGCCGTCGCTGCTTATAACCAGGTCACTGAAAGCCTCAAATACATACGACTGTTTGCGAGACTCTGCCTTGCCCTCGCTGACGTTGTCACACAGTCTCGACCATGTGGGAATCCGATCGCGAAGGCGCCTAGCTGTACGGTCTTCCGCCCGTTCTGTCGAAGACGTTTCCAAAGCGCACGATGGCTCCCCGTGGGGACTGGACAACGCTTATAGACGCGCACATCGCGGGCCGGAATCACGCTGGGCTAGCATCCACAGAGTGGCAGATTTACACGCCGGCACTCCATTCAACCAAATTGGAGTCTGGTGGAAGGATCACTTCCAGCGTTCTGCTTCAAGCTGGGCTGAGACGACGTCGCTGTGCCCATAGGTAGGACTATCCGAATTTTCTCCTACCACTTCTTGCGTAGCAGCAAGACGCTATTCTACACTGGGAAATCGCCCTCCATTACTGCGACTCTCCATCGCCATACATGTACTATTTCGAATTGCAAACTTGTTGTCACAACATCCTGATTATTAAAATCCCATCTCAGCGTCTTCGTCCATGCCAATCCGGAACAATCAACTGCCACCAATTTTTTTCATTCTCTCGCATATTCCATTACCGTTCTTCGCGTCCAGTGATAACATTCAACAATCGCGATCCCCGAGCACCTGGGTTCCAAGACATGGTATTGAACTGTCATCGGCAGTCGACCGACTCACGGGTACCTGTCTCGCAGGTCGGGTGGCGACGGTAGCACCCAACATCGTGTCTTTGGTTGCAGTCCGCGTGCGAAGCTGACGCAAGACATCACTATCAGATTCACATCTCAAAGCAAGGGAAAAGGTGCTCGGCTTTTATACGACCCTCACATAGCACATCTTTGTTGCATTCGTCCGGCGTCCGACTCTTTGACTGCACCTATATTGCTAACACCGAGGAGATACAGCAACACTATCAAGAGGTAGCTTTGCTGTTCGTTCACGCCGGAACCTTACATTCGCTTATCACGCACTGCGATGTTCCCAATCAGGCAGGTCGAGTCATTTGTTTTGAAGACGCGCTCTATATCCAGCCAATAGCGTTCAGCATCCCCAACTTCTTACTGGCATCGAGTCGGGCGTATCCGCACTGCTGTAGATCACAGATATAGACACCGCTCGACTGATAACGGTCGTCGCCGAAGAAACACCAAACACTGCGGTCATGTGGTTCATGTTTCAAACTACCTCGCCGGTAATTGAATCCTCCGCGGCGGCTGTGGGGTCTTCATGCGCCACCCCGGATCTCCATCTACCCTGATGTGTGCTAATCGCCGGGAGCCTTCCTAAACTGCCATAGCGTGAAGCATAACACAACAGCACATGAACCTATTGATTGCGAAGGGAGGCCAACTGGTAGTGCCGAATTGATTCCATTCGCCAGTCTACTCACACCTAGTCCGGCCAAGACGCGCTGGCGTGGCATGCATACCACCCATCGTCGACAGCACCTACTCAAGACAGCTTGGCGAGCCGAAGCATTCGCCCAAGGTCACCAAGCTTCGACAAGACGCCTTGGAGTAGCTTGAACACCTCCTTATCGCAGTATGTCCTCCGTGATGGCATACAGTAAAGCTTACGACGATCACCGTGGTCGCCGAGTCGAGCATCGAGAAGATTAAGCAACGACAGAAGTACTTAAGAGAGGAGGTTGATCTCCCGTTGTTGATCACACTGATCACTGCCAACTCGAAATCTGAAGCGAGAATACTCGGCAAAGCTTGTCACGATGCTCACCAAGGCTCTCCCCGTTGCTCTCCTTGCTGGCGCTGCCTCGGCAGCTTGCCCTCTCGCTGTGTCAATTGCCAACGCTGACAACCACATTGTCAACGTTCAGGTTACCAACACTGGAAGCGAGACGCTTCAGGTTTTCAAGGGAAACACGGTTTTCAGTGATCATGCTACCAAGGACCTCTTGGTAGCCGATGCAGGTGCGTAAATCTTCAGCCTCGCGGCCGATTCGAGACACGGACTAACAGATGAGACAGCTGGCAAAGCTCTCCCGTTCAACGGAGTCTATGTCAACTACAAGAAGACCGGCCTCTCATCCGACAGCTTCCAGAAGATCGCCGCTGGCGAGACCGTCACCGTCTCGGTCAACGCCGCTAAGAGCTACAAGCTCGAGGGCGTCCAGCAAGCCAAGGTCTCCGCCATCCAGGGCTTCCGCTATGCGACCGGCGAGGCAGCCCCCTCTGCCCTCAGGGACCTCTCAGTCTGCGCTGATCAGACGACCAGCTCCGTCGATGTGACACCCGACCAGAGCACCGTCGCAGCAGAGCACATCTCCAAGCGCTCGGAGCCATTCTCTTCGCGCATCCAGAAGCGTTCCATCACCTACTCCTCGTGCTCGACCTCCCAGACCTCGACTCTGAAGACCAGCGTCGCCGATGCCATCTCCATGGCCGGCAAGGCCGCGACCGCCGCCGCCTCCTCTGCGGACTACTACACCACCTGGTTCAAGTCGACCTCCGTTGCCTCAAAGGTCCAGACCATCTACAACGATGTAAAGAACGTACAGACCACGTCCCCCGAGATCTCTTGCACCGACACCTACGGCGACTGCTCCGACGGCTCAGCCCTGCTCTACACGGTACCCTCCGACAACGTCATCGTGCCCTGCCCCAACAACGGTTTCTGGGACTTCCCCGAGTATGCGAGCCAGTGCAGCGGCGATGACTACGACAAGGCAGGCAGCATTCTGCATGAGATGACGCATCTTTATGGAACGACGGATTACGCATACGGCTATACGGCGGCACAGAAACTGAGTGCGAGTCAGGCGGCCGCAAACGCTGATACGTACGAGATGTATGCGGAGAGTGTGAGGCTGGGAGGTTGCACTGTGGGTAAATAGACGACGGAACGAATTATCCCAGATAGAAGATGGATAATGCAATGATGTTTGATCATGACGAATAGTGAGCTCTGCATGTGTTTTGCGTGTGTGCCTATGTAAAGTTTGTTGGCTTGTGACGACGGTGGGGCCTTGGGCTTGCGCGGTCGCAAAATCATTGCGATGCGTGCTCATGTGCCGACGAGGCGAAGGGAACAACAAGTCGGAGTGTGGGGTGGAGATGTGCGTTCTTGTCGGTAGCACGCGCAGCCTGCTCACTTGTCGGTGATTGGACGTGTTTGTGATACCTACATGCGTTCGCCCGCACCGACCCTCCAAGCCGTCGATTCCTTCTCATCAAGATCCTGCCCAAGGCCTGTCAGATAACCGATTTGATGATTTTCGGACAAGGGAACTGGGCCCAGACGTACCCGGCGCTGGGCTGGTAGCGCATGGTCACGGGCATGTTTGCGATGTCGCCACTTACGCCAGACTTTCGGGTCGCTGCATGTGGATTGGGCTCCAGCGCAGGCGAGGGACAAATGGTGTATGGCCATGTCTCTGAATGATCGGGTGTCTTCTGCGGAACCGTACGCAGCGGGTGGGCGCCTTGCTTGTTTCGGGAAGTTGCCGTGAGCGGGCATGCGCTTGTGCAGGGGTGAGTTGGAGAGGATGTGTCTTCCCGTGCCAGGACTAAGGGTCCATGCTTTTGAACGCAGTGAGTGTCTGCTCAGATAGGGACTCCAAAGTTGGGAGGTATGAACGTGGCCCCGCCCCCTTTGAACCGGCGTGTGTAAGCGAACATCGCTGGCACATATTCAATCACAGTAATACTTGCACAGAGCCAACCCGGAATTGGTATAAGATGTTCCGCCTGTATGGTTTTGGGCATTTTGTTCTTTTTGATTGGTCTCGAAGAGGTCCTAGTTTATTCTCTGCAGATTATGGAAAGGCTTCCTAGGAAAGAGTGATGCTGGTGCGACGGGGCACATTGTAAAGCTGCTCTGTGCCACAGTGAATTCACTCATAGGGAGGGATGTATCAACAATCTACGAGTCGTGAACCGATAGATAAGTGCCTTTGCTCCATGGAAAGGTGGCACAAGAACGTATGGAGAGCACTGATAACGCATACGACTAGTCAAGAGAACAGATCCAGGATCCAAGTCACGACATCGCTGATCTTGACCTACAGACCCACAATCGTGATACTCGTGAACTCAATCTGGACGATCAAGCATCGAATCACAGTGCAGGACGGACGCGCCAGCTCGAGCGAGGCTTGGAAGGACGCCACGAGCCTGCCGAGTTTGCGACTAAGACAAACTCTATCAATGATGATCACAGCACGGAAAGGGCCACCCCAAAAAGCCCATTGCAACTGCTGCACCACCGGTGCAGATGCCCCGTGGACGTGGAGGTCGAGGTCTTTCTAAAAGGGTCTGTGAATTTCTCGTTCTTCAGGCGTTGGGAGATACCCACAGCACACCTGAACAAGCCTTGCAGTTCCTTGCAAAAACTTGAGTCTACTTGTATGGCTGATGCGCCGAGTCTGGAGTGCATATACTGAGCTGAATGGGAGACTATCTCACCGACGTACCGGGCTTGGTTCGATTGAGTGACAGCCTGCATAGAATTCCAAGGAGAGATAGGGTACACGGTCACATACAGAAATCTCAGTGACTATTTGGCTTCTACATCAGAGTCTAATGTCGACCAGACGCTGAAATGTCGACGGCGGGCCATGAAGCTTGCAGACAGGCTGAACAAGATGATCGGACGTCAGATTTACGCACAGTGGCATGGAGATGTAGCTGACGTGTTCATACAACTGGTAGACACGAGACATGGAAACAAAGTGATACTGCACGCAGTAGAACAGCTCTGTGAAGAGTTATTCAAGTAGATAGGTGCAAATGAGAATTAAGCACAGTATCTGAAGCACAGCAGAGCAAGACATTCTGGGAGTGAGAGTGGACGAAATAGACTTCTAGATGCAAGCGAATGACCTGGATCAACGTCAAATCATTTTCATCATCTTATGGTCAGGGAGAGGTTAGAGGTTTGTGGCTGATCGTTGGCTGAAGGCGCAGCGTCAGCTTTTCCAGATGTGGCTAGCAAATTGGCTTCCAATGCAGCCTCTCACCGCTGACCCCACCCCACCCTCTTTACATCACAGCCCCCAAGCCCTGGCGCCAGCCTAGCTCACCGCCCCATCCAGTGAACTTGCGCAGAAAGCGACGTAAATCATAACGTAATCCGTTGACACCGCAGCAGATCTTCGCATCGAGGGAACCACTCGCTTGGCAGCTCTCTCAGCCGTCGCAGCTCGGGCCTCAAGCCTCAGCTGGATTGGTGGGCGTGGGCTTGCGTTACCCTCTTGGGCGACCGTAAGATGTGATCACAGCTGCGGCTAGGCAATGGTTGAGATACGCTCTCCGCCTTTTTGCCTACCAGGGAGCCGACGCCTCCCAATTGAGCGTCTTATATGAGCCATGTGCTCACTCGCGTACCATTGTGCGCCCTTGTTCATTTTCTCTAGGTTTCTGGCGTTTGGCTTCAGTTGCACAGTTTTCTTGTCTTATATACCTATACCATTTCACTCGTATTTCCTCGGGTGCTATTCAACATTCTCCTACTCTAATATTGTGTCGACAGCGGAAGGACGCCATGGCTGACAATACTCCTTGGGGCCGGCGGCTCATCATCTGCTGCGATGGAACTTGGCAGTCCAGCGTGAGCTCCAAAGACAACGTGCCCTCCAACGTGACGAAGCTCTGCCGCGTCATCGCTCGCATCGGCACCGATCAGCACGACCCGAACAAGAGATGGCATCAGATTGTGTACTACGATAGCGGTGTCGGCACCGGCAACCTCAGCGGATCGGAGGCTAGACGTCAAGGCGGGACTGGAGCCGGTCTCGCCGAAAACGTCATCGAGGCATACAACTTCATCGTTCTGAACTACGAACCAGGGGACGAAATCTTCTGCTTTGGTTTCTCGCGTGGGGCATATACCGCGCGAGCAGTCGCAGGACTTGTCACTGATATCGGCGTTATCAGGCCCACAGACATGCAACTTTTCCCGGCCATTTATCGCGCATACATGTCAAACGATGAGATGCTACCCTTCCGCGAGACGAAAGCGTGGAAGGAATTCGTCGACGGCAAGCTCACCAGCAAAGGTCAAGATCTGAGTAGAGCTGGTGAGATTAAGGGGTTGAAAGACCGAGTGCAGAGCTTCGAGATCAACCCTCATCACAGCTTGCTTGCTGCAGAAGGTAGTCGCAAGGTCAAGGTAGTCGGTGTGTGGGACACAGTGGGAAGTTTGGGCGTTCCAGACGTCGCATGGTTCGACAATGAGAGATTCCGGACCAAGTACGGATTTCACAACGTCAAACTGAACGAGAGTGAGTTCTCCTATCACAGTCCACAGAATCTTTACATGTTGGCTAAATGATCAAGATATCGAGCATGCATACCATGCGCTAGCATTAGATGAGCACCGCAAAGCTTTTCGGCCAACCCTATGGTACATAGACAACGAGATGCGGGCACGCCTGACTCGGGAAGGCAAACCTCTCCCCGAACTAAAACAAGTATGGTTTCCCGGGGTCCACATCAACGCCGGCGGCGGCGCAGACGACTGCATCACAGACATGAAGGGCGATCTAGAGAGTAAGTCTCTTCGCAATTTCTCGCTGCCGTACTAATCACACCTCAGACTTGTCGACCGCAACCTGGACCTGGATGCTGCACTGCATATCGCCGCACCTCACCATCGACCAAGACGCCTTCAAGTCCTCCCTCGGCCAATACCAGCGCTGGCTTGCCCGCATCCGCTACGCGTGCACCTACCACCACACCACATGGCTCGATACAATCAAGTCCACCATCCCCAACATCCCTATCCTGAATCCAGCTACGGACCCACTACTCCCACCGCGACGCGATCCCGTTCACACGCACCCCGAATTTGACTATGGCTGGGGCACCGGGCCCATCGTGGACTCGTACACGGGCATGTACATCCTCAACGGCAGTCTGCCACGTGTACCCGGCAAGCTGCAAACCGAGGTGTACGACCAGAAAGAGGAGGTAGCGACGCTCGACGACATCTCGAAATTTGGTGAGACAAACGAGTACATCCACCCCATTTGCGAGTACCGCAAGATTGTGCGCGGGAAAGAGGACGACTCGGCACTGAAAGCGTACACGCGAAAGTACGAGGCCGCACCTGGTGGCAAGGAGGGCAGGTTCTGGTGGTATCGGGATGGGAAGCGGTTGCCTGAGTGGGTTATCATGGAGCATGGGGACGAGGGCGTGGTGAACTTCGAGAGGACGTGGTATGAGATGTGTGAGACGAATGAAAAGGCAAAAAGTCGGTTAAGGGAGGCGGGGTATGAGAAGGACTTTTTGGTTGCGCTGGATGAGAAGGTGGATTTCGGGGTGGGTGAAAAGCCTGGGTATATGTATCCATAACGGACATATCTTTTTTTGTCTTGGCTGCTATCTTATCAGTGTCTAAAACTCGGTCATTCATCGATATTTGATCTTAATAATGCATCTATGTTGATGGGACATGAGGTTCGAAGCGAAGGTGAAAAGCAACCGCAGAAGAAGCACACGTTGCGGCGAGACCGGGTTTGCCAGGGAATATAGGGAATGGTCTCAGTCTGTTCGCTGTGAAGTTTCATCGACCCCGTATCCTCTTGCTGATTGAAACTTCGCACACTCAACGGACAGCATGCACAAAGACTGCTGGAATTATTCATGTATCACCGAAACCTACTACCCCTGTATGAGGTCAAATCAGAAACTATTATAACAGGCTAATGTGAATAGAATCTGACTCTAGTCCGCTCGTTATGACCATTGCATAGCAGTGCCTAGTTACTGTGCTCCAAAGTTCGTCAAAGCAGTTGTCAGTATATCGTGAATTACCATCAGTGCAGAGGCAGTCTATAGTCTAGCTCTACAGTTCCATACTTCGATTATACTTAAAGCGCATCTCAACCCACCGCAAACCGACTCCTCTCCCTCATGGCCTTCCCAAAGCGGAACAATACCCACATGCCAACTGTACACAGAACCATGAAACCTGCAAGCAAACTCACACCTCCGTCAATGCCTATGCTCTTGAACATGGGCGTAGAGAATAGTACTGCCGCAAACGCAAATAGACTTCGTGACAAGCTGTTTGCCGAGAATATGCTGGCAGCGTACCGGGGGTAGATGTTAGGTATGTAGAGCAGGACTGATTGCGCGATGAAATAAGTGCCGAAGATAGTGAGGCCCAGACCGACTGCTTGGTGTTAGGGTTTAGTCAGATCAGACGAGCAGCTGGGAGCTTACTAGTTGGCACTATCCAATGCACCGACGAACGCGCTGTCCAAGCTGATCAACTTGTCAGTGGAGGCCACTCATTGCGATGAGAGGTTTTTACTCACCAAACATGAATAGACCGATGCAGATGATGGGAGATGCGAACAATCCAGGCAGCAGATGGTTTTCGAGCTCGCCAAAGGTACCGTTCATCATATGAGGGAAACAACGGTACTTTAGATAGATGCAGTGCGCAGTGAACGCGAGTAGGCCAGCCGGCGCAACAACGAGGAACACCAGCCCAGTACTTTCGGCAGAGAAGCCGTACATGACTGGATATACAAGTGGAAGCGATTCGAAGAACGAGTAGTATGTGCCGTAGCATAGACCCATGCTGCAAATTCATTAGTTGATTTTAGGAAACTTCGGAAGGGATCCATCTTACTAGACGGTTGTGAACAAGATGGCGGGGTCGAGCGCATTGATTTCCCAGGGTTTGATAAGAGCATCGAACAGCAGGCTCGAGGCCTTCAGGTTCTTCTGTTTCTTCTCAGCCTCGGACATGAGGTGTTGGTTGCCGGTTTCTTCACGGAGGCGCTTGGCCTTGTAATACAGGATCGTAGCAGCTGAGGACTCGGGCAGCATGCACAGCATTAGGATGTAGATGGGTCCCGCGATAAACATGAGCTCCCAGGCCGAAAACCTCCAGCCGAGATCGCGCACGGCGTAAGCCGAAAGGGTTGGGCCAAGTGCAGGCCTATCTTTTGTTAGTAGCGTCATCATGTTCGTTCACGGGAGTGACTTACCCCATTGTCGCTGTGGCAGCCCACAAAGCTACCGCAAACGGGAACTGTGCCATGGTCCAGATATCGGCAAGCGATGCTCCGGCTGTCGCGAGACAAGGCGATGCCATGAAGCCAAGCAGAAAACGCAAGACCATCAGCCCAGGATAGTTGTTAACCAGTGCTGTAGGTATGCACAAAATAACGAAGAGAAAACCAGATATCGCGTACGGAGGGTTTCTCCCGATGGCCGGGATCTCTGAAATGGGCGAGAATAGCAAGCAGCCTATACCATATCCGAGCACATACAGAGAAAGTCCCAGCGAGCCTTCGATGTGTGACTTGTGGAACGTCTCTTGGACACCCTCCTGCGACGGTGTGTATATGGATGATCCGACATACACAGCGAACGTATACAGCCCAATGAGGGAGGTCATGAGAACCTTGTCCTTCATCGGCCAATTCTGAGGGTTGCTCGGGTCGTTGGGTCCATCCCAGCCGACAAGAGTTGCACTTTGCTCAGGTTTGAGTTCGGCACCGAAGGCGACCTTGGGGGCAATGGCTGCGGGCACATCGTCGGTCGAGGAAGAGGATGATAATTGCTTGGCCTTGAAACGGGAGAAGTCGAATCTGCGATGGCGGCCATAGTGCAGGGCAGTCCCTACAGATGAATGTCGAAACAAGTAGGACATTATGGCTGTTGGCGTGGTGCAGGAACTGAGAAGCTTGAGACCGGAGCGTTGCGGTGCACTGTCGTTAGGTGCTTTAGATCTTATGGAAGCAAGCAATCACACAGGAGTGAGTGGATGGTAGTTGCCGTTCTGGTGCCACTGAGCACATGGCGGGTGTCGCTCTTTCTTAAGTCCATCTCAACGCCGCGCAACATCTCGGAATTAGTCAAGGTCTCCTAGACCATCTGGACGGCTATCCCCGCTACCCAATCACAAGTGAAAACATTTTCGATAGATCGACACAGTGGATGATGCCAGATTCATAGGGCAGAATGCGACATACATGCGCTAGAGGTCGTGCCTTAACGTTATGCGTCAGCGGAACATAATGCCTTCTCTAGGGGGCGAGACTTGGGCATTAGGCGACTATTCTAGTCCTTATGTCTCATGAATGCGATTGGCTGATGATGATGGTGAGTCGAAGTGATTCTGTAAGCGCGGCTGCATCAGTGCCAGCGGAGTGTAGCTTCATCATCCAGGGACCGTAAGCTGAGAAGATAGCGCCCACAACGGACGAAGACGTTCGGTCATCACGTGTCTTATCAGTAAAGTTCTCCTACCAGGCGGTTTTATTAGAAGTCTCCGGGGATGCACCTACACATGTAATTTCTACGCGACTCAGCATCCTTCCAGATTCTGGGGACTTTACGGGCGGACTGTCCTGCACGTGCAGCTCCAAAGGGTTTTTGCACACAGAATCTTTTCCCTTTGTAATTTGTAAGACCCATTAGTCGAAAACAAGCTTTTGATTCCGTTTTCATGAGGTTTTTGTAAGATGAGCTCCAATTCAGATTCTAGATCCTCTCCAGCTCTGCATCCTCACCAATAATTTGCCAGCAACCAGGGGTTGCATCTGTAGCTCGCCAGTATATAGCACTTAATCTAGTTCCGCTAGCGCAGCAGTCGCATGTACCTATGGAGGCCTCTGGGCTCCACACTCTCCACGGAACCCGCAACTCCGAGCGCAGGCATCAACCGCGTGGAATATCTTCCTGCCCATCGCCCACTATCCCATGAAGAGATAGCGCCCAGGACGGACGAAGATGTTCGGACACTATTCATCTTGCTTAGCAAATTCTTTCCTCTCGTGATCTTAAAAGTCTCCGGCGACGCATCTCGAGTTGCGGCGATTTACTTGGCTCACCACGTGCAGCCTCACCGCGTCTGCCTTGAAACATATCCCCATGTGCCAAGAAAACCTGAATGGCTACTACCTCACCGACACCCCACCAGCAATTACATCCACAAGTGTGCAAATGTGTGCTCTAGTTGAAGAGAACTTCATTTCGTCGTCCACGGCAGCCCCAGCTTCTTCATCTCCACCGCAAGCTGCAATATGTAATCAATACTCTCACACTGCGTCTTCGCCTTATGCACATTGTCTCCCCACACATAGATCCCATGCCTCCTCACAAGCACCGCATACGCATCCGGGTACTCCTCCATCGCCTTCTCCAGACTGTCCGTCAGGTCCTCCTCATGCGCCGTATTCTCGATAATCGGGATGCGCAGCCGGTCAAAATAGCCTAGGTTCCCGACCTTGTCGCGGCCCTTGGGAATCCCCTTGATCTGCTCAATCTGCTCGATTTCGAAGGGCGCAGAGCTGCCGAAGTCGCGCTCGACGAGAAGGGTGACTAGGACGGCCCATTGCGAGTGCGTGTGGATGCAGCAGCCGGCGCCGCGCTTGAAGGCGGCGTAGAAGAGGGGCGTGCATGCAGAGGGTTTGTGTGCCTGGCATTCATCCCATTAGCATCGGTGACTACGTCCCGTCTTCCAGGCCAGAGGGGCATTCGTGTGCTTACAGCGGGTCGCCGCAGATACTCCCGGCTCTCAAAGTCCATGACAAACATGTCCGTCGGCCGCATCAGCTCCTTCTGCACGCCGCTCGGCGCGATGTAGATCTTGTCGCCATGCCGGATGCTCGTGCCTCCGCCCGTACCTGTCACCCAGCCCAGGCTGTAGAACTTTGCGCACAGCGTGCAGATGTGGTTGGCGGGGTGCTCTGGGTCCGACGAGCGGATAAGGGCATCGGGGTCGGACATTGTGTGAATCGAGGTCCAGATGGAGTGTTTGGGGATGTGGAGATGCAGTGGATGTTTGGGCGTATGTTGTGGTGGGAACTTTTTCCGCTGGGAGATGACGCGATGGCGGGGCAGGCGCGACCCACGTGGCGCGGGGCAGGCGCGTTGGACGGCGGAGCTGCTGTAGGGCAGGCGCGATGCGTAGAGATGTGGCGACGCCGGGGGAATTACATTGAATTCAAAACTACATAATGAAACGCACGTATCTTCATTAGGGCGATGTCGAGGCTGCTGCATCGCATCGCCAGGCTGTCACGCCATCCAATCCACCGGGGTATCTCAGCAGCTCACAGCGCACCACGCGCCTAACCGGTCTCCGTCTTCGTCTCGTTCGCCAGTGGACTCCCCTCGCGCTTGTCCTTGCCATCGAGATGCAGCACATGCTTGATCTTATCGATGGCGCCCTTGCGGTCCGGTGAGCGGCTGTGCCCGCCGTATTTCTCCCTGTGCACGTTGCCCTCGCCGCCGCGGCCCGTGTGGAAGTTTTCCTGCGGCTGACGCAGCGCGTCTTCAGGGATGATGTCGGACGACGTGCGCGGGCTGCTGTCGGCAGGGCGGATCAAAGGCGACTTGGTGATGTTGCCAGCGCCGCCGCGGCCTGTCGAGAAGTCGCCGTTGCCCTGGCCTTGGACGCCTTCGCGGATGATGGAGCCGTCGGTGTATACGGTCGGGTCGTGGCCGATGTTGCCGGCGCCTGTGACGGTGATCAGTCCCGCGTCCCTGTGGTGTGTAGGGCTAGTTGTTGCGACTCACCACCGCGACCGGTAGAAACAATGGGTGCGTCAGACATGTTGATGTGAGGTTTGCGCAAAAAAAGCAAGTGTTGTATAAGATTCACGTATCAGTCAGTTCGCAGGGCAGTGGCGAGAAAGAGCTCCAGGAGACATGCAGGGCGCGAGTCTTATATTTGCTCTTTCAGCGGACACGGCGGCAGCGGCCACATGCGTCGGAACCACAATCTATACACGCATGACGCAATGCTCCACGAGCCATTGGAATAATTGGCGCGGGATGCTCTAGGCCTCCGGTACGGGCAGATCCATTGCAATCAGGGAATGCGCCGGCGCCGTATTTTGGGCGGGAGAGATAGGTTCATCCGCGAGGCAGGCTGACTGCCAAGGCGCTCCGCTCATACGTTATGGCGAAGAACCGGGAACTACGCGTGGGGATCAGTGGTGGTGTTACCTGTAGGCGTGAGGTGATGAGTTGATGAGGTCGGCGGCTCTGATAACGCAGACGCCCTTGATTCGCCCCGGCTAGTGACTAAGCGCGTGATAGGCGTGCTCTCCCTGGTGAGGCTTTTATCGTCTCTTCCACGGGGACATGGCACGAGCAATACAGCGTGGATTTGGTGCTTGCAATAAACGCTTGACCTCTTGAAAGGCGATGTGGGTGAGGAAGTTCCAGGTCTGCTTTCTGCTGACCCGCAGACTGATGTGGGTCATGTGATTGAACTCCCTCCATGGCTCCAGGGCTGGGGACGGAAGGGAAGAATATGGACAGCGGAAGCCTAAAATCGGACCGTATTTCTACTCGAGGAGGAATCAACTACTAATAAACTACAAGTAGGTAAGGCTACGATGCACTCTTGATCATAGTACAATTGGACAGGGATAACCCGCCACCGCATAATCACGCATTCTTCTTTTCCTCAGGTGGCGCGCCTCCAGTCGTCGGCAATCCCATGAAGATCTTGAAGTAATCATAAATCATCCACTGCAGACCTGTGAGCGTGCCAATCATGACAATCCTCACTGGCAAACCATTCCAGAGACCGCCAAACCCAATGTCCTTGTAAATGCGGCCCGTCGCCGCGCCGAAGCTCTCTCCCGCCTGGCGCGTCGCATTGAGCTTCGACACCATGACGTCCGCGGGATGGCTGACAATCGCGCACAGAATGCCGGCAATGTAGCCTCCCGTGAAGGACACCGCCGTCTGTGCGCCCTTGCCGTAGTCACTCTTTTGGCCCGGGAGGCGGTGGTAGATCATCTCGACGACGGTTTCAAACGAGGCGAACTGCGAAACGTGAGTTTTGCACTTGCGAAACCGGCAGGGCTAGCTACCTTCATCATAGTGTACGGGATCTGTCTGCCCCAGAGCGGGTACAGGCCTTTGTACAGTCTGTAATTAGTGAGTCGAGACATACTGGATAAGCTTCACCAAGCCTCGCCGACTCACCCTGCGACGCCTTCCTTCCCCACAATGGTGTTGATGCCGTTCAACGTCCCCGTTGCGAACGGTGGGATGGTCGTCTGCATGCGCACCTTGACAGCTTCAAACGGACAAAGGCCAATGTCGGCAATAAACTCCGCAGACGCACTGCCCGCCAGGTAGATGAGGGTCTTGTACTTGTGGAAGTTTTCTTCACCAGCGAGGTCCGCGTAGTACTTTTTGAAGAATTCATACCCGCCGTATTTCAGACCACCTTGGACCGAATAACCCCAGAACGTTGGGCTCCAGCCAGTGAAGACACCGCGAAGACCTTCAGCGCGGCCAATCTTGCTCCACGCTTCGAAATTGCCCTTGTACATCTTCGAGTCGACCTGGCGCCTACACTTCACGAGATCGAGCGGCGTGACAGCGGTATGCGTCAGGCCGCAGGCCATGATACCACCCACGGTGCATGCTGCATAGAACTTGGCCGAATACAGCTCTATACCGCCTACCTTCGCCTGAGCCTTGCTGCTTGCTTTTTCGAACTCCGCGACGGCAGCATCGCTCAGTTTCGCAGCCTTATTTCTAGCATCGTCCGCGGCGCTCCACGCGGTGTAGAGCTCGTGTCGGGCGTTCCACTTTGCAGCGCGTTTCGAGGGGCTTTCAGGAACGGAGTGCGCGATAACCGAGCAGCCTGAAAATACCTGACTTAGGGTAGACGGAGCAGGAAACAGAGTCGGCATTGTGAAGGACTGTGCCACTGCTATCAGTCAGACGGGCGTTTCGTCTTGGCGCGGCCTGTGTTTTGAGCTTACAATCACACTCAAGCTCGCGACGGGGAAACTGAAAAAAAGCGATTCCTTTGTGAGGCTCAGCTCACGAGCGAGCCAGCGCCGTTATAAGGAGATCGGGGGCAGCGATCAAGATGAAGCTCACCTTCGAGGTGGGTCCGGGTATAGAAGGTGGAGCTGTCAGCGTGGTGGGCCGACGTCACACCCGCATCTGGCCAATCCCATGCGCAGAAATCCGAAGCAGCCACTTGCGTCTAGTCACACTAAACCTATAGAGAAGGCTTGGAAGGCACCCGGCGTTCATTTCATCACACTGGACGACACAGGGTTCTACACAGAAAATAAATCGGCACAAGAGCGGACTATCGGTGGCGGAACAGCCGACCGTACTTCTTGCTTTTATGCGCCTACCGTTGAACTGCTTCTGCGCGTCTTAGGATGAACAGCGGGCAATGCTTAAACCCGAAACACCTGCCATGCCGAGTACCAAGGAACTGCCGCTACAGATTCCAAAGACGCGAGCTACTTGGCGCGTGGAAGTCGCCTCTGACTTATCTGGGATAATGACTTACATAGCCAAACTAACACTTTCTCTGTCCAACCCCAGGACGTCCCTTACGAGCAGTGCGTGTTAAGTAAGTATGCTCATCATGTGTGAACGGTGTATAGCACTGGCAACGCCAGCCGCTCCAACCTAATCGTTCCGTCTTGTAGCCTCGATATCCTGTCTATCTCGAGTACAACTGTGCAAAGATGCCTTCCATCTGTTTGAATGTTCGCCACAGAACGACCCCCAAACGTCCACTTTGGCCGGTCGTGCCGGCAATGGTGTCTTTGCCTACGACATGTACGCGGCTGATAAACAGGCCTACTTGATCGGCGTGAAGGAGCCCAGCAAGAGAAGAAATCGCGAGCACAGGCGAGACTGGATGTGTGGTAGTAGTTGGCGCGGCAAAAGGGGGGACTGTCCCGAATTGAACTTGCCGGACGTCTTTTCGGGTCCCTGACCTGATAAAAGACTTGAAACTATAAACACTGGTAGATCCCTCTACGGGATCGAGGCCCTTCGCATTGGAAACGATCCACAGGTTTGGTCGGGTCGACAGTAGACTTGCGATGAATTCCTGCCAGCATCTTGGATTGAAGGAGGCACTGGGTACGGTGGTCAGTGAAGACTAATAACTATCGATACTAAGAGGGGCTTTACTGACAGTGTTTAGAAGCTGCCAAAGAAGGTACCACCTTTTGCGCCCCTTTCGGAGCGTGCAAAGCAGGTGGCAAAAAGTCGAGCGAGCAAGACTGGTGCGTGATGCTTTGCAAGCCGTTGTCGTTGGCACGGGCAACATTAATCCCGTCTTAGGCAAGGAAGTGCACATGCGTCTCTTAGCAACAGGTTGATGGAAGTGATGAATGCCAGATGGTTCCAGGAAGGAACAGGCACTACTTGGTCCAGAGGCGCTACTGTCCATTTTCGCTTACATATGGTCAACATTGCTGGCGGACATGCGGCCTACATCAGGTATCAGGACAACGGTCTTGCCACAATTGCATCATTAGGCTGGATACGTATCGACAGGGACTTTCTAGTCAATATGACATTCTACGAGCGGGCCGTCCTGGGATCCAGCATGACAGACCGTGATCTGAGCGATTTCGAGTACACGACAGACACGCTGATCTTTCCCGAAGATGGTACGGAGCCTTTCATGTGTCTTGGAGGAGGAACCGACATGCCCGTGTCTCAAATTGAGATTGAAGAGGACCTCATGGTAGTCAACGAGTCGTCGATCGATACAGGCCGTACCAATGTCACCAGCGATGGACTGCTCGAGGAGGACGGGGGAACCTCTTTTCCCAATTCGACTGGCGCAGCTTGGAACATAAGTGCAACGGACGTTCGGCGGCACTCAGCAATGTGGGGTAAGGCTTCTGCCAATCGAGCTGCCTTTATTCACTCCCTGATTAAGTTCATAAACACTAACGGGTTCCAGGGCGCTGACATTGATTGGGAGGTAAGACTACATTTGCGTTCTCACACAACACTGCCTGACTACTCCAGTATTCAAGCGAGCTCAAACGAGGCGGCCGCATTGAGGACGCTGAAAACGTCGTTCGAGGAGCTGGATGGTTGTGAGTGGGGATTTCGACGAGGCGTGGTGCAATTTCGAGCTGCGGAAGCCGCTGGATAAGTGCAATACGAGGGGGGAGAATGGAAAGCAGGGTGAAACGCTGGATGGGAATTGGCTGAAGTGGAAGTTGTATGCAGAGGTCAAAAATGCATAGACCCGCCGCGCTGGCCAGATTTCGTAATACACTCGTTCTTATCATGTCTTGGATTCTTTAGCGGGGTGTGGAACCGCTCTTCGCATGTTAGGTAGTGCGAACGTGAGCCGTCTTTTGACAAACTTGGCATATGCAGTGTTCATACCATCACGCCATAGCGCAATACCTTTCTAACCGAGACCAAAGCGGCTGCATGCAGTAAAAAAATTCTTCTATTGCGCTCGCGGAGATATATACAGTTGCTCCCATCACGAACGCAGCCCTTCCTCATCGCTAGGCCTCGCCCTCCCTTCCTCGGCGTTATTCGGCTGCACTTTACTCTGATCTGCGTGCTTCGCCGGGTCAAAGACATATATGGGAAATTCCAGAAATACTGTCCGTTTCAGGATCACTGGCATCTTCTCGTACAGTTGTGGCGGAAATGGAATGAGAATGCTGGTCCTGCGCAAGTATCGCTCGTACTCGGGCCACTTGATGCCCTTCTCGTAGCGCTTTTTCGCTCCAGGTCGCTCCTGTAGTGGTAGGCCAGAGAGGAACATCAGCAGACTCGTCAGGAAGATGGGCCCGAGAATAGATGCGTAGAGAGCCGCATAGGGTCCACCGCGCACGTACTTATTCGCTGCTGGTGCTACCGCGATCGTGAAGATTGCTGAAACATGTTAGATCCGTGCCAGAACGATAAGAATTCTGCAGACCGCTTACCGAATTGGATCATGATCTCGCCGAAATAATTGGGATGTCTGGTCCACGCGAAGAAACCCACGTCGCACACCTCGCCATCGCTGCCGTGCGCACTGCGAAAGCGGTACTTTTGCACGTCGGAAACGCTTTCCATGATAAATCCAATAGCAAAAAGCACAATTCCTGCGATGTCGCATCCAGTGCCAAAGCTAGGCTGCGGGAACTGTGTGACTTTGGGCGAGTTCAGAATGGTGACAGGGAGGGAGCATGTCCACACCCAGAACATTTGGAAGACCCAGAATCCGAGAAAAGACCAGAACTTGTCTCGCTTGTCGTCGAAGCGGTCGTCCTTGCCCGTCTTCAGAATCCTGAACAGGAGGAAGCCGGAGAGTCGCGCGGCCCATGCCATCATGAAGACAGACACCACAATGTTGCGCGCATTGCCTCTGTTCTCGCCGAACGACAAGGTGAGGATAGCTAGCAACACGAAGTTCGTTCCGCCTACATAGGTTGTTAGTAGGAGTTCGAAAAGGTCCATCAATGTGTACTTTCCGGCCCAGTCAGTTAATTTGTCAAATTTAAGCGAGAATGCGATGGCGAAATGGAAGAGCTGGTAGGCCACGGTGATGAGGAAGGTGATGGCAAGGTAGTAGTCATCGAGTACGTGGACGGCCGCCATCGCTGCGGGTTGCGTTCTTTTCTTTGGGCGAGGTGCTACGGGACCCAAGATGCTCTATATACTGTGTCGGTTCGCACTCGCTTCCACTGCGCCCCGGTTGTCGACTCGAGTGCTTATGTAGGAATATGAGTTCGTCCGAATCCGCCTGGTGCTAGGACGAACTTGTGCATTTGACAGGTAAAACCATGTATGTTGTCTGCAGAGTTGGGACGATGACGCACTAGATTTGGCCGCGCCAAGCGATCGTTGTCCAGCGACTTTGCGGCTGGATCACCAATCCTCCGGTATGCGCGGCCAAATCTACCCCGTCACGTGCACCCCCATCGCAAAAGTGCAACGGCTACAATTGCCAACACGTCGCCCTCGGATGATCGAAAGATGACAAGTCCCGCGCACCAAGTGCAGCGCGGGCCACATGTTTGGCAGGACGCAGGGTGTGAAACATAACGGGTGTGAGGCTCTCGCTTCGACGCGCACCCCGTCTCATCCCCCTATGAACCAGCGCCTCGCCAGACCGTGCTGATACCGGCCAAACCCAAAAGTGACGCTCGAAAGCGTGCCGGCCATGGATGTCGCGCCCAGCTCGTGCAATCAACGTCCTTGGCCGCGCAAGTCCGGCAATGCCATGAGAAGGCCGCCGCAGCCCTTTCGCAGCCCTGGCCCTGCGACAAGAGTCAGGTACTGTAGCCGCGTGGAAACCATCGGAAACAGATTGAGCGGGGACCATGCCCTGACACGCACATCTGTTAAGTGCCTGAGGAGCCCCATGCCTTTTGGCTGGTTTTGGGTTCTCGTTCGGCTTCTCTCGTTCCCTTTGGCTTCCGGACCTTACGTTTCTTTCCCCCGTCCGGTCTCTTCCTACCCACTCCTCTTCGACGGCCTGCTGTGCAGTTCTTGAATGAGTCTGCATGTCTGCGACATATTCCTCATTTATTAATCACCAGCTGGGCTGTTCCACGTACTAATATCTTTCGCTTCTGTGTGTTCTGTTCTCGGCTTTACGCGTACTCCATTATGAAAAGAATAAAGTCTTGCCTGGGAGTTGCCTTGCTCCTGGCTACAACTGTGCGCCTACTCCATGGCCCATCGCGATAGCTTCTCTAACGTACAGCAGGTCGGTGCCAATCCTGGCTTTAACATCAATACCAACAATATCGGACCTGGCGTGCAAGGAAGGAAGGTCGAGGATCTCCAATATGGCGCAGTGGATGCAGTAGGCCGGGCGCAACAGGAGAAACGAGGAGGAATGATAGTGGAACCTATTCCTGTCGTGGAAAGGGCTGCGCAAAATCAACCCCTCGATGTTAGCTCTTTGCTCAACGGCGCCAGCCAGGAACAGAGTGCAGCAGGATCTTTCGCCGGTGGTCAGCGGGGCGGGGAAGGCATCGATGCGAACGCGATCATCAACGGCTTAGCGGGCGCTCAGCAGGGAGGGAGCACTAACATCAACGCTGGTGCAGCGACGCCAGGTCAAGGGCAAGCTCAGGCGCAGGGTGCGGCCGGATTACTTGCAGGTGGTCAACAAGCTGGCGCCGGCATCGATGCAAATGCCCTCCTCAACGGCTTGACAGGCGAGCAACGAGGCAGGAACATCAGCGCGAACGCTACCACGGCAGCGACCCAGAGTCAAGGTGTAAAACTGGGCGCTGCTGGATCTCTGAGCAGTGGCCAACAAGGAAGAGCCGGGATTGATGCGAACGCGATTCTCAACGGTGTGGCAGAAGCCCAAAAGGGCGGCGTCGGCAGTGCGAACGCTGCAGCAGCTGGTCAAGGTCAAGCCCAAGGGCAGGTCTCCGCAGATCTGGCCAGTCTTCTTGCAGAGCAACAGAAACAGAATGGCATCGTGGGTCTGGACGCAAATGCACTCCTCAATGTTCTCGGACAAGGTCAAGTTCAAGGTGGAAACCGACAGGCTGCGAATGGAGCGAGCGCTGGGGATGCCAATAGCCTCATAAACGACCTTCTGAACGGTGCAAATGGCCAATCGAACGCACCAGGTATTGCTGACATTCTCGAGGGCCTCAATGGACAGAAGCAAGGTCAGGGAAAGGGTCAGGGCAATGGCATCCAGATCATTGAGATCAAGGAGTCGATCGTGCAGCAGATCAACGGAGGCGGAGCAGTCAAAGAGACAATTATTCAGAGCGCTGGGGGCGCAAGAGAATCAGCTGCGGCGGAACCGGTGGAAAGTGGCACGGTAAGCAAGGTACACAGCGGTTCAGCCATATCTATACTAAACACTAGTAGACGATAATCGCCGAACCTTCGCTCGACCTCTCACTCCTGGGTTCCACGCAAAAAGGCGGTGCGCGGACAACGGCAGCAGCAAAGACCACATCAGCAGCGGGAACGACGGCAGCAAAGAACGGGACAACAGCAGCAGGGACTGCCCCCGCCGCCGCGATCACTATCATCGCGTCCGGTGGTACTGGCGGCCGAGCGGTGAACTCGGCAAACGCAACGGCGTCCGCCGCTAAATCGATCAACACGTCCGGTTTGACTCAGGATGGTCTCGTGGCGGGAACCACCACAACGAAGGTCGGAAGTGCCATCACCGTGTCGGCAGGGAAGGGGGTGTCTAACTCTACGTCAATTGCTTCAGCTGCGGGCGGTGCGATAACCGTCGTCGCTGGAAAAGGAAACGGTACCTCCATCGCCGCGGGATCAGCAGCAAAGGCCACCGCCATCACCGTCGTCGCGGGCAATGGCACTGCAACAGGCGCAGCCGCCATCGCCCCTGGCCTGCCCACGTCCTCCACATCAGCCAGATCTATCAATTCTGCTGCCCTCACCCAAGCCGGCCTCGTCCGCTCAACCACGGTCTCAGCCCCTGGCAGTGCCGTCACTGTCGTCGCCGGCAACGGAGGAAGCTCCAACAACGGCACAGCCGCCCAAGCCGCCGCGAATCTCTGCAACTGCGCTTGCTCCTGCCCGGGAAGCGCATTCCCCATGTCCGCGCCTCAAGCCGCACCCTTCCAGCTCCAGCCCGCAATGGGCTCCATGAGCGCGCCGCCGTCCACGCTCCAAACGCAAGCCGTCACCGTCGTCGCAGGCGGCAGCGCCCCGGCCGGCGCACCTCCAGCCGCCGCAGCTAGCTCTTCGTCCGCCGCACCGATCAACTCTGCCACGCTGACGACTGCCGGACTGGTGGGCTCGAGCACGACGAGCGCGGCGGGCGTGGGGGTCACCATGCAGGCGAGCTCTGGCGCGAGTGTTGTGCCTGCTCAGTCGCAGATCGCAGCGAGTTCGTCGAGCGCGTCGCTTCAGCAGAACAGGCTGCCGTTTGATATTTCGACCATCGAGCTGCAGAGCAAAGTCACTGTGAATCTAGGTGCGCGGGCTGCGCTGCCTACGGAGAAGAAGCGGTGGGTGTTTTAGGAGTGGCGGATTTAGGAAATGGCAAGAGGCATGAGGCGCAGTGATCTATGCTGGCTCTGTGTGGGAAGGGCGTGGTTGGAGGAAAGGCCTAACGGAAATTTGTCTTCGATAGATGACTAGATGTCTGAGTAATAACTGTATTGTCTGTGTGTTGTGCTGTATTTACTTTTGTTCATCTCCTTGAGTAATTTCTCTGTTTGTAAGTAAATACGTAGCCAGATTGAGAATGCACGTTAGTCGAGCATAAAGATTTTTCTCATTTTGGCCGTATGTATGTTGATAGGTGGCCGCGCTTATTTGCTAGTTGTAATGCCCGGTGCAGGCAATCGCGACTGTATGCGTTTGTTGAGGAGACGGAGCAGGACCATGAGTCTCTTGTCAAGAAAGTACTGTGGTGCTGTGGACAATCCAGAACGAACTTGGAAAGCGGTGGTGTGGTGCTGTAGGCGACCAACCCAACATCACAGCACCCTTCTGACGTTGGACTCGTATGGCGATGCGCACATAGTTGATTGCTCCATGGAATTCTGAGGTACAGCTCATAGTTAGGAGGCACACGATTCCTCCTGGATATAAATACATGAGACGAATGCGTCCGTCTCCAAAGCCTATTACGCTGTTAGCGTGATAAGATGCACGCACAAGGCTCTCGCCTTCTCGGTCCACGCGCCGGCATTTTCGGCCCCGAACGACTCCTCTCCAAAACGCGAGGGCCCGAACGAGCGCGCTGAGGATCCGAAAACCTCACGAAGTAGCTGAGATGCTCGGGTATATAATGGACACAGTATCGCTGCTTCCAGATGGCTACAACAATCGCCTGAAGCATCTTTACTGCCAATTCGACCTCTTTGCAAGCCCGCTGTATACTGCAGTTTCGCCAACCTTTCAGCCTACACTTACGCAAACTTTCAAGCATTCTTGAAGAAGCAGTACCAGAAGTCTTGGATAGTCATCACACTCGCATTCCCAACAACACACTTTCAGCCTTCTGATCATACACAAAATCCTTGCCGCGACCATGACAGCCACAACTCCTAAGATCGCCCTGATCGGCGCCGGTCCAACATCTCTCACTCTCGCCGCCATTCTCCACCGCAACGCCATCCCCTTCACCATTTACGAAGCCGCGTCAACCCTGCGCCACCAAGGCGGCACCCTAGACCTGCACCCGCAGACTGGCCAGCAGGCCCTGCGCGAAGCCGGTCTATGGGACGAGTTTGTAAAGCATGCGAGGCCGGAAAGCGACTGCATGAAGCTGGTTGAACTTGAGAGCGGTGAGGTGTTCTGGGATGAGAATGCGGGCGATGGGCAGTCTGGAGAGGAGACGAAGAAGAGTCTAGAAGACTCGTTGAAGGGGCGCCCGGAGATTGATCGGGAGTGGCTGATGAAGATCACGTACGGAGCGCTTCCGGAGGAGAGCGTCAAGTGGGGTAAAAAGCTCAAGGAGGTCCTGCCAAACTCAATGGACCCAAAGAAGCACGATTTATACTTCACAGATGGATCGAAAGAGGAGAGGGTCGATCTCGTTGTGGGGGCCGACGGCGCGTGGTCGAAGGTTCGGAACCTTCTCACCGACGTGAAGCCGCACTACTCTGGCATATCAGCCGTCGAGCTTTGGCACCACGATGTGCAGAGCGAGCCTTGGCTGTTGAATTACGTGGGTGCAGGCTCGTGCTTCGCCTTTGCGGAAGGAAGCGCAATTTTGTCGCAGCGACAAGGTGACGGAAGCTTGCGCACCTACGCGTGTCTCCGCGTGCCTGAAACCTTTTTCGATGATTGTGGGATCGATTGGGACAGCGAAGACACCGCACGCACGCAGTTCATCGATCGCTACTTCAGCCATGTGTCTCCGGATCTGCAGCGCGTACTCGCGTTATCAAAAGACAGGCTGACGCCCCGCGCTCTGTATGAGCTACCGATTGGGTTCTCATACCCTCATCGTCCAGGAATCACTCTGATTGGCGATGCTGCACATCTCATGACGCCGTTCGCTGGCGTGGGTGTGAACGTTGGGATGACCGATGCCCTCGTGCTGGCCAAGGAGATTCTCGCTAGCTGCAGAGGAGAACAGAGTGTGGACAGGGCGGTTGGTGCATATGAGAAGGAACTATGGCCACGAGCGAGGAAGTACATGGAGAAGACGGCGAAGGGAAAAGAGAGACACTTCCGCGCGGGTGGGTCGAAAGAGATGGCGGACATGTTAAGAGCGTTCCATGCCGGGCAGAAGCCGGAATAGGGCTCTTATGGCGAGCTTCAGGGTTAAAGCTTCAGGGTTACTCATTGGGCGACAAGTTCTCAGAAACTAGATTGAATATTAGCTCGTAGATTTCCAAGATTTGCTAAAGCCCGTAACTCCATCGAGAGCACGGTTTCGCGTCGCGCGGCACCTCTTCATAGCTCTTCTAAAAGAACACGGAAACTCATGGCACTGGCCAGGGAGGGAGATTGATACTGCTGCTGCGATATTCCTGTGAATAGCAATGACCTGTGGATCTGATGTGCAAATGCAGTGAAACTAGATTCCGTTTCGTGGAATAAATCGAAGACAGAGCTATTCTCTTTGTGGGCTAGTACTGCTAGAAGAAGCTTAGCATACCTACTAACCACGATGGCCGAGGTACTTGAGGTCTGCCACAACTCTTTCGTGCTCCAGTCAGCGATACAGACGGCTCCAGAATCCTGTCTCGGGACTGCCATTGCATTGAAAAACTGGGGTGTGGGGTGGAATTTGCGGGTTCGGCTCGGATCGCGTGGCGCAAGTCTCGTCGGTCCGGCATATCACTTCTCAGAAGCCAGAAAATTCGCGCAGCACACCGTTTATAGCGGCAGGTAATTAAGAAAACGAACATTTCGTTAGAAGTGCTGTGGTGGTCTGTAGAAGCGATGATGATGGTCGACGGCATGAAGAGCAAACCGGAGCAGCTAGCACGAGAAAGGAAGGCGTCGTGGCCACGTGAGACGATCAACAGGGGTCAAATCCGGGGTTGAAGTCTAATTTGACTATTGTACTCTTCACATGTTCAGGCATTCTCCCCCACTGCTCTAAATTGATTCGCAAACGTGCCGTCCGCTAACGGAAGATCTAGACGACCATCCTACCTGCAGACATCCCATTCGCTGGTCCTCGGTCCGCAACATACACTCTGTGCCAGGCATGGCGATGCCATTTCCGTGGTAACATGACGCTAGAGTAGCCCCCGCGACAGCTCTGGGAAGTACCTGATGGCGGTTACTGGAGCCTTTACGGAGCCAGATGCAGAGCAAGCGTGGTCGCACTGATCCATCAACCGGGTTACAATGTCAAGATATAAATCACGATGACTTCCCACGACAGGATCAGCATCTTCACTGCGATCTTTGGAGCATCAAGAAGAACACATCATGCTCTTCACCTCAGTCATTCGGGCCCTTCCGGCATCCTTGCTTTTTACAGGCGCTCATGGCACGCCTCTCGAGCGTCGTCAGACTTCCGTCGACACGTTCGTAACAAGCCAGAGATCGGTTTCGATCCAAGGTGTGCTTTCTAACATCGGGGCTGATGGCTCCAAGGCGCAAGGTGCAGCAGCGGGCATCGTCGTGGCCAGTCCGTCCAAGTCAAACCCAGATTGTAAGTAGAACAAACTCAGGCGCACATTACATGGGTTGACAAGCCATAGACTGGTACACTTGGACAAGAGACTCTGCTTTGACGTACAAAGCCCTCGTCGAGCGTTTCATCGGTGGGGACACCACACTGAGAAAGAAGCTCGATGAGTACGTCTCATCCCAGGCGTATCTCCAGACCGTGTCGAACCCGTCCGGCGGTCCTGACACCGGAGGACTCGGCGAGCCCAAGTTCAACGTCGACCGTACTGCATTTACTGGAGCTTGGGGTCGTCCTCAGCGCGATGGACCACCTCTACGAGCCACTGCCTTGACACTCTACGCTAATTGGCTTATTGCCAACGGCAACACCACACAAGCTGCAAATACCCTTTGGCCTGTTATTGCCAAGGATCTTGCCTACGCCGTCAAGTACTGGAACCAGACCGGCTTCGACTTGTGGGAAGAGGTCAATGGCTCATCCTTCTTTACCCTCGCAGCTACTCATCGTGCCCTCGTAGAGGGCGCTGCACTCGCTACTAAGCTCTCAAAGACATGTGACGGGTGTGCTGCCGCGGCCCCACAGATCCTCTGCTTCCTTCAAAGCTTCTGGACTGGCAGTTACATCGATTCCAACATCAATGTGAATGATGGTCGTACTGGCAAAGACGTCAACTCCATCATCTCATCGATCCATACCTTCGACCCAGCGTCAGCCTGTACCGACGCTACTTTCCAACCTTGCTCTTCTCGCGCTCTGCTCAACCACAAGGCTGTTACTGACTCCTTCCGCACCGTGTACGGCATCAACAAGGGTATCGCCCAAGGACAAGCTGTCGCCGTTGGAAGATATTCTGAGGATGTATACTACAATGGCAACCCGTGGTATCTTGCGACGCTCGCGGCCGCAGAACAACTTTACGCCGCTGTCTACCAATGGAACACCATAGGCTCCATCACCGTTGACTCTGTATCTCTTCCATTCTTCAAGGACCTCCTGCCCAGCATCGCCACTGGTACCTACGCCTCGAGCTCGGCTACCTTCGCATCGATTGTCTCTGCTGTCAAAACATACGGTGACGGCTACGTTGCCGTGGTCCAGAAGTACACTCCTGCCAATGGCGGGTTGGCCGAACAGTTCGACAAGAGCAGTGGTTCCCCACTCTCTGCCGTTGACCTGACTTGGTCTTATGCGGCTTTCCTGACCGCCACCGATCGTCGTTCTGGGTCTGTGGGTCCTTCTTGGGGAGAGAAGTCCAACAACGTTCCTCCGACATCATGCACAGCTCCTCCTTCCTGCAATGTGCAAGTCACTTTCAACGAACGCGTGACCACCGCCTACGGAGACAACATCTTCATTGTTGGACAGCTCACTCAGCTCGGCAACTGGGATCCGAACAGCGCTGTTGCGCTCAGTGCCAGCAAGTACACCAGCAGTGACCCGCTCTGGTATGCAACTGTCAGCCTCCCTGCCTCAACTTCTTTCGCATACAAATACATCAAGAAGACGTCGAGCGGCACTGTCGTATGGGAGAGCGACCCGAACAGGAGCTACACAACTGCAACCACTTGTGGAAGCACTGCGACTCAGAACGACACATGGAGATAAAAACGAGTAGGAGCAGTAAAGAGCACATGAGTTGCGTGGTACGGTCCCAGTCGCAGAGAAGACAATTTCATGTTCGCCGCGACAGTAGATGTATTTTACATCTTACCAGGAGGAGCACGAAGTATTACGTTCAATATGTGTAGTGTAAATTGACTTTTTCGTGTATTTGATACTGCGAGTCGCTATTATCCGTTGTGAAGTACCCCGATAACCAAACTTCATCCAATCACTTCACCGCTTACGGGGCTTTGCCTAGTCGCACCTATAAAGCGGCCTAAGAGAATACTCGCCCTGAGTCTCTTTCGAGATTAGCGCCGGCACAAGAGCTTCTGAAACCACGGCCATCGCATGCTGGGTAGAAATTGATGGTTCCAGGCCTTTGCGACCCTCGTTAGCTGTACTATATTTGCGTTAAAGGTTCTGACTACAAATACTGACAGCGTTACAATTTCCACACCGGACGTTGGTCATGCGGCTGCAAGGCACTAGCCGTTGTCCTCTCGCTTATTCCTGGGCCAGACCCTTTGAACAATCCACCTTCGGCAAAGTGCTGGAGGCTACGCCAGTCTATTTTGGCAAGAGTAGCCTCTTTCGGCCTCTCTTTCGATCTTGTGGCTTTGCGCGACTCTGAATGCGTAGAAGCCCAGACAGCCGCACCATTGGCTACAAACAATTACTCAAGATACAGCACGGCAATGCCGAAGCCTCTACAGGATTTGTGGGTCCGGGACTTCGTTCATGATCAAAAGCATGCCGCATCAAGATGACGGTTTGTGTTCTCGCTCACTTTCGTACCTCAGCCAGCAGTGTCTCCAAGTGCGGTCTTCCCTACCAGCACTGATCCCACAAGAATGAAGGCGACAATTCTTGTTTCAGTGGTCGCTGCCCTGTCAGCTTACACTGCAGCGGCGCGGTTCGATCCTGAGCAATGTGGTCCCACGGGTGGCCACCAGATCTGTAAGAACAACCAGTGCTGTAGCCAGCACGGGTGGTGCGGTACCACAGATGCTTACTGTCAAGTAAAACGGGTAAGCCATTCCAATCTTCTTGTCTCAAACATCTGGTAATCTGATGCTGTGCAGGGTTGCAACCGCGCTTTCGGTCGTTGCATCGGCAGCGTTACTTCTTCGGCGGTTCGCTCCTCTAGCATTCGTAAACCAACTTCCACAGTTCGATCATCTAGCACTAAACACACTTCTGTTACCGTCCGACCGTCCAGCACTACTCGATCTTCTTCTTTTTCAAGGACGTCAGCATCACCAGCACCCGCGTCAAATAAGAATGAGCGTTGTGGTCCCAGCAACGGCGGTAAATCCTGCAAAGGCTCCATCTACGGCAGCTGCTGTTCGAGTCATGGCTGGGTAAGTCAATTTTTTGTGAATACGCGATAGCGCTGACCGTATTGATAGTGTGGAAGTACGAATGACCATTGCAAGACAGGCTGCCAGTCGGCTTTTGGCACTTGCGCTGGCAGCGCTCGATCTTCATCTGCCAAAAGCTCTGCGAGAGCATCTTCGAGCGTTCGTAGCTCCACAAGAACCTTAATCCACAGCACGTCGTCCACATCCTCTAGAAGCTCGGGAGCTACAACTGTCCATTCGTCCGCCGGCAGCACCGGTGCCGCTGCGTCCAGCAGCTCCGTCCAAAACCCTTCTGGGAGTGGCTCCTCCACTCGTGCTGCAAGTTCCAGCGTGACATCATCCACTTCTGCGACCCCTTCTGCCCTTTCTCTTTCAGCATCAACCGCCTCGACTGCATCTTCCGTCGGCTCGTTGACAACGGTGTCCGTTTCTGGGGCGTCCAGTGTCTCGTCGACAACTCCATCAGCTTCGACAAGCCCATACACATGGGTTCCCGCTCAGAATCCGAATGTTGACCGCGCAAGCTCGGATCGTTTGTTCCCTGCTCATGTACTTAGCTTGTACTACGTCGAGCCGAGTCCGGGAACACACGTCAAGACAGAGGTTGTCACCCTGGCTGGTGATTCTCAAGGCGTAGTACTTGATGACATCGCCGCAGTTGAATCTGTAAGCTGCTCGGGGTCCACCATATCGATCAACTTCGCAGATGACGCGACCGCCGCTGCCGCCGCGCAGAGCTGGCCCGCTGGCACTCTGCTCTTCACGTCAGCAAGTGGATGTTCCACTGCTAATGAGCGAGGAGTTTACTCTGTGCAAAGCTTATCTCCCAACAAAAGATCAATCAGCGGGCGCCAATCGACGCTATATAGATTGCTTCAACTCATCGTACAAAGGATGTCATTATCTGACATTATCGCCGCACTGCAGGAGTTCATACAGCAGCTTGAACCCAGGACATCTTCCGTGCCGCCAGTGGTAACTCCGACACCGAGCATGATCCCTCCAACGAACAACTCCGCATCTGTGCCACCAGTGGTAACTCCGATACCGAGCATGATCCCTCCAACGAACAACTCCGCATCTGTGCCGCCAGAAGTGACTCTAGCGCCGAGTACTATCATACCTCCTACAAATACCTCAGCATCTACAACCGAGTCCATGTCCTCCAGTATAGCAGAGCCAACTCCCTCAGGCCCGAGTTTCTGCCTCAAGGTCCTCACCCAGGGACAACCGTCATCTAATTGGGTTGTGAAACAGTCCGGTTCGTCGAACAACAACGGCGCATTTTGGCTCGACCCCGTTGAAGGTGGGCTATACAGCTCCATTTCTTCCTTCACCATCGACGCGCAGAATGTAATGCACGTCACCACACCTGGCACCGTGGGCGATACCATCACGCGGTACTCTCGAGGCACTGGTGGCATGTTCCGCTGGGCTACGCCATACGAGCCTCTCCCCTCCAACACTTGCGAAATCAGAACCGATGTTCTGGGCTTCCTTGGCCAGCAAGTCCTGAAATGTACCGGGTCTCTCAAGAGTCCTTCGCAAACGTTTACGGGTTTTGCAGACAAGGATGTCAATGGCAATGGCTTGCATTACCTCTTCGGAGTTCAGGTTTCGAATGGCACTGCATTGTACGGTGAGCAGCTCTTAGAATTGGGTCTGTTCAACGGAGGTGGGTGTCCTGTATAGATTTTGCACAGCATCACAGGAGTACTATCTGGCACTTTATATATCATTTAGCCGTTGGCTTTAGACGGTTGGCATCAAATCCAGGCACATGCCATCCTAAAAGAGACCAAGAAACCCATCACGGCCTACGTCATCACCATATACACCATCATGAAAGACATAAAGCAATCATCGTGGCTCGGGTTGCTCCAAGATGTTTTATCCGAGCTCTCTTGGGGATCATTGTAACTAGGACTATCAAATCCCGGCATACACCATCCTGGACGAGAGCAAGCGATCCATGAGGGCATATGTCGCCCCACAATGTGTTGTCCGACTTCACTTGATCATCACTCTACCTAACCCTTCATGCCGGTCTGTCACTCCGATCCACCTTCCGTGTTGCCTCAGCATAGGCGAGCCTGGGTTCACTCAAGGCGCTTTTCCTTGTCATCCACCAGCTGATGTCGCTGATGGCATGGCGCTTGTGAGAGATTTGCACAAGTGGGAAATTTAGTAGCTGTTCGCGAGATAAATCGTGGGTGGGAGGTTCCGGCAAGAAAATGGAATTGATATTGCGATCTTCTGCATCTATCCACCCCGCAACCGAGGCGTACACTTGCCATGGCAACTACGACGCTCCTGCCATATTTGCAGCTGCTGAGTTTGGAAACATCGACGCGAGCATAGATTCACCCGCTAGGGAATCATGTCGCGGTTTAGACTGGTTCAAGCCGCGGACTACAGGTTGACTTGTACTTGGGTGGCATTCAACACCGCAATATCGTGCCGATCGTCATGGTGGCCGTGGCAAGCGTTCGCGATTACATGTACGCTTTTGAGCCGGATACTCGCCAAGCAACAGATTGAAACTCTTACAAAGCCATCCTGAAACTCGCGTCAACCCTATCGACAGAACTTCAGTAAGAACTCAATTTGGCCGACACTTCTCACAGCTGAGCAAGATGAGATTGGATGCATGGCAGACATTATCATCCCGTTGACCCCGGGCGCGCATACTTCTACTAACGTTATTGCGTGTGCGATTGGACCCAAGGAATCTCGTCGCCGTGACGAAGATGTGAAGTTACTAGAAAAATGAAACGTGGCTCAGCTGTTACGCGGATTCTAATGATGAGCTATTGTTACTAGATCAACTAGTAAAATAGTATTAGAATCTAATAAGTACTTCTATGAGCCTTATCACAGATAAGCCCTGATGAAGAATTACTCGTCCCTGCTATTACTTGCCACACTGACTCTGTGCCGCTTGCAGATTCTTCTTATTCTGCTTTGTTCCATCTTGCACTTCTTTCACCAGGGTTTTGAGCGTGCCTTGATCAGCACACGATCCGTTGAGGCTAGTGACCTGGTCCTTCTCCGTGATCTGTGCCGTTGCGACGATAGCCAGTCCCATCTGCGCAGGGCTGTTCACCTGCTGAGCTAGTTTCTGGTTGTTCGTGCGGATGTCGATCCCCTGCTGTTGGATGTTGAGGACAGCTTTCTGGATGTTTTTAAAGTCTTGGGTAGAGTTCGATTTTGCATTGGACATCGCCTGGAGGAATTGAACACTTGCAAATGGTGAGCTTCTTGACTTGTACAGAAAGGTGGCACGATCAGGACTTACCCAGCTAACTCCTGCTTCTGAATGTCGAGATTGGCCTGGATTCCCTTGGCCAAGTCTCCAACCTGCTTGCTCTGTACGGCATTACATGTACTGTTGGCCTTCGCAGTCTCCGCCAGCGGAGATGCCATGGTGACACCGAAGAGAAGAGAGATGCCGAGGAGCTTCATGATTATACTACGATTGAAAGGATTTTCTAAAGGTAAACAAAGAAATTGGAAGCAAACGAAAGGACGGCGTCGAGAAAGACCAAGATCTCCGAACAAGAAATAAATCAGATGAGAGCGATACTTTCTTCCCAGACGATTTCATGTCGTTTATCTACTGCGCAGTCTCGACAACCTCCCGGCGGATCCGCAGAGCCCGAGCATAGAGGCGAATGTGTCGCGCCGATAAAGACTGTCGCAACCCAGGACGTGTCAAGTCGACCGTTATACCTGCTTAGTGCTTATGGCTCGGAGGTGCTTCCGAAGCGGGGTGGTTCGTGGGGTCGAACGTGTCGGCGAAATATGATCGCCCGGAAACAGCCGCGAAACACCCCTCTGTTCCACTTTTCCATACCAGCTCTCCTTGAATTAGAAACAATGCAGCAACTGTCATATCAGGAAACCAATAATGTTGGTGGCAGGGGGCTTGGACAGGTGAAACAGGCCAACGTTGGCGATGCCGTTGGATGATTTGAAGTTCTGCGAATAATTAGAGGACCGTCGGCCGAAATGCAATACAATTCAGCACTTAGCAATCGGCCCATCAAGTTACATAGTATAAGACGTTCTCCTGTCACAGCGGGAACTAGGGTGTACCAAATGACCTTTAATTAAGGACTGAATACTAGCCGATCTTTGCGCTAACATGGGTCCATTTTTCGCCTTTCGCTCAGGTCTCGCAGCTCATCAAGTCTCGAGGTAGTAGCTGGAGCCCGCGTGAAGTAAAGGGAGATGAAGGCGTCTAGCCTAGATGAAGGGGTTGCTCATCCCAAAGAATCATGACGCCGTCAGCGGCTCAGCCTGGAATCATTCTCCGAAACTTCGGCAAGCCGGCTAGGTCGAAGGGATACTGTAGCCCCCACAGCCAAGATCTTTGCATGTACATTTCATTCAAGAACATCGTAGAGCTCAACAGTATATCGTCTCCCAGGATTGGAGAAGCGAGTGTCAGCATTGCGGAAGATTCGGCCACCAGCGTTCCGGATTCAGCTTAAGTTTGAAAGTGATAGAGATGCAGTCATCCAAGGGTAAGGTGTGCAGAGGCGATATCAAGGCTCCAAGTTTATCTTTGGTTGGACAGACGACGGTAATGCCAAAGACCGGTAAGTGACACTGCTCGTTGTTTGCATGGCCCGCGTGAGACCGTTGTCCTACTCAAGCTTTTCAGCCGGGGCACCATCTCGCTCAACGCCTCAGATCACCGTTCGTCGACTATCGGTCGCTCAGTGATCTGGTAGACCTAAAGCTGCACGTACGCATACAACAGTACCTGCGCGAACACTTTGCGTCTCGCCTGCACCCGCACCTCTTGGGCCTGTTGAACTTGATCCTGGGCCACTGTTGCCCGCGAGAAAGACGCAGAAGACTAGTTTGCGGAGAGGAACACATTGTTTGCAAGTAATGCTCATCGGGTTGGAACTGCGGCGACGGTTTCGAGGGAGTTAGGTGGCGTGGTGGATGGGGCATTGAGGGTTTGTGGGACGAGGGGCGGAAGGTTGTGAATGGTAGTAGTATCTCGTTAATTGTAGGCGCGCATAATAGGTTTACTGCATATGCGATTGGAGAAAGGGTGAACCTTGTGGCCGTGTTGAAGATGTGGTTAATGTGTGTAGGGTGCGGATCCAGCTAAGACTTCGGTTATGAGCATCGGTCTGTCACCAGCATTGTCGCATGCTGTAGTCTGACTGGCCACTAGAAGTTGCTATCAAAAGAAGTGAAGTCGAAACCCTAAGATTAAGCTTGACATGGATAAGTAACGGGTGGGATGCGTTGGTCTAACCACTTTAGGAATACATCTCATTCCTTTGTGTAGACCTCACAGCATCTCTCAGCACGATGTTTTAAGGACACTCCTTATCATCAAGATGTGGACCTTCTAATGTGTGCTTTACGTGAGTAGTCTTTCGTCTAGAATCGCCCCTGAACATGTAGTTGAATAGGGCCGACTTCTGGAGCCGCACGAACGCGGCTACCATCGGCTGGCGTTCACTGTGGGTCCGCGACTTAGATACAGCCAACGAACCGGAGTAGCATCGGACTTATCGACACGAGCATCATGGCGACTTCGAAAAATCCGCGCAACTCCAAAGCCGAATATAAACGCTCTTTGTGGTGAGGGATGCAACGTCACGGTCCCCCGCAACCTCTGCTTACCGCAACTAATCCATTTCGGGTAGTGATAAGTCGTTCCCCAGACTCGCTAAAGCGGACCAAGCTTGCCGCCGCGAATGGTCGCCATGTATTTCCCGCGTCACCCTTGCACACGTGGCTTGGGGGGTTGCTTGGGTGTTTGCTTGGGAGGTAATGTCTGCGTCGTCGCCGTCAGCGCGTGTGGAAAAGATTTTTCAACCCAACGAGTCTAAAGAAGCGCCTTGTCTTTCACCACGCTACGCTTGTGGTCGATAATTGGGAGGCTCTTGGAGTGCATATAAGACCACTCGTAGACACCCGGACTCATACATCACTTCCAGGGCCGATACTTCTAACAGCTTCGGCTTTGTACAAAGCACCATGCACAGCCACGACGGTGCAGCAGTTGAGAAGGGATACCCTCACGATGGAAACATCATGGACAAAAATGGAACATACTCAGAGGAGCCCTATGTTCAAGGCGCCACGACAGTGGGTGCGGCCACAGGAAGAGGAGGCGACACGCATCGTGGTCTGAAATCCAGACATATTCAATTCTTGTACTTGACATTGTACCTCATTCTCCCTTGCATAGTCTGACTCTTGCAGGGCCCTTGGAGGAGCAATTGGAACAGGATTGTTTGTCGGCTCAGGTGGCATTCTCGCGCTTGTCGGTCCCGCTCCGTTATTCATGGCATACCTCTCCATGATGATGGTCGTCTGGTGTGTGATGAACAACCTGGCTGAAATGACCACGTACCTTCCCATGAAGGGCATCACCATCCCATACTTCGTCAAGCGATATGTCGACTCGAGCCTGGCTTTTGCTCTGGGCTGGAACTACTGGTAACACATGCGGACATGTCAAATCAAGCCACGATCATGTGACTAACTGAGTACAGGTATGCTTATGCGATTTTAGTGGCCGCTGAAGCCACCGCCGGAGCCATTCTCCTGGACTATTGGAGCACGCCTGTGCCTGCTGGAGCCTGGATCGCGATTTTCATGATTGTCATTCTCTTCCTGAATATCGTGGCTGTGGGCATCTTTGGCGAAGCCGAATTCTGGTTCGCCTCAATCAAGTTTATCACCATCATGGGCCTCATCATCCTAGGCATTGTCATAATGCTCGGAGGCAGTCCGAATGATCAAGGCAGACTAGGCTTCCGCTATTGGAACAACCCCGGAGCATTCAATCCATATCTAGTGGACGGAAATACGGGACGATTCTTAGGATATTGGACGGCTTTCGTGCGCGCTGGCTTTGCCTTCATCACATCTCCTGAACTGATCGCTTTGGCTGCTGGCGAAACGATAGCCCCACGACGAAACATCCCCAAAGCTGCGCGTCGCTTCGTCTGGCGGCTCGCCATCTTCTATGGGCTCGGCTCGCTCATCATCGGTATCATTGTCCCCTCAGACGACCCTCGCCTCCTCAGCCCTGACTCAAACGCCACCGCCTCGCCCTTTGTCATCGGCATCGCCCGCGCCGGCATAAAGGGCCTGAACCATGTCATCAACGCCGCCATCCTCACCTCCGCGTGGTCCGCCGGCAACGCATTCCTCTTCTCCGGCTCCCGCATCCTCTACGGCATGGCGCTGACCGGCGACGCGCCCAAGATTTTTGGTAGAACCAGCAAGAACGGCGTCCCCTACGTCGCCGTGCTCGCTACATGGGCCATCGGCCTCCTCGCCTTCCTGAATGTCTCCAACACCGGCGCACAAGTCTTCACGTGGTTCAGCAATATCTCCACCATCTCAGGTTTCCTCGCCTGGATCGTTGTCATGATTACGTACCTCCGGTTTCGCAAGGCAATGCAGTTCCAAGGCCTGCTGCACACGCTGCCATTCAAGACGCCGTTCCAGCCGTACTTCACGTACTTTGTGTTGGGCGTTGTGAGTATACTTACTCTGACCAATGGGTTTCAGGTGTTCTTCCCGAGCAATTGGGCTGTGTCGGACTTTTTGGCGGCGTATATCACCCTGCCGATTTTCATCGTGCTGTATCTCGGGCATAAGGCGTGGTTCCGCACGAGCTGGGCCATTAGACTTCAGGATATTGATGTGGTCAGTGGGAAGAGGGAAATGGATGAGCTGTGTGCGCAGGATGTAGATCCGGTCCCAAGGAATGTGTGGCAAAAGATGTGGTTCTGGATTGCTTAGTTGTGCGGGTGGAGTTGGATTGCACGCAGGGGAGCAATTTCAAGACAAATAATCACGTAGTACTCCTATGTAGGAATTTACTTATTGTTACGTGATAAAAGTTAGTGAAAAAGCTTCCTCGACACTCCTGGTACCAGAACATCTTTCTCTCGTTAACATTAACACGCTGTCACATGCGGTGGAAATCTGAAGAATTATCGACAAACCCAGGCACTTCACTCTTTTCACAATCTAATGAATTTGCCCTATGTGCATGTTCCCGGATGGATGCTGGTGAAGCTCAACTATTGAATCGACATGTCGCCCCCTCTGGGTATGAGATGCCGACATAGATTGCACTGAGGTACGGGCCAGAAGAGCACTTTGCCAAAGCCTGTATTCACCTTCACATTAGTCTCTTCATGCAGTCTCTTGATCATGCCTGAATGTTTCACGGCTGATCAGTAGATCACGAAGCGCTCTTCTTCAACTTCTCCTGTCTCTGCCATCTGCACAATTTCGCCATCCATGAATCCAAGCAGGAAGCATGGTCCTACGTGGACATTTTGTGGGACTTTGCGCAGTATGATAGGAAATCCGCAACCTTTCAAGACGCATATCTGATCGCCGACCTTTGTGTCCACGGGGGCTAAACCAAAATGGCCTTTTGAGCTCCTGATCACGGCCTGGGAGCTCATTCGACGTGTTGCACATCGCATCCATTGGCTCGACTTCGTTTCTATTGTTTCGATAGACATTGCTGCTGAAGCCGACGTGCATGTCAGCTCGTTTTCTAACCGCTCGGGTGTCCATTGTTCCACGTCTATTCCACTACCAAGGAATTGCTCGCACACGACCTTTGCCTGGTTCTCGAAAGATGTGGGGTCTGGAAACACACTTTCGAAGACCTTGACAAAACGTTGTTGCTTTTCAATTGGTTCCGCATCATCTCCAAGACCTGAGCAATGGAGGTACCGAGTTTCGAGCACATGTACAAAGGCCATGCCAAGCTGAACGAGAGACGTGTTGTCCAAACTGTGGATGCGGTCGGACTCAATCATATCCCCAATTAATGCGCGGCAAACTACTTGAAGTATCGGCAAACTGGAAACAGTCTGCTTTGGATTGTCCCAGATGAACAAAATGGTCTCGTAGAAGTCATCAAGCACCGTTGGACCAGTGCGAATGTTAGCAATATGCACAGCGTCGACGGTGTCGACTGTGTATCCATCTACGGCTAGTTCCCACCCCTCGGATGAGTCCGAGATCTTCGGCCTACCATCAAGGGAGGTTCCGGCCTTGTAGGCGCCGCCTATTTCGAAGGGATAGAGTTCCGGCATTATTTCATCAGGACACTCGCTGCTCTTATGCCAGTTTGGCAACCAAGACGGCGCGTGTGGGTCCGCAGCAAGGTGATGTTCGAGGGTAGGCATTCTTGCCATGGCCAGGAATCGAAGCCCGTCTTCAAGTTCAAGTAACAGATTGCAAGTAGACATATACAGCAACCTAGTGGGCATTGAATAGTCGGGTTTCAGAATATCTTGAAGACCTGCCAGGACGACGAGGCCGTATACTTTGTCCCTCGGATCTGAAACCTGGAGCACTTCAGTCCTGATGAGGAGCCAATGAAGCATCCGGATCTTTTCGGTGCGTTCTTCTGGTGGCCTTAGCCTCCAGAGATTGCCCGTCGATATCCTTTCAAAATTGCTCCACATTTCGTTGCAATGGACCAGAAATCGGTCTTCCAGTCTTGCGAGGCTCCATATGGTATCGTAGAGAACACATATTTGGCGCGCGGTAATAATGTCCCGTTCACACATGAAAATAAGATTTCTCGATAGGATTATCTCCTGGTATATCCCTGTATGACATGTCAAATTCCTACTAACAAGCGTCAAGTCATCCCTTGTCTCTGAGAAAGCTTACATCCTCGAGTCCAATACACATGATTATGAAACTCACTTAGACCTTTCCACGGTCCTGAACCCAGGAAAACACTGTGTAAACCTTCATCGTTCCAGTCGAACTCGCTCGTTAATAATGCCACTTGTTCTGCGGCTGTCTCGAAAAATCTGATCACATCAGTGACCCGAGAGACAGCCTTAAATGCAGCCCGGATGTTTGGTTGCGCAGATCCTAACCATGCAATGGTTAACGCTGCGTTGGAATATATATGGTGCATTATAGCGACTTGCCGATTCTTCTCTAGTATGTCTTTCTGATTGATGCAGACTGCATCAGCCCAAATAGCACTGCAGACCTCTAAAGCGCCTGTTGTACGAATATACCGCAACGCGGATGCAAGGTTTCGCTGCAATTGTACAGTGTGTCCATTGATCTGTGCATCTTCAGGAGAGCTTGCGTCACCCCATACGTATGATATGGCTGAGTATCGCGCTTCAAAGAACGAGGTTGTACGAAGGGTGCCGACAAGTGGGGCGTGGGGGTTTTCCGACGGGGATATCGATAAGAGTCGAAACTCGTCTTCTTTGAGAGGGGTGTATAGCTCCGATGTCTGGCTCTCAATTATGCTTCGACATCCTGTGGCATCTGGGGCGGGCACGTCATCATTGAAAGTTTCCTCTGCGATCTCGGCGAGTGTTTTCAACTCGATAACGTCCCATGCAGTTCCCTCGTGCGAGAAAGTGAGCTGCCCTGCGAGGCTGAGTAGGATCTCTCTCGCGCTCGACTGGAGCTCTAGACGAACCGAAGTTTCAATTTCAGGGCGACCTTCTCTGAGCTCATCAAGGACTTCCTTCAACATGCTCTTCGCATCTAAGTGAAGGTTTACGCGATCTGACGTCTCCATTTCGGGGTGACGTGCGAGCTTTTCAAGGGTCTCCTTTAGACTCACTAGGAGATCGTCAAAGCCAGAAGACTCCATATTTGATTGGATACGCTAGGTTGCGAAGTCTGCGAGCCCAGCCGACCTGGTGGCTAAGGTGCAGGCGAGGATTGATTCGCAGATATTTCCAAAGAATGTTAGCAGGTTTGCTAGAGCGCAACTATAAAATCTCAGGCCGGGTGTTTTCGAGCTTCGAAAGAGACTGTGGATGTGGTTTTAGAATATGCGAAAGCGGGGAAAGACAACCGAGTGCATCGTGTTGCAGCCCAAGCGCGAGGCGCAGACCGGTGAACTAGTCACAATCGAGAACCACAAGCCTGGATCGGGCCCGCGACGTTCTGTGCGCTGTGCATGCAGATAGTCAGCCGTGGTCTCTGTGGTTGGTTCGAACGACTACGCCGCCCCCTCGTGTGTCAGCACCCCAGTCGGCGTCGCGAAGCATGGGGGAAACAACTCCTGGCGCACACGCACGAACTGGTGTTCTTGGGCGCAAGAACATCCGTGTACTATGTATCAGGTATCAGCTGCCACTTTCGTTCTCGAGGGTTCGACTGCATTCAACTAAGCGCTCCGCGACGAGGCATTGTATCGCGTAGAAGTTTATTGAGTTGGGTGTTAGATACGTTTCTGACAGTACAGTGTTGGCAACTGTATCATGCTACTAATGACCTCGTCAATCCACCAAGATAGAAATTCATACCAAATTTCAATCACTATTCCTCTTTTCAGTTCTCTACGTTTGTACCAATATAGTGTGGTGGCTAAACCCCAGCCTTGCTTATGATCCCGGCTGCATGCATGTGCAGCGTTTGAGCGCCTAAGCGTTTCCGCCCCATGATGCTGTTCAAGTTACAGACAAACGGCACAGCCTTGCAGTACATGCAGGTAGGGGAGAAAAACTCAGGACTGTGTGGATGCAGATACGGGATACATGGTCCTGGTCTCCTGGGGTGCAGATATGTATATAGGTGTGTCTCGGGTCCACTTCTGACCCCCAGGTAGCTGGACTCTTACTTGTGCTGTTGTTCTCCACCGCACCGTTCAGGTTGCTGTACATAGTTTCTATATACTCTTCAAATCCTCAGTCTCTTCAACATGGCGAAAGGTCGTGTAAGACAGATCCTGCTGACCGTCTTCCGGGTGATCCAATTCATCCTGAGCCTCGTCGCCCTGGTATGCGGTATATACAGTGAGTGGGACTTTGCCTGGGGCCAAGCTTCATCTGACATTGTGTGATCATAGTAACATACGTATACTATGATATGGCCTCCTCAGCTCATGACCTGTTGGAAGCCATCGACACGCTCGACCCTGAGAACGACGGCGTCCAGATCCTCGAGCACTCTCTCGTCCCAGTGCTCCACCACTTCGATGGCACACCAATGCGCGCTATCCTGATTCTTGTAGCGGTATGCACCTCGCTCTGACGTAGTATGCACATCTGACATGAAGCAGGCACTCTGGTCCTCTCTCTCAATCATCTCTCTCTTCTTCGCCGACCGCGCAGCTCGCCACTCTCCCCGCGACCTCAAGCGCAACTCGCGCACTACTCGAGTAACGATTAGCGTGTTAACACTAATCCTCTGGATCGCAGCGATCATCTGCTCTGCGCTTCTCACCGTCGAGTTCGGCGTCTTCGCGCTGGTCGCAGGGCCCGAGACCAAGGTCGCATTGACGACGTCAGAGAAGATACTCCTCGAAGCAATGCAGCAAATTGCCGAGAGCATCGACCCTATCAGTGATGCTATGAATATTGTTGGCTCGATCATGACAATTGGGTTCATGGCGATTTTGTTGCTAGTGGCGAGTATCGTGAATACCAAGGTGGCGCTGTGGAATTGTGTTATCGCGTGCTGTATGAGTGGGAAAGGTATGAACAAGAAAGTAACGAAGGACCAGGCGATGATGGAAAAAGGTGGTGTTCAAGTCAGCGTTGCGTCGGTTTAAAGCGCTTCACCTTGTCGCTTATTCAGTCTCCTCCTGCAATCTCCTGTAGTCGGTCCTTTCAGCTTTTCTATAGCCGGAATGCATATGTCTGTATGAATTTGAACGAGCTCTTGAAGTTTTCCGCAATCGCTTGCATGTCATTCAGGCACCACGACCGCTGATGTACGTGGGTAGTGACGGTGTTTATTTTTGTTTGATTTCCGATGCTGGTATCTTCATTTCACAACGGCGCATTTGGCCCCAAGAAAGGTTCTCTCAACTACTTTCTGACAAGAGCCTTATTCCACTCCGTAATTTTTGTCGCCCTGCATGTATAGAATCACCTCTAGCTATGCTCTTCTATGTGCATGTGGGCGATGTGCTCGGCTTGACGGCCGCATTACTTGGGTTTGTCTGAGAGCAGCCGGCGAGTAATCCTCCAGTTGTGTCATCGATAGCAGCATTGTACGCCGCTCCGCAATTCGGGTCACTGTTCAAGATCAATGAGAACCCTCAGCAAAGCGTAAGATATACACATACCTAGCTCCTCCACTAGCGTTGTTGAAGTATGAGCATATATCATGGGAGAAGCAATCTTGCGTGTAAACGTTGCCTAACGCTGTTCCGGTGCAGCCAGCACCGCATCGCCCGTTGCATGAATATCTGTGCCAGTCAGAACTCGCACAGCTCTGTGATAACCACCAAAAGCGTACTCGCCGCCATTAGCGCTGTTTGTGCCAAAGTTGCTTCCCACCACACCCGTCCATTTACATGTGTTGCCTGCAGCGTTCGTCCATGTAGCCGTAGCGGTTGCACCAACCTTGAGGCATTTGATAGATCGTTCCGCGAGTTCAGGAGCTGGTGCTGCAGAAACGACGGCGCTCAGGGCGGCGAGAAGAGGGAGGAAGTAGAGCTGCATGCTGGGTTCTGGGAGATAAGAGTGTCAATTTGAATTGGCCGAGATCGTCCGCTGTTTTTATAGTCGATGCCGCTTGGGCCTTGTGTAATTCGATGCGAGGGGTCCCAATGCACCGAGGCACAGATTGCAAAGACGTCTTGGTCTAAGTGACGCGGCATCCCTGGGCAGGGCTATGTTAGTAAAGTACTGTGTGAAGCTCGGGTTCCTGCGTTGACGTGCATTATCCCGCCAATCGATATCGGGAGCTGGAATTCACTCGCGAGAAATGCTCGATATGGAAGATCGGTCCTTTAGTAGCTTGAAGCCTTCGTGAATAATAGCCGTAGTGAGCCAGCGAAGACGGCTTACAGGACTGTGGAATAACGTTAGCGGTGTAGTGTCCGAATTAGGCGAATACGCCAGGTGGTTTAGGAAGCGATCCCGCAATTTAGGTAATGACGACATGGAGAGATCGGGTGTTGTGATCGCCAGGTGGTCTCCTAGGCATGAGAGTGTACTCGCTACGTAAACATATAGGTGATTGGAAAAGAGCGCTTCGTTCGATGAACAGTGCCTTGCCAGAGAGCACCAGTGATAGCCCAGCGTTGCGCTAATTTCTCTACGTAACAAATAAGTGGGTCGCCTAGTAGACCAACAGTGAGTGTGTAGTCGAGCATCAAAACCTGGGGATTACCACGAATAGGAACAAGGCACAACGCGTTCGTATGTAGAAATGTCCGGAAGATGGAAGGGGAAGGACTACGCTGCGAAACTCACAGCACGCTTGTAAACCCCACGAGTACCTAACGGTACCTCGGCAAACCGCACCTCCTCACACCACGCCGCGGGCGCATCCCCAATCACGACTCGCGCCTGAAATATAGACCTTAACAACGGGGCACCCTCTGCAATGTCATGCCTTGTTGTTTAGCGAGTTGATGTACATTAGTCTCAAGACATGATTGTCTCAGAAACGCCAGTGATCATTGGTGTGGGCGACATCAAGAACCGTACCTCGAATCACAAGGAACCAGCGGTGCTTATCCACGAAGCAGTACTCGCGGCTATCAAGGATACTTCAGCATCGGACCCTACAGCCCTTCAGTCGTCGATAGACAGCATCTCGGTAGTCAGAACATGGACGTGGCCATATCCCGATTTGCCAGGCTTACTAGCCTCGAAACTAGGCGCGGAGCCGAAGTACAAGTTCTACTCTGAGCACGGCGGTGAGAAGCCGGGGAGACTACTTGATGAGGCTGCGAAGCGGATAGCGCGAGGAGAGACCAAGCTTGCTGTTGTTGCGGGTGGAGAAGCATTGGCGTCTTGTAAGTGTAGATCGCAAAACTACTAGCAACAACCAGAGGTAGTCGTACTTATGCACGCAGTGACCGCATGTGCGGCGGCAGGCAAGCTGCCACCGCCGGGTTGGACGAAGCCAGCCGAGTCTGTAGAGTCTGTATTCACGCCGACTGGCATGGATCTCGGAAAGAGTAAGCAAATCACCGCTTCGAAGAGAGCCGATACTGATGCTGGAAGATCTCGGCGCTTTACACGACCTTGGCGCGCCCATCCAAGTCTACCCACTCTACGAGAATGCCTTCCGAGCACACCGAGGCCAGAGCGTGAAAGCGAACCACGAAGAGAGCGCAAGATTGTACGCCGAATTCTCCAAAGTCGCGAGCCAGAATGAGATATCGTGGTCCTACGGACAGTACGACGACGAGAAGAAGATCGGCACTGTGGGAAAGAAGAACAGGATGATATGCTCACCTTGTAAGGCTCTCTCTTGCACATCATATCATACTCTTTCGACTCAGGCTGACGAACCGCAGACCCGCTGCTAATGAACGCCTTCAATACGGTCAACCTCGCCGCCGCCTGCATCCTCACCTCGACCGCCTACGCCCGCGACCTCGGCATCCCCGAATCAAAATGGGTGTACCCGCTCTCCGGCGCCGGCGCCTCAGACGCCGCGTTCTTCTGGAACCGTCCCAACTTCTACACTTCGCCGTGCATGTCGCAGTCTCTCGATGCCGCGCTCTCGCTTGCCCAAAAGTCCGTCTCCGAGATAGATCTCTTCGACTTCTACTCGTGCTTCCCGATCGTGCCGAAGCTGGCGGCGCAGCATCTCGGGCTGCCGATCACGGGGGGCGAGAAGAGCTTGACGCTGTTGGGCGGGCTGACGAGCTTTGGTGGCGCGGGGAATAACTACAGCATGCATGCGCTGACGGCGATGACGAGGGCGATCAGGCAGGGGAAGGGGATGACGGGGCTGGTGTTGTGTAACGGGGGAGTGATGAGCTACCAGCATGTGGTCGTGTTGTCCAAAGCTCCGCGAACGAGAGGCGCGTATCCGCAAGAGACGTCTCTGCCGCAGCGGGAAAATGCTGTTCCGGATATCGAAGAGCGGCCCGAAGGCGAGGCCGAGGTCGAGGTGGGTTGATCTTGCGACCAAAAGAAACGCACCCAGCTAACCAGTCCTAGACTTACACGGTAGAGTTCAACCGCGACGGCACACCACTCAGGGGGTACATTGTTGGCCGACTGAAAAGCAACAGCAAGCGCTTCCTCGCCAATCATGGAGATGAAATGACACTGCGCCAGATGGCAGAGGGTGCCGGGGAGGTTGTAGGGAGAGCCGGGTGGGTGGTGCAAGACGGCGAGAAAGAGGGCAGGTCGTTGTTCAGCTTTGACAGGACGTCCAGGATATGAAAGATCAGAATAGATTTGGCACAAGGCTCCTGGAGGCGAAATAATGGACCCGCTTAGTCTACAGACGCAAATCTACAAATCCGATAGATTACATCCCGAATCACAGTCTGCTAATGCTGCTCTAGATGTACTGTCTAAGAGGGCAGGGCGCATTGGATAAGTCCATGGTAAACGCCATTCCGCAAGGTCAAGCGCATAGTCATTTAACCGTGAAAGGTTGCGCGGCGGAGGTGATGTACAGTCCCGGTCGAAAAACAGTCAAGAAAGCTAGGCGACAGAGGACGTAGCGCATGTACATGATGTATTGTGGTATACCTTTCGCATGCACACAAATCTCCAACGCACGCGTGGGTCCCATCTCCCCCTCCTTCTCCACCTTTGTACCATCCGACTATGATCCCAACGCCGCCACAACCTCGACACTCCCCCCGTCCTCCCTTTGCCGAATATACTTCTTCAACTCGCCCTTCTCCGCCCCCGCAAGACTAAGCTTATACTTCAGCGCATCCCCCTTGATGATGAACAGCTGCCCGACCTCAACCAGCACATCCATCGCGCCCGGCTCCAGATCCTCGGGGTCGGTCGGCCACGTGCGGATCAGATCCGCGTACCGCGTCATATCCTTGGACACGGTGATGCCGCCGAACTGGGAGACTGTGAATTTGAGCAGGTGGCCGAGCACGAGGGAGCGCAGGCCGAGCGCGAGCTCGGACAGGAATAGCGAGAGATTGCGGCCTGTGAGGGCGCCGGTGGCTTGTGTCGCGACGCGCGTCAGGAACTGGCACACCGCCTGGCACGCGGGCGTCTCGGAACTCGCCGCCATGAGATCCATGTCGTCCTTTGGCCGGAAATCCGTCTTCTTCTGCTGCGCGAGGCACTTTGCGACCCAGTTGAGCGTCGCCGTCAGCGTGATGTTGAGGACGTTGGAGAGCTTGGATTCGAGGGTGTTCATCGTGGCTGTTGCGGATTTCTCAATTTCGCGGCGGATGGTCAGGTTGGGCGTGGCGAGGGGGAGGAGGATGGTGCGGATGGTGGTTTGGAGGAGGTGCAGGATTATGGTGAGGGTTTGGATGGAGGGGAGGTGGGTGAGATCTGGCGGGGTTTTCATGTTTTCTTGGGAGACGGCGTGGTCGGAGGCGCTGGGAGAGTCAGTGCGATGAGGTCAGCGATGGAGGGAGTACTTACGCATCAAGAGCGGTTTCGAGGTAGTACTCGCCCACGTGGGTGAGCAGGAGGTTGTGCAGATTCTGCACGTCCTTTGGTGTGTCGTTTGTGGGTGAGAGCTCCAAACCTCGCCCCACACCCTCGGCGAGCCACTTGAGCATACGCTTCGCGGCTGGTATCGACAGCTTCCCGTCTTCTTCTGTGGTCTCGATGTTCTTCTTGTCGCTCTGGTCTTCCTTGAGACCGGCGATCCTGAGCAACATGGCTTTCTGCGTGGTGGGCAGATCTGCGCTGTCGAGACGCTCCATGTATGCGTCACGCGCGGAGGCGGCAAACTCTTTGCCTCGCTGGGCGAGTGAGCCAAAGTACGATGTCGGCATTCTCCGCCGCTGTTCGTGGTATGAGGTGAATTTGAGAAGCAGAGAGGAGTAGAGCTCTTCCAGATTCCTCTTTTCTCTTTCGATATAGGATGACCCAACAAAGTAGGGCACGAAAAGCTCTTCCAACTGTTGGTCTAACGTTGCAGCGATCTGCGACGTCACGGGCTCGGGCGCCTCGGTCAGGCCGTGTGCCTTGAGGTCGTCTACCAACGTGGTGATGTAGCTCCTCGAAGCCTGCAGCTGGCGCAGGAAGGCCAATGACGACAGCTCATTCGCCTTCTCGAGCACCATCTCCAGCCGTTGTTGGATGGACTGCTGGAAGATCCTCTGCAGGAACCTGATGAGGACCTCCTCGTAGTAGGGAAAGGCTCGCTTGATGATGGCCGACTCGTCCTGCACGACAATCTTGACTTCATCAATCAGCGACTGCAGGCTGGGTTCCACACCAGGCGGCTCTGCGTCTGGATCCTGAAGGCGGTCCCATGTCTCCGTGTCTTCGGCCAGCTCGTCCGTGACCAGCTGAGTCCGGTCGATGAAGAAGGAATGCTGGTTGACGTATGTGGCGATGACGCTGGAGCCGTCGTTGAAGTCCTTGAGCGTGATTGCGCACTCGCGCATGCCTTCGTAGTTGGCGCGTCTCAAGCAGTCGTCGAACTTGGCCAGGAGATCCTGCTCGAGGTTCTCCAGAAACTTCTCGATGATCTCTTTGGTGGGGTACTTGGACGGCCCTGGCCGCCTCTTGACGCCGTTTGCGGCGCTCCCGTTGACGCCCTGGGTGCTGTCTGGGTCGAGGCGGGAGCTGATCTTCAGCAGCTGGCGCGCTATGCGGGCACACTCGACGATGTCGTTGCGGCGCTTCACGTCCTCGAGCGTCTCCAGGGTGCCGCGCTGGCTGACCTCTTGCCAGCAGAGGATCAGGAACTTGGCGTCGTTGGAGCGCTTGAGCTGGCGGTCCAGCTCCTCGAGCCTCTCGCCAATGCGCACGGCGACATTTCCGCCGGCGTCGGCGTAGGCGTCGTCGCCGCCGCTGCCGTTGAGCGAGTTGTCGAGGCGGGCGAAGCGGTCGACGGCCTGGTTGAGCTTCCGGCCCAGCGACTCTGCGTTGGCGCCGTGCTGGGCCTCGGCGCGGCGCACGGCGCCCGAGAGCTCGTTCTCGCGCTCCTCGAGGTCCTCGGACAGGCTGTTGAGGCGGCCCAGGGCGTGCTCGAAGGCGCGGATCAGCGGCTTGGGGTCGAAGTGCGTCTGGCTGCCGCCGGGCGCCGACTTGCGCGAGGCCGGGGTGGCGCTGTCGGAGAGGGCCTCGACGAAGTCCTTGACGATGAAGTCGCGGTTGGCGAAGTTGTCGAGCGAGAAGGTGAAGCCGCGCCCGGGGCCTCTGGTCGAGCCCGTGTACGACAGCATCGACGCGGCGTCTGCGCTGGGGCGGGACATGGTGGCGGGCTACCGGGGGCGCATGGGCGGGCGGGAGCAGGCACGCGAGAGCCGTAGCGGCCAGGATGCTCTGCGCAGGATGGCGAGTATCGAGAATCTCGCCTGGTGCGGAGCCGCGATGCACGGCGGGCGTCGAGTCGCGGCGGCCCGTGGCGGTTGGGGGTGGCTTGTGCCTCCCCGCAGCGCGCGCGCTTTGGGGAACTCGCCGCCACCCAGAGCCGCTGGAGACGAGACGTCAGCGCGGGCTCGGGCTGGCGCCGCTGGCGACCAGGACACTTGGGCCGGCACGCCTCAGCAGTTGCGTCGCGCATACGCAATTGCCCCTCCCAGCATGGCTGAGCAGCAGCAGTGCTCTTGGCTTCGGCTCTGTCGGCGCCACTTGGGCGCACCAGCCTCACCGCACATGGCCCTGCGCGGAGACTTGTAAACCTGCACGAGGCGCCTCGACCCGCGACACTCCGTTGCTCCTCCGCCCGCACGTTGCCCATTCTCTCCTTCGCCCGCCGGATCCGCAGACCACTCGAGACCCGCCGCAATGGCGTCCACGGGCATCACCAAGCGCGAGGAGCTGGCCTTCCGCAGAGGCGTCGTCAACGGGAAGCAATTGACCGCACACGAGCGCGAGCAGATGCTGCAGCCCTTCCTCCCGCCCGCACCCATCGAGGCAGCGCCCCTCAAGTCGCCAAAGAGCCCCAGGCTCTCGCAGCGCACCACCGCGGCGCCCAGGCCGAAACCCACGCCCGTCCGCACCGTGCTCCACATCGTCCTCCACGCCGTAATCGCCTTCGTCTTCAGCATATTCTTCCGCTTCCGCCGCTCCTGGCGCCTCTTTTCCTACAAGGTGCGCGGCGTGCTCAGGCACCACCACCACACGCCCGAGTGGATCGTCAACGACGTCAAGAACGTCGAGCAGCTCCCCAAGCACATCAGCGTGGTCCTCGAGCACCGCGACGACGACGAGGACCAGGGCACCGCCGGGCTCGAGGGCCTCGTGCAGGACGCCTGCGAGATTGCCGCCTGGACCGCGAGCGCAGGCATCCCCCTCCTCAGCATCTACGAGCGCACCGGTGCGTCCCCATGCCCCCTCCCTCGCGTGCAGACTAACAGACCCTGCTGCCAGGCGTCCTGAAGAACTACGTCCCCCAACTCCACGCCGCCATCGAAAAGAACCTCGAGTCCTACTTCGGCACCCGCCGCCGCCCCACCCTCACCGTCAAAGCCCCGCACACAATCTCCTACTCCCCGCCCGGCACGCCCTCGACCGAGCCCACCGAGAACGGCGCCACCACCTCCCGCCCCCACCTCACCGTGCTCCTCCTCTCCGAGCACGACGGCCGCGCCACCCTCGTCGACCTCACCGTCACCCTGGCCTCCATGGCCCAGAAATCAGACATCGACCCCAAGCAGATCGACATCCCCCTCATCAACGCAGAGCTGTCGGATTATGTGAGCAGCGAGCCGGATCTGCTGGTGCTGTTTGGCCCGACGGTGAGGCTGATGGGGTATCCGCCCTGGCAGCTGCGGTTGACGGAGATTTTCCACCTGCCGGATAACAAGGGGGTCAATTATTTGGTGTTCAGGAAAGCCTTGGGCATGTTTGGCAAGGCCGAGTTTAGGGTCGGCAAGTGAGCATCCATGTTTGGTTGGTATGGGTTTCTGTAGATTGTTTGGGTATACCCTGGTTCGGGAGACGGCATTGCGTAGAGCATTACTAATTCTAAGACTGCACCATGTCATTTTCGAGTATCTGTGATGGCTTTGAGGATGCCATGAATAGGCAGTACCCGTTGACTCTGCATCGAGACCAACCACCCCACGGTACTGCGTAACCACGGGACGGTGGTGGAGTGTGTATACTTGAACACGAGGCAATGGCGTTGGCATGGCATATCGGAAATGGCTTATCAGTTCTACAGACTGCATGTACTATGTTATTCCAAAGTCTTGCTGATCACTTTGAGAGTGGATGAGCACGCAGTACCGGTTAACTCTGCAGTGAGATCAAGTACCGTGACTTCGTGCACCGCCTATCGTCCACCTTGCTGTGATCAGTCGACGCACGCCTGGACACGATGTCCGTCTGCTCCTCCACCGGTTCCATCCGTCAATCGCAGCACCTCACCAGGCAGTCCTGAGCAGCCCCGCCGGAGCTCAACGTTCACATGAAATAACAATGTCTATCAGTGTGCGTTTGCTAGGGGTTGCGCTTCCGCTCGCAAGCGCCGAAACAATTGACCATAAGCAGAACTCTGCTCCTCACTGACTGCAAACATGCCCTGAGCAAACACCTTCTACAGCCTAGGCGTGATGCCCGCCTTAATGGGCTAGGTCCATTTGACACCCTCAGTTGGCGCCATACAAACGCCACTGGCTCGTACCAATTCCCGGGCTATCTCCTAGGGCTCATAGGCACCATCTCCGGCCTGGTAGACTGTATGTCCCGGCTCGTCCTGCACCTGAGTGTATCGCGTCGCAACTAATGCCAACCTCATCGTTCCTCCACAGCCATGGACACATACAAAGACATTCCGCCGCAAGACCGCCCCGGGAACGGGGTGACGAGGACCCTGCCTTATGGCGCCTAGGCCGTAGTCCTCTGGTGCACCATCATGTGCGGCGTCGAGGCTTCTGTCGTGGTATACCGTTTCTTCCCCTTGGGCCTGCTGTGGGGCGCGCCCTGTGTCCTGCAGTCCTCACGCACAGGAGGACTCGAGTTGGCTAAGCCAAAAACCTTGACACGTACCATACCTGTGGTGCATACGAGCGGGCAGCCTCGTCTGCGCAGTCGTTCGAATCTGGCCCCTCTCAGCTGCGCGGCGTACTACTGCGCCAGTGGAGGTTCCCAGTGCAGCCACGAAGCTGTGCGTCGCAGACGCCTCGCTCGTGCCATGCTCTACCAGTTTTTCCGCGAGACACGCGTGACATCGGGGACATTGCGGAGGATGCGAAAGACGGCCTGGCCACCCTGCCCTTGAGACTGGGCAAGAGAAACTCGTTGGTGCTGGCGGTGCTTGGGTGCGTGCTTGACGCTGTCTCCACACGGGCATCGCGCTCGAAAACGGCACGCTTACTGTCCGCCATCATCAGATGGCATGCGCGATGCTGAGGGTTAACCTCAAGATAGAGAGTTACGCCATGATACTCCATTTCCCAAGGCATGACCATTGGGCTTGGGGACGATATCGGCTTTTGGACTGATGCCCATGCTATTTGACTGACACAAATCTAGGCAAAGGGATCGGAGTTGCGAGCGGGCTGGTGTTGAGTGTCGATGCAGGACTTTAAAAAATAATACCAGGTGCTTGAGCTTGATTAGACGTTAGCGTAGCCTATGCATGTACATCAATGTGGGTTGTGACTTGTGTTACCAGTCTATACATCGGCGTTAATGGTGGACAGGTGTCTTGGGCATGTCAATAACGTAGTGGATTCAGTTTGCCGTGGATCAGATGGAACGTATGCACAACCTATCTGCAAGTGCTTGCACGGTACGTCACCAATGAAAAGTTCATCAAGTTTTGTGAGCAGTATGAGGGTGCATGACTTTCATTCAATGTATCTAGCGACACAGCCCGGCCAGCAGCCGAAGCGAGCGCCCACAATACCACTGACAGCGCGCTCGACACCGCCCAAAAAATGCCCATGGTCGTCCCGCGTGGTTCTCATAACCCCAAGTAAATGGGAGGTTGGCATGATCGTGTTTCGTTGGCAGCGGAAGATTGGCGAGACGCTTAGTCGAAGAGACCGAAGCCCATGTCGTCGTCGGACTCCTCCTTCTCCTCCTCAGCGGGAGCGGCAGCGGCCTCCTCAGCGGGGGCAGCGCCGCCGGCAGCAGCACCACCGGCAGCGGCGGCGCCGGAGCCGCCGGACGGGACGGAGGCGAGCTTCTCGGAGCCAGAGGCGATGAGCTGGGAATCGTTAGATACATTATTTTTAGGTGGAACGGATGGTGGCTTACCTCGTTGATGTCCTTGCCCTCGAGCTCGGAGAGGAGCTTGTCGAGGCGCTCGCTGTCGGCCTCAATACCGACAGAGCTGAGCACATCCTTGATGTCGGAGGCGGAGGGCGAGGTGTTGCCACCAAGGCCGAGGAGGAGGTAGGCTGCGAGGTGCTTCATTGTGGATGTGTGATTGTCGTCGAGAAAAAGAACTGAGTACAATCGATTTAACCTGCGCGCGTTAGCATGCGTGTGCTTTCCTATCGCGACAGCCGCGCTCGAACATACCGTATGACCGGAGACTGAGACTTCGAGTTCTCGATGTGGTTGCAGTTCAAGAAAGTTCGACCCGCGCGACGAATATTCGCATACGTGAGTGCGCTAGCACGGGCTAAGCCTGTTGGGGGCTGGTGGTGCCGGCGCCGGATTAGCTCTGGTTCCGGCGCCTTGTTCGCCTTTATAAGGACCGCCACTCTTGACGCTGCCCACGCGCTCCGTGTGTTTTATTCCTCCAGGGCGCTGTGATCCCGCTGTCCTTGCGCGTGCGTTTGCTCGGCGCCACCGCTTGCCCTACAAACACGCGCCACGGAAGCATGATCGACTGCTTTTCCGCTACATACGACCAGTAGCCCTGAGTCAACTGCAGAACTGTCGCCCACCATGAACGTGAGCCGCCTGGCGTTCAAGCGGAAGCCGCTTTGCTGACCTAGCCAGCCCCTCGCCGATATCCTGACCTCGATCGACCCGAGCAAAGCGACCATCTTCAAGAATACGGCCCCAGTCCAGCGCCTGGGTACCGGTTCCCCGAAACCTGCCACGGGGCAGCGCCCGCCGCAGCGCCCTGCCCAGCCCGCGAACGGAACCCCCGAAGCGTCCGCGCTTAAGCGTAAAGCTTCCAACCCAGGCGATGTAGGACAGAACAAGATACCCCGGAAAGATGCGCCTGCGCCGCTGGCCACCACGAACGGCGCTCGGTCGGGTTCCGCCCCTGCCGGGTCACGATCGACCTCTACCACACCCACCACTTCAATGCCCTACCGAGGGACCGCCGGCTTGGGTGCATCCAAAGCTGCGAATCCGCAAGTCAAGAAGCCTTTACCTGCTGGTGCTGGACAATCTGCCAAGACCGCATCGCCTGCCTCTCGACCGACTGCGCCGAAGCCCACTTCAGCTGCATCGGCTGCATCGGCTGCACCAGTGAAAAAGGTGGGAGGTTATTTGGCCATGTTGCAGAAGGCCAAACAGAGGGATGCTACGAAGCCTGTTGCCCCTCCAGTCAAGCCCGAGCCGGTCAAAATCATGTCCAAGAAGGAGCGGGAGGCTGCCCGACTTGCCGCCAAAGCAGGTCCGAAGGGGAAGCAACCAGTTGCTGGGCCCCCGGGGCGAGCTTCTGCTCCGAAAGCAGGCGCGGCCAGCACGTTGCAAGAGAAGCGGAAACCTGCCGACCTCGGATACCAAGGCACCGCCCGCCCTGCCAAGAAGCCCGCCGAGATTGGTTACAAGGGAACAGCCCGTCCTGCTGCTGCTGCATCGTCTGCTGCCCGACCTGGTGGGCCCGCTGCTGCCATTAAGAAGAAGCCCAAGCCCGCCCAGGATCGTTACGCCGGGTACGCCAACTGGTCGGACCTTTCTGAGATGGACGATGACGAAGAAGACTACGCATCCGATGGCTCCTCCGATATGGAGGGCGGCATCTGGGACGTGGAGCGGGAAGAAGCCGAGGCACTCAAGGCCGCCAAACGGGAAGACGCCGAAGCGTTGGCCGAAGAGAACGCCCTCAAGCGAGAAAAAGAAGAGCGTAGGAAGCGTCTGGCCGCTATGAATAAGGCCGCGGCGGCGAAGAAGAAGTACTGAGCTGAGCTTTCACGATTATGATCATGCTTACGGAGTTGTTCGGTTGGACTGGATTCACGGCATACCACAGGGGGCGTTGTTTGTTTGTTAACGTGCATTTTCGACTTGCATAGCTACGGTGCTTGGGGACGGATGTTAGGGGTTCCTCTCGTCACGGCGGCTCTTAGCAGCGCTGTAGTTTTTCATGACCGGTTGCCTTCGAAAGTTAGTGAGTGGCTCACAGAATGGTGTTTCAGTACGGTGACAGACAGTTGTCAGTATAGAGCTTAGTATTCACACCCCTATTGGTAATCGATGTAACTGGTACTTGACGAATGTCACTTGGACTTTTGCTCGTGATAGATGCGTGTGACGGTTATGGCTATTGGACGTCTCCACGGTCGAGAGCAATCGCACAGTGATCGCAAGCACGCCAGCTCGACCACAAACGCAACATGTCGATCAACACTTCACAGCGACCAACCCGCACAACGTACCATATGTGCGCGACACCGCCCTTGCACCGCATTCTCACACGCCGCAACGAACCGTTGCGAATTCGCCATTTCCTCCTTTACCAGCTCTGGGCCTTGACTGTACAGATATGCAATACAGTACCACCGACATCCCGCACAAGCGTCAAATGGCCCCCGACACAAGAAAACAGACCGTCGCGTCTCCCCCTCCCTCTCCGCACCCGTCGCTTATTCCCCCTCCACTGTTCTCTTCCCACCCTCACCATCGTCCTTCACGCGACCTCCCACACCTCCCAGACGCGGGTGCGGACGAGCCGTCTGTGGCTGATTACGAACGCGACGACGTCTTCTGGAACAGTGCGCTTGAAGAGAGGGATGGTGAGGGGGTGCCGGCGTACGATGACCTGGGAAGCGTGCAAGGAACGGGTACGGGATATTGGGTTAGGGAGTTGGGCTTGCCATGTGACGAGGATGAACGTATGAGAGAGGCAGAAATCGAGAGGAGACGTGGGACGGAGGTGCAGGACCTCGCCGTTGGTAAGGAGGGGGATGGGGCTGGGGAGAGGCAGAAATTGCCGGGTGGTGGACCGGTGGAGTTAGACTTTACCTTTGGCGAGCAGAGGGGTGAAGGGGAAAGGTCTGTGTCGCCGTCTTTGTCGATGCTTTCGAGTTGGGATTTGTACAAGCCGCCGACCCCGCCGTGGTCGAAACGCGAATCATCTCTCAGAAAAGCGCACTTCGAGCCTGCCAGTGTCCAGCACGACGCTGGTCAGTCGCTGGATGTAATGACCGGAGAGCGCGAATACGCTGCACGCGAGATGCGTGGTGGCGGCCGAGCTAGACTTATCTCGTTCGAACCTCTGTACGCGCCTTTCGAAGTCAATTTAGGATCGCACACGCAACACTTTGGTCCTTTTGAGTTTAAGCTGCCGCCGAATGTGCTGGGGAATGTTGAGAAGTTTGCCAAGGCGGATCCCGTGGGAAAGCATAGAGTTACTTCTACAGCTGGGTTGGAGCCACTTGGTGGCTACGCTCGGGGGACGGAGAGGTCAGGCGCAAGTCTTGGGGAGACGACGAGCGAGGTGGTGGATGTTCAGGGAGCGGTTTGGGAGGGGGACACACTGCGGTCGAATGTGGCCGAGCTGGAGCAGGCGTATCTGTATTCCGGGCTTGAATCAGCGGGCGGAGATTCGGAAGACCTTTCGCCGCCAGAGTCTCTGATAGGGTCTACGCCTGAAGGGTATACGCTGGAAGAGGCGATGAGGAAGGCGAGGACCGCAAATGCGCCGGGTATAAAGGATCATCCGGCATTTAAGAATGAGAAGAGAGCGACAGATGCCAAGTCAGCGGACAGTGAGGGAGAAAGAGAGCTTACTGGCACCCAGGAGCAGAAACAGATTCGCTCGAGATCTAAGACCGCAGGATCTGGACCTCCTCGGAAGCAAGGCTGTCCCGTTACCATCGAAGACGAATGGCCTCTCGATGACCACCGCCCACCACCCCCAGGACCAAACAGCACATTGCACTCCCCATCACCTATCCGCCCTAGTTCCGCCTCGTTCCTACCACCACCGCCACGCACTACCCTCCCCACCGAAGATGAAGCCCAAGCCTTCATTCACCTCACACACTCCCGCACCCCCAGCCCCACCACCGCCCTCCCCTACTACACCACCCTCCTCGCCGCCCAAGCCTCCTCCATCGGAGAACTCAACGCCCTCATCGCCGACCTCACCGACCGCGGCGACTACTACGAGCACGACCTCCTCCCGCGCACCCTGGCGCACTGGACAGAGATCAACACAGAGAACCACAAGCTTTCTACCGCGCTGAGGAGTGCGGAGCAGGAAAACTCCATGCTCCGGGACATGCTCGAGGTCTCGAGGCGGACGCTGAATCTGTGCTGGAAGCGGGAGACCGCGGTGCTGGCGACGGTGCAGACGATGTGGAGGCGGAAGATTAACCGTACCAATTGCGCAATTCTAGAGCGATTGGTGAATAATTTTGGTGCGGGTAGGGGAGGCGGGAGGGGCAGGTGGAGGTGGAGGACGGAAAGTCCGTTTCGGGAGGACGTGGAGCAGTTGTGGTTTGTGTGTGAGCAGAATTTGAAGGTGCTGGATGAGGATTTGAAGGATTGGGAGGAAGGGGTTAGGATATTGGAGGAGATGAGTGAGGAGACAAGGAAGGAGAGTGCGGAGAGGGCAGATGAAGATGGTAAGGAAGGAGAGAGGGTAGGGGGGAATGTGGGGGGGATGAGAGGCTGAAGGATATATGGTCTGGTTAGTCTCGCTGTCTGGTCAAGCAGTGTTCCTGGAGCAGCATTATCCGACAATAATGTGCATTTTTATGAGATGTGCTAGGAGCCGCGGGGACGAGAAGATAGGTTGTGCCCGGGTTTAATGTGGTTGACTCTGTCTATTTTATGGAAGTTGAGCAGAATCTAGCTGATCTGACTTTACTGAAAATATTCTTACGCGTTCTCTGTAGCTGAACATACTCGAATCGGCACGACTTTTTCTTCATTAGAAGATGCATGTGCTACCACAAGCACTCGTTCCGGCGGGGGCCACGTGCAACCGGCAAATCGAAAAATGTCTGCTCGAACAGCATTGATCCAAACGTTGCGCTGATCACTGAACAGGGGTAATCGGACACCATCACGTTTCATGAAGACCCATGACACGTACTCGGACATGTCTCTACGCGCAGTGTACACGATGCTACGCCGCACTGTATATGCATGGATTGTCCGTGGTCATATTGATACAATAGCATTGCCGACCTTCATTCTCCGAGCGCGACCGTGGCTGTCACACAACCGGGACTGATCGGAACACCTAGGTTTCATATATGCATGGACGGGTGGTAGTGGCACAAGCGGGTGAGAGGGTTATCGATGGCATGTCCGTTCTATTGTCGAGTCCATTGTGGATTCGCACTTGACAACCACTCGTTTGCCTTTAGAGAGACACGTACCTACTCCTCATTCCTCCAAACTATTGATTTTATGGGCAATTTGGCTGGATTGGCCCGAGAACCAGAATAAGTTTCGGCTTCGCTATCGGGGACTTCGATTGTAAGCTACTTGCGCGTTTTACCAAGCATGCAAATTCTAAGTTATATCAAAGTGCAAATCAGCCCGAGGCGACTATGGAGCACTCCTCAACCATGTCGATATCCTCCACAGAGTACTGGATCGAGTCAGACGCTTCGTATCGAGCGAGAATTGTGCGGCTACCATAGCGGGGCTAGATGCCTTTCTAGACAATCACGCTGGTCTCGTCGATGAAAGTCGGAAGCGGAGATACGAGCGCGCAAAGCTCATCGCGAAAGGTATTGATAGTCTGAAGGCCAAGTCCCTCAGAATCGCCAACTCCACACGTCTCCATCCCTATCGTCCAGAACACTCCCTCTTCCTTTCCCTTTGAGTTTTCCGCCCACACTGCTTCACGACCATCGACGATACTTCCACCTGTTCCTGTCCCTGCACGCGAGGCTGCATAATGCGTACCCCTTAGGCGTTACCACACGCAGCAACTTGCGCCTCTCGAGCCTATAGTACTTACTCATCACCTACTGAGGAGACAGGGACAATCGGCGTCACATCCTTGATCCCAACCGCAAGAATCACCTTCCCTCTCTCCGATTTCCACCATGACCCGCGTCGTTCCATGGCCTGCACATTCCGATCAAAGGGTGGATGCTAGTAAAGTGAGACTTCGCGTGGCCGTGAGGTCTAACAAGGGTTTCGGGACACTGCAGTGACTGCGTGTGCCTCAACTAGACCGATCGAACGCCCTTGAGCTTGCACTGCGCGTACGTAACCCAGCTCCTGCCGGGCTGCCTTGTCAGCCAATACCCGTGGATCACAATAGTCCACCAGCTTGCACTTCGTCGCACCACATTCCATCACAGCCACTGAAGATTAAAGAGCACAGCGCAAGTCTGCAGTATGAACGTCTTCGCTTCATCAACTCTCTACACTTTACCCAACCCTTCCCCTCTCAATCGCGGTATATACAACCAGACGCGGGCCCATCCGCATCCTCTAACCAAGTAACATGGACTGAAGCGCCTATGCACAAGTAATGGCATCCCTCCGGTCAAGACCGCTGCAAAAACATTCAAAGCAACGCAAAATAAACAATGCCCTCGCGAAGTGGGGAATAGTGGTAATCCAAAAAAGCCAAACCAGCCGCGAAACAAAAACGCCGTAATATCCCGTCATTAATAGATCTTGTAGCGTGTTGCAGAAAATGCACGAGGGCCACGCATCGCGCGCCAGGAATGCAAATGCAGGAGAGGAAATGCGCTCGCTCGAACGCTTGAACCGTTGCCAAACCAGAAATTGAACAAGCCCAATGAACATGTCACGTCCTGCGACCCTGATAAGGATCCTCCAGAATCTCCTGTATCTTGGCGTAAAAACTCTCGGGATACCCCTTCATAATTTCCTCATGCGTGACAGGCGGCTTGCTCGGGTCGCGGCAACGATCTACGATCTTCCAGACGATGTTGCTGAGGAGCTCCTTCGAGACAGGCACCCCGGCGTTCTCAGGGAAAATAAACGTGTCCACGCCGTCGAGAAGCTGCTTGATGGTAGGTCGCTGTGAGGGATCGCGGTTAAGACACATGCGTAGCGTGCGCTTAAGGCCTGGCGGGACCGGAGCACCGCCGATGCCGTAATCCCGAAACTCGATTTCGTAGTCGCGGTTGACGATGGCAAGGACGCGGCCCATTTGATTCGGGATGTGTGCGAAGGGACATTGACCATAGACCATTTGGTACAGGATGCAGCCCAGACTCCAGACGTCGCTGGGCTTGCCGAGCTTCATGTCTTTGGGGCCCTCGCCATTTGCAAGCTTGCCTCGTGCTCCGCCGGCACTGTCTTCGAGACTTTCCGGGGACATGTAATTCGGGGTTCCGATATGTGCGTCTCGGTGGACGTTGACGGTGTGGTCAGTCTCGATGGCGTTTGCGATTCCGAAGTCGATGAGCTTGAGAGACCCCTGCACAAGGACAAAGTTGGCGGGCTTGAGGTCTGAGTGAACAATGTCGTAATCGTGGACAGCATCAACACAGGACAGCATTTCCCTCCAGTAGTAGCGCGTAAAGTTGAGATCGAGCTTCGCGTCTGCAGCATCATTCTTGAGGCGCATGATGCGGGCGAGATCTGATTCCCCTAGTTCCAAAAGCTGGAAGAGTTAGCAACCATCTTCTACCAGACGCGACGAACGGGCGAGGGAGAAAAAGGCTCAACATACCACGTGCAGAATCTGTCGGTCATTGTCGAGCTCCCAGTCGTACAGCTTCACCACTCTCTCCACATTCTTCAGCTTCTCCAACAAATCAATCTCGCCCTTGTAGCCTATAACAGCAGCTTCGTCTGCATCATCAAGCTTTACTCTCTTCAGCGCAAGCAGCTTGTAATTTTCTGCCATGACGCGCATGACGACTGAACTGCCCCCCTTCCCTATCCGGTCCATGAGCTGGTAGGTTTTGTTGTGGATGGTCACGAGGCTCCTCTTCTTGCGCTCTCTAGTCTTGGTCGTTGCAGCACCAGCACTAGCGGTTGCAGTCTCAAGCGCAGACATCTTCGGTGGTGGGGGAGGCGCCGGTCTTCTCGGGGTATTCGCGCTTATCGACTGTAATGGCATTGGTCTTTCCTGTCTCTGGATGGGTGACAGAGGCTGTCGCGGGGGTTGCATGTCGTGGTCTGCTGTCTTCATGATGGAGTCCGGAACCTTCAGGCCAGAGTGGACGGCATCCTTGGGATCCGATTTTACTACCGACATAGGGACGATGTTTTCCTGGTCCTGTGAGGGTGGATGCTTTTCATCTTCGCTCTGCGGCGTCCGTCGTGATCTCCTCATGGGCGCGCCTCGCAGCGGTACCCTCTTGATGCGCAGACTGGGGGCAGGTGTGACGGTATCGTGCACGGGCGTGCCCGACCCACTGCGCGAGACGCGTAATTTTGGCTTTCGTACCCTTTCAGGCGAGTTGGCCTCGTTCTGTGCCAGCAGCGCGGTGGTGAGCGCGCTGAGCTTCATGGGCTGCGGGATCTCGTCATCGGACGAATCGCCAATGTCGATGTTTTGCATCATGGGCGCATTCGCCGAGAAGCCCTGGCTCTGGCCCAGCACGCTGAGCGGCGAGTCTCTGCGGGGCCGCACATTTGAGTGCGAGCGCATGCGCCCGAGGCTGCTGTAGGAGCCCATAGGGGTGGGCGAGGCCGTGGCCATGGTGATTTGAGGCGGCGCGTCGGTCGCGAGCGTGATTGCACTCTGGGCTACCGCGAGCTGTGCGGGCGTGTGAATTGACTCCGGATAGCGAATGTCGACTGTAGGGTTAGTTTTCCATACATAAGGCGCGGTGCGGTGCGGTCCGGCGGCTGTTCGTTGTAGGGATGCGGCGGTGGTGGGTTGGAGTGAGAACTGGTGGTTCGCGTATTCAGGATCGGCGCCAGCGGAGCGCGTTGCCAGGAGCAACCGGTAAACAATGGACACCGACACCCGTCACCACTCACCCGATACAAGACTAACTGAATTTGTTTGCAAGAGTATTGTGTTATTGGTACTGCGCACTCGGGCTTGGGTTAGGTAGAATTCTCAGCAAGTTATATGCAATTGTGCACGTTGTTCTTTCCATCGATTATATGTGGGGGATATCACCACTGTTTTTCTAAGAAAGGTGGCAATCATGCTTCGACTAAAACAAATTGAGCTATCTCTGGACTGTTAAAATGACGGAAAGGAAAAAGAATCCTGAGGTAATACCACACACATTGTTGTGCTGTCACCGCAAGGGCGGTATCGATTGTACACTCCACACCCACATCCTTTTCAGAGTCGTGAAGAAATCATAAATAAATTCTTAACACCCCAGTGTGTCCCCCAGCTTCTCTTCATTGCACGGCATCCGCCCTCCAACACATCTACACCTCACTCCTAAACTGTTTGTCTCTCCATAGGACTGAAGATTTTGCGTTCAACGCTACCAGGCCCTCCGAACCATGTCCACCAACAAAACATTATGCTTCTCCCGCGGCTCACGCATGCAAACAAACTGCCAGAAAATCTGGGTCTCAGAAACCTCACACGACATCAACATCGAGACCGAAGACTTCGAATACTATATCTGCTATGTGACGAAAGACTATGGTGACCACTTCCGCGATCCCCTTGTGCTTGCCACCTCGAGCAAGAGCCCAGACGCAGCGTGGGAGGAGCTCGATAGGATGTTGGCTTTTGGAGCTAGGAAGGCGGGGAAGGAATGGGGAACGTGACAAATGTTCTTGCGATGCTACGGGAGCCTCTTACTATATTGCTTTGCTGCGCTTTTCGTGTTGAGTTCGCCAGTTTTCCCTGAGTTCCTACGACTACCTTAGCAGCCCTTCTTCAGCTGCATGGCTCTACTACTCCATCATCCCTGCAGCCCTTCATAAACCGCGCCTTCCAATCTTTCCACAAATTCCACCCACTTTCCATCCATAAATGGAAAGAAGTTTCCCGCCGCAACAACAACAATCCCCTTTTCACCATCAATCCAGAACGCCAGATTCGCCGCCCCCACCCAGTACACGCTCCCCTTGCTCCGCCCTCTCCTTCCGTCCGACAGTACCCTGTTCTCTCCCTGTATCGCGCTTCCGAGACCGAAACATCCTGCGGGATCTACATTGGGAGCTTGCAGTTCGTACGGAAGAAAGACCGGGTTCGCGGTGGGGATGTTGCGAGAGTCATTCCTGATCTCAACCGGGTGAGCTACCTTCGCAAATTCCGCCGCGCTCGCAGCGGATAAGATGCGTGTGCCGGTAATAGGGTCCTACATCAAAGTTAGCTCGGATATCCCTTCCCAGATCAAGTCAACCCATGCCCACTCACCACGCCCGCATTCTGCGGCAACAAAATGCTATAAATCCTCCCCAAATCCGCGACGCTGAGCACCAGTCCCGTCCCCACACTCTGCATATGGTGTCCGCCCTTCGGCCACGCGTCCTCCCGCTCAGCTTTCTTTTCCGCGAACCCGGGGATGCTCACGAACCCCCCATCCGGCAGCCTCAGCCCCACAGGCCAGAAGTCCACGCCTGGGGTACTGGATACGACACTCCCTCCCATCTCGCCTCGAAACCCTCCGTGTCTGATGCCCAACGGGTTGAAGAGATTCTCGCGCAGATTGTCCTCGAAGGACTTGTTGGTCAGCCGCTCGACGAGGACGGAAAGCCAGTCGAGTCCCTGACCGTAGTTTGTTTTCGTGCCGGGCTGCCACAGAAGCGGACTCTTGAGAAGGGTGTCCCAATATGCGGTGCCCTCGTTTTCGGTGGCTACTGAGTCGCCTAGGAAGTCTCGGAGCTCAGTGTTGAAGAACGTGTTTCCGGTGCCGTTGGTGTGGTCCAGGAGCATCCGCGCTGTGATATCGCCCTTCCTCTCTTCGAAGACGTACTCTTTCGTTCCGTCCCCAGTATCTTTTGGGCCAACGAGGACTTTCTTGTTAGCGAGCTCCGGGAGATATTTATCGATTATCTCGGGATTGTCGAGCGTCGCGAGCCCGGCGTCGACGAGCTGCATGAAGGTGACTGCGCCGATGAGCTTGCTGCAAGAATGAACGGAGACCATCGTCTTTAGTGTATGGTCGTGAGAAATATGTTTGAAAAGCTCTGTTCCGCGGGCGTCGAGGACCTGGACGATGACGCCGGGGAGGGTAGGGTTGGGGCCTGTTGTCGCATTGTCGATGTAGTTGTGAAGGGCGGATGCTGTGCTGGGGTTGAGTGTAGGCATAGTCGGAAGAGGACAGAATGGAGAGTTAATTGGGGACTTGGTTGGATGGGAGAATGGGATTGCAGGGACGAAGGGATATCGTCTTCTCAAGTTGCAGTCAAAACGAGTGCAGCTTTATTGCATTAAATGATTTGTCGAAATACGGTGGGGGCGACGCAGCTAGTTGATCTTCATTTTCCACGTCTTACAAGGATATCATGAACGCTGACCGTGATATGTGACGAATTTGGACAATCTGAGAAGGACAGACTACCTATTGGATGTATAAGTGTCATGGAATTAGCCGTCTTACACCCGTTGCTCAGCTCATGTAGCACGGGAGGAAGCTAATCGAGATGCGTTAGCGGCATCTTACACGACTAATCTTTTAGCTCGATATCACATGAAGATCCCAGTGTCACTAACGATGGTCTCCACACGAGATCGCGCACAAAGCATTGAGGAGAGTCTAGTCTCAGTTTCAGTCTCAGCATGACATGCTCACGCGCAGAGAGGAAGTCGATGAGAGCATTGGTATTGGTAGAAGCGATTCCAGGATTCGCGACCAGACTTGTTTAAGAATTGCAGGATCAGCCTGCCAACAAGATGCGCTCAAGGTCCCATGTAACTCTCTTCAGGCGCTGTTCCGGCTTAAGCGGACGACTGCGTGCCGCTCTGCAGTTCAGCATTCAGTTTAGCCTTCTTGTTCTTTTTTATTTGGCGGTTCGAGACCTTCTTCTCCTCCCCAGATTGAGCCGGCGTTGTATCGAGGCTGTCCTGAGCCTTGCGCTTCTGGTCCTTACTCTGGCTCTTCTTCAACTTGCTGTCTACGACCTTCTCTTGCGCAGGCGGCTTCTCACCCCCGTAGACTATGTCGACAATGCCCTTGTAGCTTTGGCGTTTGAGCCGTGCAAACTCCACGATGCTGCGAGGCTCCTTCGTGAGCGCATCCTTGCCTCTCTCCAGACCCAGACCCCACACGGATGCCAGATTCATGACATCGCTGGGCGCCCTTAGTCCCAGCAAGCTCTTTGCCTCCGAGCTCATGATCAGGCCACGTCCCCGGGTCACACGGATGAGCTGTGTCGCATTGCTGATGACATTTCTCTTCGCATTCAAATCAGTGGAGAGGATGGCTTGGCCGTAGCAGAGCTCAATCTTGATCCCGCGTGAGATGGCGGTGCCAAGCATAGGGAACTTGAAGTGCTTCTCAAACTTCTGGCTCAGATCGAGAGAGATGATGTCTACATCTAGACTCTGGCATGCTTGCTGGAGCGTCTTTTCGTCAGTGGGCCGCGCTGCGATCAGATCATACTGCTGCTGGAGCTGCGGAATCCGGAAGTTGGAAGCTGCATCCGTGAGGAAAATGTTACAGCGACGTAGTACACGCAGCCGCGGCGGTGTTGGGAACGGCAGGGGATTGGGGACGGGGGACGTCTGTGGAGATTAGCTTGGCGACCGTGGTCCTGCGGTTGACGGTGGAGGATCAGCTACTCACCAAGTCTGCGGGCAAGCGCCCGCCGTAAGAATGGGTAAGAGCGACCACGTCGTATCCTACTACGTTCTGTGAGTTCCCTCTTCACGGTCGACAGCAAGCATGGGCTCCAATACGCTACTTACATTCATCGAGAAACGCGACCGCACGCTGTAGCTCCTTCGCACTTGTCCAGGGGACGTTGAGATCGTGGAACATGGCTTCTGTGAACCAAGACGGCGCAGCGTTGCGCAGAAGAGCCGCAGGTGAGTCGCCTTATATGTGGTGGTCTGGCGCACCCTGGCTCGCCAATACGAGCTCTTCAAAGCTTGTTCGCGGTCACGTGACCTGCTGATCTCACACAATCGCAGGCACTGTGCACAACAACGGCCCGCACGCTGGAGCTAATCCGGCTGCTCTGACATCAAATTCACCCTCGCCGCGCGCGACTTCTCCCGCCCGAACTCGCAGAGAGGCAGCACCTCTCGCAGGCCGTCTCCGCACCAAGGCAGCTGCGCTCAGCCTGTTGGGGCTTGCAAGCTTTGCCTTCTTCCTCTGGTTCCTCGCCGCAGACCCCCGCTCCCCCACCGCGCACCACCCTCTGCCGACCACCACCTCCCTCGCGGCGAACCAGAGCGCCACCGCCGCAGCACCGCAGCAGCCCGGGCACCCGCATCCAGAGCCCAAAATGGCGCTCAACAGCGCTGGCGGGTCGACCTCGGTCGCCCGCGTGTACGCCGATGTCAACGCCAACATGCCCCGCGCCTACTGGGACTACGACAGCGTCAACATCTCGTGGGGCGTGCTCGAGAACTACGAGGTTGTGCGCAAGATCGGGCGCGGCAAGTACTCGGAGGTCTTCGAGGGCATTAACATTGTCAACTACCAGAAGTGCGTGATCAAGGTGCTCAAGCCGGTCAAGAAGAAGAAGATAAAGCGCGAGATCAAGATCCTACAGAACCTCTCTGGCGGGCCCAACATTGTCTCGCTGCTGGACGTGGTGCGCGACAACCAGGTTAGTGACGGCTCCGACTGGGTTGGCGATTGGGTACTCCTGCTTGCCTGTCCCCGCAAGCCCGCCTGTGCTAATGGCGTGTGCGTGCAGAGCAAGACCCCCTCATTGATATTCGAATATGTCAACAACACCGACTTCCGCAGCCTATACCCCAAGTTCACCGACTACGATGTGCGCTTCTACATTGTCGAGCTTCTCAAGGCGCTCGACTACTGCCACAGCAAGGGCATCATGCATCGCGACGTGAAACCACACAACGTTATGATCGACCACGAAAAGCGGAAGGTGGGTTGCGACTTTGAACTCTCTGAGAAGAGCCACGACTAACAACAACAGCTCCGTTTGATTGACTGGGGTCTCGCCGAATTCTACCACGCGGGCACAGAGTACAACGTCCGCGTCGCCTCCCGATACTTCAAGGGCCCCGAGCTGCTCGTCGACTACCAGGAGTACGACTACTCGCTGGACATGTGGTCGCTGGGCGCCATGTTCGCGTCGATGATCTTCCGCCGCGAGCCCTTTTTCCACGGCAACAGCAATTCCGACCAACTCGTCAAGATCGCAAAGGTGCTCGGCACCGAGGACCTGTTCGACTACCTCGACAAGTACGACATTGAGCTTGACGCACAGTACGACGATATTCTGAGCAGGTATCCGAAGAAGCCGTGGCACTCATTTATCAATGCCGACAATCAGCGGTTCGTCAGCAACGATGCTATTGACTTTCTCGATAAGCTGCTGCGATACGACCACCAGGTACGTCCTAATGTCTCGCTTAAGGTGGGCCGTGTAGAAGCTAATGTGTGCAGGAACGGCTCACCGCCAAAGAGGCCATGGCGCACGCGTACTTTGCGCCGGTGCGGCAAGCGGCGGCGCAGAACCACAGCGCGAGCTCGTCACATTCATGAATCGAAAGAAAGATACCCATTTCTCGGTAGTTTAATAATATCACGAGTTATGCAGGAAGGCCAGGATACGATGGGATAGAGTTTGGGGGCTGGGCTGTGCCGAGTGGCCTGGGTGGGTTGTCGGACAGGCAGGCAGGCAGGCAGGCAGATCATTCGAATTGAGTTATGTGAAATGATGAGGTGTGCAGTGTTGGTGAGGTGTGCATTGTGTTGTAAGAAGGGAAGGTGGGGGTTGTGTTGCATTTTGGGCGTCGAGGGCCTCAATTGCGAGTGAAGTGAATTGAATTGAATTGAGAGCAGTTGCTATGACAGTTGAATGTGTGGTCGTGTGTGATGTCCGGTGTGCGATTGTGAGGATGGATAGACGGCTCCGCAGGTACGTACAAATGGTGAGTGGAATGGTCTAGGTGCTGTGAGTCTGCCGTGGAGACGCAGGGGTTTGGAAGATACTGAGTGACCCCCGGCATAGGTAGTGAGATGTTGTGGAGTGCGTAGAGTGCAGGGGATGGGCATTTCACGATGCGTATCAAAGGATCACTGGGTCCATGTTACAACCACTTTGGAGGAGCTGGTGAGGTAGATGAGTCATTCTGGGCAGACGCGGAGAGAGTGAGGACGGCTACGGCGACGCAAGGTAAGTCAAGTCTGGCGGTGGAGTCCATGCAGTATAATGCAAGATTTGCGAGGGTTTATGGAATTAAGCAATGGGTGGAGGTCATCGAGGGGGTGTAGATGGGGTTGCAGGGGTTCGGATTGAATCAGTATGGTAGGTGGTGTGTATAGCTTCTTGGCTGGTTGGTGTTGTGTCTGGCTCGATGTATGGGGATTTAAATGAGTAAGGTTAGGTTGAGTTTATAGTGCAACAGTACGCTGCGTTGAGTCCGGCGCGGCGTGACAACCTTCAACGTTCTCGACTGAAATTCAACGTCTCTGTGTCAATGCATTGCCCTGAATCAGCGTCCAGTCTGAAGTGGTTTTATGTGTTGAGGTGCATCACGAAGACTTGGATTGAGTCGGGTCCAGAGAGCCAAAGTATGATGTGTTCAGTCACACGGTCAGAAAGATATGATCCAACTATGCTTCTCGGTAAGGTTCCGGTAGCTCTTGGTCTAGCTTAGTGAGGGCTGTTTGTTGTCCAGGACTTTTGTGTTGAGGTGAGTCAAGGCTAGGATATTGTGATGTACTGACTCACGCGAGTGTTGCAACTGCACCGTGGGAGGGCTCGGGGCAGACTCGAGCGGCTCCTTGATAGGAAGCACCGTGCAATTTGCGACATGCATCAATTTGGGATTGAATCAACGTGTGACGCATTGTAGCAAGGGAGGGCTCACCACTCATGGAGCGTGTGTAGGAAGAAGTTCCGCTGACACGTTCAGCTAACGTCTTTACTGAGGATGTATGAATCTACCACGCACCCGCTGGGGCTGTATTAGGATAATGGTAAAGTTTATCCGGTGAGACGGTGAGCCCTTTGAGGAGTTTTCGTGGTAGGATATGTGAGTGACTGCAACAGTATCTCCGCGCAGGTGAGTCTAAGGAGTCTTTGCGGAGATGACTTGCAGTGATCAGCATTAGCTTGGATGAATTGAATACAATTTCCCCCGAAATTCGGGTCTGTTAGTGAGTCAGTGTATATTTTGTTCAGGCACGCGAGCAATCGCACAGGTGCATGAAGCAAGTCTCGAGTACTCGTAGCGAATCAAAGAACAGGCTCCTGGAATTGCTCTCGCTTCCTGCAAGATACCATACGCGCATTCCCAAGAAGAGTTGCATTCGGTTGACTCAGTGCACGATGCATTGTAGGATGCGAGGACTCATGTTGTCGTTCCCATCCAGGGTTGGTGTTGCGTCACGTGCTGAGTGGGTCCGTCGGCGGGCTGTGACTCGGAGCTTGCGCGCTCCTGCAGCTCCAGTCAAAAATGTAATATAATGCCCCGCGGTGTCCCCCCCACTACGCGCTTTCCCACAAACCGACACATCCTCAGAGGGAACCCTCCGCGCCTTTCCCCCCAGTCGCGCACGCTCACGACTCGTCTGCATCCATTGCTGCGACTGCATCCTCTCATCCGCTCACCGTCTGCTCCCCCGAGCAGACACTACAACACCATCATGGCGCTCAACGCGTCCTCCCACAACCCCACTGGTGAGAGCACGGGGCCGAATACCACTGCGCCGCCGCCGCTAGGGGATGACAGCAAGAAGGACATTCTCGCGCATGCCAATGCGGACGGAACAGGCCAATCCGCGCCTGGACAAGCCGCGCCCGATCAGGGAGGGAAGGAGAATGCTGCAAAGCCCAAGACTGCGAAGGAGTTGGAGAAGGAGAGGAAGAAGGCAGAGAAGGATGCCAAGGTACGATGTCCCGTGCAGAGTTGCCGTGTGCCAGACGACGCTTTGCTCATACACACATCCTTGTGACTCAGCTAACTCTGTACAGTTCAAGCAAAAGCAAGCCCAAGCCGCTGCCGCCAAGACTGGTGAAGCTGCCGCACCGAAAGAGAAGAAGAAGAAGGAGAAGGCGCCCGAGCTGCCCCCGTACGTCGAACAGACACCTCCCGGCGAGAAGAAGATCCTTGGCAGTCTCGAAGACCCCCACCGAACGGCCTACATCCCTGCTGTCGTCGAGAGCGCATGGAACGATTGGTGGGAGAAGGAGGGCTTCTTCAAGCCCGAGTACAACACACCCGGCTACAACGAAGGAAAGACCAATGAGAAGGGCACCTTCGTCATTCCAATCCCTCCTCCGAACGTCACCGGCAAGCTTCATGTCGGGCACACTCTGGCGACTTCGCTACAGGATCTGCTCATCCGGTGGCATCGCATGAGGGGCTTCACCACCGCTTGTACGTAACCTCGGGGTACAAGTTCTAGGTACTAGGTGCCAGTAATATCTGGATTCTTTCAGATATTGCTTGCGCACTCTAGCCTGGCTTCATCCTCTCCTCTCTCCTAATTCTTTTTTCCTTCATAAAACGTACCTATCACTAACTTGTACCCCAAACTTTAGACATCCCGGGCTGCGACCATGCGGGTATAAGTACGCAGTCTGTAGTAGAGAACATGCTGATGAGTAATGCTCCCCAGTACAAAGTCGCTATGTCTTAGACATAGCCAATTGTATGTGAATATACTTTTGTGACTCAGCTGACATCGCACCCGCAATTATAGGGCAGGAGGGCAAGACACGTCACGACCTAGGGCGAGAGGCGTTCGTCCGCAGAACTATGGAGTGGAAAGAAGAATATTCTCAGGCCATTACTCGTGTGCTCAAGCGTTTAGGAGGGAGTATGGACTGGAGCAGAGAGGCGTTCACCATGGATGCCAATCTCTCTGCTGCGGTCACGGAAACCTTCGTGAGTCCATTCTGGCTCCCTTTTCCTGACTCCTACTAAATCTCTATTCAGGTCAGGATGCACGAGGAAGGATTGATTTATCGCAGTGGTCGTATCACCAACTGGTGTGTCCACATGAGATCTGCCCTGAGCAATCTTGAAGTCGACAACAAAGAGCTCACGGGCCGAACACTCCTCGATGTGAGTAAAGTTTGACACATACTGTATGAACTCACACTGATCTTGTGCAGGTCCCTGGTTACGAACGTGAGGATTCCCGGTGAAACCACTCTTTTGACTCATCTAACCCAGTGTAGGCAAGGTCGAGTTTGGTTGTCTGACACACTTCAAGTACCCCATCGATGGTACAGAAGAGTTCATCGAGGTTGCCACGACACGTCCGGAGACTATGCTCGGCGATACTGGTATTGCTGTCAACCCCAAGGATGAGCGTTACAAGCATCTTATTGGAATGCACGCCAAGCATCCGTTCGTCGACCGTCTATTGCCCATCTTCGCGGATGACTACGTCGATGCATCTTTCGGAACTGGAGGTAGGTTGTCTCTGAAAGTTGCCGGTAAAGGTCACTGATCAGAACAGCTGTCAAGATTACCCCTGCCCACGACCCCAATGATTTCAACATGGGTACCAACCACAAGCTCGAGTTCATAAACATACTGACGGACGATGGCTTGATGAACGAGAACGCAGGCAAATTTGCAGGCCAGAAGCGTTTCGACGTGCGGTATACTGTCGTCGAGGAGCTCACGAAGCTGGGTCTGTTCGTGAAGAAGGTGGACAACCCCATGAAGGTTCCGATCTGCCAAAAGTCGAAGGATGTCATCGAGCCACTGATGAAGCCTCAGTGGTGGATGAAGATGGAGGGCCTCGCTCGCCCCGCTGTCGAAGCTGTCGAGCGGGGCGACATTAAGATCCGACCGGCGAACTCGGAGAAAATATACAAGCACTGGTTGAACAATATCAACGACTGGTGCTTGTCGCGACAGCTCTGGTGGGGCCACCGTATACCTGCTTACTACGTTCGCATAGAAGGCCAAGCTGGCGACAACACTGACAATAACTTGTGGGTCACCGGTCGTACCGAGGAAGAGGCGCGACAGAAGGCAGAGAAGAGGTTCAGTGGACAGAAGTTCCGGCTCGAACAGGATGAGGACGTGTAAGTTTTGCCCTATTCCCTTACATTCTGACCATTTCACTAACTTGTCAGATTGGACACTTGGTTCTCGTCCGGCCTCTGGCCATTCAGCACTTTAGGGTGGCCTAATGAGGCGTCGATTGACCTGAAGAACCTGTTCCCCACGTCGCTCTTGGAGACTGGATGGGACATCCTGTTCTTCTGGGTCGCCAGGATGATCATGTTTAGTCTACATCTCACCGGAAAGGTTCCTTTCAATGAGGTCTACTGTCACTCATTGATACGAGACAGCGAGGGCAGGAAAATGTCCAAGTCTCTTGGGAACGTTGTTGACCCTATTGACATCCTAGAGGGTATCTCTCTGCAGGAGCTGACTAACAAGCTGAAGCTTGGCAACTTGGACCCCAAGGAACTTAAGACGGCCGAGAAGTACCAGAAGGCCGCATTCCCTCAGGGAATACCTGAATGCGGTGCAGACGCGCTTCGAATGTCACTCATCGGCTACACAACTGGCGGAGGTGACATTGCTTTCGATGTCCAGACCATCCATGGATACCGGCGATTTGCCAACAAGATTTAGTACGTTCAACCCTTTCCTTTCTTCATCGATCCTGACTAACGTCCTTTCCAGCCAAGCCACGAAATTCGCTCTCGGGAGGCTGGGCGACGACTTCAAACCTCGTTCCGCAGTCACGTCGGGCAAGAGCGAGTCCCTACCCGAACGATGGATCCTGCACAAGTTCACGACCAGCGCCAAGAAGATCAACGAGCATCTCGAGAAGCGGGAATTCTCGCTTTCGACCCAGGTTGCGTACAAGTTCTTCTATGAGTTCCTGTGCGATACATACATCGAGAATTCCAAAGCAATCTTCGACAACGGGACAGATGCAGAAAAGGAGAGCGCAAAACAGACGCTCTACACCGCTGTCGAGGGAGGACTCCTAATGATACATCCCTACATGCCTTTCTTGACTGAGGAGCTCTGGCAGCGTCTGCCTCGGAGAGAAGGGGACAAGACCCCTTCTATCACCGTCGCCTCCTATCCCGAATATATGCCCGAGTTCGAAGACGAGGCCGCCGACCGCGAATACGAACTTCTCGTCGGGGCTTCCCGCGGCCTGCGTTCTCTCACATCAGAGTACGCCATCAAGGAGGGCGGATCCACGTTTGTCCAAGCGCTCGACTCGACCACCAACGATGTCCTCGCACTACCGACATCTCTCCCCTCCCTCCGCTCCCTCACCGGCAAGACCGTCTCCAACATCTCCGTCCTCTCGCCCTCTGACGCTGCACCCACGGGTTGCGCCGTTTACACTGTCGGCTCCTCGGCCACCGTCTACCTAGACGTCAAGGGCCGCGTCGAGATCGACAAGGAGATTATTAAGGCGCAAGATAGACTCAAGAAGGCGAACGAGACGGTCGAGCGTCAGAAGAAGATCATGGGCGTTGACAACTGGGAGGAAAAAGCTAATGATGTCGTCAAGGAGGCGGAGCGCGAGAAGCTGAAGGCTGCTGAGGTTGATGGCGCAAACTGGCAGAAGACACTCGAACAGTTCGAGAAGTTGAAGCTTGAGGGATAGGTGTGCATGGATTGGAGTTCTGGGCGGTGGATCTTGAATGTAAGGGATCGGGACATCTGGCTTTGTCTGGACCAAACGGTCTCAGTAAGGAAATAGGCAAATCGGGAATGTGAAGTTTAGAGTTCAAGAGGGATGTGTATATGTATTAGTTTTCAAGACTTCAAAAATAAGGTTACCACTTCGATTCGTCTGCTCTAACGCGGTGGTTGATGATGTGTTTGAATATCACTTTGCTTCGGCTCACCTGTGATGGGCAGGGTGGGTTGCTGACGTATCTACCATGCTGATCTTGATGTGAGATGACGGTGCCGGTCCATGCACGAGTTGTAATCTTAATCACCTACTGCTGCTATGTACTCTGTCCTTCCGTATTGCCCCACATCCCCATCGATAATTCCTCGAGGGAGGGCAGCAGGACGCAAGATTCCATGTATTCTTCAGACAAGTGTTTTTCGATGAACACGCCACGCCTACGTGAATGTGCGTGTTATGGACTTGACGCACTGTCTGCGGCGGCGCAGATGGGACAGACGAATTCAGTGTGGGGTTCTGTTCGACGAACAGGAGAGTTTGCGGTTCGCAATTCGCAAAGCCTACGCTGTGCGACACCAAATATGTATCTTTGTTGCTGGCTTCCTCAATACATCCCAGAGAAGCGGGATCCAGAGCACCATGTGCTCTGGAACCACAATCTCTGGACAGAGCACGCCAACATCTTTGTGCACGACGTATTTTGGAAGCGGAGACGCTAGCCGTGCGCACTCAAGTGCTGTCTCGGACGCTTTCTCGTGTGGTAAACCGGGGGAGTTGGAATCCCCATATACGCTGTGCAGAGTCCTTTGAAAAGGATAAAGGACGGCCCACGTGTGTGCGCACATCCATGCTTGGAGCGGAGCCGCTGGACATCCAGTCTCATCAAGGTCAATTCTTGTGTGATGGTGTACGGGAGTGGCAGAATCCGCATATGCTTGTACATGTGGACCTTGTGGAGAGCGAGACACGATCGCATGACGTTACGACGCAGATGTGTTTGAAATGGAGACGCTAGAGAGCGAATGACGGTCCATAACAGCTGGGTATCCTGATTTTGGGAAGTGAAGCTACCAAGCATCCACTTCGTCCAGTATGCTCCTATTAGTTGACTGGGAAGAAGTGGGTTCGCACGGAAGGATTAGAACAATGATTGTGAAGAGCGAAGAACGGTCTATAGCTGTTCAGAGAGTCCTTCTTGGAAGAGGGGCCGCCGGCCATCGAGCTTGTCCAGAGCATCTCCTAGATCGATGGGCTAAGCGCGGCAGAGTCGATAGATTTCACGTTACTGTGGTCTCTTGACAGGGGCACTCTTCAAGCAGACTGTTCTTGGAGGCGGAGTTGCCGTGCTTGAACTACTCAGATTTTTCCTTCGTTTGGTGGATCGAGGGCGTAAGGTTCCGCATTTATTCATTCGATGTTTATTCTGAAGAGTGTGGCACAGTCCATAATTCAGCGTGCCAGGCTATTAGATATGGAGTTGGCACATAGATATCGCTACTGTGCTCTTGTGTGGCTGAACAAGGACTGTAGAATTTGCATGTATTTGACATGAGGGAGAGGCACTCCGGACTTGATTGGCAGCAATGCTATGTTGAACGCCATACGACACATTAAGTCGATTTCTAGTTTGGATGAATCGGTCTAGTTTGTTTTGGAGGCCCGGTACGCCTCGTGTGCTTTTATGTTCGTTTTGGACTTCGCTGTCGAAGTAGGCGGAAGGAAGTAAGGCGAAAGATTGCGCACATCTGGCCAACCCCTCGAAATCTTCAGCATCACGAATATAGGCCGTTGCTTAGCTGGGTTAAATTTTGTTAACACTGCCGTGACTCTTCGCAGGATCCTGACCAAGTATGTCTTCCTCGGAGGGACATCAAAATCATGTTTTGCGATTTCGAACGCAGCTCTTATGCGATGCTCAACGAAGACGTTGGGACGAGTTGTGCGCCTGTAAAGTCACGTCCCGAGGAGAGAGGTGGGGCTCATACCACTCGCCATAGCCCTTTTCTAACAATTATGTATATCTGCTTGTCTTGAGTCGCTTTTGGGCTGGGCTTGCGGGGGAAGAGTCCCGAAAAAGGCTTCTGTCCGCACATGTCCTTCTGTTCAGGTTAGCAATAAGAAATGCGAAGAAGTGATGTAGTATTTATGACTGCCATACCGGGGATGTCAACTGGATTGAGACCCAGCTATACACTTTATGCGTGCAAAAGAAACGTAAAAAAGTAAGTCTGATGACCGTGCCAGGGGTCGAACCTTTGAACTGTTAGTGATGACGTCTTAGCGACTTGCGAACTGTGAATACACACCTGGAATCTCTTGATTTACTAATCGTAGTCAAGCGCCTTGCCATTGGGCCACACGGCCGATTTTGCTCGCTGTGAATTGAGCTGTTTGATGAAGAAGTTAAAATTTTAAAATTATTATACCAGAATTTTTTTGGTGGAACGAAGGCTCGTACACCGATAAAGCAAGCTTCCGTCCATATTTTCGGAGCCCAGACGTAAGTTAGATGGCAAATCGCTCCCTTTGTGTGGAGAATAAGCGAGGTCCACAGTTTTTTTCGCAGTCAACCTAGTGTGCTGCTCAGGCTTGCAACGAGGACGAAACATGAAGACCCGATTCTCAAATATTTATCGTCGAACAGAGAACAACAACATAAAAGATGGTATTTTTTCTGGAGCGAAGTATGCACTAAGTCTCTCTTTCTCTAGATAGTTTGCAATCACCCCAGGGACCGACACTGCGCAGCACATATTCGTCCTCGCCTCGCCCAACGATGTTTTTGAGCTAGAGAACAACACAAATTACCTCAACGAAAATTGAGAGTTCTTTTATCGGATTGCGGTGGAGTAGATGTTCTTATCTCGACAGAGGCGGAGGAAGAGCAATATTGCATAGTGCAGGGTACTGAAGGTTCGATAACTCAAAGTATAGCCATTTTCTCTGCCTATGAGGCGCTACGAACACGCAAATTACCTTACTGCTATCCGATGAGACGACTGCGTGGGTACAGTTTCCTCGATCGGTGTGTCGAGACCGCTGTTATGATAACCCACTTCCAAAGGAGAAGCGCATGATCCAGACAGCCTTTGCCGCGAGCACTTGGCATAGACATCAATGTGGGACGAACCTCAAGGTGAAGGAAAGGGGGAATGCGCGCTCCTAGTTGAAAATCAAGGAACGTCTACAGAAGAGAACAGGAAGGTAAGCCGGTCGATCGACATGAGCGTCGAGTTAAAAAACTTGCTCATGTGTAACTTGGCAAAACGAATCCATCACATTTACGGGGGTCTGCAGCCGTTGGGTGTAGCGGTATAACAAAGCTTCCTCGTCATACTATACTGGATGACTCAATTTCAGGGACCCATGAGGATTCACGTGACTTCAAATTCAAAAACCACAGTGCCGTGCGACACTGCTTCCCGTGAATTTACTTACCCTATCAAGCTAGATGACTCAGCTTACCGCAGTGTTGCTTGCATCCCTTGCTGTGTTATGGGCGCCACAGTCAACAACTAAGCAAGCGTCGACTGCTTCAAGGTTTCGAATCATCGGGCCACATCTCGGCGATTTTGTAGTTGGCGTGAAGGCCAAACGAGTAAAATCCGAACCGGATGCACAGCCAACAGAATCATACATCGCGGGTCAGCCCCTTCCGACACTGATCTTCAAGGTGGCGTATATGGGACGGACCGATCTTGGGCGGGCCGCCCCGTACGGTATTTGGCGTCTTAGGTAAATGTTTGCCGACATGTTCGAGCATATCTACTTTATTTCTATGATTAAGCGATACGAACCAGTGAAGGGTCTAATGGTTCGTCAGCAATCTCTTCTATTCTGTAGGAAGATCAGTGGGACAGTGATCTTCTGAAACGTGCTGGGCTGACGAGGAAGTGATCAGGGAAGTAGCACCATCTTAACTTTCCCCATACGTCCAATCCTATTCATCGTACTACAAGACAACCTAACCATATTAACAGACGGAGCTGTTTGTTTCCGAGATAAGTGCTGAAGGGCTGCGCTAACAATGTCTGCCAGCGGAGATCCCACTAGCCTGGATCTGGGGCAGTTCAAGCAGCTGGCCTCCATGTCCCTGGGTGCAAATAGCTATGACTTGACGGTGTTCCAACCTTTCCGCGGCGCCCGCTTCAATCACTCTGTCTCAACGAATGGCCACTACTGGGCCGGTCCTTTCATTCACTTCGCTGTCCATACCGCCACATACGTCTTCACGTACCGTTTTTTTGCCAATCACTCTCCAGAGCACCCTGAAGGGTACCTGGACATCGACTCGCTCATGGCTTTCGAAGACGTGACGCGTAATGCCAATGGCGAATTCGTATGGAAGACTGGCCGGGAACATATCCCGAACGACTGGTACCGCCGCGCCATCGGCGACGACTTCGGCATCGCTGCTTCCGCATTGGGTACGGTTGATGCGCTGCAGCATCTTCCCTACATGGCGGTCTTGGGAGGAAACACGGGTGAACCAAACACCTTCACCGGTGTCAACGTCGCAGACCTTACAGGCGGCGTGCTCAATCCCGAAACGCTGTTGCAGGGAAATAACACGATGTTCCTGGCCTTCCAGGCGGTCAGTGCCGTTGCGCCGGATATCCTAAGGGGGCTAGTTGGTAACGTGTTGCTCGAGGTACAGAAGTTGACAGTGGTGTTGACCTCCTGTAATTGAGAAGCTAGGGGGGGCCGCAACTGGCGAAGTTTGATACCACTACATTTGGCAATTTTCCTGGGGCACAGGGTGGGATTTAGCTCCTTGTAGTTGTTGTAGGCGGGATTATATATTTTGTAACCAGGAGCAAAGTGAACGGGGAAGGCGAAAGGTCCACATATATGCGCTAGACTAATTGTAGTAAAGCTTGCTCGCTAATCTGACCAAGTTCACGTGGAGACGGGAGACAGCATTTACCCCAACATCTTGCATCTCACAGCTGCGCAAGTCCACTCTTGACACACAATGCCACCTTCCGGCGCGGCTTACAACATCGATTGGGTGTGGTCTTTCGACTCCAACACACACGTCGCAACCCACCGCGACTGGTTCACAACCTTCACACCTCTCACTTCCCAAATCAGCAGCACGCACATCAGCTCCACATACTCCGTAGAAGGTATAGGTTCAGTCGAGATCGAGGTGCGCAGGATCATCGGCAACGCAGCAAAGAGGAACGTGGGACCGAAGAACTCCAAAGTCGTACTTCGCAATGTGTTGTATGTACCAGACTTCATCTGCAATGTGATGGGCAATACCGTGCGAGAGGATTACGACATCTCAATTGGCGCGGAGAGGTGGATCATAGATAAGAAAACGGGACGGGGCATCGGCATGTTGGACAAGAACCCTGCAGGGCTGGTCAAGATCCTGTTGAAGGGACAGGCGAAGGGTGAGACGGGGTTGAAGGGCGATGTACCAGCCAGAATTACTGTTGAGTGGTCAGACGAGGAACAGCAGAAGTATAAAGCTCAGAAGGAAGCTTGAGACACCACAAAGGATACTCGAATGATCATTTCACGACAACGCCGCCTATTATCACCGATCCACCAAGATTGAGCTCGGCATCAGCTATAGGTGGGATGCTTCTGCTGCACGGACATGGTTCTGGGTTCCACTTTCAGCGGCGGACAACGATCAAAAGCTTGAGACTGGGGGCATCGCATTTGGACCGAAAGCAATGACCGGCTAGAAATTTGCGAAGACAAAGTCCCGGTGAGCAACACATAATGTGCGTTATGTATTCCCTTAGATTGCATAGCAAAGCCTCGACGTCGAGCGAACATAGATCAATATGTCGTGGTTTTGAAAATAGAAAACGGCAAGCTCACATTGTACCCCACGGTCATGCATGTTAAGTGAAGCGCAAAAACATAAAGTAATCGGCTCGAAAATTTGCGTGTTGTCCGTGAGCTCTCAGTATGATGCAACGGGAACCTATCTCAGAATGAAGACCCAGACGCAGTCTGCGGCATGGCTATCTCATCAAGTCGATTTGAGCCATTGTATTGGTGTTGGACACTGCACGGCAGTCGTCCACATATACCTGTGAAGTTGGCCCAGACTCGAAGGATATGCAGGTGGCTCTGATTTTGAGAATGCAGTCTTGCGTAGACGGAGACACTAGAAACCGCTAAGTCTTCCTTAATCTTGAGATTTAATATCCTTGAAGCGCAGCCGTAGACGCCCGACATGACCCTAATGTCGAACAGTGTAGGAGAGTGAAGAAGGAGTGTTGAGAAAGCAGAGGACACGCGCCATTTGCTCTTCGAATTTTCAACTTTGGTGGTGAGAAAGAACGACATCTGAGCGATATCATAGAACTTCTTCGAGGTGCCACAAAAGCCTGTTTTATATTGGGTGCTTTTTGAGACCCTCTGCATAGTCATGTTGAAGAGATGGGCTTACAATTCCCACGACCCGATACTCCATGCGCTGTTTACAAATAAGCGATGCAGGACATTTATGCGGGTGCATTGCTCTTTGAGTACCAGCCATCATATTGTAGGAAGGCGCGTGCCTCGAGCCCTCAAGTCTCGTGTTTATATTGATATCTGCATCGGAGTGAACAGTAAATCGATTTTCTCGGGATGCACCGTCCAGAATTTTGGTTCCACGCCATATTTTGCCCGAAGATGCTCGGTTTAGAGCTGGCAAAGATGTGTAGAGTCAGATATTTGAACGCTTATGGAGATCAGAAAAAGATGACTTAGCATGTACCTCTTTATTTTTCGACCAAGACGTCGCGTAAGGCCCATGTTCTTCAACTTGTAGTTTGGGCTGCTTATAGAAGGTGATGGGACGTCGGACAGACAGGGTTCAGACAAGCCATACCATGAATACTTAGACATTCTCGAAATATCCAAAGCAGGCTTGTATATCCTTAGCCATTTCTTCCCTTCATACATCTTCCCAGACGCAGCAATAGGACAATACAAAGGAAGCCAGCAAACCACCAGTTTGACTTTGGCGGCTTTTGGCCGCGATGTACACGCGAACAAGCAGTTTCAAGTCTCTTCGTGTTCCACTCAATTGATGCCCCGGATGAATAGTAGCAAGCGCCTCGTTATTGTCGATACCACATCATTACCGAAACCCCAAGCATTGAAATCATTGGTGTCTCCTTTTCGACGGGAATTCAATCCATATGCCTCCGCATTGCGTGTTTGGAAGAAGGGGCGAGATCCAATACGAAGGTTGTGAAGCCGTTGTTGGCAAGCCCGATTCATTCGATTGTAGGAAATTTCTTTTGGGGTCAGAGTTGATCGCTTCTTATACTGACTGCAATTGGCACAAAAAGGGAATACAGGTCATGGGCAAGGCTCATGCTAGCCTTGACAGACTGGACACATGTACTGAATGGACTCAATATTTTGAAGAGGGTGGAGGAGGGAAATATGAGAGCAGTTCCGCCAGGCTTTAGTTCTGGTGGAACACTTGTGCAGACAATACGAGACTTTCGATCACACATGACCGCATTAGCCCCGCGTGAAGAGACCAAGACGAAGCCGACGGACACATTGAGGCTCCAGGTATGAGATTTGGAGCGCCCGCACACATCGGTTGTGTTCCTTTTCGTATCGGATAGTCGATCTTTGAGATTCCAGAGATCGCTCTGTGGGCCAATGGGAAAGAGAGCAAGAGGATATACACGTTCTCCACGTTTTCTTTTTTGGTGCCAGGAGGCAAAGACATGTCTCATAGGTTTCGCATTTTAGTTCTCAGCAGGGGTCTCAGGGAAATCACAGAAGGCGAGAGCGACCACAATATACACTTGAAGCCGGTTCGATTGCCCACTCACGACGCAAAGAGAAGGTATGTCTTCCACAATGCTTCCGATCCTAAGTTCGACTGTCTCTATACTTCGTGGGTTGCGTGTCTTCGAAAGACAGCAGCACCAGTAATCAGAAGACTCAACGAGATGATTTTGAGTCCGTCCACAGAACATCATGTTGGACCACCGAAACGTAGATACCGCAGTCTAGAGATGTATCATTGCCCCCGTGCTAACGCCAAGAAGGACATGATCTTCTTCACCTAGTTTTTTCGAGAGATATCAGTTTTTCCAGCAGTGGAATAGGCCATTTCGAATATCAAACCCCATTCGCGGCACTGGTAACTGGTTGTAGACTGACAGAGGTGAGAAGCAGCAATGCTACGAACACAGAAATCTGGAACGAGCCAGGGGAGTCTCATGGCCATGTTCCCGACGAACTTTAGGGCAACAACAAAGGACCATAACATTTACTGAACTTTCTTTCTTCCGGTCACATTGTGCTATCAGTAATTTTGAATCTTCGCTCCTGGGCGGCCAACCAAAACGAGGAACACCACGGAACTTTGGCCTGGTTTTTCGAGACCCACGAGAAGGACACCATAGTCTATAGCAGGATATTTTCAACGCTCTGTCCCGGACAGTCAGACAAGCCAGGGAACACCATAACTTGGTTGGATATGACCTTTAGAGCACGTGGGATCAACATTGTTCCTTCTTGTACATCTCTTGACATACCTCTCACGAGGCACTCCCAGAAATGGGGTAAGGTGCACCATGTACTGGGTGCACAATTCTCTGTAGTTCACGTGAAGAAGAACATCGTACGGACTGCTGCGGCTTTTTGACGATTATACCCCAGGTCCCCCAAAGACGAGGCAAGGCACAACAGGACACGGTATCATCATTCTCGGAACCCACAAAGAGAACATCTTAATGCTTCATCTTGGTTGAAAATGTTCTTCCCACGCCAAATAATTGCAGTCGAGGCGAGGCACACCTTGCTGCATCATCATCATCAGGCTTTGTACTCCGCCAGAAGCACACCATTTCTCCGACCCCTCTCCTTTTGGCACTCCTCCGCGGCTTGCCCAGACGCGAGGCGAGGCACTCTATTTCTGCTTGTCGCGGCTATTTTTGGAGCCGAGCGAAAGGAGCCACATAGTTGGGTTTCTTCGACTCTTCGTGCACAAAACGACAGCACCGAGCCCGAGGAGACCATATGTTTGAATGACTGTAAATTGTGAAGCCCGAGAAGAACGCCACATTTCCCATGACCTGCGCATCTTCAACACTCTGTCCTTGGCTAGACGAACAGACCGGGGAGAGAGATACCATGAGCTGTCATGATATCCCACTTTGACACCCCCGAGAAGCACACCATAATTCCAACTTCTCAACCATAGATGATTGCCATCCAATTTTTAGATTGACCGGAAGAAGTCCATCATAGATTTGGACTTTGTTTTTGAGTGCACGAAATAAAGAGTGTGAGGAAGGAAAGCAACAGGCGTCAGGTATGATGGATTTTTAGACGAAAATATCGCATCGTAGTTGAGATGATAGTGTGGGCAAGGGTGCGTGGGAGAAAACGGAATGTTGCAGAGTCGACAACAGACAGCAGCAACATCATCGACGCGGTGGCTAGATGACAGCACGAGCGCAAGTACACGAGGAAGTGATTGAAAGTTCTCCGTTTCACCTAACATCTATCTACCTGACATTGACATATCCACCTCCGCCTCAGTCCAATACAAAGAACTCCATAACCTTTGTCATTTTGCAAGACATAAGGAGACGCATCGGCCGTCATATCCAGTCAATTGCAGTCGTCAGATCATGCTCGCAATACTTTTCCATCCCCAAATGCCGAAGATACAGTAGGGAAAACATGAGGAAAGCGCCAGACGGGAATAAAAACCGAATCTATCAGGATGCTGCACGCAAGGTCCAGCACGACCCCGCAGCCGCAACAGTCGCAGTCTGGTGAGTTGCGGCTGCGGCCACTCTTCCGAAACTTTCACCGCTGTGCGAGACGTTTACCGGGTGGAGAAGGCCTTGGTGACGACGCGCTTGAGGGCGAGCTCCTTCTTCTTGAGGTCCTCAGCGGGGGCATCCTCAATCTCGAGCTGGGCCATGGCGTCGCTGAGGGCCGACTCGATCTTCTCCTTCTGGCCGCGCTTCAACCTGATGGAAGTAGTGGGGTCGGAGACCATCTCCTCAACGCGGGAGATGTAGGACTCGAGCTGTTGTCGGGACTCAAACTTCTTGCTGAAGGCCTCGTCGCTGGTCTTGAACTTCTGGGCGTCGTTGATCATGTTCTCGATCTCGGTGGAGGAGAGCTTGCCGACGGCGTTGGAGATGGTGATGTTGGCGCTGCGGCCGGAGGTCTTCTCGGTGGCAGTGACCTTGAGGATACCGTTGACGTCGACCTCGAAGACGACCTCAAGGACGGCATCACCAGCTCTCATGGGAGGGATGGGTGCAAGGGTGAACTCACCCAGGGAGGTGTTGTCCTCGCAGTTGACACGCTCACCCTGGAAGACGGGGAACTGTACGGTTTGCTGGGAAACGTTAGCACATCTATGTCAAGATAGGTAGACAGGAATTGAATCGTACTTGGTTGTCTGGCAAAGAGTTAGCATATGATCATACGAAAATAGGTTTGGGAGAATTCTCTTACCGGCTACAGTGGTGAAGGTACGCTTCTTGATGGTGGGAACAGTCTGGCCACGGGGAACGACGGGAGCAAAGATGTTGCCCTCCATGGCAACACCGAGAGAAAGCGGAACAACGTCGAGGAGGAGGAGGTCGGCGGTGTCAGCGGACGTAGCCTTGCCGGAAAGGATACCAGCCTGAACAGCGGCACCGTAGGCGACAGCCTCATCGGGGTTGATGCTCTTCTCGAGCTTCTTTCCATCGAAGAAGTCGCTGAGGAGCTTCTGGATCTTGGGGATACGGGTGGAGCCACCAACAAGGACGATCTCATCGACCTTGTTCTTGGGGATGCCAGAGTCCTTCAACACCTGCTCAACAGGCTGGAGGGTACCGGCGAAAGCCTTCTGGTTCAAGTCCTCGAAACGAGCACGGGTGATGTTGGCGTTGAAGTCCTCACCATCGAAGAGAGAGTCAATCTCAACAGTGGTCTGGGTGGCGTTGGAGAGAGTACGCTTAGCGCGCTCGCAAGCTGTCCGGAGACGACGGAGGGCACGGGCATCGCCGGAGATGCTGCAACGAGTTAGCATGTGCTATTTGTACAACCGCAAGTGTCCATCAATTCTGTCCGTGCCCGCTTGATGTACCCTGGGGTAACACACAGCACCGAATGGAAGGCGCAGATTCGAGATAGTTTACGTTGCTCTGTTCTCTGCATAGTGCACCCTGAGGTAACACGCGGCATCGAGACTGAGGATCTGACACGTAGGAAAATGGGGCTAACTCACTCCTTCTTGGTCTTCTTTGTGAATTCCTTCTTGAAGTGGTCGAGGAGGTTGGTATCGAAATCTTGCCCGCCCAAGTGGGTGTCACCAGCGGTGGCCTTGACGGTGAAGACACCACCCTGGATGTGCAGGAGCGAGACATCGAAGGTACCACCTCCGAGGTCGTAGATGAGGACGTTCCTCTCCTTCTCAGACTTTCCAGAACCGAGACCGTAGGCGATGGCAGCAGCGGTGGGTTCGTTAATGATACGGAGAACGTTGAGGCCAGCAATGGCACCGGCGTCCTTGGTAGCTTGACGCTGGTTGTCGTTGAAGTAGGCAGGGACGGTGATGACGGCCTTCTCGACCTTCTTGCCGAGCTTGGTCTCAGCAATCTCCTTCATCTGCGGGGTATTAGCGGATTTTCACATTGGGCACTTAGACGATTCGTACCTTCACGAGAACCATAGCGGAGATCTCCTGGGGGGAGAAGTCCTTGGTCTCTCCGAGGTACTCGACCTGGACGCGGGGGCTACCGTTGGCGTCGATGATCTTGAACGGCCACGACTGGATATCCTTTTTGACGGTCTCATCCTCGAATCGGCGACCGATCAGACGCCTGCAGAAGGTCAGTACCGCACAAGCTGAGCGTTTGGACTGGTATTGTCATACTTGACATCGAAGACGGTGTTCTCCGGGTTCATAGCAGCCTGGTTCTTGGCCGCCTCACCAATCAAACGCTCCTCACTGGTGAAAGAGACGAATGAGGGGGTGGTGAAGCTACCCTGCTCGTTGGCAACTGCGCGCACGTTAGACAGTGGCTTCGTCGGAGGCGCGTTCGCGCGTTCGCGGAGACGTACTGATTTCGACATTGGTGCCCTCGTAGTTGGCGACGCAAGAGTAGGTCGTGCCTGGCGGTGTGTTAGCAAACTGTGCTGCGGGAAAAGAATTTCGGGATATGCGCACCAAGATCGATGCCAATGGCACCCTCATAGACTTCGTCGCTCATTGTGAGGATGTGTATGTGTTTTTTTTTGGAGAGGGGTGGAGAGGATGGGGAGGGGTTGTGCGGGCGAGAAAAAGGCTCTAAAAGGCGAACTTTTCAAAATTATCCAACGCGTTAGCTCGTTGGATAATTCTTGGCAATCGCTTATCGACAACACGTGCCGAGGCGAGCCCTACACCGCGCAGTCTTCTACAACGTTGAACTACTGCTTTGCCGGATTGCGAAACATGAGACCGCAGACTGTACTTTGTTCACGATCGCAACACCGGGACAAACAAACAACTCCAGCATATTGTCAAACAGCGATGATAGTCGGCGCAACATGAACAGCAATGTTGCGAGCATTCAAAGTATCTGCACAGTCTATTATGAGAGACAAAACGCCTTGCGGTCCATTGCGGACTCTGTTGGTAGTCCCTCAATCCCCCGACGCCAGTTGCCGCCGGGTGAAAAAATGCATCCTGAAAATATCATAGCGCCTTATTGCCACCAACCATGGACCCTGAAAAATATGTCTCCTTCGGAAGCCAGCACCAGGCAAGGCTTTCTCTAGTTCCGTTTATACCTAGTTGTCATCAGCTTTGCAGATCGAAGTACAAGCCGGACGAGACCCACAGAGTTGTCGTGGAAGACGAAGTTAATGTCTCTCGGCCTCTGCGTGTTTGACCGAACGAAGGCTTCGTCACCCGGCGGTCGCTCGTTCTTTGTATTGCTCGTCAACATGCTTTGCAGGCTGACGCACACACTCTCTACGTTATGGACCGGTGACCATCCTTGACGATCAAGTAGGTCGAGACATATGATGCCATTTGAGTAGATATGTGGATGAATGGGTATCGGATGCGTCTCGTCGCGGACGAAGACGACCTCGGGCGCCTCGATCGGGTAGCTTTGGCTGAAGGTGAACTTCAATCTATAGGTCTCTCCTTTGTATATCGGATCTGCAATGCTTAGTGATGGTAGGTCAAAGTGCTGTGAGCGAAACCCACTCTCGTCCATGACCTGTATGTCCATGAGCCAATCTCGGAAGTCATCCGCTTTCACGAGCGTTATGCCAGGCGGGAGCTTGTCCTGCAGCTGTGCGCACGACATCTTAGTGACAAGTTTCATCGGCGACTGTGGAACGGCACATGTCGTACCTTGGTGAGCTCCTAGTTATGTTGTGAGTACTTGCTGCAGACTGGTAGGCTACTATAGTGACATACCTTTCCAAGTCTCTTCGACGCAAACATGTTGACTTTCACGTCGGCTTGCGCCGCGATTGTGGGAGTGGGTAGTGCTGCGCAACGCTGTCGCGGAACTCGTCGCCTGCGCGGTGCTTCGCGTTGTTTGGCGGGGTAAGGTCGCGGCGGCGACGACTGCGGCGGGGTTGGTTAAACGTGGAGAGTGGGCATGCGAAGCTGAGTACAGGTGAGACAACCGAAGAGAGTGAAGAATACCGAGTTTATATGAAGCTATCCGAGCTGCCGTTTGCGCTTGCGAAGCTTTGGTGACACCGCCACGACTGCCAGGTTCCTTGCTTGCTTGAGCTCAGCCTGGGGCTACTCGCAGGTGCTACTGCGGCGCTATGCACATGCCTCGCGGCCCTGTTCCACTCTCGATTGTGGCTGCCTTCTGCCCTTCCATCATGTGCATGCGATGACGGATAGTTAGTTCCGCTGGGCAGCGGCCAAGGCAAGTGCTACATGCTCCCACAGTTGTATCCAGCCGGTAGTAGCACCCAGTCTATATTTCTTCCTCGTTCGCAAAGGAAGAACAAAAAACATCCGTCCCAAATGCGCCTGCATGTCTGGTAGTCTCATCGAGTGTTCATGCGACACGTGATTGGCGCTTGGCAGTCGACTTGAAGCACCAGCACGTCGTCGCCTTGCCCACTCCCGCCCCCGCTCGACGAGATTCGCAGTCGACAAGATCGCAGCAACACAATGTTTTTACGATTGCGACGACGCCCATGCCGCTGATGATCGACCGAGCAGCGTGCACGATGCCGCGATTCGCGGGCCCGCAGTTCTCACTGTAACCCCTCGAATGAACGACCCCACTGACTGGCGCCGGCCGCACACGCTTTCAAGGGCAGCGACTCATACCCTAAATCATCGGAATGAATACCCATGGATACCCAAGTCACATGCGCAATGACGGCACGCTTGTTACTCGGGGCGAGCGCTGCAGACGAGGACAAGCCGATGGTAAAGAAAGAGGTTCGGGCTTTCCATAGGAACAGTGCGGCTATGGGTATACTGGAGCTCTGTTGAATGAGAGTGCAATGCAAGAGACGGTCTCAGATTGCAAATAGATGCATAGGAGGACGGCACTTGTCCGGCGATGGCTACGCGATCCATCCTAGCAACGTCTATCCAAATCGTGAAGCAGCCGTGGCCTTCTTATGCCATAAGGAATGGCCATATAGCGCAGGAGAACACGGAATATCACCGACCAAAGATGCCAAAAATGCGCACGGTGTGTCTTTGGATCTAGAAGTCTTGTGCCGCGCCGTGCACTCCTTCCATTTCGGTTCTCTGGCTACACACTTCCCAAACACAGAAGCACCTTTGGATTACGCTACGGTCATCATGCAAGCCATTCCAAAGACACGGCATGCGCATTCCTTGCTATGTAACAGAGTCAGCCTCACACCGTCAGTCGGTCTCTCTCCGTTCCAGTACTGTTCCCAGCTGCAGTCAAGATCCATGCATCAATCCCTCATTCATGACATGCCTCCCCATTGTCAGTATCCGAAGGCAGGCGGTTCTACCTCATGCCGTTTCGCGAACATGCAGGAGTTGCAGCTAGACCACAGCCATAGCACGCGCGACTTTCTATCCTACTCAGGCACGGTCCATGTGGAGTCACCATTGGATACTCCTTCTCCAACATGCGGCTGTCATAAAGGTGCTTAATGCACTTCATATATGGGCACCCACAAGTCTTATCGCATCCCCGACACACTTCGAGTACCGTAGGAATTTGGACCTGACTCTGAGTCCCTCTGCGTGAAGCAAAAGACCATGCAGCCCTCAGAAGGCGGTCCACTCCTAGACAAAACAAGCTGCGGTTCTCCAGCAAGCGAGATAAGTCACTCAGTTGTCAGGTTTTCAGGGCCAAATGAAGGAAAGACAGCTTCTCAGGGCATTCTGCATGTATGTGTTGCTTTATGGGTCCCTAGACTGGGGGACATTCTCATGTATAACTGTAACAAGGTCATGTGGATCGGATCTAGTGTAAAGTAAGTGACAAACATCTCCGGAGGCGGTCAACCGGATCCATCAGTGTACAAGCTAATTAGAATGCTTAGTAACTCAATGCAATCGAATCTCACTCTACATGCATGATGGCTTTCCCGTTTCTCGCATGCTCTGGATAGAAAGTTTGCTACGGGATATGGGCGTGCTGTCTTCCATTCACAAACAGCTTTGGCGACAATCCGCTAACAAAACTCGCAGATCGACATCTGAAAGAAAGAAAGCCATATGAATTTCCAGAAAGCGACTCACCCTCTTGACCATGGAGTATACATTGCTGCACGCATTTCCCATCAGCTAGGCGGTTCATCCCAAGAACCTCAACACCAGATTCGCCACATCTAAAGCTGTGCATTTTGGCAGGCAGATTCCTCCTAAGGTCTTGTCCGATCGCACTCTGGGCTTCGCCAGCAAAGTAACGGAAGCTCCCAGCAAGTTCAATATCTGCCCATCGGCCGGGCCGAGGCGCAGAACAAGGGGGCAGAAGCTCGTCGCACGGATCCTCGCACTAAGGCTGCCAACCTTCGCAGGAAGCTGTGGACGCGCACGCAAGCCTGCAACAACACAAACGAGCCCAGGCTGCAACACCGCAAAAAGAGGCACGGAGCTTAAGCTACTTTCCAAGATTCGCATCCCACTTGCTTGGTTCTACTGGGGCCAATACAGCGTGTTTGCGAGGCTGCGAGGCGTTGCGCACGTGACCCAAGAGCTGCCCTGCCAGGTCTCGGGTCAACCGCAGCCTCTCTCTAAAAAAGCGCGCTGCGGGCACGCTCTTCATCCCCCACTCACCGAACAACCCATCCAACGCCATCGCGTACCATCACCACAACCGACGCGCCATCAACTCCAAAACATTCTCGACGCGCCCCACCTTCCCGGCGAGCAATTCGCGCCTTCAGCCTCCACCCACGCGTCGTCACCACGGTCGCACCGTAAGCACAATCAGCACCATGGCTGAAGAGGCCGCTACACCCGTCACCGTCGATGCTACCAAGGCTGTCGACGAGCCGACGCGTCCCGTCGACGCTGCAGAGCCTGCAACGACCGCTGAGGAGAAGCCGTCGGACAGCGGTGACGTACCCGCAGACGCGCCTGTCCATGGTAACCTATGTCGCGTGAAGCTTTCTCCTTCCGTAGCTGACTGATCCCAGACCAAGCACCTGAGGCTGCCGCCGCGACCGCCGACCAAGCCGCCAAAGACGATGCGACCGACGCGAAGCCCGATGCAGCAGCAGCAGAGGGTAGTGGAGGTGAGCCCAGGCTCAAACACCTCGTTGAGCCGCAGGCTTGACTGGAGCAGCTCGCATTGCTAACACACTGGCAGATGCCGCCGCTTTTGAAGCATTGACGGCTACGAATGGCACCCCGGCCTCTAGCAAGAAGGCAAACAAGGGACGCAAGTCCGCCGGGGGTGTCCCCGAGCACAAGGGCAAGAAGACGCCCAACAAGAAAGGCAAGAAGGAGGTCAAACTAAATCTGAATACAAAGCCGGGTGATATGTGGATGGTCGCCATGCGCGGTTACCAGCCGTGGCCCGTCGTCGTCGCCGATGAGGACATGCTGCCCGAGTCGCTGCTCGCAAAGCGTCCGGTCAGCGCCATACGCATCGATGGGACATATCGCGAAGATTTTGAAGAAGGTGGCAAAAACGCCAAAGACCGGCGATACGCTGTCATGTTCCTGGGCACAAACGAATTGTGAGTGAGACACATCTACCGGAGTTTTAGATATCTTTACGAACACGCACTAATCACTTTAAAAGTGCATGGCAACCGAACACCGATCTAATACCGTTCGACCTCGACGCAATCAAAAAGGAGGTTGAATCCGGAAATTCTGCGAAGAAGAATAAGCAATTGTGGGAAGCGTTCCAGATTGCGGCTGAGGGTCACGACCTGAACTACTTCAAAGATGTCCTCGTGAGCCACGAGCAGGCCATACAAGAGGACGACCTGATAAAGGAGGCGAAGCGCGAGGAAAAGGCAGAGAAGGCTGCTAAAAAGGCGGCCAACAAGCGCAAGAGTACCGCTGCCGTGGACGACGAGGATGTTGAGATGGGAGACGCCGACGACACAACTGCAGCCTCTGCGAAGAAGGCCAAGCCTTCAAAGAAGCGCAAGAAGGAGGATAGCGACGGCGATGATGAGAAGGTAAGCTTGAAACCTAGGAACAGTGGCCAGCGACTAATTTAACTAACAGCCTGCAAAGACTCCAAAGACTACGCTGAAACTAACCACCAAAAAGACGCCTGCTAAGGAATCTAAGAAGTCCAAGGCGGCTGCGAAAGAGGACTCTGAGCCAGCCCAGCCCGAGGAGCCGCCGATGACTGAGGAGGAGCGTCTAGAAAAGCGTAAGAAGACAGGTATGGCGTTGATACTAATGCATAAAACCTCCAGCTAATGCGAACAGTCCTCTACCTCCGCCATCGCCTGCAGAAAGGCTTCCTTACTCGCAACCAGCCACCAAGGATCGAAGACATGTCAGCTATGTCCGGATATATGGCTCAACTCGAAGAGCTTCAGAGTCTCGAGCCTGAGATTATCAAAGAGACCAAGGTCCACAAGGTCCTGAAGGGCATCTTGAAACTCGGCTCGATTCCCCGGGATGAGGAGTTTAAGATCACGTCGCGCTCGCATGAGCTGCTCACCAAGTGGGGTACCCTGTCTGGGGGAGAGGACGCCGCCGACGAGGCCGCAGCACCTGCCACGAACGGTATCAAGCCCGAGGAGAAGAAAGCTGAATCGCCCGCAGAGGAGAAGAACGAGGAGATCGCACCCGCCGTCACTGAGGAGGCGAAGCCGAAGGATGCCGATGGGGACGTTGCGATGGCTGAGTCTGCTCCAGAGCCCAAGGAGGATGCACCGGTGGCTGAGACCAATGGTGACGCTGAAGCCGAAAAGGCAGAGGCTGCTGTGGATACTGTGGCTTAGTGGAAAGTTCGTTGGTCCCCCCATCGAAACGGTCCTCTCGACCTGGCATGCGATCTTTCCCACCTTTTCTTAGCAGATGCGATTCCTCGACTTAGCACCTGACCTATTTGCTCTCGATCTCGATCCTTCCTGGTTGTGGAGTTCTCGGCTTTGTTTGAGTCTTGCCTGGGTCTCTGCAACGACCTGGAAGGCGGCTCCAACCTTTGATTCCGCCTGCTAGAAGAGCAGGCGGGTCGTATACATGTGTACATATTTGACGCACACGGATGAACGGGCAGGCGAATGGATGGGCGGAAGGATGGTTTTCGGAGCAGTCTACGATATGAGGCGATGGATTTGCTGGAAGCAAGCGTGCGTGCGAGCGATATTCTTCGAGTATTAGTACGGCCATGGAGTCAGCGAAAGTAGCCTGTGCAGATATTAAAATTGTTCTACCTAACAATGCAGACCGCGAGGGTGCCTCCCGGGGTACTCAGAACTGTCCACGCTGAGAGATCAAAACGACTATAGGCAATTGCATGTAGGACACGACTTTGGGTGGTTCGTCCGATTTCGCCCGCGGGCTACAAAACATCGTGTCAGGGAATCTAGGCAACCGTCAAACGATACCTTCCCTAACATATCTAACACAGATAGCCACATTCTTTCAGCAATCAAACGCGACCCTCACACAGCATCTTCAACCCACGCCACCATGTCCTCATCAGCGCGCCTCCTCCTCCTCCCCCGCGAACTCCGCAATCGCATCTACACGTATCTCACGCACCCCCTCGACTTCACCTGGCACCGCGGCATCCAGCACACCCCACCCACCGCGCGCCCCTCAACCCCCGTCCCCGTCCGCATCCCCGCCTGCCCCCTCGCCTACGTCTTCCTCATCCACCCCCTCATCACCGCAGAGTACAAGGAATCCTGCCTACCCCATCTCGAAGCCGTGCTCAACCCGCCGGGCTTCCACGCGCTCGAGGACTTGGTCGAGGGCGGGAGAGATGTCAAGGTGTTACAGCGTGTGAGACACGTCACGCTCTTCGTGCAGCTGCACGCGCGGAGTACGGGGGCGAGTCTGGACTGGGGCGACCAGCTCCAGCTACTAGGCGATGTGGTGACGTACATGGGTGGTGCAGGGGGGCTGAAGACGCTGCGTGTGGCGGTACGGCAGCATTTTCTTGGGGTGGGGCCGACGGTCGGCGAGGCGGAGTTAGATGGGATCTTGGAGGGGGTTGTGGCACTGAGGGGGGCTGCTGGTGGTGAGGACGAGGGGTTTCTGCCGGAGATGCCGGGGCGGGTTGGGGGTTTGGGGATGGTGCAGAGGGGGGAGGGGCTGAGTGTTGGGTTTGGGGGGTTTGTGGGGGGTGGAGGGGCGGGGGTCAGACATGCGGTGAGGAAGGTGGGCGTGTGTGTGTATGCGTGTGGGGGCGAGAGGTGGGAGAGGAGAACGTGGAGGAGAGAAGAGGTGATCAGGAGGTGGCCAATGCGGGCGTATGTGGAAAGTATCAGAGAGGTTGTGGGAGAGGAGAGGGCGGCGTGGTTGATGAAGCTGCCGTATGAGATGGTTGAGTGGGTGGAGAGGTGAGGTGAAGGGGCAAGTCACATGGACCAGAGACATGGGCCGCAAGTCCTAGCCTGACGACTTTAGCTCACTGAAGAGATATAGATTAGATTATTAGTATGTCTAAGTTACGAAAGCTTCCCAGCTGGGCAGTGTCTAGTTCCCCGCCGTGATCTCCGCAGCGATCTTCTCCGCAAGCGCATACACAGTTGACTGAGGATGTCCCGGAGGAAGGAAGGGGAATGCGCTAGCGTCAACAACACGCAGGTTTTCCACGCCAAACACACGTGCCTTGCTATCTACCACCGCCATACTGTCCTCCTTCTTACCCATCTTGCAGGTCGAAGACGCGTGCCATACAGTCATAAGGCTCGACCTGATGACGTCCAAGATCTCTTGGTCGGTCTGCTTGTCAAGCCCAGGGAATGCTTCCTTATCGCCGACGCGGATGGATCGGAGCTCCGGTGTGTCCCAGACCTCGCGCATGCGGCGATACCACGCGATAGCGACCTCCTGATCACCCGGGTGCGTCAGCCAGTTGGGGTTGATGCTCGGGGGAACAAGAGCATCCGCGCTCTTGATCGTTACATTGCCCCGAGATAGCGGCGCCACAAGCGCGCCCAAGTTCGTCGCGTACTGCTTCCCATCGAGCGGCTGCTGGAGCACTGGGAATGCAAAGTCGCCTATGTACCCGTTGCCAGAGATGTGCTCGACCTCGGGCCAGTCGTCCGCAAACCAGTTCAGCGCATCCCTTGTCGCCTGCGTGAAGTTCTGGCGGTACTTATCCGGCAGCTTTTCCCAGCCGAGAAACTCGACGACGTTGGAGCTGAGGGGGCCCTCGGCTTTGGTGGTGTACTGCAGGAGGGCCTGGGTCAGCGCAAGTGGGTCGTGTAGCGTCTTATCGAGTGTGGGGAATGCGACTTGGTAACTGGGCCCAAAGAGAATATGGTCCCACATGTTTTGGCCGACGCCCTCGAGAGCGGATACAACGGGGATCTTGAACTTCTCAAGGGTAGCGCGAGGGCCGACGCCGGAGACCATTAGGAGCTGTGGAGACTGGAAAGCACCGGCAGAGAGGACGACCTCCTTGCGCGCTTTGATGTTGTATGTTGGAAGAGCGCCGATGAGGCTCGCCTTGACGCCTAGGATCATCAGTACAAGATGAGTTGGATAAGCCTCTACGACACGTACCAGTCGCTTTCTTTCCATTGAAGACAATCTTCTTCACCATAGTTTGAGTGTAGACCTTGAGTCTCTTGCCCGTAGATCCCGCCTTGGCCTGATAAACATACGACGCAGACGAGCTACGCGTCTGGTCCGATGCCCGGATGGTTGACTGGGAGTAGTGGTAGCCCATCAAATCACCGCTGGAGAAACCGAGCGTCCGCTTCATTCCAACAGACTGGAGTCCCTTTTCCAACCACGTTGCCCATATGGAGACGAAATTGGTGTATCCAACCTGGACAGGACCCCCTTCATTGGAAAATGCACTAGAATCATACTGCGTCGACGCATTACTGCGGCGTTTTTGATTGTCAGGAGGTGTGAAAGTAACGCTCTTCTCAAAGTACGGCATAAATTCGTCCAGCCTGTCCACGTCAGTTGATCACCGCACAGATCAGTCTGCGAAACTCACTTGTAGCTCTCATCCCCAACAGCATCAGCCCACTGCTCATACGAGCCCTTGGAGCCCCGATGATGGATCATGAAGTTGAGCGCAGACGAGCCACCCAGGCACTTCCCCCGCGCATAGTGGATCCGGCGATTATTCGCGCCCGCCTGCGGTTCTGTCTCGAATTGCCAGTCCACCGTCGGCACCGCATCAATGAACGAGCTGCCGATGCCGAAGAACGCACCCGCGGGCGTGGAGCCCAGCACTGGCTTGCCGAACTCATAAAATATCCCAGCCTCAATGATAGCAACCGTAAAGCCCGCTTCGGCAAGGCGCACGCCGATGGCGTTGCCCGCGGTGCCGCCGCCGACGACTACATAGTCGTATCTGAGTCACAACGTGTCAGAGGCAATAGACAAAAGAATCTATAACACTTACTCCTGGTCCGCGCCAAGGATGCCTCCAAGACCACCTAGCACACCATTCACGATGCCCTGGCCCGATAGCACAGATCCGGTGACATCGAGTAGAGGATTGAGAATAGATCCCAAGGGGCCCGCTTTCGCTCCTCCGAACAAAATAATTGCAGAAACGAACGAAACCAACCGAAGGAGTGACATCATTGCGAAAGACTCGCAAGAGAATGGTAAGCGTTGGAGCTCTCTCAGGTGTTATCGGCTGGGTGAAATCATTTAAGACAACGGGGTATGCGAGTTATTCGGGGCTTTCAAACAAACGCGCCTCGACGGGCTGGGCAGGGTTGCGAAAATCGTCATTTCGAAGACGTGCGGGAGGGAGGGGAGGCAGGCACGGTGGTTTGAATCCTTGTAGCGTGCATCCTACGCCTTGCCTTTGAGGGGACAGAGCAGAAACCGCATTGGCCCAGAGTTGGGATTCGCAAACAGAATTTCCTGTTGCAGTAAAATCAGCGCTACCATGATCCAAATCGTCGGGCCTACCTCTGTATGAATCCAAATCATCTGGGTACACTGGTTGCGGCCTGTACGGGCACTGTCTTTAAGTGATGTACCTGCTGTTCTGAAGGGTCGCTCAAATGATCAAAGTAACGGAGAAGATCTCAATACTACCTGTGGCAGCATGCCTGAGGCTTACCTTTCGGAGGCTCCATGAACGCGGGCCATTTGTGAGTGCAAGGGTGCATGTGGGGTCTTCTGGGGTGTTACGCACGGTCGCAGGGAGGTTTTTCGAGAACGGACCCCAACCGCAGCCCATAAGTTTGAGAGCCAGTCTCTCCAGGGACGCAACTCTCCAGATAGAAAGGTCCACCGCGTATCGAAATATAGTCGTGCGCTTCACTGTAAGTTCATAATTTGGCATGTTGCGTGAAATAGCCAGGCAAGGCTGAGGCTTGCCGAGAGAAAGAGGAGCGGTGCAAATCACGACCTCATTTGGTCGACAGTGATACGGCTGCTGCCGTGTCACGGCGTAAAGGGGACTTGGCGCAGCACGACGCCGCGCGTATTGCCTATTTTGATTTGTCTTCTTGCAGGTCCTAACTGCATTGAGGGCCAAGCTTCAAAGAGAGCGTGGTCTGTCTTCTCTAAGATGCGAATTGTGCACGATACAAATGCGGAGTGACGCGTAAGAGTGATGGATCGTTTGGGGGCGAGGCCTATGTGGGCCAGTGCGCGCCTGACAGCTGCTTCAGGACGCCCCGCGCCATCAGATTGGCCAAGCGCATTCTCCTGGGTAGCTAAGATGGACCATTGGATTGAGAGCAAAGTGTAGTGACGTGTGAATTTCTAGATATTACATCTGATTCCAGTAGCACTCGTTGTGCGTCTCTACTTGGGATCATAGCTACTTGATTGTGAATACCTGTGGGATGTCCCTTGCTCCACCGTAGATATCATCATACTATCCTCTTCCTACTCAAGAAGTCCAAGATAATCCCCGCAATTGCACCGGTATGACTCTCCACCGCAAAATGTCCCGCATCCAACAAGTTAATCTCCGCACCAGGTAAGTCTTTCTTGTACGCATCCGCGCCAACAGGCGGGAATATGATGTCGTTCTTCCCCCACGCCGTCACCAGCGGGACCTGGCTCTCCCTAAACCAGTCCTGCACCTTCGGATACAGCTCTAAATTCGTGCGATAATCATATAACAAGTCTAGCTGAATATCAAACACACCCGGCCGCTCGAGCAGCGCCTGGTCCAGCGTCCAGGACGCAGGGTCGAGGGCGGACGGGTCGGGCTCGCCATCGATGTATTGGCCTTTTGTGCCAGTCTGCAGGAAAGGGAGCAGCGCGGCGCGCGCATCAGCACTATTGTTCGTGGACCAGAGCGTGCGGATGGGGTCCCAAAATGCGCCCAGGCCTTCAGCATACGCATTCCCGTTTTGCGCGATGATGGCGGATACGCGCTCAGGTTGCTGGAGGGCTAGCCTCAGACCGACGGGCGCGCCATAGTCGAAGATGTAGATCGCATACTTGGCAGGGGGATCGTGGATTTCAGACAGGAAAGTGGAAATTGTCGCGGCGATGTTGTCGAATGTGTATGTGTAGCTGGAGGACACGTTCGTGAAGCCGAAGCCGGGGAAATCGGGGGCGATGACGCGATATGTGGGCGCGAGGAGGGGGATGAGATTGCGGTATTGATGGGATGAGGAGGGAAAGCCATGGAGGAGGACGATGGTGGGGGCGCTGGGGGACCCAGATTCACGGTAGAAAATGGATTCGCCGGTGGAGAGGGCGAGGATACGGGTTATGGTTGTGAGGAGGGTCATGGTGGGATGGGGACGTGGGTCGCTGCTCAGGTTCAAGTAGTGAACCTTGAGGATTTCGGTGGTATTGTTCGGAGTGTTGTTGATGCATCACCCTATGGAAATGTCCAGGTCTTTTATATCTCTTTGCAAAACACCATTCCAAATGCGAGCTCTCACACCGTTGAGCGTTCTGTACCAAGCCGTCACCAAGAATTGCGTTCAAGCCCTATTGTCACTTGGACCTGGGTAGTCGAAGACTAGAGCCCGCATCCGGTAGTAATCATTTACTTAAGCAGGCTGACCAAGACCGTTCTATGTCGCAATGTTGGAGGTAAGACGCCGCTGCATTCTCATTGGCTTTCCTCCTATGGTAGAAGTACACACCGCTAGCGTATTGCAGCTGCTGACGATTACTCAACCCATTGCGCCATACCCCAGACCCGCGAACGCGAATGGGGTCCGCGGCCGGGATATGACTAAGATTCGTGGAAGTAGGTACATGCGTGTCCAAGAAAGGCTGCTGCAATAACAGTCAATTCCGCCATATCCGCAGTCATTTGCGATTTCGTTTGAGCGATGCGCTTGCCAGATGTAGTTATTGCCCGACGAAGGTCGTTGCCAATACTCTGCATCGCTATCCCAGAGTCAGCTTTCGAAGGCATGTTTGGAATCAACGCAGTTGCGGAATCAAAGTGTGCATATTTCAGAGAGAAGATTTTGGCTCGACCTTGACTGCCCCTCGGCGACGAAAGAACCAGCCTGCAGGGCAGGCAGCTTCCTCCTTCACCCGGTTCAGTCTCCGACTAAGGATGACGATACAAGGGTTTTCATCATTGCTGGTGTGTTTCACAGAGAGATAATGAATGAGTACGTACCCTGTATTCAGGTTTTGGGCATATGCTGATGCACGCCGTGATCATGTTTCCAGGTCTTCATATTGCCCTGGGCTCATGCCATCCGGGAACGCAGTCATGCCCAATTGTGTTGTGCGATTTTCATGCCGCATATGCCTCTCAATAGTCCAGGTCGACCGCGTCTTCCTTCTGGGCATCTGGCCCGTTCGCCTGATGCCACGGATCCCATTCGTCGCTCTCCTCGTCCTGCTCGTGCTGCGCCTGCTGCTCGGCCGTACGTCTGGCTTGTTTCGCTTCTCGTTCCTGCCTCTTGCGCTCCTCTTTCTTCCTTTCGCGGTGATTCTTCCTGTTCTTCTGTCTGTTCTTCGCATTCCTGGCGCGAGTCTTCGCGCTCGTCACCGCCCACTTTTGCTGAGGCTGCTCAACTGGTGGAGCCTGAGTCTGGTCATCGTCGTCTGAGCTGATAGACATGGGCGTGCTCTGATCAGATGCCGGGCTGGCTGCGCGCGCGGATGTTGCTCCGGGCAGCGCTGTCACATTCTCCGTGTCGACTTGCGGGGTGTGGGCGTCGAAGATTGGCTCTCCGGCTTCTTTGCGTCGTCTCCGTTCGAGCAGGATGCGCTGGATCTCCGAGTGTCGAAATATGGCGATCTCTTCGTCGGTGAGGGTACGCTTCACGCCGTCTTCGTAGTAGCCGAGCCCGTCGTCGCCTTCGTCATAGTATTCATGCTGCGCTGCATGGTCCACTGCCTGAATGTGGTGCTCGGGAGTAGGCGCGCTGGGGAAATGTTTCCCATGAAACTGACGGAGGTCATCCTGTCGACACTATCAGCAATGCATCTTCTGCAGAATAGTAAAGCTTCCGAAGATGTCGGACTGTGGATTGCGAACCAGGGCAACACATGTATATCTTCTCACCCCAGTTTGGAGCGGCATAGAGCACATCTACTTACCTCCGTGACGGTAGGGATTGGAAGCTCCATGGATGTGCACGAGCAGCATGAGGGCAAGATGGACGTTTGGGTGCTGACGCGTGTCGAGGCGAGCGAGAACACAAGTCACGAACTTTGGCGCAGGCATTCACGCGATCACGGGACGAGAGGCGGACGGGGCTTGGCGTAAGGGCCGAGTCTGGGGAAATGACGTCTGCATCTACACCCCTCCAAGCGCACCACCACCTGTCGACGCCCCACCTGCAGCCAACTACTGCATTCACGCTCCACCATGAAACCCGCTTCGATTTTCGCCTATCCCGCTGCCACCGCCTGTCTCATTGTCGCTGCCTCCGGTGCGCCCCGGCCCCTCAGCGACATTATCAAAGCATTCGACATTCACCAGCTGCCTTTCCTCACCAACCCTCTGCCTAACATGCCTTCCGACGAGTCCGTCTCCACCGGCGTCATCATATCCGACGTAATCGGCAAGACGCAAGCCATCGCCATCTTCTCCGGCCTTACACGCGACATCGACCCCGTGTCGGGCCGCCTGGACGATGCATCCCAGAACGCGACCGTCTTGGCACCCGACAACAGCGCGATGAAGAACCTGCAAAGGAAGCCGTGGGAAGACGCCGAGGATTATGAGGCGTTCGGTACGGAGGCATACAAGGGGCAGGACGGAGAAGACCGCGCGCACAAGAACCTGCGAAGATTTGTAGAGAAGCACATTGTACCCGAGAGCCCGTGGGAAGAGGGCAAGAAGGTCAAGACCCTACACGGTAACGAGATCTGGTGGGAGACAAAAGAGGGGAAGAAGAAAGTACGGTTCGGCCGCTCGGAAAGCTTGGCATTCCTGCTGACAGCGTCAACAGATCCAGCCCGCCAACATCGAAGTTACAAGCGTTGCTGACAAAGTGTCCAACGGTGAGGTTTGGGTAATCGGAGGCTCTCTGGTGTGATGGTTTGACACCATGGTATACCATATTTGGCGTTTTTGTTTTGCCTAGACGCGTGCGAATGGGTAGTGGGATGTTCCACGCGGAGCTTTCGCTGTTCGAGCTTAGATACCATCCCCTATGACCTTGTTGATACTAGTATATACGTATGCCACGACTTCACGATATCGCGTCTCTCGTATTGCCACAACGTGTCCTGGAGTTACATGTAAGCAATTGCTAAGCTGGAGGGGCCGGCCGAGCTAAGAGTTTACTATTTTATGTAGACTTCACCCCACTCTTCGATCGGACCCTGCATTACGTCAAGCCCAAGCGGATTGTATACATAAATAACACCGTCCGGGTACCAAGCACACACCCCTCCAACAGGCATACAAGTTCAAGATGCACTACGAAAGCGGTGATTTGGCTGTCTGCTTCACATGCGGCACGCAATTCGACGCGCTGCTCTCCTCCCCACCCCTAAACTGCCCCATCTGTGACGATCCGCGCCAATACGTCCCGCCCAGCGGCCAGCAATGGTAAGTTGCAAGACCTGCGTCCGCAAGAAATGTATTTCAAAGTGAGAGGAAGTTAGGCCATACCGCCAGCATTCGTCAAAAGCTTTGGATGCTGCCATCCACCCTCCAGCCCAGCGACTCAAGCCCATGTGACTAGATATTGACGAACGGGCCCAGGACCTCCCTCAACAACGAGCGCTCGTCCCAGAAGAATGAATTCACAGCCGACCCCCACGACCCCCGCATCCACTATATCACCACCACCCCCACCGCCCCCTCACGCACCACCATGCCCGCGGGCCTCTCCGAATCCACCTCGACGACCAAACAGCTCGGCATAGGCGAGCGCGCCATCCTCCTGCAAACCTCTTCCGGAAACGTGCTGTGGGACCTAGTAGCCTGGCTAGACGACGCAACGGTGGCGTTCATCAAGAGCAAAGGGGGACTGCAAGCCATTGTGATCAGCCATCCGCATTTTTGGACGACACATTTGGAGTGGGCGCGCGTATTCGGATGCCCAGTATATCTGCAAGAAGCAGATCAAGAATGGTACGACCACTTCTCTCTAATTCTTCTCTTTCCTTCCTTGGTCAATTTGGACTATTCTATATACACCGTTGCTACATACCAGGCATGCTTTACTGCTGATCAATTGCTGACCGGCTCCGTTCACGCAGGATCCAGCGCAAAGAAGACCCACAAGGTCTCCGCCACTTCATCTCAGGCGAGACGGAAATCCTCCCCGGCGTTACCTCCCTCCAAGCCGGTGGTCACTTCCCAGGGTCCTCCTTCCTGCACTGGGACAACAAGCTCTTCATCGCCGACACGATGATGTCCGTCCCTTCTGGTTTCTCTAAGCCTAACGGATCCAAATCCAACCCTAAAGCTGCTACTTATTCCTTCATGTGGGCCTACCCCAACATGATCCCCCTGCCGCCGAGTGAGGTCCTGGGCATCTGGAGGAGTATCAAGGGCTGGGACTTTGAGAGTACGTATGGTGGATTCATGGGGCAGAATGTTGTTGGTAGGAAGAATTTGAAAAAGGAAGTGCTAGAGAGCGCGCAAATGTTTTTGAGGAAGGGAGGACATGAGAAGGCAGAGATTTTTGAGGAAACGGTTTAGGAAGTTGGGGTTGGAGATGTGGGTGCTGGGTATTCTGGAGAGGGCGTTTTGCGGGACAGAGGTGGTGAGGGCGTTGGTGGGAGTTGGTGGGAATGAGTCGTGTGGCGGAGGAGCGGCCGTAAGCTGACTTGCTATCAACGTAGTGAGAATTCCTGTATGTAAGTTTCAGAACGGCACTATTCACTTCTTATCGTATGAATGGCATTGCATAATTGTCTTCACCATCGTACTCCATGGATATCAAAATGCTAAACACCCCCCTGTACCCCGTCGCCCGTTACGAGCCCACTATTTCCCCTTCGCAAACTTGCTCTTCTTCTTTTTCCCGCCCTCATTGAATTTCTGTGCCTCCTTGTACGCCTCGTCGACCGCCTCGCCCGCCTTCCGCTTATTTGCCTTGCCCGTCTTGACCGCGATTGTCGAGGGAAGTCCTGCGCCCTTCTTTGCGGCGTCGCGGACAGTGCGCTCCGCTTCTGTCCAGTCGGCGGCCCCAGCACCGATCTCGTATCTGGTGGGAGGTTAGCAGGGTTGGAATCAAAGCCAGGCCAAGCGTATCATCGGGGTTGCACTTACTTTCCAAGCGGCAGGGCATCAATCATAGCCTTTGCCCTTTCGCGCTCCTCCCGCAGCGCCTCGTCCCCGCCCTCGCGCAGCTCCTCGTCGAGGTCCTTCTCGAGCGGCTGGAAGCGTGCACCGCTCCCAGCATCGGCAGCATCGCCGGCGACGCCGTTGTGCTCTACCTCCATAGCCTGGGGCATCGTCTGTTCGATAGCGCCTTCCACTATGCCGCGGAACGTGGTCGCGACCTTGCGGATGACCTTGACGAACATGGCGAGCAACTGGCTGTTGTTGAGGCCAAGCTCCTTCTCTACGTCAGAGAATTCTTTCCGCTGGAGACCGATGGCGAGCAGGATCGCCGTCTGCACGCCGCTCATCTTGACCTGGCCCTTGAGACGGCCAGTGAAGTAGAGTTCTGCTATCTTGGGCAGCATGTCGAGGATGACGTGGTAGTCGAGCATGTTGTTGGCGTATGAGTCGAGGCGCTTGAGGTCGTATGCGCTGAGAATGGTATCGAGTTCGGATTTGGTGACGGGCTTGGGGGCGAGTTCGGCGTCTAGTTTTGAGCCTGCTGATGCTGACTCGTCTATCGACAGAGAGGTTACGGCAGGGAATGTGCGGAACTGGTAGGAGAGGAGGGAGAGGAAGCGCTTCTGGAAGTCCTTGGCGAAGGCGGCCACCCAGCTGCCGTCCGAGGTCGTGGTCTCGAGCGACCGCAGCATGACGCAAGTGTGCTCTCCGGTGAGCTCGTTGGCCGTTTGTCGCAGATATACAGGAACGAATGAAGCCCGTTTCCAGAACTTGTGCAGCTGTGGGGTTAGGCCGTACGACACACCAACGTAGTCGAGCTGAGGAGCCTTGAGCTCTGGCAGGCGAGCAAAAAGCGGCGGCATATCCTTCGCCTCTCTGACCTTGACATCATCCTTCAAAAGGGTTGCGCTCTCCAGCTCCTCCTCGGTCACTCTCCGCATGCCTTCCAGTTCTTTCGGTTCAGTCTCCGAAAGACTGGCAAGCTTCCCGTCGTAGAAGTCAACAAGAAGCTCCAGAGCGCGCGAACCGTAGCCCATATTGGTATAGTCAGGGCTCGTTGCTATACGGATGACACGTGCGCCAGAAAGCCCTGCAAAGTTCTCATCTTGAAATTGCTGGGAGACGATCCAAGGGATGAGATCTCCACCCGCGCGCTGTCCTCGGTTGAGGCTGCTGAGCACACTTTCTCTGCTGATCTGACCCTCAAGAGCCACCTGAACAACACAGAGTGGCTCTGGAAGCTTGTTATCTTCTGTGACTGGCGGTACAAGGACGAAGAGCTGGTGTGCTGGTGCGTCGGACATGAGCTGGAGATCATTAGGCGAGTTCTTGTAGTGACTCGCGACATAAAGAGCCATCATCTTCTGCAAGAACTTTTCTGCTGCTGGATTGAATGAAAATAGGGTATCGCGGTTAACATGGAGAAGCTGACATTCAGATGGATGTGGGCAGCCTTGAGTGTTCATCTTTGATCTTGGGAGAGTAGCGTCGAGGCAGAGCACGTCGTTGAGCCATCGCTCTACAGAGTCGCCCTGTGCATAACGGATGGGTTCTGACAGTGTGATTTCGCGCAGAGAGCGACCGGCCATTGAAGTCTCGGTGCCGTCCTTCGACTCCTTGCCTGTCGAGCGGTCGATGACATGATCAGCCCCATTCGCCCGTCCTCGAGATTGTTCTCGCAGTTGTTGAATGAGCTTTAGTGATAGCGATCGTCCAGTGCCTTCGTAACCGTTGATCGTGGATGCCATGAAAACGAGATACGGGCCCATCAATTTCCGCACCAGAGGTAACGGGATCGCCGCAGCTTCATCAATAACCACCAGTTCGGCCTGGCCCAGAGTGTATGCGTCCTGGGGCTGAATGTACTGAATGGTTTGTCGGTGCTGTCGGTGCACGTTGACGCGTACGATGGCCTTGTTGAAATCTGGGTTCGTTGATTGCATGATGGTGTAATCCTGGTGATCCATGTATCCTAGCGCATCGAAACCTTTGAAAATGAATTCGAAGAGGGTTTTCAAGTTCTCTGGACTCGGCGATGTGATGAATATGTTGCTGTAGCCATGTGCAACCGCGGCAGCCACAGCCACACCCAATGCTGCAGACTTTCCGCGACCACGAGCAGCAGTCAATGTGACGGTGCTCTGCAGTGTTTTCTCCGAAATCGCATCAGCGAATGTGAGCAGTGCTTTCGCCTGATCCACGGTCTTTGCAAGTTTGATAAGATCTCCTATCGGTGGTGCATCGGCCAGAGACTCTTTAATCTCTTCCAACTCCTTCGCCTTTGGTGTTTTGCCTTCAGCTTCCGGGTCCGGCGGTGGTAGTTGCCTTACGTTCTTGCCGCCTGAGAGGGGCAGAACATTAAGCTCATCGTCGACCACCAAACACGAGTCGCATTTCCCGAGCGACAATATGAAGCGCTCATTGAAACGCGCAACCACATCGCTATGCGCTTCGGTCCGATATCGCGAGTGGACGTCCATCGATAGAGTGTACAGCTGCTTTAAGCTATTCATGCCCTTCAGCAACAGTATAACGAGCCCCCCTCCTTCTACCGTCTCAATGGTTCGGGCGAGCAGATTCGGCGTAATTCCCTCGAAATCCTGCAGGATACACATGCCGTAGGTGTTACCCAGAATCTTCTCTGTTTCCTTATAATACACGTATCGCACGTTTTGCGTCGAAACGAATAGCTCGAATGGGTCTTCGGTATCGACATCTCGGATTCCGCGCTTGATTTCGTTCTTGATCTTCTTCTCGCGCTTCTTGCGGTGACTTGAAAAGCCCAGAAGCTGCTTCTTGTATGCCCAGAGGACTGATTTGTTGAGCTTCACGTCCACGTTCAGTAGGATATGGTACAGATTGACTATTACGTCTTTCTGGCGGTCGCCGACAACCACGAAGAAGCTTCGTTTTTTCTCCTAGTAAATTGTGAGCCAAATGGCGGACATGTGGATTCTCGGGGTGCGAACGTACCTGTGCGCCATTGCGAATCAACGCGGGTATCCGCGCGTCACTTTACCCCAGTCAGTATTGCTCTCGTCTCCTCAATATCCCAGCATTCCCGTACATGGCTTTCTTCGGCATCTTGGCCGCTGCGTAAGCTTCCCCTCCGCCGCCCACAGGTAGTGGTAATTTCCGGTACAATAGCTTCAGTCGTCCGGAACTGTCAGCGCGAATAATCGGTTCGAGCTTGGGCGTGTGTAGAGGCGTGGGTGAAAGTGAAGTCGTTTGCGCGCGTTGCAGTCGCGAGCGACCTCGAAATCTTGGCTCGAAAAATGTTAGGCGGCGGCAGAATTTGTGGATGGTCGGCATTAGTTGGGTGCCAAGCCCGACACCGCTTTCCTCTTCGAGTGCTGCTTTGCTGAGGCGCTCTTCCAATGTTCACACCCGACCATTGAAAGTCGTGTACCTTTCCATGCAGTCCTGAAACACCCTCCTACCTTTCGGCATGATCGGTCTCGTGTTTTTCGCAATAACAGCAATAGCATGTGGAGTTTCTCAACGTGGTCTTATATTTGTCGACTAACTACTATGAATCCCAACTTCTCTCTATCGGTCAACGATCTTCTCCGACGAACTTGATCGACTTAGAACCAAATGGACCTCATTAGAATGGAATATGGCATTTGTATCGCATCAGAACTCTCAGGTACTCGGTGCGACGTAGGGAATCGTCTTTGGCGCGCGCCAATCCGCCCCATGCAACCGACAAGGGTTGTGCAGAGGAGCGGCGCGCACGATATAGCCTCGTCATGCCGTGCCTCTCGCCTGCCTGCCGATGGGACATAGAGATCTCAAGTCTACTCAAGTGGAATGTTGCAGTTCAAACCCATCGCTTTTATTGAATCACTTGTCCCCGTAGATTTACCTCTGACGTTGCGATGGCGCCTACTCTATATACCCCACTTCCCATTGACAAGTTCAGCATCCGCCTAATCAAGCTCCAGCCTGCCTATACCACCTCGGCACCAATCCTCTGCAAGTTGATCAATCATCCGATTGATTCCGAGCGGATTGTGGCACATTCCTATGAGTGCTTATCATACGTTTGGGGCCCTTCAGAAAACCCCCAATTGATCAGCATCGATACTGGAGAGGCAGTCTTCCCTTTTCAGACAACTCCGAATCTCTACGAAGCGCTTCAACACCTGCGAGACTCGTGCTTCGAACAAATACTGTGGATCGATGCCGTATGCATCAATCAGCGAGATGACGAAGAGAAGGCCACGCAAGTTGCTGCAATGGCCAGAATCTATGGTCTTGCCAAGCGTGTTATTGTATGGTTGGGCGCAGAGACGAATGACAGCACACTTGCTTTCGAACGTCTAAGAGACCTCGCACAACCACGCGAGACCGAAGCTCCACCTCAGCATAGGTCTATATGGCTGCGACATAGGGATGATCTTGTTGACAGAGACCCTGTTGTTGACAGCGATGTTGATAGCGATGTTGGTAGAGATGAGGATGGCCCAGTTGCTGAACACGCGATTCAAACATTGCTCAGCCGACCCTACTTCAGACGCATGTGGGTATGCAGAGACCGTTGTCACTCTCGAACCTTGGCATTATGTCGTGGATGCTAATGTAATCAAAGGTACTGCAAGAAGTTGCTGCTGCTCGGAACATGGTATTCAGGTGCGGTAGCGCAGAAATGCAAACAGAGACATTTCGTGCTGGCCTGCATGCCCTCGCACGTTTAGATGATTGGGAGCTCCGTCATCGAATTCTCGCGTTTCTGCTCCTCATTGGGACTTCCATCTTCCGAGAGCGTCTAAAAGGTCGGCCTCACTTAGAATTTGAGCCTCTGAACGATCTCATTGACCGGTTTCATGCTCATGACGCCAGTGATCCTCGAGACAAGATCTACGCGCTTTGGGGGTTATGCTCGGACAGTAGCTCGATGGAGAGCCTGCAACCCAATTACGACAAAAAATGGAAAGACCTCTTTGAAGACCTGGGCAAGCTCATGTTCGGCAAAGAATCAGCCGTTTCGGCATCTCCTCTCCGCCAACTCATGTTTGTGCGCACCACCGGATACATCCTCGGACAGGTAGAGGAGATCCCGGATACAATTACGGGACAGCTATGGGACCCTATTCAGGAACTTAAGCTCGCTCCTCTAAGGGCTTCAATGTTGTTAGGCTACCCTACTAGCTGTAGCGTGTGGATTAAGATGCGGGCGCCAGCAGAGCCGATTCTAGAAGGCGACAAAGTCTTGTTTTTACCTCATACGGGCAAGATCGTCTTTGCAAGGACGTCAGACTGCTATCTCAGGATTGTCATGGTGATTGACAGTCCACAGGTCGAGCTTGCTACCAGACAAATGAATGGCCAGTGGAGATCATCTGAATGGAGGTCATGGCAATCGTGGTTGGGCAGGGTAGACAACGTTGCGAGTTCGCTCCCACTACTGTGGAGCTGGGAGAAGTACTACAAGGAAGAAGAGGACGAATGTCTGATTTTGATGACGGAATCTGCGGCACTTTCGACATTCGCAGCAGATCCTATTCGCGCGAAAGCTCTTGCTCGGGCAAAAGCATTGTCGGACATGTCAGTCCTATTCATGGATTACAAAGAGTATGGACACGCCTCGGAACTGCTCGCAAGTGCGGTCCCGATATGGGTCAGTGTGTGGGGGGAAGAGTCTGAGGCCGCACTCATGGGCATCAAGAGAATGAACGACGCGTTGGACAAGAAATCCAAGTATCTCAGAGCGAGAAACCTACTGCTAGATTCGCAAGATCCCACGTCAACCGAAGGTTTCATCAGGGATTGCGCTACTGGAATCCTCGGGGAGAGTATAACGACGCACGAATGGATCCCGCTAGATCTTGTCGTAGTGGATATTGTTTCGAAGGAGATGTCAACGGGCGTGAGCAGAGAGCTCCTTGTGCATACTCTGGAGAAGTGTGAGGATTTTGAAGCCTCCCGCCCGAATCGCATGTCGGACAACCATGAAGACAAATGGAAGATTGGTAGCTCTATCCAAAGAGACAATGCTGTTGCACTTGATCAGGAAGATTCCCAGTTGCTTGGTCAATCTATCAAGGGAACCAACAACTATCTTCAATTTCTATTGGAACTGGCGGAAATCGACATCTTCATAACTGAGTCGGAGCTGTTTGTTGCTGCTCACAAGAAAATAACGGAATCCAACTTCATTCGACTTGCGAAGCGCATTGAAGACCCACTTCAAAATTTGGCAGCAATCCTTGAGGCCTTGAGGTCTACTCAGTGGCCAGGAGTGACTGTCCCGAATCTCATCACCGAGCTTGGTGACCGCATTGTCGTCACGCCCGATGCGGTCAACGTGGCTGCAAAGTGGGACGTGCATGCCTTATGCGCACTTCTGAGGGCGGCAAATAGTACGCCAGTTGTCGCTCCTGTAGCATTTACGGTCGCCATGCAGAATGCAAGCGCATCCACGCCTGCCATTATTGAGCTTCTTGCTCAGCACGCAGAAGCCGGTTGTGTGGTCCCAGAAGAGGCCATTGAACTGATCGCTTGGCATAGAGTATTTAACAAAATACAGCTGCAATGGATGTTTGTATCATTGCTTGAGAACATTGACATTGTGGTCAACGTTCCTGTGAACAGACTTTTCAAGGGAGCATCTACATTTGGTGCGAGTAACATTCTGGAGTTAATGCGCTTCGTAGGCCCGCCTTCGTCTGAGTATTTGTCATCCCCATTTTTGTCTCCATGGGCGTCTTCAGGATTCATCAAATTGCCGCAGCCTTATGGCGGTCCTATCGTAATCCCGATTGGCGAAGGTCCTCTCCGTCAGGTAGTTGTGGACGACCTATCGGCCAACAGCATCACCGACTACGCGAGCTTCATAAACCTGGTACGATATCGGGGAAACGAATTCACAATCACTCGAGACCTCATCCTCAAGTCGGTCAATGAGAGGAAAAAGCATCCAGAAGAGAACTCATGGCTGTACGGCGAAGATCAGACTCCTTGGGAGTCTTTACTCGTCATCGACAGGTGCACCGCATTTCTCATCAGGCATGCCGACCATAATGTAATCAACTCCCTTATCTCATCCTCTGCGTTGATCGACACTGCCGCGTCTAGAGGGCTTCCGCGTGCAATCGAGGCAATTTACTGCCGCTCACACAGCACTGCTGTGCATGTCGACGCGCTCCGCGTGGTTGCTGAGCTATGCCGACTTCTTCAACGACCCTTGCAGCCCGGCGAGTCCTTCGCCCACATGCCAAAGATCGAGAGCCTCATCCGAAGCCTTTCTGGAATGGCGCAAGATTTTGTTTCCGTTGGTGTCAAGCGAGAGATATACCTCCATGCCAGAGGCGGGCAATATAACTATCAGGTAATTGATATACTGCTCGAACACGGTATCATAGATGCGAATGCCGTCAAGATCTGGGACGGGCAATTTCTGGATACCCGAATCGTTGGATGTCAGGACGACCAAGACTTCGAAACCGGAGCCGGTCACCAAGAGAACTACATGAGTGACAAGTGCTAAGAAATCAGCCGGGACCGGGATGCCGAATCAGCACTGAGATAACTGTTTCTGGAAGAGGACCTCACGAGAAGCTGATGCACTACGCTCCTCCGTTTGGAAGGCCTGAAAACAGCTTGTCACATCTTTGTGGACCCCCCCCCCCCCTTTTTTTTTTCGCGGTCCCTTGAATGGATGGTTCATCGAGTACCTGCTATTCGCACAAACCCATGGATCCGGCCTTCGTAGTGTTAATGCTGACAACACGTTGAGCCACACAATTTACGTGACCAGCTTCCCCGTGTGCCCGTTCACCGCCTCTTCTTCTCTCCTCCGGCACTTGTCGGCATATCCTCTGGCCGCTTCGCAGAATTAGTGGCTAGCTTGCGTGCGTTTTTGGGACACGAAACATCCTGTTATTCCAGAGTTATCTTTGACGCCGTGTTCGCATTCTTAAAAGACAGTCCATCCATGAAATCGGCTAGAAAGCATTCACCGACTAACGAGTACGCATTTTCTTTCCGGCGTACTACGAGGGGGACGGTTCCCCCCTCCAAAGCCACAATATTGTCGCCTAGTCTTGCCTGAGAGGATGCCAGCCCCAAGCGGCCACCCGCAGATCGAAAGACTCGGCGCCCGTAGAATGTTTTTGTCAGCTGGTTCCTGTTCGCCTTGAGCCAGCCTTTAGTGTATGAAGCAGATGGTAGACTCGCAATGTTGAAGTCGCCCAGTGCAGCACGTTGAGGGAGGACATCCAAGACGCGAATGATTTCCTGTGTTGGTTCGAGAACGACGCTCGCATCTGGCCATTGCTGGAAGAGGAGGTTGACGTGCGCCCCGTTGAGCGCGTAGCGGAAGGGCAGGATGATGTCAGAGAGCGAGACTATTTCGTCGACGATATCCCCGCTAAGTGTGAGCTTGGAGAGATCCTCCGATACCTCGTAGTCCAAACGAGAGGTGCTGGGTTCCGAGAATGGAGCTAATGGTGTCGACTTATCGTACGAATGCCAGTCCGGGACCCAAGAGGGGAGGTTGAGAGGACGTGTATGCGGGACACGAGCTGCGCCGGCGCAGCTGAGTACATCAAGCCTCCCGGTGGTTCTGATAAGGTGGAGCGCGGTTTCTGTGTACACGGTACGGACTGCCTTCTCGTAGTTCGCCTCCGGCAAAGTAGATTGATCCTTGACCAGTGGATAAAGGCCAAAGATCTTGTCTCTCAGATCTGTGGCTCCGCACCGCCGGCTACGATACAGCAGGTTGAACAACGACAGCTGCCCGCCGGTGCCATGCTGCGATGAGCGTCTGCATTCATCGATAAAGCCGATATGCTGGCAGATTTGCGCAGTGTTGGATCCAGCTAGCATTGGGCTCTCCGCGACACACCGAGCAGCAAACACCAGGTCGTCCCACGGCAGGTGTACCTCGCCACACGTGACATCCAGTTGCGAGGCATTCGCCACCTCCTGGATGACCCAGACGCGCTGGAACCAGGCAAGTTTGAAGAAATACCGCAACGCACTCCATGCCGGCCACAGTTCCTCTGGCAGTCCCAATGCGCGCAAGTGCTGTGCGTCAGGCTCGAGGATGACGACGCCCCCAACGCGCTCCTCGAGCGCCCTCAGTTTCTCAAACACGTTCTTCGCAATGCCGGCCACATCCGACTCTCGACCTACCCACGCTACGACTCTGTCTGCTTTCCGATAGATCTGCCCCATGAGACGCAGCTGCTGGTTCCGCTCTGCATAGTCCCTCTGGTTGATACACAACGCGTCGACCCAAAGCGTCCTTTTCCCGCTCCGCCGCCTCAGCCCGACCAGCGCTTCATGCAGATTCCTGGTCACGGGAAAGCTGCGTCCATCGCAGGTGATGGTTTGCGAGTCTTTGGGGTCGCCCCAGCAGTAGGATAGCGCTTCGTAGTTGGGTGCGTCGTCCAGGGCTGCGTTGAGGAGGTTGCATTGGACTGGGGAGGAGGTGTGGCCAGGTTGGAGTTCAAGGACACGGAAGGAAAATGGTGGGCGGAACGGGAGGTAGAGGTTTTGGTGGAGGTTGCCGGCGAAGGTGTACCCGTAGCGGTAGGGCCACTCCCACCTTCGCATGCTGGTATGGAACGGAACACGATGTCAACGAAGATGGCTGGGAGGAGATGCAGTAGGATGGCTTCACTCAGAGACAGCATGGAAGCCGTGATAAGAGCGATGCCAGTCTGAACTCCTATCAGTGCGAGCTGGACACGCGGTATTGTAGAACGGCACGATATTCGTTGAGATTTACGAACACATGCTTCAGTTGTAATGCCGTCGTGTGCATTGCGATGTTCGTTTCCAGGTGAACATGCCCAGATTTCCAAGGAGCAACACCTCGCTCAGAATTTCCCTTGAAGGCATGGTGGAAACACCACGTGAACTATATAAATAGAACGCTTTCATGTTCGCGGCCAATCCTTACTAGCGTGGGGTGGTAAACCAATTGAGTGAGCGGTGAATGGGCCAATGAGGAGATTGGTTCGAGATCCTGTGTAACATTGCCTTCCAATGTTTCGCACCTGAATGTGGTATCATCCTACCTTGATACTACACTTCTCCTCCATACGCTTCTTCGCAATCACATGGACGTCGATGTCGCGAACGACAATATCATACACGTAATAATCACAGGAAGACATGTCAAGAACGTCAATTTCATATGGTACATTCCAAGCAGGGTATACTATCCTACAGCGCGACAAAAGCAAAGCCATGGGCGCAATCTGGGTATACGCGCGAACAAACGTAAGGAAAGACATGAAGTTCGTAACAAATCGCCGCACACATCACCCTTCCCAAGTCTCAGCGCAAAACGGGGGCACCAAGCAATCTGGTCAGTCGCCCAAGGCACCACAGCACCCTCGTACGCAACGCCGAATCAAGCAGACCGACTTCACACGAAGAGTTTAGCCGTGCTTACCATTGACGTACGCACCCTTCCTCCGGCGTCCAACGCACGTCTCCACACACCACATCACCAGCACCAAAAACATACAGCCCGTACTCACCCACGTGAGCGCCATAAACTTCTTGCCCTTGCCCGCCTCGAGTCCAATGTCCTTCCCATGCTCATTAATGATATCCCCACCCTTCTCAATCACCGCCGTCACGAGCGCGCTGGCAAGTCCAATCGCCAGGAACGCGAGGATACCCAGGAGCAAGTTGACGCACGCGGACAGCCTGCCCGAGGTAAAGACGGCGACTAAAGCGGCGATGAAGGACAGGAAGATCAGCCCGATGGAAATGCAGTACAGCACGAACGCGGTAATGCTGACGACGCGCAGGGTGTCGAGGCCGCGCTGGATGTCGGCGGGCCACTCGAGGTCGTCGAGCGTAACATCGAGGCCGGACTTGTTGAGGGCGTCTTCGATGATTTGCGTGGGGTTGAAGTAGAACATGGCGGTTTGGTTGGAGCAGCCGGTCACGTTTTTGTGGATGTCCCCGGCGGACACGGTGGCGTTGGCGGCTTCGGTGGGCGTGTATTGGCCGTAGCAGTAGTCGAGGAGGTGGGCGGAGTAGAAGTCCTATTCACCATGCATGTTAGTCGGGAAGCTGCAGTTGTGGAGACGATCGACGCACCTCGATACCAAGCTTCTCAGTGACGACGCCCGCGGCCTCGCTGACGTCGTTCTGAATGCTGTCGGGGACGAGGTCCCACAGGGAGCCGAGCGTGCTGTCGCTGTTGCCCAGGGTGCCGTTGACGACGCCCTCGCCCAGCCGTGACGTGTTGAGCGTGAGGATGGAGTAGTCTTCCATGAAGTTCTTCTTATGGCCTGCGAAGAGGCAGAGGAAGGCGAGGACAAGGGCGGCGGCGCTGAGAAGCGCGGGGATGAGGGCGGATGGGCGCATGGTGGTGGTTTGTTGCTACAACTATGCTATTGTATGGTGGGTGTATGGATGTAATGAGAGCCAGAGTATGCAACGAGTAGACAAGGACGAGCCAGCAAGGCCAACAAAGACAAGACAAAGCGACCCAGTGACCGTCACAAACCCTCAAAGGGACGTCCGCCCTAAGTACACACACATTCCAGCCCTTCACGTCACTCTGCCAGGGTTGCTCCCAAGAAATAGTCGTCGCAACACAAACTTGATTGCGCCCCCGTCGTCCACGCGCCACACCCGCCCACCAACACACTGCGATCTTCAGCGCCGTTGCCAGACAGAGTGTGTTAGCCGGCTGCGTTGACGTGGAAATGGCTGGGCGGCAGAACAGGGCTGGGTTGCTTGCTTGCGCCAACGTCATTAGTGCCGGGGTGCGCATGCAGGGGTGGGGATGCCGCTCGCTTACGCAGGGTCGACGCAACGACGTGTGAGGCGGTTGGTAACGGGCACTCGACGGCGACACACTGGCATGAAATTCCGAGGAGAAGGCCCGGTTTGCACAGCCTCTACCACGCGTATGTTGGGAGGAGAAATGATTGGACGTACGCGTTCTGCGCCTGAGCCACACGCGACAACGACACATGCAAAAAACTCTGTCCACCGCCGCGTACGCGACCCACACGGTGGCAGAGCAGACGTTCGAACATGAATGGGGATGCAGCAAGCCAAGTGGACACAATAGCACCGAGTATGCAGTGCTATATTTGGTAAGTATGTATTCTGCGCTGCATCTACAAGGATGTGCGTGGAATCTATCGTAAGGCGTCTATCGTTGAGGGACCGTGGAAACGTATCTCGTAAAGGAGCAGCCTGTGCTCCGTCTTTGCTTTTGGGGCGGATCGAATGTCGCACCTAGAGTGGTGTGCAATAGTAATAGTCTGAGGGTCTGGAAGTTGACTGAAGATGTGTCAAGATGGCGACTTGGACTTCTTGGGGCCCCGCCATGGTTGAGGAACAGGAGGCCCGCCGATGCCATCGGTGAACGGCGAGTATGGGGCAGCAACGCGGTGGGGTGGCGCTCTTGCTCCTGACTGCGTGCGCGGTGGCTCGCTCGAGCCCGGATACCGCTTCTGCTCGTCGTGTAGCTTGTCCAGCGGCTCGCCGACAATGTGGTACTTTGCCCAGTTGACGGGCGGACATCTTACGATGTTCTGGGGTTGGGGGACGGCAGGGAATTTGGTGGCCTCCTTGAGTGATCCCTCTACTGCTGCTGAGTCCTTTCGCGCCGCCCCGCTCTCGCCATACGAGCTCTCCACGCCTTCCCTCGCGGCTGCCTCGCCTATATCGGCCAGCGTAGGCGTGAGCACATCAACAGGCTTGCCCGCGGCATCTTTGCGCTGCTCCTGCAGAGAGCGCACAAAGGCATGCGGGTCTGAGACGGCGGCGGCCCTGAGCTCTTCGAGGGCCTTGAGGTCGCGCTTGCTCTTCTCGCGCTGCAGCTGCAACAGCGAGATGGCAGAGCGGAGTGCTATCGCATCGGGGTTTTCGCTCTCGGAAATGGGCACAGAGGGCGGCTGCTGTATGAAGGTAGCAGTCGGCGGGGGCGGCGGGGGTGCGACACGTGGTCGCGCGTCCTGGGGCTCCGGACGGGCAAGCTGTGCAGCGGCAACAGTCGGTGTGATAGGCGACACGGGCGGGCGGTTGGGCGAGCGCGACTGCGACCGCCGCTGGGTGCGCTGGTCTGAGGGAGTTGAGGAGCTGCTGGGCGAGGTAGACGGCGTACTAGTATCTACCAGGAGCGCTGGCATGGCGGAGGTGGACAGTCGGCTGGAGGACAGCAAATGGCGGTAGCCGTGGGGTAGAGACGCTGCTGGGAGGGGCGCACCGGCTGAGGTCGCGGAGAGGCCTGAGAGCGCCGACCCGGATCTTACGCTTGGCGGCCGGCACCGGGTTGTCGCCCACTCGGAGGCAGAAGCAGAGCCTGTTGGCGAGAAAATGTCGCAGCCAGCCTGCGGCGTGATTGGGCTGGGGGCGCGATGCTAGTGGGGATATCTGCTGCTGGCGTCGTTTTCACGTGGCGGCTTCTGGACGGCGCCGCTGCCAGAAGCTGAAGCTCTGGAGGACGGTGGGCGGCAGCCAGTCGCTAGACCAGCTGTGGAGTCCCGAACGAGCAGTCGGAGGCCGTGTGGCTTTCGATAGCACGCGGAGACTCGCACATGGTGCCTTGCCGACCTCGTCCGCGCCGGCCGTTGGCGTTGAAATTGAATTTCCCGGCGTTGGGATGCGCTGGACAGGACATGATCACTCAGGCACATAGCAAGGAGGTCAAAATTGGGGTATACTGGCACGCATGTAGGTAGATAGCAACCGCTCCGCTCCCTGCAAGATGCCATGACGCACATGCTAGCTTCCTAGGCGGACCAGACTCGCAAGCACGGTCTCGTACCAGCCCGTGACTGCTGACATACAAGGTATTGTCCTGCCGTTTGCTCTCTAGGTCCAATGTCTGTTGTGGCGCCACAGAATATTTGCAATTGCCAAAGGACCATGTTCGCAGCATCGAATGCGGCCGACTGCAGCCTCGCTTATCGGGTAAGCACAACCTGGTCCAGATCGCTGCGATGCTCTCTATCAAACCACGCCCACAAGCCATGCTGTGCCACGCGTGATGCACCCGTGTTTGCTGGTTCTGGGGGATACCGTCGGCTCGTCTTCTGCTGCGGGACGAACGGCCTGGCGCGCCAGTGCTGCTGGCCGCCAATGACTTCGGTCGGAACGGGTTTCTTAGCAGACTGCTCAAGCCACGAGCGCGCTGGAAGGTTCGCAGTCGGCCTCTTTGACTGCCCTCGTCCACCTCGATTGGCGTCCGCCGCCAGCCCGTGCTCCAGCCAAATGGCAGGTTTGCTTGTTCTGTGGTACCGTGCAGGATGGCGCCTGCCTTCCCGTCGATAGAGCCTGCTCTCGGTGCAAGGCGCGCCTACGTCCCCTCTCACTCTTATTGCGACGGCTGCCGCTCTCCTCGTCTGCTCAAGTCACGTCCAGTGTCACCGTCACTTTCACTGCACGCCCTGAGAGATGCCCACCAAGCCCTCGACGTAGCGCCGTCTGCAGGCTGCTGCACCGTCCCCTCGCCCTAACCGCTTCCGCACCCACCGATCGTCGCCGTTTGCTCGTTTGACTCGAGCGCCTGGTTTGACTCGACATGGCGCCCGCTGCAGACCTGGCACGTCCGCCCAGGATCCCGAAACTAAGCTATCGTAATCGCCTGCCCGCCGACGACCTGTCCCTCATTTCCCGAACTTCATCTACCTCTACCGACACTCCTCTCAGTCTCAACGACCCGCCCTTGGACCGGCACCTCTCCACGCCAAATTGCACGCCAGTCTTGACGCCAGAGTTCGACAGCAGAAGCACAGCATCATTAGCGTCATCCCAATCCGCCAGCCTGGCGTCCTCCGATGGCTCCAGTACCCGCGAGTCCAAGGTGTCGTCGACGAAGAAAAAGAAGAACAGCGTCCTCAACTTCCTCACTCTGAAAGAACCGTCGCAGTCCGCCCTAGACCAGTTTGCCGATGCACAGCGGAAGCAATCAGCAGCAAAAGGTGGTCTCCCACCGCCTGTGGGCATGCAGGGCATCTCTGCGCAGAAGCTGCCGCCGACCGTGCCCAAGGTCAATTCTAAATGGGACGGCGTACCGGAATCTTTGAAATCTTCACGCAACTCGATCGTTTCTAGCAAGAGGACGAGCACAATGAGCAGCACCTCATCCCAAGGATCGCCAAACTACACAACCCGCACGTCCACGATAAATTCCACGATAAATTCGTCTGCCATCTCTGTCGCGACAAATGACAGCCGAGGACCTCCAAACTCCTTAGCCTCTCCGATGCACTCGGCGATTGATGTTACCGCGTACACTCCAACGAAATCTCCTCCGCGGGCAGACTCACCCTCTTCTGCCTCCCTGCCGGAAATGACGTCCTTTTTCCCGGATGATCCGAGCTTGTCGGCTGCTTCACCACGCTCTAGTGCAGAACATCCTTGGAGTCCACCTTCTCGCCCTGACCAGGATGCGGCTCACATCTTTGTCACCGATTTTGACGAAAAGCTTTCAATATCCGAACCAGATATCGTGACTGTCGATAAGGCAGACGCGATTTTCAGGCGATTGAACGGTGGACCCGGAGAGCCCCTAAGCGACTATTACGATGGAGAAGATGAAGACCCGGACGTACCTGAAACGCACGACTTCCTCTTCGACGTAAAGCCCATCCTGACCACACCGCCGCCATCAACTTCATCCCACCAGACTCCAGTACAGCCGATCCAACCTACACCAGCCCCGCACTATGTACCTTCTGGAAAACCTTCCGCCAACTTCTCACGGCCACGTCCCAATCAAACCTACTCAAATCCACCCCGGGCTAGCACATACCCGCACCACCATAAGTTCACTTCTCCCGCCTTGCCCACGCTTTACGAGGCTTCTATTGCCAGCACAGACGACACGGATGCGGCTTCCGATACGACTGAGATTGGACGAACTCGCACTCGTGACAGCACGGACAGTGCCGAATCGTTCTCTGCACACTCCATCGCACCTTCGACGGCGCCTTCTGTTGCAACGTCCTTCACGCCCTCTGTGATGTCAGCTTCCTGGTACCGCTCGTCTCGTGAACGACTGGGCTTAGGTGGACGCATTCGCAAGAGTGACGTCCTGCCATGGGAACAGACGGACACGGACCGAGGTAAGCCTAAGAAGAGCCGTTTATCTGTCTTCTCTCGGGGCTAGCATATCCAGCGCGGATGAGCTTTCGCATACTTTCTTTGCTAGACATGAGGGTTTCGCGCCCCACGTTGGCTAACGTGCCATCTAGCTGCACCCTTTTCGCACCTGCACCCTTTGCATATGCACCCTCCGGACGTCGACAAACGTCGTATGATCTGATGAAATCTTTTTCTTTCTGTCAGGCTGCAGCCAATCGCCATTTCTCGATATCCCACGCCTTTCGTTTGTGCTTAAGCGGTCACTCAAGCCTGTGTTTAATTCATGTGTACGCGATTCATAGATACCCTTGTCAGCATTTGAGCGATTTCTGGGGATTTATTCGGCACGAAGCTGATGACTTTCATTAGCCTTGAGTTCACCCAATTTTTTATGTATGCTATGAGAATGTCGAGCTTCGGTTTTCCAGGACAGAGATAGTCCCGAGCATGTCATGAGGTGGGTCTCCCGGGGGAGGTTGGGGCCATGGATACGTAGTGTATAGTTACCAACCATCAGCATTAACGCTGATGGACTGCATATGGAACATAATGAATCGAAAACATTGCTTAGATGCCATGTACGTGCTAATGATTTTATTCTAACTCGCCTAGGTATCCTGTCTTGACGACGCAAAGCACGCAAGTCACAGCCCGACAAAAAATCATAGTGAATATCATGCTTTCATTCAACGGGTATCTATGACGTCGCTCATCACATCCTACTACGCTCCTTTCCACTTCTTGCACAGCATGGCTGCCTTACCAACCCCGTTCAGCGATCCCACCCCTAGTGCAGCCGTAGCGTCGTCATCAGTGCTCTTGGGACCATTCCTAGACCACCACCACCCCTAAACTCCTCAGGACAGGCATCTCGTACCTAGTAAAGTGTCCAAAGAAATGCACTGCCGTCCAGTCATGCATGCGTATGATTTTGCTGGTGTTTGCGGGTCGCAGTCGTTTTGTCTTTTCTATCGCTGGCGGATGATTTCTAGTACAGGCCGGTATCAGTCGCAGCCGAGATGCTGTTGAAGAGGAAGAGGGTCTGCGCACCTGTGAGGAACTCCTCGCTGGTCCGTCACCGTTAGCCACGCGTCCATCGAACTCGCTGCCACAGAGCAAGGGAAAGGATGGGCAAAGGACTCACAAACTCAGCGTTATGTACCCGTCCCGGTCGTCGTCGTACTTCTTGAACACGTCCGTCATCCGCTTCAAGCTTATGCACGCCTGCACGAACAGGTCAAAGCTCATGTTGTTGTCGCCGCGGCGGTCGTACGTCGAGTACAGCAGCTGCACGAATTGAGGCGAGAGACGGTACCCGAAGGCGATCAGGGCGTCGGTGAATTCGGAGTACGAGATGGAGCCGCTGCGGTCGGCGTCGAAACGGTCGAAGAGGTTGCGCCAGGCGGAGAGGAAGCCCCAGAGGCCGCTGTAGGGATGGGGTTAGTTCCTTGTTGGGGGGTGAGGGAAAGCAGGGAGAGCAGGGGAGGGGGGGAAGGTACCAGAATTCCTCGAAGTTTATGGAGCCGGAGCGGTCGGTGTCAAACATCCTTTGTTCGTGTTAGCATTCAAAGTTTCTCCTCTTGTTTGGTCCTACAAACAGAACAGCACAGTACAAGACAAGATGCGACATACCTGATCATCATGCGCACAGTATGCGGGTCAAACGGGCTCCAATCGCCATTCACCAGCGCCGTCTTGAGCTCTGCCTCCGTCAGGTTGCCATTGCTATCGCGGTCAACCTGCTTGAACAACCGGTCCAGCGCAACTCTATCATTCCCATCCCTTGGCGGCGCAGGCGTCGCGGGTGGCCTGGCTTGCACGGGAGGCCTCCCGTGATGAAAACCCGCGGGCGCAGGCCCATGCCCGTAGTTCTGCGGCGGTGGGCTCCCGTAGCCGTCGTAGCGCGGGTCGCGAGGCGGAGGGTGGTCGTTGCGACGCGCGCCGGGCTGGGTGTCGTAGCGGCTGCGGTCGTCGTAGCGCGGGTCTGGCGCGCCGTATGCGCCGGGCGGGGGTCTGGAGTCGTAAGAGCCGTAAGAGTTGCTGTGGCTGCGGCCGTAGCGGTCGTCGGGGCGCTGGGACGGGGGGAGCGGCTTGTCGTTGTAGTCTGGGCGGGCGGAGGAGGTGCGCGGGGGGCGGGTCGATTCGCGGCCGTGGAGCAGGGCGGCGGCCTGGACGTTATGAGCATTGTGCTGCGGACAGTTGAACATAGTTGAGACGGGCGTACCTGCTCAGGCTCCGCGTGCGCAGGCAGCCTGTCCGGGTTGAACTTGGAATTGTAGGCCATGCTGGCGGGGTAGATGCGATGTGCGCGCAGGACAGCTGCAGCGAGGGGGACTGGATTACAGAGCCGGCGAGGGACGGCGAGGGACGGCGAGGGACGAGGCGCAATATAACACAGCAGACGGGTATGCGCTTCGAAGGCGGCTCAGATGGTGACTCCACTTCACAGCCTGGTTGCGGCTGATGGCCTTCGGCGCGAGCACAGATGCGAGCGCGGGGACGCTTGGCCCTATGACGGTGCCGGTGAGCCCTGCTTGAGGGCCCGGACGCGACCTGTGCGCTGCCTGCTCGGAAATGCGGAACCAAGCGTCGGCAAACCTGGTCACTTGGGATAACGATGGGCGTGGACGGTCTCGATGGCAAAGAAGGCCAGCAGGGAAGAAGGCCGTTTGACGTATGTTCACCTGCGATCGTCTTGTCCTGGACCCAGATTGCGAGGCTGGGGTTACCCAGCACAGATTGGGCTTCGTCCTTCCGACGCAATTGGGCAAAGCTGCCCCAACTGATTGTGGCCATGTACTTCGTGTTCGTATTCGTCGACGAGCTGTATCGCGTAAACACGTTGCGAGTCCTGCTTCGTTATTCACTGGTTGTACAGCAGATTCGTTTAGGAGTTATGAATGCACGCTACTATGGTACTATACATATGAGATGCAAGGCTACCATGATTGCTCTCTCTCTATCGTGAGGGTAGCTGCGTACGCGTGACTCCGAACAGGCTTTGGTGTGCACGAGCTGTTGGGTTTCGGGGAAAGACTTCAACTTGACTTCGTGTTAGCTTCAAAGCGCGAGAGGAGCATACGATTTCGGATTCCAAAAGCTTGGCAAAAATTGAAAGCATTACATTCTTGGTTACCGACGTCCAATCTTCACGTTGGGGTGCGGAGCTCGTCGTCTGAACTCTCTGGCCAATCCGAGGAGAAATACTTCGTACCAGTACAGAGCACCCCGTCTTCCCATACCCCTTTTAATAGTGTCGGCATCATGTCGAAAGAGATGCGAAGTGCCATCTTTCTTCTGAGAGGAGTGGTGATAGTTCAATGCCTTCGCCATATTGACAGATCGTACTCTCAAGGCCATATTCAGCAAGAACCTTGACCGCCATATCATCTTTGACCTTGTCGCAATAAATTTTCAGTCTTCTATAGCGTGAAATGCAGTACACGTTCCATCTGAGAACCGGCGTTTTTCTTCTAATCTGGAGATGAAGCCACTGTGTGTCGATGACGAATCGACAGAAAAAGTATCTATCGCCAGCTCTTGTGATCAAGTCCGAATCCTTGGGAAATGGGTCAAGAATAACTTCAATACATGGCCCCAGTTTCCTCCGACATGAGGTAGGATCCGCTAACTCGAGATTTTGCGCAAGGGCTAGGGCGCAACAAAAGCATAGAGGTAAAGGGCCATGAGTGTCGAGTATCCGATACATGAGATCCTCTTTGGAGCAACTGTAATCGACGCTGAGTTTGGTGCTCTCGTTACAAAAGGACAAGAGGGAGAATACTCTGTCCTGGCGAACACTACATTCCCTGCCGTAGAAATCATCCATCAGATTTATAAGCGCGTCTTCACGATCTACATTACGAGAAATCTCTTTTAGAAAGTCAAATTTTGATTCGACTTGTAGGATCTTCTTATCTTGTGCTGCATCCCATCTTCGGACTTCCCCAAAGAGCGATGTCAGGTCGTTGAAAGCGATCTGGCAACATCCCAACATTGCCATATGGTGACGTGCAAGTCGGATCTCATGTGTGACCCATGCCCTACGCCAATATGGATTGTCGAATGTACAGCGAAATAATGAATATTTGTATTTCATGTTGCCTTTTGCCGATTTCCTTGTTTTGCCATCAAGGAAGGGCCTTACAATATCCATAATCACTTCGGGGATGTCGCTTGCTGGTATGTTGTCACAGTTGCCAAGCCATGTAACGACACAAGCTGCTTTCAAATAGATGTCGCCCATCTGCTGGACTTGGTGGTTTCTTTCTACACCATCGTTCTGATTGATGCATATAGCATCAATCCAATACACTTTTCGAAGGTTCTGCAGTTTCCTGATCACTCCCAGGATATCGAACAAATTTCGTCGTACATGTGGTTTGCTGCCATTAACGACAATGACATGAGATTGTTTGGGTAGGTCCAGTGGATCCCACATATATGATAAATATGTGTGCCCAGCCTCAATTGTTGCGTGAAACCTGGTACACTGAATCAGACCGTCAGGCAATAGATCGGGAAGCACCTCGAGGAGATGTATCGAAGGCTTGGTGTGGTCCAAAGGCTGATGGGTAAACTGGATGCGTCCGCAGAAAGACGGCGGTGGTCTTGGGAGAGCCTTTTCCGCCATCGTGAAGGTCTCCAAGAGTGCGAGATGGCAGGTATCATCTCGTTCGTTATTGGAAACTGCATGGAGGCTTTAGCGACGGCTGGAGGCTTCTAAGCAGTGAGAGAAGTCGCTCTGAAATCGCTGTGCGAGGTGGCAGATGATGTGAAAGCGTACGAGGCTGAGCGAGGTTGACCGGATCAATGTGGCTGAAGCAGGCTGACGCAAAGTGCTGTTGTCACACCGATCCAAGGATGAGTGTCTGCATGCCGATACAACCAAGACGTTGCCTCGCGCTCGATATGTAGCTGGAAGGCAAAGCGAAGTTCAATGGAAATAATGAGCGATGCAGCGGAGGCTACCTAGGGCTGGACGCGTCTTACGTTCAGAAGCACCTTCCCCAACAACTACGGTAGCCAGCAAATGTGCACTTGAACAAAAGCATTCCGTCAAAAATCGATTACAAGTATCTACACTCGAAACGACAAGAGTCTTATCTTCATAACCCATAGCATAAACGCCATTTTGCCCACTCGCATATCATTCCGATGCCGTTGTGAAAGCGAACGAAGACAACGCAAATCAACAACAGAACACCTCTTCATGGGTATCCGCAAACGCCACGCACGAACCAGTACAAGGTCCCAAACGAAGGTGACGCGATATCAACATACTAAATTCATCCACCGGCCGTGCCTCGAACTGCTGACAACAAAGCAAACAACGCCGCACCAATAGAAGTACAGAAGAATAGGCGTGCTTTTGAAGTGAAGTATTGCGAACAAATGATTTGGGAACTAAATGGTTGGTATAGTACGTGCTCCAGCACGTGATGCGTAGGCTCATTCATCAAGCCTTTACTCGCTTCTGGCTGCCTGCATCGGAACCCTCGTCGGAGGGTTTACGCTTGCGATCGGCAGGCTCATCGCGACCGAAGCTAGGACCGTTTGGGGCCACCGGCGTCTGGAAGGGAAGCGGGCTGGGCAGCATATTGGAATCTCTGCCAAAGCCCCACTCCGGGTAGAAGCTCGAAGGAGATGGGAGGAGCCCGTTTTCGACAAAGCGGCTGGGAAGCGCGGAAATGGGGGTTTCCATTTCACCACGGCTTCCATACGATCCGTTGTTGGTGGGAGGCGCCGGGCGTGCAAATGGATTTGGTGGGCCAGTAGCTCCGGCACTCATGATTGAATTTGCGCTCGGGGAAGGAGGAGGCAGAACAACGCCAGAGGAGTGTGTATCCGTGCTGGTCCTTGCGGGAGTTGCACCAGTCGTTCCGGAACCTCTGGGCGACGATTCGGCAGTCTGACTTCCTGTGTCCTCGTCGGCTGGGATTTGCAGCATCAGTCGTGGCTTTGCAATGCTGTTCGTCCGGGAAACAGGGACTATGGGCATCGATGACGCAGACTGAGTCCGCTGAGGATGATTCGGCACTTGCGAAGGAGATCGGTGTGGTGGGGAGTTGCTATTGCCGTTCATCTGCGGTCGCGAAACTGCAGCCACGTCGATCGATTGCGATCGGACCCCGGGCTCGGCCTTGATCATGGGAGGATCGCTGCGAGGGGGCTCTGCATTACTTCCCCAAGAAGCGAACATGGATTGGCTGTCGTCAATGGGCGTAAAGATGCTGTGCTTGGCGGCGGAGGGTAGTGGCTTAGGCTGAGGCAGGGGAGGGCTTTGGAAGTCGTTGCGGTTGGGCTGTGGCGGAGACGGCACTGTCAGTTGGTGATTTTGCGGTTGAGCCTGAGACTGAGGTTGCTGTTGCTGTTGGGGACGGTCTTGGTGTTGCTGCTGCTGCTGCTGCTGCTGTTGCGGCTGCTGGAAGGCGGGCGGCATGGATTGTCGACGCGGCTCCTGCTGTTGCATGTATTGGACTTGAGGATGGGCTGGCGGGTGCGTGTATTGGAACTGGGGTGGGGCTGGTGCTGGCGGGGGCTTCGGTGCCATGCCCTGCGCAGCTTGCGGGTTGTAGAAGGGCGGGTTTGGCATGTAGGCGAAGTTGTTCTGCGGCTGTGGCGCCTGCGAAGGATGGTGGGGTGGCACGAGGTTGGAGCTCGGTCGCCGCATCTGAGCCCGCGAATCGGGCCGTGAAAGATTGCCTGGCTGCGGGGAGGGGTGGCGGGCGTGGAACGGGATACCGTTGTGCATCGGCGGCGAATGGGAAGGCGTCGCATGTCGCATGTGCTGGTAGGAGGGGTTGTTCTGCAGGTGGTGGCCCATCATGGCGTGCTCGGGAGGGGTATGCGAGTCTCGCGGGGGAGAGCCGGCCATCATGGCGCCTTCCTCGTCGTCGTCCTCGTCGTCCAAGTCCTTCTTGCCCATGAAGTCCTCAGGCCCCTTGTGCTCGTGTGCGCCGCCATACTGCCAGCTGTTAGTGCGGACCAGAGACGCGGTAACGCGGGAGCCTACATATTGGTACCGTCCGATGGTCTCGTTGATGTCGCCCGAGGAGAACTCGTACAGCTTCTTGTTGTGGCCGAAGATGATGACGGCAACGTCGACGGAGCAGAGCACCGAAAGCTCGTGGGCCTTCTTGAACAGGCCGCCTTTGCGCTTCAGGAACGTGCTGCTACAGGTCAGTTTCAGCCGCGACCGGGTAATCAGCGCTGCAGCTTACACAGAGCGGTTGCGGTCGTCCTTGATGGCCTTGATCTCAATCTTCCTGCGGCCCATGGTGACTGGCGGCGATCAGGCTGGAATGCGCATCGACTGGTGATACGGGCGGCGTGGTGTGGCTGGAGAGCGCCGCGTGCAGAGGAAGGTGCGAGGCGGCGACGCGAAGGAGCGCGGAGCGAGGCAGGCGTGGCCGGTGGGCGACGGCAGGAGAGCTGCGGGCGCCGAGGTTGGAGATATATGTGTGCGGTGGTTGCGCGACGCTCTTGACCGGGGCCGCGACGCACGACGTGAGGCTCTTGGGTCGGACACTGAAGGGTAGAGTCGAACATCACTCGAACGTGGGCGTGTCCTAATAATAGCAGACCGCTGTGGCCTGTGCCATCTTTCAGCCGTTAATTAGCGGACTTTGGCTGCCTCGGTGGCCGCGCCCATTGGTGCAGCAATCTATTCTCCCATTCGTCCTCTGCGCGGAAGACGCCTGCAAATTGGCCCAAAGGGGCTCGCTCGTCTGTAACGAGTTATTTTAAGGCCCTTTCTGCTGCACCGTGGTGCCGTGCCGTGCGACGGCTGCCCGCTGCGAAGAAGCACCCATGGCCCGCATCTGTGGCATCGCGACTGGGTCTGCCACTGTCTGGATGGGAGCTGTGTGTCTCGTCGAGCGTCGAGCCCTCCCCCGGCCGAGAAAAGCATCGACACCTCTCACACTCTGTTCGCGGCAAAAGTCAGACGGCAAGCGTCAGATTGGCACAGCACTTAGGGTGTCGGTCTGCAGCCTCGAGGCTGCCCCAAGAATGGCCCTCTGCTATCGTCCATCAGCGGAACGTCAAATACAGACTGGAGATTCCACGCTGCCAGGAACGCGACACCAGATCGGCTTGACAGGCCGCCCTATCCGGTGCAGCCAGGCACAGCTCTTGTGCGCGCTGTGCGCCACGGTACAGTGTGGCCTTGTGCTGCGAGGTCTGCGCCAAGCCATGCCTCGTCCCCGTAACATACGACGGCCCACTGTGGTAGGCCGCTCAATCTCGGCGTCCACCCTCTTCGGGACCGCCTATCCTTGGGGGCTGCCGCCAGCTAGCTCGCGAATGTGCTTTGCTTGCGTTTTGGGTGCGCATCGTGCGGTGTTGATGCCGAACTGGCGAAGCCATACTGTTCCTATCTTGCGAGGTCAATCCCCGGCACCGTTGGCTGCACGCGCGCTGAACAGATGCCTGTCAAGTTATGTAGAAGCCACTATAGGCCCGCGTGCCAATGAGCGCGCAGCGAAGACGCTCGAATACGAATGACCGGTAGCACAAGCGGAGAGAAAACACGCAGAACCGGCACCGGTGGACGTTGAACGTTGTGGCATGGCCAGGGTTCCGCCATTTGTGGTCGTGGCTCCCGCATTAGTGGCGATCCGCTTCCAAAAATATCTCACAGGAACGAGCCGATGACGCTTGACCCAACCTCACCACAGAATCGATTCTCGACTTCTGGATCTCGACACTTTGTAATCTGCTAGGCTACGAACGCCTGCCCTGTCCCCTCGCATTCTGAACCATAAACAGTCTGTCTCCGTGACATAATCTCACATGCGTAGACGCCTGCTCGTATACCCGCGAAGCCATTCACATCTGTTCACTCTCCATCTCCACAACGCTGACTGGCCGTAGTCCAGCCGGTCATCCTTCTGCTACTCCGCTTCTGCCCACCGTCCCTCCAAATAGTCCCCACTATGCTTCTCTCTCTTGTCACGCCGCATCCATACGCTTCTTAGCGAGCCGGGTGGGTTGGACCAGGCCAGCGGTTTTCTCCTCTACCCCTGTGAGAAGCTTAACGTTTCTATAACGAGCTCACTGTACCTGACAGCACTCCAAGCGAGCGCTGTCATCTGGGTTGAATGTTTCTTCCCAAGCGACTGCCGTGCGTGCATGAAACGAAACATCAGCATGCACACATCACAGACCCTCATCGACCCTGGCTCATAGCTCGACGACCAGGTTCGAAGCGACCCGCTGGCTCACCTCCGACCTACTTAGAGACCACCCTCATCTATCAGACGCAGGTACCCTCCCAGCTTACCTATTCTTAGACTACCGAACCTCGTTGACAAGTCTCATCGTCTTTGCAACCGCCGTGGAATCCTTCATGATGCTCAAGAGTACGCAAAAAGAACAGCTAATGCGCTGCACAAGTGAGGGCGCGTGTTGACTCCTATACTCCCTCCCTATACACTTGCATATTCTATTAAGATCGACTGCACTAACATGTCAGACTCTAAGCGCTTCACTACAGCTGTGATGATCTCTAGGAAGGCAAAAGATATGCAAAAATAGATCATCAGTGGTGCCATACCACGTCGATGTACCTTCTGAAGCTTCAGTCTAGATGCTGTCGACTTAGCAAGCATGGAGAGGAGGAGATTGCAAGGCAGACTTGAATGGGTCTCCTATCAGGACTGGATGGGGAGAGACCATTCAGGATTTGGTTATATGTGATAAACTGAGGTGCGCTTTTTTGGTAAGATCCACTATCTTACATTGCGAACAAAGATTTGCTAATTTTCGGAGGTAAACGACGCTGTGACATTTTGCGCAAGCTGCACCGAGGTAGCCCCCGGATGGCCTCTTGTCTTGACACTGGCCCTGATCCCACTTTACAAGCCGTCCGGAAGGAAGGAACAATCCATTGACCATTAGCCGTTGTTCCTTGCACATGGCAATGCACGTCTCTGAAGGCATTGTTGCATTAAAGGCCAGAGGGCCCCAGGAAGCTTGACCGAAGCCATGCCTTTGTTGCTCTAGCTTTTCGTGTTCTCTTTGTCCTTCTCACCACACTGAAATCACAGCTAATATACCCAGATGCAGGTAGCGTATATTCACTGTCTGGGTGGATTTAGTGTTAACACGTCATTAGAGCCAAGCGACTACATGCTTAGTACGAAGATGCTAGGGTTTTCTCTTAGGGGACTACACATTGTCTAGACGTGCGGATTTGAGTCTGACTAATTAGACTTCATGATTGTAGTGTTGCATGTCTCGTTGCACTGGTACACTTCGTAGACGCGAATAACTCTTCGAATTACCCAATGACAATGCCACAAACACGACATGAGCACGACATGAACGCGACACCGAGCGGAGTAGCTGACCACCATCCCCAAGCCGAACACACGGGAATAATCATCGGCGTTGACATCCAGAGGGGCCTTGGGACCCAGCGCAATGGGGCCTCTCCCGGGGCCATCTCCCGGCCACTCGCCTAAATGACATCCCATATAAACATGCACTGTGAGATTAAGCCGCACACCCACGGAGGTGGGGCACCAGCCCAACAAACAACACGCAGACTAAGTAAATGGAAGATGTTGTCCAAACACTTTCTTCACTCCCATTGTCAGTTCTAGACATCCAATCCATTACCTCCAAGCAACACCAACGATGCTATCCAACATGCGGTGGTTTATACCGTTGTTTGCAGGCATGACTGTCTCCCAAACCGTCCCCGCACCCGGTACAATCCCGATGATGCGTTTCGAATGCAGCCAACTCGTCCACGACCGCATCGACCCGCTCGTCAACCCAGGCCTCACACCCTCCCCCCATCTCCACCAGATCGTCGGCGGCAACTCCTTCAACGCGACCCTCGCCCACGATCTCCCCACCGTCTCCACATGCACCTCGTGCACTTTCTCGGAAGACTTCTCAAACTACTGGACCGCAGTCCTCTTCTTCCGCGCGCAAAATGGCACCTTCCACCGCGTCCCGCAGGCCCCCAGCGAAGGGCTCAAAGGTGACGGCGGGATAACCGTGTATTACATCCCCGACGCGAAGAACAAGACGTCCGTGACTGCATTTAAACCCGGGTTCAGGATGCTGGTCGGCGATGCTGCGGCAACGACGCCCCAGCCTGCACGCAAAGTGTGCCACCGCTGTATGCCCGCCAAGGGGGACAACAGCAATATCAACTGCGGCGCGCCGGATGCACAGGAGTTGCCCGGCAAGCCGTGTTCTGGGGGGATACGGACGATTATTACCTTTCCGACGTGTTGGGATGGGAGGAATTTGGATAGTCCGGATCATAAGAGCCATCTGGTGAGATTCCTTGTTTCCCTGGTGATGTGGTGTGATATGGTGCGGTGCAGTGAGGTTGGGGAGGAACGGCTGACTGACTGAGCGTGTAGGCGTATGCGGAGGGGAGTCAGGCGAATGATGTGGGGCCGACGGGGACGTGTCCGGCGAGTCATCCGGTGGTTATACCGCAGGTCATGTATGAGGTCATCTGGGATGTAAGGATATGGCTCTTTTGCTAGAAAGAGGTTGGTTGCTGACACAAGTCTTGACAGACACAAGGGTTCAACGATAAGAGCCTGTGGCCGGCAGATGGCTCGCAGCCGTTCGTGTGGAGCACGGGAGACCAGTGAGTGCAGCTAGACTCTCCCACCGCACACAGCAGCGCGATAGACTGATTGCCAACGCAGACACGGGTACTCCAACCACGGAGACTATGTCTTTGGTTGGAAAGATGATGCGCTACAGCGGGCGATGGATACAAGGTGCAACGGCGATTCTTGTCCGGCGCTGAAGAGCCAGACCCCTGAGGAGGCTATGAAGTGCACGGTCCCACGGACTGTGAAAGAGGATATAGATGGATGTGAGCCAGCTGAGATTGTTCCTCAACATGTCTTCGCATGTTACTAACGATAGACCTAGGGCTGGAAGATCTTCCTGGGAACCGAACGCTGTTCTAAGCTGTGGGAGAGCCAAAGGGACTGGTAGATTGCAATGGTGATATAGATGCTGTATTGGTACAAGACTGATATACTCGTTGCCAATCATCAACACACTTCGAAGAATGCCAGGTAACACTGACAAAGACTCTAGCCACCCCATCACGCCAGCCATTCCCCCTCAACCCCCTTTAACAGGTCTGCTAACCACCCCGCATCTTCCTCATATAAATCTCCATCAAACCCGTGTTCCCCAGGCGGTGTAGCAAGTTCAATCTTCGTCTCGGGAAACAGGCTCCTCGCCCTCCCCACAAATTTCTCACTCCACTCCACCGCAACATTCGTGTCGTCCCTCCCGTGCAAAATATACGTTGGCACCCAAAACTGCGCATCTTCAATCCGCGTATCAGGCATCAAATGCTTCCCCGTGCCAAAAAACTCACCCCACCTTCCATGCGCGCGCAGCATTGGCGCCACGGCGTTGCGCAAGGGTGGGCGAGCTGCGCTAATGATAGTACCTGGAACTATGCCTGTGAGAAACTCGTCCAGGACTTCCTTCGGGGGAATGGGATCCCCCATGATGATGTCGTCCGGATACGTGGGGAAAGCGTTGAGCACGGGATACTGCAGGAGACATGCCTTAAACGTGCCCTCCGAAAGTGACAGCACAGACTGCAGAGCGACCCAGCCGCCTGCAGATTCGCCAGATACTAGGATTTTAGAGAGGTCGGGGGAGATGGCGGGTTCCTTGGATGCGAGATACGCTGGCAGCGAATCCGTAAGCCATGCACCCAGGTCCGCGACATCGGAGAGGATTTCGTCGCCCGTGTGCTCGGGGGCGAGGCGGTAGTTGGGGAGGATGGCGATGGCGTTGTTGCGGTGGAGGAAGGGAACGAGGTAGCCTGCGAACCAGGGGGGGTAGACAGCTGTGCCTGCGGTCTGTTGGGATGTCGGTAGCGAGTTCCATAAGGGTGTAAGGAGTGCTTACCAGACCACCGCCGTGCCATTTGATCATTATCGGACGTTTGCCCGGCTTGATGTCTTTGGGCACGAGGACATTGACTTCTATTTCATGGTCGCCGATTTTTTTGTATGACGTTGTGTACAGCTTGAAGGTGTCGAAGCGATTCTCAGCGGTAGTGCGAAGCGACATCCTCTGTAGTAGAGCGAGATAGCTCAATTTCGAATCTCGATAGGCGTTGCGGTCGGCGATGGGCGTTGTTGTCCGCAGTGAAATTTACCCTCCACAGCACGAATAAAAACACTATCGCTCTTCTTCGGTGAGAAAACCTTTCCACACTTAAAGGGCGGATATGTGGCCAGGGTTGGGGGTATAAATGGAGACCTGGACAGTGGGCTTACGGACTAAATCATGGAAAGTGTTGGCCAGCTCAGGTTGCGCAAATGCGGCTTTATATACTAACTACGCCTCATCGCAGATTCCTACCGTGCGGAAGTGCTCTCTGGGGTTGTATTACGTGTCATCGCGACTAGTATCACGCGATGGACTGGAACAAAGGGCGGCAGTCCTTCTCTCAGGTTAGGCAGCTAAATAGAACAGGGGTTTTACGTTCGAGCGTTCTATGTCCGCTTGCTGTTTTCCCAGAGGTCCTGCCAAGTCGGGGAATTTTAGTCTGTGCGTAGAGTCGCGTTGCAGCGTTAGTATTTGATAGTATTTGTAAGCACACCACCAGCTCGCCGACGACAAACATCACTCGCGAGATCGATTGAGAAGAGACAGTCGACGACGGGACCAGACGTGTGGGGTGCAACTCAAATAATGCGTACAGGCAACCATGGAACCATTCTATAATCGCATACATGTCCACTAGGAATGGCATATCTTACTACCGTAGGTACACGCGAATAAAAGGGTAGCAGCAGCAAGAACAAAAAGAGGAAGGGGTATTATCCGAAGCTAGAAAGGGGGTATCAGAAGAGCAGTGGAGTAGAGCATTGCAGAGTAGAGCAACAGACGCTCCAGCGAACAAAGACGATTACGCGTGGGAAGATTCTGCAGAATCTCCGTCAGCAAATACGATCAAAGAAGCGTAAATCAGAAGCATACTCACCATCGCAAATGCAGAATACTGCCCCTACCGTCTGGCCGCCGCCTGCCCAGCCGGCCCGCCCTCAACATTACCCGTCAACTCCGCCACACGCGCCTTGATGCGCGCGACGCGGCTCTCGATCGTCTCCTCGCCGCTCGTCTCGCCCTCGTCAGTCCGCACGCTCTGGCTGTGGCTCCGGCGCGACTGCTCCTCGCTCAGCCGCGCAGCGCGCTCGGCAGCATTCTTCCTGATTTGGGCCCAGCGATCGTTCGACGTGGGTGCTTGCGCCGAGAGGTCGACTGATTCCTCTGAGATGCCGTCGATGGAGCGGCGGGAAGGGGTGGACTCCTCTGGTTCTGCTGCGGGTGCGTGACGGGGCACGTTGGGCGCCGCATCGTCGTCGTCGGAATCATCGGGCACGAAAGCAGGCATGTCGTCCATGGGTCCCTGGTCGAAGCGGGAGAATGCGGTATCTGCCTCAGGCTCTTGGTGTCTGTTCGGGGTAGGGGTCACCTGAAGCGCTGGTTCGTGGTAGGTCTTCGAGATGGCCGAGACTGCGGGACTGGCAGGGAACGCGGGAGGTGCCAACGGCCTCTCGACACTGCGGGTGGGGGAAGCTTCGCGGGCGTCGCTGTGATCGTCAATTCGGGAGACGCTGCGGGCAGCCTCAATTGCGCGCAGGCGCGCATCATCGTCGTTCTCAACGGGTGCTGCCACTGGCACTTCAGTCTTCTTCTTGCCGAAGAGCTTTCGGAACCCGCCACCGCCCTCTTTTTTGTTCTTCTTCAATTTTGTAGGAGGGGACTTCTTCGGATCTTGGACGAGCGCATGCTCCTCGCTGGGCCGTGCTTCGGCCGGCGCTGGAACAGGCTTTCTGAGCGCTGGATGCTGGTCCAATGCGGGACCGGATTTGTCGTCGAGAATAGCAGACGACAGTGCTGGCTTTTCCGGAGGTGGTTGGACCGAGCTGGATGCTCCGTTGTACTGCGATTCTGAGAAAGTCTGCGGTGCAGGAGATGGCGACGCGTTCTCTTCATCCTTGGGCAGCGCAGGAAGATCGCGGTTCGAATTACTGCGCTGAGACAGAGCCGCCGTACTCGCGTTCCCGTTGGCAACAGAAAGAAGGTTGGTCTTCGAGCCTTTGCCAGCGTTTACGTCGCCAAGGTACTGAGCACGGAGTTGGTCTTTATCCTTGGCTCCTTCGCCAAATTTCTTGTCCCACTTCATGGCAGGCCCGGCTTCGCTCACAAGGTGAGGCTGCAAAGTAAGGACACTGTTCGTCTTCGTTGACATGGTATCTTCATTCCTACCACGGCGCTGGGCAAATTGCTCAGCAGCTTTTTGGTCTCTCTGGTCCTGTGCTAGTCTTGCTGCAGCGGCTTGCACCCGAGCATGCTGATCTGGTCCGATACTGGTCTTGCTCATCGGCGTGTTCTGAGTAGTGCGGCTGTACGGCTCCTTTGACGCTGTTGGCTTTTTGCCTGTGGACTTCCTACGCCCCAGTCGACTCCTTTTGGTCCAGCTGAACATGGATTTCTTCTCCGCGATGTAGGCTCCTTCTTCCTGCCCAGGTGAAGCACCCTTGACCTGCTCCTCGACTACAAGCCATTTGGCACCTGGGATCCTTGTCTCAATCAATGTGCATCTTCCAAACGCAGCTTTACGCTCAGTGGTTTCTTCCGATGCCAGACTCGTCATCCAAACCCACCAAAAAGTGTCATCAAGGTCGAGTTGAGTGATGCTCGCCAACTCGCCGGGATCCAGATCCTCTTCGCCGCGCAGATTGCGCATATGCGATTGCGAGCTTTGCACGCGAGCAGCTTCGCCGATGGGCGGGAGTTTCGCAGATGGGGACAGGAATGCCGACGTATTTTTGTTCTCGTCTGGGAATCCAGTGGAAAGAAAATCGGCCCACGAAGGTGTTGTAGGTCGACCAAAATCGGTATTCCTTGAGCGTGCCGCCGGATTCATGCTTGAGAATTCCCGCATACCGGAAGAGCTCGTCGTGCCGTTTGTACCAAGCGAGGGACTATCAAGCAGTCCTGAGAAACCCATGTCTTCGAACTTTGACCAGGACGGGTCTTGCTTCGACCCCTCAGACGTTGCTGCTACAGAATGATTGGCATTAGAGATGCAATCCAGCACTCTGCGGCACTCGTCAGTCAAAGCTGTTACGGTATCGTCGTAAGATGAGAAGGCCTGTAGAGCCTCATCGTCGTCGCGGTATTCAAAGTTCTTCGCCCTGCGCAAGAGGGCAAATGGCGTGGGTGACACGGAGTCCACAATCATGACGACTTTCGTGGTTGTTTGATACATGAGTTGTGGTGCTTGTGGCGGGTACTCGGTCTGTGAGAGCAGCGACAGGAGAGAGCGCGGAAGAGCATTAATGCCGCTCATGGCATCGGAGTCTGGAGCTAACGAGCGTAGGTAGGCAAAGAACAAGTGGCTAGCAGCATCGGCGGCCCTGAGACTCGGGTTAGAATGTATTGATCAACAAGGGCGTGGTAGTAATACTTCTCCCATGTGCGGTATCCACCCTCAAAGCCTTTGCCGTCGTCTGTGAATTGGAAGGCCCACCATCCGGCCATACGAGACAGCTTCCTTCCGCCCATGCCATTGCTCTTGCCTCGTGCAGCTACCGCAGCGAGCAGATCGAAGAAGTCGATAATGACACGTTTGCGGGCTTCCGACTCGACGCTGAGCGGGATGAATGTATCAAAGGCGTGTCTGGCGAAGTTGGAATCTTTGGCGCGCGTTAGCACGGTTACGCGCGCTCATGTGCATGCGTATCTGCAGCTTACCCGACTCCCCGATGCGGAAAAGCTCGTACGCGTCCCAACTGACAACACCGCCGGGCAGTCTGCTCCAGCACCATTTCATTACACTGCAGAGAGTCTGCCTGCAAGTTAGCGCCCTGGCGTTGTTGCTACGTCCATGTGCCGCGGGGTCCTACCAGTGGCTCTGCGAGGCGCAATTCCTGCGCCAGCCCCTCGCCCGTAAACTGCCTGCTCCCCTCGTAGTTGGCTCTGAAGAAGTTGCGCACAAAGTTGCGGGCAGCGCTCGGTTCGGACGCTGGGCGGAAGGGTAGCAGCAGGAAGGGGATGTCGAGTGCTGGCCGCTGTCAGTCATGGTTCCTTTCCCAGGCGCTTTTGCACACACCTCTTGATTTTAGCTCCTGTGTGCACTTGTGTATAAGCTCCTGGATCTCGTCGGGCGCAACCTCTTTGCGGGTCCAAGATTCCTCCCAACGCGGCTTCGGAGGTGCGGCAGGTTGGTTGTCGGCATGGCCCGCCTTCGCAGCGCGCGATCCATCCTTGGACCCAAAGACCTTCTTGAAGAAGGGCATTCTGGAAGTCAATTCGCAGTCGGCGCGTTGGTGCCTGGCGGCATGTGCTGTTGGCGGAGCCGAGGGGCTTCAATGTTGGTACGCGAGCGGGATGAGGTCACTGTCGGCGTTAGGCGGTGCGACGGGCGTGCGATATGCGACGTGGATAGGGGTCGTGGTGTGTCGAAGCAGCCCTCGTCGGAGGGAGGTTGCAGTGCGAGGCTCGACTGGCAGGAAGAGATGTGTATGTGAACGACGACAGACACCCTGCCCCTTTGCGAAAAAGCGAGATGAGCCCTGTAAACTAACTTCGCAGGCCCCAATGCGCGCCCACGCCACGAAACACTGCCAAGCAACGTCGAGCGTGTTGCGCGCCGCTAGTTGCAGCCCAATTGCACGTCTGCGGCACTTACACTCACTCGCAGCCGTGTTCCCTCACCGCAGGATCCTCCATTATCTTGCGTTCCGAGCATTCCCTCCCACGCTCGGCGAGCACCTGGGATGGGATGCTCTTGCATGCGCATGCGATTGGTTTCATTTCCCGCAAGCCCTGCGCGGCGCTTCAGGGTGCCTGGATGCGTTGTCGCTCTCGTCAACACTCGACGAATCAGGCCCCGTTACGTTGCGGAACTGTCGTCGACCCGTATCACTCGCTGGCACACCGCACCGCTGCTCATTGTGGCCATGCTCCCCCAGGGCATGCCAGCGATGGCTGAGGCAGCAGCTCTGCCAGAAGAAGCTCATCAACAACCCCCACCATCTGCTGCCACATATGGCGTCATGCGTCCGGGTAATGTGCGCTTCTCGAGCGTGGATATTGCTTGCCTTAGCATACCTCCTTGGAGCCGCATTCCGCAGCCCTCACTTGCATGCGCGTTCTCGGAGAACGACACCGAGTCACGCATAAATCACACTCCAGTACCGCTGCTAACCTAGTGGACGTTGATCGCGAAACCATCAAAACGCGCCACATCCGTAGCAGTGGACCATTGGCTAGTAACCCGCTGCACCTGTCGCCAGCTGTCTCCACATTGCCTCATTCGTAGCGCCAGCATTTGCAATTCCTGAAATGAAGGACCGAGAGTCACCATGGTCAACCGACGAGACACCGGCTTTCCTGATATAGAACAAATGTGTGTTTATGAAAGCGCGCTGGCACGCACTCCTCTGAAAACTAGCAATGTTCTCGTCCAGTAGGTCAAAGTCTCGGTGCTGCTCCTCTTCACGGATAGCACAGTGTAAACAGCTCTTGTCCAAGTATTGTACATAGCATGCGGTCACTTCTCAAGTTCTTTTACGAAGGTCTCTATGGGCGCATACTGCAAAACCAAATGTCACAATGCATCCCAGTCCCCCAGTTCCAGATGCTCTTAGGCCACGGATTTATGCAGCAGCGCCTTTTGTCATGTGATCCCGCGATTTCCAGCTTAATGGTTTAAGTTTAGCCCACGAAGGCGCGCTAGCTGCTTCCGCATCGCACGCCCCACGCGGGTGTTTTGTTGTCACTCACCAACATTGGAACGAAGAATTATTGCCGTTCCACAAGTCACGGTTTAGGCGGTACCTGTTCATTCTTTCGTCTCCTTCCCGTACAAATTGCTTGTCATCCGTGGTGTCTGTTCGGGCACCGCCGCCAGCATGCAGACATGCCCTGTACCAGACATCGACCGGGCGTTGTCCCCGTATATAGCGACGCGCGAAGAAACATTGCAGGTGCGCAGGACGCTGTCTAAATATCTGACTGCTTCTCTTCGGCCTGTGAATTCAACGACCCAAAATCAGCACCTCGATCACGAGAGCCCACACAGCCTTGGAGCAGTCGGCACAAATCCTCCAGGACTCAAAGGCGCCCGAGGTGAATACCTAGAAGCGATAAGAAGTAACAAATCAGCCCGAGCAAAACTTGAAAGACTCCAAGCTTCCTTGGAAGACCTGCAGCAGCGCCATATTGTCGAGGCTCCTATGAATGACTCAAGTCAAGAAAACGACATGGTCCAGGGCTACATAGCCCTGCTTCGACAACGACGACGATTTGCAGAAATGGAGCTCGTGCAATCGTCGCTTGAGAAGTTACTCAACGTCAATCCGATCGAGGGACTAAAAGATCCGCGCGACCGCGTCAAAGACTCGCTAGGTGAACAGCCCAATCTTCCTGCGGAACGTTTGGAATCACTGGCAAACAGTGAGACCTGTGCCTCGTCTATTCTGAAGCTAAAGAATGAGGTTCTGGAGGCAAGGTCGAGCATGGACCGTGCGAAGGCTGCGCGAAGTGAAGTGCGCAGCACATCGCGGGATGCGCCGTCCCTGGCGGTGCAGGTATATGCACTCAGTTGTGCTCGGGAAGAGATCCAAGACTGGATACAAGTCGAACTGTCCAAGATGGATGAAGAATCTGGTTTCGTTGAAGATGCTTCGCCGGTCAAGCGGCCAGTTGCCTTACCCCACACCCAAGACCTCGCTTCATCGGAGTCTCAAATCCGAGACTGCTACAACCGATATACAGCTTCCCGCGCAGACGCCGTTGAGGGTCTTCATTCACTCCAGCAGCCTTTAGCTACACGCCCAGAAAATCCTGATGGTCCTGATCACGATCGCAACATTGCCATTCAAAAAGCTTCCAGCGGGCATCCCAAGCTTCTCACTGCTAGTCTGCTTCCTCATCTATCGCACCTTGCTCGCTCTCATACCAATGAGCGTCTCATGCTGTTAGAAACCGTTTATCTGCAGAACCAGATGTCATCTGCAGATGAGACGATAAGCGACTCATTGGCAAGACTCGCTGATGAAAGCCATCTCTTACCATCCGGGTCGCGAGCGATCGAGCCTTGGGGTACGGTGGTCAACGAGCTCGAGGCACGCAACTTGGAGTCCACACAAGAATGCTTGGAGAGCAGCCGTGCGAACATCAACAACATCACTACTATCGTAGATCTCTGTTCTCTTCACAGCAAAGTCCTGGACTCCAAATAGCCTTCCTGCGGACGTCATCCTGCTGTCTATACCACGCATGCTATGGTCCATCCCCGGATTCCTCATCAAGGCATGCATGCGTACAGTGTTTGAATATATTGTTGTCCACTTCTTCCCATGGAAAGAACGACGTCGCCCAGGTCAAGACCCGTCGGGCGATCAAGATCACAGTCTTGGCGCCACGCGCACGGCTTGCTCTCCACATCTGCCGCGGTGGTCCCCACGTTTCTCTGTACCTAGCCGATGTTGAATGACATAGCAGGTGCTGAACTTGGCGTTCCATTCTAAATCCGGACCAGTTGCGGGTTTGGTCTATCAAAAAATATACGAGCATGGGCATGGTTCGTCAAATTAGCCTTTTACACACCCTTGGGCAACGCCGAAGCGACCCAATCGCCAGACCCTTCCGATTGCCACGACCGGCATGAAACATACCCACGAGAGTAACCTGGGCACGCTGTTGTGTAATGGCTGTAATTGGATTTGCCGGTATATAATGTAATATCGTCCGCGGGGATTGGCCAGTCGTCTGCGTTTTTACAAGGCTCCTCCACATTCTTCTTCATTAAATCCACATCACAAGATATGGGGCCATCTGGACATGCCACATGGGTCGTAGCGGCCCGCAGTGGTTCCACGCGTTATGAGTCGCCACTGCATGCGACATTCGCAGGCATAAAGACTTGAGGTCCCCGTGTCGACAAGCTCGGATGGACTGACGGCTTTCCTCCATTGCCACCAAAATGCCTTCCTACAAGCTTTTCGGCAGTGCCATTGCACTTGCCAGCTACGGTGAGCAAGATCTTTCTTTGTGCCTTGGCTTTGTTGACATTACTGGTAGTGATCGCGCAAGGTGAGGTCTCGTCTAAAGTTGTCTGCGATGCGGAAACCAAGATCTGTTATTCGTCGTACTCGAACGCAGCGTCCGGATTGACCTTTGGGGTTGCTCTCCCGAAAACCGTTACCGATCCCTATGATGCCATTATCAAAATCACCGCCCCGGTCAACCATACGTGGGCCGGTTTTGCCTGGGGTGGCCAGATGGTGTGGAATCCGCTTACTGTTGCCTGGCCAAACGGGAACTCCGGCGTTGCATCAGCACGCTTTGCCTAGTACGCGGAACCATTCAGTTACAATGTCTTCTTCTGACAAAGACTAGCTCCATCAGTTTGCCCCAAGGTTATGACGGTGCCGAGCATACTCTGTTGAAGGGTACCACCAAGAACAGCACACACTGGACAATCAATGCGCTTTGCAAAGGTTGCACTGGCTGGCAAGATGTCGACGAGAATCGATATGTTCTGAATGCTACGGGAACTACCCAGTTTGCGTGGGCATTCGGCACCTCTGCCGTGGAGAACCCTGCCCGGAACGACTCTGCGTTCAATGTACATGCCGATGTTGGGCACTGGACCCATGATCTGAATGCCGCTCGCATTGACAACTTTGATCAGTTGGTGAAGAGCAATCTGTTACTGACAACACCTACAGCTAGCGCCACCGTCATTCCTCCTGCGAACACCGTTACTTCCAGTGTCAGGTCAACCGGCACCACCAATGCTGGTGCAGCCATCCCCGCTTCGTGCTCCGGTGCTGGCACCCCTTCGTACCCTGGTACTCTAGCTAGTGGGTGGAAGGCCACTAAGGTCGCTGGAGGGTTGACGCTTCCTCGTAGCATCAAGTTTGATGACAAGGGAAACATGCTGGTGGTACAGGCTGGGAAGGGTATCTCATACCACGTTGTGGGTACTGACGGATGCATCACTTCTACCAAAATGCTGGTCTCGTTAAACAGTCTAAACCACGGCATTGCTCTGAGTGCCGACGGTAAGACCTTGTACGCCAGCTCCATGACGCAGGCCTTCTCGTGGCCTTATGATTCCGCCGCTGCAACGGTAGGCACGCGCTCTACTGTCATCACTGGCATGGTCAATGGTGGCTCGCACTTGACCCGCACGCTCGAAATCGCACCGCACGCGCCCAATCTTCTAATCGTATCTCATGGTTCGAACTCGAACATCGATACCGCCACTTCCAACCCGTCCACCGGACGCGCCATCATCAAGGTCTTCGACCTCAGCAAACTCCCCAGCGGAGGATATAACTACGTCTCTGGAGGCTACACCGCCGGTTACGGCCAGCGCAACGAAGTCGGCATCTGCTGGGATGTGAACAACCAGTAAGACTCCCTCAAACTTAGGACACCTCACGCATACTAATAAATCACAGGCTATGGGGCGTTGAAAACAGCGGCGACCAATTCACCCGCAATGGCAAAGACGTGCACAACAACAACCCGGGCGAGAAAATCCACTTCATGGGCGATGTGACCAAGCCCAACAACAATTGGTATGGCTACCCTTCATGCTTCACCGTCTGGCAGCCCTCCGATTTCACCGACAAGCAATTCAAAGTCGGCGACTGGTTCGTGCAGACCCCCTCCACCTCCATGAACGACGACACCTGCGAGCAGAAAGCCACCAAGCCCGCACTGACCCTGTTCCCGCATTCCGCGCCCATTGACTGCAAGTTCAACGCCGACAACTCCAAGATGTTTATCACGTATCACGGGAGCTGGAACCGCAGCCCTACCACGGGGTTCAAGCTTGTCGCGGTGGACTTTAAGAAGGATGCGAATGGCACGGTTGTCCCCGTGGAGCCGCTGACGAGTAACTCCGCCGCGAAGGATATTTTTGCCAATCCGGACGTTACGCGGTGTGCGGGCAATGGGCCGAGTGCAAGTTCCGGTTGCTTTAGGCCGGCGGGGCTAGCGTTTGATAAGAGTGGGAGGCTGTACATGACGAGTGATGTGAGCAATGGGGAGCTTTGGGTGTTGGGACAGGCATAGGCGGGTATGGCAGTATAAGAAAGAGGGGTTGTATGTACATAGGGTGATGTGAGGGAAAGCTGCTGACACTCTCTTTTGCTGTTGAATTCAACCGTTACCCTCATTCCTTGTTTCGCAGGACAGAGCTCCTGCGCGTAAGAGCCACTCGAAGTTGATTTCAGACTCCACCCAAAGGCATAAGGCATCACCGCACACATGCCACGACCAAACAAGGAAAGAGCCAGTGTCCACCCACTGGCCCAAGCACGTGATAGCGCGTTCCTGCCTTTGACAACGCGTCGACTTAAACACTTTCACTCTCTCGCGTCCCTCTCCACTTCAACAGACCAGTTCCACGCCGCGTAGAGACACAAACACCACCCGCGATGGCCGACTCTTGCGCGGGCTCGACAAACACAACGCCCGCTGTGTCCGTCACACATGGCCTTGACTGCAAGCTGCACGAGTCACCATTATCGACGCAATGCAATGCTACGACCGCAAACTCCCTTGCCGTCGTGCCCCTGATCGCTCACGCTACTTTCCCGACGTTCTTCCTGTATGTAAACAGCACAAGGATACACAGATCCAGGCTGGTCATTGTCAGGCCATCGCCGAGTGCGGCCGACGGTGTGACCGTCTCGCGATTTCTCATCCGCCTTTCAACTTGTGTGGCAAACTCGCGAATGGAACCGACACATTGCCCTGCCATCTCTTAAAGCTTCCCGCTGAGCTACGGGTCTTGATCTGGCGATACACGCTACCAGAGTCCATATCTCCCTATTCACGATGGCATCCAAAGCGAAGGGATCAGGTTCAGCAGAACATGTTCTCGCTTCTGCGAGTGAATCGACAAATTAGCAGAGAGGCGTTGTCAGTTGTTTACGGACAGGTACCGTTCGAAGTGGCGATCGAAGGCGACCACATCCATATCTGCGGCAGGGTCTCTAATACCACGCCCACGCCATACTCGAAAACCCTGGGACATTCGTTGTTCGACCTCGACATATCCGGCATAGGCTTGTTGCCAGTTCTGGGCCGGATCCGCAACTTCATCATTACAATGGAGTTGGGAGGTACTCCTCGAAGTATCCATCTTAGCATACCGGTGGGCAGGCAAGCTATTACGCCCGAGGACTACTATGTCTTCCACACTCGCGATAAGCTGAAGAAACTTGCCGATGCAATTCATCGGGAACATCTTGCGCACACGGATGAAGAGGGGGTGAGCAACTCGGTTCGAGGCCTGGATCTACGATTACGATTCGATGAATTTCATGCTTGGCATTTTGATGAGGCACTGTCTATGGTGATCATGGCTGCAGAGTCCAAGAAGGAGCTGCAAAAGATCGAAGAGTTCGCCACTTTCCTACAAAATCAGGACTTGACTACCTTCGGATTCGACTACCTGACCATGGGCGACCCTTCTAATACCCCCTTCCACAACATTGCTCGGGTCATTCACCTAGCCCGGGTAGCTAGTGATCAGTTTGACCTCTACAGCCTTGCCAAGATCCGAGATGTTCTCCTTGAGCGTTGGGCCGATCATCAAAAGAAGCAGCAACAGGAATCTAAGCGTGTGGCTAGCTCGTTGCTGAACCTTTTCGAGGGTGCCAAGCCGACAGAAGCTTTTCTTGCACATGAATCGAAGTTGACTGCCGTGGTGCAGGACTCGCCGGAGGTACGTTTCGACTGTGAATGGCCGGAGCTTGACGTACGTCACTTCTTCACCAAGAGGATCTCCTCCATTCCCGAAGACGGTACAACGTGCACAGAAGACCGCGAGTACCGCTACTTCTACAAGAATGGGAAATTTCGCGGAGCAGCCCTGAAGACTCCATTCTTTGTAAGACACACCTCTTCCATAAAACGGGCAACTTTCTAACAGTCCTAGGTTCGAACGAACCGCACCGGTGCGAATATGTAAGCCAATCACCAACTCCATTCCTCTGCATTGCATGTCCTCGAGCAGACACCACAGCAATGCTGCGCCCAGGCGCTTCCAGACCCACGCCTGGCTTTTCCGCCATTCCGTGCGACATGCCTTCGACTCATCAAAAGGTCTATACAACAAACTTCGTCCTTGACTGTCTCCAGCTATGAGATATATCTTCCAAAAGCAAGCTTCTAGAGACAAACTTCCAGAGGCTATCTCCGTGTTTATGTTTTCCAATGGCTTGGCGCTTGCTATCACCCAGCATTTTCAACTTTGCCCCTTGAAGACTACAACGTCTCAAACACCGTCCTTTGAACCGCTGGTTTGCACACCGGCGAGGATGAAATCGGTACAGTGTAGGTCTACATTGGGTTCAAGGCATCAATGTTTCAATTCCTCAGTGCACACAGCACTAGCATGTATACAGCCACATTTCTCCAATGAAACTCTCCCAGAAAATGTGATCCATCGCCGTGACTGTTCAGACATAACTGCAGTGGTAGGAGACGGACTGTACGGCTTTACCACTTTAATTTTGCATTTAGCACATGAATCGCGCACACACCCAGCAGTAACACAGAAGCCCGAAATCCTGATCCATAATGCGTCACCACGACAGAGCCCACGCAACGCCAGCCCATGCAACCATCTCATGAAGCCCCTTCTGCACTTTTCCCTTTTCAGTATCCGCCCACGCGGTCTACCACCTATACCGTCCTCTTCCTCATTCCCACCTCCAACCCAAGCGGCTTCCTCAGAAACCCCTCCCGCGTCTCCATGCCGCTCTGCCGCAGCTCAAACTCATACCGCCGAAATACGGTCCCCACAATCAGCGCCAGTTCCATCTCGGCGACGTTGCGCCCCACGCACGCGCGGGGGCCGTAACTAAACGGGATAAACGCGTTCTTCTGCTGCTCGGTAAGGCCGTTGCCGAGCCAGCGCTCGGGGCGGAAGGCGCTGGCGTCGGGGCCCCAGATGTGCGTGGAGTGGTGGATGGTGTATGCGGGGACGGAGAGCACGGTGCCCTGGGGGAAGTGCGTGGCGGCGATCTCGACGCCGGGGCCGGGGGGGACCACACGGGGCAGGCCGAGGGAGGAGGTGGAGTGGATGCGCATTGTTTCCTTGATGACGGCGTCGAGGTAGGGCAGGTCTTTGACCTGGGCATAGGTGGGGACTTGGTCTGCGTCGAGGATCGCCTGGTCCAGCTCCTCTTGCAGTTTCGTGATCACGGAAGGATTGGAGAGACAGTGGAACAGCAGCGCGCAGGACGTGTTGGACGTCGTGTCGGACCCGGCGATGAGCTGGGTCAGAGCCTCGGCGGTGAGTTCCTCGCGGCCGAGCGGGTTGCCCGACTCGTCGCGGCCTTCCATCAGCCGTGCGAGGAGGTCGACGCGGTCCGACGGGTTCTGCAGGCGCTCGTTGACCCGCGCGATGGCGATGCCGGCGAGGTTCTCGACAGCCGCGATGCCCTGCGTGAAGAAGGGGTCTGGGAGGTACTTGGCGTAGGGCTTGAGGGCGGGGAAGCAGCCGAGCGTTCTGGTCTCCGTGTTAGAGTCGGCATCATGCATGGGAGGATGTAGGCGGGTTGGAGGAGTAAGTAACACGGGCTGGGATTCTGAACGGTGTAGGAGGTTCAACGTACCCAGACACTTCCCCCCTCCGGTTCAGCACCTCAATCGCAGGCGCGTACGTCGGCTTCGCATCCGCGCTCTTCCTCACTTCCGCGACGTCGGCGCCCTTCTCGAGCATCCCGAACGGCGCGCCAAAAGCCAGATCCCCAATGACATCGAACGCGAGGTAGTTAAACCAGTTGAGCGCATCCATCTGGTGGTATCCACCCTTCTCGGCGTCGGCACGGCGGTCCCATTGTCGCTGCAGCTCCTCAAGATTGTGGTGGATGTACTGCTCGAACTGGCCGACGGATTTGGCGGAGAAGGTGTGGGAGACGGTTTTGCGCTTGCGCGTGTGCTCGGCGCGGTCGCGCGTGTTGAAGAGGCCGCGGCGGATCGAGACGAAGGCATCGTAGTAGTCGCTGTCCATATGCCATTAGCTTTACATTCCTTGCACTTCTTCATGTGCTCCTTCTTCGATACACCTCCGGAAGGGGGAAGGAAGCTTCCTCACCTCTTCAAAAACCCATTCCCATGCCCATATATCACTGGGATCGCCTCCGCATCCGCAACACTAACATGGTTCGGCGCAATCCTCACCAACGTCCCGTACTTCTCGTGCGCCGCGTGCACAGCTTCGTACCGCCGGCCGCGCCTTGCCTGGTACAGCAGCCAGAGGTTCGAGAACTTCGCGACGAGCGGGCCGGGGATGGACTGAATGGACCAGTTGCGCAGGTATGGCAGGAGGTAGTAGAGGACGGGGAGCAGCAGGAACGTGTACGGCGTGAGGAGGTGAGCGAGGAACATTGCGGTGGTTTCTCAGCCGGGCACAAGGAGACCAAGAGCAGACAAGAGGGCAGAGCCAGAAGCAGCAAACGCTCAGTATCCCACAGCACCACACCTCCTGCGCGCTGCCGCGTCTTTATACATCCACCGTCATCTCTCTGCGCCTGCGCGGCGTCAGCCAAGCTCCCGCTCTCCCATCACGCTCGCGCAAGCAGCCCATCCAGTAACCGCCATCTCGCTCGTCAGCACCCACTCCTCTCCGTCTAACCCACTGCCTACTCACCACCCCTTCCCCGATCCTGCCTAGCCCGCGCTCCCACGATTCCCGATCTCTCCCTCCGACGTCCCAATTGCGGGGTTCTGGGCCCCGAACTTCCCCCGCGCTTGCGTCTGGAGGTGGCTTGCGGTCGGAACAGGGATCCTGGACTAGCGTGCTTCGTAGGGCTGCGTGCCTCGCGCCGAGTTACTTCCGCCAGGGACCACATATAAGTGCTTCGGCATCGAAGGACGGTTTTTGAGGTTGTATGGTGGTCAGTACCAGAGCCCAAAGATCGGGCCGTTGTGCGTGGGTGTAGATGGCATGGGGCGGTCTGCTCGGCCGAGGTTCACGGAAGCATGGAACGGAGACTGCAGCGCTGTGAACAGGTCACATGAATGTACTTTAGGTATCCGGCCTGCTGTCAGACTAAAAAAAAACATTAATAACATCACTGACCGACAGCGACATACCAATCTGCAATGCAACAATGATATTGGGCATAAGCAACTACAAGCAATCGAAGCCACAAATGAAAAAAGAGCCGCTCCGCCCCCGTGAGAAGAGCCGAAAACCCCCCTCGAGCGCGCCTTCAACATGGTATCAGGTATCATACGAGCCACGCCTTCCTCCTCCTCCACCCTTCTTCCTCTTCCCCCTTCCCCCTCCGTCTATCTCCACCCATCTAATCATCGTCCTCGAAGAAGTTCAAGATGGCCTTGATTGCCAGCGGGCCCAGCCCGTGCGGCGGGTAGCAAATATAACTCGGGTCATCAGTCGCACCCAGCTTCTCGCGGAACTCAGTCTTGTTGGTGAGCTTGAGCTCGGTGGCGATGGCCTGGTATGCGCGGGACAACACCTTGACGCGGGTGCCCTTAACGTTGTGGCCGGGCGTGAACTTGCTGCTCGCGCCGCCGCCAAAGGTGATGGTGGTCGCGCCGGCGTTGGCTACGACCTTCATCGCGTGGAGCACGACGTGCTCGATAGAGCCCGAGGGTGCGTTCGGAAAGTCGAGCGAATACTTGACCTGCCAGCCGTGGTCGGGGCTCAGCTGTGCCATGACGACGAGGGCGGCGATGGTGCCATCGGGCGTCATGGCGATGTGGTACTGTCGGTGCTCCTCGTCCTGCCAGGGGTGGATGTTGGTGAGATGCACCTGGCGGCCCTTCCTACCCTTGAGCCAGTCTTCCACGCGAGCGTCGACCTTCTTCTTCATTTCCTCGGGCACTGGGGTGCCAATGGTGAAGTCGGTGATTTTGACGCCTTCCTTCTCGGCGTGGCGGACCTTGCGCTGTACATCGGAGTCGTGCAATGCAGGGTTGTGGGCAGGGTCGACACGCTGCTCCGCAACAACGGAGAAGGTCCTCCAGTTAAACTTGGAGGCGAGCACCTCTTCAACATCCCGGCCAACCAGCAGCCAAAGCGGCTTCAGGTTGCGCTCTTTCTTGATATACTTGAGGTATCCAGTCATAGTCTTCAAGTACTGGCTTGGGTGGCAAAGAGGGTCACCAACAGTGATCGCAAAGCCATCCTGGGGCACGAAGCCCACGGCAGCGCCTGTGTAATCGTCTCGCCAGATCTCTGTGCGAGGCTCCAGCCACGAGGTGTTTGTGGCATCTCCGTAATTGGCGATGAGCTTGGTGATGGGCTGGAAGTCAATCCCTGCAGCTGCTCGGTCTTGGCCTTCCCACGGCGGGTGCATTGTGCTGGATTCTGGATGACGAAGCTGCTTGATGATGGCCTTCTCGGGCAAGCTCTTGGGGTCGCGAGGGAACAGCGAAGCATGTCGGATGTTGCCAAGGTTCAAGAGCAGCATGAGAATACGCTCCAAACCGATACCGCCACCTCCATGGGGTGGAGCACCCCATTGGAAGCCCTGGATGTACTCCTCCATAGTCTGAGGGTCGACCTTCAGTCGGTGCATCTTGTCAAGGAGCAGGTCTGAGTCATGGATACGCTGGCCACCACTCAGAATCTCCTGTCCACGCAGGAAGATGTCGAAGGAGTTGGTGAGCTTGGGGTCGTTCGGGTCCGGCATCGCGTAGAATGGTCTTGCGTTAGTAGGGAACTTGTCAAGGATGTAGTAGTCAGTGCCCAGCTTCTCCTTGATGACACGGCCGAGCTGAACCTCATCACGCGTACCCATGTCTTCGTTCTCGTCCAGGGGGTTGCCGTCCTCATCCCTATAGCCGGAGTCGTTGAGCATGCGAATGCCCTCGGCGAAGGGAATGATGGGAGTTTCGTCTAACCAGACGAGGTCCTCGTGGGGGAAATGCCTCTTGACCACCTCAATCTCAGGACGGTAGCGCTCGTAAATACCCTTGAAGATGTTCTTGAATGTACGATCTAGAACACGAAGTACTTCATGGTAGTGCTCATCGATGGACATTTCCAAATCAAGACCAGTGTACTCGGTCAAGTGGCGGTATGTGTTACTGTTCTCTGCTCGGAACACAGCGCCGATTTCGTAAACCCTGCCAAAGTCGGCGGAGATACACATCTGCTTAGCCAGCTGGGGACTCTGGGCGAGGAAAGCGCCGCGGCCAAAGTACTCAACCTTGAACACGCTGGCACCGGATTCGGTCGCACCACCCTGAAGTTTGGGGGTGTGGATCTCGATGAAGCCTTCGGAGTCTAGTTGAGAGCGGAAGAGGTTGCAAATGCCGGACTGGATGCGGAAGATGCCCTGGGATGCTGTTGTCCGCAGATCGATGACACGGTTGCTCAGGCGCGTTCGGTCGTTGATCCTCACGCGGCTCTGGCCTTCCTTGTGGTCAGCACGTGCGAGCTCCTCCTCGACCTCGGCTTGTGTGACCTCAGCTTCGTAGACGTTGAAAGGAAGGTGCTCAGTGACAGCAGCCTCGACATGGAGGTCGTGCACAGCGACTTCAATGTCATGAATGTTAGCGCCGGTGACCTCTCCCTGCTTGTTGTTCGGCGCCTGCAAAACACCCTTGACCAGCACAATGCTCTCGGCCTCGAGATGCTCAGCCCAGTAGAGCATGTACTTGGAGATGTCCGCATGCTCAACCAAGAGACCCTGAATGGTCGCAAGCTGCTGCCGGAAGACAAAGAAGACGAACTTGGCGCTCATCTTGCGGATGTGGTGAATTCGGGCGCGGAAGACAACCTCCTTGCCAACATCGGCAGCCGAGAAGTCCTTGATGCTCATGCGCGACTCGTGCTTCCATCCTGCAGCGTAGCTGTTGGGCGGGATCATGCCGTACTTGGCCTTCTGCTGGGGGGTGAGCTCAGCGTCGGCTTGGGCCTCGAGTTCCTTCTTCCTGTGCTCAATCTCCTTCTCCTTCTGCAGGATCTCCTGGCGGCGTTCCTCCTGCTGTGCCTGCTTCTCGTGCTTCCGCAGTTGGTTCTTGGACATGGGCTCGCCCTCGCGGTTGAGGGGAGTGTCACCATCGCTGGACGAGTCGCCGCCAATGTGCAGCTTCTCCTTGACTGCGCGGATGGGCGAGTGGGTGACGCCGGAGCCAGAGCGCTCATGCCGGGAGCCAAAGGTTCGGCTGCGGCTGGGGCTGTCGGTACGGCGGTGGAAGATGCCGCTGTCGTTCTTCGAGTGCTTGTCTAAGCTGGTCCTGCTGTCGGCGGGCGAGAGCGGCTGCGAGGCGGCGGGGCTGTCGAGGCCCCGCTTGAACTCGCCGCTGGGTCGGTGTGCGAAGACGCCGGATGCTCGGGGTGACGCGGTGCCACCGTTGGCGGCGCGGGGTGATTTGATGCCGCTGGCGCTCTCATCGTCGGAGGCGGGGTTGCTGTGGCTGCCCGTCTTGAGCTTTCCGAGCACTTTCTTGAGAGACATGGTGGGTGAGATGGGCCGTTCAGGCTGCTCCCCGGAAGAGGTCGGAATTAGGTTCGCTCAGCTGCCTTGACTGGAGCTGGCGGTACGCAATTGCGGCCGTGGTGGGGCAGGAAGCGGCCTCGCGCGGGGGCGAAGATTAAGAGAAGCTGGTGGCGGGCTGGTGTGGGAGAAGTCTCTTTGAGCAATGCGGCCCGGGACGTATGTATACTAAACAACGTTGGGCGCGTCTGCAGTGGCTTGATTTCACGCGGGCCACACGGCTCAGGCTGATGACGAAAGCCTTGCCTGTCGCGTGCTGGCCTGGCTGGAATCGATCAGGAATGCGTCTCTGGCAAGCTAGCGGGGAATTGCGGTTACGTCAGGGCGATGTCAGGCGAAAAGAAGTCCAAACGCGCTCTCAGAGGATGTGTATCGTGCGCTGAGAGCGAACAAGGACAACAAAGCAATGCCAGCGCAGCTCCAGCGTCCAGCCGCGGGAGCAGACCCTTTTTGCTGATGGGCTTGCCCTCCGCACGCGGCGGCGCGCATTTACAAGCGGGCGCTATTGCGGTTACAAAGAGGTGCTCTGCTTACACACCGGCCGAATCCGGTTCGAGCCATCGCGATCTCGTGCACGCCGGCCACCTCGGTCTGCGAAACGGTACCGAAGCTCCCTGAAGCTTTCCAAGCCGACCGTCCGCCCATGCGCGCACCCCACATCGCGCCCGCCTTAAGCCGCTTGTGCTCGCTGTTGCGCACATGGGAAAGCCTCTGACTGAGCACATGCAGATGTCGGCGGCTGTCGACTAGGGCGTTTTCGCCCGCTTTCCCATGTGCCGGCAATCTGATAACGCCCGCACCCTGACATGTGCCACATGTTTACCGGCACGCGTTCCGCTACGAGCCATGGCACGGGAATACCAACTCGCCAACAGGAAATACATGACATTGACTGGTCGTGCTCCAAACCTTCGTCTTAGCACTGCAACTTAATATAGCTCCGACTGTTCTGGAGCCCCTCGAATGCCCCAGCACACACACCCTGAGACAGCGCCTGGCTCACCGTCGTCATTCTCACTGCTGTGCCTGCTTCGCTCCCCAGAGATCTACGCATGGTCATCTTACTGCAATTCAGGATATGCATACGCGACGTCATCCTCGCTGGTCTCGAACCCTCCCCACCGCTCGAACTCATCGGCCACTTGCACTGCGGCTTTGAGGTAGAACTGCTTGTCGTCGCCCCAGGTTTCTGACGCGACCTTGATCGATCGGAGTGCTGCTACCGTTAGTTCTCGCCCAGCCAGACCGTACTTGGCCTCTTACATTTTACGAAATGAGCGTCCATAGAATGGGAAGAGTGAAGTGCCTTGTCCAGGACAAACTTCCAGTCCCTGCCTTGCAGCTCGTAGTCGTTGATCCGGTCGACCTTGATTTCCGGCCGGGTCTGCGCAATGTACACTGCCAGCGTGAATAGCCACCATTGCCGGACGAGGCTGATGTGAAACTTGGCTGGGATGCATGGGAGGAGTAGTCGCACAGCGTGAGAAGACGTCAGCAGGTGGACAAAGAAGAAGTCGAACCTGGAATCTTCCGCCGGATCAGTGCCAGCAAGTATTGCGACGGCCACCTGTTGTGACTCTTCGAATTGCGTCCTTGGATCTGAAAGCTCCCAGGCGTTGAAGTATTCCAGAAAGACATCCTCCCGCTCTCCTAGCACCTTGCTTATGTCTCCACTGCGCTTCTTATAGAGCCCGTCGAATCTCTTGTCCTTCCTGACTTTGTCGAGAATATCGAGTAGGGATGTCGCATGGATAGGGCTCGGTCGTGCATACTTTGGATCGTCGATGTACTTGTGGAGAGATCCATAGAAGCATGCGCCTAGGGCCAGCGCTTCAATCGCGACGGTTCGTGAGTTGAGCTCGTAGGCGTATCCAAGATGGATGAGCGGGTGTGCAACTGGGGCCTTGTTAGTCCGGCACTGAGAGTCGATGCGCTCATACTTACGTCCTGAGACCAAGCCATTGATCAACGGCTGCTTGCCCTCGAACATGAACTCTCTCAGAAGCGCCTTCCAGTCGTACCGCTTTGCTACCAATTGGTCTTCGAAGAAGTCCACAAATGCCCGCTGGTACCTACAAACAGTCAGCACCGTCCAGCCGCAATGGTACTCTCCATACTCCCGCTTCCCCAAGAAGTCCCTCCAGTCATCCTTTGATATCTCGCCTGGCGAGTCATGCCATGGCTCCAGCTCCTCCGACTCCTTCTCGTAGATGTCGTTCAGATGTTCATGTGTTGCGCCCAAGATGTATGCCGAACCCAGAATCTGAGATGCAAGCTTAGCTAACAGCCAAAGTCGCCTTCGATTACGCTCACGTGTGGTGCGTGGTTGTGAAATCGTAAGTTGTGGTAGATGATCGAATGATTTGCGTGGTTCGCCTTGAGCAGATGCTTCAACGTTCGCGGCCGCTTTTCCGCAGCGGTTTCAACATCGTGCGTCTCCACGGGGGCTATGTCGATGGAAGTGTGTTCGGGGCTACTCGAGGCCAGGAACGAAGGTAGTTTGAACGACGGAAGGCTGAACATCGTGAGCAATGGTGTGATGTTGAAAGATTGCACCGAGCTGCGGGGAATCCGGAGCTATGATGCTGTGCACAGACCGTCGGTCAAAGCGTACCAAACATCAACCCACGAGCAATGCGAACCATGGATCCATGCATTCAAAATAATTGAAGCTTATATTGACGTTGCAGCTAACACGGTACCCTATGCCAACTTTGCAGGAACCCGAGAATCAATCTGATGCTCCCAAAGCCACTAAAGGGCGTGCTGCTGTCTCACAGGGTATATTCTGCCTAGTATTCGCCCTCCTCAACGCCCTCGTCAAGAGAGTCACTGGCAACCTCCTCGTAGTCCTTCTCGAGCGCCGCCAGGTCTTCACGGGCCTCGGAGAACTCGCCTTCCTCCATACCCTCGCCGACGTACCAGTGGACGAATGCACGCTTGGAGTACATAAGATCGAATTTGTGGTCCAGACGAGACCAAGCCTCGGCGATGGCAGTGGTGTTGCTGAGCATAGAAACACTGCGGTCGACAGCGGCGAGCTCGCTTCCAGCTGGGCTGATGGGCCTGTACATAGATTAGTGGATGGGCAAGATGTCGCAACAATCTAATCACTCACTTGGTGTAGTTGATGCCGAGTTTGAAGCCAGTGGGGCACCATTCGACGAGGTTAAAAGATGATTTGGCCTTGAGAGCGGCGGCTGCGACCGTGCAGTCGCGAGGGACAATGTCTCCGCGGTACAAAAGCGCGACGGCCATGTACTTGCCATTGCGTGGGTCGCAGACGACCATCTGATTGTTGGGCTCGAAGCCTGGTTATGTTAGCCGCGAAAGTGCCATCAGCATGAACAACGTACACTGGAAGGTCAAGTCGGATACCTTGAAGCTCTCGTGGGAGCTCTTCTTGGCCGAAACGACAGGGGCGTAGCTAATGAGCGGATAGTGGATACGCGGGTACGGGACCAAATTGGTCTGGAACTCGTTCAGATCAACATTGAGCGCACCATCGAATCGCAAACTCGAGGTGATGGAGCTGACGACCTGGGCAATCAGACGGTTCAGGTGCTCGTAGTTCGGGCGGGGGATATCCAGGCTGCGACGGCAGATATCGTACACGGCTTCGTTGTCAACAAGGAAAGTGCAGTCAGAGTTCTCGATCGTGCTGTGGGTGGACAGGACCGCGTTGTAGGGCTCAACAACGGAAGTCGAGACACGCGGAGCAGGATATACGGAGAATTCAAGCTTGCACTTCTTGCCGTAGTCAGTAGAGAGGCGCTCGAGGAGGAGAGCACCAAATCCGGATCCGGTTCCGCCGCCAAAGGAGTGGAAGATGAGGAAACCCTGAAGGGACGAGCAGTTGTCTAGCAAGGTTAGTCACCGCCTCCCGTTTGACCGTTGCTGGGCTCAGTCCTACCAGCAACGCGCCGGATGCGCTCGATGACGCCGTCGACCATCTCCTTGCCAACAGTGTAGTGGCCACGGGCATAGTTGTTGGCAGCATCTTCCTTACCGCTCAGCAAGAGCTCGGGGTGGTAGAGTTGGCGGTAGGGTCCGGTGCGAATCTCGTCGATCGGGGAGGGATCCAAGTCGACGAAGATAGAGCGTGGCACGTATTTGCCGCTTCCAGTCTCGGTGAAGAAGGTCTCGTAAGAGCCACCTTCGGCGACATCCTGGGCATCAGGATCGGGGCGACCGTCAGCCTTCAGGCCGTGCTCCAGCAGGTACCTGGACTCCAGTCAGTCGAGGTGGTTCGTAGGCGGAGGCGGGTGGAGGGCGCGTACAGTTCCCAGGCACTGTTACCAAGCTGGACACCAGCCTGACCGATGTGAAGGTGGCAGATCTGCAAAGACAGAGTGGTTAGCGAGGTTGTGATGCTGCAATTGACGTTTGGCGCGAATTGGTCCAGTTGCTCTCCGGCAATGCTCAAGATGGCTCCCCAGCAGCCGAGACAAAGCACCCCTCCTTCCCCTCGATACGCGTAAACAATGGGCTGTGTGAGCTGTATACGCACCTCTCCTCGCATTTTGGGCGTTTTTCAGCGCTGTATCAAACAGACTGAGGAAGAAAGGGATGAAAAGGCGAACTGGGGCGTTGTCGTGTACTGCCGTCTACGCGATGAAGCGGTGAGCGGCGTGGTGCTGTGGGTTTGTGCGGGGCCCTGTGTGTGTTTACGGTTAGGGAGCGCATAGGCCACCGCGGCAGGGGCTCTCTGCACGCGATTGGACATTCGCTTGCACTTGTCTTTATCCACCGCCGCTGGCGCACCCTCTGCCAGCTGCAAGCGGAAGCGGAAGGTGGTTGACGCGCTTCGGTCGCGTCTGTGTATGACTAGGCTCAAGACGGGTCGAAAGTTACGCTTGTGCTGATGTGTATCCACCTGCCCTCGCGTAGACATGGACGCCGGCCAGGTAGAATGCCCATCAAGGCGCAAGTTGCTCCAGGATACAGGATCGTGTGTCTATGCGGTAAACCTATGATGATTTACCAGTCTTGGTGATATCTAATGGAGATGCTAATTACGACAAAAGGAAGGAAAGATTCGTAGCCCACTACTGCTGAGCGCCGGGACTCAACGCCAAACAACCTATCCGCCATGCTTACGCTTTTCTATATGCTGCTCTCCGCGCTGGATTGGTGCAGTTAATGACTAAAGGAAATAAAAGACTGTGGTCTTGTGATTTTGTGATTTAGTGGAATCGCCTCATCTCGAAGGTCTCCGTCTGGGAGCGTGTCGGTGCATGGAAGCGTTGGTCGATAGGCTCCAGGGCGCCTGAGCTCTCCGCCGGACGACGAGCCTCTTCGGCGCTCGTTCTGACGGCTTGTGGGCTGATAAGGCCGGAGCGCGGATCAAGCTTCTCTTTACTGTCATTCGAATCGCTCTCAGGAATGTCAGCCATGGCAGCCTCTTCATCTTGGCCACGAGAGCGGTTGCGGCCAAAGAAGCGGTTCCTGTGGACGCTTCGCTCCCGTAGTTGCGAACTGTCCGTGTTCACGCGCTGAATACGGTTTGCCTGGTGGCTAGGTCGAGAGGCGATCGAGGTGGATCGAGCCATGTCGTTGGAGGGGCGGCGTTCAGTCGAGTGCCGGGAAGGAGAAGTGACTCTGCCAATCGTGGCTCGCTGCTGGGTGGCATTCTCTCGATCCTCGAAGACATCGCCTGGAATCTCGGCAAAGTCGACATCCTTCATACCAAGCGAGAAGTCAACACGGCGGCCCATAGCTGCCATTGACTCTCCGCGAGCACGTGTACCAGTAGTACGAAGAATGGATTGCTGTCGTCCGGGAGCGCCTTCGTTTCCATTGCCAGATGATGGGGTGTAAGCCGGCGCAGGCACAATCGGTTCGTCTTGAGCTTGATGGTGGAGCATTCCGCTTGGGTTGTCTGGTGTGCCGTTGTGGCCAACGCCAGGTGTAGCCTGGTGGGGAAGATGTTGCGTGTAGAGAGGGAAGGACTCCTTCTGTCCAGGGTAGCGCATACGCGGTCCTTCGATTCCGCATTCCTGCATCGATACCATTAAGCAACAGATGAACTTGTTGCGGCGTTGGAGACGAAGCAGCTCGTTCTGCCAGTTAGACTTGTAGAAGAAGACGACATTGAGCGTAAGAGAGTGAACTTCGGTGACCTGTCTCAATTCCGTAAGGATGTTGGACCCGTATTCGCGCTTTTCGGCAGTCACGAATTCTAGCAACCGTTGGCGCAAAGAGTCGATCTGCTCAAGAGTGGTACCAAATTTAATAACGACCGGCACAGCCTCGGCAAGAGCACCAGAACGACGCTGGTTGAGGATGAACAAGGTGTTAAGGTAGCTGTTGGGCGCTTGTACGACGTGCCCTTCCATCTTTTTGAATTCAGTGTAGAGCAAGGCGATCTCCTTCACAAAGTAGTCGTCACCGAGACCCGCGGCACCAGTATTACCATAGATCGTGACGCGGTCTCCAACATCGAAAGGATGCTTCACGAAGACAAAAATTACCGACTGCAGGAATTCTTGCGCAGTGGCGGAGAAGAGCCAGGACAGTGCAAGGACCGAAGAGCCAGCAGATGTGAGGACACCTGCCGCAGAAGTCGAGATGATGGAGATAAAAACGAGGATAGTGATGACGACAACGATGAACAGGAACACATCATCAAGTTTGCTGACCACAGAGTCCAGATCTTTTAGCGATGCAGTGATGGACTTCCGCTCACGGCCGATCTCAACGCAGACCGCCTCCAGCTCTTCCATGGAAATGTCGCCGTTCATGTCCTTATCGAACATGGAAAATGCCGCATCCGCCTCATCGTTGTTTTCGAAAGCGAATTTCAAGTCATCTTGGTGTACTGTCTCCGTTTCCGGGCGGGCGAAGGTTCGATACAAACGTCTGGCCAGGACCTGGCTACCGCTTGTGCTACCGAGAAGCGCGAGGACCACCTGATTAGGATGACCACTCCCAGTGACTTCTCGGCCGGTGAAATCTCCAGCAACCTTTCCAGCAATGTCACCAAACTTGTTAAAGGCTTCCTTGGTATTTTTCTGTGCCTCTTTAATGTATTGGCCCGGTGTTCGAGCACCCGATGCCATACCTCCTTCTTTTGCTTCAAATTCAGAGTCCTCCATGGCTATCTTCTCCTTCGAGTATTTGTATAGCTTAGCCAAGCTACCGATTTGGAACTTGTTCAGCTCGATCCTGTCGGCGTATGTGCGCAAGTGGAAGCTAATAGCAATGAGCTGGATGATAATCTTTTCGATGAAATTGAGTGTCATTCCAACGAGGAGCGAGATGAGGATCTTGTTAAGGATAACTTCCCAGTTCTTTGTAGCTGTATTGCCGTTCACGTGGTGGTGCTTCATTGTGGGGAGGAAGGATATCTCGATAGCAAGGAACCAGAAGAACAGCGTTGCGGGTAGTTCGAGTTGCTTGCCCATATCTCGCCATTTCTTGTCATTGTTGGTGAAGAGACTCGAGATCAAGCCAATGGGCCAAGGCAGACACTTGGCTATCGATCTGCCGGCCCAAAGCGACAACCAGATGATCATGAGCCAGATACAGAACCAGGACATCTTAACACCGCCTACCGATGCGTTCTTAAAGAGCAGCGCTCCCAGCAGAAGCGGGATGAGAATGATCAGAACCAACGGAGTAATGTAGGTGAAGTATCGAACCACCCAACTGGAATTGTGAACTTTCTTGAAAAAGCGAGACACTTTGGTCGATGGGTTCTCAGGCGGTTTGTAGAGTGCCGCTCTCTCGTGCAACGGGTTCGTAGCCACATCGAATTCGTCCTCGGGCTCTTCCCGACGTGAGCGAGTTCGTCGCATGGATCGGGATGTTGACTGTCCTCTTTCGAGGCCTTCGACAGCATTGGAAACCTCGCGCTCTACTTGAAGCATAGCAAGTTCGTCATTCAAGCGGCTGGCTTGCTCCCGAGACTGCGATGGAGACTGCAATGACCCTGGTGGACCCAAATGCACTGTGTCGACCGTTAGGTGGCTACCCGCCCGGGCTCGGCCAACGCCTGTGTCGAGCTGTGGAAAAGGCGCCGAGCCTTGTTGTTTTTCTGGGTTTGAGTTCTTCTGGCTCAGATCTTCTCCCACAAAGGTGCCGTCGTCATCCGAGGATCGCTGACCATGCGCCCCCGCGGCTGGCATGTGTGTTGGTAGGTGGTGGGTGTTGCTGTCCATCTCGTAGGTCGGCTCCGGCCGCTCGACTGGAGTGACCATGATGGGGGATGTCCAATGTGTACGGTGGTTGTGGATTTTTACGTTCGCGTTGACAATTGGCCTGACGCCGCTGCTATGACGTCCCTGCTATCTTTGGTTTTGGGACTAAGGACCGCCAATTAGGAAAATTATATCAGCGAGTGACGATAAGTAGAAGAGACGGTTGCGAGGGGATGCAACGAGATGTGCTGAGAGGTGAATGTGGCAGAGACGGCGAGTTGCCAGACCCAAGTATAAGGGTCGAATGCCGGGGTCGTGTGTGTCTATTTGAGGAGCCAAGGGCGAGAGTCCATGAGTTGGGGTGCGCGGCCCTGATCAACGATTTTCATTCTCTAGCCAGGATCGGAGCGACGGTCTGATAAGAAAACTGGGTCGCTGCAAATGAAAGTCGCGGAAGCAGCGCAGAGTGCCGCAATGTCAATGCTGGGATTTGGGTGGGACCGTCCACGCTCGGCGTTGGGAAGGGAAACTGTCTCGAAAAAGATTGCCGCCGCACGTTGTGCGTGCACAAGCGTGCATTGCGTTGTTTGGTTCGCTGTCGGGCAAACGGTGCGCCAGTCTTTTCCTTGTGTCCTACGTCACTGATGCAGGTCCCACAACGCACGCTCGCCAAAGCACAACATCTACTTCTGGCCAAGCCGTGGCATTCGCGATCTGATCTGCACTCACCCTGACCGATGCTGTCTGACAGCAAATTTCGCGTGCGCCGTGCTGTCCAATCTGCGCGCCAGCTTATTCCACTGCATCCTTATCGCTTCGCAGGCACATGTCCCAACGGGTCCGGGAGCGTGGTGGCTTGCGGCAAGGGCGTAAGCGTTCAAGGATGGTGGCGGCGGCGTGTCCCTGATGAAACTTGGCGTTCCCTTTGTCGTGCGTGGGGGGTCCACCGCTGACGATCGAACCCAGACACCCAGACGGATGTGTCCAGATTCCGACCCCGAGTCGATGGTCCCACAGATATCTCCAGATCGCAAGATCTTATGTGCTGACGTCTTACCTTTTCGAATCTTTGCATCCAAATTACGCATATTCTTCCGCGCAGTATGCGTTGGCGAGCCGAGAGATGTATGGGCAAATTCGCATCCTGACGAACTTCCGAATGACTATCAAGAACATTATCATACTTAGTCAATAATACAGATGACGTTGGTTCCAATGACTAGTACACAATGAGTCAGTCGCGCTTTTCCACGTCTATACGGTATACGAACTACGTGCAACACTAGGGGCGTATTGACAATGAGAGACGAGCCACATCATTTTACTTTGAAATCTGTCTCGGACAGTTGCGAGTATCACGGTTGGAAGAACCATTCGCGCTGGGCCTCATCTTCTCTGCCATAAAATTATTCTCGTTCTGTTTCCTTGCTTTTCGGTAGCTGTACACGCACCGTGGTTTTGTTCTGCAATTCTCATTCTTCAACGGCCTATGATGGCAGTCTCGACGCGAATCTACAATCTCAATCGCCTTCTCTGATATCGTCTCGCAAAGCCATAATGTAATCTTTCGTGGTTCAGCATTCCACGTTCTTCTAGACTTACACTGTGAGACATGATTTACTGTTCTTTGTAATGATGTCTCGATGCCACAGACACCATGCCCCATTCTACCTGTACACTCTCCGGTGGGGAAGATAGGGCTTAAGTCGGGGTAGATCGCGCTACGAGGGTGAATGCTAGTGCGTACAGTAGAAGATGAAGCCGCGCAGCGCAGCATGTTTATCACGATGTTCCATGTGACTCGCAAAGAGCAAGCTTCACAAGCCGAATTAAGCTGCAACTACTGCTCTCATGGCAAAAACGTCCATATATCTGGACATTGGGCGTTTGCTGCGTATGTAAGTTGATCCTTGTGGTGTGAATCCAACATCGCAGTATCCATCTTGCGTAACATCAAGTGCGTGGTAACCGAGAATATTAACACTCGGGTAGTTACGCTCTTGCCCTTTCTCTCGCGCTAGCATAGTTGAGGTGAAGAGTACCTACCGTTTGCTCCTGCGGTACCTGTCCCCTTCGCGTGCACCGACGTCACTACATAAACACTGTCGCGGGGAGCGTACTCTCGCAAAGCCAAACACCCAGCCAAACATCACGCACTTTCGCTGTCGACACTTAGCCAATCCTTCAATCCACTTCTGCTCCTCACTTTACTATCGAGCACCACAACATGTCGTCTTCCAGCGAGCACTTGGAGACCGCGGTAAGTCATGACAAGCTCATGTGTCCAGGAACCCACTTGCCGTCTGAGCACATGCTTGCTGATGGGCTTGCCCTGAGTCTCTAAGATTGTCACGAGTGTCCATCATCTTGGTTGTGAGAAGATGTAGCCTGAACATGACTCCCAGGTCCTTTCACTCGACAGCTCGAACCAATATGCTCACTTCAAGAAGGTCCTCGACAAGTTGCGGACTGATCCGCTGAGCATCACCCCCGAGGATGCACGTCGCCTAAGCGAGCAGGTGGAAGTCACCGATCGCCGCTCTGCCTCAATCGTCTCCGCCGTCGAATCCCTCGCATTGGTCAGCCAGGACCTCCAGCAGCCGGACGCTCAGGCGGGCCAGCCGCACATGGTGCATGAGGCTCGCCACACCCAGCACGTTCTCGTCAATGATCTCAAGGCCGCCGTAGACAGCAACCCCAACTCGGTGACTCCTGATCTCCTCAAGGCCACGCAAGAGATCGTCAGCAGTGAGTCCCCAAGCTCCGGCACCTGGAGTTCAGTGTCTGGGCAAATGTTATGGACAGCGCCTTGCTCAGCCTGGATCGATTCAGCGCACTGACTCGTTTTCAGAGATGCAGCAGGCAATTGGTGCAGCCCATGCGCCCCAGCCTGAGTTGGAGCCTGAGTTACAAAAGGAGCTTGCTAGAATCAAGCCCAAGATTGAGGAAGGCACCGTTACCAAGGCTGAAGCCGACAATCTCCACTCCCTCGAAGCTCGTGCTCACGGCCACACCGAGAAGGGCGGCTTGACTGCTAAGGCCCAGTCGATCGCTGCGAAACGCGAGCGTGCCCTGTCCCTCAGTGATTCCACCAACGAGTCGATCCAGACTTATGCCAACCGCTCCAGCACCTCGAATGGTCAGATCCCTTCCACTCCCGCGTCAGTGACCGTGACCAAAGAGGCCACTACGCATACTTTGGCGGAGAACAAGCAGATTCCTCACCACACCCGCAACAGCAGCGCGGTAGAGGCGCACTAGGGGAGTACTACGAGCTCATTTTCCAGATACAGGCCAAGTGCAGTCACGGAGCACTCAGAACTAAGTATTAGGTATCATTTCCAACGATTGGTAGTTAGTACGGGCGCATGGATAGCAGAAATGGAGGCTCATGAACAGCGGTAGTATCTTCCCAGGATGGGCAGTACGTATGCATGTAGTACTTAAACTTTCGTCCGCACACCATTCTGGCCTTGACTTGTGCCACTGTGTTCATCCAGGCTGCACTCTTTGCATTACTCACATGATGATGATTTGCAGTCCGTAAAGAAGAAAACATATGAAAAGAAAAATTGGTGAGTTGTACGTGGTTGAATGCTGCAATCTATTGCTTCCATCCTATCCTATCCCATCCTGCCCGTGGTATCTCGTCAATCGTATGCACATGCGCCCCAGCCCAAATCCCAAACTCAGACACCTGTCTGCCTCCATTCCACACGCCATCCCCAAAGCCACCCTACCAGGGTAGAGCTACCTAGTAGTAGAGTCTGCCGGTCAACCCTGCTTCGCCTTGATCTCCGTCTTCGCCAGTGCATCCGCAAGCTCATCAACATCCTTGTCGATCTTCTGGCTCACGTTCTCTTCTTCCGCCTGCTGATCTGCAATGATATCCCGCGCGGCCTTGGCTTCCTCCTCCTCCTCTTCCTCCTCTTCCTCCTCCTCGTCTTCAGACTCGAGCTCCTCCAGCTCGCCCACGCCCCAATTCTCGTCGTCCTCGTCGTCGACGCCCGCGGCTTCGCGGCGCTTGGAGAGTTCCTCGCGGAGAGTGTTGATGGAGGCGTCTTCGGCGTCGAACTTGTTGCCCTCGAGCTCGATGCGGCGGAGGGCGGGGAGGGAGGAAAGGGCGGCTGCGAGCCCTGCGACGCCCTTGGCGTTGATGTCGTTGAACTCAAGGCGCAGTATCTCGAGCTTGGTGTTCTTCCCATTCTTCAGGGCTTCTGCGAAGGCGATCCCGCCGCGCCTACTGAGCAGGCAGTCGCCAACACCCAAGTCCTTGATGAGCGGCCACTTGCCCACGACGTTGGCGAGCGCCTTCGCGCCGGTGGCTGTGAACGTGTTGTCCTGCAGGTCGAGCGTCTCGATGGCGGTGCTGTGCGCGAAGCCGTGATTAAGCACGTGCGTGATGCCCTCGGACCGGATCCCGTTCTGCACCATCTTGACCTCCTTGATGCCCGTGTGCGCGGCGTATGTCTTCGCCCAGGCGGCCATGCTGCCGTTCTCGAGGCGGTTGCGGCCGCAGATGACGGTCTCGAGGTAGGGCACATCTTTCCCTTCTTTGCGAGCGGCGTCTTTCTTGGCGGCGAGCGCGGTGAGAGCATCGGCGATGAGGACGCCAGCGGCGGGGCCGAGGCCGTTGTTGTTGAGGATGAGGTGGCGGAGGGGCACGTGCTGGGAAAGGAAGTCGACGAGGGGCGCCTGGGTGTTGAGACCGAAGGCGTTGTCGGAGAGATTGACGGTGTAGAGGTTGGGCAGCGCGAGGAGCGAGGTGAGGAGGGCGGAGAGCGCTTGTGGAATCTCAGAGAGGAGGCGGCCCGTAAAGATGTCGGCGAAGTTGGCGACCTGGAAGTGGTGTTGTTAGTCGAGGGGTACACAGGGCGCATGAGGGGTATAGTACCTGCAGCTTCTTCTTGGTCTCAAGGACCTTGGCCAGCGCTTCACTAGCGCCTATTCCGAGGGTGTTGCCCAGAAAGTGCACCTCCTCCACGTCCTCGTTGTCCTTCAGCGCCTTGATATGGGGCTCGATGTCCTCGGCAGTGTCGAGTTTTAGGCTCTTGCCCTCCAACGAGAAGACCTTTGCATCAGACATGGTGTGTGGACTCGAACTGTGTGTACATTAGTCTTTCACCTCCGCGAACAGTTTACAAAGGGCGCATACCGAAAGAATACCGTTGTGGGTGACGAGAAGCAAAAAGGGTTCAATGTTTTGGTGTCTTAGTGGGGGTTATTTGGGGCCTGGCCAGTCTGCAGGGGTCCGGCGCGTGGGCCCTTCTTTCGCCATCAGATCGGTCCGCGGCAATGCCAAGGCCTTGCAATTCGACATGTTCGATTGTTAAGCAGCTCAACTTCCTCACGCCACACATACATCGCAATGGGTTCAAACCAGTCAGGTATGCATATTCAACTGTTCGCGACGCGCCTTGATTAACACAATGACAGCACCGGCTCCTCCGCCACCAACCGCTGCCAACCTGGGTGCAGAAGTGAAGACCCCCAGCACGCCTGGGAAGCCAAAGGTACGAGCTCATCGAAGGGTCCCAGTGCCAATTATTAACTTGAATCCAGCCCTGCTGCGTCTGCACCGACGAGAAAGCCAAGCGCGACGAATGCATGCTCTTCTCTGACGCCAAAAACCCACAAGAAGACTGCGCCGACCTCGTCACGAAATACAAGATCTGCATGAAAGGCTACGGTTTTGAGATATAATGCGCTGCCGTGCGGGAGGTGATGTATGATACGTGTTGGAAGCGGCATATATTGTACAACAGAAGCATCAATTGGCGTTCGCGCATTGGGGCAACCGCTACATACCCACTTGTACATGAATGAAACCAACTTCTCTCCAACGCGCGACTCTGAAGAAATGGGTATCTTGGTATTTGAATGTCCTTGAAACGAAAACCACAGGCATGGACTACTGCGTTTTGCTCTTTGCCTTGAAGCCCAGCAACTCGCTCTTGCGAAGCAGTGTCCACAAACACCACAAATAGCATAGGGCGAAGCCTCCGCATCCGATGATGGCATTCGCCACGACCCACAAATCCGGTTTGTCGGCCGGTGTAGCGACAAAAGCTTCTGCGACGTGCCACCCTACCATGGCGACATAAATGTTGAGGTGTAGGATCTTCGTGGGAAGGCTCAGGCCACCAGAGGTGCCCTCATGGTATGCGGAGAAGGAGACAGGTGGCAGCCCGAGTAGATATGCCCAAAGCAACGAGATGACAAAGTATGGCACTCTGAGCTCATCCCTCTTGAGTAGCGGAAACATGGTCCAGACACCCAGCATATTGGCCAATCCTACCCAAGCACGGACAGACGGTAAGAGTCCTCCCTGTCCACTCAGCAAGAGTGTCATCGGAAGAAGCGGTAGCAAGACATTCTTCTCGTGGACCTGGTATGAACAGAGGAAAAAGCCCCAGGCGGTGGTCGCAAAAGCAAGAGGGACTAGCTGTCTTCGTGGCTTGAGGAACAAGATCAGGCATGGCGGGGTGATCGAGGCCAGGGTGGCGACCAGAGCGGCGCGTTGAAGAAGAGTTCCGGAATATCTGTGGAGCTTGTGGAAGGTATGAATGGTGCACCAGACGTTCGCTACCTTGTCTTCAAACAGTCCTCGCGCGAAGGGGAAGATCCGGTGAACTGACTGGCCTAGTCCTAAGATGTAGGGGTAGTACCAAGCCTCCGGGTTCAGTGACATTGGTAGAGACTCCAGCAGCGGAGGCAGCGGGAGGCCCTTGAGCGGCATAATCTTATACACATCGTACGAGATCCCAACGAGGAATGGTAGGTAGAGAAGTGCAAAGGCTGCAACAGTAGTAACGGCGATCGACAAGAGCCTGACCACATTGATCCGCGGGAAGACGCATATGCCAAGGAGGTAGGCGAAGACAGCAGGCGCATAGAACAATGCCATCTGCTTGAAGCCGAGTGCGCCCACGAAGAATACGCAGCTCCAAAGGTAGCGCCCAGCCTGAATGCTCGACAAGCTCGCCACCGCAAGACCCAACATGACGGTGTTGTACTGAAAGTGCCCATGATCGATCAGCAATGTGGCAGGCTGCATAAGGATCGCAACGAGAGCGATGGAAGCCTCCCACACATTGACTTTTTCGGCGCGAGAGTATCGTCTCAAGAATATGATGGTAGCCGGGACGTAGATTAGATATTCGGACACGAGAACGGTTGCGCGCATGTAGATTTTCAACAACGGGTCATCGAGCGCTCGCGAATCGAACAGTGCGAACCACTGAGGGTTGATGGCGGAACCACTAGCTGACATTAGCGACGGAGACACGAGCACAAGGCACACATACATGGTACCCAGAAGCCAGCTATGGTATGCAGTCAGAGGCGGATAGTCCAGACCCCACCACTCGAGGTCGTAAAAATACCAATGCGACACAGGGAGATGCTGGGTGAGCTCCATCCAGTGCCGCTGAGCTTCAAAGTCTCCGTGCATGGGCGGTGAATTGAAGCCAGAATATCCCCACAGACCAGTCGTCCATCGAAAGAGCCCTACCACCATGAGGATTACCGGTATGGTGATCCATTGCGAGACAACACCCTTGGCAGGCCAGAGAAACGCAACGAGGGGAAATGCAGGCTTGCGGGCATGGCTGGACTGGTCCAGGTCGAGGGTACCGTGGGTTACGTGAGCAAGAGATCCCTCTTCGATCTTCCTCCGCCGACGAGGCTTGTACCCTTGCGGCGAAGCCATTGGAATAACAAGTCAACTCTGCGGGCGGACGTCGTGTAGGATGGAGCTGCGACAGTAGGCGACGTGACGCGCTCGCTAGGGCGCCAAGCTCAAGGGTCCTCACCGACTTCGACACGCCCACCAGCCCACCCATTTTTGCCTCCGGCCACCGCCCCAGCTTTACCGAAGGCACGAACGTTGCCTAGCGCGACCGCGTTATCGATACGCAAGACTTTTCGCGCCCGTGGATTGGCTGCCCAAGGGACCCGCTAAATTTTCAGAGGTTAAAGCTCGAACTTTTCGCGCGCTCGTACTTTTCACCCAAACTCTTGCGACTTTCTTTCGCACAACAGCACTTCTTCCTCTACACAACTGTCGGGGCTCTATTCGTGGCTTTGTGGGTACTTGTGAGCTACTGAGGGATTATCGAGAGAACTGCGACTCTTCACACACACATTCTATCAAGTCAGTGGGCACATGCGAACAATTTCCTTAACACACAGAGGACCAGAGGGCACGCCAGTCGCTCAACAGAGCACGGCGATATTCATCAGCGGGCTTTTTACTCCTGAGGGCTATACTTTCGTCTTCTCGGCATCTTGTGGGAACACAGCGCCTTGAACCGTGGGCTTTTACGTGGGCTTCGGAAGTTTCTGCCGCAAGGCGCAAATTTCTCTGAGGGTTTCCTGTGGGCTTTTCGCGATCTGAGACAGTTGGCTACCAGCGCATTCGTCTCTTTGAGACCGGCGCTTGAATTCCGAGACCTTCGTGTCTTACCTCTTCCTTTTCTCTTCTTTTCTCTTCTTTTCTCTTCCCTCTTACCAAGGTATATCTAGCCTTCAGCATACTGATACATTGTAGAACTAGAACACTATTACCAACATGTCTAAGACCAAGGCTACCAAACCCAGCGCCGACAAGAAGGCCTCCAAGAAGGTCGATGCCCCCAAGGTGAAGGAGGGTCGCGTCACCAAGCCTTCCCAGACTCCCAAGGCCAAGAGCAAGGAGATTGCCAAATCTGCTGCTGGCGCCGACAAGAAGTCCAAGAAGTCCAAAAAGGCCCCTACTCCCGAGCCCGAGTCCGAGGACTCTGAGTCCAGTGCCTCTGAGGAGGACAGCGACAGCTCCGAGAGCGAGGAGGAGGCTAAGCCCGCTGCTAAGGCCAACGGCAAGGCTAAGCCTGCTGTTGCGGCCAAGGCCGAGGAGTCCTCCGACTCTTCTTCTGACAGCGAGTCTGACAGCGACGAGGAGATGGCCGACGCTCCTGCTGCTAAGGCTGCCACCCCCGCCAAGGCTGCTGCGAAGAAGGACGACTCTGATTCTTCCGACTCCGACTCTGAGAGCGACGACTCTGAGGAGGAGGCCAAGCCCGCTGCTAAGGCAGCCAAGGCTGACGTACGTTGACCGCTCCCGTCTTAACCATTTTTTTTTATCTAACAAAACTATAGTCTGATTCCGATGACTCTTCCGACTCTGATGCCGACTCCGACGACTCTAGCGACAGCGACGAGGAGAAGGAGGCCCCCTCCAAGAAGCGCAAGGCTGAGGCCGAAGCTGAGCCCGTTGTCAAGAAGACCAAGACTGAGGCCTCTGGCGAGGAGGAGGGCATCAAGAACTTGTTCGTTGGCAACCTCAGCTGGAATGTTGATGAGGACTGGCTGTCCCAGACCTTCGCGCCCCACGGCACGATTGAGGGCTGCCGCATCATCACCGACCGCGAGTCTGGCCGCTCCAAGGGGTACGTCTATTGTAAATCCTCCCTTCCGAACTTTCCTAACGCCATCACAGTTTCGGATACGTTGAGTTCAGCAGTGCTGCTGAGGCAAAGGCTGCCAAGGAGGCTCTCCACGACTCCGACCTCGACGGCCGTGCCCTGAATGTCGACTTCAGCCAGCCGCGCCAGCAGAACCAGGACAAGGGTGCCGCTCGCGCCAAGCAGTTTGGTGACAAGCGTAGCGCGCCTAGCAACACACTGTTCATTGGAAACCTCTCCTTTGACTCGACCAACGACACCATCGGTGAGGCCTTTAGCTCCTTCGGTGAGATCACCCGTGTCTCGCTGCCCACCGACCGCGACACCGGTGCCCCCAAGGGCTTCGGATACGTTGAGTTCAGCTCCGTCCAGGAGGCCCAGGCTGCTCTTGACGGCCTCAGCGGTCAGGACGTTGACGGACGCAACATCCGCATCGACTTCGCTGCTGCCCGTGACAACAACGGTGGTGACCGTGGTGGCCGTGGTGGTGGCTTCGGCGGAGGTCGCGGCGGTGGCCGTGGCGGCGGCCGTGGTGGCTTTGACCGTGGAGGTCGTGGTGGCGGACGCGGCCGCGGCGGTGACCGTGGTGGCCGCGGCGGCCGTGGTGGTTTCTCGACCAACCGTGGTGGCTTCGGCGACTTCAAGGGCCAGAAGATGACCTTTTAAACGCCTCGTTATGAGCACGTTTGTCCTGTATGATTCTCTACCCTCGTTTGGAAGGGTCGGTAAGTGTTGAGTATTCGCGCCTGTTCCACATGGAGCTTGATGTGAGGCTCGACCATGTCATGACATCTGCGATATAATCTGTCATTATACCATGGCTTTGGCTGGCGTCACGGATCAAAAGTAATTCTTGCCCGACTTGCTCCAACAACAACACGATAGTGTAGAAGAGAGACAAGGTCCGCGGATTAGTTCATGTTAAATGTATATCAAGTTTATGAATCGGGAATTTGAGCCGACGATGTGTGCATGAATCATATACATTTACAATGTGCAAATTAGGCTACAAACCTAACCAAGGTTTCCACTCCCTTGCAAGTCCATGTGCCCATCCTGCTGTTCTCTTCGCCTTCAGCAACCATCACCTGAGCAAGGCCCACCGTCTCTCACATGCAACATCCCGCCGCCATCACGCGTGGGGTCCAAGTGCATGCAGCACCCGGAGCGCGAACCGTGGTTCGATTTGGACACGCCAGCCTGCGGTCGAACCATGGTTCACGATGCTGCATTGCGGGGTTGCCCGAGGCCACGAGCCGTGGTTCGGAACGATGTCTTGCATTGTGGTTTGAACTAATGAGCTTAGGGTAAAAAAGGAGCAAGCTTTGCATTGGGACCAGCACGCGCATAGGCTGAGGGACTGTCAGCCGATGCGTGCTTCACGTGAATATTGGATTTTGCCAGAATATGCAGCCCTGTACGGATATGTCTTTTGCATTTCTGAATGACGATGGCGTGCGGAGCATGGCTGTTGTAACACACGCCGAGGAATGTTTACAACACTGTTGGCTCGTACAACAGGGAATATCTTGCAAGACTGATGCGTTGGTGTTTGTAAGGACTTCGTTCCACGTGTCGCACAATGGCTTCCTGCAAGACCAAGAATGGCGAAACCCGTCGGTTGGAAGCGCACACTATCAGTGACGAGTGAGATCATGGTATGATAAACATCACAGCAAAGCCCGCCCATCCTCCCCACACCACACATACCCCTTGCACCCTTCCCCCCAAAGCTATCCACCCTCCTCTTCAAATCCCGATTCATATAACATCAAACCCCGGTACTGCCTTCCTCGTCTGATCGTTGAAATTAATAGCCGTCAAGAACCCGAGAAGTCCTCTCTGTTCACAAACGTCGTATGTCCCGGCGTTGCCTTGCTCGGCTGAAACCCGAAAAAGTGCTTGCCCACGAGGATGCCCTTTAGCCCGCCGTCCCAGACGAAGCCCTCTCAGGAGTTTTCCTATAGTACTCAGCGCGTCGGTGAGGAGGAAGATGGAAGGAGGGATGGGTGACGTACAACGATGTTCGGATTCATGATCATGCCCCTGTCATCGCGGACTGTGTCGCCAGGCTGGAGGTCCCGGCCGGTTTTGCCAGCGGGGGCCTGGATGCTTTTGAAGTGGCCGGGGGAATGCAGGACGGAAGGGGTTCGACACTTGAAAATCTTAGTGCGAAGCAGTCTCATCAATGGAGCAGGAGAGTCGCGTGGTGAGGTCTGACATATACCCCAGCGGTTGCTGTACTCTTATTCACGAAGAGGGCCTACGAACGGGGGGCCGATCACTGCTCTACGAGGTACCCAGCTCAGCCGTGACATGCTAGCTGACTTCTGGCTGACCTTACGGGCGAATCGCCTTAGTACTGCTCTACCAGGAAATGCCTCGTCCGTATGCGCCATACTGGATAATAAAATGGCGATCCATACGATTTGGCAAGATATTTGGCCGCGGACGACATGATACCGATTCGGAGCAACAGGATCGCAGCCAGCGAAAACAGAGCGAGGAGAGACGAGACCTTTTGGCGTTAGAACTTGCGCTAGGCTTCTCGAAATACGAGGGGACATAACCACCGCGATTGACTCCAACTTCAAAGTCAGCGCTCAAAAAGACGGTAGTTTGTTCTCAAGCACGTGGACTCGTTCTCGAGATATAACTGTGTTGTGCTACGGAGCCCTGTTGGGCACTGTTCATCCGTACACCTTACTCGGGGCTACAGCGGAAATGTATACCTCACGCGTCGCAGTCATCGTGCTCGCGCAAGTCATACTTGCAACATGCCAGACCACCCTCCCAAGCCTATTTGTTCCCGAACAATACTCTTCCAATACCTTCGAAGTCTCCATAGCCGGCAACATACCTACAGCCCCGTGACCCTCCCCTTTCCACGCAACTAAACTCCTTAGGACGCCACAGCAACAACCTACCTCTTCTCCCCTGGGTGCAAGAATTTTGCCTGCGGCCCGGTCACCCTGATACAAGGCCCGACCACGGCCATCTACAGCGCCGCAAATGTGCCACCCGGGGACATCACGACTGTTCACTCGTGTGCGCTGTCGCCAGCGGGTGAGCTCACGACTGCGGAGTGCACGATGACGAGCCACTGGCCAAACCATGACTGCTGCTCTGGCTCGGATACGAAGCAGTATCCGCATGGGAGCGGGTTCGCGTTTCCGACGTATTCCGCCATACTGACAGCTGGTAGCACTACAGGGGTTGAGAGTACGGCGGCGGCTGAGAGCATGGGGAGCGTGACGCGGTCCTTAGCGAGTGCGTCAATTGCTTCGTCGATAGTATCCTCCGCCGCAGAGGTATCGACTACTGCATCCATAGATTCTGCTTCTGCTACGTCTGGCTTGTCGAGTGAGGCTAGGACAGGGACAATTCCCGACGCCGGTGGCGAGTAGTACGCAGAGTATTGGGAGCGAACCGTCGGGTGGGATGGCTCCTGCTGGGGCGACAACTCCCTCCCGCGTTGTGGAAGTTTGTATGGGTCTTGTTGGAGAGTTGTTGTGGCTATAATTGTTGTTGCGAATGTAGTGCTTCCTAGACATCCGTACAGCAATATCAGCAATCGTAAACATTGAATCATATAGAACATAATAAGGCGAGGAGATACAATTTGAGTCCTATTTACGATGCGCAGACACCGTTGCAAACATCATTGAATACAACTCATTGAGCTCTCAGGGCGAACACACGACTTCTTTACCAAGCCCCCGAAAGGCCGTAGTCCTACTAACACGGCGCCGCGATGCTGTATTGCCCGCCTGACGCGCTGCTAATGCCGTTCACGAATTGGAGCCGCGCGGAGTCCTTCTCGACCGCGGATTTCAGTCCCGCGGTGCTGAGCGCAGGCGAGACGAGCGACACGCGCAGCAATCCGCTGGACACAGTAGTCTTCTACTATGCACAGTTAATGCGACAAGGGCCGGAGGTGCCCAAAGTGATAGTCATCCTAGGGGAGGACCATGCTGGGAATTACTGGCTGACGGGGACGCTGCTGCCGGCGGCGTGGGCGAGGACGGAGGAGGAGTTGGAGAGGATGTGAGAGCGCGATGGAGCGAGGTTAGAGATGGACGATACAGCCAGTAGCAATACGTGTGCCAGAGTGAGATAGAAAGAAAAACCGCCTGTGATGCTTAACCGACTTTCGCAAGCCTCGAGCCCAGCAAAACGCACTGCAAGAACCGATTAGAGTGCCAGACAGCAACCGATCCCAAAGCCAAAAGAGTGATACAAATCCCCCTTATCCAGCACCCCAACGCCAGCTGCAAAACGCCGCATGATGCACACACCTCTCCCCTAGGTTCTCCCTAGATTAGAATCAAACGCGCCAAACCCCAACCCCATCCATCCATGCATTCAACAACCCTGACCAAAGGCCCCAAACCACCGGCACCGCGAGAGCTCCACACAACGGTTATACCAACACCATCCCCACCCAACGCCGACCGTCTCCAAGTCCGAAGACCGCGTCCCGTCAACAGCCTCCTCTACCCCCAACGTTGGCCTCACCAGCCCTTAGCTCCCGCCCTTAACCCAATCGGCCGACCCAACGCCCGCTCATCGTTCAGCCCCAGGCATTTCCCACCTTGCCTCCATCCCAAGCTGCTTCCATCCTTTCCCCGGCCCGTTGACCCAGCGCTAAACCCCAGCCTAGCAACGACTCAACTCACAACCCTGCGCCTCTCCATCCGCAATCTTGGGGAGAGAAAAAAGAAAAAACATGCCAGTTACTGTATACATTGTTACATTGCACTACAGCAAACGAACGGATCGCAACGAACACCATATGGAGCCTTAAACCTCACTTCCAGCTCACCGTCATCGTCCTTCCAGCCTCCCCACAACCTTAAGTCGTCGCGCTACGAGTACGCACGGCTTCAGCCGCTGACGTAGGTAGCATGTGGTAGACTCACTCGAGCGTCACGCTCGGGAGACTTGCCCTCGTCTCGTGGTGGGAAGCATATTCCTTGTAATCACTTGCTTGCCCTCGTCTCCCTAGACCACTAGAGCACGTGGCAGCGACTAATCATGCTGCACGACAAAATGTGACATCAATAAAAAATTCCCAGAGCACTATCTGCATGCACGACCGAGGTCTGGACATTATTCCTCGCGTGTGCTAAAACACCAATCCAGCCGTATTAATTACGATACATGAGCCAAGCAAGCGTACTTTTGACAATCGATCGCGACAGTGCATATCGACCCTGTATTCCTATGCTCCGCAGGCGCCTGCAAACCCACAAGGTTCATCCGTTTCCCGTCTGAAATAAAGTACTCCTCCCTACGCCCAATGTTGGCAATGGATATCTCGAGTGTAGCCGAATAGAACCGCTCTCTGAGCCTTAATTTCTTGCTGCGCCGGAGGCACACTTGCCTCGAACGCTGGAATCACCTCCTCAAGACCAGATGCTGATTGCTCCACCTCTTGTGTTTTCGAATGACAAAGGAAATAGGTTCCGCCGAGGACGACGCCGGGGCGAGATGTATGTAACAAGAGCCGTGAAGAATAGGTGATGCAAGGGTATGCTATTGTACAGAAGATGGGGTCAGCTTTCCACGAACCATCATTGCAATTATAGACCGAGCGTCCAAGTGGACTCGCGGCATACGTGGTCGGATGTGGTCGAGAAATTCTGTCTGAGCCTAGATTGCAGACGGACGCGACTAGCGGTGAGGGTGGTCGTAGGTGCGGGGACCAGCGAATTCGACTCCTTGCATCGCCGTAGGAGGAGGGGCTGCCCATTGTGGTGCTTGCGGATGGTTCTGTTGCTGTTGAAGCGGCGGCAAGGTATTCGTGGTCGACGGTGGTGCATTGCCGTACTGCTGGGCCAGCTGGCCTGTCACATTTCCATATACGTGCGGCTTGCCCGGATCGGCTCGCTGAAGATTCTGCCACACAGCAATTATCTCGTTTCGTAGCAGCTCGTTCTCTTCTCGGTACCGATAAGCATGCTCAGCTTCAGGTCGTAGCCGAGCGTTCTCATTCCGGGTATTCTCATGAGCGCGGGCCAGGTTCTTGATGTATTCAATGGCTACCACATGTCAGCGAGGTCAACAATAGTCCATGCGAGAGGCTTCACATTTCGTCAAGATTTCCCACTTGCTGGACTTGCTCCCAGGTGAATTGGGCAAAATAGCGTTGAGTTCATCAAACAAGTTCTTCATCTCACTCCTTCGCTTTCGTTCGGCCATTTTGTGGCTGACGCGGAGCTCGGGGGTACGACTGTAGTTACCACCTCCGGCAGCGGCCGCCTGTTCCGCGGTCTGCAGACTTGTGACATTACGATGTTGCATCGAGTGATGGTGGGTAGTGGGGATATCTGCCAGAGTCAGTGGATGATGAAAAAGGAAGACGTCCATTTCCTTACCATCGTCCAGTCTCTTCTGTCCGGTCGGGAGGTTCGAGTCCGTTGTGAAGATACTGCTGTTGATGGACGCAGCAAAACTGTTCTGACGTGACGGGACGGAGTGCCCAACGCTAGAGTCACCACTGCTGGAACCCCTCCTGTCCAGTTCAGGCTCGGCGGGGAAAGCCCAAGCGTAACCTTTCGTTGGCGCAGCAGCCATGGGATCAGGCATGCCCGACACACTGCGCGGATTGGGATTGATGACGGGTGCTCTGCGTGGAGGGTGGTTCGTGCGAACCCCAGCTCTGGGGCCAAGGGGCGATAATGGTGAGGCGCCATTCGGACGTTGGTCGACCGCAGTGATACCTCGCTGTTGTTGTAGATTCGAGACGAGGGATACACGAGAAGCATTCTGGCTATCGTAGGGCGATCCTGGGCTGATGGCAAGATGGGCCATGCCACCATTCATGCGGCTATCAACACTACTACGGCGGGAATCGTACACAGACTGCTGTGAGCTTGCCTCAAAGCTAAGACGATTGTCAAAGCCCTGGTTGAGCGAGGGTAGAGCATTTGGCGGCTACGAAACGGTTAGTCAACTTCGTTACAGTCGAAAGAGACACACCTGGTGTTGTATCGAGGACACGCCGGACGGATACCGTGCCGACGAAGGTGTGTCGGGCGCTCCATTGCGCGACGGCGAGTCCTCGGCATTCAGAATTGTCTGCAGCTGCAAGCCCATCGTGTTTGACACGCCCGAGGAATCTGGTGTGGGTCAGCACAGGGGTCGACTATAGTTTATGCGGAATGTTGGGCCGGAGATAGGATCAGAGGGGAGGGATAACAAGTCAACACTCACGCTTACTCTGAGAAACAGACCAGTTGCCAGAGTCACGGGCTTCGCGAGACTCAGACTGCTGTCGCAGGCGCGCTGGGCTCTGGTCGGGAGACAAGTTGCTCGTGAGGGATGCTATCGAAGGCAGTGCCTGAGACAGGCTTGACGGGTGCTGAGGGCCTCATTAGTAGACGTCCGACGGTGTAGCTGCTGACTTTGCCGAGTCCAGCCGCGCGGGCAGGCACGTGTGCACGTGTGGTCGGGTGCCCAATTTATCGCCCACGTTGTCCCAATGTCGAATGTGGGCGTTGAGGAGGCAGTGGGCAAATGTGGGGATAAGGAAATATATAAACGCACCTGTGATCGTTGTTGTTGTTGTTGTTCCATGACGGCAGACGCAGCGCGCTGGTCGTGCACTTTGCACTACGGCGGTCTAACAGGAATCTCAGGCGAGCTGGAGGTTCGGAGGGTGATGCAGAGAGCGCCAGTCGAAGGGCGGACCAATGAAGAGCGCGCAATCGGACAGCCTTTCCGACGTATGGTGATGTGCTGTGCGGAGTGTCGGCGGCAGCGGGTGCAGCAGGAGAGCGAATTGGCAGAGGGCGGGAGCAGAGAGCAGTGGAGCAAGAGTGAAGGAGGGCGAGCGGGGGCAGATACACAGCAGGCAGTGACGGCGCACGGGATGGAGGATGTCCTTTCTGGGAGTCTACTCTTGCGCGAGGCGGGGCAGCAACGACTGACGGGCGCGTTACCAAGCAGCGCTCGATTTCAGGGAGCAGGCGCAGACAGCGTCCTGCGAGCCGGATACCAGGAATCCAGTCACTGCGCGGCGTGGGCGCTCGCAGTGCTGGGTGGTGCTCCTCGGGCGCGCAGCAGCAGCAACAGCAACACCACGCCAAAGCAGAGATAGCCGCGTCGCCTCACACGTCGACCATGGACTTGCCGGCGCGCACGCGGCGAAAGGGGACGTGGCTGCAGCAGGCTCGGGCGGCGTGCTGCGGAGGACTTGAATGGCAGCTGTGGCGGCGCACGGCGTTGGGATGGCTGGATCTGATCTGGGGGGTCCGCGATGAGAGCTGGGGCAGGACTCGAGGGCTGCAACGAGTGGTTGAGCAGTGGCGTCGTGTGCCCGTCGCACGGCCAGAAAGGTCGTCGTCACAGGAAGACGAGGCGGAGAAAACAAAAGTCTGCAGGCGGGCGGGCTGGGATCGGGCGGCGTGTCTGGGGCGCACAGCGAGCTCAATCGCGGTCATTCGAGTTACTCGGGCACAGCAGAGGTCCGGCGCGCAAACATATCCCGGGGCAGAACAGATGCAACCTGGAGGAGGAAGGGAGCGGTGGGCACGTCGCAGCAGCTCCCTCGAACGGGTGGGCGCTGGCAGGCGTGCCTTGCATGCAACGGCCGTACCTGGGGGGCAGAACGCGCGATGAATGGCCAACAGCAGGTGGACGCGGGCTCGAGGGGGCCGAGGGCCTGGACGTGTGTACAACAAGGCGGGACGGACAGCAAAGTGGAGGTCACTGGAGCTTCGGCGGAGCACTCAGCAAGACTTGGGCGGAGAGCGATCCGCAAGGGCACGGCGGCGGCCAATTAATGCAGCTGACGCGCCCAGGACGATGCGCTTGCACGTGGGAAATCGTTCAATAAGGCTTCGTGTATCGCAGCAGGGCCCCTAGTGGCGGCTACCTGCACCTAATATGGCGCCCTGTCTTGTGCGCGAACAGGTGCGCGAGGTCAGACAGCGGGGACGGGTGCTGGCGACGTACCAAGACGAGGAAACCGCCCGGCGCGCCCGCGCACGACAGCATTCCACCATCTGAGGGCGAGCGCGGCATGTGGGAAGCATCGCAGGACCCGGGCGGGCGAGGCCACCAGCATGCCTGTTCGTCTGCGCCACGAGGAGCCAGCGGAAGAAGCAACTCTGTGCCGCGACGATCAGGTCCGCATTGGGCCGCCGTGCGGGAGCCCCTCGTGCTCCGCCGTCATTGTCGACACTGGACGTGTGCGCGACGTGGCCCACGGCCTGGCGGCGCGATGCCAATCCGCGCGCCCACACGCTGCGACAAGACACGCAACCGTGGGTGCCCGCCGTACGTGGACCGCCGTTGTCCGTCAGAATCCTGCGTTTGGTGTCGGGCCCGCCAGCCAGCATGGCCGTGGCCCATCGCAATCGTCCCGCGGCCCGCTCGGACCATGCCCGCCCACGTTTTCATCCATGGTTGGTTTCCCCGGCTCTTTTCGATGCCGCCGCCGCCAATGCGCTTGTGAACGACGCCCATCTGCACGCCTGCTGAACCCCGATCCCAGAGGGATGCTCTGTTGCCTCGTCCCAGCTGCTCCCAGGTCGACGGCTGCAATCCTCGTTTCGACTTTTGCCAGAGCCACCGCCTGCACTCAGCCTCATTTGCCCTGCCAATGACAGCCGCCCAGGAATGCTGCTTACTTTGCCGGTGGTCAAAACCGCTTGAACCACCTCTCCCAGAACCGTGTTTTGAGCACCCTTTAGCGGCACATGTCGAGTCTCGCATCGCTCTTTCGGCCACCGCTTGCATTTCAACACGTTCGGTAGCTCGGAATCGGCAGCCTCAATCGCCCATGCCAGAGCCCGCGTGCGAGGGGCTAGGTTTTGCTGCAGCACGCTCAATGGGAATCCAGGAGGTAGCACAGCATTTCAAAGTCACGTTAGCATCGCAGCAGTGCGCCAACGCTAGGATTGTCATCGCTCGAAGCTTCCTTTGGCACGGCTGCTTCTCGGCAACGGAGCATCAGGGCCAGTCGGAGCCTGAACCGGTAGACAGACGGAGACGCGAGCCATGGATATCCAGGCACGTTGGATCGTACGACCAGCGGAGATTATTTCGCACGTCACTGCTGTGGGTGACATGAGCGACGTTGCCACTGACTTGACAACAATTGTGGGTCTTGATAAAGAGGCAGCTGTGGTCCTGCGGTATCCACAATACTTACGTTACACAGCGAAGCGGCCAAGGGGGCCATCTCCAGCTTCGAGCGGATTCACGCGTCCAGGTACGAAAAGAGATACTGCTAACAATCTGCTGTGGACCGGAGCGCTCCGCCCACTGCAAAGTCTCAGCATGTTTCTCCATTGTGCTCGGCGGCTCCCTTCCTGCGTCCATTCACTTCGAGCTCCGTGATACCCGTCTTCGAGCGCTCTGAAGCCGCATGCAACGCAATAGCGTGTCGCCATGTCACCGTCCTCATATCGCACCCGAGCTGGAAGGTGCGACCACACCGTGATCCGAGAACCAGGTCGTAGTCAGACGGCTTTGTGTGAGGCGTTGTTGCACGTCTTGTGTGCTTGGAGGTGACACAATTGCTTTCCTGATCTGGATCGCAGACCCCGCGTGTCCCTGATTGGTGCGTCGTGTCTCGCACCGAGTTCTGTCTAGGTACGGAATGGGCAGTACCGACCTCTGTTCTCCGTAACATCCAACGTGCGCCGTACTGCATATCATGAAACTTTGGGAAGGCACACAGCGTCGGTAGCCGGCTCAAGATGCTTTCGCCCACAGTTCCAGAGCTGCCGTGTCTGGACAGCAAAGCCGATGACCCTTGCAGGCATTCTACTTACTACGCGAGAAAGTTTATGCTGGACAGCAAGTACCCTGTAGCGATTGCGCTCCGCGGCACTCGGTACGGCGACGAGCAAGGATTTCACAGGTATCAATCAACCAAACACGTGGTCGTACGATACTCCCCACGGCCCTGACTCCGCGATCGTAGCCATGATATGGCGTGCAGAAACCAACCTCACACAAGGTCGCGCAGACAGACAGCACGTTTGCAGGCAAGGAGAATTCCGTCCACACGCCTGCTGTCGTGCGCCAGGTGTCAACCTGCCAGTAACAGATCCGGCCCCAGGTACGACTGTTGGGGGCTCTTTGGTGGCACGATCGTCCTACCCTGTCAGGCAAGGTATGTGGTGCTCCACCAGCAGGGCGGCCCGCATCAAGCGTTTGATAGAGAAACACGGCATGCAGGCGCTTCGAGCACCTGAACAGACATAGATAGATGGATAGACAGGAGGGTGGAGGGGAAAGGGCAGAGCGTAGGCAGAGTGTTGAGCGTACGGCCGCTGTCGGCAGGACGACATCTTCACGACAGCGGGCAAATCTGCCTTACCATAGGTCCGATGTCTCCGTTGCAAATATTGCCGTGGATTGCATGTGTAGTCACAAATAAGATCAGCATATAGCGAAGGTACAGCTCGACGCGAACGCGAGCACGGAACGGCATGTGTACCTTCTCGAACGGCGCGGACGCGAAACCCTATACAGATGGACTTTGAGCAATCGGGCAAGCCCGAGATGAATCTAAGACTTTCGATATCGGGGCCAGGCGCGCATGCAGAGACGATTGACGGGCAGCGGACTCCGCGAGGCGGTGATCCTGGACCAGGGCAATAAAAGGATTGCCGCGCTGCTGCAAGCTTGCGCGCAGTGCTGAAAATCACCGAGGATGTCAAGGTTGTCGTCTGTGCAGCCCCGGCCCGTTCGCCAGACTTTGTCGAGATGGGGCTCGGCGCAAGCCTAGCTGGAAGCGGTAGGAGGTAGAGGGAGGGACAGTCACGTGCGAACGCCTGCCTGTGGAGCTTCATGGAGCTTGGAAAAGTCGCGCCGTGGGGCAATAGAACACAGACGCGCCATGGCCGGCGAAGAGCCGCTGGACCTGGCATCCCTGGATGCGACCGTAGCGGCGAGGCGTGCTGCATCTGCAGCCCGAGCCGAGAGCGTATGTCGCAAAGACGTGTTTCCGTTCTTGGAGCTTCCTCGAGAGCTCCGCGACCAGGTAAGTCCTACCCTGCAGTCTGAGCAAGAGCAAGCTCACACACCACCAGATTTACGACTATGCCTTCAATATCCCAGAAGACCGTGCTGACCGCGCACTTCGCATCGAGCGACGGCATCTGAAATATTTCAGACCATCCGCCGCGTCCATCCTCTTGGTGCTGCATCATGAGTACTTCCTCTTGAACCGCCAAATTGCACGCGAGGCCCTCGGATTGCTCTTCAAGAACCACACCGTGTATCTCAGCTGTGGGCCGTATGTGCTGAAGCAGCTCCTCTCGCGGATCGAGGCCACAGGCGGCCCTGGCAAACGATGGCTGAAGCGGATCAAGAGGATCGAGCTGGACTGGGTCACCTTCCCCAACCTCCGCATATACCCCCCGGAGCGGAGCGAGGGTAAGGACGAGTGGTACTGGGAGCACGACAACCATGAAGTCGACGTCGACTACATCCGCGGCGCGCAGTACAGCGGCCATTACGACGAGCACGACTACGAGGGCGGCTACTACGACGACAACTTCTACGAAGCCGAAGACGCCTCGCTGTATCCCACGTGGCCGGGCCGCAGCACTGCCGCCGCCGCCGCCAACCCCAACGACCCCTTCGGCTTCTCCACGCACTATCCCTTCGCCGACCCTGCGCGCCCCGACGCCGTTACCGCCTCAGACATCGACTCCAAGCTCGACCTCCTCGTCTCCCTCGAAGTCACCCCCCTCTTCGACTACCTCGCCTCCCCCGCGTTCGCCCTGAACAGCATTACGCTCCCGCTGTACTTCCTCTCCCGCGCTTCGCAACATCAGCGCACCGTCTCCCGCCCCGGATACACACTCCCGCTCAAGATCCGATACTGGGTCCACAACTGCATCCATGCGCTGCTCATGCTGCGGGACTCTGACACACTACAAGAAGTCAGGGTCAAGTACATCCCCTGGGATGTCTGGGCGAGCATGGAGCCCGCGGATGATTTGAGGCGGATGGTGGAGATGGGTGTGTGGTTTCGGGGTTCTGAGGAAGGGAGCGGCGAGAGGGAAGGCGAGGGCGAGGCGTTTCGCGCTGTGTGGGCAGGTCTGGCGGGGAAGGGGGCGTGCAATGGGGACGAGAGGATGGGGTTAAGAGCTGAGGTGCGGTTTGTAAAGTGGGAATTTGATTTGGATAAGCGGGTGGGGGATGAGCTGGAGGTTGTGTTCACGAAGGGGGTGGAGTAGGCCGATCGAGGTCCGATTTGTCTGTGGATTGACCATCGTCCTTCCGACCATATATCGAGATTCTGGCCCTAGGAAACAATGGCTGGACAACAGCCTGAGTGCATTGCGTCCACGAGGAGCCGTGCGGCGGCATTGAAACCTTTGACCTGGTACGTTGTATGGTGGGTTGTACTTTGCTTGCCATGTATGTGACCGGCAGCAACGAGGTCTTCTCACGGCTCATTTTCGACCGCCGAAAGGAGGGGCGGAAATCAAAGAAGATAACCCAGAGGTTGTACCGTGCACATCAGCCACACCACCAAAAACCACATGAGCCCTAATCGCCGTGAACCGCAGGACTTCAAAACAATGTAATGCCAATGGCCGAATACCTCGTGCGTCAGCTTAATCGTGCAGCGCTACCCGAGATCGAGAGGTGTAGTAGCTCCTCTACCAATACAATACTGATGGACTGTAAGAGGAAGGTTGTTGGATGTAGGAAGACGCGCGGGGAGCGGGACGTCGGGGTTGACATGATCTGGCGAGATGAAGTTGGAGCACGGTTATGTAGACATGGGAAGTAAGCTCGTGAGTCGTACGCCAGGGTACATATTGATCTCTGATCCCAAGTCGACGCTTATTCAAACCGCGGACGCACCCACGCGCGCAACATTCTCGATATCCTCTCACGCCACCCCACCATCCTCACCCATCAAACTCCCCATCCCCATCATACCCCGCCTCCCCAGCCGCACCCTCTTCCTCATCTCCACCCCCTCCCTCCACCCACGAGACCGCCCGTACATGCTGCTTATCGAACCGCTCCAAAAGCCCAACCTCCCACTCCCCCCACCGCCGCGCACTCTCCGGCATGCCCCCCTGACTCTCCACCAACACACGCCCCAGCGCCTCAAACAGCACCCCTACAACCTCGACATCCTCCTCATCCACTTTTTCCACCTCGCCGGGCTGCAGCGGCGCCCAGGTTTGCCGCTTCCAGAAGACTTTCAGGGCGCGCGTGGGACCGCGCGTGTTGAGGCTAGAGGAGACAATCAGGTCGGGGGTGAAGACCCAGCAGAGGAGGGAGGGGACGGGCTCTGGTTCAGGCATGAGCCCGCTCGGTGAAGGTGGAGATGGAGAAGGAGGAAGGGGAGGATGCACGTGGAAGCGGCGCACGTTTTGGTTTTCGATGAGGTGGAGGAGACGGGCTGCGATCCAGTGCTGAGGGGGGAAGGAAAGTGGTTTCTGAGGTTGAGCTTGTGGAGTAGGCGTGGAGACGCCGATGCACCATTTCCAGATGCGGTGGCCGGAAGAAGAGGGGTCGGGAGCGCCGAGGAGGAAAGTGCAGTGCGTGCAGTGGAGGGCGGTGGGTGAGGTCTGGTCGGCGTTAGTGTGGGGGGACTGGTATGTATGTGCTAAGAATCGGATATTGTGAACGGTAGAGAGAAAAGTGTATGAGCTGTGGATTGAAAGGATCGTGACGTGATTTGATGCGATGTAGCCTGCTCTAATCCCGCGATGCCCACGGGCCTTCGGACACAGCAGTGAAATGAGCAGGCCGCTCCTTCACAGCACCAGCAGACCCGTCGTCCCAGGAGAGGATCCGAAGGCCCATCGTCCCGAGGCGAGGATCCGGAGGCGTGCGAATTAAGTGTGGGAGCCTGTCCTTCTAGGGCATTTGTATCGGCGACGTGTGCCATGGAAAGGCTGCAGCCACCTTCTTGATACCCACCAAACCACATTTGTAGTATGACGACAAAAAAGAGCGTTGCGACCTACCTCGATGCCTGTGCAGTCCCCCTCGTCGAGCAAGAAGCTCCCCAGGTCAACAAAGCCTATGCCTTTCGCGGCCTGTAGCCTGTTACTGGCGGCATATCCCTTGTTCCCGATGGCCTCCTCGTTCGCGTGGTCGTGCAGGTGGTGCTCGTCCGGCTTGTGGCAGTGCCAGAAGTCCATCATCTCGGCCCAGTTCTCGTTGGGCAGGTCTCTCCACTCGCGTACCACGCCGGCCGGCACAATAACTCTCTCGCAGCTCTTGCAGTGGATGGTGACGTCGGTCGCGCCGTTTAGCGACGCGCCATCCCACGGCACGATGTTGGCCTTGCGGTCTTCGGACAGCAGCGCCCCGAGCATGTTCGAGCCTTCTTTCTCTTCGATCTGCAGCCGCAGCGTCAGGTCCTTGCTCGGCGGATTGGCGGGCAGCGACAGCGCTGCGTCGCCCCCTCCTTGCACCTGTATCGGGAGCTTGATCGTAGCTGACGTGCCCTCGTGTGTGACGGTCACGGCGCACCCATTGCTTTCGAGCCTCGCCTTCGTCTCGCGCGTGTATTCGGTTCGGAGCGACGCGAACAACGTAACCGTCCGGATGTTCAGGAGCAGCTCCGCGTAGAGCACGATGGCGCTGTCGTTCATAGCAAGCCGCGGTTCAGGCTCCTGCGCGTCCTGCAGCAAGTTCGGCGACGCGACGGTCGGGGGCGATCGGCGGGGCGTAGTCGCGATCCTCACCGTTTCCTCGGAGAGCCCGAGCGCGTCGTAGGCGGACGCGGGAAGCGGAGGGGACGGCATGGTGCGGTCGCGCAAGCCATACTGGTGCGTGTGGTGGGAAGAATGCAAGTGAGCGCGAGCTGTCGACGGGAGCTAATATCACCATGGGTCCCGAAGAATCTCCGTGATCACAACTACACCGCATGCGTGCAAGACGACTGCCGTTGCCTCGAAGTTTCCACTTGCAAGAGGTGAAGTATGTCGGAGAAAGCCATGTCCAAGTCCACACGGGCGGATCGACGGGCACTTCGACCCGGGTACGAGTGCCCAGACCCTGGCCCGCAGCGGAAGCCATTTTGATAGCTCGAAATTACTCCCTCTCCTCCGCACCCACAACACCACCCACCCAGGCCCAGTTGTCCACCATGGCGGCAGCCAAAGCCCCCGTCCCCTCGCTCGGCCACGTCCTCGTCGTCGGCGGCTGCGGCTTCCTTGGCTCGCACATCGTCTCCCTCATCGCAAAGCGACACCCCCAAACCCGCATCTCCGTCCTCGACCTGCGTACCACCGCCAACCGCCACGCCTCCCCCACCGTCTCCTACCACGACGGCGACATCACCGACCTCCACGCACTTGAAGCCCTCTTCGCACAGCTCCGCCCAGACGCAATCATCCACACTGCCTCCCCGCACTTCCACCTCCCCCCCGCCGTGCACGACAAGGTCAATGTCGAGGGGACGAAGAATCTACTTGCTGCAGCGCAAGAGACGGGGGTAAAGGCCTTTGTGTACACGTCCTCCGCGTCCGTGATCCTCGGCCCAGAAACCGAGCTCGTCAACGCGAACGAAGACTGGCCCATGGTCACCGGCGCCGCGCAGCCAGAGCACTACACCAGCACCAAAGCGTACGCCGAGACCGCCGTGCTCGCCGCGAACCGCACCCCCGCGAGCTTCCTCACCTGCGCGATCCGCCCCGCCGGCATCTTCGGCGAGGGCGACGTGCAGCTCCTGCCGCCCATGCTCTCCGCGTTCCGCAAGGGACAGACCAAGTACCAGGTCGGCGCTAACGACAACCTGTTCGACTTTACGCACGTGGAGAACGTGGCGTACGGGCACCTGCTCGCGGTCCAGGCCCTGCTGTACAGCCACAAGATGCTGCCGACGGTGCCGCTGGACACGGAGCGCGTTGACGGCGAAGCCTTTTTCATCACCAACGGCCAACCTGTGTACTTCTGGGACTTTGCGCGGGCCGTGTGGCACGAGGCCGGGGATCGGCGGCCCCTCAGCGCCGTGTGGAAGCTCGATCGCGACTTTGCCATGGGCGTTGGCGCCATCTTGGAGAACTTGTTCTGGGTGCTGGGCCGGACGCCGAACATCACGCGCAAGCAGGTGAGGTATAGCACGTTGAGCAAGTACCACGACATCAGCAAGGCGAAGCGGAGGCTGGGGTATGCGCCGCTTGTGCAGCTGGATGAGGGGGTGCGGAGGGGTGTGCGGTGGCAGCTTGAGAACGAGGCGAAGGCGGCGCAGAAGAAAGATCAGTAGACAGACGCTTCCGGCTCACTAGTCACGGGATATAATACTTCTTAGTAAGAAAAGCTTGTAGATATTGTAATCACACAGCCAGATCCTGTCCTGGATCTGTCGTACCTATGGCCTTTCCCTTCATTGATAGCCATGCGGTTGTTAAAACACAGTAATGCGCCGTGCCAGAGGATGCACCCATCCAACCATTTCCATGCCGTTCAGTCCGAGTCGACCCGTGTAAATTAGAATACGCCGCAGAACACCGCCCGAGACTCCCAGTGCGTGGACCCAAGTGATAGGGGCCGGGTATCAACTCTCAATCTAGCATTGATGCGAAAGCCGTTATCGTCGTAAGATAGAACAAACCCAATGGACTGAATTAGAAGCAATTTCTACAGCAGCCGATTCAGCGTTAGCAGCCATTTGCAGGGGCCTGAATATGGCTTCACTTACTCAGCACTGTCTTGTGCCGACCGTCGAAGACGTCGGTTGTACAGCTTCTTCTGGTCTGGGCCACCCCAGAAGAGCTTCGCGGCTTCGAGGTTGACAAGAGTGCGCGGATCGTAGGCAGGTGACTCCTCCTCGATAGCCTCGATGATGGCCTCGATGTGTGAGCGCATGTCGTCCTTCCTGGTAGCATTGTAGCAGAGCACGCCATCTGGGGAGACGCGGTGATGGAAGATGGGCGTATCGAACTTCACGCGTGGTAGGACATCTGGGAACTTTGGACTGACGTGGATTATGATGCGGAACATGCCCCCGTCAAGGTGGGTCATTGGCCGACCGAAGAAGAGCAGACGCCAGACGAATGGGTTCTTGTCGACCAGGTCCAGGTCAAGCGTCACTGCGTCGTTCTTCTTGTAGTTCTCGACAATCTGCTCGAATTGTCGCTGGAGGTTGCTTGCGATGCCCATCTCCTTCTCAACAGCTCTCATGCCTTCAGTGGCCCAGCCCAGCGTTTCTTCATTCAGTTTCGCTAGGATCGTTTGGAGGCGCTCCTTGAGCTGCGGGTACTGGAAGATGCCCTCCATGGTATTGCCTGGGCCCTCGAAAGGCATCTTTTCGAAACGCTCGCCCTCCCTATGTTTTTTCATCTCAGCGTCGATGCTCGCAAGATACGACTCATAGTACCAGAGGAAACGTCGCTTGCAAAGGTCCTTGAACGGCTCGAAGGGTGCGTCGCCAGCGCCAGACTGGTAGTCCTCCTCTGCATTGTAAACAGTCACTTGAGACGGCTTTCCCCGCTTGATGCCCAGGTAGTCCTCCAGTCGCTCGATCACGGAAATCCGCAGTGTCTCGTGCCGAATCTTGGCTACGTAAGCAGCCTGATTCTTCTTATCGTAGTCGGATTTGGCGTCTTCGAAGCCGGGCTCATTCTCGTACGGGTTCGTAGACATGAGGCTCTGTATGGAAATCAAGATCGACTCCAGACCTTGTGCGGAAGACCACTCCTCGCCCCGCTCGCCGCGCCATGTGCTGCACACGGTTAGCCTGCCCCCTTGCTCTACGCAACATTGCCCATACCCAAGAATTGACAAGCAGACCTTGCCGCCAGCGTAAATGTTCGGGTTAAACCTGGTATGTCCGCCGTTTGTTGTGATACACTGGACGTGAGGAGCTTTCGTGGGGTACTCTTTGGTGAACTTGGCGGTGAACTCAAAGAAGCCGAACTCGTAGGGGGTGTCTGGAGGCCCGATGATCAAGGCACGCACATGTCGAACGTCAATGTCGCGACAGGCAACCGCGAGAGCTGGCATACGTTAGCAGCTGGCGTAATCCTTAGGCAGCAATTATTGGGACTCACACAGATCCGAACCCCGCTGTATCTCGCTCAGTTCCTGGGGACCGTCAGCTTCTGCAGGTCTCATACGCGCAGCGGGACACGTACGCGTGTTATACGCAGGATCGATTGGTTCGACATCGTCGTGTGCACCTGTGCGAGGCCAAGCGCGGGGAGGGTCCGGGCAGGAGCTGCCGCAGTCGAGGTTGGACTAGTATGCTGGGGATTGTAATCAGCGAGAAGCGGGACGGTGGCGGGTGTTTGTAGTGTAGTTCAGAGGCCGCCGCCGTCTGCTCAAGGTTGCAGTGTGGAGCCTGGGTGAAGCAGCGCCAGCTCGCCGCGAGTTCAACTAGGGTGGGGCAGAACGCGGCAGGGATTAGGTCACTGCGGTTCGGGGTCTCCAACACCACGACCGTGCGCCCGGTCGTGGAGACACCGCTATTCGAGGTAACGAACGAGTGATTTTGGACGCCCCGAAGCGCTCCTGGGAGTTTGACTATCACAGCCGAGGCGTGCCTGCATCGAACTGTGTAGAGGGCGCTTGTGAGCAGACAGAAAGTTGGGGCGTCGTGCTCCTGGTCTTCACAATGTGAGCTATCACTGCATGCGCCAGCTTTGCGCTATGCGTGCTGCGACATGGCACTGACTTGTCTAGGGTCGTCTTTGCGCTGTTCGTGATCAGCAAATCAGGCGGTCTGATCTTCAACCGCGAATTCCACGCTGGCATGCAGAAGCTCAACAGCAACGACCTGCTGATGCTCGCGGGCTCATTCCATGGGTACGACATCCACGTCGACTTTTTCCTTCCAACCGTCTAATTCAACACCTAGCATGCACGCAATTACCAAGCAGCTCTGTCCGAACCCACCCGTACCTCCAGCCCCCTCTTCTGCGCCCGCCGCAAACCTCGCTCCTTCTCCCTTTACCCACCGTCCAACCGGCATCGAAGTCCTTGAGACGTCCCAGTTCCGCATGCAGTGCTTTCAAACCATCACCGGAATCAAGTTCCTCCTGTTCACCGAGCCACAGCAGCCGAATATCGATACCATGATGAAGAAGATCTACGAGTTGTATGCGGACTTTGTGATGAAGAATCCCTTCTATACAGTGGAGATGCCGATCAGGTGTGAGAAGTTTGACCGAGCACTGGACGGATTCATCAAGTTGAGGGGTTGAAGGGAAGATGCGGAACGAGGTAACATCATCTGAGGCCTGGGGCTTAATGTGGTTGAGACTATGTAAGTACACGGCCAACTGGCTACGTCCAGATTGGAGAGGACAAAACCTGCGCGGTGAGAGAGCGACCGTGTGTCCAATGACACTCAAAATTGCGGACTACGCAGCTGGCGCGAACTATCCTTGGGATGGGTGCGGTGAGAGAAAGCAATGGCCGAGGCAGGGGCTATGCAGTGATGCAAGGTCTCCACAAACGGATACGTATAAGCCACAGCAGGATTCAAAAATCTTGCTCATGCATCTGAATACCGAGACAAGTGTATGCCTCCATATGTTCTAATTGGAAAGCTGCTCATCGCATCTGCGTTGAGATGCGCCGACATTCGTTATGCGGAAGCATGGGTCTTCTAGCCTTGAACGCCTCGGATGCTCATCAATCACCATAGCACGCGGCTCATGCTGTGTCCATCTTGTCATCGTCCTTCCTGTCCTTGCTTCCGCTTGCCTCACCCTGATCATCCAACAAGGGCTGCTTCTCGTCACCTTCAGCCACAGGCTCGAGCTCGGACTTGCCCTCTGCGGCCTCTTTAGACTTCTTCTCCTTCTCCTGTCGTGCTTTCTCCTCCTCGAAACTCATTCGCAACGCCAATGCAAGCTCGGGGTCCACCGAGGGGTCCACTCCGAATTCGAACGAGTTGCCGCCGGAGTCTCCGCCTTCTCCGCCCGCGTTGCTTGCACCCGCACCTCCCGAGCTAGCGTCTCCGCCGAGTATGGGTGTTGTAATGAGGGAGTCGCTGAGTAGATTGGAGCTGGGCTGAATAATCGCAAGATGTGATCCCTCGGCACTCTGGCATGCCTCGCTGAACTTCTCCAGCTTCCTCGTTGTATCGTCTCCAAGCTCGCCAAACGCGATGATGTCCACACTTATGCCGTTCTTCTTCATGCGCTTCGACAGCTTCACGAGATCCTTCTCCTCCTCTTCGATCGGGCTGCAGGTGAAGAGCACTATCCGCTGCTTCTGTGATTTGTTCTGGCGATGCTTGAGTGCCAACTATGCATCCGTCAGTTCCATGATGCAAGAGGCAAATGTTCGGACGTACTGCGGCGACGTTGATGCCAGTAGAGAAGTGCGAGGTGCCCTTTATCTTAGTCCGGTGTAGTCCGTCGAGAACCTTGCCGATGTCCGTAGTGAGGGTTGTGAGAATCTCGGGTTGGCTGCCTCCCATACTCATCAGACCGACCGACGACTCTGGGTTTGCCCCAGTCTTTGCGGAGAAGATGAGGTTCACGGCATCGGCTTGCGCCTCCCATCGCGACGGTCTATTGCGACGTCAGTGACCGGAAAGTAGACTTGCAATAGCCCGATACGTACACATAGTCACCGTTGCGACTTGCCTCGCTGTTGTCGACGCTGCGAATATTTAGCGAACAATCGCTATTGGCGGCAGTCTGGCACTTACATTATCATAGAAGCCTCCAACACCATGATGAAGTTGTCGCGGGTACCGTTGCGGGGTATAGAGAGTAGTAGGGTGGGTTGTGGTTGCGAAGTGGTGGCTGTTGAGAGCTACCCAAGCTCGAGAGCCAAGCGATGAGGCCGGGGATTATGAAAGTCACGTGCTTTGTGGAGACCCTGGAGCCGCTGGCTGGAGAACTGGAGCTGCTGAAGCGATTTATTAATAGCCGCAACGGACACCTCTAGAATCGGGAGAGTTCTAAAGTGATCTAGTGTCATATTCGTGTCGAAGCACCTCGTGGTAGCAAAGGCTCAATGGAACAATGCACTTCTACAACCCGCGTTTCGAAGGCCGCCGCGATCACTGGGTTTCGCGTCATGCCAAGCGCGCGGCGGCTAGCGAGTCTGGTTGCCCCGTGCGGTGGAGATCTATCTAGCAGTAGCGGCGTCCCGCGTAACAACGCACCTTCTTCCACACCAACATACACCAGTGAATTGAGAAGTCCCATACCCGGCGCCAGCAGAATATTTGCGCACATCAAGACTCCCATACAATACTCTGAGCCATACAACTGTCGGTCTCGGCGTTTAAACTGCGAATTCTGTGATATAAACAAACATCAACAAACATGTCGCATCTAACAGTAGAGGCGAAAGCCGCCGTCAAAGACAACTTGCAGCTAGAGTGTAGGTACCTTTCACGCGTATTTCCTGCGCCCGCTAACATTATCAATAGTAAAGGCACGCGCCGAGAAGCTTGTCGCTATGAGCGAGGCCCAAGTCGCGAGTCTGCGCTCCCGCCTGGAACGACGCGTCAACCGCATACCCAACAGCAAGCGCACCATGACCCTGTTAGAACTACTCGAGCCATCTGCTAGCGGTCTTACGAAAGTCGCTAGAACCTCGCCGCTCAAGAAAGAAGCTGCCCCAAATGCCGTACTCGCGCCGGTACCAACTCGTACAGCAACACAACCCGCTGCGCGCAAGACCAGAGCAGCGCCTGCAAAGGCCGCACCGGCTGCACAAGTCGCACCGAAGCCGGCCCAAAAAGCCACTGTTCGTGGCAAGAAGCGCCCGTCAGATGATGGAGATAAAGAGAACGAGGAACTGAGCGTCCCGAAGAAGCGCGTAAAAGCCATGGCCAAGCCTGCAGCACCAGCGCCTGCACCAGCTGCGCGTAGCACTCGCGCTGCTTCCAAAAAGGTTGCACCATCAGCGAACCACGTCCTATCGCCAAAGCCCACCAACAGTCGGCCCGCTACTCGCACCCGTCGCGTGCGTTGATGCATTCCTGCAGCAAGAATAACAATTGACGCCACCACTCGCTCCAGTCTGCACCCACACGCTCGCAAAATCTGGATGTATGCGCAGCGCGCGCTTTGACTCGCTCCTTGTGGGTTCGAGTTGGTGCACGGTTGTGGGGTCCTGGCAACCCTCGTCAACGTTCCCTATGTATGGGCCTGGGCGGTTTTTGAGTCGCGCGCCTTGACTCCCCCTCGGGAGGTTGAGTTGGTGGGTGACGGGTGGAGAGCCGCCGGTGTGGACGACATGTGGGTACCTTGAGTCACCCCAGAGTGGATTTTCAACAGCGTGCTTTGACTCGCCCTTAGGGGTTTGAGTTGGCCCTGCTAGGTCGAACTGTGGGTATGCTGAATTACCCTAGGGTAGACGATGCATGTACTTGAGCGTTCCTTTTCGTACTGTGGTCACCGCAGGTGTAGGATAGAAGTCTAAGTGAGCTGAGTTGCCACAACATAGGCCATACATAGGGCTAGTTGTACTGTGGGGGTTGTCTTTGCACTGTGACGCCCGAGAATGTAGGTCAGGAGTCTGAAGGAGTCTGAAGGAGTCGAATTACCCTACGAAAGATTATGTATAGATGCTGCGTACTCTGATATTTGTCTTTGTACTGTAACTGTACATGGGAAGTCTAAGTGTGCTGAGTTGCCCCAGGATAGGTTATGCACGTGTTAAGTATACTCTGACGCCTGTCTTTGCACGGTGATTTCAAATGAGAAGTCTGAGTTTGCTAGATTACCCCAGGATACGCAATGTACAGCTTGACTTTACTCTAATATACGTCTTTGCACTATGACCATGAAGGAAGGATTTGCGTTGCTGAGTTAACCAAGGGTAGGGCAAGCATGGGTCGACTGTATACTGGCCTGATGTCTCAGTTGCAGGGCTCGTCGCAAACGATTAAAATTCGGCGATGCGCAAATGTGCAATGTATGTTTCAAGAACTGCGCAAAGTCGAGCGGGATGGCTCAGAAATTGCGCGCCTTCATCATCATCGCTTGGGTAGGAAAGGATCGGGCCCACAACAGCGCCGTCGGTGCAGTAGACTCCGCGGCTGCCGGGGTTCCATGGCCCCCACACTATCCGGTCAGCACATGTTGCACTTGCCACAGCGAAGGAACAAGCATACGTAGCCCTCCTTGTGGACAGATGGCATCATTACTCGGGAACTTTTGTTGAGGAACGGTACCAATAAAGTACTTTTCGGATGCAGAAACTATCTCCATCTAATCACCAAATGTCTGTGACCTCAATCCTAGCACGGGAGTGCGACAGGGGTCCTGTTGATGGCGCAGTTCAGAACCACAGCCTCAGGCCCTACGGATCCCTGCGCTGTGTGGCCACTCGTGAGCATCCGCGCACGTTGGGTGCATATCCAGCGTTTCCTTGTAGAGCTCACCGGTCCAAGCCTCGCGTCTCAGAGCAGACATGGCGAGTAGTGTTTGGACGCTCGCGATAAACCGGTCGCGGGGGAGTGGACCACCTGTTACCGCCTTTTGGCTCGGTTTTCAGGGCGTTTTGTTCCACTTCGGGCGGGGAAGTGGCGGACTCGCGCAGTCGCCGCGAAGTGCACACGGCGCCGTGCAGCAGGGACGACGCAGCTTGCGTCTGCAAATCGAGCAGGCGAGTGACGCAGACACGTCCTGCGCGTTATTCCACGCGAAACGGTGCCGCGACAGCGAATAATAGGATTCCCTCGTATTGTGCATCTGACGCTGACTATTCAATGGGGCATTGCTCGACGCCGACGGCTCGTTTGAGCTTAGCGGCCAGGCAGCAATCTGGGCGAAGTTGACGACCACTTCTCGAGGCCGACCACTACCTCTCTTTCCCATCCCACTCCACGTCCTCTCTTCTGTCCTCTGTTTCGCGTCTGCCTGCGTCCTGAGGCTTCGTCACCTGCCATCGCGCTTTATCCGCCCTTGCTCTTTGCATATCCTCCCGTGCCGCAGCCCGTCTTACGCTGCGCCGCCCTCATATACGGGGACCCCCGCCGAAAGTTGACGCGCTTGCGAGCGCCCTTCAAATCCGCGCAAACCCTCTGGCAACTCCTACGCCTTTGTCGTCAACTGCTTTCCATCCCTGCCCCACCTGGACCATTAATGAGGGCGTGACTTGGGCACCATTCGACATCTCCTCCCCCATTAGGATTCTCTTGATTCGTCCCGATTCGGTAGGGCGGCCTCGATCTGTGACTCCCAGCTGTCGAACCAGAGCTGCAAGTCTCGCGCTGGTGTTGGCGTGACTCATAACCGGGTCGTCACACAGAGAGTCGTGAGCTGATTGTACTTGTATACAATACAGTTGCAGCCACCATGTCCGCATCTCATTCCCACCCCCGCCGCCGTCCTCAAAAGGCATCGGCACCTTCTCTCTCAACCCATGGAATGTCGTTGCGGAAGAGCGGTACCTTCCATTCACCGAAGTCGATTGCGTCCGATGTATGTGATTTGGACAACCATCACTACATGCCGCGCCGCTCTCCAACATCTCCTGAGAGTCTCGAGCAACTGCTCCAAGACTCTAGTGTACGTCGAGTGCAGAACTTGCTCGACGACTTCGACAAGAGGGTCGCTGGGCACAAGTCCTCGTTGACAGGCTCAAGCATCCTCTCCGACCCAGAGGTCCTGCCGGTCCCCGGTCTCTTCCTTACTAGCACGAGCCTGGAGGCCACCCACATGGATGTTGACCCTAAGCCTAAGACCCAACAAGCTTCGCATGAACACGCCTCGGACAGCGGTCTTGGTTCCAGTGTCGATTCAAAAGACGGTAAGGCTTGGCTGCACGTTCCCGCCTTGCAGGACCCGCCCTCTGACATACTTAAAGGACAATCATCCGCTCGGGAATCCATCAGCACTTCCGTTTCTTCTTCCCACGCTGCCATCACGCGCTCTTTCAGCGCACTTGGCGGTCCAGAGGAGAAGCACACGTTGAGTGACTATGCAGCGGAGCAGATCCGCCAGTACATTGTTGAGCCTATCCTGGCCGAAGAAACTCTCAAGGACTTCCATCCTTTGATCACCGACGTTCCTCGTCGCATAGGTGAGAAGAACATCTGCAACCTCCGCGACCTCGAAAAGACGTTGATCTTCCTGGCACCGGTAAGTGGCATTCGATATCTATCTGAGAGTGCAAAAGCTTATTGCATTCTTCGTGGTTTTAAGGAGCTTTCGGCTACACCGGCATCGTATCTTCAGTTCTGCGAGCGATCAATTCAACTCTTGCATGCGACCGTCGACCGACTCTCTGAACAAGACCAACGACTTCCTTCCGACCGCCCTTACACTAACAACTACTTTCTCGATTTGGTTGAACAGATTCGACGATACGCAGCAATCATGGCCGCCACCCGACGCAAAGAAGAGAATGGAGAAGAAGTCGACGAAATGGATTACTCTCGGTATGCCAATACGCCATTCGCTGTGGCCATTCGCACGACGCTAACTCACCGAAGCGATGAGAAGATTACCCTACGGGGTGGGCTAAGCCACGACGGCCGCCCTATCGAGCTGGTGAGGGAAAAAGACGGCAAGCTGATCCCGCTTGCTGAGCGTGCCGATACCATCGCCACCGGCTTCTCCAGCAAGCGCGCCTTGTCAGATGATGACATGGATGTCGACGAGGTGACACGATCAATGGCTCGTCGACGAAAGTCTGACAAGCCTGGCGATATTATGCACGTCTGCCGTGACTGCAAGAAGGAGTTCAAACGCCCTTGCGATCTCACCAAGCACGAGAAGACGCACTCCCGTCCATGGAAGTGCACCGAAGAGAAGTGCAAGTACTTCGACCTTGGCTGGCCGACCGAGAAAGAACGTGACCGTCACATCAACGACAAGCATTCCAATGCTCCCGCGCAGTACAAGTGTCTGTACCCGCCATGCACCTACGCGTCCAAGCGTGAATCGAACTGCAAACAACATATGGAGAAAGCCCACGGTTGGGAGTACGTCCGATCTAAGAGCAATGGCCGGAAGAAGACCCAGTCAAGTGAGCGATCTCCGCCCACCCCACTGACGCCATTCCTTGGTACCCCTCAATCAGCTACGCTCTCAACACCCATGACACCGTTCGCACCTTCACCGTCTGTGCCGTTGATTGATACCTTTGACTTCAACAACCCTTATGGGTTTGGCACTCCTGCTCTAGGCATGAATGGGTTCCCAGACTTCCGCCGTGATTCAGTCACAACCGACGGATCGGCGCTTACTTATTCATCTGGCCATTCTCCCACCGAGCCGACTTCTTTCGAAGATGCGGTGACTCCTGAAGATAGCGCCATTAACCACAATGACATCTACAACCACAACAATTGTGCGCTCAGCCTCAACACCAACTTTACCGGTGTCTTCCAGCAGCCCACTCCTGCAATGAGCACAGGCTTTGATTTTGAGCAATTGCAATTTCCCATCACATCTGGCGCGAACAATGTTCCTCACCTGTCTCCGAGCGGGCAGGCTGACATGACTTTGTTCTCGCCTCAAATGCACCTCGATGAGGGCTTTGGCGAAGGCATGGACACTTTCACTGCTCCGACGGCTGACTTTGAGTTGTTCGGCGACGCTGCTCCATCTTCAATGGGGCTAGGTGGAACGTCCAGCTTCTTCCCTGACATGAACAACTTTGGCGGTCAATTCGAGAACATGTACGTCGAGCCGACAACCACGTTGGACGATTTGATGGGCAACTACGGCAACCAGCAGTAGATTGCCAAGTAGCGTTTGCATACTTCGTTTTCTCGACTTCTTCTCATGTAGCGACGGCCTATATCATTCTGGAGTTTTAGGATAATCCTCACGTGCAATGGTGGGATGGGCTCTTACAGCTCTTACGGAGCTTTGGCTGATGGAACACTTGGGTTTGCCGGGAGCTGGTTCTCAACTTGCGCTTGCACGAGAGTAACAGAAAATCCATAAAACAAATGATCTTTGTTTTCACGGGTTCACGGCTAGTATAGACATCTTTGGCTCTTTTTGATCTCCCCCCTTATTTTTTGCAGGCCGGGTAGAGATCGCCAGATAGTGTACAATACAAGAAAGTGTGGAGGAATCTACCGTGCCGCATCGCTATGCAGTGACTTGCCTCATATCTGACTCAGTGGACTGTGGCTGATCGGAGCCATTTCCTAAGCCCACCCCTTGTATTACCCCAGACTAGTTCACACCCAAATTGATTCGATAAGAGCAGATGTGCGGCACATATCCACGCAAAGCGCAGCCTCTCGAGGCCCCGATCGCGAACTCATTCGTGCGGTACCACACCGTACGGCAAAGCACGATAATACTCCGGCTGCTTTTGTCACTCGGTGAGTCAAGTACTGGGCAGGCGTTCACGCTCCGAGTCCGTTGTTCGACCCGTGACGGACTTGACGATCGCTATCACACTGATTGGCATGCGAGGGTCCGCTAGGTGGTGTAGGTCTTAGCGCCAATAGCGCCCGTATCAGCTGAGGCCAATGACCGCAACGGACTACAGGGGTTTATTGCAGCACGGGCGTTTCATATGCCCCCTCCGATGCCGTGTGCTTGATCTCTTCAACCTCGTCGTTCTCTCGAGGCGGAGCCAGTCGTTCCTTTCGACATTCCAGTCACTCTCTAGCAACTTTAGGTCCCTTGTGGCCACGACAATCCTTACAGGGAACACGCCGGCCGTGTACCCGCTACGAGCTCATCCAGAGCATTATCGAACGCGAATCGATTCGAAACATCCAGTCCCTCCTACGCGTGCGCGATTTCGTCATAGCAAGTACAAGCAAGATGTTGGGTTTTCATCGCAGGACGAGGAGTTTGATCCCCGTGAAGGACCTCGCCAAGTATGATAGGGTGCCGTTGAACGAACAGGACGAAGAGGTGGATATGGAGGATAGTGACACGCTGGTGGACGAGGAATCAGAGGCGTCGGACAAGGCGCGCTCTAGGCAACTCACTCTGATCTATGTCGTGTTCCTGGCAGAAGCGTATGTTGCGATCGCACGTGTATGTTCAGGGTCCAAAAGCTAATGCAGGGTGCAGAATCATGGCGTCCTCGCTCCAGCCACAGCTCCAGATGTTGATCTCAGATTCCGACTACTGCGGCAACCTATCTACAAGTTACTTGAGGAGTATACTCGATTGCGCATATGCATTCGGGGGTACAACAGGCCTCTTCTGGGGCTACATGGCTGATCGCATGGGCAGGCGGAAGGTGACGCTCATTGGCCTCTGGATGATGGTTGTCTGCTGCCTGAGCATGGGCTTTGCGACCGATCTTGCGAGCTGCACGCTATTCCGCTACTTTGCGGGACTCGCCAGCTCGACTGTGATCGTCACGACGCTTACCATGATCGGAGACTTGAGCAAGAGCTTCGAAGAGCGCGTTCAGAACGTGGCACTACTGCCGTTGATCGCACTCTTCGGATCAATTGGGCCCATCATCCAGGGCATGGTCTCGGAAAGCTTACACTCGTCTGGTGCAGTCTGGGAGAAGTTCCCCACCTTGGGGTCGCAGCTTGCCTGTGGAGGCCTTGTGCTGTCCATTACATTGACCGCGACGTTTATGCTTCAAGAGACTCTTTCTCTCGAGACAAGTTCATCGCACATGCACCTCGACTGCGAAAAGGCTGCATTCCTGTCGGAGAATGATTCGGACGCACCAAAAATCGCTGTGATCGACTTTGTCCGGCCCGAGCCCATCACTATCAACCAGTTCATGCAGGCTCCTTCATTCCTTGTTCTCCTGGCCTCCTTCTCCCTACTATCCCTTCACGCTTCTGTTTTCGATGTTGTTCTACCTCACCTTGGACACCAAAGCTCGCAGGACGGTGGCATGGGAATCCCATGTCCCTGGCTCGGTCTTACTGTCCTGATCGTCAAGGGCGTGGCTGGAGTCACCATCAAACATATTATCCCTTCGGCAGTGGAGAAGTTTGGCCTACTCAAGCTTTATCGCTCGACCTCTCTCCTGTTTCCCGCCATCTACATAATCACTCCGCTCCTTGCTCTCGCTGCCGCATCAGCATGTTCCACTAACTTTGTGGCTATCACATCCGCCATCGGTCTGCTCACTAAGCATGTCCTTACGGGCGGTGCCACCGTTCTCGTCGCGCTCCTTGTGCTCAACACGACGCCTGATGCATACTCAGCAGGCACCGTGGTCGGCATTATGCAAATTGCAAACCTCTTCAGAGCGCTAGCGGTCGCAGTCAGCGGAGCCAGCTTCTACCTCTCCGACGAGTTGAGCGTATCAACAACCAACCTCGCGCTGTGGACCTGCCTCATGCTCTTTGGCAGCTGCGGCGCGGCGCTGGCGTACTTTGTCCGCGAAAGACCGAGCGTGGAGCGCGATTTCCCGAGCGAGGTCCTCTGCTGGGAAACCTGTTACGACGCGGACGAAGAGAAGAACGAGTTCGATACTTGAGCTCTTCCACCCTGAAACAAAACCTCACATTCCTTTGGACATATATGTCATCATTTACGACGTTGGATCATCACGTTTTCCGCCAGCCTCTCATTGCTTCGAGCACAATCCTTTGGCACATGTGTGCAAACTTCTGTTGCATTTCGACAAGCTAATATGGCATCGCGCCTAATTTGTCCAGCGTCTCTTTGCGTGTAACTAGGGTATTGAGGCGACCAGAATTCTGTCTGCCGTGGGATACGAAGGGAGATGACCAAAGCAGGCATCTGAAACACGCCAAACAATGCCCGTCCGGGTGTTGGCTTTGACACGGTTGCGGAACGGTTGGTTGGTGTGCGGCTGGGCGTCGAGCAGAGACGGAATCGGACGAATGTTCTTGTGTATAGTGGCCAATATATTATTTCATCCTTCATATCATCTTCTCCGCAGTGACTTCCACAGAGTGTGTTGTGGCGGTGCGCGTACTTGCATCCGGGTGGCGCACAGTAGAGGCACGCCTGGCTCATGCCAAATTGCGGGACAAGATGCAGGATGCAGGGATCCACCTGCCGCAGCAACTTGCGCTTCAGGGACATGCAGCTGCAGTGGTAGGGTCGTGGCCTCCTTGTTTACAGACGCGCTCTCAACATCACCGTTTCGCTCTTTCATCTCCCGCCGACCGCGCCCCAAGGGTCTTTTGTTTACAGTTCCCGCCACCCACCACGCCCCGCCAAAACATCCACATCTGCGCGTATCGATAAACTCAGACGACGCTACCAAGCGCACTCAGGGGACCCCGTACAGACTTCCCCTCGACATTGCGCGCCGCCATGTCGCTCAGCTCCACATACACGCGGTTCCTGGCGAATCCCTTGCCCAGCGCGCTCGCCGACAACGCGTCGCTGCATTACATTACTACGCTCACGACTATCAATGATGCGCCCGCCATAATCAAGCACTTCACCGTGCAGGAGAAGCTGCTGAAGCAGAAGGAGCACAAGTTGCTGAGCGCAATTGAGAATGACGATGGCGCGCTGTGCGTTGACCTGCAGGTGACGATTGAGTTCCTCCAGGGCGGCGGCGCCTACCTGCCCGGCCTGGACGACAACTTCGTCTCCGACCGGACGGTGACATTCCCAATGGTATGTGGAAAGAGCCAGCTCATAGGCTTAGTCACCCAGGCTCCACACTGGACGAGTCCACCCCATTGCGTCTACAAGGCTGACGCGCGCGCAACAGGTTCATATTGTCAACTTCGAAGCGGGGAAGATCACCCAGATCCGCAAATACTGGGACCAAGGCTCGCTTCTCAAGCAGATCGAGGTCATTGGCGCACGCGCGCGTAACTGGCCCATCCGCGATGGCAAGGACCAGATCCGGCTTATTGCTACGAGCGCAGCAACCAAGCCCCAGTCCGATGCTGCTGAACCCCCCCGCGGCCGTGGCCAAGACGAGGTGTCAGTCCGCCAACGCGGTACGCGGAAGAATACCACCAATGCAATGAACGATCCCCATGCGTCGCTTGCGCTCTTTGAGAACCGACAGCCTGAGGAGGAGGGCGAATTCGAATCGCACCCGATAGCATCGCGAGCCCAGTCTGCGAAACCTCCGCCCCGTAACATGGGCGAGCTGTTTGTAAGTAACTCTCTTGTTACAGCTCAGAGCATCAGGCCTCACGCAAATGGTCTTTGTATTACCAGTCCTGAGCCATACCTTGCTTCAATTTGGGAAACATTTGCTGATCGTTGCTCGCCCTAGGTCGGAGACGAGCCCGGCACACCCACTCCGCACAACGCACCTAGTATCCCTAAGAAAGCAGGTGGCGGCAAGAACTTCAAGCCGAACCGTCTGTTTGACGAGGACGACGAGCCTGCGCCAACTCCCGGGGGCATCAAGACCAGTTCCAAGAAGTACGATCACTTCGAATTCGGTGACGGCGAGGACACTCCCCGAGGTAGCGAACCGGTACGTAATGTCAACAAGAAGCACCAGTCCCAATGGGACTTCGAGGATTTCGTCACACCCGAGAAGACGAAGCCAAAGATTCTCCCTGGGAATCAGCGGTCAGTTGGATGGAGCGATGACGAGGTGGGTATATCTCTTAACTTCAATGCCACAGTGATCGGCAAGCTGTTGGAAGAGTCCTTGGGCCTCCGAAACCTTTTGTCATCCACAGCTCTTCTTTCTCTAATTTCTTGGAAACATTCGCTAACCTAGTCAGCAGCAGGAGGAGCATTCTCCCGTACACCGCGAAGTTGTCCACAAGCCGCGGCGCGACGCAGACACGCACTTCGAGTTTAAGGATGATGGAACTCCAGATGCCAGCCAGCAGAGGCCGACCCAAGTCAAGGGACGCCAGGGCAATAACAAAGGTGGCCTGTACAGTGACCACATTATGGGGGGCGATGAGGGCAATGACTTCGACACACCGAAAGCCAAAGGCGACAACAAGGGTCCTCGCGACATAACCCATATCAAGAACGATGAACGCAAGAAAGACTTCGGCGCTCACTGGGAGATGAAGGACGACAGCCCTGGCGGTCGTAACGTTCCCGATTCCAAGCTTACCCAGAACCAGCAAAAGGTGCTGAAGACGATGGACGCCAACTGGGGCAACTACGAGCCTTCTCCACAGCAAGGGAAGATCCGAATCGCGGGCAACGGCATGGTGAGTGTCCATTCACCATCCGCCTGTTTCATGAATGCTGACTGTACATGTAGGGTGGCCGCAGCACCACGAAAGCATTCAGCCTTTTCGAGGAGGATCCCGAAGAGGCGAAGAAAGAGAACGCGGGCATCAAGTCAATGGGCAACGGAATGGGTGGGCGCAGGGGCACCACCGCCCTGTTCGAGGAAGAGGATCCTGAGGACCATTCTAAGCACACGCAAATGGGCAAGAAGTCGATGAGCAACTCCACCGGAGGGCGCAAGGGCGCTACCAGCTCGTTCAATTGGGACTTCTAGGCGGAGCAACCCGCTCGCAAGCGCCGGCGGCAGCGCCGCACACCGCCTCATTCAGGGCCTACGTCCTTTCCTTTTAACGAACGATGAGCACGGCCGAACGCGATGACGAGACGAAATGATCGAGCTGGCTCCGAGATGGCTGCCACGACGAGCAAGTCTGCTCGCGGCCCTGTTTCATTTGTTGTGAATCATCTCTTTATATTATTCGGAGAGGAAATTGAAACTGGATGCGCGTCCTGAGTATGATATCCTGTTAGGGTTGTTTGAATAGAGGTGATGTGGTACGGATGCAGACTGAGCATTGCTGAGGGTTGAAGTTGAAGTTGAATACCATTGTTGTTTCCTTGAGGTCTGAACTTTGTGTCGAAACAATGATTGCTGTGTGCATATGTGTGTTGTTTCGATGGACATGTTTCTAGCTGTGAAATCAATTCACCGAGCAGATTTACTGATCTTACCTTACTTTATGGATCCTAGGACAGGCGAAGAGCATTGTTTGCTTCTCCGTTCTTGGTGGGGGAGAGGACTCGGTCTTTCTTTGAGGTGGATTTTCCGGAAAATAAGGGGCTTTGCTTTGGCCTGATGCGGACACATGACTGGCCACGAATGCGTACTCGACCAGACAAGGTCCCCGACGATGATGTGTAGACTTGGAGTCTGTGCTGCTGAGAAGCAGAGGCTGCTTGGTTGCCGTGTGTCGATTAGTAGATTACCAGGACGGTGGAACGGCGGACGATGGAAGACTTGCATACGGTCGGATCGGTCTGGAGGTTGCATTTACAGGGACGGTGCACGGTGTACTCAGTGTTGGGTGGGCATGGGAGTGGAAATGGGAGTAGAAATGGAAAATTTGTTGGTGGGTGCACACGTCTGTGCTTGGAGTGGCTTTGTAGACCATAGCATAGCATAGTGTATCGTAGCGAAGTATGTATTGGTCCGCCGTGCTCGCCATAAATGCGTGGGTATTTCGTTTTCGACCAAGTCGTTACTAATGCTACTTTGCGCGGAACACACTGCCATAAAGCGACGGCACACGCCTGCGCAGGTCAGCGCCACGATACACCCACAGCACCTTTGCTTGCTCGCTCTTATCGTTACATCCCCAGCTCATCTGCACTGCCTTCCCCTCCCGCTGCGTCGTCCCAGGACCGCTTCCGCGGCGCCATCGACGCCGTGCCCAGGCTTTGCCTCTTCCGCTTCCCCTTGCCGGGCGTTGCACCCCGGCCTCCTCCCCGCGCCCAGGCGCGCTTTACGGCGTTGTAATCAGCGCGGGACAGTTTCCCCGTGCTTTTCGGCGTGGATTTGCTCGCAGTGCTGCTGGAAGGGTGAGGTACCGGTATCGGTGTCGAGAGGAGGGGGTTTGTTTTGGTTGGTGTGGAGTCCATGTCGAGCTCGTTGTCGGAGAAGGGTTCGCGTTTTATAGCGGGTGTCGGGGGTACGTTTGGCGGGGTTGCTGCAGGGAGGGGCGAGGATGCGATACTGATGTGTATTTCGCGGGGATGCGGGTATGTGGTGTGTGTGGCGAGGAGGGCGGCGGTGGGGAACGTTTGGCGGCAGAGGGGACAGGTGTGGGCGGTGGGGTTGGATCTGGATTTGGGCGATGGTTTCTTCGTCTTGGACGATGAGGCGTGTGGTGGGCTCGCTGCGGTTGCAGGCTTACTCTTGCTGTCGCTCTTCGGTGCAACGTGAGTCGTCTGCGAATTCGATACGACATCTATCGTCCCTTCGCGCGTCACAGTGCCCTGGAAGACGGGCTGCGATGAGGTCTCCTGCGTGAGGTTCAGCGGCGTTTCGGGGATCTCCCGCGCGTCGGCGAGGTATGAGTCTGTGTCGCCGCTGCCGAGTGGATCGGCTTCGATATTGCCTGTTGGGCCGTCGTCGCACAGGGATAGTAGGTCCTTCTCGTCGTCGTCAAAATGACCGCCGGATGCGATTAGATCTTCGGGATCTTGGAGGTCCGGCTCATCGTCTGATTGCTTGGCTTCGTCGTTCTCTAAGGAGCTGGGTGTAGGAAGATGCCGAACTACAGGCGAGCTTTGGGCCTGTGTTACCGGTCGTTCGTTCATAGATGAGCTGACTTTTAGTTCTCCTCCTGCGTTTGCTCGAGCCCTAAGTGACGCCAACTCTCCAGACCGTTCCATCTTGGTGGCCTGCTCTCTCAACTTGTTGCACCAGCGTTGCCAAAACGAACTTTTGTTCCATTTCCTCCACTTTGGTTTGCTGTCCATGATCTCAGCCCAAGGACGTTTGTGGAGCACCCTCGACTCGATGATGTACTGGTCGTCTTCTGCAGTAAAGACGTATTTTGTACATTTTCCCCTTCGAGGCTTCTCGGAACGTTCTAACTGGAAATCACGTACGGGCAGGTTCATGTTCGATGAATTATTGTTAGCCGAGGGCTCGCTTGCGTCTGCTTCTGGGAGCTGGGTTGTATTTTGGTCCACGAATAGGGGAACACCTTCTCGAATGCTTTCATGTCGACTGGGCTTGACGTGGACACCAACCGCGAACGAACGTCTTTTCCTCCGCTCAGCTTGAACAGGCACAGGACTAGATCGCGAAATGGCGGGTGGATCCGAAACTACGGGTGGAGGAGGACGGTAGAGGCTCGGTGCGGTCGCAGGCGCAACTTCGCGAGTCTTTACAGGAGCAGCGGGCGTTTCGGGTAGTTTAAAAAGACCCAACTGAGGAGATTGGAACGTGGGTACAGTGGACAGGAAGCTTGAGAAGATCGAGGCCACAGCTTGGTTCACGGCTTGGTTCACGGCTTGCGTAGTATGGGCTTCGAATGCTTGCCGCGCCTGCTGTCCGGCAGGCGTCTGCGGGAACTGGACAAGCTGTAAGACGTCGGCCGTATGGTTTACGGAAGCGGCGAGAGTAGCCTGAAGCGTTGCATTTGCAGGTGTGTTCGGCACTGGTATGTCGGTCTGTCCAGTCAATCGCGCGATGGGGGCAACATGTTGCTCCGTAGTCGCCTTCTGTAGCACAGGCTCTGGCGATTGCGATGGCGCCAATTCGTCCCTCTCGTCGATCTCGTCCTCGTCGTCCATCTCCATTTCTTTGTCGTTCGCGAACATGTCGTCGATGAGTTGGCTCCTGTCGGGCATCACGGTCCGTCGTCGTCCCAGCCGGTTCCGGTATTCCTTGTCCAGCTTCCGCATGTGCCCCCGGTCCACAACAATGGCCCCCTCGCCGCGCATGTCCACCTCGTCGCTCATCATGTCGGGCATGGCCTCGAACTTTGCATAGATGGCCTCGAACTTGTTCTTCAGCCACTCGCCGTTCTGTTGCTTCCCTCTGATATAGTCCGGATTGCTCTCGTCCACCTCGTCGACGCCGATGGACTGCAGTATGCGCATTCGTTTGGCGGGTGGCTCCATGGCGGGCGAGTTGGGCGCGGTGGAGCGCGTCGGGGTGCGTGTGTTTGTGCGTGGGGGTCTATCGCGGCGCAAAGCACAAAGCACGAACGCGATGGCTGGACGCGTGTGGCACAGGGATCCGCGCGGGGCGCGCTAGAGTGGAGCGCGTGCGTTGCGGCCCTGCTGATGATCTCACTGGCTGGTGAACCTCAAACCTCACCTTCACCGAAATCCAACCATTTACAACTTTGGCGCGCACTCACTCGCTTGCACAACCGACCAGCTGCATACGCCGAGTCAGCATGGCGAAGGACAGGCGGCCAGCACTATCGTGCCAGCAATGCCGCAACCCCATAGACATCGACGCCTCAATCGACCAGCTCAACCCGGCAGCTTTCAAGCTGCTCACAGGTCGGTAGGAGCCGAGGGTTTCTTAAACGACTGCGACTAAGCTATACCAGATACAACCGTGCCCGGACAGCAGCAAAAAGAAAGACATAACCCCTCCCGCCAGTCCCGACCAACATATCCCTCGTCGAGGCACCAGACCTACGAAGCCGCCATACAGTCCGCCCGAAATCCTACCTTCAGACGAAACGTACCCTCGTCCCGACACGGTCAATATGGCTCTCACACTACAGCAATGTCCTTCATCAATGTCGATGTCTCAGAGTCCATGATGGTAACGCCCTCCTCACCGCCAGCTGCGCCCCGGACACCAGAGCGTCCCGCGCCCACACAGTCGGCCGCCCCAGAGATGACACGCCGCGCCAGCGCCGCAGGAACCAGCAGCTCCATCGGCGGCGGAAGCCTCGCCGACGGGCTCGAAACCACAAACCGCATGTTCGAGATCCTCTCCTCGCGCTCCGACATCGACCACCCCATCTGCGTCGAGTGCACCGAGCTCCTCGTCGACGGCCTCTCCAAACGCCTCAACATGGCCACCCGCGAACGCGACGCCTACGTCGACTACCTCCGCCGCGCCAACACCGACGTTCCCTCTGCCGACGAACTCTCCGCCGCCTCCGCCGCCCTGGCCCGCGCCAAAAAAGCAGAAACCTCAGCCCTGACCACCCTTGAGGCCCTCGAAGCCGAAAAGGCCGCCCTTGACGCCGCCCTCGCCCACGAGGAGGAAGAAGCCCGCGCATGCGACGCCGAAGAAGCGTCCTTCTGGGCACAACGGAACGCCTTCGCCATCACGCTGCACGAATTCAGCGCCCAGCGCGACGCCTTGGCCGCCAAGCACGCGCACGACGCCGACGTCCTGCGCGCCCTCCAGCGCCGCAGCGTTTACAACGACTCGTTCAACATCACGCACGATAACCATTTCGCCACCATCAACGGCCTGCGCCTCGGCCGCCTGTCCAATCCTTACGTCGACTGGCCCGAGCTCAACGCCGCGTGGGGGCAGACCTGTCTGCTGCTCGCCACCCTCGCGGAACGCCTGGGCTTCAAGTTTGCAGGGTACGAACTGTGTCCCATGGGGTCGACGAGCGCGATTGTGCGGCTGGAGCACAAGGGTAGTGGGGAGGCTGCTGATGCGCGGAGCGGGCCCGGCGTCACACGGCACAAGCTCGAGCTCTTCTCGTCCGGCGACTTCCCCATCAACTTCGGCTTCACGCACCGCAAGATCGACGCCGCCATGGTCGCCTTCCTCGAGTGTCTGCGCCAGCTCGGCGAGTTCGTCGAGACGCAGGGCGTGCACACGGCGGGTGGGCTGGGCGGGCTCGGTGGTGGCAGCGCTGGGGGCAGTGGTGTGGGCGGTATGAGCTTGCCGTATCAGATCCGCAAGGATCGGATCCACGACCAGAGCATCAAGTTGAGCGTGAGCAAGGACGAGGCGTGGACCAAGGCGTGCAAGTACACGCTTACGTGCTGCAAGTTTCTGCTGGCGCATGCGAATAATATGGAGAGTAGTGCTGGGCGGAGGGGGAGGTGAGGAGAGGAGAGGGGACGTGAGTGGACGTGAGATGGGACTGGGTATGTGTGGATAATGCGTGATGTTTGTGCGTAGAACAAGTGGCCACATGGCTGACTGTGAACGATGTATTGAGCTTACCAATGATACCCCCTCTTTTTTATTCGTTTACATCTCATGCAGAGAGTATGTTTTTGAGTGCGACTACACGCAATGTTCAAAGTTAATATCAGCCTGAGAGTGTGTCATAGTAAGGCTCGACTTGGTCGACACAGCGCCTCTAAACCCATGAGACATCAGCAAGACCCAACTACGCTCAATCGATCCGGGCGGTCAATCATCTACCACGCAATTGATATACATCTTGATGAAACATCTTGGAGTTGTCGAACTGGTATCTGTGAACGCCATGAGCGGCCATTGTCGTACAAGATATCTATCAGAATCGCACAAGATACCTATCCGCGCCGAGCGTTGCACAAGAACGGTACTTACATCCTACTCAATAAGTACGGGTGTAATCGCCGAGAAGGATGCAGATCCGATGAAGAGGTCTTGCAAACACGAGATACAGTCTTGTGCACAGACAGTGCAGCATGTCTATCCGGTCCGAGAGATGCACAGCAGCAGTCGACGATAGTGCATCGTTAGCCACGAACTATACTCCTATGCACAAACTGTGTAGGATATCTATCCGCTCCCGGAGATCCATAATGGTGCATTGGGGACATGCGACCACGAGCATATTCCATGTGCACAAAATGTACAAGATACCTACCCGTTGAGGGAGTTGCACGATGCCGACAGCTGTCCCTTGCTGTGAGCGTGTACGATTATCACCGCATGTACTCACTATTGCGAGAAAAGTGGTGACCATCTCCAGACTAATGATTGCCACATCGGAGCTCTCTTCCCTCTGTGGGTTTCCGTGTCGTAAAGAGTGCGGGCAAGTGCTCTTTCGCCGAGCACTAGTCGAACCTCGCTCATTAGACTTCGGAGGTCCCCGTAAGTGAACCTCATACTGATTTCAGCACTGGACTTTAGTCACACAGCGAGCTTCCCAATGCGAGAAGCGGGTTTGCCACGGATAGTGTACTTCTAGGAAACGTTGGTCGGCGGATGAGACGGACATCTCCTGACGAGCGCGGCTTCGATGCTTTGGGCGTTTCGCAAAAAAGTATCACGGGTCCATGGTCGGTGCGGCCGGCCACACGCCAGACCGCGCTTCCAAGAGGTCACGATGCTCGTTTGTAGTGTTGCGAACCGTGCCCGGGCGTGTCGTGTCCGCAGCCGCTTGAGATGGTCGGGTGACCGTACGAAAGGTAACTCAGCCCCATTGTGAACAGACATTGTCGGCACAAGCGTAAGGCCGCGAATGTCCGCTGCACTTAGGACAGTAGCGTCCACGATCTTTCATTCTAGCTTGTTCGTGGCGCGTCCTTGGGGCTCTGCAAGGCTAGCGCCGCAATTTAACGCTGTTAGACGCTCTAGAAGCGAGTTTGCGGGGTAAAAATTTAGCTGTGGAAATCCGGGGAGAGGCTCAACACGGTGCTCCCTTGCGGTGAACTTCGAAGGCAGAACGTCTTGGCCATGCAAAACGAATTGTGTGGCCACGCGAAACGTCAGTGATGTACGCTGCAATCGTCAAGTCTGTCCAGGAAGATTTGCCTGTTGTAATTGGCGCCAATCAATGAAAATGAGCGTCGATTGCGCCGGCCATCTAAAATTATGCCAGGGCTGCTATGCCGAGAGTTGCGCTCGGGTAGATTATTGGCGTCGGGGCTAAAATGGTTCCCGAAAGAGAACGTTGGCATAGATGAGCACGATGCATCGCAGCACAAGGCGGGGAAGGTTTTCGAAACGTAAGAGGATTCTCTTACTTGACAGCAATTCAAGCAGGCGGCAACGGATCCTGTGCAGTGTGGACCCTTTCGCAGAACAAAGAGAAAACACATGTCAGCAGGTGGAGTCACCATTGGTGAGGGCCTGGGGCTTCCACTCCTGCCAGATGTTGCCAGGGACGAAATCTCGGTCCTTGGGGACTACGGAATGCTTGGTGAAGACGCCGACAGTGTCAAGTCCGGGAGATTAGGTGAATACGGGCCCAGGACGGCATGCACAATGCATGGCGCGACGGGTGGAGGCCATGGCGAGAGCTGTCGTGACCGAAGACGTGAGACGCGAAGTCGATGGCGACAGGCCGACCCCATCAACCCCAGCCAGTGCACGCGGCGCGAATGTTGGAATGGACATCCGGTACTGTCCGCCGGGCGGAATGTTGCACAGCGCGAATGAAGCCGTCACGGTCCAGGTGCCACGCCGGTTGGCTGATTGCGATGGTGGTGGATGCTGCTGCTGTCCAGGCTGGCGGCGAGATGCCAATGGCAAGCGGCAACAGCATCGCCGCGCCTGGCAGGCAAGCGCTGGCGGCGTGCAAAATGGCAGGCTGCCGAGTCGTCTGTGTGTCGCTGGTCGGGGCTCGGTGGCCCCAGGGTGAATTTTGTGGTGTCAAAACCAGCAATCTATTACCAAATGCTGCTCATGTGACGGGTCACGCTGTGCGAAAATCAACCCTTTGAGTCGTAAAGGCTCTGTTTGGCGCTAGTGATGTAAGGCCAAGCCGTGGCCGCCGCTCCTTCTCCGCAATTCCGCTAGACAGCAGCTGCGACCACGCCTCCGAACAGCGACCGCTCACGCGTGCTTGCGCGCACTGCAATTGGCACACGGGGGGTCATTCACTCTGCTCTGCCCCTAGGCGCTCCACTCCGGCACCACTGCCAGCCAGCCGGGCCGCATGGCGTCTGCAGGAGACTGGGGAACTGCACCTCGACTAGCACTGGTACCGCGATCCCTTTGTTTTCTATTAAAAATCTGCCCTCCCTTCGGGGCCGTGAAGATGCTATAAGAGCACCTGCCCGCTACTAGTTTTCGACTTTTGCCACCTACTGACTCACCTTGAACCTCTACACAACCTCTTCCCACGTCATCACCCGTCTGAAGTAAACCACTGAATCCGAGCTCCTGCTCTGTCCCAGACCTCGAGCCCTACCCTACCCCCCCAAACCTCCACATCCATTGTAATGCACATCACCGACATCCCGTACGAAATCCTTTCTAAGATCCTAGAGGAAGCTGCCAAAGCCAACATACGCGATGGCCCGACCTACACCTTCGGGCTGTCCCAGCCGCCCATGCCTGGCCTGAGGCCGTCTCTCCAGCGCTTCGTGAGGGGACCTGTGCCGACTGAGATGCTCCGGTGGGATGCAACTTCGGCGATGCGCTTGGTCTGCTGGCAATGGCATGAGTGGGCTTTGGAGTATGCCCTCAAGGACGTCTACATTCGCCGCTGGAAGGGCGGAGAGGTGGGTCCACACCATGTCTTCTTGATTGCGTCGATGCTAACGGAAATGTAGCGATGGGCTGAGCTGTCCTGCCGCCGCGAGAACTACGGGCTGTACGAGCTGATCGACAAACCAACCGGCACCGCTGTCTACCGCGACCCGTTCGGTTCCTTGAGGCAAACCGTCAAGACGTTCAACGAGTTCCCGGGCGTAGCTGCTAAGATCAAGCGCATGTGGTTCAACGGATTCTACACCGCCCAGACCGACCGCATGGTCTTCGAGTCACTGCGAAACTGCACGAACCTGACATCTGTGTCGCTTCCCTGGACCACCATCCGCCATCTCGATGCGCAAGCATGGCGGACCCTGCTTCTGGGCAGCGGAAAGCCGCTAGAGTCTTTGGAGCTGCTCGCGACAGACCCAACCTCGCAACAAGCTGCCGAGGCAGAGAATCAGCTCGACTTGGAGCCGCTGCAGTCCGTCAACTTCGGCATGCTAAGACGCCTCAAAATCTTCGGCGACACTACTTTCAAGCCCATTACCGACCGCGACCTGTTCGACATTGCACGCACGGCGACTCACCTGGAGGAGTTTTACATGACTTGCATTTCCACCATAACAATCGACGGCGTCGTAGCTATCGTGAAAGCTGCGCGTCAGACTCTCCGGGTTCTGGAGCATAGCCCGCGGTCTCAGGATGGCTTCTGGCACCCTCACCCCGGCTCTCCCTCCGACTCGGAGCACCTGTGCGAGCTTTTCCGAAGCTGCCCAAAGTTGGAGACGCTATCGATCTCCCTGCCTTCGGTATGTGCGGACTTGTTCTCCGACCATAACGCGAGGTTCAATGGCGATCTCCAGGTCCGAGCCCTACATTTGTGTGGGCACGAAGACGGCCGCTCTACGCAAGAGGCCGCCACAGACCTGGAGAAGTTGCTCCAGGATGCTCGGAAGTTCATTAGCCGCAAAGCTGCCAGCGTTGTTCCGAGGGATCTTTACGTGGAGCTTTTCTTTGCAGACTGCATTTTTGAACCCAGCTTGAAGCTGGTACACGGCGACTTTTCTCTTGCTCAATTGTCTTCCGATGGAACATGGCCAGGCGCCCTGAACTACAGCGGAAAAGGACCTTACGGCTCCACTGGCTTGTATGAGAAGGAGGAAGAGGGTCCCTTCCAAAGCATGGACGAAGATGACTTCTTGACCGGTGTCCGACGCCGCTTTCTTTCCATCTCGACCTAATCATCGTGATTCTCGATCAACGGCCTACTACATTCTTGTTAATTCTTGTTTTCTGTCATCGACTTACGAATCACGATTCATTGCATCTGCGAGGAGCTTGGAGTTGGAATACCAGGCCTAAGACGCCACCGCAATGAAGCGGCACTGCGACAAAAAAAAAGTTTATGCATTTGCGAGGGGCAGGGGGAAACTGCATTATGGATCTGGGGATTCTTTCCCTGAAGTAAACGGTTTACAGCTCAGGATCTGGCTAGGTCAGCAGCTTCATCAGTGTATCACAATTTTTAGCATCAATCTCAACTATACAAACCAATCTTGCTGCAAGTTCATCCCGCTTCTTTCCTTTCTTGACATTTCACACGCGCCTATACCCGGTTAGGCAAGACGTCCCAATTTCCACGTGAGCGCGTGCATACAGTGACGTCAACTCGATCAATGATATCCATCGCTTTCCAATACGATCGCCATCAACGCTCAAAGCTTTGAACGTGCGGAATTTTCCTGCATCCACCCCCGTGTCGATTGTTGATGCTTGCTCACGCATTACGAAACCCTCCCCGCCAAGACGCATGCATCTCTCTCGCTTACCAACAATGAGCTAATCACCGCTCCACTGCGAACAGCAAGACTAGCCGGCGACTAGACCGCAAGCTGCAGCCTTGCGATGGGCCGTGGCCTTGTTGTCTGGCTTGGAATGCGGGAGCTGGCGAATTGGCCAATGGAATGGGGTGAGTAGGACCGACACGGTAGACAAGTACCGAGTATGGTGTGGAAGCTGGCTCGATGGGTATATAGAGGGGTTGCGCCCTGCGTTATGGTACCGAGCTTGTCTGCAGCTGAGCCCTTGAATTCTACAATTTTAACACAGCAATTGAACTTTACGTCTGCCATAATGGGTCCCAAGATTGCTATCGCGTACTACTCTATGTACGGCCATATCCGCCAGCTCGCGGAGGCCGAGAAGAAGGGCATTGAAGAGGCCGGAGGATCTGTCACGCTCTTCCAGTATGCATCGCCAAGATTTCGTATCTCGCAACATCCGCGATGCTAACTCAACTACAGAGTCCAGGAGACCCTCTCCGACGAGGTCCTCGCGAAGATGCACGCTCCCCCCAAGCCCACAGACGTCGAAGTCCTCTCCGACCCCGCGCAGCTCGAGCCCTTCGATGCTTTCCTCCTCGGCATCCCCACCCGGTACATTTCTCCGTTCTTCGTTTAGTCTATACATCACTAACATCCCACGTCAACTAGATACGGCAACTTCCCCGCCCAGTGGAAGGTCTTCTGGGACAAGGCAGGCAAGCAGTGGGCGACCGGTGCCTACCATGGCAAGTACGCGGGTGTGTTCGTATCCACCGGTGGACAGGGTGGTGGTCAGGAGAGCACCGTCATTGCGAGCTTGAGCACGCTTGTGCACCAGGGTATCATCTTCGTGCCTTTTGGATACAAGAATGCTTTTGGTAAGTGACTTGTTTCTCTGACTTTACCACGGCTCGGAGGACAGATCCATGGGGGACGAGCAACACTAACATCTTCACAGCTCAGATGTCCGACCTCACCGAGATCCACGGCGGCTCTCCTTGGGGCGCAGGCACCTTTGCCTCAGGTGACGGATCACGCCAGCCTTCGGCGAGGGAGCTCGAGTTGGCAACGATCCAGGGACGGGCGTTCTACGAGACCGTCGCAAAGGCCGTTAAATGACTCCCTGGAGAAGAACAGGATAAGCAGGGTGCGCTAGCGGGAGCGGGGACGATGGTTGGTAACGACAAAGCGGGGGAGACTGACGCGAAGAGCGCTGGCACTCCGGCTGCTTCGGCGGCAACTGGAGCTACAGCTGGGCCGAGTGCAGGGACGCAGGCCGGTGCGCAGCAGGAAAGGGAACCTAAAAGTGGACCTTGTGGTCTGCCGTCAAAGTGTCTTGTTCAATAGTAAGAAGGTAGAGACATAATATTGACCTTCATGAATCCTGAAGTCTATCGCGTTCAACATGCCGCTCACAAACACCACTTTCTCCCTACATCCAAACGGAGATCGGGGATCAATTCTCTTCCAAGTGTGAATGCGACAGGCAAGAAGTAACAATTTCGGAGGTAAGAATCGTCAATCACATGTGCTAGTGAAGTTGCGAAGACGGATGCACTAGCCACAAGCACAAGCGCCACGCCAATCTTCAGATGGTTTCAGCTGCCAGACGACCGCGCACGTTTCAGTGGGCAGCAATGACGTCGCTTGGCCATCCAGAACAACAGCAACGCTGAAAATCTACTGCGATGCAGGAATAGCTATATCTCTATTTCAGTCATCCTCCGCTAATATGAGAACTCTCCGATTGCTGCTTTCCGCGCTTCTAGCGTCCGTCACAGGCGCTTCCCGAGCTCCCTTCCAGCAGGTCCTGGATGCCACATCCGGCAAGGATACACCGATGCGTGGAGGAGACGACATAGGCGTAGGCCACTTCTCAGAGTGGTCACGCGCAACGAAGAAGCAATTCTTTGTCGACTGGCAAGCAGGAAGGCAGTCGGAATGGGTGTTCGTGATGGGCAACGAGGCAGGCGACCTCGACTCCATGGCCTCCGCCCTCACGTGGGCATACCACCTTGAGCATTCGACGCAAAACACGTCAAACCCCACGAAAGCAATTGCCCTGCTCCAGACGCAGACAGATGCCCTAGATCTCCGGCCCGAGAATAAGTTGGCGCTGAAAAATAGCAAGATGACCTCTGGCCACGACGACCTCCTCACCATGGACGAGCTCCCCGAGGACCCCGAGACGCTCGCCCTCAAGCTCCGTGGCATCGTCCTCGTCGACCACGCCTCCCCCCTACGTAAATGGGAAACCGCAAAGATTATCAGCATCTTCGACCACCATGTCGACAAGGGCACTGCACCCGACGCCTCCCCCCGCATCTTCGAAAAAGTCGCCTCCTGCACCTCCCTCGTCGCGCGCCAGATGTTCGACGAGTTCTACAAGCTCCCAGAGGAATACCACCTCCCGCACGAGCTCCTCGAGCTTATACTCTCTGCCATCTCCATCGACTCGGGCGGTCTGAAGGACGCCACAGAAACCGACCTCCACGCCGCAAAACGCGTTTTCGAGCGCAGCCAATGGGCGGACCGCGACCTCCACGAGCAGATGGAAGCCGTCGACGAGTGGCTCTCCGACGCCAAAAAGGACCTCGACGACCTCTCAGTCCGCGACCTCCTCCGCCGCGACTGGAAAGGCGACCTCGTCGACACGCCCTCCCCGCGCACGCCCACAGTCTCCCTCGGTTTCGCGTCCATCCCCTACTCCCTCGACGAGCAGATCGAAAAGACAGGCTTCGGCGAGCTCTTCCACTGGTTTGCCGTCCACGCCGCCTGGACCGCCTCCATCAACACCGACATCGACATTTGCCTCAACAAGTACAAAGTCAAGACCAAGGATGGCAAGAAGAAGAAGATCCGCGAGATCGTGCTGACCGTGCGCGACGACGTGCGCATCGACAAGGTGCAGGCGGATAACCTGTTCAAGGCGGTGACGGAGGCGCTGGAGGGGGAGAAGAGTTTGGGGCTGGAGAGGTGGCATCGCGCAGGGGAGTTGGGGGGGAGGCAGATGGTGTGGACGCATGAGTCGGGGGCGGGGAGGAAGGTGATTAGGCCGATTGTGGAAGAGGCGGTTAGGAAGTGGGATATGTAGGGCTGTTGGGGATATTTTGGTGCAGGATCGGACGGCATGCGGGATGCGTGGCAAATTGTAGATATAGTGTAGGAATTGAATGTGGTGGGAAGGCTGATGTGCATCAGATCAGTGCCCATGTTGCTGGAAGTCTAGTCGGTCAATCTACGTCTTTTCGACCTCAGGCAAGGATATGCAAACCATGCGTCCCGCCTTCACGAAGAGTCTCGGGAGATAGGATTAGCAGACCTGGCTAGTCAAGCACGCATTCGTAGCCAATACTGCAAAATTCAACGCCACCCACACGAAGCACCCACAATCAAATTCTGTGCTGAACAATGTCCAAAACGGGTATATTTCCACACGCAGAAAGCTACGCTCTGACCAACCCACCCACCCCCTACAGACACTGATAGTACCAAGGCGGCGAAACACCCTTGCACGTATACGGCGACTGCGCAGCCAAACCGTCAGATATGGGTCCACTAATAGCAGGAATAAGAAAAAACTCACCTCGCACACCGTACACCCCTTCCAGTCGTTCCCCCCGCACTGGTCCCAGTGCTTCGACCTGCACCCGTTCCCGGGGCCAGGCGTACTCGTAGGCGGCGGTCGCGCACTCGTCGTGCGTACCGTCGTCGGCGGCGCTGGCGTAGTACTCGGTCTCGTCGTCGTTACTCTCGTCGTCGTCGTCGGTCTCGTCGTCGGCGGCCTCGTCGTCGTCGGCCTTGGTGTAAACGTCGGCGTCGGCCGCGGCGGACTCGTGCCCCCCTTCGTCGGCGTATCTACCACACTCCCATCGCAATATACCGCGGGCCCGTCCAGCGCCAGATTCTTCAATATCGAGCTCATCCCCGCGGTCCCCGGGCCCGTGCAGCTGACCCCCTTCGCAGCGGCGGCGTTCAGCGGGGTCGGGTATTCGATATGGAAGACGGGCTTGCCCGAGGCGAGGAATGAGGCGTAGCGGTCGCATTCGGAGAGCTGGGCGCATTGCTCGTTGACGGCGAAGGAGACGGTGGGGGTGAGGGTGTCGACGATATCGAGGGCGTTTTTGAGGCCGATTTCCATGGAGTACTTGGCGGCTTCGGTGGCCATCCATTGAATGTAGGAGATTGCGTCGGCGGATTGGAGGTTCAGGCCGTTGTCGTTTTGCTGGGGGTCGGTTAGTTGGGCTTCGGAGAGGGCTTGCCGTTGCAGATTGCGCGATTGTGCAAAGATGATATGGGTGAAGGACCCGTCAAGGGGTGTCATTTACTCACGTAACCGTCTAATGCACAGATTAGCACTCTTGTATCCTGGGGTACCGACTTCAAAACGGGGGAAGAGGACACATACCTATGTTGTCTGGGTCTATAGCGTCGCAGCCTTTGTCTCCAGCTAGCTTGATGCGCTTTGCCATTATGTCTCTGACTTTGGTGCTTCCAGTTCGGATCCACTTCTCGTTCGGCCATTGAGGAAGCACCTTTCCAACATCCCCGGCCGGGAACTCCTTCGCATCTGACCGCCAGTCCTCCACTGTTCCAGCGCTGAAGTAACATATCACAATCTTTCCTGTTGCTTTTAGGGCTGTGATGGTGGCGGCGTCGCTGTCGAACAGATCAATGTCCCATACGGGAGCATCGGTGGGCGGAAGTGGCGATTTTGAGACATCTGGCACGCCTGTGAGGATTATCTGCCATTTTTGACCCTTGACGAATTGGCTTTGCGCCCACGAAGGAACAACGAAGAGAGCCGCCCATAACAGTGAGGCGAGCATCTTGAAGAAAGGCCCCTTTCTGTGTGGAAAACGTGAAGGACAATCCAAACTTTTTGTCACGTCCCTAGAAGTAAAAGAAAGCCTGTACAAGGGACAGGCCTAGAAGCCATACGGCGAAGGTCAGATGCAGGAGCTGGTCTTCTAGAACCGGCATTCCAAGCATATAAAGTTCCGTGCGCTCCCGATGTGGTTGGCCAATGTTCTGGTTTACGTATATTCTCGACAAAAGCGCAATGCCTTCAGATTAGCCGTCTGCGAATGTTGCGATCTGTGTGACACTGGCCCTTCCCCATATTTGCTTGAAGATTGCATGTGCGTAACCGAGCCAACCATGCATGGGACTTGTATATACAATGAAAACTTGGTCACACCCGGGTCTTGAATCGAACCTCGAGGGCACTCTAAATTGCGCCGACAGTGTAGCCTCAGCACGCCATCAAAAAATTGCGTTAGGCTCTTTGAGCGAATAGCACGTGGTATAGAGGTGAGGCAAAGCGCTGTGAGCGTTCCACACATTGTCGGTTTACATGTATGGAGGTAACCACGTTCTGATTGTGAATCTTCCGACGGGCCCCAAGCTAGCTTGCATATTCGGCAGATGGAAGCATGCGGGGGAAAAAAGCTTAGCTGTAAATCTCATGGCAACGCTCAAAGATCTTGTTCGGAAGATCGATGTATGCGGAACGAGGGTTCTGGACTGCGGCTAAATCGATCCACAATATATCGACCACGCACCAAAGTGGCGCACTGACGACGCTGTCAAGGCAAGGAAGCGAGGTTTGTAAAGCTGGAGATTCCCGGATCGGTAATTAGAGCAATCTGTTTCGCCAACTACATGTCATTCCTTGTTTAGCCCGCCAATGGGATTTTAGAGTTGTCTGCAAGAGCTAGAGCATATATGCAAGGTACTCAGGCTGTGCATGAATACGTGCTAGAGAGTTGTGTCGAGAGAGAAGATGGTAATGTACGCGACAATTGCCTTCAACCGATGCATAAGACATCTTCGTTTGGCACCGTTCGGGGGGATATAAGTGCAAGAGCTCCACTGGTAGCGTATGGACCAGGTCCGTTCCGGGCTTGAGGCATCGGGCAATCCAGGTTTTCGTCGCGGATGCTATATCTCGCGCCATCAAAGCGCAAGATGTTATCCAAAATGGATCAGCAGGATATGAATCCGCTCTGTACGACGACACGAAAGAAACGTTCTTGCTGAAGCCCGCATAGTTCCCAGATAGATTTCGCCCAAGGATTGGATGCAAAGCCGGAGAGTGGGCGAGTACCGTGAGCGCGTTCGTGATTAGGCGTATAATTCATCCATCCGCATCCAGAATCGGCAAGCGTTCCGCTATCCATTTTAGTGAGCAGCACCTTCTCGCCACCGACCACAGTGGCCGACAGCAAGAATGGAAATCTTAAAACCCTAACATCCACGCGTGATTATCACACTATATGTTTACAGAGGTTCTCATAGAGTGAGTTGACACAGGATGAGGTGCGCAGGCTAGATTCCTATCTTTTGTGTCAACCACTGTGATCGGGTAGAACTGCTTCTTTTTGCAGTGCAGGAGGGGATCGGAAATGGTGAGGAGCTCGAAACCATACGTAGATTACAGTATGAGGTGAGGATCAGTCAGTCCCTCTTCCAGTTATCGATAAGATCACGTGAAACGGGCGCGGAGATGATCGTCGCCGATTGGCTGGTCAGCATTTTAGGAGAAGACGCGACAATGCGAACTAACTTTTGCCTTCATCGTCGACGTTCATGTACATTCTTCAATAATCCTTCTACTCCGATGGACTTCCTACTCGGACGAGGGGAAGATCCGCAGCGACCGCATTACGACCGCCATCCTCCATGCTGCTGCCTTTGCGAAGCATAAGCCGTCTCCTCCGTCCTTTTCAACCTTCGCATACCCGCTCCGTGACCACGTTACCCAGGCCGATAGCCTCGTACGTAAAGACATGGGATCCCACACGGCACACGCCTCAGCCAACGATCCTCGCCGACCCGCGGGATGGTTCGCGACATAAATTGCTCAGAGTCGAGCGCGCACACCGACTCGAGTCGCAAGGGATTGCGGTGCTCTTGAAAGGCGACATGCATACAGACGAGGACCGTGCCGACATAGCAAAACTCAATGACCTCTTGCGACTGGCAGACATAGAATCAAATCGCCCGGGGCTTCATTTGATGATTTGGAAGACGTACCGTCGATTAACACAACGTAACCCGGAAATGATCCATGCGATTCCGCACAGGGCTTGGGACATACTTTGGAGAATACAAAAGGGGTGCACAATCTCACCGATTGGCTCCCGTCGCCTAGAAATACTAGAGATGGATATGGCCACCTGTGATAATTATGAGTCAGCTGGACGTCGAATAAGATACCTGGACAAGCTCTTTGCGGGCGGACAAGAAGAACAGGCTTTAAAAGAATGGAGTGAAGACTACGAAGGTTCCAATGGCCTCCCACGGCACGACCACAAACCTGAACACCTCGAGCTAGGTGCCAGATTACATGCGCTTTCCGGACACCCTGATCGCGCGCGCGAGATCATGCAGGAGTTGTTTGAGCTGCATCCGTCGTGGAGCCCCAGTATCATGAAGACTGTATTCCGCGCCCACACTTCCTCCCCCTCAGTTCAGCATCACGATCTGGCCAACGGCATATACAAGAAGTTGAAGGAGAGCATGGGCGACAAGTTGACGCTCGAAGATTACGATGCTTGTTTTGTAGGCTTCTTGGAAGCTCGCCACTTGTATTATGCTAAGCTTGTGTTTCGCGACATGATCAAGGAGGGGCATCTCGCTGGATCGGATGATCTTACGGACGTCAAGAGCGTTTTGTCGAGATTGCACATGCTCTACCGGTTAGCTACGGACATTTCGAAAATGACCACCATCGGGTTGCAAGCGGTCAAGAGCTTGCCATCAGCATATCACCCGCACGTTTTCGCTCATTGGATGAGATCAGCTGTGGTCAGAAATGCCCCGGAAGCTGCAGGTCAAATTCTGGAAATGATGTTCCGCCGCAACTCTCAGCCCCAGACAATCCACTTCAACCTCTTGCTGAAAGCCCTCATGCGGACTAAAGTGGTGCAGCCCGAGCAAAATCCGTACGCCTCGAAAGCAGAAAACATCGGTTGGCGAATGATTGAAGAAGCTCGGAAAGTTTCCGTGGAGAAATTGCCGGATGTGTCGGCTGCCGAGATGATCTCACAGTGGGTCGACGAAAGGAAACAGCTTGTGCCAGACGACGAGGTCATGAATGACCAGCTGAGACATGTTCCCAGAGCCAACGTGACCACTTTCGCGATCATGATGAAGCATCATGGAGACAAAGAGCAGTGGGAGCACGTGGATTATCTTGCAAGGCAATTGAAAGAGGGGGGTTTTCAACCAAACGCAGCGCTCATGAATATCCTCATGGACAACAAGTGCCGCCAAGGGAAGTACAGCGAGGCCTGGAAGATCTACAAAACGTTCACAGATGTACCAGCGGGTACACCCGGTGTCTTCCCCGATGGATCGAGCATTAGATGCCTCTGGAAGACGCTTCGACTGGCGCTTGGAGACCAGGCTGCTCGCGATGATCCGAACCTCCCGCGACCTCGTGAACTGTTGGCCGAGACTGTCCAGTGGTGGGAACGGTGTCGAGCTAGGCCTGACGCGGAGCGATTTCTCATTGGTTTAGCTGCAACGGAGCATGGGGCGCTGACGAGCCTGATGATGCACTGCTTCAGCTACACGAACGATATCGTTGGTTCACTTGTCGGATTGCATATCCTCCACCAGAAGTTCGACATCCTCCCGTCCGACAAGTCCGCGGCGATACTCCAGCGTCACGCCGCTTGGGTTGATATGCGCAAGAAGGGACCTGTTCAACGATCGACCTTCCAACATCATGGCCATCACAAGAACAATTTAGAGAAAATGGGGCGTGTATACTACATCCTTTTAGAGCGCCGATTGGAGAAGATGAACTCCGCGTCCGATGACTACGCTCTGACCAAGAGTGGAAAAGACGGTCTACCCCTGAATATCCTCTCGGAATTCATTCGCGTTGTTTTGAAACGTACGCATTCTCCAGAGACGATAGAGGCTATGATAAGCCAGGCCAAGGAAGAGGTTGGGGTTCCAGAAATGGCGACAGGTGACATGGACGCCTTCCAGGTCGTCTAATCGACCCGTCGTCATCACTCACGCAATGCTCCAGGCACCTATATCCACGCTACTTCCACATTCGCATTGCATTGCTTCGGCGTACTGGGCAAGGGACGCATAGGAATCTCCATCATGAGTCCGGGACGTTTCATTGTTTTTCAAATCGGACATAGACTACTTGTACAAGATTTCTGAAGATACCCAACCTTACTCCTGTACTGTATAATAGATACCAATCCGCTTTATTCATACCTCATAACATGACAAAACAACATTGCTCGTCTCATAGCCCAAGAGGATTGCTTCCTGAGCCTTTTGACACGCCTGTGATGGCGGGCCGCGAGCCCATGATGGACTTTGCGCCCTCTGGCGTGCTCGACAGCCCGAGCGGGTTCTTCGCTGAGCTGGCGCGCGGTCCTGAGGCGCCTGTGACGTCCTTGATCGAGTTGCCGTACTCGCGAATGGCATCGCCCCAGGTGCGGGACGCATTTGCGACACTATCGCGCTATCAGCACAAAGAATCATACACGGGTGTGTACGAGCCTTACCTCGAGCCCGCGCCCCTACCTGCGCCTGCCACGCCATTGCCGGCTGCGGACACAATAGCTCCTGTGAAGTTACCGATGCCGGACGCAGCCTGGCTTCCTATCTTCCCGAGCCAACTCTGCTGTTGAGGCGGCTGCTTCTTTGCAACCTGCGGATTGGCTTTTGGCAAAGCCTTCTTCGTTTGACCCTGCGGGTTGGCCTTGGGCAGCGGCTTCTTCGCCGGTGGCCCAGCTCCAGCTTTCTTGAGCGCCTGCTGCGGCGTCTTCGGCGCGGCTTTGGGGAGCGGCTTGATGTTCGCTTTGGGGAGTCCGCTTGGCTTGGAGACTGCCTTTGGGCCTGTCTTGGGTGCTTGCTTGGGAGGCATGTTTGCGATGGGTGGTCTTTACTATTTTGCAGCCCCAGCATATCCAACTTTGAGAGCCATTGCGATGTGGCGCTATGATGTCAGGGAACCGAACCTGGTGGCTGGTGCGGAGAGGAACTGCGTGTCTAACCGCATGAAATAAGGTTGCATTAGCAGCGGAGAAATCCGACTCCACTTCAGACGGCGAGACCCTGCATGGCTTCTCGCAACACCGACATCGTTCTGCGAATACTGTCTTGCGCGTCGACGACGACTATACACGACCTTACTTCTTGCAGTTGCTGAGCGCGCTGTTTTATCCTTTCCTCTCTGTACGACATTCGCGGGCCGAGTGCGAGTGCGGACTGCGCCCGCCAACGGAAGTGCCAGCTCGCCGATTCGGCTTCACCCAGGCAACATGAGCGCCCTTCACTCGAGAGCGAGCTAGAGACCGCTTCACCGAGCAATCTGTAAGTTGGTTCTGTTTTCTGTCAATACCCCGCCCCCGCGCAAGGCTCGAGGATGCCGTAACAACGCGCGACACCACCACGACCACGTATGGCTTCGATGCGCCTCAAGCGATCGAAGACCTCGATTGGCGACCTTTCAGGAATTTATGAGGATTTGCGCTCCAATGCATCCTCATCGTTTACGCTCTCGCCCGCGGATGCGACTACAGATGCGCTCGAGCTCACCCGCAGCAAGCGGGGTTTATCATTTACGGAATTAACCAGTCGCATAGGAATCAAGAAGACCCCGCGCCGGTCTATCGACAAAGCTCAGATATCACGACCAGTTGTAGACGCACGATTCCCAATTGTTGTATCCTCCCCCAGTACACCACTCGGAGAAGTCTCCCCGCCGCCGTCCATCCTCGCCACAGCGACCTCGAGTCCAGGCAGGAGCAAACCGGACAGCCCACTCCACGGCATACCCGAGTCGCCTCTTGAACTACAGCTTGAGCAAGCTATCAAGTCGATACCGCAATTGCGCTGCGACAATTGTCAGGAAGAACCCACCATGGACCCCACCCGTTTGTCGGTGCAGCCGGCTGGCGCCGGCACCAAGTTTCGGGCGATTCAGCAAGCGAAGGAGATGGAAAACATCGTGGCTGAGCGAGCCAAGCGCAGCGGTGATGAACCGCCGCCGTACGATTTCTATGAATTGATTGGCAAGGGCGCATACGGCCGTGTGTTCAAGGGGTGTGTAGAGTGCAGGCAGTATCTTCTGCAACAGCGCTGACAAGACGCAGCAAAAACCGCAATAATGATGGACTGGTTGCCATCAAGATCATTGACATTGACTCTGTCGATTACGAAGAGATGACCACCAAGAACCTTTCTGAGACACTCAAAGAGATCAACATCCTCCAGCAGCTGCGAGATAGCAAGGCACGGCCATATGTGAACATCATCGAAGAAGCTCGGTCCGTTCACAACGAACTCTGGATTGTCAGCGAATATGCTAGCGGTGGCAGTGTCAACACTCTTATGAAGCCTACCATGAATCTTAGAGATCCAGGGCCAGGACTACCAGAAAAGTTCATAATACCGATCGCGCGCGAGCTAGCGTTAGGACTAAAATACGTACACGAGGCTGGCGTGTTGCACAGAGATTTAAAGTGTAACAACATATTGATCCTCGAGGACGGCCGGGTGCAATTGTGCGATTTCGGTGTATCTGGGCAGCTTGAGCCTGAGAGCTCAAAGCGATCGACCATTGTTGGCACGCCATATTGGATGGCACCTGAACTCCAGAACGAGTGGATTAAAGACGCGCACCCGCAGAGCAGAATTAGACCCAACGACATTTTATATGGGTCCGAGGTTGATATCTGGGCATATGGATGCACGATCTACGAGATGGCGACCGGTTTCCCGCCGTTTCACAGAACCGTCCAGTGGGACTTACCGGAGACCGGAGTCCCTGTTCTGGAAGGCGAGAGACATTCAGACGCCTTGAAAGAGTTCGTATCCTTCATCTTGCAGCCAAATCCTGAGGATCGACCTACGGCCGACGATATTTTGGAACATCCCTTTATTGTCGATTCGACGAAGATGTTTCCCACTGTCATTCTGGTCAAACTTGTGGAAGACTACTACAAATGGGAACACGAAGGCGGCGCTCGAGCCTCGTTATTCTATGCGGGAGGTGCTCAAGCGCCTGATCCTCTCGCTCCGGAAGAAGACGAAGACGATGACTGGACGTTTAGCACCTCAGACGAGTTCGGAGACCGTTTGTCGAGAGCGTTCCTTGATCCTTTCTCAGCAGCACCGGGCCAGAGCTTTACTGGGATCAACATGCCGATTGATGACGACGATCGTTTCGCGAAGCTCCAGGCCACCTTCCGTGAACAACAGATAAAGAAAGGAGAAGAGCGACTGAACCGGTTATTTGACATGGACAAGTCACCATACCGCTACAGCGGCGTCGACCAGGCTGACAACGGTCGGCCTCATTCAGATCTCCTTCTTCGCGATTTCAATCCTGGTGCGCCGAATCGAGAGACAATCATCGACATAGGAGACTTTGACCCACCCATGGCTGCTGATGCGCCCAGCATTGACCTGGGCGAAGTGCCGACCGTGAAGGCAAACAGGATAAAGAACCTATTGCGTGAGATGGAGTTGGAAGATGAAGAACGGGATCGCTTTGATCAGGATGACCAATTGACGAAACGCGCAACACGAGATTGGAAGTTCCCTACTGCGAATGAAGACAACAACAGGCGGACTCAAGATTGGAAGTTCCCACCAATGCCTGAGCAGCCAAATCGCCGGACGCAAGATTGGAAGTTTCCCATGGCGGAAGAGCCTATGCCCCCACCAAACAGACAGACACGCGACTTCAAGTTCCCCGCGATGCCGCCGCCAAAGCCAAATCGCGCCACGAGAGAATGGACTTTCGATGCAGCTATGGCAGAGGCGAACTATCAAAATCAGCGCAACTCACGGCGAGCCACTAAGGACTGGAAGTTTCCATCGACATCCGATGAGCTGCCACCACTGAACAATCGCAAGACGCGCGACTTCAAGTTCCCTATGGGTGGGCTGGAGGAGCACGAACCTGACTATCCACAGCCGTTTGCATCCTCACCGACACTGGAGTCGAACTTCCGACCCACCCTGAAGCACGCTACAACAGCCCCAATAGGGACGTTCGATGATTACCCACGGGTCGAATCTGCGCCGGAGTCACCGCTGCGCACCTCTATGATCGATCTAGATATGGCAATGATTGACGACTATCGCCCCGGTACGGCTGGGTCGGAATCCACCACTACGTACTCAGCTGCGACGGAACAGATGAACGATAACCCGTTCAACCTCGAAGACCAGGTCCAGCTCACTGAAAACAGCAACCGCACTTCGTACCACACAAAGTCACAGTCAGAGCCTAATCACGCCATCCCTGGCCTACTTACACCCCAGACTCTAGACGAGCAAGGCCTTCCAACAACAGTCGACCCGCACCACCCAGGCCTGCACGCCCGCGGCCTCTCCTCAGTCTCGCAAATGCAAACCCAGCTTAAACCTCCACCCCACAATGTCCCCTCGGCCTACCACCGCGCCGCACAGCGCTCCCAGCAGCTCGATTTCGGCTGGTCGCACACCGCAGCCTACCACCACGGGCTCGGTAGTGACGACTCGCCCCCTCTCAGCGTCATCACCGACGAATCTGCCGACGACGAAGACATCGACGAAGCCTGGGACGCCCTCGAGAAACTCACCCTCGCCCGCACTCTATACCCGCGCTCTTCGCGCCGCACCGACTCCCGCGACGAGCAACCCACCTCCTCCGACGCGGAGGATGGCTACGCCACCGATGCCACCGTCGACGATATCCCGCGCCCCATCCGCGTCTCCGTCGGGCCCAACGGGAAGCCTCTCGTTGATTTTCCTGTGCCCCGCGGGCCACCTGCTGAGGCGCTGCTCGGTGTCCAAGGCGATCCGACATTACTGCAGAATGCGCTGTGGAAGAGTAGTCTGGAGTTGCGGGATGGGTTGAGGGCGAGTAGGGATTTGTTGAAGGCGATGCGGTTGGAGGATGTAAGGCCGCTGGAGGGGTTGAGTGAGGAGGTGGGGATGGAGGGGACGAGTACCATTCGGGTAGGGAAGTAGACGGGTACCTCGGGTGAGTTGGGTCTTTTTGAGGTTTGCGGCGCGGATCTGCCGGGTGCTATTGAGGATAGCGGCTAGGTGGGATGGAATGGGATGGACATGGAAACGAAGAAGTTGCCATGGATGGGGCTAAACATGGTGGAGAGGGAGAGGGCTTGCTCGGGTGGGATGGAATCGGACTGGCTTGGATCCGCGGATCTGGATTCGCCGTTGGGCACGATACAACACGGGCATTTGGATTTCCCCGCGACTCGACGACCATCGCGGCGGAAAGGCGTTACAAGGCGAACATTCTTTGCAGTGGAGTCGGGAAAGGCTGCCGCGCGCATTGCTGACGGCGTCCGGGCGTGGCTTGCCCTTGGACGCAGATATACTCCATTGTGTATTTTTAGCGAGTGGATGGTGCGGTGGGTGTGGATAGCTACGCCTTTGGGCAAATGGATCACGTTGAAGGCATGGCATTGCATTGCATTGCATTTCCGAACCTTTAGGCCGGCTCATGCCAATCACACCGCAAGCGAACATGGTCTCGATCTGATTGTATGAACCTTTTTTTTGCATTGTCCAGATAGATGCCCATATACCGTCATATCCTAAACGTGTTTCGTAAGCGCCGTGATGTGCGGCTAGAACGCCAACGTGCATCGTAGACGCCGTGTGAGATGCGCCCATGCCGTAGATGAATGTCCCGAGAGCGCCTCGCAATGCTAAATATGCCCAAAAGAACAGATGCCGAGGGACTGAGAAGAGAAGGGAAGGAAAGGGAAGGGAAGGAAAAGCCGCCTACGACGAACTCGCATCCGTCCCGTCATCAAGGTCCTCCTCCTGCACCTCCACATGCACAATGGGAAGATCCAGGGTACTCTCATCGTCGTCGTCATCATCCCCCTCCTCTTCCTCCACATCCTCCTCGCTATCCTCCTCGTCATCATCTTCCTTCGGCACCTCCATCCCCGGAATCGCCTTCCAGCTCACATAGTCCCCCTCGACCCACCGCTTACTCCGCGGCAGCACATACGGATCAAACGGAAAATACGCATCGAGCAAGAACCCCTCCTCGCCCTTCTTCATCGTCAGCGCCGTCTCGCGCGCGCCCAGCGCCACCACGCGGGACAGCCGGATCCGCTTGTTCGTCTCGAGCAGCGAGGCCACGTACATGAAGCGCAGGTGGTGCGCGATGCGGGCGAACTGGTGGACGATGGTGGGCGCGCAGATCTTGAGTGGGTTGAGCTTGGAGAAGACGGATTTGTACAGAGTCTCCTTGACGCCGCCGTACCAGCGAAAGTCGCCCTCGTGGTAGACGATGTCGGCATCAGTGGGGGGCCGCCCGTCAGGCGTGACGATGAGGTCGCGCCAGCGGAAGCAGAAGGCATAGAGCAGCGCCTGGGCGATGGCGTAGTAGGTGCCGTAGCGGCGGAGGTCTGGGCCCGTGCAGGCGGGCTCGTGCTGCTTGCGGAGGGTCTCGAGGTGGTGGCCGAGGAGGTCGAAGACGTCGCGGACGGTGGAGCCGGGGACGTGTGCGCCGCGTGCAATAAAGGACGCGAGGTAGGCGGCGGCGGCGACGCGGAGAATTTGCGGGCGGGACTGGTCGAAGGCGAGTTGCGAGCAGCAGCCGGCGAAGCGGTCGATGAGGTCGTGCTTCATTTGGGTGAAGTGGAAGAGGAGGAATTGGGTATGTCGGGAGCGGTAGGTAGGTAGTATTATGCGGGAGAATTGCGAAAGGAGGCTTTGGTAGGTCTCATCGATTTGCTGGAGGTTGCCCTTTTCGAAGATGGAGTCGTAGTATTTGAACATGAGAAACATGATGTTATCCAGCTTGGTGACCGACTCTTTGATCTCCTTCACGCGGCGCTCCTCTTCGTCCAGGCTTTCCTCGCTCGATACCGACTCGTTGTCGCTATCGTAGTCGTCGTCGTCGAGATCTTCACGAACCGAGTCTTCGATAATCTGGTCTTCCAGGTCATCGTCCAGCTCCTCCATATCGACTTGGATCTGCACATCAATCTTTACGAGCTTATCCATGATAAGCGATAGTATGGCGCCCTTGAGCTCAGGGCAGTACTCCGCAACTTTCAATATGTTGCTGATGTAGTCTGTGTGTGCTTTCGAGGTATCGGTCGGGAACGGGAACGTGGAGGCGAGGACGGGTTGGAGGTATGTGCTTGCCATCGGACTGCCTTTGACAATGTATTTCAAAGTGTCGTGCACCCGACTCAATAGCTGTGCCCGCTCGACGGTGGGGTCGTCTTCCTGCCGCATCCTGGGCGACGGCGTCTCCACAAACATGTTCACCAGCATGCCGAGAACGGTGGAAGTGAACGGGGGAGCAACGTCCAGAAGAGACCTCAGCAGCCTTCGATATGACTGCACAAAGTGCTCGTTCCGTGCGACCCAGTGACAGTCGAGAACCGCGTGTACCAGGCCGCGGCTTTCCTTGAGGAGATAGACATTGTTTGTGAGGGCGATAACGTATTTCTGCAGCAGCCCACTGGAGGGTGCATCCGAAGACGTGGGTCTTGCGGAGAACAAGCCTCGCAGCACGTCGTAACCGGTCGCGTCACCGGCAGCATGCTTGTCCAGAGCACGGCTGACCTCTTCACCCACAAGCTCCAGACTCTTCTCGTTCGGGTCGGCGAGGATATGAATGTCAATCTCGGGGTCGAAAGTCACTCGGCGGCGCTTTGCTTGGCTGGCGAGCTGCTGCTTGCTGTCGGGACTCGAGTCTAGTTTGCGCTTGAGGCTGCTACCGACGCTGGGGGCGATGACGCCGGGGGCTCGGTTGGTAGAGGCGAGCGACACCATGGTGATGGGTGAAGTGAGAGTCGCAGGTTACATCGAATCGGGTCGAGATCGAGAAAGCTAGCTTGTACGTCTCGCAGACTTGAAGTGGGGAAGGACTTTCGTGAAAAAGATGTCAGTACCCACGCGAGCGAGCCCAGTGTGGGTTCTTCGAGGGTCCGTGCAGGAACCCCGGTCTCAGGGCTTTTAAGTGTCACGTGCACCCGCGTCGCCTACGGGTCCACCACATCAATCGACCGAGGGAATGTTGTGATCGGGTGGAAAACCCAGCGCCATAAGTTCTAGACTGCACTCATAAAGATAGGCTATTAGGCCGTGTACAATTCCGTTTACCAGACCCGAGTGCAGCACTCTGAGCTCACCATTCCATCTTTGTACACATTTTCTGCCAGTAGAACCGACGAAAAGGTCAGTGACGAAGCCATACAAGCAGATCTTCGACTGTATTTCATTTTCGTTCATCGCGCAGGTTTTTCTCCTTGCGCTTTTCCTCTGCGGACCATGACTGTGGTGTCGTGGGCGAAGTGCTACATAGTGCTGTACCTAGTCCACGGTAATGCTTCCACCTCCTGGGTCATTTAGACGGATCGATCGTTGCACCAAGCCAGAGTGTGGTCAGACTCATTGCAAGACAAGTCTGCGCCATCCACGCTCACATCTCTCCGCACTGCGCAATCGCAACGTCCTGCAACGGCCGGTTCTCTGACTGGGTAACACGCGTGTTCTCAATCTTAGTAACAACATCCATGCCATCTATGACCCTGCCAAAGACAACATGCTTTCCGTTTAGGTGAGATGTACCGGTAGGAGAGGTGATGATGAAGAATTGGCACCCGTTGGTGTTGGGCCCAGAGTTCTGGAGAAGTCAGCATGGTCAACGATGGCGATGGATGAAGCGCAACGTACAGCCATGGAGAGCAGCCCAGGTCCATCGTGCTTTAGGGTGAAGTTCTCATCGGCAAATTTCTCGGTGCCATAGATTGTTCTTGATCCAGTTCCGTTGCCGTTGATGAAGTCTCCACCCTGGATCATGAACCCTTTAATCTGACTTGGTAAGCTTTCATGCGCATTGACAACAAAACGGTTTTGGTAGGCTTGCAATCAACTGCCAAGAACCACTACATGCGCTCGTATTGACTTACCACGCGATGGAACTTGCACCCTTTGTAGCCTTGTGGCTGGCCACGGTTGTTCTTGGTTTCTCCCGTGCAGAATTGGCGAAAGTTCTCCGCCGTCCGTGGAACCACATCCTTGAACAACTCCATCTTGATGCGACCCAGTTTCTCACCTGTTGCCCATCTTAGCTACCAGTCGCCAGCACCATGCCCCACGCAAAGCGCGGCAACAGAAGAAGAGAAATGGATAGCACCGATAGGCCCGTCCTGGGATTTGCTATGGCCTACCTCCTAGCGTGACATCGAAGAACACGACTGGGTTGGGGTCGGACTCGGCCATGACTGGGGCTGTGCACGATTCTGCAGGGCTCCTGACGGTTGCAAACAGATGACGTTAGACGACAATTTGGCGAAATCGGAGTTTCGCAGAGGGTTGCAAAGTGTGCGGACTCGCTGTCGGAGGCCTGCTGTGGTGCCGCAAAACCGGAATTCAAGTCAGCTGCTACTGCAAGGCACCCTAAGCGGGAGCGATCGTCTATCGGGGTGAATGTCGAAGTGGGCAGCCAACGCAGCGTGGACCAGAGCCTGGAAAAGTCAAGCGGGTGGTGAACGCAAGCAAGCGTGCGCTAGTCGCTCTTAGCGCTGGGGTAGCGGATGGTGCAGACAGCGGAAAAGCACGCGCCGAGTCGCCCAGGTCTGCGCTGCATGATTTGTTGCCTGCGCAAGGTGGTGTGCGAGATGACGAGCTGGGGAAGCGACGCATGCACATGTCACTGTGCGACGCTCCGGATCGCGTTCGTATGGTTTGCGGATGTGATCAAGACAGGCCGGCGTCCAGGGATGAGACACAGGAAGGGGCGCCCCATCAGTGGTCGTGGCTGCCGCAACTTCACGAGCTGGAAGGCGCCGCCCGACCGCAGTGCAGGCACGCAGCCGGCATCCACGACGAGTGCAGGCCCAGACTGCTTCGCACAGCCATGGTTGCCACGATTCGTTGACTTCACCACTGCGTGTGCTCGGCAGGCCGTCCGCAGTGCCTGCGCGAATTGTCATCCAGAGATCACCCGAGCCGCTCCCCAATCGAGCTTGGCGCCGTGCCCGGCTCTGCGACGCCATCGCTCCCGTGAGTCCTTTGTCCTTCTCCGCTCTCCAGCCTCGACAAGACACAGGGCACGACATCGACCCCGACCGTCTGCACCACACCCGGAGGGCATGGCCAGCGTAGCGCTCCGACACCATCGCTGAAGTTCATCGTCGCCCTCGACAACCGACGGTCCCGGCGCTCTCCCGCTCGAGCCCGGCCCAGCTGCTCGCCACGAGCCACGATACCGCTACCCTTAGCACCGCCTGCCATCCAAGCCGATCGCAGCCCGCGCTTTTCGCCTGCACGCTCAAGTCGCGCATTCGCCCCTGGACCTCACCTCGGGTTCGTTGACGCACAGAGCGACCATCCGCATCCGGTCCCTCAACGGCCTGTTGTGTGCATTCACAATCCACATTTTCTCTGTAAATAGCTGCAACAGCAAGCGACCTGCTTAATTGAAGCGTCAGCGTATCGGTCGTTGTACATACATGAGACGCTGCCAGTAGCAATGTCGACCACATCTGCAACAACACCAGTGCCCTCCCAGACGAGTGGCGGCGGAGGTGGAGGAGGTGGTGGTGGCCCGACCAGCTCGCCTCTACTCTTCTTCGTCGCACTCGGCTTCGGTGTGGTCTTTACTAACCTTTGGTATGCTTGCATGATGTCAATGACTTGCTGAGCGTCGGCTGACATGGCCCAGGATCATCGTCGGTGTCAAGTACTGCTTCCGCTACAACCAACGCAACCGCGCCGCTCGGGCTGCTGCAGATGGCGAGCCAATTGATCTTACGGCCATGCCGCGCCCGCACAGGAGGAGAAGAGAAAAGAAGCTGATGACTATGGATGAGGTCAACGAGCGCTTCCCGCTGCAAAAATACAAGCAATGGAAGGCCAGCCGCGAAAACCAAGGATTACCAGCGTCGGGCGGTATCGCCACTGCACCTCAGAGTCGAGCGAACAGTGTCAAGGATGTTGACGGCGTCGTTGCTCCTATGCAGGAGGGTGCTTCAAGTCCATCGCCCGCCACTTCACTGAGCAAGGCACAGGAGGGTCACGCTGCCACGAGCGGGGCTTTACAAAAGGAAACTATGTCACCGCGCACCAGTCTTTCAGCAGGCGAAAACAAGGAGACCGGGTCTGAGAAGAAAGAGGTGGACGAAAAGCATGCCGAGCTTGTACAGACAGAAACCGCTGTTAGCCATTACGAACCAAGCAAGCCGTCACAAGCTCACGAGCACGACGGTGAGGATTCGGACGATGACGACCCCATTCGAACAGCAGCCGCGCCGGAACTATTGACGGAGCCTGGCGACACATGTGCCATCTGTTTGGATACTCTCGAGGACCAGGATGATGTGAGGGGATTGACTTGTGGCCATGCTTTCCACGCCAGCTGCGTGGACCCGTGGCTTACGAGCCGTCGTGCTTGCTGCCCACTCTGCAAAGCCGACTACTACGTTCCCAAACCTCGCCCCGAAGGAGAGACTCAAGAACAGACTGCATCGGGCCGCCGTTCGAATGCAACCGGGCTCAGGTCACCTACGACTCCTCCAGCTACGTGGAATGCTCGGGGTAACCCGTTCTCACGGTCGCGTGTTGTTGCGATCTCCGGTCCCGGTCGACAGAATGGCAGCAACACTCGGCAGGGAAATTCGGGAATGCCGATGATGGATTTGTTCAACCGGCCCAGACGTCAGGACCGCACCGCACCTACCACCACTGATGCCACTGCGCCAGTCTCCGAACCTCGGCCGACGATGTCAAGTTGGAGAGCAAGACTTGGACGACCTGTTGTGCCCACTGGCAGCATGCCCGGTTGGTGGGGCCGAGGCCGTGGCGCCGATGCCGACAACAGCGCAAGCGCCCAGCCCACACCGGGCCAACTTGAGGCTGGCAATCGGTGATGGTTTTCCTCGTCTTATACGGGCGTCACGACACTTTCAGTTCAGATACATCTTACGCAATGACGATTTACATATTCCCCCTTTTCATGTTTTTGTTTTTGTGCTCGGAGCCAAATTTTTTGCACCGGCGTTAGTCTCGGACGTCCCCTTTGTGTTTACTGTATAGTTCGTAAAGGTGTCTCTTGCGATGGATGGGGTGAGGCATGGCATGGCATTGGGCGGGGTTTTGGGTTTTCCTGCCTTTTAGGGAGAGGAAAGGAAGGGAGACGAGTAGTGTACATGCGGACTAGGTCAGATGACAATATGAATTCTGTGATGTGTACATGTGGGCTTTGTTCGCCATTTGTGAGTGCTTGGTGTGTGCATGTGGATAGAGGTGATGGACGCGTGGGTCTGTGGGGAGACGTAGAGGTCGGGGTGGGGCTTGAGAGTGTTGGTAGCACGGGCAGTAGGGATGAGAGTGGTAGTGTTATAGATGATTAGTGTAAGTTTGTTTGGGGGAGGTAGAGTAGGGGCGAGCGGAAGGGATGTAGGATAGTAGGTACAAGGTGAAGATAAAGAATGTGGTTTTCATAGAATACGTTGCGTACAGGTTGTGTGTAGTTTTGTTTCCAACGGAGATGGTCAAATCAGGGTGCGGGCGTTGATGGGTCATTAGGAGGTAGGGAGGGAGGTAAAGAACGAAGCTAGGGCTTTTATAGGGAGATGTTCTTTTGGTTGCGGTTTAGCGTTCAAGGGGTTTGGATTTCGAAATTCTTGTGTCGCTGGATTGTCTGGAGGTTTAGTGAGGGTCTTGGGGTCACTGTTTGGGTTCGCATATGTGCTGGGAGAAGAAGCGGAGATGAGATGGGTGTCGAAGAGGTGCCGGGAGGCACTCGCGCGCACAGGATGTTGACAGTGGGCTCTGGTCGTGGTAATGGTAACTTTGTATGATTGTGCGCTCTGTGCATCTACGAAATATCGGTGGGGGCGATCAAGTCTGGTCCACGTGTTCAACACCATGGGGATGTATTCGTAACGGATGGGTCGAGAGATGAATACGTATGGCTGTGAGAGACTTTTGCAACTCTAGACCAACGGGTAGCTTGTGTCTTGCTTATTCTGTACGTCTCTACAGGGAAACCTCGCATCAGTGTTGCAAACTAACGAAAGCTTGTGGTTAGCTGCTGGTTTCCAAGCTGTTGAGGGTCACTTGCCTGTACGCACATGTAATCAACACCCATTCACCTGCACTGCCTTTGACAACAGGTTCAGTAGATCGCCAACGGTCACGTAGAGTTGGACATGCCGCCGCAGGGACTTTTCAGCCTTGCGTCTGCACCACGACGATACCTACATAAATTCTCACTTTGAGCAGACTCTGCACTCAAACTTCCACCAGCTCCCCACCGCGTTGTCATATCGGCTTCAGACAATGAGCGGTGCCGTAGCAGCTATGGCGACATTGAATATGGGACAGCACCAGACGAGTAGTTGGGCTGCGCCAGGTTTGTTGCCCACACACGCTGGCTCAAGACTTTTGCTGTCCTGATACAGACGCTCCTGGCGAGTCGTCAACAGCAGCCCACGTCAAGCTTCCAAGGAATGGGCTTCTCGACTTGAGCGAGACGCCGCCACACCTCGTTGTTGTACATGCAGCACGTGGAACTGGGATACCATCTTAAGAGTATCCTGGCTGACCCAGCGTAGTGCACGACGTAATGCGACTGAGTCACCTCTCCTAAGACTTCCACCAGAGATCAGGACGCGCACATTGTCGAGATCGCCTTAGGCGGAGAGACGATTGAAGTTGATTCGCCACGCTCGTGTGTCATTTGTGGTAAGAAGGACCTCTCGGGCCAACTATATGAAGGGATGTCGGAAAATTGGCGGCTACGTCGCATATGTCGAAGCTGCGTACTCCCAGCCGCTCTGGTCGAACCCACATCAGTGTCGAGGGAAATATACGCGGAGTTTGCGTCGCTTGGGTAGGGCTCCTTAGAACGCACATGACGAAGGAAATTCTTGCTGATCTTGGTACGAGACAGGTTCTCGCTCAATACGTTCGCATTCAGCAGCAGACGCTTTCACAGACACATTGCTGAGACAAGGATGCTGAATTGGGTGGCATCCTTGCGATCTGCGCATGTTACTGTCATAAGCAGCATTATCTTTCCCATGATAGATTGGTTCATCGCTTATCCCTCCTTGAGAGATAGGGCCACGCGACTAGTGCCCGCACGAAGGAACTCCAATACCGGCGTAACAGTCTATGAGGCTTGCATGGGGCGCCATTACGCCGTCTCTTACCTCTATAATCTTCACGAGACCTTTCCGGCGCTACAGAATGTCCACGTGTGCAGCCTAGATGGCTATGAGCGCTATACATGTGCGAAAGCAGTTGGTGTCTGGAAAGATTCGTCCGATTCCCAGATACTTTACATTTGATCAAGACTTGAGGAAGCGCAGCACCTATCGTGGTAGATATCAATGCCAGTCAGAGCAGAGGTACAGAGTGTTGAAATCCGAAAGTGTCGAAGGTGTTAGTTGGGGTCCTAGGCCATTCCACTGGAGCTGTGCATGCCGTGCCTTTGGTCCTATCCAAACACATGGACACTGAATTACCTTTCTAGGGGTAGCTCATTGAGTGTGTAGTCTTGACGAGAGATTGTACATATTAATTGACGTTTGCACAAGTACGGTCAATGATCAATTCGAATCCGATAGCCCGGGAGTCAATGCTCGTCTTCTCTTACTACGTGATAACACAAATCAATTACCTGCACCTCCTCTTCAGGTAAAAGCACAACAGACTTCTGACCAAGAGATGGGGTGATCAATCCTCCAATTGCCTCTCACCTCAATCTTTCGAATGCCGTACCTCTAGTCTCTCTCACACTATTGCATGGGGAAGCAAAGGACCCTATATATAGCGTCGACGTTTCGTATTGATCTGTTCCTACGTCCACCTTCAAGAATGTACGGACTACCTGCGGTGCCTCTCATTACCCAACAACTACAGTCGCCATCTAATATCACCATGGCTGCCCGCAACAAAGGCACCCTAAGGCACTTCACAACTCTTCATACCCTCAAAGCTAAGCAGGGACCTTTAAGAGCCTCCAATCAAGGTAAGGTTCTCAACGGTGCAAAAACCTCGAAGCCTTCTGCGGGGGACTTGGCGCGTGCGAATAGCACGAGGGCGTGGGAGGTTAAGAAGCTGGAGAACGGTTTGGTAGATGTGGCAAACACATCGCCGTGGAAGATCGAGGTGTAAGTCATTCAAGAGCTCTGTCAATTCCACTAAAATAGTGCAATAGCTGACCTGACTACAGTACCGAGCGCAATGCGACACAGTCACCGCTTCTCCGCTTGCCAGGCGAACTCCGCAATAAGATCTGGCGCTACGCGACTACCGGCAACATTGTCAACATACACGACGATGACTCACGCTGGGATAGTGTTTTCTGCAAAGGACACACCGTAGGAGTCGTCGGCGAGGACAATCCGATGCGCTGGCTCAGCACCCGCGCCGAAGACAAGCCTCGCCTTCCTACAGCCTTCCATCTCTCGGCAGTTTGCAGGCAGATCTATCACGAGGTTGGAATACTGGCATATTCAGACTCAATCTTCGTCCTTTCCAGCTGGAATGACGAGGGTGAGCTGATGAGACAATGGGTTCGCACAGGATTGGCTCCCGCCCACAAAAATGCAATCAAGGACATTGCCATCGATGAGGAGAACTTCTACGCCTATCATCTAAGCGGAGTCAAGCTTCGCGACTTCTTTCCCAGCTTAGAGCGCCTGCACCTCAACGCGGACCGGTTCCATGGTGTCCCAGATTACGTTGAGAGAGTATTGCTGTTACCCGGGCCCGACCTGATGAGGCGTCTGAAAGAGTCAGCGCAGGAGGACGTTGAGTATCGAGAGGGCACTAGCGTGAAGCTCGTTTGGCATGAGAATCCAGTTGAGGACTACGAGGACCCTGACGCTCAGAGTATCAGGTGAGGAAGCTTTGGACCTCGACAGCGAGATGCTGGACCTTCGACCGTCCTAATTCAGGACCAGTCCGCCATCCACAGGCTGTATTAGCAGTATTGACTTTTTCCAATCTTTAGATCATTGCAATGTGTTCACGCAATTGTTTGATCGTCTCCATCACTTCACAGATTCCTTTCCTTGTTGTACCTACCGGCCATTTAGTGCGGTTAGACAGCCTATTCCCCGACACTACATCTTATCAGTTACTTCTGGCTTCGGATTATTCCAACGAAGCATTTCTTCTCAACATGGCAGTTGTCCATGCAATGTCTCATCGGCCCTTTGCAGAACCACCCTGGTGTTGAACAACAACTCTTAGGTTGAACATGCCAACCGAGAGCGACCCTAGAGCCGGTGAGCTATTGAATTGATGAATATCTGAACTATGCATATCAACGGATGCCGAGATCGATTTCGTGGGGGTTCTTCTGTGATGCTCATCAGGTCTTTCGTACACCGATCAAGCAACGAAATGACATACTCTCCGACCGGGCGGAGCATTTGCCAAAGGACCTCTAGACGACTCTGGTCTAGAGAAGACGGCGACCCCAGAGCTCAGCCTTCTGGACTCGCTTACCGAGTCGTCTTCAAGCCCACACGTATTGTCTCAAACATTCCTACAAGGTGCATCGCGCGGGATGTGTGGATATCCCACTTGTATTTGAGCCTCTTGGTGGTCCACTTCCATCACGCCACGCAAAGACGTGTGATGAAGCAGCTATGTAGGCAGGATCCTCACCGCAAGATAGCGCGTCCGGTGAGCGTAATCCCCACGAAGCACCAAGCAGCCACTCAAGATGCTATCTACCGTCCCGCATCCAAACGGTCGACCAAACAGCCGTCCCTACTTACGCCGACCTCGTGGCCTACGCCCCGTACGCTCCGCTAACGACGCCTCCCAAACCAGCAATCGCCAGGCAACCCAAGCAGGTGCCGCCTGCAAAAAGCAAAAAACCAGATAAAAAAAGTTCGACCCGAGCAAATGGGCAGGCACGGGCCTGGCAGAGCGGTAAGCGATGCAGGTCGGCCGCGCCAATGACGGGGTGAGGCGCCAGCAGGAGCTCAAAAGCAATCATCGAGACTGGAATTTCCCGAGAAGGCTTGACTGGAGACCACGTTGAGGTCGCATAAGCCTGCCGAAGCCACCCGTTGTGCGTCGCGAGATTGGTGCATGGGCGCGTGCATGGGCTGGCGACCGACTTCGCTCGTGACGAGAGTTGCTTTTTTCTTTCTTTGTATCTGTGCCTTGGAAGGTGGTCATTGAAGTCGAAGGAGAAGTATGACGGAGTGATCACTGTGGCTACAGTAAGCAAAGATCAAGTGGACGACGTTACGAATGATGTTGATAATTTAGACGGAGACATGCGTTCGAGGTGCGTAGGTACATGCTACAAAACCCCGATCGTATGGTCAAAAAGTAACGAACGTTTTTTGCGTAGTTAGGTGTAGCATGCACCTTACAGAAGCGGGTGCGCCGACGACGACTGAATCCCTACGCAAGGGGATCAAAAGGGCAAAATCTGCGAGCAGTGCGACCATCTCGTCGGCACCAGTTTACTTTTCTGCTTCTTGCACACAGCGGCTAAGTGTATGCGTTCAAAGAAACGTTGCGGCGCACTTGTTGCAAATCGAGTTGCGGTATATTGTAAGGCCGAGGGAAATGTCCGCGATGCAGTGTTTCGAAGATCGCGGTGTTGGACTGGAGCTAGTTCTCATCGCGCATCGTAGTACTGCATCGTGCGTCACCTCGCTGTCCGCGCGTACATGCATCACAGAATGTGTCCAACGTAATGTATATCTGCGTCCTACGATAGCTAGAGCCTCAATTGACCGCCGTTTCGGAGATCCACAGGAGATGCTCCTTACACGATTGAAGGGTGGCTTAGCTGTGAGCCTTCGGCGATCAAACACGGCGGAAACCGAAGGACGCGGTTGGCTCACGGCCTGTCGACGACCGAAGCTTGACTCGTGGAGGAATTCCTATCTTGTCGATAAGTTCGTAACTTTGTACCCCACGCTTTGTAAAGGTTTGGAAGGTCAACAGAGATGTTGCATTGACCAGCGGAAGCATCGATGCGGTACCGCAACCATCCCGGTTCCGCAACCGAGCACAATGGCGTTTTGGGAATGGCATGAATCGCGCACAGGCCGATTCGATCGGAATGACTCCCGTCGCGGTGGTATTTTCCTCTGAAACGTGAAGGTGTACAATTGTGGAAGGTGTTGAGTGTGGAGCAAGAAGACTGTGCCGATACCTGACTCATGGATGTACAAGTCCAATGAAAATTGGCAGGCAATGTTGGTGCGACTTGACTGCGACCGTAGTGACCTGCTCGTTCAAACCCACTCTCAATAACCTTGCCATCCGTAACTGCCGTTGTCGCGCGAGCAGATTACGGCCTTTGGAATCTCGACCTATGAATTCATTGCAATTTTCGGTAAGAATCGGACGGAGGATGGCATCGTAGCGTGGGGGTCTGGACGGTTTCCGGCGCTGAACTCCTTCGAAATTTCTGCGGACCTGGGGAGGCCCACGGCGGAGCTAGAGTCGTTCAGTGTTAGCATACATTTGCTGTAGCCTCGCCCAGATTTCCAAAACACAGCTCTCAACACGTCCGAATGTTCTGCTGCATTGAGTTGAACTGGTTGTTGAAGCCCGTTTAATCTTTCAATGTTAAGAATATCTCCTCCGCGGTAAACACATTAGTGCTTCAATTTGATCTCCTGATACTTGTCGCTGCGACACATGCAGACCCATCACCGATGCATGTAGCATGTAAGGCTGTTGAGTAGCCAGAGGGAATGCGGAGGTCTACAGTTTGTCTTCTACTCCGCATTGATGTCATGTGTTTTAAATCCCTCACTTCCTTGCAGAAATAGTCGACGCCATTCCGTTCCGGCCGAGGAGTGTTACACTGTCGTATGATCACTTACTTCCTCGAGCATCTTACGGCCTTGGCTCCGAATTCGAGATAATGCGGGGCATTGCAAGCATTTGCAGCACAAGACCCACTTGGGAGACGCTCTCCATATTGGATCCCATCGACAGTCTTACCTAATTAGGAACGCCGTATAACACGACAGGGCTGTGCCTCAAGCTCTTTTGCTGCGCGTCATACACCCTGTAGCATTCGTGTACTTCAGGAAATTCTTTTCCTGGAACCTGGCGACATATGCAAACATTATTGATTCAATCTCGACGGCCCCAACTCAAGATATTTTGTCCGAAGGGTGTGCCCCTGTTAGCGTGATAATATTTTTCGCGATGTCGCCTCAGAACCGAAGTAGGTCCTTGGCTGGATCTCTGTTGAGTGTGGCAATGTCTTGCCATCAAAAATTCCCCCATGAATCACACAACGTGGTATGCGTGGGGAGCCTGTTTAGATCGCGCTTTCGTACGATGTGGCGGGGGCTGCTGAGCACTGCCACTCCCATCTTACTGTGTTCAAACAAGATATTTCGCTCGGAACCATAACCGAAGTGAGATTGTCGGTGAGACCGTTCAGCGTGCAGGTTCTCGACCCCTGGAGATGACCCTTCATCCCACGCTGTCAGATGGCGACGTTGCGCGTAAACCCGATCGACCCCACGCACAATACCATCAGAATAGTGGTATGCGGCTCGTGACGAGACTACAGTCTGTGCAAGCCTTGCCCACGATCAGAGAAAGGCGAGGTTCCAGACAGGATCGGCAGTTTGCTGCGTTGATCAACGGTGAAAGTTGGGCTTTTGTCAGTTTGTGTACGGCGACTTGACCCCGCATTACCACCAGTCACAAGGAGGATGTATAAGCTGGGTGGCTACATGAGCGCAACCTAATACCATGGGCGCGTAGGGCGCCGAACAAGGTGACTAGATATCGTCGAAGAGCTGAATCGTATGGATCGGGACTTCGACACTCGGCGACTCGACTTCGTCACAATGACAAAATTACAACCGACGAACCCACACAAGGTTTGGCCTAGCCGTCCCGCGAAAGGTCTGGACACAGAACTGCCGCGAGCATCCAGGAACTACGAAGTTGTGCATGTTTCTTGACTCTCCTCCCAATCTTTCGCCTTTTTCAGCCGTCATGGATTCCTCCCATGTGGACTCGGTCGTCATTGCCTAGAGCAAAGAGTCGTACATTGTGCATCCTAGCGAATGCATTACAGTGCAGTCGTCGTACAGTCATGTGTGCTGAATGATCTATTGTTGGAATGGAGAATTACCTGAGGATACGATGCCGAAACAAGTCGTCTCTTCGGTAATGTCGAGCCATTCATTGATATCCACTTTCATGCATATCGCCCCTGGCGTTGACTAAACGCCAGCACTGCCAGCGGAGGCATCACATGGCATCGCGCATCAATCCTTGTCAATGCTGCTCTATGGCCTTGTGTTGTTTCTTGCAGTTGCGTCCGTATTCCTCAGGTCAGAAGATCGGAGATACCGCGAAGCCTCACACACAGCGCCTTTGGATGCAGGAGAGCGGAAGGCGCAAGATCGCGGGGACGACTGGGCGTCGCGCTCATGCAAGTCAGAAGCCCCAAGAAGGCCATCGGGAGCGGAACCATGCCGCACCTCAACCTGAACGTGGTCTGAAGGCGGGGGAGCCTCTCCTGGATCGGCAATTTGTGGGGTAATAGCGCGTGTTGCAGGCCTCGGTTCCTTCTCGGCCTCGCTTTTCGCGAAGGCTGTGTTGTTGCGCCCACTGGGCAAAACAGTACATGTACATACTGCACATGTGCAGATGTAGCCACTACGCAGACCCTAGAAGCCATTACGAGAGATGCGCATGAAGCCAGCTCGAACTGCAAGAAAACTCTTCTGTCTCGTGCCGTAGTGGGAACGGCCGCGCTCGATCTCCGTCGGAGAAGATGGCGTCGCGAAATATCTCGTAGAGTGTGACGGCAAAGCCCCAAGAAGCAGGGAATGCCTGCACTGTGATCGTGTCTGATGTGCAGCGGGATCAACTCGTTCGGTCTCCTGGTAGCATGCTGCCACAAGCGTTGGCGTGGGGGAACAGAGATGTTTGCCGGCAACAAACAGCGGTTTAGAGGATCCCCCTTTGTGGCATGCAACCTAGATCCGGCAATAAAGCAACGAGAGGCTGACGCTTTTCCACGTCTTTGGGTCGTGGGCTTGCACTGAGTGCCGGACCACCTTTTCGGCAGCTGCTGCAGGGACGTGTTGGTTGTAGACGACCTGCTTGATTCACACGCACTTGGAGTGTTGGCTCACGGATGTTTGATGCCCGAGTGATCCCAGGTTCAACTGCATTACTCCGATACGAGGGTAAGATCCGGAGGCATGAAAAATGGCACATCCAACACCACGCGATGTTGAGATCCCCTCGGTGCAATTGCGGTAGGCTAGTGTGGCATAGTAGCCATGGTCTGGGGTCCGCCACCGGAACCAGCAATAGAACGTGGGGGGCCACGGCCACCGGGGTCGGTTGCTCGCAAGGGCACAAGGCGAGGAAGCCCAGCAGGCCCCGTCCACATCTGGTACCTCGGAGTCCTTGCACGGATTCGGAAACAAGTGTGATGACTGCTTCTGTGCTGATGCCGCGTGATGTGGTGACGAAGAGGCTGCTGAGGTGGCAGCCTCAGCCGCTGTCTGCCACAAGGCCACGTCTTGCATCCTCTTGCGGCTCCTCGAGCAGCTGTATGCATGCCTGATGTCCTGCGAGGTCAACGGCCTCCGTCCACTAGGACCACGACCGGAGGCCGTGCGATATCAGATGACGAGGCGAGCTCGGACGCTTCCTCTCTGAACAATTCGCCGTCTACGACTCCACCCCCACACTAGGAACCCCGAGCACGCGCTGCAACGCTCGTCGAGCCCCGCCAACCCTTCGGACGGGCGAGACGGTGGCGACGCTCGGCCTATGAGCAGCCTGGATGGGCGTGCAGGAGATCGTCACAAGGCATGCGACCCTACCCAACACCTCAGGCCAAGATCCGACCTGGTCGACGCGCTTACCCTGCCAGCTGTGACCGCAACGTGATGGGGAAAAAGCAAGCCAGTGTAGCCAGTCCTGCACGTCACAGCGATTGGCTGGTCTTGGGCGTGCTGGCCAGGGCGCAAACAGCCGTGCCTGACATGGGTGTTGCGCCTCCAGAGTCACCGCCCCTTTGGTTGTGGCAGCGAGCTTGTCCTCCATGGGAACTATTCTGTGCACCTTGCTTTGCCCGCGACCCCTAGCGTTTCTCTGACCGCACCATCAGCTGGACCCCCACACTCCAAAATGCGCCGGCTTGTGAATTATTTAAGACTGGGACGATTCGCAGTAGCCTCCCATAGCTCCCACTGGTGTATCCGCTTCGTTCGTCGCCCCATTACATCCTGAATTGTTCTTTGTCACGACGATCGATCTGCTTTGCTTCCGTCTCTTGTCAATATAAATTCGGTTGAGCTGCCCCCGAACATCATCATGTCACCGCACAACGACGCACCTTCCCCTGCATCGAGCTTTGACTCTCGTTCAGAGTATCCCATCCACCACCAAGCTGTTCAGTCCATCTACACCATGAACCAGTACAACGAATTCGACACCAGCTCCATTGAGTCCGGTGACGTCGGCCTGAGACGGTCTTTGGTGCCTGGCATCTACGTTCCGACTATTGCATTCTTCGACCCTGCCACTGACAATGTCGATGTGGAAACCACGGCCAACCACGCTGTGCGTCTCGCAAAAGCTGGTGTTGCTGGAATTACCACCCAAGGATCCAACGGCGAGGCAGTACACCTTTCCCACAGGGAACGCAACTTGGTGACGAGCACTACCCGCAAAGCTCTCGATGATGCAGGCTTCGGATACATGCCACTCATCGTTGGGTGCGGTGCCCAGTCTACCAGGGAGGCCATCGAACTGTGTGAGGAGGCCGCCGCCGCTGGCGGAGACTATGCCCTCGTCCTCCCTCCTGCTTATTACCAAGGCCTGTTCTCCAAAGATACTGTAGCAAGCTTCTTCCAGGACGTAGCAACCGCTTCGCCGATCCCAATCCTTATTTACAACTATCCCGGCGCTGTTTCCGGAATGGATCTGAACTCGGATGTCATCATCAACCTTGCGCAACACCCAAACATTGTTGGGTGCAAGTTGACTTGCGGAAACACTGGAAAGTTGAACCGCATTGCGGCAGCTACACGTGCAGCAACCGTGTCAGATCCTGGTTCCGGCTTCATGTGCATGGGCGGCTCTGTCGATTTCACTCTCCAGACACTGATCGGCGGCGGATCTGGCATTATTGGAGGCATGGCAAACATTGCTCCAAAGGCCTGTGTCAGACTTGTCGAGCTCTTCGAAGCGGGAAAATACACAGAGGCACGCAGATTGCAAGCCATTGTCGCTCGCGGTGACTGGGCAGCCATCCAGGGCGGTATCATTGGCACCAAAGCTGGTATGATGGCACATTTTGGATACGGCGGCTACGCCCGCAAGCCCCTGCCGAGGCCCAACAAAGAGGAGACCAACAAGTGGCGAGAGGCTTTTGAAGAACTGGTGCGCCTGGAGAACTCTCTATGAGATCGACACTCTTTTGATTGTTTGTTCTGCTTCCGCAGATCGGATTTCGCCTACTTGACTTCCTTACGCAATCTGCGCGTCGCCCACATCTTCGCTACTGTCGATATCGCATTTTCATCGGAGTTGCGCGCACTATGCATGCCATGGCGTTTTTGGGTTCTGTTGCTTTCATTCTCGATTGTCGTTCATTCCCAAAAGTCCAACAGGAACGTTGTCGCACCAAAAAGCTGTTCCATCCTTGTTTGCGATTCTGGGCTCTTAGAGTCATGTATCCGAGTAATGCATCGACCCTGTACATAGTGCTCTCGGTCTCAATGGGTGGTCTTTTGCTTTCGCGGTCGTTTAGCGGCATACGTAGAAATTTCATTAGTTGTGCAAAATTAGGCGCATGTCAGTCTCATGTTCTTCATCATTCATAATCCAGTTCACAAGAGTGACGGGTGCAAAGGCGTAACGCAAATATCTGATCTTGTGATGGCTGTGGTTTGCTCCTTAGCCTTACGCGGTTTTTGTGGTGCGACTGTTATTGCAACATTTTGAAGACCTGGTTCTCAAAAGCAGTAGAATTTCGAGACCGTCTCGCTCATCCGATTGTATTGCTGTGGATAACTGAGTGTGTTTGGCAGATTGGGTGCGAAAATCTGAAGCAGGTTGATTCGGTCTGGAGAAAGCCTATTTAAGCCACAAGCAGGAATGCCCTTGCCTCATGCTGCCTGCTTCTCACCTGCATTGCAACACCACTTTTCTTCTTTGTAAGTAGAAGCCGTAATGTAAAAACATATAAGATTAGCTGCACAATGCAGGCACTGGACTGCTTCTTCTGTGACGGAAAATTGTACCTCGGACGGGGCATTGCATACCGCGCGTTCAACAAGTCCAACCACCAAGAGATGTGAGGCCATTATCAACTATACACTCACAGCGCGCAGCCGGTCATATTCTACACTACAAACCCATAGTGAAAGCCCAAACGATTTGATAGGGAACTCACAGGAAGACAATAGCCCACCTCAGATGCCGAATGTGCTAGCCTCCCAGAAGGAATGCTTAATCGCACCGTCTCATTCCCAGGGTGCAAACCCTCGCAAAACTCTCGATCACTTCACATAAACTCCACCGTCTTGTCGAGCCGTACTTGAATGCCTCCGTCACAGTCTTCGAGGACAGAACCTAAGCCACACTTCGGAAATTCTCTAGAACCATCACCACTGCGTCCCGACTTGCCGCTCAAGTCAGGACACTCTACATGTGCGCCGGAAGGCCGATAACTAGACACTACATCGATCGTGCTCGGCAAATCCCCGCGCAATTGCCCAACCTTTGGTCCCTGCACATTCATAAGAACGTGTGCCCGAAAAACAACATCAAAATTGGTTTTCGGACACAAGGGAAAGATACCTAGTCAGTTTTGCATGCTATGAGAGCAAATCAAGCTTTCCCGCACCCTTGGCGCCATGTGACGCAACTCTACGCGGATTTCTATTGCACACGACTTGGGCAACTAGTTCCGATGCTTCAACTGCCAGCTCTCGAGCACCTACACTTGAGAAATGTCGCACAGTGCCAGCCGCCAGCACATCTGTCGCCCTTGGTAGGACTTCGATGTAGGGTAAAGCATCTGCGTCCCATCGTTTGGCTACGTGAGGCTTAGCCAGAGCGCGATTCTCTGAGTGCGGATCTACTGTACCTTGGAGCCTGTTGCCCAGACCTCGTGTCTTTTCTCTACATCATTACATACCTGTAGTACCTAGGATATTTCATCCCCAATCTGCTCAAGCAGTACAATCGGTAATTTACGCTTCCGGGCAAAGGAGCGCGACCTGGACATTCATGTCGGTAAGTTACCTTTGCATGACTCCCCCCGGAGGAACACAGCCAGACGCTCAACCGGGTCACGTTTGCAATTCATACTAACTCCCCACATACACAATCACACTTTGAGAGCCTCTGGAGCCTGTCAAGTGGGCCTTCGATTTCGCCCCACCGAACACACTTCAGGATACTCGCATCCGTAAACTCATAGCGAGGACCTCGTAGGATCAGACCAGAGCGCACGATCAGCAGACTCAGATGAGAGTGAGAGCGCGGTGAACCAAGGCTAGTTCGAGGCTTTTGACCGCCACAAGATGCTCTGTTCGTGGTACAAAGACAGAGGGACAACGCTCGAGGTCTTTCGGTCTGGAGACACGTTGAATTGAACCAATCATCGAAATGTAAGTCATCCCGAGTCACTATGTACACAGGGCCTCATGTCTTAGCAAACAATCTATAGGCCAAACAGAATCAGTTCCGGGTCAAGACACTCTTGACTGGAAAGACGGTGAATTCTGGGCGACGCTGCCAATCCAAAGCCGTTCTCTCTCCCATCGACGTGCTCAGCCTCCAGACCTCGAACGTGGACGTTTAAGGATGGGAGCATCGCCAGAGCCAGAGGAGCCCTCAGCTCGCAAAACACGCATCCTGCACCTCACCTACCGCACTTGTGCTTTCCACCTCCCGCTTGGATTGTGTCCTTTTCCTTTGCATTTCCGCAACCACGCAGCAGACAGGGGCACCAAACCGCGGGCCTCCACCATGTCCAGCAAAAGCGTCCCGCAGGGCCCTCATCTGCAGTCCAGACACACGATCCTACAAGCATGCCAGGCTCCACTCTCTCTCTCTTCCGTCGGCGATGCCCACTGCATGGCGATGCGACTTTCGGATTTTCAGATCGAGGCGTGTTTCAGTTTGCGCCGTCCCGTTGAGGTTTTCACGCATGAGATCGATATCCCGGGGTAGCCGTCTAATTGACGCACTGGATGGTGTACGTCTTCATTTGCCCACTGTCAACCCGGCACCCGAGTCTGCCCTATCTAGACTAGAAAACCCACTCCGTCGTCTACGACACATTTACCGTCTTCGTCTCCGCCGCAGCTCTCATCTCGTTTCACTTCACCGGGACATCTCACCTGGGTCTAGAATAACTAAGCAACACAACACACCGACAACCGTTCCCTTTCAAGCCCATCTCATTCCGCTCTGCATGCAGTGCAGCACGATGCTAATCTCAGTGTAAATAACCGAAGCTCTGGCCTGTGTGATCCAGGCTACCTAAACGCCGCCGTGAAGTTTCCAGATGCAATTCCCACCCATTTCCACCGTCCGCGTGCCAAAGCAACAGCTATCCCCAACGTCTTCATCATGCTCTGCATCCCACGGCTCGTTGTGAGGATGGAGCCTGACGCGCTTCTCGAGGAGCCAGTCGTCATAGCCGAGGGCGCGGACGGGAGTGGGAGGAGGTTCAGCTTGGCGACATGTGGAGGCTGAGCGAGGTGAGGTATTCGCGCCCTCCCACAGCGCCGCGGCAGCGACCCACTCGGCGAAGCCATCGCGCTGCTCCAGAACCCTCTCAATGTCCCCACTCGCCTCGCCTTCCTTCGCCTGCCCCCCCTCAGCGACATCCACAGCAACCTCAAAACTCAAACTCGCCGCGAAACCGCTCCACGTCGACCCCGGGCCCCACCAAATCCGCCAGATCCCGCCTCCCCATCTGCCCAAACACCCTCCGCAGCGTATCGTACAAGTTCGTACTCTGGTTCTGATGAATCATGTTATCCAGATCCCTCTCGCTGACCCCCTCCCCGACAACCTCCCTCGCGCGCTCCTTGCCTTCTTTCTCAACGACCTTGTGCATGGCGAGCGCCCCGAGGAGGTGCTGCGCGGCTTCGGTGTAGCACCCGATGTTGATGCAGGACACGCCGAGGTTGTAGCGCGCGCGGACGAAGTTGGGGCGCAGCGCGAGGGCGCGCGAGTAGGCGTCGATGGCTTCTTCGCTGCGGCCGCTGTTGGCCAGGGTCGCGCCGAGCCGGTTCCAAAGGAGGTGCAGCTGCGAGGAGGAATTGGACACGCCGGACTCGGTGGACGCGAGAGCCGCGCCGAAGCAGTCGACTGCCTTGTCGTATTCTTCCACCCCATAGAAGAGCACGCCGAGTCCGACCTGCACGTCGGGATCCATTTGCTCGCCCGTGGGCGACAGCTGGGCCGCCGCGATGAAGAGGTTGGTGACTTTCTCGTGTAGGAGGTGGCGGTCTGTGAAGCCCATCTCGGCGTCCGAAGACAGGGGCTCATTGATGAGCGTGGGGTACTTTGTCGCGAGCCAGCGCTCGAGCGTGCGGTACGCGGTGCTCTCGTAGCCCTCGTTTGTGTAGCTGACGGCGAGCCCCATGAGGGCTTCCAAATTGCTGGGGTCGAGCTTGAGCGCCATCTCGAGCGCGCGGATGGCGGGCGTTTCCTTCTCGTTCTGCGCCTGCGACTCCCCCAGCTTGACCCACGCGGCGATGTGCTGGCTGTCTTTCTGGACTGCGGCTTCGAAGGCGAGCGCCGCGAGAGACAGATTGCCGCCCTCCTCCATGATCTTGATGCCCTCCTCGAACGGATTCGTAATGTCCTTGAACAAATTGTTCTGCTCGAAGAGATAATCTCCCATGGGCGGGTCGCCCACGGAATGCGTGTTCAGCCCGTCGAAGCCCTCCCACTGGTCGAGGTCGCCCATGTGCATGCCATCCGCAAAGTTGTCCTCGTTGGCCAGTTGCCTAGCGTGTTCAGTCTCAGCCTTGATGCCGGCCCAGATGGACTCGAAGTCGCCAAAGTCGGCGGCGTCGTGCTTGTCTGCGTTTACTGACCTGTCCATTTGATTGAGCTCCGCCTCGATGCGCGCGTTGGCTTCCTTGTCCAGCGCGTCCTGGTCCACCTGCTCCAGCTCGGCAAACTGCTTCTCCCAGTCTTGGTCGTCGAGCTCCACCATGCGGCCCTTGCCCTTGCCCTCCTGCTGGGGTTGTTGCTGCTGGAAGTTCTGCGCGCCGTAGTTGCCCTGCATCATGCCCATGCCGCCCATGCCCATTCCCATGCCCATGCCTATGCCCATGCCGCCACTATACATGGGCCGCTGGTATCCCCCCATCATCGACGACGGCGACTGCACGCCCGGACTCGCCGTCCGCGCATTTGGATTCATCTGCTGGAACTTTGCGAACTCGGCGGGGCTGAAGCCCGCGGGTCTCTCGAGCATCGCGGGCCCCATCACCTCGGGCGCCGCCATGCCAGGATCGAATTCGGCCGCCCACGCAGGCGACCCCGTGTGCTGCGCGCGCTCGAGCTCGCGCCGCATCTGCTCCATGGCGAAGGGCGTCGCGGGGCCGGGGCCCTGGGGCAGCTGTGCGTTCTGCTGCATGAACTCGTTCATCATCTGCGCAGCACTTGTTAGCTGTCATCCAGGGCGCCATTGCCTGTCTTCAACGTACACCGTCCGAGCCGCCGCCCATCTGCTGGCTGCGCATGCCCTCCTGCAGGCCGCCCGGCCCCCGCCCGACCAGGCGGTCTCGTTGTAACGACTTGTCATCCTGGACGTGCTTGGTGAACTGGCTGAGCGGGTTGCCCGCCGTCGAGCACTCTGCGCCGCCGAGGAAGGACATGGCTGGTCTGCGGTCCGCGACGGGGTGGCTACGTGGCAAGCGTGGCACGGGGGCGAGGCTGTTGCTGTTGCTGTTGCTGTTGCTGGTGTGCAAGGTGAGCAGTCTACCGCCCGCGGGGTGCAAGTGCGTTGCGGCTGCGGCTGTTGGCGGTGCGTCGATTGCGGAGTGTTGACGGGTCTCTGTTGGGGTGGGGCGCCCGCAGCCGAAATCGCCGAGGTACTTTGATTTCCAACCTCGCAGTGGCGAGCATGGGGAAGACACATCCCGAAGCAGGCAAAAAGTGAAACTGAGGTCAGCTATTAAATTTTGTTTCGCCGCAGCACCCATTCCGCCCTATCATGTACAGAAAGAGAGGGGAATCAAACGCCGGGACACTCCTCTAGTTATGGTACATGCCGTCCTGCCAGCCCTATCAACACAGTAGAAAACGACAAGATGGAAACATGCTCATGTGCTCTCACGTCGTCGTCTTTTAAATGCCCCCGACGCTTTTGACCAATCCGCCCCTCTCGTTTATCAAAACAATGCTTGCAACGCGCCACTCGATGCCGCCCTTACTTCCTCTCGCCGTCGCGCTGGTTGTTGCTGCCTGATTTGCTGAAGTCGACACGCAGCTGTCTGCCGTAGATGATCTTCTCCTGGAGCACCTCCTTGGCGCGGGTGGCGCTGGCCGTGTCGATGAAGTCGGCGTGGGCGAAGCCTCTCGGCTGGCCCGTCCTGCGGTCAATGGCAACGCGGACGTCCATGACGTTGCGGATGTCGCGGAAGAGGTCGTTGAGGTCCTTGTCCGACATCTCAAACGACATGTTGCCGATGAAGAGCGTCTTGGACGGCGGGTTGGGCACGATGTCCCCGGTCGATGTGCGCGTCCGCGAGTTCTCCTTGGGCGAGTGGTACTGGACGACGAGGTTGCGGCCCTCGAATACCTGCATGTCGAGGTTCTCGCACGCGGCTCCGGCAGCCGCCTCGTCCTTGAACTCAACGTAACCGAAACTACATCATCAAGTCAGGGCGGCGATCGTGAATCAAATGACATGCACGACTTACCCTCTGCTGAGCCCCCTGTTATCGTAGATGAGCCTGACGTTCTCAATCTCACCAAACCGGCTGAAGACGCGCTTCAGCTGGTCTGCGGTGACCTCGTAGTACAGGTTGCCGACGTAGACGACCTTGTTAGGAACCATATTCCGCTCGCGCGCAACACGGGGCTTTTCCCTTGGAGGTCCACGGCCGGATCTGGGCTCGGCGGCTTGCTTCAAGGCATCGGCGCCGACAGTGTTCTCAGCATCGGTGGGCGGGGCCTGTGCCTCTTCCTGCGCGGGGGTGAGGTCCTGCTCTACGGGAGCCTCTGCTGCGGTTTGCGCGAAGCCCTCCTCTGCCTCGACCTTCTTGGCCTCAGCATCTGTCGTCGCAACCTTGTGCGGGTCCTCGCTGAGGAATCTCTTCTGGAAAGCAGACACGGTCCATTGCTGCTTCTTGGCGCGGAACGCGGTGGGTGTGAGGGAGGAGAAGGAGCGCGGCGTGACGAAGACGGCCGACGAGGGCGTCGAGGCGATCGCGCGAGCAGCTGTGCGGCGGAGGAGAAACCTGTACAGGCGCATTAGCACCTCATGGCGAAGAGACACCAGGACAGTGCAACTTACATGATGGCGAGTAAAGGGCAGAGAAAAGGATAGAATAGAAGCGTAGATGGGAGCTTCGATGTCGAAGGGGTTCCTCCCAAATTTTCTGGATACAGGGCGCGACCAAGCGCCACGCTAAGCCCTATGGTCACGGGCTCGGAGTGCTTGCGAGCGACCCCCTGGCACTCGTTGTATCATTGATTTGGTCATTTCCTCAGCTTTGGCATTTGTTCTCTCTTTCGAATGTCTACCATAGGTAACTCTCACTCACCTCTGCTCCAATCGTAGACTCATAATATCGCAACTTTCAGTGTAACTCCGCCCTTTCCACGAGACCTGCAGACTGTTCATCCGTGCCCATTTCCCAGCAAAAGCATTCGCCACGTCAATTCCATCCGATTCCTCGAACAGGCACTCATCTTCGCTGTCAAGCAGACCTCACTTCCCAGCATAGAAGCCTCTCGCTTCCCCTATATTTCTGATCCTCACACTCCCACTTGTGCCTCTACACACTAAAAGATAATGGATGCAGCACTCATGTCTTTTTATTCGTCTAAAACCCAAAATCAGCAAGATGATATGTCTGCTTTGACCTGGAGACGGTCCAAGGCTCTCATCAACTCGATACCGTGGCCACCTCTTGAGGGACGTGGAATATCGCGACCACGAACCTAAACCAGTACTACCTATGTGGCAGAGGAGCATATGTCATATTTCTTCGGACGAAAACTGTATAGACATGGAAGCATGCTGCTTCGTCTGCGACCACCTCTACAGAGTTCAAAAATCATTTCTTCCGCTGGGCTTCAAAGACGGCATAAAAAAATGCTTTGGGTGACTTGCTCTCTGTCTAAAACAATGGACAAGGAGAGGCATGTGCTTCATGTTTTAGTTGGAGCACAAGACCCTTTTCCAAGATCTATGCTTCTATCCCCTCACTAAAGCGTTTGGATGACGTCCAAATTTTCTGCTCCTAGCTTCCGCTAAAGCCACGATACGTACAAAGTATGTCGCTGTGGACGGTAACTCTTCCACAAGCTCATTTCCCTATCTAGCTTTGACATGAATCACCGAATCTTACGACGCATGTGCTCGCGCACCCTGGGTCTTTTGCAATAACCGTGCTCGGCTGAGAAAGGCGTAACTGATCCATATGTCCTTAGTGCTCTGAAACACCGAGAGATTGGTCATAACAGCTGTATGTGTTCTACCTGATAATTTTTTAGGGAAGTCTGCGCTCCCATCCTTCTTTAAATCCAGGTCAAGACCAAACATGATGTCATGGGTCAAGGGTTTGCAAACACACGCGTTCTTTCTTAAACGAAAAGAGATTGCAATCAGAGATCATTTTCTTTGACCCGGGGTACCCCAAAAGGCAGCGGCAGCCTTGATCCTTAGTGTTGCTACCAGGAATCTGGGGGAACAGCCAAAATGTCCGGCCGTGTGTTCTTCCAAAATCCCGCATAATACGTCTCATGCTGTGGAAGCAACCGAACCAAATTGGACGCTTTCTTATCGTGTGCAGCGCGGAACGACAAGCCAGAAAGAATTATTCTTATGCTCCTCTTCGCTGCCCCGCTGGAAGGAACGCGTCACATCACTAATGTGTGTGGGAGCCTACAAACATGCCCAAAAAAGTAATGGTGTCACCTTTGGGTAGGATCTGAAAACCCACTCGAAGCATTCCTGAAAACGATTGCAAGCTTGCATATGTCTTCTCGGTGCGAAAACACAAAGCGTACTGTTCAATCAACCATGTTGTGCGCCGCGGTGCAGGAAGAAGTATCTATGACACCCGTCCACTGAAAGACCCATATCTAAGCTCTATGTGGCTTATGAGGCCTGCTCGGTGGGCCATTAAAAAGTGGGCGATCTCTGTTTATTGTGCGAGATCGCACCTAAACCACCAAGCCCGAGCATAGATGCTATGCGGAGGAAAGGAGCAGCATACTAACCTTTGCCTCTTTCCTTAGTCTGAGAAAGACAAACGCAACGATAGATGTGCGTACCAGAACACAGATATGTGCGCTGCGCGTTTATGTTGTTTCAGAGGTATACGACCAGGAACTTAAAATAACCATTTTCCAAACATAAAGTTGAGGTATCGATGCCGTTCGTGTAGGAGGAACTCAAATGCAGAACAAGGACTGTTATTACGAATGCGTGAGTATTAGCCGCTCATCCTCTCACGAAAGAAAAAGGTGTCCAAAGAGGCTATGAGAGGGACCTCCTCGTTTCTAGTCCAAAGCCGAGCCAACGTGATGGCCTTTAGCCCGGCAGAGTTACAAAACTCATCAAGCATCTCTGATGCTCCGTTGGGGATGCTTGTCACGCCACATAATGCGTCCCAGCAAGAAGAAAACGAAGAAACGACATGAAACATGAGCGGGACACTCGCCTCTCCCTTTTGGAGGACCTTCCCTAATGCGAGCTCAACTTCATGCATGTCTTCTCGGGTGGGACAGACCTGAAACGCGCAGCTCAAAGCCACCATGTTGTGTGCCTGGATTGATTGTCACGTATACCCTTCTGCATCATTTCTCCCTTTCATACCAAAAGCTCGAGACGACACGTCTATGAGCGGGAGGTCGGCTGCTCCGCTGCGAAGGAGCTTCCAGCTTGGGCCCTGTTGTGGATGATGGCCTTTCGTTTGACACACCGAATCTGTATTAGCATACCCGAATGTTGCTGCGCGGGTGCTTGCCATACATCATCTACCCTCCGCGTCATCTCCGCGAAGACGAAAATCCACAGGCATTGCATTCATGAGCGGAACGTTCGTCCCTTCTCTCAAGGATCTTCTCAAAGTCGGCTTGGAAAAGAACGATGGTCTTTCTGGTGGGATGACTACAAGAGAAGAGCCCGGCTTGCCATGTTGCTACGTGTATACTTTCCATGCACCTCCTGCTCTCCGCCTAATCTCTCTGAAAGAAAAGCCAACATCAATACCTCCATGACTCTCCTCTCTTTTCCCCAAACCCTTCCCAAAGTCGCGTTCAAGTAAGTGACTCGACGGAACGGCGTCCGGGAGAGACACGAAATGCAGGATGTATCCGGTACCAGATGAGGTAAGATGATGATACATTCTGATGCCTGGATTATCGAAAAAGGGGAGACAGTATACGCTCGCTATCGCCATGCAAGAAACAGCCCAAAGGCAGGCAGACAGGCAGACAACTCACGCCATCACACTCGACGGTCCCATGTTCACAGCTCATCCTTCTCCTCCACACCCCCCTTCCCCCAAGCCATCGCGACCCCCACCACGCCATCAACTTTCTCCCCCAAATGCGCCCGCCCGAACTTCAAGTGTCGCGCAGCCCACCCCTGCAGGCTCCTTGCTGCGTCCATCTCCTGCTCCATCCCCTCCTCAGCCACCAGCACCGCCTGTCCCAAACTCGGGTCATAGAACGGACTCTTCGGATCCGTCGAGTTCATGCTGAACGGACTGACCGGCGGCACACAAAGCGTATCTGGAGCGGGCAAATCGCCAGACTGGAAGTACGTCTTCACAGCCGCGACGGTGCACGCGGTGGGCACAGACAATGCGCAGTGCCCCTGGGCATCCTGCACAAGGAGCTCACTCCCCGGGAAACGCTTAGACATCGCTCGCGCGCTGCGCAGCGGTGTGACGGGGTCTGCGGTATTTGAGATGAAGAGGACAGGGTGCGCTGTCTTACCATGGAAGTTGTCGTCGCGACCGAACGTGTACAGCGGCGTGATAGGCCAGGCTGCACACTTCATGCGGAGCATTGCCCAGATGCCGGCTGCGGCGGGAGATATGCTCTCGAGGAGCTGCCAGTAGGCCTCCATGCCTGAGATGTCGAGGTCGGTAATGGGAACGCCGTCGCCGCAGAGAATGGCGTCTTGTGCGGTGTCGTAGTTGAGGGGCAGGGTTTTGGAGCCGTTTACGGCGGGACAGGTGTAGATGTGGGCATCGCGGAGGGCGTTGCCGATGGATTCGAGGACGGGGCCGGTTCTCTGCTCGATGGCGAGGAGGATATAGGCGATACCAGGGAATGTGAGGGTTGGCGAGTAGAGGCTTGCGAAGATAACGGCTTTCAAGTCGCTATATGTGAAAATCTCAGGGCCTTGAGCAGTATGAATGCCAAGGGGGTGGTGGTAGAGAGACTTGATAATGCGCTGGGTGCGCTGCTCTATGTCTTCAATACTGGCGGTGGGGGAAGCAAGGGGGCAGCCTTCGGGCCCCACACTGGCACAGAAGGTGTAAAACGACTTCATGTCCTTCTCAGTGTCGTAAAGGCTTCCTTGAGCCAGGCCACTGTTGTAATCGACAACATTGACAACACCATCTAGCACCAATCGCCCAACACGATCTGGGAACATTGCGGCGAATGTGCTGCCCAGGTAAGTGCCGTAGCTGAACCCAACGTAAGTCAGGTTGACCTCGCCGTGCTTGTAGACTGTCAGGTTGCTAGCACTGTTCGAAGCTTTCCTCGCGAGCAAGTTCGACTTGTCAACAACCCACTTGGCGTGTCTTTCAGCGATCTCGAGCATATCGCGAGCAACAGAAGCAGTCGTGATATACTGCTTGATGTCTGGTTCACCGCTTGCCTCCGAGTGCTCTTTGCACGCGGCGCCAAAAGCGTGGGTCATACCCCAGTGACGCCCCAAAGCAGCGTCTGAACTTCCTAAAATGCCTTCTGTAGTCTCACGAAGCTTCCATGACCAGGCAGAAGGGTTGTCGGGCATGCACGAGGCGACTGGCTGCGTGAAGCCAATTCCGCGAGGATCAAAGCCTAGGATATCGTAATATTTGCCTTTCGACTTGTTACCGGACGACGGTGCTACAACGGTGCGCAGCTGGTATGCTTCCATGAGAGCAAGCGCAATCCCAGAGCCTCCGGGCCCGCCTGGGTTAATGAGTATTGGGCCTGCATAACGTGGGTCGTCGACAGGAACTTCTGCTGGAAGTTTGGCGATTGCGATGCTGGCTGATGCGTTTGGGTGCGTGCCATTGAACCAGTCCAAAGGCACCTTGAGCTTCGCGCATTGAAACTCATCAAAGCAGGGATGAAACTGGAAATCTTCCGTCGCATGGATCTGGTTCAGAGTCAGTCACAGCGTGGTGTCGCAGCGGTTGTGCTAGATGCCAGGGCTAGAAGGCGGGATGCTCCTAAACACCAAAACATAATTGTGCGACGTGCGGTGTAGTTGCCTCCCACGTGCTCAATGCCACAGCGCCATTGACCAAGGGCGGGGCCGCATTCAACGGTGAGGTATTATATGTAGCGTGACGGCTAGACTAGTCGAATACACCAACACGCTCCCCTGGGGTTGCGTCGAATTCTTGACGTGGAAAGGCCGATACCGGTATCTAGGCCGAAGGGAACGCAGACCCGCTTACCGCATCCCAATTGAAGTTTTCCCACTGTGGACTGACCACGTCGCTTCCTTGTGTTGAGCAATTCTGCAGGACAGTGACTTTGACAAGAGGAAATTGGTGAAAGATCAGCGCTGTGGCTGCAGCAGCGGTCAAGAGTAGCCATCGCGTTCGTCTCCGCACGCGAGGGTCCTGCCCTCGATCGACTTCAGCACCATGCCAGGTCTTCATTGTTGATGAAATGAAGGTAGGGGTGTAGAGGATGCGGGGTTGGAGGGCAATTGACGAGGTCTGAGGTTTCGCAAGGCGCCCCAACCGACGATCATGTCAAGGCAGCAACGAACGTGTGTACATGTGGCGGTGCAACGCGAATTCCTTGCGATTGGCTCTCTCGCCATCCTACGACATACATACTGACTTCAAGGGACACGCAGGCCCGAGCCGTGAATGAAAAATCTGTCTCTAGTTGCGTGTCGTGAGGGAACTCGCAGCCTGGTCCCCGCACACGAACGCTGCACTGATCTGGACCTCACGGGTTGGGCGCGCCTCATGTGCGCCCGTCACACTGCTGCATGCTGGCGAAAAGAATCACTGGCGTTTGCCGTGCTGCTGCGTCCTGCAGCAGACAGCTCTGCGTATGGACAAGGTGCCAGATTACGTCTAGGTCGGCGATAGATTGGGGCTGCTGCAGACCCATGTGGGGCAAGCAACCGAGCCCTACCTGGACTTCGTGCCAGACTGATCCAGCAGCTTGGCGATCATCCCTCTAGAGAAGACGGGAGGTTTTGAGGTGCTCGGGATGGGACGCCATATTTTAGTGACAAATTGGAGAGGAACTAGCAGTTGGCATTCGAAGGAGCGGACCCGTAACTAAGATCAACTCTGGAAAGCAGGTACACGATAACAGCACGCTCTGATGGGGTATCATCGTCTCATCAGTTACCAACCCAAATCGCACTCTTCAATCCATCCTGCCCCGAGACAAGCAAAGAATCGTAGAAGCTCATTGGGTCACCACCAGTGCCCACCATTAAAGGATAATAGAGTTCAAGCCAGACGTCTAGAAGAAGACAACCACCATTTTTTTCATCGCACGTAAAGTCAAAGTCGTCGATCCAGCATAACACCGAGGGGAAAAGATGTCCAGCCGATTCGATGTTGGCATGGCCGGGAGGAGGGGCATGTCGCAGGCGTCAAGCTCTACCACTGCTGGCCACCGCCACCGTTCTGGCCTCCCTCCTGACCGCCGCCGTAGCCACCCTGACCACCTTGGCCGCCACCGTAGCCGCCACGGGGTTGGTAGCCTCCACCTCCGCCACCCTGTCCCCAGGAAGCGCCGCCGCCGCCGCCGTAGCCTGTGATGAATGTTAGTTGTGCTGTTCTAGACATAGACATGGTTCCTGAAGCCTACCGCCACGCCCGCCGCCGTAGCCTGCTAGGGTCAGACAGGAACCATGTCACGTTAGAGATGCAGTCACTTACCACCGCCACCTCCGTAGCTACCGCCGCCGCCGCCGTACCCACCACCACCACGGCCGCCGCCGTAGCCGCCGCGTCCACCACCACCGCCGCCGCCAGAGCGGTCGGAAGCCTTGTCTACGCGGATGGTGCGGCCATCGAATCTGCTCTAGTCAATAGGTGTACAGAGGAAAAGAACGATGACACCAGCCGACGATATCATCGGAACTTGGAACGGAATTGCACTTACTCGACGTTGTTCATGTTCTGCATGGCGTTGTCGGCCTCAGACTCCTGGGAGAAGCGCACAAAGCCGAATCCACGGCTGCGGCCGGTATCACGGTCCTTGACAACGACCTGGACAGAGTCAGTTCCGTGCCAGTGAAAATTTCCGATTTTCATGACTGGAGGTTCGCATGTCGCAAAAGCTGATGAGGCGTTGCAAAGGAGGAAGTGGCTCAGTTGAAGGAGGAAAGTGCGAGTCGTGGTCGGATCAGTCACTCACAGCTTCTTCGACCTGGCCGAACTCCTCAAACTTCTGGCGGAGAGTGCCATCGTCGGTGTGCCAGGCAAGGCCACTGGGGTCGGTTAGTGTCGGTCGTTGATGTTTGTGATGTAATACTTACCCAATGAAGAGTTTTGTCGACATGGTGTAGATGTAGCGAACACTGAACGGTCTCAATTGACGAACTCGCAACAGAACAACGGTAGGATACAGAGCCTCTCATGACATGACTGGTAGATGGAAATCCGCGATGGCAGAGAGAAGGTGGGCAGAGGCCATGGTGGCCGGATGAGCACAGGGAAGGAGCAGTGACGGAACGAACATTTGACCTGAAGGCTACTGGAGAGAGAGCGAACCGCACAATCGAGCGCTGTCCGTGGGAGGTTCCTAGGAGGGAGAGAGTGAGACAATAGGCCGTGAGCGACTGGAGGGAGAGAACTGTGAAGGTCGAAAGGCGAGGAGGTCGAGAGCTGCGGGGCAGCAAAGGATGCGAGAAAATACCCCTCCGACAAAGAGCGCTAGCTGTATCGATCTCTCACGCAATCGTTGGGTCGCAGGGAACCGGCAGGTGGAGGACTGGAGCCGGGGCGAGTGAGAAGCACCGAGCAGCCTTCTGGCGTACGCGACCCAATTGCAGGCCGGCCTAATCAGCACGGAGGGGTTATCTCCTTAGCAAGAGCGTGCGACGGTGGCCTTTTGGAGAGCGACGGATTGCAGCGCGAGGCCCGCGCAGGCTGTAGGTAGGCCTGGCAGACACATGTCTGATGTGCCACACAGGCTGGCTGTCGACGACGGCCCACGTCTATCCCGTGATGCTGGGGCAATGCAGGCGCTGCGTTAGTTCCCACGGCCCCAGCCCAATGGCGTGCCGCATGGAAGTGTCTGCCGCTGGCCTGGTGCAGGTAGTCCAGGCCAAATTCTTTGATAGGCTCGTCTGAGGTCTTGGAGACGGCCTTCACTCCACGCGCGGGGGCGCTCATTGGGCCGGCGCAGGCGCGACGCAGCGGGCGAGCAGCGCACATGCAGCAACGGAGGCGTTCGCAAGCGAAACTATCAATGCAAAAGGAATGCCGCACCAGTTGGCAGCCACAGGGACGCCTTGGGAGGAGGTGCCTACCACTGCCTACCGCGGGCGAGTCGAACCGTCACCAGATGGCTCGTGCGGCGCGTGGGGAGGAATGCAAGTCCCCATGGTTGCACGATAGCATCTCAACGACGATGTGGCCTCGCAACGACCACGGCCGGCAGCGAAGACGGGCACACGATGCGCGCGGTGAAGCTGTGGCCGACAGTGGGCACATGGCAGTGCGACTACGCATGTCAACCGGTGTTCGGCGCCCCTCCGTGTAGCAGAGCCGTTGCTCTCTGAAGGAGGCTGCAAAGTGCGGTACCACCAATCAGCCTTCGCCGTACGCCAACCACCATGGGCCCGATCAGTGACCGGCTGGACACGTTGGGCAGTCTTAGAAAACAATGTGTGACTTCTTGCTATGTCGAATGATCGAATCTGACGTGGTATTATCTACCAACTTCAGCTGACCGAGATGCTCCAGCCTTCCACGGTCGTCACTGCCTGCCGCGATGGGCTGTCCTTGCTTCCTTTCCAAAGCCGTGTCAACTACAGCTGACCCTGCCGGAGGGGAACTTATTACACATGCGTCTGGACATCCCGCTTCTCCGATGCAACATTGGCACTCGAGCGTTGCACAGCACCACATTTGTCCGCATACGAGCATCTCTTAAAGTTTTTTTGAACAACAGTGCTTCCGGGCATCTCCCGCTCGCGATGCCGTACCACCTCGACTAGAGCAAGACTCAGCACACAGTCGTAGAGCTGTACCGGGCCCTCGAGATCCCTACGGTGGCCGGATACGCTCTGTCAGCCGCTCGTCCTGCACTGTTTAGAGTCTTGACATGGATATCCACAAGTGGCTGAGCGAGACAGTGCTTCCGCAACAACCTCCGAGTCCGCCTGGACAAGGAGAAGTGCATCATGTTATCTGCTCGGAAGGACCTGAACGCGTTCCGAACAAGAAGTGCAGACGAAAATCGAGTAGTTCGGACAGCTCGTTGCTCAAGGCCCCGCCGCAGCGCAAGAAGGGGCCACCTCCGGGACGAGTACCCTCTATCGAGGAAGACGCCGACGAAGCCTGCCACACTGATGCATCCCAACCCACAAAACGCTCCGAAAGCAGCGTATCGAGCGAGCCTTACAGACGCAAACCCCGTCGTAAGACACGCCCCGACCGGTACGAACCCTTGTCGAAAGATGCAAAAGAGCGGGGACTGCATGCTCAGAAGCGCGACAAGGGCGAATCAAATATGGAAAGGCGCAAATCTCGATGTAAGAAGGAGGCCAGCAAGTCGGGCAATGGCATAGTGCACAGTTTCCAAGCCAAGAACGTCCCCCGGGGTCGACTGACTGTGAGAACTATCCCCGTGGCTGAGGATTGTTGGTGGTGTGTTAATCAATCGATTAGTTGAAACCGCGAGAGAAACTAGGATTGTTCAATAAGGGCAGGGTGTCGTCGCCAGTCAAAGGGCGTGGCTGTAAGCCACCCTTCGTAGCGACCCCGCAATCAAGTTCATATCTGACCTGATATAGTACCCGACTTGGTTTTCTCAGAGATGAAGTTTCTACAGAAGTACAAAGACAACGCAGAAGTCGAGCAACCACCAGAGTCACCTAGGAAGAAACGAAAGAAAGACCAAGCACATGGGAAAGAAGACGATATATCTGCTTACTTCACATCCGTGCGACCAGCGCTAGCGAGGCAAGACCCGAATGTCCAAATCAAGAGACCTTCGCACCGAAAGCTGCGGGATGTCAACTGCTCCCCGCAGCAGCCGTCACCAATCGTAGACCAAGCCATCCCGACGGTCGAATTGGCAGACCAGACGTCATATTTGGGAATTGGTGTGAGAGGCTCACGCCATGAAATTGGAAGTTACATCTCCTTGTCAGAGTCTGTCCGGGTACCAAGCTTGCCTCCAGCACATGGTCCTCTGGAAGCTGCTAAGAGCAGTGGTCAGCTGGACTCACTGCATAATGGCAGAACAGGCAACACTATCACTGGTGAAGTGCTGCACTCGCCCCCGATTCCTCCAATCACAACCAGACATTTGGTGGGTGATATATGTGGGCGTTTCCAGGTTTCGTCCATGCCACCGACGAATGAACGCCTGTCTCGTTCGCATTCCCTCCCTCAGCACACTTCGTCACCACGCCGCATCAATCTGGCAGATCGGGCAGCAGGACGTCGAACACCGGAACATGTTGCTTCACAATCCTCTATGCCACCTGTCTTAGCGACGTACAATGGCCATCGATGTCATCTTCAAAGTCATAACATTCCCGAGCCGCGAGGCCATGACCAACGTGTACAGCCTCCAGACCCTACGATGCATCGCGACGTTATTTTAGACCGTGAAACAGAGCCGGCCGCACATGATGAACTTGGCCAGCACACTTCTCCCAGTCTTGGGCGAATATTACAAGACTGCAACACAGCGTTTCACGAGAAGCGCGCAGCGGAAGCACTGCAGCCCAAAGAACAAGAACCGTATCCACATGGACCGGTACAGAGTAACATAAAACTGACTACCAAGTCTTATTTAAATGCTCGAAGATTACCAAGCGTGCGATTTGCAGGGTTGGAGGAAGTCTACTATCCCTCAGTGCCGACAGTATCCGGACCTGAAATGTCCAAGCATCAAGACGAAGAACTGTACGGATATACGGACCAGATATTTGACGAAGAAGATTCACCATCGCCGCAGCACATGCAAGAGGAGTACCTTGACGAGGAAGCATTCGATTATGCCGAGCAGGGCTGGGATGATGAGGCCGAGTTGGTAGACGATGACGTCGAGCTTGATCTACCTGTAGCCGAAGCATATTTACACTCGTTGGACAACAACACCATCATGGAAAGGACACACAGTCGAACTGATGCTGTTCCCAAGCCTGGCTTTTGGCGCCCTCATAAACTGTATTGAATGAAACATGCTTGCCTGTCTTCGAGATTGTCCACAACCTATTCCGCGAGCAAGGAGAGATGATACCACTAGCCAAAGCGACATGAAATAAGAAACGACTTCAGAGACAGGCTCCATTGTACGTTGACCTCGGCGATCCGTGCGCGGCATCCGCGATGCACGTGACCGTGCGAGCTTCGGCTTCGACTTCCAACCTTTGCCCTCGGCATCGCATCATTCTCCGCATTGTAATGGTAGCCGCACGCGTGCCTAGTCCCTTTCTAGTGTTGTATTATTATCCATTGCCTGCATGAGCCGTTTCCCTTTCCCTGCGCGGCTCACGCTCTCTTTGGGCCAGACTCGTGCTACTGTCCCTCGCCTGAGATTTTCCCCGTCTACGTCGCCCAGGCCTGCATGTGCGGCCACGGCGCTCTCTTTCGTCAGTGTGGCTAATCATCAGCGCCCCTCCGCTCCTGCCAGCCCCACCACGCCCGCTACCGTCAACAAAACCCACTCTCGAACGCAGCAGCTGGCAGGACACCTCCACCCCACCCGCAATACACACACAATGGCTCCCACGTACACTGCCCGCAGGATTGGCGCCGCCAACACCCTCGAGCACCGCATCTTCATCGAGAAGGATGGCGTGCCCGTCTCGCCCTTCCACGACATTCCTCTGTATGCCAACGAGCAGCAGACGGTCCTGAACATGGTCGTCGAGGTGCCGCGCTGGACCAATGCAAAGATGGAGGTGCGTTGCCGCCCCTCACCACCAGGCTACCCCGCCCCCGACTTCTTGACTGACGCGCCACGCAGATCTCCAAGGAGGAGACGCTCAACCCCATCAAGCAGGACATCAAGAAGGGGAAGCTCCGCTACGTCCGCAACTGCTTCCCGCACAAGGGCTACCTCTGGAACTACGGTGCCTTCCCCCAGGTACGACTGCACACTCCCCGATATCGGTGTACGCACTGACAGCCACGCAGACATGGGAGGACCCCAATGCCATCCACCCGGAGACCAAGGCCAAGGGTGACAACGACCCGCTGGACGTGTGCGAAATTGGTGAGCTTGTCAACAAGCCCGGAGAGGTCATCCAGGTCAAGGTCCTCGGTGTCATGGCTCTGCTCGACGAGGAGGAGACCGACTGGAAGATCATCGTCATCAACGTCAACGACCCGCTTGCCCCTAAGCTCAACGACGTCGAGGATGTCGAGCGCCACCTTCCTGGCCTCCTGAGGGCTACGAACGAGTGGTTCCGCATCTACAAGATCCCCGATGGCAAGCCCGAAAACCAGTTCGCCTTCTCCGGCGAGTGCAAGAACAAGAAGTACGCCATGGACATTGTCCGTGAGTGCGCTGAGGCTTGGGAACGTCTCATCACCGGCAAGACTGCCCCGGGTGACGTTTCTCTGTATGTTTGGCCTTCTATTATTCTAGGAAAAGCCACTGACAAAAATACAGCACCAATACCACCGTCCAGCACTCGCAAGCCCGTACCGACCCCAGCTCGATCAACATCCCGCAGGGTGAGAACCAGAGCCCCGCTCCGATCGACCCCAGCATCGACAAGTGGTTTTTCATCAGCGGTGCGCCTTCTGCGTAGACACACACAGCACGGTAGGAACAGTGGGATACGTCCGTGTTCGGTCTAGACAAAAGTTGTGTGGCACATGTTGATTGATGCCTACATAAAACCTCAAAGGGTCTTTAGATCCATTCACGAATGAACAGTCACTCGTCCTCTGAATGCCATGACTCCGTGCAATGCAAGTGCATATCCAAATACAGTATCTGTACACCGACGCTCGTCTAGCGTCATCACCTTAATTGCCCGTCAACTCCTCCTTGCGGGCTAGCAACCGCGAATGTCGGTCGACCTCCTCCATGACCTCTGGTATCCGCATCTTATCGAGCTCAAGCTTGAGTTCCTTTCCGTCTTCTGTAGTGTTGTTAGATTTAGCGAAAGCAATTGCTATTCGATTTGCACGTACTGAACTTGACGTCGAGTGTTGCCGGCTCTGTGCTTGTTCGGGGCAGCATCTTCGTCTCCACCTTCATGCCATCGGCGCGCGCGTTCGGAGGGATGAGCGAGAGGAAGATCCGCGCTGGCTTTGCGCGCGGGGAGAAGGGGTTGAACCTGACGCGGACGTCTGTGAGGAAGCGGGTGATCATGTCGGCTGGTGGGCGACACTGAGCGAATTGTGGAGTCTTAGGAGCGTCTGATGAAAATTAGCAAGCATCCATCGCGAATCCTGAGTAGACCAACCGAGCAGCAGCCACAATGCGATGGAACGATCCAGCTCTCTCTCTCCACAGTTGTCCCCGATTCGCATCATGAGAATCTGGCTCGCTGGCCCGTGCACATGGCGGAACAAAAAGGCGCCGACAGGCCCTAAGAAGGCGCGGCGCGTCATTGCCCGTTGCTTCCACCCTGGCCGCACGCAACCCACCATGCCCCCGCTGCCCCCGACCACGCAGACCCTAACCACGCGCCTCACTACCCTGTCCGATTCGAACAAGGCCGTTCAGCAGCTTATCCAGCGGCTCGCCAAACTCGATTTCCAACCCGGGAGCCAACCACTCAGCGCCGAAGAGGGGGACATTCGGTTGGAACTCAGTGCTGAGATCCATGAGAGCTTGAAGGGGGTCGAAGAGGACCTTGAACTTCTCAGGCAGGAAGTTGAAGACTTTGTGGGAACGGGAAGTTCTGGCAGGAGGAGAGACAGTGTCAGGGACGGAGAGCGAAGCAGACTTGCTGTGCTACTCGCGAGGTTGACGGAGGACCTGAGATCGTGAGTCTCATTCCAGTCGCAATGAAGTGGATCCTCTGCTAACACGGTCTGCGAAGCTCTCGTGCACAGTACCGCAAGGCGCAATTGACCGCCAAACACAACGCCGACCGCGCCAAGCTCAAAGAACGCGAACTCCTCTTCTCGAACCTCCAATCCGGCACCGGCTCGTCGACTCCCTCCTCCACCCACCGTCGGCGCGGCAACGGCCTCAACGAATCCGAAATTGTCACGCAAGCCTCCTCGGACGTGACGGCCGCCCTCAGACGCACCCACCAGTTGATGCAAAGCGAGCTCTCGCGCTCCCGCTTCGCCCAAGAAACACTCGAACAGTCCACCGCCGCCCTCGCAGACCTTGGCGAGAAGTACTCCGACCTCAACACCCTCCTCGCCAACAGCAAAACCCTCGTCACAACCCTCCTCAAGAGCCAGAAGAGTGATACCTGGTATCTCGAAACCACCTTCTACATCCTCATCACAACCGTCATCTGGCTCGTCTTCCGACGGTGGTTGTACGGCCCCATATCGTGGTTCATACTATTGCCTCTGAAGATCCTCTTCCGCATCGTCTTCGCGGTTATTCCCGTTTCAGCAGCGACGTCCAGTGTCTCGGCGAACCCCTCAACGAGCCTTATCGTCAAGCCTAGTGCAACAGGCGGTATTCCCCCGCGCCAACCCGGACAGAACTACGTGCGCGTCGGCGGCGGCGGACGCGGCTACGCAGGCAATCCGCCCGACCCGAGTCCCCCTTCTTCCCTCTCACACTCCGTAGGCAAGATGGCAGAACAATCACAAAAACAGCAGGGTGCCCAGGACGTCCCCGACCACCCACAGCTCCGCAAGCACAACAACCCCGCCCTAGAAGAGGAAGACGAAGGCCCTGTGGTGAGAGGCGACGGCACGGTATTGCCTGCGCGCGGCGAGGACAAGCCTAGGAATCCGAAGAAGAAGATGTGGGAGGAGAGTGTGGAAAATAAAGCGTTTGAGGAGAGGCAGAAGGAAGCGGAGAGGGAGATTTTGGGGAGTCAGGATGAGGCTGAGAAGGAGGGCGAGAGGAAGAGGGATGAGTTGTAGATAGCCAAGTTGGGATGGAGAGGGGTAATGAAGTCATGATTCTTACGATTCGCGAGAGCCCTGGAGTGGAAGTGTGAAAGGGAGTGTGAAGTCGTCTGATATTAGTTCTGACAACGAGTGTGTATATAACCAGCCCTTGTAGATGTTGAGAGACACGCTTCTTGCTTGCTTGCTCTGCAGTTGGGACTAAAACAAGAGAATGGAATTGTCCATGGGGCGGAGGAGAGAGGGAACTAAAATCTGCAAGGAGATTGGGCCAGGGGGCCTGGAGTGGGGGAAGGGCGCCAATATATTCGAAGAACACGGCCCATGGCTGGGTGTCTGGGAAGGAACTCGAAACCAGTCTATATTTGCCCTATGAGGTGGACAGTGAAGAGGGGACTACAACATCTGACGAAGACGTTCCATGGACGGGACGACAAGTTCGCGATGAAATGCACCGTGTGTGCGTGGGATTGGAGCAACCGCAGAGCAGAGCCATAGAGCTGATGCTGGGACTAAGATCGATATCACATAGGCTGGTGGGGTGGGTGGTTGTGGAAGGAGAGAGATGGAAGGTGGTCACGTCATCAGTATGGGCTGGGGAGGAGAATACAGCAGCGTTCAGGAAATAACACGGGACGGGGAGAAAATGGGTACTAAAACATCAGAGGAGAACACTCCATGGGCCGGAACGAGAAGCTAACGGACACTTGTTCAATGTTTGCCTGGAGTCGAACCCAAGAAGGCTATTGTCGCTGGTGCTGGGACTAGAAAGCACACTGTGTAACATCCATGGGGTGGAGATGGGGAGAGGACTAAAAGACATCAGGCTATGAGTGATGGCGTGGAGAGAGAAATGGGGACTAGAATCCTGCAAGAGTCTTATGCATAGGCTGGGCTTGTGGAATGAAACAACCGCCCTGAATTGAGACTTGGGCTGGGCCTGTGAGCGGTGTCGAAGATCACTCAGACATAGGATAAATGGTGTCTGTGGGATTTAAACGCGGGCAAAAAGGCCGAATGGAGCCCGGTATTTGTGCACGGGGACGAAAATCGCACAAGGCGTGTGGAGTGATTGGAATCTTTCATGAAATCGGGCCATGGAATGGGCTTGGGGAAGCCAAAATTGCAGGAAGTTCGGATGATGTGCTGGACTTGTGAGCAGGGTCAAAAATGTGATCGAAAGTGGAAGAATGGTGTCTGTGGGGTTTGATTGGGAACAAAAAGAAAGAGGGACGGGATAACGGGGGTGCTGTTTGGGACTAAAACACACCCACGTTCGAGCTCGTGGACTGGTGTCTGTGAGCGGTCTTGACAATGTCACATTCATCGGAACTATGGCGTCTGTGGAGGCTGGGCGCGAAAAGGAGAATGTGTCTGGGTTTAGGGGACTAAATGGGAGATCACCGAGCAGCATGGGTCTGCGCCCGAAGAGAAAGGGCCACGCGCTGGGGATTAACGATGTCAGGAAAATCGCTCTATGGGCTCGGTAGTCGCATGAGGTTTCGGAAATTACGCCAACATTCTGGGTATGGTGTCCGTGAGATTCCTTGCGCAACACAACACAGAGACGAGATGATGATGGGGCTTAGCTGTGGGATGAAAATGCGATGCCTTCCTGGAATGTGGTCTGAGCACTAAATCAGCCTTGTCGTAGAGGAACGGACTGGGCCTCTGGGGGTGACTGGAAGTGTTATCCAGAAGAATTCATGGGGCTTGAGTGGCGTGTGAAGGAAAAGAAGCTAGAATAATGGACACGATGCCGGTGCTGCAGTCTGATATCTAGACTCGCCTGACTACGTGGGCTCTGAGGATGAAAACGGATACCGCATACAGCGCATGGCGTGGGAGGAGCATTGGGCCCCAACCAAGTATTGAATATAGCCCTACGATCGAGCGGGGCTGGGGACTTCAAAACTAATCGCAGCATTGAAAAGGTCTTTGGGGGAGTAAAGAAGGAACATTTTGCGAATTATGAGCTGGGTATTCAGGGAAGGGACCAATATCTTTTCTTCTTCTGCCTCATAGGCTAGGGAATAGACAAGGAATAGACGAGGGGCATGATTATGGGTGTGGCACTCAAAGTTGATCAAAAGCGGGTAATGGGGGTGGAGCTAATCACGGGATTGAAAGCATACTTCACCCAGCATATAAGCTCCTTGAAAGCAAAATACACCTGGAATATGCAATGGAAGGAAAGATGACTAAAATCCTTTTCGACATCGGCCGATGTACTGGAGACTGCGATCTCGGAAAGAACACTCATTTGGTATGTTTCGGTTGATGTCCTGTCCAAAGTTGGTCTGTGGATTGCAATGTTACAAGTCCACATTGCGTTCTCCTCCATGGTTATGCCCTGGATTTGGGGAGTGTAATTAAATTCTGGTGAAAGCCCATGACGCGTTGAAGATTGGGGCCTCGATAATACAACTTGTTCTGCGCATGCTGCATTAATATACTGTCTAAATTGGTGGAGACCCAAGCTCATGGAGAGGGAGCCGGCGCTAGCGACATGCAATTGAAAGCCAGACGCCATGGGTCTTGGGCTTCAGCTTTGGACACGGCGGACCCGGGGGCCAAGGGGGGTGGTGCTGGGAGAACAAACCACGTCGGTTGTGGCGAAAGGTATGGACATGGGCACTGCGCTCTCAGATGAACACACAGAAGGTATAGTGGGAGTGGTGCTGGGCTGAGGACTTAAGAATCAACTAAGAGCCGATTTAATGGAGCACTGTGTGTCTGGAGTCTAGACTCTCAAGAACAGCAACATAATAGGCATATATGTGGGACTTCACTATGTGCTGGGCGTCGGAAGCGGAAGTTCGCCGAAATGATATGTCTGAGATCCTCAAAGGGGTTTAGATGGCTTCACATGGGTCGTTTGTTCGCTCGCCAACATCAGCAAGACCGGCGGCGTATGGCGCTGGAGACCAAATATTAGAACAACTTCTTGGTATGTCTGCTGTCTGCTCGCCAGAAAGAAATAAAAACAGGAAGCACCTCATGGTCCCAGTCGGTGTATCACTAGATAATTATGAGATTACCGTGTGCTTAAAAGCTTACATGGACGTAGAAAATGCTGCTGTTTTGCTAGAGTCGGCAATGCAATGGCGAAAGTCCTATGTCGGCTGTCGAGCGCTCCCAACACCCTGACTTTATTGACGCTGTTCTTGGGACTGAACACACTTGGTTCAATAGTTTCCATGATTTTTTTGCTGCTTGTTTCAAAAATGAACCAGGCAGAACAATGGAAGAGGATATGGCGCGCAAAAACACAATGTGTGTGCTACTGTGTAAGACTACAACATGGGCCGAGCGAGTGGGTTGCGGTTCATTCTGTGTCCTTACTTTTGTATGAAATGGTGTATCTCTCATTGCCCAATTTTAGTAGAACGCTTCTTCTCTTCACCCTTCAACCTCCATCTCATCCCATTCTTCATGATCCAGAATACGACACTTATCAATCCAGCATACACTAATCCGAGCAACGTAAACGCCCATCCCGGATTCATTGCATGACACATAGGAATGATCGCCGCACAGCCGGCTGCGCTCATTAAGCAGCGCACGAAGTTGATGGCCACCGTCGCGGTAGCCGCTTGATTCCGGTGAAGGTCTATGAGCAGGGTGTTTGTCTGGTTGAACGCTGTGGACGTTCCGAAGCCCATGAAGAACAAAGCAATCTCCGGTCCCGCGATGTGCGTCTTGTACTTCACTGTCCAGCCGAAAGCTATCAAAGATAGAGTCCCTATCAAATGACCAGGAGCGCCGACTTGGAGTCGGACTTTCTCGATGGGAAAGTTCCGAATGTCTTGTTGCTTGCCCTTCGTTATAGGCATGTCGTTCAGCGCTGCATGGCGTCTGAAGTTCCAATCTACGACGTGCCCCATGGTCAGTGACGAGACCAGGCAGCCTGTACCGATTGAGATGTAACACAGGCCGATCTTGAGCTCGTCCAGGCCATAAGCTTCCTTGAAAAGGTCCGGAAGTGCGGCTGAAACCACCATCATACCCGTGAAGAAGAACCCGTTGTATAAAAGAAGGATGCATGATTCCTTTTCACCAAGTATGCGAAGGGTCATGAGTGGGTTCGGGAACGTAAACTTTCTTTTCCCGGGTGGCGATGCTCCCATCTCGTCGGTCATACATTCCTGTCGTTGTCTGCGCTCTTGTAGATAGCTGAAGACGGATCGGTTGATACCAGTAGGAGGAATAGAACCATTGCCCACAACGGCTCGACATGTTTCTGGAAAGAAGAAGGTGAATATAACGAGCAGAACCCCAGCAAAGATAGCTAGGAACCAGAAGATACTCCTCCACCCTAGATACTGCGCGAGTATGCCTCCTATGACGGCGTGACATGTCAGAAAGACTACATATTCATCCTGAGGAGAAGACGTACCGATAGTGGGACCAAAGGCTGGACCAAAGAGAATACCCGCTGTTGCGTAGCCCATATATGTACCGCGCTCTGCCGATGTCGAGATATCAGCCACTACAGCGATCGATAATGCTATGGCAGCACTGCAACCAAAAGCCTGCACGCATCGTAATAAGAGTAGCGCGATATAGTTCTGTAAGAAGCAAAGAATCAGCAACATACTTTAAAGAAGATCGGGCAAGGTAGGCAGTACAGTCTGAAGGGCTAAGCCAATGTTTGCGGCAATGAATATCACGAAACATATTATAAATGACAGCCTGCGGCCACTCGCATCGGACATGCCAGCGATAAGGGCGGGAGCAATGGCTTGGGCGATCTATGCTCATTAATTCCTGCGTACTCTTAGTAACGAGTCGAATGCTGACCATATAAGTCGTGATGGCAATGTTCGTCTTGGTCGGCGTGACGTGCAGTTCGTCAGAAAGAACATTCAACACAGGGTAGAACAACGTGGCCCCAAATGGAGATATTAAAGCCGACACGCTCACAAGGAAGATTATCCATATCTTCATACGAGGAGTGAATATCGAGTAAGGCGGCCCCGAAACTGTTCTTTGAAGTGTGACCTCCTCAGTACCTTTCTCGACATCTTGAGTGAGCGTGTTTATCTTCTGTTCTTCCTTTTTGGGATCGTCCATCGAGACTTTTGCTGGTGTCCCCATTCTTGACTGTTGCGCTCATGAACGAGCGCGAGGCGAACCGAGCACGCGACACGCGTTGAGGGAAGCCATCCTTATCACAGTGACGGATTCTGTTCTAGTGACCAAAGTTAGTCCGAAAAAGTCATGGTGTCGTGGATCATTCCGCATTGCCGATATATCCGTGTGTTCTGTGTGGGTAACGCTCTCCGCAAAGTTGCAAACGCTACCGCACCGGGATGTGGGAACCGGAAAAGCGGGAGTTGTTATACAGTGTGGAAGAGCTTTCTAGCAGCAGTTCAAACAAGGCGACTTGAATCAATACGAGATAATGCAAAGAGAACGGAGTAGCACTCTTCTCAAGATATGACATTATTATTTCCGAACCCTTGTGGATGGCGCATTACCGGTATCGCACGTCTTTTATCGTACGTCACCATGCCGGAAAAGGAAGCGTCACCTGCAACAATCACACCGCATCGATTTAAACGCGGATACATGACATGCTAGATGATTGTCATGTTCCTGGCGATGTCACCTGCTTAAGGGAAACAGGGTGTTGATTTGATCTGCCGATCCACGGGCATTAATCGAAGCTATCGGAGTATTTCTATTGCATGTGCTCCGGCGCAACTCCGACTTCAGTCCCACGTCACGGCGCTTTATCGTCGTCTCCATGGAAGAACCTCAGAACCGCCTTCGCCACTAGAAGCCCGTCGTGCTGCCATTCCGCCCTCTCTGCTGCTTTTTCAGCAACGTTGCTCTCCACCGCGCCGCTCTGCACCCGCATCTCGAGCTGTCTTTTGACCATCTTGTCATCGAATTCCATATGGCCTTGGGTGGTGAACAGCCTCGTGGGAATATATACTCCTTGCACGCCAGTGTGATCCGATGTGCCCCAGACGTGCACTTCGGTGCTCGGATCTAGCAGATCGGTTTTGGAAGCTGATGGTGGATCCACCACCAGATCGATATGCATCTGATGCAAATGGATGTGCTTTTCTGATGAGTCAAGTCTGAACAGCCAGCGTCCGACGTCGCTGAGTTCAATGTGAGTATGCGCAAGTTCCCATTTGCCATTTTCTTCCGGTTCGACTGTGGATCCTAGGGCGCGGCATAGTATTTGATGGCCAAAACAGATTCCAGTAAACTTAATGTCCGGTCGATGTACCCACAGGTCTGGCAATGTTAGATTTTCGACTTTCCCCAGAATCGAATTACATACGCTTGATCAGATTAAGAAGCTTCAACACCCACGCCTCATCGCTATGAGCATCATATACACTTCCTGTGATCAGAATGGCATGGATGTCATCGGTGATTTCCGGAGGCTCCGGTATCCTCCCGCCTCGTGGCTCGACTGCGTAGTGTATGATTGTCTCAATAGCAAGTTTTGGGTCATGCTGCTCCCCTGCTTCTACCAATAGATCGTTCAACACTTCACCAAACGACCCTTTTTCTTCCTGAGTATCAGGATGCGGATCATCCGTCTGTAATGGCTTCAGCGACCATTCCTCCCTCCAAAATTGCTCATCTTACCTCTAGTACGAGCATACGAACTTTGTCGGGGTGCTCAGACGCAATGATACGTGCCTCTGGTGGTGCCATCTTTGCTGCAAATGACGAAAATCCGGCTTGAAAAGAGTTGGGCTCGCTATCTTTACAAATGTATTTTGAACAGGAGAATGATGTGTTGATTCTCGAGATTGCGTGCCGATTCTGGACCTGGAACAGAACTGATCGAAGGGGAGTACGGCGTAACATACACACGGCCAAGAAAAGATGATTTCACATTTTGCTTCTTGGCGCAGACGACAACGAGTTTTCTTGAAGCTGGAGTCCATATATCTTGACGTAGGGGCCAAGCGTTTGCGGACTTTGTTGCCGTGGGCAGTGGATCTTATAACGTAATGAACCAACTTCTGTAGCGAAGTAAACTTGGGGACTACACAGTTTAATAACGTAGATAGACATAATTCACTTAGGAACAATCTACAAGCGGCTAGTCTACGATATTAAGATGCGGAGGACATGAGAATCCAACGCTGTACTGCACGAAGACACGTCAAGCCGTAGGATGATGATGACTGTTTGGTGAGAACTGCAGCGAAGGAATCAACGGATAGACAGAGGCTGTGCTTGGATAGCTTGCCACTCCATCCGTCTTGGCCTATACGATGCAGGTTGGTAGTACGCAGAATCTTGGAAGCGGATGCAGGTCGGGTAGGGCTGTGGACCGGGAGGTGCCGCATCGTCCGGGTTGCGCAGCTTCCAGAACGGGTACGCATATTTCAGACTAGTGCCTGCCATTGCCCTTGCCTCCATATATCTATCTAGACGATGCGACGACTTACGACAGTTGTGTTAGCTCTGCTTAGTCATTTCATCACACATTGGGACTGGTGGCTTGGCATATGCGGGTTCACATCTACTATGAACACCACACGCAGTATTTAGACACATCGATTACAGTTATTGGCTCTCGCCAACAGTTTGCGACAACTAGAACAAGAGTTTGCAATTACTGTTCCTGGACCGTGCGTAAGTGTACTAGGCAGATGTATGTATATAACCTCGTCTATCCTACCGTTTCGATAGTACCCTACGGCCTTCACAACTTGAGCTGCTTCTTCATACTTACACCTAGTCGTGCCAAACCCCAGCAAGGAATTCCTCGACGCCAGTAAATACGTAAGTGGGGAACATCTGGCCGAGTTCATTTGATCCCTCCCAAGCGCCTTTAGCAGCGCTCATTAACATGCCGATAGTGACTTGTTTCAGCATGCGCTGAGCCTCTTCCTGAGAAACAGCTTTGTGAGGCACTTCCAACCCCCAAGAAGACGCTAAATTTCCCTTCTCGAGGTCCTCTAGCTTCACTTTCTCCACAGCAAATTGACCCCCTGCAAGCTAGTCAGTCAGATATGATCATGCAGGGAGTCGCTGCTCTACCTCGAACTTTCTCTCCGATCTCGATGATCTGTTCCACTGTGACCTTGTTCCCTGGAAACCCACCAATCTCAGGCCATGAGCCTTGATATTCAATCGCCATCGCCATGATGGTAGCGAAATCTCCCACTGTTGTCAACGTAACAACAGCAGTTTCGTGTCCGTCAACGACTATGGCACGCTGGTTCTGAAAATCAAACACGGTACCGAGAGGGCTGAGATGCTTGCTTGTTTTGTTTGGGTATGCCAAGTAGTTCAAGAAAAGTCCTGGCTGGAATAGACAGTATTCAAGGGCCTAGACAGGCGCGGTTAGATTCGGTTTTGGTCTCGAAGACGATTCGCAATGCGCTTGCACAATGTGAAAAATACACTGTAGCAGGGGCTTTCTACCTTTCCAGATTCGTTGACCTTTCTCAGGTATTCTCGGATCTTCTGTTTTCCCTCCCACCATGGCATATGCATCGTGCCGGCACTAGTCGACAGTCAATTTGAATTTGCGATTCGTCAGGTGCGGATCACCAACCTTCCGTACTCGCTCGGTGCGAAACGTCTCACTCCAGCCAATATGGCTGCGTCGATGAGGTTCTTCTGGGACTTCTGATCAACGTCCAAGAGGATCTGGATGAAAGACAGCACCGTGTGCACCCCACGTAGAGCGCTGACTAAGTCGTCCACGCTATCGTAGTTTACGATGTGGTGCTTGGTCTTTGCTACGATACCTTCTTTGGGAGCCTTAGTCAGATATCAGCAACGTACACATTCTGATCCAGAGCCTTTCAGAACACCCACACTTCGGGACAAGATCATAATCTCGTGCTTGTTTGCTGCAAGGAGTACATCAATGACCTCCTGAGCAACCTCTGTCAAGCTTAGCTCAAGAATGCTCAGTACGATGCAGGAACATACGACCGTTGCCTCCGGCTATAGCAATCTTTACCATCGTTGATAGTACCACAGGCCCAGAGAGCCAGAAAATCGAAAGTCTACTCTAACGAGATGCCAATGATGATTGATCCCTAGATTTCAGAATCGAAGAAGTGTTCTCATGTCGATGTTATATGCGATTTTTCCACCGCGGCGATGCTTACGAACGGACGTACTCTTGCGTCCGAAATAGGTTTAGTCCCAATTCTATTTCCGCCGCGGTGGAAGAAAGGGCACCTCTTCTCCTCCCAAAACCACACCACCTCTTCTTGCTGGCTAAGAAGCATGAGACCTATGAAGGCATGATTGCGAAATCTTGAGTGAGACGACGACTCGTGCACGGCGATGGATATGTCTGCCGCGCCCAGACGACGGAAAATTCGCAAAGGGACTCAAAGTTGCTGGGAATGCAAGCGACGTAAGACGAGGTGTATCTTCGCCGCTCCCGGCGACGCGGCTTGCGTAGGCTGTAGAAGCCGAGGGACCACCTGTCTTAGTCAGGGCTTCCATGAAGAGGTATCGACAAGCACTAAGAAAGCGACACAATTCCAGCGCCCGGCTCCGTTAACAGTCTGTTCATCGCCGAATCAATTAGGAGGGGAAAGCACGGTCGAATCGAGACCGAAAAGGCCAGCAGTACCTCAGAAGGAAGATATCGCACTTCATGATACATACCATAACGTCTACTGCGCGCTTGCTGAGGTCTGGCCGAATGATGCTGATTTGGATGTGATCTACAATATTACCGGGAAAGATTGCAGTATACTGTACGGACCGTTGAATAGTTCATATTCGAGTCTGGAGTCTCAGAGAGAAGTATCACCGCAAGACGTACTGCAACTACCTCCGCACGGCGCACACCCCGTGCTTGTTGCTCGAAAGGTCCTGCTGCTGAGCGCATTCCTTCGACAGTCTCCTCTTCGGGACTTAAATAGTACCTCGTATTCTGGAGATGTGGCGGACCGTCTTCTCAATACAGCCATTACATTGGTGACTTCCAACGACGACCTACTCCTTTCCGTCGAAGGGATTGAGTGTGTTGCGCTCGAAAGCATGGTTCACAATTATCGTGGAAATCTACGTCGGGCCTTGATTTCATTGAGGAAAGCCATGGTGTTAGCTCAGCTCATGGGGTTACACCTAAATTCCCATTCTCTATCACTGAAGGTTATTGATCCAGCTACACGAGCACGAATCGACTTCGACTATATCTGGTTTCGACTGGTCGAATCGGACCGCTACCTTTCGCTGATGTTGGGTGCACCACAAGCCTGGAGCGACAACAATTTCCTTGAGAAGAAAGATCTCGGGATATGTCACCCTATGGAGCAGCTGGAACGACTGCATCTCGTTGTTGGCGGGCGCATCCTTGATCGCAACGGATGTGATGCACGAGATCCTGCAGTGACACAAGAGATTGACCACCTGCTACAGGGCGCATATTCCTGCATGGCGCCGCAGTGGTGGGTCGTCCCTGGTCCTTCACGAAAGAACAGGGATGATCTATCCTTGATGCGTCGAATCATGATCCAGATCACACAATATTTCCTGGTGGCACAACTGCATTTCCCATATCTTGTGTACTCTTCTGACGGCCATTCCGTCACGTACAGCAAGATAACTGCGGTCAATGCGAGTCGGGACATTTTAACTCGGTTTCTGGCTCTTCGTAGTGACACGACTTTGAAATCTTACTGTCGCGGTGTCGACATTATCGCTTTCTTTGCCAGCGCAGCCCTCTGTCTAGCGCACATTGGCGGTAGCCGTGGACATCAGGGTCCCTTTGAGTATATGGCTGGAACCAATCCCTTTTCTTACCTCACCCACCAACGTGTCAGTGATCGCGGCTTGGTGGAGAAGACACTTGAGCATATGGAGCAGACTGCCCGGAGTAGTGATGATCCGATTGCTTCCAGACTTGTCGATTTACTTCAGCCTCTTCTATCCATGGAAAGCGCGAGCAGGACCGGCGCTATCGTTAACATGGACTTTACTCCTGACGGGTACTCTGATGGTCACGAATGCAGTAGTCAGGGCAGCGACGGCGGGAACGCAGTCCACATATACATTCCAAACTGTGGAAAATTTCACGTTACGCAAGCAACGGTCAACATCAACCCGCCATCGACCTTGGACTCGCTGTTCAACTCAGACATAGATTGGCTCGATTCTACATGGGTTTCCGAAGCGACTCAGCCAATAGTCGGGGGTGCGGGAATCCAAACAATGAAATGTTTTGATCTTGTGGAGGGGTACAGCCAGCCTGAGACTCACGGGTGATCTCCTGTGAGGACTAGGCACACACGTGGGATCGACCCTGGAGCCTACCATATACATGTTGAGCGAACGGATCAGTGCACGGCACGTAGCTACTGCAAGGACTCTGAGGTGGCCGCCTTGCTCATTCTTTGACGTAACATGGTGCAGGCGACAGCATCCGATGCCCTGTCTATCTGCGCACAAGACTCAGCAGACCCTTTCAAGGGAGGGTTGCTTCAGCGATAGCCCAGCCCTCTGTACCCATGATTAGGGCCCTGATTTAAATGCCTGGGGTATCCAACTGGAAAGTTGAGGAACCTGATCAATTTCTCTGATCGTGCGGTGCACAGTGTTTGCTTACTTGATCGGGGGGTTAGATGATGTTGATCACATGACATGAAGCTGCTGAGTGCTGACATGCCTTCGGCGAGCATTAATCGGACATCATCTGGGTGACAGCTCCGGTAATAGTACAGTGCGGGGCCGTATTATGTGAGGCTTATGCCACGCGACGACAAAATCCCTTTGGCGATTTCGCGATATCTGTTGATCACGCTGTTGTTGGAATGCATCGACACTTTCACAAATTACATTCACCGGCCCTTCACGTTCCCCTACCAGAAAATTAGTACTTGAGATTACCCGTACAGTTCTTTGGCTTTCTGTAAAAGCGTTTGAAAAGTACTCACGCCGTCTTTTGCTCAGCTTCCACAAAGGCAATCAGCGCAGTGCCGCCGGCTTCTAGTATGTCCGCAACAATTGCATACGTGATGCGTGTTACAAAATTCCTACTACACGAGCTTCATCATTCCGGAACACGCAATTGGGAGAAAAAGGTTGCACATATGACTTCCCAACCTCTCCCGTCTGGAATTCAAAGACACTAAGCCTGCACAGACGTTTCCCACCATCCTATCCCGATTGAGCGACACTCGATCCCAGCAAAGATACCCGGCGGCGATGAGTCCGGTTGGCTTTCGTGGCCTCAGGTGGTCTTACTGCATGAAAGCACTTACCATCTGGATCACGAAACGGCTAGACTCAGACGTATGTTACCTGATCTCGAAGTCGTGAATTCCTCCTCTTTCCGAAGACACGTCAAATAGTGTTACAGCTTTCGAAGCGATGGTAGTATATAAGAGTCCGTAACCGTCATTAAGCCCGGGATCCCAGCTGTGGACTGATCCCATCAGCACCACATCTCCTGTCAGACAATTGACACTTTTCGGTTTCACCACCAGCCCTGATCGCTGATTCCACAACTCCTCAACATGCGCTACACACTCGCCGCCTTCGCCATGATGGCTTCGGCCGTATTTGCCTTCCCCATGGCTCTGGACACTAGTGCTGGTCACGTTGCTGCTCGCGGAACTGCGAACACAAACGCTGTGAACTGGAACGAATGGAAGAGGAACGGCGGCGTACGTAAAGTCACCAGATGGCCGTTGCTGGTGCGGACTGAACACTAACCAGAGCAGTGGAAGGACTACGACACGTGGAAGGAGTACGCCGAGAAATGTAAGCGAACCATCATGAAAGACGAATCATGGAGTGTAACATCTGTGCAAAGATTGCCCGTGGAAGGACGAGGGATACGGTTCGTGGGATGATTGGTGGTAAGATTCTCCAAGGCCGCCTCTACGACTGCTGTAACTCACAACATTGCAGGAACAATGATGGGTAAGGAACCGAGTGCGAGTCACACGCCTTCTCAACGAAGAACATGGCGCTAAATGAGCACACACACCCATCCTAATTCCTCACTGACGCGTCGATGTAGATACCAATGGTGGCGCAAGATTTCGGGTGACAAGAGCAACAAATGGAGCAACGGCAACGACTTCGACTCCTGGTTCAAGAAGGACGGCTATAAGACCGTCGATCCGTGGAGTAAGGGTAGCGACAGCAGCAGCGATTGGTACCAGGATGAGAACGGCGTCGGATGGCATAAGAAGGACGGAAAGTGGGTGGAGGACGACGACGACAGCAGCAGCTCCTGGGGAAAGACGGACGACTCGTGGAGTGATGGCGAGGATAAACCCTCCTGGGACGGCGAGGATGACGACGACAACGAGTGGCAAGTGTACCATTGGGTGCGATCGACGTCTTGACTCCCACTAACCCTAGTTTAGGTTCAAGGACGAAACCGGCCAAGGATGGCACAAGGACCAGTCGAGCGGGAAATGGGAGAAAGACTCCTCTGAAGACTCTGGCGAGTGGAAGAAGGGAGCCGATGGAAAGTGGTCTAAGGGATCATCCGACAGTGCCTAGTGGGACCACTAGACGGCGCGATGGTAGCATTGGTGCTCTAAGGCTCCCGAATGTGTCGCACAGTTGATGGCTGGCGGTTTGCAGGTATTCACTGTGGTGGAGTCAGTTGGACGGCTTGGGTTCGCTTTCATAGTCTCGCTCCATAGCCCAACTCGTAGTCTCTCATTGAATCTCTTCCACTGTGAACGTTGACTTGAGTCTCAATTTTCAGGCGTGCAATCATGACACGCATGGAATCGCTCGCTCCTCTCACAAATTCCAGCCAGCAGACTCACCGGCGCTTATTACAGCGGTTGAGTTAGTTATCCGGTCCAAACTGTGCGAGATTCAGATTCTACGACCCGGGTACGTATCGAGCTGACAGGTGGCCTGGGATAAGCTCCGATGTGAACGCGAGCGTGTAGCAACTGAATTGTGATTGCTAGAAGCAAGAAATAGATAATAAAGCAACCAGAGATGTGATTTGATGAAGCTGGGGAGCGTAGCATGCCGTCCATAAGCGGATTGAAGACCGATATGCCTGCAATGAAATAACTCCTCAGTCATCGAGTCAACGCTATGGTTAACAACCCAGTATGGTTGCCAATTGAACACAAATCTATGGTAGCTGTATGTACGCCCGTTTCCTCTGTCAATTCCATACAAAACGTACGCCAAATCACAAATACGGAATTCACGAAATGATCTCCATTGATGCGGTCGCCCTTGGACCTGGAGAGCACAAGCTCCTTCATCATGCTTGGCAATATATACCAACAAACCCTCGGAAAACACTGAGTCAGATATGCACACGTACGCTTCGGGCTAGCTCTGTGGACTCTATGGTTTGATCGTTAGCTCGGTACGAGAGGTTTACGGGCCTTTGATGCCCACCATCTATGACTCAAGTGTATGGCCAGTAATGCTCCTGGCCGGAGAATTGGTGCGGACACAGCGCAAGAAGTCTTTCGGAACTCCTCCTGCTTATCTGCGAAAATGTTGACGCTGAAATTTCAACAACGCGGGACGAAGTCGCTCCACAATATACGAATGTCCATGTCGCCGATTTTGACCCCTTTCCCGCAATTTCCAAAAACATGCAGCCCAAGTAATACTCTGGATGTATCGTTGAACAACTTCCACATAGGGTTACTCAAGGTGAACATATCCTGACGATAGGGGTCGTGGCGATGTCGATAACATCAAGGCCGATGTCAAGGTTTCTCAGCGCGGGGAATGCCATGTCGAGTAGACGCGGTGCGTACTGTAGGTGCCTGTTCATCGAGGCGGCCAGGCCGAGCTCTTCATGCGCGCGAACCACGGCGCTGGCAGATTGGGACGCGTTATTACGCTCTCCTTAAGTGGCAACGAGATGTGCGAGGTACGGCCCTGCGTCATCATAATGTGGAATGGGGCGAGCGCGTTCGTAGACTGTCAGAATGGCCAAGAGACCAACGATACCAGCCTGGCTGACTTTCTTGTCTTGCGCGAACAACCCGTGCACGGTGAACTGTGCAAGATATACACGGGTAACACCAGAACTCCACGCCATGGATACCACCCTCCGGACTGCACGGAGGACATACATGTGAGGCCAATGGCCTACTGTCGAAGATGAAACGGAAATTCTTGCTGAACATGTAATATTTGGCCTCCTCGAAAAGCTCCTTGTTTATCTTCCGGGACTTCTGCAACGTTGCGAAGGCGGGAGAGACTAGTGTTGTACCTACAATATGTTAGCTGAGTCTTCTTCGCTGCTCAACAGTAGAGTCATGAGATGTTTCTGTACGTACCGTCCTTCACCAAGCCGATATGGATATCACCGGCGTCGTTGGAGTCGAGCGCGTATTTGAGAATCATCTATTTGAGATCGCGCGGGTAGGTACCTCTTACGCATCCGCTAGGAACGCTAGACGATGCCCCTATGAAGCCCTCCACGCACCATCTCGCTATTTCAGGCCACACGCCCAAATGCACCATCGCCCACTGCTGGGCCTCACTCAATGCTCTTCGCTTCCGCGATAGTTCTTTCCGGACCCATTTCCCAACCCACAATGGCGCCATCTAACGTGAACCTGGTAGGGGACATCTTCCTTCGCCGCCCGACTGGATTGAAGTTCATGGTGTTCCACGCGCTTTTCACCTAGGAGGGCCACGACCTCGGCCTCCGTCCGGATACGAGTGATGGCAACATCCAAGTGCTTGAGACCCTCTCCAAGTGGGACGAGATCGTGCCTCGGGACGCTGCGGCTTCGTTAGCCAGGACGCGCATCGTCTTCTGATGACTGACCCCGGCGTCCTGTCAATACTTTGCGAGTTAAGGCGTGGGATCCTCGGTACTTATTTGGTATCCTGACCCATTTTCGCACTTGTAAGTACATTCGTGAACCTCATGCGCTTTAGTTGCCTACTGACAAGTCTTCTAGCCCCACACATTGGGGAGAACCAGATCAGCGTGTGTTGGATGGAAACGCGGTCATGGGCATTCGGCAAATTTCTCAGGAAAAATCGTCAACGGCATGCGCAAGTCGATAAGACGTGCTGAATATCTTAAGGACGAACATCCCAGCGGACAGAATTAATTGAACAGATGCATGAGAGTAGCGCATTTCGGGTCCAGGCCGTCGCCATGAGCGGTTAGCAGCATGCCCTTGCATTGATGGGTGAGGTGGCAACAGTAAGGCTACCCACCATTTCGCTCCTGTGGTTCATAGTCCTGAACAATCGGCCGAAGCATTGCTATCACGAGATATTTTTTCGAGAGTACGAAGCGATATCCCTGGTTGGTATGTGTGGCGAGTGTCGGATTGCGACGTGAGGCTTGAACTCCGCAGACTATCTCTTCTGAACAGCTCTTCACATGGAGTTAGCTTCGGTGGTCGAGTCGCATATAGTTCGCGAGGTTCTGATAGATAGGTTCAGGTCAATTGATGCGTCTTCGAGTGGTGTTGCAGCATGTCCAATTAGCTCTTCAGCTTGGGGCGATTTCTTCGAAATCGAACTCGGCGTATTCCATGGCTTGTTCAGCTTCATCTGTCTCTTCTTCTTCTGCTTTGATCTCGCGGACGCTTCTCAGAGGATAGTCGGCGAATTCCTCCAAGTCATCCCTACTTGCAGACAGGGTACGTTCTATACTCTTCGCTGGACTTGCCGTACTCTTGCTATGTCTTTTTGAAAATAACAATGCCATTTAAGGTGGGCTCCAGTATGTTCGTGCATTGCATGCCGGGTGTTGTAAATCCGTAAGGGGTTTCGAGTGCATATTACATCCGTTCGAGGTCGAGTACCATGCCACCATGAGGTCTCGTTAGCTGGGCTGGGGCGCTGTCCCGACCACTAAGTCTGGAAGCTCTATTATGCGTGGCATCCATGTTCGGTGCAGATACCGCTGGCAGCCCGGGGATGAGGGAGGAGCACAACTTGGGTGAGAACAAGGCGTCACGTGATCCTTCTGAGCCGCCAGTACTCAAGGTCATGTTGCGGAGCGGACGGGGCGAGGCGACTCAATAAACCATGATTAGGAAAGCTGAGTTCGGACAGGTCTATTGAGCAAACAGCGGACCTAGCTTTGTTTCTCGAGTTCGGGGAGGAGCGTGTTCCAAGCATGTCGCGACTCCTCCTCGGACGTTCGGCAAAACCCCTTCCGCCCAAAAGTTCGAGTCGCGCATCCAAGAACCTCGATTCAAACACGCATTGCCAACGCACCACCACCACAATGATCTGCCGAACCTGCCTCCGCGCAGCCTCCCGCGCCCGAATACCACCATCAACATCCATCTCCCTACCCTCCCGCGCCTTCACCACGGCCCCAACCCTCCGCGCCGCGACCCCCGTCACCGCAACACCCACCCCCACAGCCAAACAACCACCGCCGCCCGCGACCTCCACCTCCGCCGCGCAGCCCTTCAGCGAAGCCATCACGCCCGCGCCGAAACAAGATGCCGCGCCCCCAGCCGCAGAGAAGAAGGCGCCGCTCGTGCGCAGCTCCGTGCCGGCTGGCACGCCGCTCAAGGGCCTCAACTTCCTGAAGGACAGGCAGGATCCCGTGGCGCTGCCGGACGAGGAGTACCCCGAGTGGCTGTGGAGCATACTGGAGCGGCAGGAGCAGAAGGGGGAGGCCGGCGGGCAGGGAGATCTGTTTTGTAAGACAACCCTTCCACTTGCGTACTACACTGCATCCATATTTTCCAACTACGTGAATGGTTTTGTATGAGAATCAGGAACGGTATGCTAACGTGCCACAGCCAAATCGAAGAAACAACGTCGTCTGGCCGCCAAGCGCCTGCGCAAGGAACAGCTCGCGAACCCGGGCATGCTCGTCCCCAAGGTGCCGATATACGAGCAGACGATCGATCTCCCTGCTGGCGATGGGACTGTGGACGGGGCTGTCAAGGCGGGCGAGGCGAGAGGCGAGTTGACGAAGGCGATGCGGGATAAGCGGCGGGCGGCTATTAAGGAGCGGAATTTCTTGAAGGCCATGGGCTAGAGTATGCTACCACCAAAGAGTCGGGACATGTAGGATTACAGAATGGGGGCGTGCAGTTTGCACATTGCATACGTAGAAAGGCTGGAAGGATGAGGGAAGAACTGTACGATCTGTATATATTGTACCAGTAAAACGCGGCCATGGAGTTGGACTACAAATTATCGAGATTACTAACGTGTACGGATAACGCGCGCAGTGCGAACGCTCAAATCAAACAGTCTGCGAACCCTCACATCTCCCAGCTGCAAACCGCCGTACCGCAAAGCAAAACATATGTACCAACGAAGTTTACCACCACCTCACCTCCGCCCTCTTTGTTGTGGGCTTACTCCTCTTCTTCCACCGTCGCATTGACCTTCCTCGCTGCCTTCACCAGCTGCTTCAACCTCTTCTCCATGACCTCCCTCCCCTCCAGCGTCCGCCACACCTGGTGCGGCGCCTTATTCACCACATCCCAGCTCACCAGATTCTCCGTCAACTTCGTGCTGTCCCTCTGTTTCCGCTCCCACTCGCCATCACTCCTGCACTTGACCGCGCTGCTGACGACAACCAGCGGCGTCTCACTGCTCTGGATGTTCCTCGCAGACACAACCTCGTTCTTGGACAGCGAGTCCGCAACGAGGTTCTCCTGCAGCTCCGCCTTGATGAACTTCCCACCCTGGTACGCGTTGCGTCCGTACACGCGATCCTGGCGCGTGCGGCCCTTGAAGATCGCTCCGGCGAGCCGCGACATGCCCAGCGGGCTGAGTATACCCCAGCCCCAGAGCACGAAGCCGCGCCCGGGGTTCCCGATGCGGTGCAGCAGGTCCTCGTGCATGGGGTCGACCAGCATGAGCCCCGTGACCTGCTTGAGGTGGCGGGAGCTGAAGATGCGGGAGACGATGCTGCCGGTGCCAGCAGACACCAAGATCCAAGGGCCCTCCTCGCCGGCTTTGGCGAGGGCTTCGGAGAGTGCGTCTGCGGACATGCCCGCGCTGTGCGGCGAGGGCGCATTGTCGGACCAGGCGTACCCGGGGCGGTCCCAGTAGCAGTAGCGGCTGATGGAGCCGTTTTGGACAGCGTTGTAAGCCCAGTGCTCGAAGTCGTACTCGGCGGGCTCCTCGCCGGCTTCGAGGAGGATGGTTGGATCGCGCTTGCCGTGAGTGTAAGAGATGTTGCCCACGCAGCCCAGGTGGACGGCGTACTTGTCGCCGTCGACGAGGATGCGTTCGCCGGCGAATCTGAGGGTGGAGTCGCGCGCGCGGACGCTCAGGGTGCCTGTCATAAGGATGGCGACGACGATGAAGGCGGTCGTGAGGATTGTCGCGAGGAGCACGGCGAGCCATTCTTTCAGCGTGCGGCGCGTCTCCGGGCGGCCGGTGAGACGCTCTTCTTCTTCTCTCTTGCCCCAGGCGACAACCCGGTCGGTAATGATGCACCAGATTGCGATGAAGACGGCCCAGACGACGGAGGCGATGCCGACCCAGCCTTCTTCGAGGCGGAGTCTGGGGACGGCCAGGATCAGGATCATGTCGATGATGAGGAAGACGGCAATGATGGTTGTGGTGATGCGGAGAGCTTTGGCGGGTGCGATGAAGAAGATAATTTGGACCAGGAGGTTGCCGATTGTGAGACAGGTGAAGGCGAAGTCGAAAAAGCCGCTGCCGCGAGAGTGCATACCCGGCGGCGAGATGAAGATGCTGATTAAGAGCAGCGTCCACCAAATGCACGAGATCATGAAGAAGAGGATGGTGAAGTAGCGGAGGAATCGGACGGACCACAGGTTGTACGGCGAGACCTGGTGTGCGTTTAGTAGTGTGCAGGTCATCCACGAAGTAGACGTACCGCTGGGTCGTCAGGATCCAGATAGCCATCCGAGTTTGGCGGCCGTCGTCCCTCGTCGAGCAGTCTGGTCCTCTCAGTGGGCTCTTGTCTGCTCTCGTAGTTGCTTCGCGGTGTCGAGCGCACACTCCTCGTGCTTCGCCCAGCATCTACCGAAGCGGCGTCTGCTCGCGACGTGGACTCGCCGTCGTCATCGGGAGCTTTCTTTCCTCCCCACATCTTTACTATGAGCTCTAGGAGCTCCGGGTCCGGTCGCAAAGCTTCGCGAATTGAGAAGATTGACTTCGACGGTATTAAATGCGAAGGATAAGTGAGAGCAAGCTCAGAACAGGTTATTTCTCCGGGAAAGATAGCTTCCCCAAGCATTCGAAAGCCGCATGGCGTCGGGGCGATCAGATGGCGGATGGCGCTAGAGCAGCGATTTGCGTCATGGTTCTCGAATGCGGTTCGAAGAGTTGCCCACGGCTATCAACTACGCGGCTAGCGCATCATGTGTTGTTATTTGGCCCGCCACGCAAGGCCGCTTCCTCGATATCGCCTGTGTGCGCTGGTGGCCATGTAGCACGCGAGATTCGCCTGGGATATCTCGAACGACGCCCTCTCCACGGGCGAACAGTGACGCAGGATGGCACCGTCTCGCTTACCCCGCACCCCTGTCCCTGGCACTCGTAACCCCCACCCACCCTACGCATGCTACACCAGCAACAACATTCCGTCCGCTCGCAATTCCCCTCCCAATTGACTTTCTTTCCATGTGCCAGCTGCCTTCCTACGACCCGCAATGTCCGATCTCGCCAAAGCCTTCGCGAAAACGAAGCTCAGCGCGCTCCCCTCCCCCGAGCCCCTCGCCGAAGACCCCGCCGACGCCTACGAAGACGACAGCTCCTCTGCATCGTCCATGAGCTCGACCGGCACCGTGATTCCCACAAGCAACCAGCGGCCCGCCCCCGTGCTCCACTGGTCCTCCTACTTCAGTCAGGAGTTCTACCTCGAGCGGCCCGCCTCGCCGATGTCCAGGCATGCAAAGTTCCACGTCTACCTGACCCCGCCGGCGTCTCCCAAAGCGAACTTGCTCGTCCTGCACCATGGCGCGGGCAGCTCGGCGCTGAGCTTCGCGCTGATGGCGAAGGAGGTGCGGAAGCTGATGCCGGACGTTGGCATCCTCGCGGTCGAGGCGCGCGAGCACGGCAGCGTGGTGTGGGACGCCGAGGGCCACGTCGACGCCGACCTGTCCGTGGACGTGCTCGGCAGAGACCTCGTCGACATGATCCAGCTCACGGCGAGCAAGATGGGGTGGACGGAGCTCCCGACTATGGTGCTCATCGGACACAGTCTGGGCGGCGCGGTGGTCACGCACGTGGCGAACAAGGGGGTCCTGGGGAGCAAGGTGCTGGGGTTTGCGGTGCTGGATGTGGTCGAGGGGAGCGCAATGGAGGCGCTGAAGCACATGCAGAGTTACTTGGCGAGCAGGCCGAAGACGTTTCCCAGCTTGCCCGCGGCGATCGAGTGGCATATACGGTCGAGGACGCTGCGGAATCCGCAGTCGGCGAGGGCGAGTGTGCCCAGTTTGCTTTTGCAGACGCCGGATGGGAAGTGGGCGTGGCGAACAGAATTGGGCAGCACAGAGGCATACTGGGAGAATTGGTTCAATGGCATGAGCGCAAAGTTTCTGGGCGGCAAGGGCGCGAAGCTGCTTATACTTGCGGGAACGGACAGACTGGACAAGGAGCTCATGATCGGACAGATGCAAGGTGAGTCCGGCTATGTTCATATGTTAATGTGGTATCTGACGCACTCTAGGCAAATTTCAGCTGCAAGTCTTTCCTGCAGCTGGGCACTTTCTCCAGGAAGATCTCCCTGAGAAGACAGCCGAGGCGATCGTCGAGTTCGTCAAGCGTAACGACCGTAGTACGCTGGTTCTCCCGCCAAAGGTTTCAGACCTCCTTGCACAGGGCAAGAAGGTGTGAACTGAGCCTGGCGGGCGATATCTAACCTAACCCTGGCCACAGGATATCCTTAGGAGCAGGCCTAACATGGCACGATTTGTTGTGTCGCAGGCTTCAAAGCTCCTCCTGTCTACCGCGTGTTGGGTATGTGCCAATAACGCCTGCGAATGTTCTTTCTTTTAACCATTCACAGTCTGAAGGCGACCGCATGCGCCAAGCATCTTCCTCATAGACCTGTAGATGCTATATCGCGACCAGGGACACGCATTCGAAGTCGTAAATCAGGCCGCTGCCGCCTCTGCGTCGACGTTGGCTGCGGCGTCACCGTCACCCTTGGGCTTGTGCTTCCGCTTCCGCTTGCGGGGTCCTGCATCTTCACCGTCCGCTGCGGGGTGGTCGGTCGAGTCTGCCGCTGCCGGTCGGGGCGGTTTTGGTTCTGTAGACTTGGGCTTCGTCGCGCTTCCTGGGGGAACCTCCTTCTTGGCCTTCTTCATGCTCAGTGGGTTAGGCTGTTTGGGACCTTTCTGCTTTTTCTTCTTCTGCGGCCTGGCTTCTTCCGTGTTCTGCTCCTCGGCACCTTGCTCTTCGTCGTCGCGCTTCCTCTTTGGAGGCTGGTCGGGGTTGCGTTGGCCTTTGAGTCCCAATCTGAACTTGTTCCTCTCCTCCCGCTCCCTTAGCTCTTCCGAGGCGGTGTTCATCGGTTCCATACTGTAGGCATCGTCAGTGAAGTTCGCTGCCACTTGGGACTAGACGTACATCATGACAGCGCGTTCCAAATATATAAGCGGCACACCAGGTATGGTGCGGAGATGAGCCCGCACTTTGCGATCCTGTGATGCGACTACATATCTATGTTTATTTGTCTTGCTGTCTTTGGGGTCGATGACAGCGGAGAGACATTCCAGCGCGGAGAGCGGCTCTTCGAGCTCGTGGTGGTTGCAGCGGCGGCGCTCGAGGTTGTCTTGGGCCCACTTGATGAGCGCGTCGTTCTAGAAAAGTCAGTAGACGCCCCAAAGTGTTGGTGGGTATGCTCATACCTTGGGCTTCGCGTTGTAGAGCGCTCGCATGCAGCATTGCGTCACCATGGGTTTGATGGCGCCCTGGAGACAGCCCTGCAGCCGCTCGAGGAGCTGGATTTTGCCGCGCCAGCAGTCTTCGAGGATTTGGTCGTCAACGAGGACCTGCGCGCTAGTTAGTGTTGCGTCAACAGAGTGCACAAGATATAATACAAACCTGGTACGGACTGCGGAAGCCAAATGTGACTTCATACTGGTGCATGAGCTTCCGGTAGGCTTTCGCGCGCTTGAGCTTCATGTTGCCGGAGGTGTAGCGTTCCTAAGACGGGAAGTCTTTTTGGTGGTAAGTATGGTTCCCGCGAGGGTATTTCGCAAAGGTTATGTCGCACAAGTTGCCGACGGCAGACGGCTCTGCACAGATATCAGGAGCCAACGATAATTCGCGGTGTCGTGCGATATTCGGGGACCGGGTTATGGGTCTCCTCAGCCGTGCTGGAGTGGTCGCGCGTGGAGAGAGGAATGGTCGTTTGCGTCCGCCGTGAACTTTTTTGGCTCCACTCTGCACCCATGACGGCCCTTTTGCGCTAGCGGGCCCGACAAAGCCCCCACGGGTGCCGCCGCTCGCAGAGGCTATGCGTCGAAACAGCAACAACGTGACGGAAACATGGTGCGAGGGGGCGCCCGCTGACTGCGCCGAAACATACTTAGCCCCCAAAGAAGACAGCAGTGAACCGCGAAAGTGCGGCCCCGGACTCCTGACATCGCCGAGCCACGTCCCTCGAATGTGTGCGACACCGAGACACAATGCCACCCGCGTACCATGAAGACAACCCTTCCGCCGACGACACCAAGCAGCCGGACCGCGCACCGCCGACGAATACACCCAAGCCTGAGGCCCCGCCGGAGGTCGAGTACGACGACTTTGGGCTGCCCGTGAGGAAGCCGCGAGCGCCGCCGCCGCCGCCGCAGGCCGAGAGCGACGAAGACGACAAAGAGTTCAGGGACGCAATTGCCAAGGCGGCCTCCACGGAGCAGTTCGCCCAGCATGGCAAGGAGGACGTGAAGCTTGCGCCGGCAGTGGAGGAGGAAGCGAAGGAACCCAAAGCGCAGGCGAAGCTGGAGGAGGCTGCGAGCAGCAACGGACACGTCGAACCAGAGCCAGCAAAGGCGGCTCCCGCTCAGGACTGCGAGCAGCCCTCCTCGAGTGCGCATGTGCGTACAGCCTCGACCAAGTCGGCGACCGGCAAGCGCAGCAGCATCGTCCATGCACACAACCCCGCCGGCATCTCAGAATGGTCCCACATGCAGGTCGCCCCGCGCGCTTCGGAAGAGGTCAAGGAAGACGACGACGGCGGGTGGCAGACCATGCCTGCCTACGCCCGCTACGACATGTACGACGACGACAACAGGCTCATTGCTAAGGAGAACGCCGAGGAGCTCGAGGACATGCACGGCTACGCTAACGTCGGCGGGGCGGCCAAGGGCTACACGCGCGTCATCATGGACGACGACGTCGAGTCGGTCACCAGCATGGACGATAACACGGCCTATCTCTTCAAGGAGAAGAGCACCATGTTGCACGACGAGGACGAGGCTGCCCGCGACCCGCTCGCCCAGATGCAGACCACCAAGAGCCTCCTGACCGAGGGGCAGCGCATCGCCTACGTTGGCCTAGTTCGACTGGCCACCGTGGAGACAGCGAAGCGATTCGCCAAGCTGGACCGCAACAGGAACACTAAGAAAGTTCTCGACATGGCACAAGAAACCACACAGATGTGGTCGCAGAAGATGATGGTTCGCTTGTACTCGCACATGGAAGTGGACGAGTCTGAGCAGATCATGATCGAGCAGCTATCCGAACACGGTGTCGTGCCTGCCGACCTGACCCCGGCCCTGATGCAGAATGCGCGCGTGAAGAACCCCGCTGCCGAAGCTCCCGAATCAGCAAAGGAAGCCGCCTCTGCTAGACCGTCCATCTCCTCGCCTCGTCTAGACTCCCCGTCGGACAAGGGCAAGTCGACATCCAGTCTGGGCTTGGAAGACGATGACTACATGAACAGCCCTCCCCCGCCGCCATATGCAAACCATTCTGGAGACGATCTACCCGCCGTGCGGACACCGTCCCAGCTACCCACAACCTCAAGCTTAGACATTGACCTTCGTTGGACCATTCTGTGCGACTTGTTTTTGGTTCTTATCGCTGACTCTGTGTACGATGCACGCTCAAGACAACTTTTGGAGATTGTTGGAAAGTATCTCAGCGTGGACTGGCTAGAGATTTGCCGATTCGAAAAGCGAGTTACCGAGGCCCTAGAGATGGAGGAAGAGGCCAACAAAGAAAACTGGAACGAAGACGAGCACATGGAGAGCCGGCGGAAGAAAGCGCGCAACAGGCGTCTAGCTCTCATGGGACTTGCTACTGTTGGTGGCAGTCTTGTCATTGGTCTGTCTGCCGGCTTACTGGCACCGCTCCTTGGGGCTGGTCTTGCAGCTGGTTTCACTACAATCGGTGTGGCTGGTACAGGAGGTTTCCTTGCCGGCGCTGGCGGAGCAGCCATCGTCACCACTACAGGCGTCGTGACCGGCGGCACTATTGCTGTCAGAGCCGCGAATCGACGGACGGGTTCTGTCAAGACGTTTGAATACCGCCCGCTTCATAACAACAAACGGGTCAATCTCATCGTCACAGTAGCTGGTTGGATGAATGGTAAGCTCGATGACGTCCGCCTGCCATTTAGTACGGTCGATCCGATCATGGGGGATATTTATTCGGTGCACTGGGAGCCTGAAATGCTTCGAAGTATGGGTGACACCATCAACATTCTGGCTACAGAGGTGAGTGTCTCGTGTGTATCATGAGGGCGCAACTGACTTCTGCCTAGGCTCTTACCCAAGGTCTCCAACAGGTGCTTGGAGCCACGATCCTCGGTGCTCTCATGTCCGCACTGGCGCTACCTCTCGCGTTGACAAAACTATCATACCTTATTGACAATCCCTGGGCCGTCTCGCAAGCACGCGCAGACATGGCTGGCCTCATTCTTGCAGACTCACTAATTGATCGTAATCTCGGAGCGCGTCCCATTACGCTGGTCGGTTTCTCGCTTGGTGCCAGAGTTATCTTTGCCTGCCTCAAAGAACTTGCCAATCGAGGAGCTGTTGGTCTAGTCCAGAACGCGTACTTGTTTGGAACGCCGGTCGTGGCGAAGAAAGACGAATACACTAGGGTGCGAGCTATCATTCCCGGGCGACTAGTCAATGGTTTTGCGAATAATGATTGGATTCTTGGTAGGACTCAAAGACGACGACAAAGTTGCGTACATTGACAATAATCTAGGATATCTGTTCCGAGCAACCAGCGGAGGCATCATGCAGGTGGCTGGCCTCGCCAGAGTAGACGTGCCCGGTGTCGAGAACTTCGACGTCACTGAATTCGTACCCGGACACATGGCCTACCGAGCCTCGATGCCCAGGCTGCTGCGCGAAGTCGGCTGGCAAGTTGAAAGCGACGAGTTCTCCGAGATTGAGGATCCGGACCCAGAGAACCACGAGAAGCGTCAACGCGAGCTCATCAACGAGATCGAGGAAGCCCGAAAAGAACTGGAGAAGAAGCAAGAAAAGAAGGGCTTCAGCTTTTGGCGGAAGAAAAAAGTGCAGAAGAAAGACTGGGAGGTGTACGACGAGAAATCGCAAAGCGCAATCGACAAGGACCAGGACCCGGCTAAGCTGGCGGAGAACCCGATAATGTTCGACATTGACGCCATTCGTGCCGAGGTTGCGGCGTTGTCATATGATGCCGCGTACGATGGCATTGAGATAAAGGAGATCAAGAGCACGCTGCCCCCTATGAAGATTGATATATCACAAACTTCACCGAATCCATACTCTACTCTTAGGGAGACAAAGAGCTACAACGACAGTCTCGGCGTTGCGTCGCAGAATCCTACTGGTAGCTCCAGCAATCTCTCCACGTACTCGGGCGCTTCAACTCCACACCGGAACGGCGACCGGAATAAGAGCATTGATGCGTATGATGAGGCGGGTGACGGCGATATCAGCATGACGTTCGATACATCCTTCAAGGAACCGCCATCCTCGAAGTCCCCTAGGATATCACCACTCCCGCCGACGCACAAATCTCCCGAGCCATCGTCTTCAGCCTGGGACCCGCCGAGCTGGAACGACAACCCCCCTGAGCGTCCCCAATTACGGCCGTCCATGACCGAGCCCTCTGCCCAAGGTGCCAACATGGCGCCCGCATATAACGCATGGGCAGACGAGTACGACGACGAGTTCGGCAAGGAGAAGGAGCTCAAGATGACCTTCATGTAGCGGTCGTCACCCGCTCCGAGCCTTGGAACACCGGGGGCTTGGACCACTTCTGTCGTTTATAATCGCATCTTCAGCGCGCATCTACGGTCGGTGTCTATCATTCTTTCCTACGGCGCATTTATTGGTCATGGGCGGTGTTTGGCGTCAGAGGTATGGATGCGTCTTTGCCATTGCCATGCTTTCCTTGCATAGAGGACGAGCAAGATTCGGGTAGGGTGGGACGTGGTATGTTATACGTGGTCTATAGATAAGACGGATGTAGGGACGGGTGAAGGAGGCGGTGTATATACCTCCGATTAGGTATCTATTGCTATACTATAATAAACCAAGTCCATGCGTAGGTCCAGTGATGTCAACAATAAGAATCTTCGATGCGGGCGAGTAATGCATGTAGTTTCGCGCGCAGATGAGGTGGAACTATACATAACGGCGATATGATCTGCGTCAGGGCTGGCACCTTCCGATCCTGCACATGCATGCTCTAGCGCGCGTGCGGCACCCTAGAAGGTACATGTACCATTAGCATCTGATCCGTCTTCCTCAACCTTCTCGCGCAGTAAATCCGCCTGCAGACATCTAAGCCGCGACGGCTGCTGCTACGCATCCAGATCGCGATATCTCCACCGTCACGAACACCGTACAGATTCCAGACCGCCCGCAACCGCAGCGCTCAGTGTTACGAAGATAAACATGGGCCAGCGCTCCTCCCTCGTCCTGGGCTTGCAGCAGACGTTCTGGATCCCCGCTCCGCGCTTCACAGAGAAGGAATTGGGTGATCTGGAAGGCACGGTACGTACTGCCCCATACTCACGAATCCGGAGACGTCCGAACCACGTGACGCATCCCCCCAGCACCACATGTTACTTCACATTGATGCTGACGCCAGCACCAGGTGACCATCGTAACAGGCGGCTACACCGGCATCGGCCTACAACTTGCACACATCCTGTACGGCGCGAACGGGACGCTGTACATTGCGGGGCGCTCGCGGGAGAAGGCGGAAATGGCGCTTTCCTCGCTGCGCCATGCATCTCCCAACTCAAAAGGCCGTGTGGAATTCCTGCAGCTCGATCTCGCGGACCTCTCCAGCATAAAACCCGCCGTGCAGGAGTTCCTGGGGAAAGAAGAGAGGTTGGATGTGTTGGTCAATAATGCGGGAGTTATGTGGCCGCCGCCGGGCAGCGTGGGGGCCCAAGGTTACGAAGCGCAGATTGCGACGAACGTGTACGGGCCCTTTCTCCTTACGCATTTGTTGCATCCTATCCTTGCGCGGACGGCTAGTAAGAAAGAGAGCGGGGAGGTGCGGGTGTGCTGGGCGGGTAGTATTGGAATCGAGTTAGCTGCGCCGAAGGGCAGCGTGCTATTTGAAGAGGCGAGAGATGGGAGTGGTGAAAGAGTGAAGGAAGGGTTGGACAAGATGGAAACGTATGGTATGACCAAGTGCGCGAATGTGATCCTGGGCGTTGAAGGCGCGCGTCGGGATGCCGCCGATGGGATCGTCCACGTCGTAAGTCAAACCCATCCTCTTCGCCTCATGATCTATGCATCTTTTCACCCTGGAGAAGAGTACTTCTGCGCTTTGCTAACCCGCGCAAACAGTCGTTCAACCCGGGCAACCTCTACTCCGAGCTCCAACGCCACGCGTCATGGCTCGAGTTCTTCGCGCTCAAAGCCATTCTCTACCCTACTAAGTTTGGCGCGTACACGGAGCTGTTCGCGGGGTGGAGTCCGGAGATTACGAGCGCGAACAACGGGTGCTATGTTGTGCCGTGGGGGCAGATCGGGACGTATAATGTGGGGATGGAGAGGGCGATGGCGAGGAAGGAGGATGGTGGGGAGGGGAAGGCAGAGAGGTTGTGGGAGGTTTGCTGGAGAGTTACGCGAGAGTTTATGTAGCGCCTGTGGTGGTGTGGTGACGTGGTGGGACGAGGATGTCACGATTTTCAGGTGCAGGGTAGGATGATAGGATTGGTTGGTGAGTTTGGCTGTGCATTTCTCATGCAAAGCAGCGATGTAGATGGGGAGTAGACGTTCTGGGCTTTGCTGTTGATGGAGGAGGCGAGAACTGTTTCGCAAACGAGCAGCTTGCATATGACCGCGATCTTTGTTGTATAATCAAGAGGCTCTTTACGTCAGGATATCAAGACCGTGCGTGAAAGCAGTGATATAAATCGGTGAACGGGCAAGCCGGTAAGCAACTGTCATGTATGCCGAACCTAAAGGGACAATGATTTATGCGAAGCCACTGCTCTACTAAAAGCGTGCTGCTAATTTTCGAGTGGCAGCTGTCACTGTGTCGAAGTAGCAGGCCCTGATGAACACATGAGCGCGCTGGTCGGTGCGAGCAAGTCTTGCATGGCGTCGTTTGTTCAAATCGCTGGGAAGCAATTTAGCGGGTGATCGCGAAAAGTCTGAGGGGAGGCAGGAAAATACGGGCTGCTTGATCGTGCCTCGGCACTGGATCTTGAACAGTGTGGTGGTCAACTATGGCACATTCTAACCACATGAAGCTATCGATAGGGTCTCCCGTCAAGACTGTACAAAAGCTCCGATAGACTGTGATAGCCGACGGCTACCACTATAGCCACGATCGTCGAACCACTTGAGCGAAGTGAACCTATCGCAACCATGTTCAACAGATTCTCGGTTCTTATGTGTGCGCGCCTTCGCAAGTGGCGGGCTCCACGAACTCCATGGGTTGAGGTCCAAGATTAGACACATCATCCCGGAGAGAACACCAGGTTGTTCCTTGTCTTTAGCTGATGTCATGACTTTGTGTTGTCAGTCAAGTCGGCGTTCTCAAGTGCTCGGTCACTGTTGAGGTGGGTATCTACACGACAGTCCGGTTGAAGCCTAGTTCCCAACAGCGAGTTCTCCAACAGGTGACCCTCGGGTGATCGGTTCCAAGACCTCAGTGACCATACTATACACTACTAGGGGATGGGGAAGTGGGGCATCGTGGCCGCAGGGAACTCAAGCATGACCCGTGTTGCTCCGCCAAGGCTCTAGAGTAATCGAGGCCAGGCTGAAAGCCATCTAGGGTCGTCCACAAACATCTATCGAAGTTGTGTAAACTATTTGGCTGGACGCATGTTAGGGTCTTGCCAAGGTGATCGCGCTGCTATCTTGGGATGTGCCAAGATTCATGCGATGGTGGTGTGCGCGGAGCGAGATCCGACTTGATCCAAATCGTCTGCTGCAAGGTAAACGCGACGTCCGATAAAGCTGGAGCCTTTATTCAGTCGTAGCTCAGCACGATAGGATGACACTTCTAGTCAAGCCGTCATAAGTAACTGTTTTCAGGCAAAGAAGCATTGCCGAGAATGCCAAGGGCGGAGCTTGTACGGCGGTCCAGAGGTGAGCTGAAAACATTCGCAGCCGTGCAGATACGACTGCCGCCTTGTAGCGTATCTGGTGACAGTGGCTTCCTGGGCGTCCATGGCTGGAGCCATAAGGCGTACCTCGTATCCCAGGCTGCTATCTTCGGCGGTGCCGGCTCGCTTGGACCCGCGTCGTCCCGCCATGAGGCTCTCTAGAAGACTGCCACAATTGGTTAGTATTCTCAGAATCATCCGAAAATGGTTTGTGGCCTTTTCAATATCGTCCCATCCGAGAGGCAAGGATTGGTTCGTGACGGGCACTATTCAGTATAAAATTGAACCAAAAAAAAAAAAAGAGAACCCCAGTTCATGCTCGCATCGAAGATGCCTTACTTTTCAACATCCTTCTTTTGTTGAGCGTTGCTCAGTCCTGAAAAGTCTATCCTGGTTGAAGCCAAGAGCTGTAGCGGTGAAGATACGAGGCACTGGACCCCGATCTCAGTCCCAGACCGCATGGCAGAACTGTCAGATGCAAGTAAGAGAGCATCCTGCTCGCCTGGGCTTGTGGTGTCTCGTGCTCGCGCGAAGCTCAAGCTTCAAAGTGGTCTTTTCCTTGGCACGCTGCAAGCCAATATTGACATGATGACTTTTCACTTCATGATTCGCCTTCCGATGCGGTCCTTCCAAGACGCCGACGGCAACAAAGTGCATATCAGACCATAAAGCCATGCTTTGCGAATACACCATACGGACGAGTTGAAGGCACAGGTGGCCCTGGATATCGCTGTATTTCCAAGACCCGTTGCTAGAACGCTGCCGCCGAGCAGCGAGAGATATCGAAAACAAAAACCCGAACTGTCCCTTGTTGTTGTTGTTGTTGTTGCTGCTGCTGCTGCTGCTGCTGTTGTTGCTGCTGCTTACAGTAACAGCAGCTCATTGTCAGGATATCCGGTAGATCGGGAGGTGCGGCTGATCGCCGCTATGCTGGAAGTTTTGTGGTCCCTTTTTGGGGGGTATCTCACGTGGCGACTCCAATACGAGGCATTGCAAGGATGTTAGCTTTGCCCAGAGAAGGACAAGACACCCAGAGACCGGGTTGAAGCAGCGCCCTGCACGCAATGCCGTGTACTTCTACAGCCAGCCTTTTCTCCGAGGTTTCAGATTGATTAAACTGCAGAGCAAAAGATTGCATGGACACAAAAAAAGCGAAAGCTGTCCCCGGCGCAGCCTTAGACTTTTCGTGTCAGCGAGGTGTGCCTCTCTGCGGGGCGAATGGACAACACATGATGCATTGCCTCACAAGTGCATATGTGCGTGTGCTCGGGATGCCCTTGAATAACAGCGCGGTTTTGGCCGCCACTTCCGACCCAGCGGCTGAAGTTTTGGCGATGGGAAAGTGGTGGCTGCAGGATTCGTCGCTCATTTGCCAGGTGGCTGGGGTTTGGCGAGTCACGTGCTCTGCCAAACTACCTTCGGCCTAGTTAGTTCTCAAAAGATGCACTCCGTTCCAGGCTCCATCCCCAATCAGTCACCTCACACTTTGCTTCTCTCATGACCCGCATGGCATCGGTGCATCTCTTGGTGTCTTGATGCATAAGGCCTGTGGCACTCGGGCTTGATCAAGCTCTTGGCCGTCCGCATTGCGTCTATTTTGGTAGCTCTGAGCTGGAAAGTCATACCGGTACGCTGCGTCGGATCCAACCTACAGGACGCGTTCGGCTTGCATGCAACCACCTTCCGGTGAGGAAGCCTACCGGATACGGCTACGACCCGGCCAGCAGCCAATTCGCCTATCGCGTCTGCTGCCATTTTCTGACCACCCTCAGCTGTGGCTGAAGATGCCAAGGTACTGCAGACGCAAAGTCATTGGTCTTGTCTCTAGCTTTCGCCTTACATTACTGAATCTACTCTGTCTTGAGCAAAAGCTTCTACAAGCCCGCAGGTGCTCGTTTGCTTGGCTTCACGGGTTTGTCGCCAAGCCAAGTGTCTCGAACATGTCAGAGAACAATGAACCCGATCACCGAGCGGGACCTGCCGGCACATCCTAAATCTCGTACCTCATTGCCATAGCATATGGATTATACCAGATACAATAGAAATCAAAAAGCTGGAAGAAGACGAGGTCATGTTCGAACGTTTTCTTTGTTCCGATAACGATAGGTACATGAAAAGGTCCGCTTAAGACGTACCTATGATACTGCTGGCCTCCTTGCTCGATTCGTACGATCGCTAGCCTCCCGACCATGGACGAGCTTGGCACACAGCGCGTGTATGTGATGTTTCCCCACGCAGCTGAGATGTAGTAGGCGCCAAAAGTAACACCCGACAAGGTTCTCGTGCCTTGCCACGCGCTGTCAGTCACATACCGCTGACAAAACCTTGAACCATTGTCTCAGTGGCGCACGTGGCATATGCACCAAAGCTTAGGCCCAGATTCAAGCTTCTCAAGGAGCTCCCACGATGTTGGCAACAGGCTCCAAGCGTTATACGAGGATTTCGTTCGAGCCACATCGCAGTCTGCCCGCAGTCTATGCATCTAAGCGAGCATAGACTTCGGCCAGAACCACCGAAGCATCCTTGTAGTGGAGCACCCTCCAGGATGTCGTGAAGCGGAATCACCGACACAGTGCGTCTAGGTCTCTACTGCGCGGGGTCCGGGAGCTATTGATTTAGAACCGGAGGAGCACCCAGATCTCTCGTACTATGGTCTCTGCTGTAGTATAAAATACAGCAGGAACGCCTCCTGATATCTCCATCCAACAATTCTCTCAACCCTGCTCGTGGGTTTCTTGGTAACCACTCAGCCTTCATCATGAGATATTATTTCCCTACTGCAGTGGCTTTGTTCTTTGCTGGCCAAGCTCTGGCTGGTGACAACGATTGGCTGAGCCCAGTTTATAAGGAAATATTTCAAAATGAGCTTCCGATCCCACCGACTAAGGAGAAAAAATACTCCTACTACAACTCAACTACGAATCGCTACATTGATTACTACGAAATCGAGATCAAGTCATTCGAACAGCAAGTGTACAAGGGCTTGAAACCTGCACAGCTTGTCGGCTATGGTCTGTCAATCCTCTCAGTACGAGAAAGTAGGATACAAATCTAACCTCAGCACAGATGGCATTTCACCTGGACCCACGTTTCGCATGGAGAAGGACCGAGAGGCCATAGTGCGATTCGTGAACCATGGCGAGAAGGACATCTCTGTCCACTTGCACGGCTCTTACAGCAGAGCACCTTTTGATGGCTGGGCCGAGGATGTGACCAGCAAGAATCAATACAAGGATTATTACTGTGAGTACAGGATCCGTCATGGGTACTTATTTTAGCACTAACGCTACAGCAGATCCGAACAGGCAGGCAGCCCGCACGCTCTGGTACCATGATCACGCCATTCACCATACGGCTGAGAATGCTTATTATGGCATGGCTGGCTTCTACATCCTGCATGATCCGGATGAAGATAAGCTCGACCTCCCCGCTGGAGAGTACGATCTTCCGCTAGCTCTGGCTGCAAAACAGTACAACTCTGACGGTACGCTCTTCAGCCCCGCAGATGAGACAGTCTCTCTCTACGGTGACATCATCCATGTCAATGGCCAGCCCTGGCCATACAAGAAAGTAGAGCCTCGCAAGTACAGGCTCCGGTTCCTGGATTCGTCAATCAGCCGTGCCTTCAAGCTTACCTTTGAAGACTCAAAGGCGAAGAAACTTCCCTTCAATGTCATCGCTTCTGATGCCGGATTGCTCACCAAGCCAGTGCAATCTGATAATCTTGAAATCTCCATGGCCGAGCGCTGGGAAGTTGTTATCGACTTCAGTCAATACAAGGGCCAAAACGTGACATTGAAGAATTCACGCGACGTCCAGGCAGATGAGGATTACAACAGTACAGATAAGGTCATGCAATTTGTTGTTGGCAACACTGTCTCGAGCGACCAAGGAAACGGAAATCTCCCTGGTTCGCTGCGCAACGTTCCTTTCCCACCAACCAAGAGCGGCGTGGACCGAAAGTTTAAGTTCGAACGCCAAGGCGGGGAGTGGAAGGTCAATGGTGTCACCTTTGCAGACGTCAACAACCGCATTCTCGCCAAGCCACCCCGTGGTGCCATCGAGATCTGGGAGCTGGAGAACGGTGGTGGTGGCTGGTCTCATCCGGTGCATATTCACCTGATCGACTTCCAAATCATCTCTCGAACCGGTGGTCGTCCTGTTCTCAACTACGAAAAGGAAGCACTGAAGGATGTCGTTCTTCTTGGCACTTCGGAGACTGTCCGAGTAATCGCTCGCTATGCGCCGTGGGATGGAGTCTACATGTTTCACTGTAAGTGTACACACACTGGCAACCCACGATTATGGGAATCGCACTTACTTTATCCTAGGCCATAATCTCATCCACGAGGACCACGACATGATGGCTGCTTTCAATGTAACCAGTTTGGCCGACTTTGGGTATCCAGAAACTACCAAGTTTATTGACCCTATGGAGGACCGTTGGCGTTCCAAAGACGAAGGTGACGGCTCAGCCTTCACCGATGAAGCTGTCAGGGATCGCTGCCACGAATTCTACATGCTGGATGCCTATGATAAGGTCGATGACACCGAGGCAGCACTCGAATCTTATTATGCCAACGGCGCGCCAAAGACGACTCTCGCCACGAGTACTGTCAAGGCTAGTACCCTTTCGTCGGTTACGACGAAGGCTGCAACTTCGACTATCACTACTTCAGCGAAAGTCGATGATAAGAAAACGACGACAACGAAGACTACGGCGAAAACGACCACGACCAAGAGCTAATCGACCAAGAGGTACCCGATCAGTTGACGTGGGAGTTGCGCAAAATAGACTTACATGGCGCTTTGGGATTGTTCATCTGTTCGGACAATAAGGGCTGCCGCTTACGAAGATCATGATCAGTACACTTAATGTAAATATATCAATCGCTCATTCAAAACCAAACTATGCGCTCTGCCTACCGAACATCGTGCCGTCCATATTAGCTTCAAGGTCGATAAACTCACTCAGTAATTTGCCCTTCTTGAACATATCCCGCCCGCATTGGCTTCTTAGTATGCTACAACACAGTGCTCCCCTGCCTAAGCACGACGCACCAAATAATACATGTCTACAGCACTCCCCTATTGATTATCCCCAAGCTCGTCGATGTACGGCGTTCAATGTGTACCTTGATAGATTTTCGACATCACCATACCGCTGCCCTTAGAAAACATTCTAGGCGACTGATTTCAGCCACAGGACTGACGGCTGCCGCACGGCTTGGTGCGACATAGGAGGTCGCGACAAGCTTTGTGGAACACCCCAGGCTTTTTGTTCCACAGATCACTCTTCAGCCACACAACGCCGAGGAGAAAGAATCGGGAGAGTGTAAGCGCCCTGTTGGCCCGACTTCGGCGTAGGCTCAAACTTAATTCCTGAAAAAGATGTACTCACAACAAGATGCACTGATCTGTTCTACTACCTATCACAAGCCTCTTTCGCCATCTTCGGAGATATATACTCATACTACTTGACCAGATGATGAGCGGCCTCCTACATGCCCCAGAGTGCAAATGCTCACAAAGAGGCATGGGATAAAGGCCCTTTAGGCAAGAAAGCGAAAGTATCAAACGTGCGACGGCAAGTGTAATTCGGTAATATGAATTAGTTATTATCTAAAATTGAGGCACATAGGGACAAGTATCGGGATCGTATGGTGTTCCGTGGTTAACTTGTTTCACAAGCTCTGGAAACAGGTACTGACTCCAGAACGCTACAAGCTCGAACCGGCCTTGAGAGCGCCTGGAAAATTCTCCTGGATCGCGTCCCACAACGGCTGACCGCCCACAGTGAGGTCTTTCCAAGCAGGGCATGAGAGACTCAAAATCGGTGCAGCCAAGGTGTTGGTGACCAAGCTAATCGGGCCTTCAAGTGTCTTCAAGATACCAGAAAGGGAGTTTGGCAAGAACGTCTTGAGAACCTCGAAGGAGAAGCAAAGCAGGTTGTTGTTCTCGAGAAGGGAAGTTGAGTTAAGGATGCCACCGGTGATGTTTTGCATGTCAAAGCCGCTGAATGAATTCACTTTACCGGTGTTGCCGCCAATGCTGCGGGCGACGTTAGTTTTGGCTCTACAATCGATGGCTTACCAATGTCACATACCTTCCAAGCTCGGGGTGCTTCATGACCCAGCTGACGATATCCAGGTTGAGCGATATCAGACCGTATTCGGTTGGCTTCCTGTACCAGTTCTGAGGAATTGTCTCATGTCCTTCGCGATACTCAAGCTCTCCATCCGCATCCTCGTACACGGCAAAAAACTTCTTGAACACGTCCTGCGTAAGTACGCCATCGGGGTTCTCCGAAGAATGGTTCGCGAGGAGACGTCCCGTGAACAGGTAACCCGCGTTGCGCGAAACCATCCCAGACACTGGCCCATAGTAGAAGTCGGGGTTGTGTCCAATACTATACGCCCAACGGCGCGCTGCCTGGTCGGCTATCAGGTCCATCGATATGATGCCGTCTTTATCGGCACGGTCGTATACGTCGCGGAAGAGTGTCATATTCATCTTCCAGGCGTTTCCAGTCACGTAGAGATCGTCGCGCGTTAGAGAAGAGTCGGACTCGATCCAGTTGTGGGAGCCTTGCAGACCACGAGGATCGCCTGCAGAAGTCAGTACCCAAGGTAAACGGGTCGGTGTATGTGTACGTACCGATGAGACCGAGGACGTTCCCTAGTAGATTATCGGCCCCGGGCCCTCCGATGGAAAAACCCGGACTCAACGAAAGTGGGTTGCCCGTCCATACGGTCCCCATAACACCAAGAATCAAAGCAAGGTCCAAGTGCATACCATACACTTTGATTGTTGTTAGCCTTTTGACCATCTAGCATTGGATCCAACCGTAAGGCAACTTACCCTGGTTGATGGCAGTTACAACCTCAGCGAAGCTGGTAATACCAGAGTGGTCGATATAGCCATGGTTTGCTAAGGCATTTAATCCCGGACAGGGACCACGCTGGTCGTACTTGCTCGGTGCCTGGAACGCATACTTCCCAGTTACCTGGATAGGTTTCTTGGTGTTGACGATCAAGCGCTTCTCGTTCTGATACTTTGCCACGGTCTCTATGGCATCTTGTAGTTTTTCAGCCGTAAGACCCTCAAGGCTGCGGGCGGAGAGAGTCGGAAATGCGCCAGCAAGGCAGCTGGATGAAAGAATGAAAAGAGTGGACCAGAACTTCATAATGAATGGACGAAGCACCTGTAGATTCAGAGGTAGTTCAAATGATTGTAAGAGATGTTCTGAATTCCATTACTGACCAAACAAGCAGCAATAAGGGAGGGCTTCACTCGACAGTCACATGGAGCACTATGGTGTCCCGAGACGTCTCACCGCAACGCGGGACAGACAAATTAAAAGGAGAGGATTACTACGACGACTTCGACGAAAGTTGAAAATTCAACGACGATCCTCAGGCCGGCAGAATGACCCGGGTCATGATCAGAAGAGCGCACTTCAGCTTGGGTAGGAGCCAAAACTTCCCCTCTGGAAATCTCCGAGAAAGCAAGTGCAGTAAGCCAGCAGCTTTGTGAGATTAGCGCAGCAAGGTTCGCAAAGCCCTCAAGTGGTCTTTTTGAGCACGTTAGTCCCTGTGAAGGAGGCGGACCAGGTTCCGAACCTGCACAACGTGGGCGCGACCACGGCACGGCCATGAGTCGGGCATGCTCGAGTCATGACGATGGATACTCAGACAAATACAGGTAAGATGTGCGAGCAGTTGGTGGAGGATTTGGCAACGCGGATGCGGCATGACTGCTGATCCTGGTCCATTCGCAGTTCAAATTAGGCCTAGATTAGGCCCGCATCGAGCCGTCCCTTGTTGAATCGCCCGTTTTGCCTTTCGCAGCGCGCATTCCAGGCGCTGTACCGTGCTTCCGGTAACGCACGGGCTCGAGTGGGGAAGTACCCCGTTCAGCGCTTTGGCACAAGGCATTGCTTTGCCTTAGGAAGGAATGCTGGATACACAGGTCGCCGAAGTTGGCAGACCCCAGTCTAAGGACATACGTAATTTAATTTGTGCACTCTCTGGATACACTATACAGAGTTGTGCGTTCTCTTTGTCCCTATGGCAAAGGATCCAACAAAAAAACAAAGGTGAGGCACCAGTGAATTTGGCTTCCAAGTGAACCCAGTAAATTGCGATGCTTGTTGCGCCTATGTGGAGACCGATAATGCCTCCATTGTGACAATATTTGATATGTTTGACCCTGATAGCAAGACTGCATTCAAACATGTTCCCTGCTCGTTGTTGATCTCCCTATCGGCCAGCCATCCGAGTGGTCACTTTCGCAAGACTCCGCAGCGGATAAGTTCGAACGACTGGATTCCTTCGTAGCAGTCTGCTGTGTCCAAATGTCTTTCCGGTCCGAGTTTAGTCCATTGCTTGCGAGTGCATGTGTACTTCGGGTATCGATATCCACCAAGGGTACGAACTCGCGATCGTCTTTCGTCTGTGGTTTGATGGAGACTCTCACAGCCTTGTCGCTAGTCAGTGCATTCGATTTCGACGCTGCAGTGAAATCCTTAGAGTTCATGGAGTTGCCCTTTGTGGAGTGGAAGGTCAGCTTGATCTTGGGCCACGCCCTGGCAATGAGCATGCGATGGGCAGGCATGCAGCCGCATATGATGGAGACGTCAACCTCAATCAGGCTCCAATAACCCGCTTCAACATAGTCCCATGTGATGTTGTGCGAGTTAGCAAAATGGACGAGTGAGTAAAGGCGCATGGCCGAAGTGAAGATGACAATGGCGCCAACCGAGAACATGGACATAACCATAAGCTTCCTCTTAAGTGTCATGTTCAAGCCGGCGAGATGCTTCAGCGGGAGGACCATAACTATGACGTCCAGCAAGATGTTGATTGCGGCCGCGACCCAGCCTTGAAGATGGATGTCGTTGCACTTGCCTGCGTGCAGACCATCCCACTGAGTCCAGGCTAAGCTCACTGGGATACACTGGAAGGTGGTGGCGAAGAAGAAGGCGATTGTATACGCTCCGCATAAGGCCATAACGCCGTATATCTGCATGCGAAACTCCCTGGCCGGGAAGACTCGAAGGTAGAAGAAGAGGATAGATATCTTCGAAAAGCCGAGCGCGAGGATGTAAAAGATTTCGCCCATGAAATAGTAAAAAAGCACGTTGGTTATTTGGTAGTCTTTGAGCGTCCACATATCTCGCCCAAGTCCATTGTCAATCACTGAATGGGGTCAGAGCTGTCATTTCATCTCAAAGGATCCAAGGGACTTACGCATAAAGCCAAAGGCAGCTGGAGGTATTGCCAAAGCGACCACGAGAGCCATTGCGGCGTCGTCCCATGATATTGAACGGCCCTTCAGACATGCTGCCATTCGCAAAATGAAAGACAATACTGCAAGACCAATGCCGGCTGTTCCGAGCACGATGAACTTTCGTCCGCTGGATCGAACTGGTGCTCCACAGCTGGTGCTCGATATATTCTTCGTCTCTGAAGGCCGTAGTGGTCAGCTTCGTACCCTCAATGCATTGAAGTCAGTCTTACGGAGCAGTTCGTAGACAGTGCATGTTTTCGAAGCACAAAGGGTGACAGCGGCATTCAAGGCTTCGTTTGTACACAAGCATTCCGAAGTGAGGTTGTTGGCGCAGGTAGTTTTGGGTATCTCGGACATGAAGCAAGCTAGCTACATAGAAGTGTTAGTCAAGGCCAGCCGAAAGTTTAACGACTCAAAGAGGTGCAGTACTTACGGAGCATGGCGGTAACTCCTTTGCCAGAGCTTGAAGTGCGGCTTGTGCATTTGCAGAGGTACCGAAGACGAAGAAAATAGTCAACACCGTCCACAGCCTCATGGTGTTGTTCCTGGACTATGCAGTAGCGAGTGTTGTGAGTTGATTTAGGACAAAAGAATGTGGCATTCCGTGAAGCTTGAGTCTACATAGGTACACATTGCATTTTAACAATCAAGTTTCTTGTTCTGTTGAACGCGCACAAGTCCCCCCACTTGTCATCCAACACTGATTGCAAGGGAGAGTGACCGGGTTGGCTTCGACACGGCTTTTGCCATGGTACCCCCAAAGGGTACCTGAGTGGACGGAGAAGGACCGGTTCCAGGAAGTCGGAAACACGAATGTGACTTGGCGGTGAGGGGTCCTGCGTGCCTGTAGGATCACGCCGCACGCCGCATGTGGTAGATCCTGTCCAAGTCCAGCTAGGAAAAGTGCTTTCGGTAGGGGCCATACACTCCCAGGGTGCGTAGCGCGTCTAGGTTTTCTCTTGTAGAAGGCCACAAGGAGGTCCGATCACCCCTACCACGCTACGCGCCCAAACTCCCTGGTAGGGTGTACAACAGCACAGAGGCACAGTTAATGAGGCAGCATGTTTGCATGCACACGCTTGGATTGCCGATCTCCGGAGCCTGGTCGTTAAGTATCGTACTTCAAGAACATACTTTGACTGTACAAATGCTTCACTGATTGTAGGTGCCTCAATGGCGCTTCCGTAGACTCGGTCCGATCAAGAACAAGAGGGTCGTTGCGGACCGTGCAATCCTGGTCGTGGTGTTTCAGGCGCCGCGACAACCGCTCCGAATAACGGCCAAACCGCTTCCCCGCATGGGCGTTACTGTAACGGGGGTTTTGACATGGCGCACACTGCAAGGATCTGTTCACGGATGCATCCTTGACGATCTCAATATCAAGCACCCGTACCCAGCAGCCTGGATGACGCCGCCTTCATCCGATTGTGGTGTCTGCATGCCTTTGCTTGCCACGGCGACGTCGCCCCCAACGCTCCGTGGACTCCTGATGCCTGTATATTAATCCTCCCCAAGCACCGTCATCTTGGCTCTCCAGCCTGCATTCGCTCCTTCTTTTGCTAGGTTCTGGCACCTCAGTCTTTCTTTGTCGTTTGTTATTACCAGGGTCATCTATAAGTAATCCAACATGAAGGCATTCACCGTAATTTCTTTCTTGACTTCAGTTGCTGCGGCGCGGTTTATGTACGTTGATATTTCTCTAAGGTTCCTTCCGTGCCAAAGTATTGACTCGTTTTTAGTGATGGTGCATCTCACACGCCATTCAGTGGCGTCAATGTCAAGCGTGCCGTCAACGACTCTGCCTCGTCCACGACTCTCGAGGATTATGAGTATGTGATTGTCGGGTCTGGTGCTGGTGGTGCCCCTTTGGCCGCGAAACTCGCTCTAGGCGGGCACAAGGTGCTTCTACTCGAGGCAGGTGGCGATGAGACGAACTCTACTCAATACAACGTACCGGCTCTGCATGCGGTCGCCTCAGAGTACGAGCCCATGCGCTGGGACTTCTTCGTAAAACATTTCGATGATGAGGCCGAGATGAGGAAGGATACGAAACTTACCTATGAGCTGGCCGACGGAACACGCTACACTGGCGCAAACCCGCCTCAGGGAGCTCAGCCTCTGGGTATCCTCTACCCTCGTGTTGGATCCCTCGGTGGCTGCACCAGCCACAACGCCCTCATCACCATCTATCCCTACCGCAGTGATTGGCAGTATCTCCAGGACATCACCGGAGATAACTCTTGGGCTCCTGACAATATGCGCCAATACTTCGAGCGCATCGAAAAGTCTCGCTACTTGCCGAACAGTATTGTGGGCCACGGATTCAGCGGTTGGCTCGAGACTTCATTGACCCAGCTAACGCTCATTGCCCAAGACTTCAAGGTGCTCTCGCTAGTCGTTGCCGCTGCCACTGGAATGGGCCAAACTCTTCTTGGCTCTCTCATTACCTCAGTCACTGGCCTGGCTCAGATCTTGCTTCGCGATATCAACCACAATGGTGCTGGACGAGACTCTCAGGAGGGCTTGTGGCAAGTTCCTCTAGCCATGAAGATTCCCGAATACAAGCGTGCTAGTCCTGTGGATCTTCTGAACTCCGTCGTCAACGCAAAGAATGCAGACGGCAGCCGGAAATATCAGCTCGATATTCAGCTCAACACGCTGGTTACCACCGTGAGGTTCGAAGAAGGCACGAGCGGCAAGCCAAAGGCAACTGGTGTTAACTTTTTAACCGGGCAGTCATTGTACGGTGCCGATCCTCGTCGCCAGTCAGGGGCTGCGACCGGTAAGGGCACCCCAGGCTCGGTCACTGCCACTCGCGAAGTCATCTTGTCGGCCGGCGCCTTCAACACACCTCAGATCCTCAAGCTGTCCGGCGTCGGTCCTAAGGCTGAGTTGGATAAATTCGGAATTGAGGTCGTCAAAGATCTTCCAGGTGTAGGCACCAATTTGCAGGACCGATACGAAATCCCCATGACAGGTGCGGCGCCATCATCGCTCGCATTGCTCAAGGGTTGCACTTTCCTGAAAGGTTACGATGCCTGCCTGGAGAAGTGGGAGGATCAGCCGGCCATCAACAAGGGTACCTACGCAACCAATGGTGTTGCTATTGCGATCACGAAGAAGGCCAAAAATTCCCCCAATGGCAACGCCGATTTGTTTGTGGCTGGATGGCCCGCGTACTTCAACGGTTACTACCCGAACTACTTCGAGAACGCAACTGCGGGAGGTAACCACTGGACATGGCTGACGCTGAAGGCCGAGTCGCGCAACAATGCTGGTACCGTCACTCTCCGCAGCACAGATCCGCAGGACGTTCCGGATATCCGCAAACGCAACTTCGATGTCGGTGGTGACGAGGATCTCGATGCGCTTGTCGAAGGTCTCAAGTACGGACGACAGGCATTCAAGGACCTAATCCCTCTCGATGGCAAGTTCACGGAGGTGTGGCCTGGCAGCAATATCAAGACGGATGCGCAGCTGAGGGAGTTTACCAAGTACGAGGCTTGGGGACATCATGCGTCTTGCACTGCTCCCATTGGTGCTGATAACGATGTCAACGCGGTGCTCGACACCAACTTCAAGGTCAGAGGTATCGATAGCCTGAGGGTGGTAGACGCGAGCTCGTTCCCCAAGATTCCGGGCACCTACCTTGCTGTGCCTATATACATGATTGCCGAAAAGGCGTCCGACATCATCTTGGCGGATGCTAAAAAGTCGTCATAGACGTTGAAATGGCGGATGTGATATATCAGGCTGCAGGCACTGTACCCATGTTAGCCGCCGTGCGAGCACACGTAATAATTAATTTCTTCACCCACATCAATATAGATTTTTGTCAAATGTATCGCTCACTCTTCGTGACGCAATATTCCAACTTAGTTTGCAGCTTCCCTATCATGATGGAACCTTGGAATAGAGTGAATTTGCCTGATGTGTAAATTTTTCGAGCTATCAACATAGGTCGAACCCTTTTCCTCACCACTTAAAGTCGAAATTTGTGAGTCGTCAGAATCAGGACGCACAAATACATGACTTAACCATCATCGAGACAGGTAGTAGGCCATCGAAGTAAACCTACGAATTGCAAGATTTGTGCCTCCCTTGCTTTCCCAGCAACGTTATTTGTCATGTATAGCCAGAAAGCCCCGCTTGGCTTTGTCCATGACAAACTACGGTAGGATTGCTTGCATTTTCCACTGATCTTGCGGATTTTGGACGTGTTTCGATGACCTGTACACTGTATAAGATCAAGACAATGGCGAGAGCTGCACTCAACAGGTATAAGGAGGTGGAGTTGTGTGTAGTTGCGTCTCCACGCTCCGCAAATAAACGTGAGAATAGTTGATGGGAACATTTGAGGTACATGCTGATGACAATTCGTTAATGTCAGGTTGGGATAATATGTGGCTTGGCCCAGAGTCACCTGCCATGGACCTGGGTACTTAGCTCCGGAAAATCCACCTGATTTCCCGCTGTTCTGGCTCGTTTTTACTCAATTGAATGTCCTGTGTTAATCCACCAAAGACGAAGATTTGTTGAAACTCTGCGAGTGAATGCTGCATCTAATGTTGGTACTGATTCAGGCCACGACGTCAGTTTAGACTCTCTGACTCGTGTGTGAACGAACTAAGTGGAGACGAGGCCTCTACAGCCGCGGTCCCCAGGAATGTCGAGCGTGGCAGACAGCGGGGCAACACACATGCTAGGACCTACCTCGGATAATATCTGCCAGCGGACTGTGTGATGTCGTCGGCGCGAAGCATCTGCTAAAGGTCTTTCCCTACGCTCCATCGCAGCCCCGAACTAAGACATCGAAAACGCACATTCATTCCCGTTGAACGTTTGTCGAGCAATTGCGATCCTTACGCCCATATCGCGCAAAGGAACCTCGTTTGAACCCGGGCAGCCTGCAAACATCATGTCGTCCTCGCCCGACATTTTCCACGGCTGGGTTGGTCATGACCCCAAGTCGGCGCAGGGTAATATGCAGTGGGAGGCTTTTACCCCCAAACCTTTCGCCGAAACCGATGTCGACATCAAGATCACACATTGCGGTATTTGCGGTACAGATATCCACACCCTACGCGAAGGCTGGGGCGCGACGCACTATCCCACTTGCGTCGGCCACGAAATTGTCGGCCATGTCGTGCGACGAGGATCGTCACCCGCCGCTCAGCGCTTCCAGATTGGCGACCGCGTCGGCGTTGGTGCTCAGGCGGCAAGCTGTCTCAAAGCAGACTGCGAAGAGTGTTCGACGGGGATGGAACAACATTGCGGAAAGGGTTTCGTCGGTACGTACAACGGCCTGTACAGGGAGCACAATTACTGGAGCATGGGCGGTTATGCGGACTACACCCGAGTTGCAGCACACTTCGCGGTCAAGATACCAGAGCGGGTGAAGAGCGCGGATGCGGCACCTATGATGTGTGGAGGAATCACCGTATACGCGCCACTAAAGAACAACGGTGCTGGGCCGGGGAAAAAGGTTGGCATTGTAGGGTTGGGTGGATTGGGACATTTCGGTGTGCTTTTTGCGAAAGCACTTGGATGCGAGAAAGTGGTCGCGATTAGTAGGAGACGGAACAAGGCTAAGGATGCAGAGACTCTTGGGGCGGATGACTTCATCGCAACGAACGAGGACGACAAATGGGAGAAGAAAAACTCGCGCTCCCTCGACCTCATAATCTCAACAGTGTCCTCACCGGATATGCCGCTTTCAGGTTACCTGCGCCTCCTCCGAACGAATGGTACATTCATCCAGGTTGGGGCTCCAGAGGGAGATCTTCCTCCTATTGCCGCGTTCGCCTTGATCGCGAAAGGCTGCAAGATTGGCGGCAGCCAGATTGGCAGTCCCAAGGATATCGAGGAAATGTTGCAGTTCGCTGCGACAAAGGGTATCAAGCCCTGGGTACACCAACGACCGATGCGTGAAGCCAATCAGGGCGTTGTGGATTTCGAAGAAGGCAAGGCAAGGTACAGATACGTGCTCGTCAACGAAGAGAAAGAGCAGTCTCAGTTATGAGACGGAGTTGATTCCGCACAACGCATTCCTCTTATTCCGAATGAAATCCCGTCAAATAACGCAGTGAAGCGAGTTTTTTTTGTTTGCGTATTTGTGTGCTACGTAACTCAGTGACGCGTCGCTGCCGAGTCGCAGATGACGCTAGCTACGCCCTGCAGCGGCCGGGGGACGAGCACCGAGTAATGAGCGCTTTCTAGTTATTAAGCTTCGCTGACGACAGGTTTCTAATCCCACCATCCAGCGTCTCGCAATCGCGCACGAGCAGCAGAGCGAGGTACGAGCACATACCGCAAGAGATCAGCACAGGATTGCGCGCGATCTTATACATGTGCCAACCAAGACCACAACTTGCCCGTCTCCACTAGCAAACGAAATCGGCATCATGCTTGCGATCGAGAACGGCCCCCAACGGAATATCTCTGCTTAGTGCACGGGGGCTACGCCCTGCGGGGCTTAATTCAGACGCCTCGTGCGAGATATCCTTGGTGAGATAACGACGATACTTAAAGGCGTAAAGGACCACGCATCGCGCCCCCCCCACCAGTAGGGATTGGATCTAATCCCGGCACTAAGCAATCTCAGCCTCTCACTTCTAGGCTCACCTCGCCTCCGTCGGCGTTATCTTACCCATCCAGACCTTACTGTCAAAAGATGGGTGCGCGAGTAGGTTTTCAAGTGGTGGCATGAGACTAGGGATTCAGTTCCACAGCATATGCCGTGCACAGAATCACCGTTCCTATACGTGCTTCTGCATCTGGTTGCGAGATGCTCACTCAGCTCCGTGCACATAGCCTTGCTCGTATGTACCTCTTCCTCCAGCCCAGAGGCTTTGGTAGTAATTGCGTCCCTCTCTCTCGCTCTTCTATACCCTGGAGGAACAGTAAGCGATCTAGAGCATAATCCGGCGTTCCGCAGTGTCGAATGATAGCTACAGTTATGCACTTTTGCTGCATCGGCCGCCTGGGCGGGCTGATCCCTAGCTGTGGCCTGCAGATCAACACTGACGAGATGAAAGAAGTAGGTGTTGGCGAAAAGACGCTGTCTAGTTGGAATCAGCCAGCCGCAAACGCACTTGGGTCAAACCGCAACTTAAACTCAGAAGGTGGCGTGGGAGTACGCGTGTCCCTGTGACGGGCGTGGGTAGCGTAAGTGGAACATTTGGTACGTTCGAGATCTACTTCAGAGCACTGTGCTAGGTCCCACTTATAGTTACCTTGAGAGGCGTGGCGCACGTTCCGGGACGTGCGCCCTGCAGTCAGGCTGCAGAAACGAGTGAATTGGGCGGCTGGTCAGGCTAAGCCCTCATATACCTGCCATAGGCCCACTTGATTCGCGCGAGTACCTCGTTCGTTTGCAATATTGAATGAGCGCTGGCCCGCGAACAATTTGGCCTCAACAAACTACTACTACTTATCCATTTGCGCAACTCCATTTCTATTCGTTGGTTTGGGTGAGCATCCACTGACAGCATGGTTCAATTCAATACCAGCAACAAGGTCTACCGGTCGGTCTTGCTCAGCATCGCCATTACAACATTCATTACCCTTCTTTTCTTTCTTGCACACTCCGAACGGGTCAATGGCTCACTAAGTCAACTCAAACTTGGAAGCTTCGCATCATCTCAATGCTCGTCGCCAGCCGAGGCAAATCTTTCAGAATCGTCCACCCCCTTCACCGTGACAGTGACGGCAGTGTCAACGCCTTCAGCAACACCAATGCGGTCGATACTTCCTCCCAAGAAAGGCAATCCAGACCTCCTCAAGGTGGTACCCTCGTATACCAAAGCCATATTCGATCCCCACGACAACACTTTCGAAAGGCTGGACTGCCCGCTCACGGCCTCACTCTCAGAACGCTACGCATACCTCCAGACACCACCTTCGTCCTCTCGCCGGAAATACTTCTTCGCGCTCGATCTCTACCAGATCGCCGACATACTCCCCCAGCTCATGGGCAGTATAATGCAGGCCATATCGTTCCTGGGACCACACAACTGCGTACTTTCCATTGTGGAAGGGCGCTCTACAGATGGCACCTATGAAATATTACGCTCACTCGCGCCTCAACTAGAAGCCCTTGGCGTCCCGTACTTTCTGCAGGAGTCTGGTCTTTCGCCCCAACGAGCAAACCCAGAGCGCATCGTTCTCCTCGCCGAACTCCGGAACCTCGCCCTGCGAGACTTATACGAGCGCCCCGACAGCTACGCCCCCGACACCACCATCGTCTTCTCCAATGACGTGTACATGTGCGCTGAGGACATCTTGGAGACTGTGCACCAGCGGCTCTTCCAGAAAGCGCACATGACGTGCGGTATGGACTGGGCCAACAGCTCGAACCCGGAGCTGCCCCGGTTGTACGACACGTGGATCGCGCGCAGCATGACGGGCGACACCTTCTACAAAGACATGTTCGACTGGGACAAGGGCTTCTTCCCCGATGACCCCGCGACGCTCGCGCGCTGGAACAAGTCCCTCCCCGTGCAGGTCTTCTCGTGCTGGAACGGCATCGTGGCGATCACGGCGGAGCCATTCATGGACGGCACGCTGCGATTCCGCGGGGTTGAGGGCGCAGACAGAGAGAAGAAAGACGAGGAGTGCTACCAGGGGGAGCCGAACCACTTGACAAAGGATATGTGGTATTTGGGGTACAGCCGGATCGCTACGATACCGACGATTACGACGGCATACACCTACTGGGACGCGCGCAGCACGAGGGAGCGGAGAGGCTCGGTGGCGCAACACGTGCTGCTGTTGAATGGCACGGCGGAGGAAACCATCACATGGCAGAAGGAGCCGCCGAGACAGTTCCATTGTATCCCTGCAGGGCGAGATCCCGAGTGGGTGCCGTGGGATCAGGGGTGCGCAGCCATCTATGGGACGAGGAGACCGGCGCTGGAGGTATCTTGAGTGCGAGGTTTGCGTGGACTGGCGAAGTGTATGATAGTCGTTTCGTTTCCTAGTTTCTTTGAGATACCCAGGTTTACAGGAGCTTCTCGAACAGATCTGCAATACTGAGAATCAAACTCAAGATGCCCTACTAAAAGTCGGACTGACCAAGACAAGCTGGTGTGACACTTCCACCTGTGCACTGCCTCATTCTCCGCGGTTCGTATAGCACTCGGGGCCATGGAAGTTGAATGGAATTGGGCAAGCGAGATAGGATGCTTGGTTATGAGATACGTACGAGTGATTGGCCTTGGTTTCTTCCGTCAGCAGCTTGGCACGGCTTAATACATGCAGCCGAACGAGGAAGTTGCGACCCGACAAAGCGAAGAAAAAAAAAAAAAAAAAAAAGGGAAACCGCGCAAACCGCCTTGAGGAGTATTGATGTCAGTGGGTGATGTGATGATACGATATGCATACAAAAGGTTGGGTATCTACGTGCTTGATCATGCCTCCCTCCACTCATTTCCTATACCGCACCAACATCGTCGGAAATGGCTCACATAGGCAAGCGTCACTCCTTCATCCTCTAGACCATCTCCCGCGGCCTTCAATCGCCACGCGGTAGCTTGGCGACTCTCTCTTCTATCGTCTTGACCCAGTCGCCGACCGTATGCATGTTGCTCTGCATAGCAGCCTCGCACTTCTTCACATCGGCCTCGACCTCCTGTATTGACTGCTCCCACTTCTTGATCTCCGCCTCTTGCTGTGACTGGCGATTCTCCAGCTCAGTGAGCACATCATCGGCCGCCCACGCGCTCGTGTGTACCAGCCTGAGCGTCCGTAGTCGCTCCAGCATCATGGGAAGAACAGGCGAGAGTTTGTCAATGGAAGGCAGTGTGCCATAGAGCGCGTTGATCTTCGCTTCTTGTTCGGAGTTGGGCGACTCCCCGTCGCGAGAGCCTTCTGCACGCAGCTCTTTCAGCTGCTCTGCGTCCGCAATCATCTTCTTGATCTGCGCGCTTGCTGCTTCCAGATTGCCTTGGCTCGCATCGCCCACGAGTCCGACCGTCTGTTCGATCCTCTCTAGTGTAGCAAACACGGGGAAAGGCGCCTTGTCTCCGAGGTCGGGCATGGTAGTTCCGTCTAATCCCAAGCTTGTCTCCAGCTTTGATAATCTTTCGTCGAACTGCTTCGCCTGGTCCAGCACGAATTCCAGCTGACCTCTTTGTACCTGGGAGCCCGGGAGCGGTGGCTGGTTCGCGATAGCTTTAGTGATACGACTCGAAGGTTCGAAGGGCGCATAGTTGTTGAACTTATCGATTGTCCGGTCAAGTTGCGGCTCTGCACCTCGTACACCACCCCGCCGCATGGCGTAGATCTGGTCCACCTTTTCCGATATGAATTCGATAATCTCCTTGGGGTCTCTCTCCTCCACTTTGCTCTTGTCGCCTGATTTGACTCGCTCCTGGTGCTCGCCCTCCAGCTCCTGCAGCTCCTGCTTCACCCGCATGAGCTTCCGCTCAAACGACTCCTGCTCCTCATCGCTGTCGTCGCCCAGTATGTCACCTCTCCGCCGCGCGCGCGTTGATGTGCGGTATGAGCGCCGTGCGCTGATATTGTCGGAAAAGTCTACGCCATTCGCGTCTACTCTTGAAGGCTGGAAGCGGCTCCGTGCCTGGTCGGTTTGGAGGTGTTGGTGTCGTACGGCGGAAGATTCAGGGTCGTCGTCGCCCTCGGAATCGGAAACGGCGGTGGAGGCTGGGATGGTGCTCACGTCCTCGGCGAGCTCGGGCGTCTCGTAGACATCGGGCGCGGTGTCAATCCCAGGGAGGCTGTCGTACTTGACTTTGGAAGCTTCCGCCATGTCGTGGGCATGGGACGATTGTGTATGGCGGGGTGTGGATGTGTTTGGACGGAGGTTTAGTCTCAAATCAATCGAATTGGGGAGACGCGAACGCGCCTTCCCCAACCGGTCCGTGCACCATAGCTGCCACCAGAGCTGATATTCAACGTTTCCCGCTTGAACCGTCAATGTGCAACGACTTGCCATACGAAAGAGTCACCAGATTCGCAGTAAGAAGTGACGGTGATAACATTCCAATTACCATACTAAGATACACCTCGCAAAATTCGCACGAACCAGAAGACCAACCATTTCAGACACAGTGTACACTGATACCAAAGACGCCTTCGAATGAGCATGCGCAGCCACTTTTGTGGAGCGCTATATACACAAACATCACCCTTCACATCGCTCCCCTTTCCAAACCCCTATGCAGATTCTCCCTCGAGGGGGTATCGTGTCTGCAATTGTTACTTCTCCAAGCTCTCTTGCATTCCATTGAGTGGAAGCGTGAGGCGAGTCATCTACAATGGTCGGCCACCAACGAAGTCGCTCCATGATCGGACTTCGCTAGGAATGCCCTCCTTCTTGGGCAGCTTTTCCTTCATGCACTGAGCAAAGAGGACAGCCGTCTGGCAATATGTTAGCTTTGATACGCTCTTGCTTAAGTGTATAGAATCAACTCACCTTGGGCTCCATGAATAGCGGTACGCCAAAGTCGACCGCGTTCCTCCTCATCACGTAGTCCTCATCAAGTAACGAGCTGGCCCTGTACTTTGCCAAGTTGAATACACCCTTGATGTCGTACTTCTGGAATACGTCACGAAGGGCCCTCTTGTCCTCCTTAGGGAACTCAATAACCTCAACAGTGAGGCCTTCTGTGTTCTTCTCAAGCAGCTGCTTGACGGCATCGTTGGCAGCGTAGAACTTGTAGCCGAGGTGGTGAATGTACTTCGCGATTTGGACGAGGTAGCCAGACTCGGTGTCACCGCCGAAGAGCAGACCTTCCCCAGGCACCGGGAGACGGAAATTCATGGTCGACTGTGCGGAAGCCCAGTAGGCCTCGATGAGGTCCTTTCCGAAACAAGCCATCTCACCAGTTGAAGCCATCTCGACGCCCACGTATGGATCGGCACCAGCCAACCTGGTCCAAGAGAATTGCGGGACCTTGGTGGCAACGTAATCACGCTTGACAGCCATCAGGTCGGTAGGCTCAGGCACATCGCGACCGACGAGAGCCTTGGTAGCGACATCAATAAAGTTGGTACCGAGGACCTTGCTGACGAAGGGGAAAGATCGAGAAGCACGGAGGTTGCACTCGATGACCTTGAGCTTGGGCTCCTGGCCTTCAACGTGTTGCTTGATGATCTGCATGTTGAAGGGACCGGTGATGTTCCAGGCCTTGGCGACCTTGTCCGCGATCTCCCTGACGCGCTCCTTGATTCGGTCATCAAGGTTGACAGGTGGCAGAACAAGTGTTGCGTCACCTGAGTGAACACCCGCGTTCTCAACATGCTCACTGACCGCATGCACGAGGACCTTGCCATTGGATGCGACAGCATCGCAGTCGATTTCCTCCGCGCCGTCAATGTACTGGGTGATGACAACAGGGTGATCGGGAGAAACGTTAGACGCGGCAGTGAGCTTTTCCTGGAGCTCGTTCTCGCTGCGGATGACAGTCATAGCAGCACCGGAAAGGACATAGGAAGGACGGACGAGCACCGGGTATCCAACCTGCTCGACAAACTTCTTGGCATCCTCGTAAGAGGTGAGCTCCTTCCAGGCCGGCTGGTCCACACCAATCGAGTCCAGGATCGAAGAGAACTTGTGACGATCCTCGGCCTTGTCAATATCGGCAGGATCCGTACCCAATACCTTGGCCTTTCCGTCCTCCTGAAGCTTGAGCGCAATGTTCTGGGGCAGTTGGCCTCCGACAGAGACAACGACACCGCTCGCGGTCTCAAGCTCGTAGATGTCCATAACGCGCTCGTAGCTGAGTTCCTCGAAGTATAGCTTGTCGGCAACATCGAAATCGGTGGAGTAAGTCTATGACCGCGGGTACAAAGTCAGCTGAGTCCCCTCGTGTTTGTGTGCGAATGTTCGTATCTTCGACAAAGCGGTTTTGTACTGGAGAAATCATACCTCTGGATTATAGTTGATCATGACAGTCTTCTTGCCGAGTGCGTTCAAGGAGCGCGTAGCATTGACCGCGCACCAGTCAAACTCGACAGAGCTACCAATGCGGTACACTCCGCTTCCAAGAACAAGAATACCGTGGTCATCGAAGGTAACATCGTGAGAAGAGGCGTTGTAGGTGGTGTATAGGTAGTTTGTATCTGAAGGGCGGGGTGTAAAGTCAGCGAAATGACCAGAGTGAGGGGGAATGGGTAGAAGCGTAGCTGTTTTAGCTGTAGCATGTTTCTGAAATCCGACATACCTGCGGGGAACTCAGCAGCAAGAGTGTCGATCTTCTTGACCCACGGCTTGATGCCGAAGCTCTTCCTGCGGGCGCGGACCTCGTTCTCGGTGCTGTTCACAGCCTTGGCGATCTGCTTATCGGAGAAACCAAGCTTCTTAGCCTTGAGGATAATCTCCTTTTTGAGACCAAAGAGGCTGCCAATCTCCTCAAGCTCTCGGGTGCAGTCCACGATGTTCATCAGCTTGTGCAGGAACCACTTGTCGATCTTGGTCAAGTCGTAGATCCTATCGACGGTGTAGTTCTCGTGGAACATGGCCTGGCCAACAGCGAGCCATCGACGGTCGGTAGGGTTCGCGAGTTCGTCATCAAGATTCTCGCCGTACTTTTCTCCCTGGAAGCCCAGGAACTTGGGGTCGACTTGTCGGCAGGCCTTCTGGAAAGACTCCTCAAATGTACGTCCAATAGCCATGACCTCTCCGACAGACTTCATCGAACTGCCAATATCGCGCTTGACGTTCTGGAACTTGCTGAGATCCCACCTGGGCATCTTCGTGACGATATAATCGAGAGAGGGCTCGAAGTTGGCAGTGGTCGTCTTCGTGACTGCGTTAGGGAGCTCAGGCAGGGTGTGACCAAGACCAATCTTCGCAGCGGTGTACGCCAGGGGGTATCCGGTTGCCTTGGAAGCCAAGGCAGATGAGCGAGATAGACGTGCGTTGACCTCGATTACCCTGTAGTCCAGACCGTCGGGTTGCAAGCAGTATTGAACATTGCATTCACCCACAACGCCCAAGTGACGTACAATCTTGATGGACGCAGAACGAAGCATGTGGTACTCCTCGTCGCTGAACGTTTGACTCGGAGAAACGACGATACTGTCACCAGTGTGTACACCCAGAGGGTCAAAGTTCTCCATGTTGCAGACCGTGATGCAGTTATCCGCCGCGTCTCGGACCACCTCGTACTCGGCCTCTTTCCAGCCCTTGAGCGACTTCTCAACTAAGATCTGGGGCGAAAGAGAAAGAGATCGAGCGGACAAGTTCCTGAGCTCCTCTGCGTTATTCGCAAAGCCTGAACCAAGACCGCCGAGCGCGTACGCAGCGCGAACAATGATGGGGTATCCGACCTTCTCGGCGGCATCGAGCGCCTCTTCGACGGAGTTGACGGCGATGGACTTTGCGATAGGAATATCGATCTCGTCCAGCGCACGCGCGAACAAGTCACGGTCCTCACTAGTCTCGAGCGTCTTGATACTTGTTCCCAAGACCTTGACGCCGTACTTCTCGAAGATGCCCTTCTTGTTCATTTGCACACCCAAGTTTAGGGCAGTCTGACCACCAAAGCTCAGGAAGATGCCGTCTGGCTTCTCCTTCTGGATCACATATTCGACGTATTCAGGGGTAACGGGCAGGTAGTAAATCTCATCGGCGAGCACGTGCGAAGTCTGGATGGTCGCGATGTTGGGGTTGACGAGCACGGATTTTACGCCGGCTTCTTTGAGAGCCTTAAGCGCTTGCGAGCCTTGAAGAGCAGTCAGTATTCAGCGGTCAGCTATTGCGAAGTTTGCTCCATACCAGAGTAGTCAAACTCTCCCGCCTGGCCAATGCTGAGGCCACCGGACCCGATGACCAGGACTTTCTGGACGTCAACAAGGTCACGAGCTCCGGAAATGGCGCCGCTATTCAGGTAGGCCTGCGCGTTTGGCGCCTCCTGCGTCTGGTTCCATGTTGCATGGATCTTGGTGAATGCGCGCAGCTGCTGGCGGTATGCGCTGGTTGACTCATTCGACGGCCTGAGCGAAGCAAGAGGCCGGGAGGCTCGCGAGACGATAGATCGAGAGGCGGCCGGAGATGCAAACGCGCGGAATTGGCCTGAAAGTGCTGGCGCGCGACGTGCCAGACGCCCGCAGAGAGCCATGGCAGGCGGTCAAGCACCAGTGAAGCTTGAAGCTTGAAGCTCTATTGAGGCCGCGCAGAGGGTACGACGGCTGCAGGTGCGCAGGCAATAGGCTGGTCCAAAGCCACCTGGTGCAATTGGAAGTCGCTGGAACTCGAGTTCTGTCGTGAAGAGTCAGAATGCAGCTTCAAGATGTGTTTGTGAAATTTATTTTGCGGGGAGGAATAACTCTCGCGCCTTTGCAGTGATTCGCTGAGCCCAGGAACCTTGGAAGCGTTCGGGCCGATCCTATGGGTCCTGGGCTCAGCGATAAGGTCCTCCTCAGCTATCAAAGGCGGTCAGTGACGACGCCAGCCGCTCGACGAACGCGAACATGACAGCGGCTCCTGATCGATATTAGATTGGTATATCTTGTACCATGCGTAAATGATGTGGCCTTGGGTATTGTAGCTACAAACACCGAACATCACTGTATTATCGTACGATTTTTGCGTTGAAGCTCTGCACCGTGCAAGCCCGAAAACCGGCGCCGATGCATACATGGGACGAAAAAATCTAAACGCGCCTGAACCATCGTCACACTGCAGCAGATCGGCCAAGGGCTCTAGTCATTTGCAGACTACCTACTACAGCTAAAACTACATTCCGTTGGAAGCCGCGCGCAAATTTCCTACTTTGACTCAAACGGTGCGGAACCCAGGCCAAGCCTGCGGCAGCACCCTTCCGTGGCCATCATCAGCACTGTTGCTGCCATGCGCTTTATTTTCACAAGTGACTCACAGTGGTAACATTTTGTAGCAGCTTGGACGAAGCGTTGGCAGACCATGCACAGCTCCCTTCACGATTATTGGGTATCAATCACCATGCTACTTGTGCACTACATTTACAAAGTCCACACACGGCAACATGCCGAGGTGAGGATTCCTGTATCCTCTGCGTCTCCGTCGTGAATTTCCCGCGATTACGCAGTGCACTGGAACGTCCTCTGGAACGGGTTGGATCCGAATCGTGGTCATGGATATCTGGTCCATGCAACCTTGAGACCATGTCTCTCAATACCCCAAGCTCGGCCATCATCCAGTCTTCTTTTGCTTGTCAGCTGCCGCATGCCGTTGTTTGTATTCCCTCGGTGTCTCTGCCTTCTTCGAACTTTCCCCCCGTAAGCGGCCCAAGAGGCTTGGCTTTGTCCACATGCCGACCTTTTGCTCTTCAGCCTTTTTCTGGGCATCACGGTATTGTTGCTCGAAATTTCCAAACTCAGATCCCGTCTTCGCTTCGTAAACAGTCGCAAGTCCATTCCTCAGCATCTCCAGCCCGACGTCTCTGTTGCGTAACCATCTACGCACAGTGACCTGAGCTACAACTCTATCGTACTGGTCGCGTCGGAATATGTGCACTCGAACACGTCGATTATGGATGTAGGCCGTGAGCCAATCGAGCGCTTCCTTGGAATATGGCTGTGCTTCTCTGCCCCAGTGAGCCAGTTCAGGTGCATCCACACCAGCAATGCGGACGTGTATCTATGACTGGATCAGTACAAAGCCATCAAAGCCAAAGGCATGCGGTCCTGAAACATACTGTATTATTTGCCAGTCCTTCGCGCTTCGTGGGCACTTTTCTCCAGGGTACCCAGCCCCACCCAGCTATCCTCCCGCCAGGTGTGTGGAACAGCCTGAAGTTGTCTGCATCGCCAACACTGGTCACTTGCCCGAACAGGCTTCTTCGGCGAAAGTAATCCGGTTTGATATGGTTCACGCTGGGTATACGGCGCAGGTAGGATTTGTAGAATCGTAGAAACGCTACAGTGGAAGCTGTCAAAGCAAGCGACGTGCCGATTGTCGCGGGATCAGTAAGGGCGGTCGCCCAGTCGTCTGACTTGAGCTTTGCAATGCGGTTAGAGAAGTCCCTCTTCGTCTCGCCGTCGTCCTCGCCGCCCGACCAGGGCCATTGCATCGTTGGTCCGGCGAGGATGTGTCGTCGGGATTCTGGTGTTTGTTTGTCAAAAGTAGAGTTTCCGCACAGGTCATCCTCGCAGGTGGCCCAAGCGTGGACCTCGGATTTAGACGGAGGTCATTTTCACTGGAGCTCTTGCCCTTACTCTCAAGCAAACAATGCATGGGTAAAGGTTCCGATAAACAATAACACGTGCACCTCGAGATCATAGTTCAAACATGGCATTAATAACGAAAACTGCATTGTTGGGATTTTGAACTGGAATCGATGCCCAGGGAGTCTATCACACCGTTGCGCGCATCTACATTGCACTGTAGTAAGTTGTGATAGAAGCTGGCCCACATGTATGTACTCTTTGATGCCTCTCCGAGTTGGCCGAGCTTGAAGCGTCTCATGTATAAGCACACCGTTTCGGGCACTATGCCCTATACAGCTACAGCTCAACCATCTTCACCTGCTACCGTAACGCTACAACAATATCTGCCAGTCTAAACCCCAGGGCGACCCTGCATTCATTGAGCGTCGTGTTACGGAACATTTGGTGGTGTCATCGTATGTCTCGTCGTGTTCACCACATGCCATGCTGCCCTTTATCGAAGACGACAGATCGCGCAGTAATGCTTCGCTGGATGTGTTGTTCGATGGCTCTTATTTCACAGATGTCGTAGCCGATGCTGCTGTGGCCACGGGACAGACGACCGATAACTCGATGAGAGGAAATAGAACGTACCGGGATCTTCGCCTAACACGTTAGCTCTAATTTCTCAAGAGATGGTTCATCGATGCAATCTTGGCGATGTGGTCGCTCACCCAAATATAGGCAATTTGAGATTAGCGAAAGAGCGCTGCCCTACATACTCTCCGTCCATGCGATAGCGGCGGCACTCCCATCTTGATCAAAGGCAGTTTCCCATGCACAGTGGCTGTATGACTTCCAAAGTGTCCTTCGTCCCTCGTTGTTCTGGTCATGTCGAGATCATCCGATATTGGAACGGCAAGTGTGTTGTTACTGATGTCTGTCAGGGTGGGGTACGCCTCGGTGAGCGCTGCAGGCTCATTGCGACCGCATTGCCGCTACGTGAATTTAGCCCAGGGCCAAAAGCGTACAATTTCATTCATCGGGGACGGTTGCGACCCGAATGGAGATGAGGGAGGCCATTGATAGGCAGATGAGGTCGAGGTTGACCGCGCAGGGACCGGCAGACGGCTTTGCACGGGCCCGACACGGTTTAGCGCAGGAAGTTCGGATCTCAATGTGCAAGCCATCGTCCTGCTCACTCACACGTCGAACCACTCATCTTTCACAGAACCAAGACAGATCATCCATGCTCCAATCATCCGCACGGCGCGCCGCGGCCTTCTCCTCCACTATTCGATGCCGCTGTGCATAGGCCATTGTTGACCTCAATCCAGCAGTGGCCACTATCAATTCCCATGCCGTTCCATCAGCCACAATGTACTCGTCGCTCGCCACCATGACCGATGCGGATGGGCTCGATGATAGTCATTATCTCTTCGGCGATGCACAAAATGGCATTCTGCCGATGCCGCTGGCCCACGACAGTATGAGGGACGAGAGCTCTACGGTCATGCCTGCGGCCCTTGAGAACATCCACTATACCGAATCAACGGCATCGTCCGTGCACCACGGAGATATTCATGATGCCTCTGAATCAAGTGGAGGCCATATCAATGGCAGAGATGAACGCGACAGTTCTGCGTCGAGTGGGTATGTCAACGGTCACGGGTATGATGGCACTCACGTCTCCACATTACATCTCCACCATCCTCATCCGCTTCGAACATCGGAGACGAACGATATCGCAATCGATTTCCATCATGAAAAGATCACGAGGATGAATGGTGATGATTTACATCCACACGTCAAGGGTCCTATAACGGACGCGGCTTTGAATCAAACTAAGAATATCCCACATACTCCAGTATCCATGGCGGCAACCCCTCGACCCCTAAATGGAACACCAAAAGCCTCATCGACACCTGAACTTCCGCAGTCCCAGGAACATGATGGTACACGTCAACCACGAAATTCAAGCCCACCGAAGGGTAAGCATACTGAGTTCAAAGCGAATAGCTCTATTCCGGCTACACTCTCATGGGGCGAGTTTGGAAGGCAGTGCATACTGGCAGCCGAAAGTTCACGGCTCAATCCTTTCGCCCTTCACCCTGGCGAATATCAGCTGCTACGGAACCACATCACTCACGCGCAAGTTACCATCTACCTCAATATCCGCAATGCTATACTTCGCCTCTGGACTAAGAATCCAATGGTGTATGTCAGCTTGGAGGAAGCGGCAGGGTGTGCACGAGACAGACGCTACTTCAATCTAGCAAAGGTCGGATACACCTGGCTTATGCGGAATGGTTACATCAATTTTGGGTGCATCGAAGTGCCGAACACAGCCATGGCCATACCGTATACCAAAGTCAAACGAGGCGCAAGGCGAACAATCATTGTTGTAGGCGCGGGCATGTCTGGCCTTGGGTGTGCCCGGCATCTGGAGGCCTTGTTCGCCCAGCTTGGCGATCTATGGGTCAATGAAGGCGAACGGCCTCCGAGAGTAATTCTTCTCGAAGGCCGACCACGTATCGGCGGGCGAGTATACTCGCATCCTTTTCTCAACCAGACTGGATCGACTCTACCGCCAGGACATCGGTGTACTGCTGAGATGGGTGCACAGATCGTCACGGGTTTCGAGCACGGTAATCCGCTCAACGCTATAATACGTGGCCAACTAGGAATACCATACCATGGATTGCGCGACAATACAATATTGTACGACTATGACGGTACAGTCGTGGAGAGGAGCCAGGACATTTTAGTGGAGAAACTATATAATGACGTCCTAGAACGCGCGAGTACCTTTCGAAACAAACCTGCAACCTTTCGCACAGTAGAAGGCGACCGAAATCTTATACTATTTGGACGCGAACCGACCGATAACAGCGAAGCAACAATTGCCGAGCTCGAACAATCCGAAGCGCCGCCACCTGCAAATGCAACGACTACGGCGTCGACAACGGAGGAGAAACCATCCACTGGAGTTGAAAAGCTGGCAGGCCGAGCATATCAGCTCAGCGCAGGATTTAACCCGAACATAACTGCCACCCAAGCGGTCAAGAATATGGGCTGGTCAGTTAAAGCCAACGCACCTGATCTCCAGTCCTTGGAACTAGATTCAACCGCGAAAGCATCTGCCCATCCAACACTCGGGCAAACGATGGACGAGGGCATCAGACAATATCAGAAGGTACTAGATCTACGACCAAGAGACTTGCGACTTCTCAATTGGCATCACGCAAATCTCGAATACGCCAATGCTGCCAGTGTCAACCACTTGAGTCTGAGTGGATGGGATCAAGACATTGGCAATGAGTTTGAGGGCCAACACACCGAGGTCATTGGAGGTTATCAGCAGGTGCCGCGTGGACTCTGGCAATGTCCGAACAAACTGGACGTTCGCTTTAAAACAGTGCTGAAATCCGTCCACTACGACCTTGATGAGAAGGCAATTGGCAAAGCTGTGAAGATCGAATGCACTAATGGTGAAGTGTTCGAGGCAGACCAACTTGTAATCACAACGCCGCTTGGAGTCCTGAAATCTGGCTCTATCACTTTTCAACCTCCGCTACCAGACTGGAAGCAGGGTGTAATAGAGCGTATGGGTTTCGGACTTCTTAACAAGGTATATGAAGATTGTAGAAAACATGGATCCAGCGTCTGACAAGTGTTTAGGTAATCTTAGTTTATGAACAAGCCTTCTGGGAACCCGATCGCGATATGTTTGGCCTACTGAACGAGGCAGAACATCAGGCGAGTCTCAACCCTGAAGACTATGCTCGACGAAGAGGCCGTTACTACCTTTTCTGGAACTGTATCAAGACAAGCGGCAAGCCCACACTGGTGGCTCTGATGGCCGGAGAAGCAGCCCACTATGCAGAGGCAACTTCAAATGATCAACTCGTCAAGGAGGTCACAGACCGTCTGGACAAGATGTTCGCTCCCAGCCATGTACCACTTCCAACGGAGACGATCGTCACACGCTGGCGAAGGGATCCTTTCGCTCGCGGGAGCTACTCGTATGTGGGGCCACAGACGCAAGCAGGCGACTATGATGTTATGGCCAGACCTTACGGCCCGATACATTTCGCTGGCGAAGCGACCTGTGGAACCCATCCTGCCACAGTGCACGGCGCGTACTTGTCTGGTTTACGCGCTGCCGCTGAAGTGGTAGAGTCCATGATCGGGCCTATCAAGGTCCCTAGCCCGCTCGTAGAGAAGAAGGTGAAAACCGAGTGCCCTATGAGCTCTACCGCACTTTCGACAGAGCCAAAACGGAAAGTCGAACAAGGACTGGTCGATGCACAGCCTAGGGAGCCCAACGCAAAACCAAATGAGGATTACGAGGCTTCAATCATAGGAGAGATCCTCGAGAAGCTAGGCGAGCGTCCTCTCAAGCCTGGACGCGCCGGCGTCAATCCTTTCCTGCTATACACGAAGGACTACTGGTATGTCTGCAAGAATGAATGCGACGAGAAGAAAAGAGTAGCTACCGGCGATCCCAATGCGAAGGCTTCAAAGACGGAGATCCGCACTGCGCTTGGCCTGAGGTGGCGAACGGACAGTGAGGAGATCAGGAAACCCTATCTGGATCAGACACAGAGTGCAAAAGACGATGCTGCAGCAAATGCAGCAACATTCAAGGATCGGGTAGCCAGGTGGGACAAGGAAGCAGCACGTATCCGGCGGGAATACATCCAGAACCATCCGCCGCCAGGAGGGAGCGAAGATGGCATCCTCAACGGCCGCACAGCGATCGAGCTCGGAGCTAGTAAGCGGCTTCGGCGACTGTAAAAGGGCGAATTTTCTTCTTCTACTGTATTTGTTCGGGTGTTCACATTGCATTCATGCGGGCGTCAAAACATACCCAGGGCATCGAGTGTTGATGGTGTTATTAATGTACTCTACCAAGCATGGTCTTTGATGGCGCAGGGTTGTTCGGACAAGGCAGGTTGAGTCGAGGGGCGTGACTCGGGGATGCATGCATGTCACGACGGGGTGACATGCATCGCGGTTCGCATGCGAGGGGCGCATCTGCGGCGCGCGCTTAAGACGACGGCGCCAGAAGCCACCGGGCACGGCGTGTTGTCGTCCTTCCAGCAGTTGATAGGATCCGAGAACAGAAGAATTGCAACGGCGCCGGTGGTGCAGTGGATGCGTGTTGGCAGCGTGCTCGTCGTGTGATGTTCGGGGCCTGAAGAAGCAAAAGGGCCGTTCGTGCTAACTACGCCACATGCATCGATGCTCGCGCGTCTGTGTGGAGAGCTGCATGAGTGGTGGACTTGTGGACTTTAGCCTTGCGCTCTGGATCCTCCTCCACATCCTGCGGCGGCCGCGGGGGCGTCGCAGAGGGCCGCGCAGAGACAGAGTGCCGTCGTGGGGCTGCGACGACGGCCACGCGGGCGACAGTAGGGCTGCAGCAGCGAAGTTTGCACCGTGGCCTCGCGGCGTGTGCCTGGTGCCGGGTGCCGAATGAGGTGCCGTCGCGCACGAAGCGGAGTGAACCCGTCCGAGTGCACCCACCGCCTGGGGTCCGGTCTAGTGCTGCTCGAACCGCTATCCAGTCGCTTGGAATGTCAGTCGCCGGGGGCGCATCCTAGCCACGGACCACGCAGCCTTCAGCACTTCGCTCTGCCGCAAGCCGTTCCCCATCTTTCTCCATGATCGTGAACAGCGCCCTGTGCTGCTTGGGACCTTCCCCATCGCTCCTTCCGTCCGAGCACCTGCACCTGCCCCAAGTCCGCGCGTAGAGCGTCGAGAGGCACCCCGTTGGCGCCGCTGCCTCCACCTCCGCACCTCTCCACTCCGCCCACGCTCGACGTCCACCCCCGCCATGGCTTCTTTTTTCGGGCGGCTCAAGGCAGGGAATGTGAGTGACGCGCGCTCCTGCATGTGTGCGCCGTCGCACAATGGCTGATACTCGTTGCGCTGTAGGGTCCCGCCAGTCCAGCTTCGAGCGCGCCTCCAGCGAAGAAGGACCCGAATGCCCCACAGTTGACGCCTCTCGAGAAGCTGCTGCAGGACGCCGGCCCCGTTCGCGCCGATGGCAGCGACAAGTTCTTTGGTTTCGAGAACGTACGTAGACCCAAGCGCTCCTGCTGGCGGCCTGGTTGCTAACTGCCTCTACAGTTCGGGAGCACATGGTAATCGCGCTCTGCCGCACACGTATGGACAAAAACTCACACGCTGCCAGCTACTGCAACTCCATCGTGCAATGTCTGTACTACTCGGTGCCCTTCCGAGAGCAGGTCATCAACTTCCCCGCCAGATCGCCGCCCGAAGCGCTCGAACGGCCAGCAACAGGACCTCTGCCGCGGCTAAACACGAATCTACTGCCTGACGCAAATGCTCAGAACTCGACCCTGTCCCCGAAAGGCAGGAACTCCTTCTCCGCTCCCAATGCCGCGTCGCCACGGAAGCCCGTCCTTACGCCCGGCGGCACCATCATCCCGGGCCAACCTCAGAAGCCAGAGGATAACAAAGACTCGCCCGAGTACAAGAAGAAGCAGGCATTGGCCGCAGGGCCGGTGCTTAGCATGGACTACGAGAACTCAAAGGCATATGGCATGTCGGAATCGCTGTTCAGTGCGCTAAAGGACATTTTCGAGGCAGTGATAGCACACCCGTCACACATTGGTGTTGTCAGCCCGCACAAGTTCCTCGAGATTCTACGCCGCGAGAATGAAATGTTTCGCACGCCAATGCACCAAGACGCGCACGAGTTCCTGAATTTGTTGCTCAACGAAGTGGTGGAAAATGTGGAGCACTTTTCCAAAACTCGGGTGCATGAGATAGAGGACAAGGATACGAACGCTACCATATCCCAATCTGACGCTGTAGTGAACGGGACTGCCCCAAGCAATATTGGCTGGGTGCACGAGCTCTTCGAAGGCACGCTTACGTCCGAGACGCGATGCTTAACGTGCGAGAACACCTCTCAACGAGACGAAGCATTTCTGGATCTGTCAGTGGATTTGGAACAACACTCATCCGTAACGAGCTGCTTGCGAAAGTTTTCCGAAGAAGAAATGCTGTGCGAACGAAACAAATTCCATTGTGACAAGTGTGGTGGGCTGCAGGAGGCAGAAAAACGCATGAAGGTCAAGAGACTCCCTAGGATCCTGGCACTACATCTTAAGCGCTTCAAGTATACCGAGGATCTACAGCGGTTACAGAAGCTATTCCATCGTGTGGTGTATCCATATTACCTTCGGCTGTTCAATACCACCGACGATGCGGAAGACCCCGACCGACTCTACGAGCTGTACGCTGTAGTGGTCCACATAGGAGGCGGACCGTACCATGGACATTATGTCTCAATAATAAAGACGCAAGACCGAGGTTGGCTTCTGTTCGATGATGAGATGGTAGAGCCAGTAGACAAGGCATACGTGCGCCGCTTTTTCGGTGGCGAAGATCAGCTGGCATGCGCATACGTGCTTTTCTACCAAGAGACAACAGAAGAGGCAATGATGAAGGAGCAAGAGGAGGAGAGCTTGGCGGCCGCAGAGCAGGCAGCCGAGGTGAACACCGAGCCTATCTCCGTCACAACACCCAAGGCGAATGGCCTTGGCCTCGCAAATGGTCACGACCATAACCTTGCGACGACCCCTACGGTAGAGAAGGACGACCAGTTTGCAAGTCTCAACCATGCTGTAACAGCTCCAGCTCTTCATACCGGCGAACACAGCAACAACTTGGAACACGTCGCAACGAGCATACCGATACTAGGCAAGCGGCAAAGTAACATAGCATCCAAGAAAGAGAAGGCGGAGCGTGTCAAAGAAGAAAAAGAACGTAAAGCCATGGAGAAAGAACTTGAAAAACAAGCCAAAGCCAAACGCAAGGAGCTCGAAGTCCAACGGCGCGAACTTTTCCGCAAACAAGAAGAGGACCTGCGAGCAGCTCTGGCCGCCTCGCGCGAGAGCGCAACAGAGGAGAATAAGAAGCGCGGCAAAGACGGCGGCGCAGAACTCCCAGAGCTTGAGAAGGACAAGAGCGCAAATGGCCTAGGCAGCATCAGCAAGGGCAGTGGGCTCAGCCGCTTCAGACATAGTAGTATGAGTCTGCGGCACAAGCCCAAGTTCTGGTCCGGCAGCAAGGACGACAGAAAGGACGACCCCGAGATGCCGAGTACGCCTGTCGTGGCGGAAGTGGAGCAAGCGGCGCAAGGGACGCCGGGCAAGGAGGAGAAGAAGAACCGGTTTAGTCTTGGAAGGAAAAAGTCGACGTTTCATCTTTAGGCGCTGGGAGACGTTGCTCTGGAGAATCCTTGGTCCCGTGTTCTTTCCATTATTACGTCACATACACCATGTCCACGTGCTGCCCTTGGAGGTGGGCTAGCTATGTCTGTACCTACGGTTTGTGGGAGGGTAACTCTGTGCATATTGCCTGGCTGCGTGAGGGGAACTTTTGTCGGCAGCTTTCTTCGTTTGTGAGGGGGCTTGTTGGGATACAAGGGACATTATGGGGGAGCGACTTTGCATAGGCGTACTACGTACGAGTGGGCATTTGCACGGCATTGCGGTGGAGATGGTGTTCATAGCGGAGACGGACAAGGGAATGCATACCGCGTGCGATGTTGACGTGGTTGAACCAGCGTATTGTGGCGTGATGCAGTGATAGGCTCCGGGGCTGAGGTGCTTCCCGTGTTGTTCGCATAGTGAGTGGATGTTGATTTTGGAAGAATTAACCTTCTCCGGCAAGAGGAGAAAGTACTTGATACAGCTGCAACACACCTAGTTAAACAGAAGTAGTTGAGAGCCATTCATCCACCAGCTCTTCACCTGAGAGCTATTGCTGCCAAATTCGTTATGCGCAAGTCGTTTGCGAGAGCCCGCGACATAAAAGACGTGGAGAGCGCGTTGCACATGCGTGACAGAACCAGGCGTGCATGCTCATCTGTTGGGTGTGGGCTGCGAGACGAAAACGCAGACCCGACCGAGTCGCTGACGGAGTCAGAGCCACGTCTGCAATACACCGCAAGTAGACCAGCAATGTGAAATATGAGAGCGGATGACGTAGGAAGGACTGTGTTCATCCGCGGAACAGCACGGCAACGCAACGTCGTTGCTGGCTTGCTCGCCCGGCCCAACAACGCCATGCCTATGACTGATGTACATGGGGATTTCTCGACGATACGGAAAGCGCACATTCTGTCGATGACTGTAATGGTAGTCAGAGTGAAGTCTGGAGCTGGGTGTGGGCAGGGTCAGGGCAGTGGCTGGATGAAGCTGTTTATTCTACATGTCCGACACGCAAGACAGTGTGCGATAAGCAGGCGGGGATGTGATTACCTGCTTGCTTAGAGAGAGTGAAGCAGTCCTAGAGCTGTCTGAGATGGACATGTATGTGATCTATATCAGGTTACCGACAGGCTATGTGGTTGGATATTTTCGTGGAAGTTGCAAGCACGGCAGGCGGTCGCATAGCTGGGGCGAGGTATGGAAATCGCCTGATCCTAGCTAAGGCTGAGAAGTTTTCCTTCTTCTTCTTCTTCTTCTTCTTCTTCTTCTTCTTCTTCTTCTTCTTCTTCTTCTTCTTCTTCTTCTTCTGGTCTACTAAGATCTCAGGGCTTTAGTCATGGGACGTCATGGCTTGTACATGGTGTTGGAATAATCATGTGTTCTGGGGATTGAAAGAGCGTCTTCTGGTGGTGGCCTCTTGGAGTTGCGTGCAGTCTGCACGTTCTACTGTAGTGCTGTATTGGAAATATGGGGCAATTTTGAGGACCAGGGAAGAAGGCAAGACACAGATCCATGGTGACTAGACCATCGACTTGATGCTGCAGTTGAAGTCGGCCGAATTGAGAGCGGAAGGCATGTTTAGTTTATAGCACGCTCCTTTTTGAGCGATAGAGAGGGAAGTATGCACGCACGTTTTGATCCATTAAGAGTTACCTATCCTGGAATTAGGCAAGCCCCCCATGCATAATCACTCTCCCATCGAATCTGGCAACGAAAGTGGGAGAGCAATGCCGCATGGCTTCTTGTCAACGCTTCCAATTCCATACATTCATGCTCGTGGCTTGATTATCATTCATAAGCTTGCTGCGCGTTCCACACGCAACACCGCTGTCTTGGACTGCAATGTCGCGTCCACAGCGCCGGTAGTGATGCGCTATCGTTCTACCGTACCCGCTGCCCCTATCGTCCAGTTCCTTCCGAGACGTGCCCCTTCCCTGCCACATATCCGCTTTTCTGGACGCAACAGTTTCAGTATGCGTACGTTTCTGCCTCCCCACGCGCAGGTCCCTCCCATTTTTGGATGCGAGCCGGACGCGTGAACAGGCGTCGTTCTGCGGTCGAGCCGCGTTCATCCAAATATAAGGAGGTATATGATCATGGCAGTGTTGATAAACATGAGTGGTACTGTGCTAATGTTAGCACGCGCTCTGTCCACGTGTGTGCGAGTTGTTGCAGAAGTACGTCTTCGCCGTCAGTTCCAGGTGCACCATTGGTTTGACTCTATGACAAAATGCCAGAGTGGAAACCAATTTCGGAACGGCGAGTCGTGCCATAGGGCGCGCGCCATTGTATGTGCTGGTAGAAACGGTGGCTGCTGGTGGGCTGGGGATACGTACTCCGCATCAAGGTTCGAACCGAGGACACGAGGTTGACCAGCCGTGCTTTTATCCCATCGTCACGCTGGCCGCCGAAGCCCGGGTCCGCCGAGGATGTCCATCCGACTGTTATCCTAAGTCAGTCATGCGCATGATGTTTGGAAAATCGTCATCGGCTGTGGGGTACTGGCGCAAGCGAGAATGCATGAAGGGGGCAAGCAGGACGAGCGCAAGCGAAGAAGGAAGGCGCGTGGCGCGGACATACTGCGCGCGAGGAAGCGGTCTTCGGAGAGGATTGCAATGGCGTTTATGAGGAGTACAGAGACTGTGATGGTTAGCACTTGCTCTACATTCTAGGAAGAGTGAAATACATTGGAGGAGGCCGCCGAGGCCGAAAAAGACCATGTTGGCGAACACACGTCAATCAAAGGCGCAGGTCAAAGAGAACGTGCGTGTTGTCGGTGCAATTCGGTGTGTGGCTCTTTCCCAGCGGGATGATGTTGCCTGGTGGAGTTGCCAGGTGTAGTGCTGACAAGGGTTCACGCACACGTGCACGGGTTGTGATGCATCACGTGCTCCAAATCCCTCCACTTCCCGACGCCAGTCTCCTGGGTCTGTCCTAAGTGTCTACGCACGTGCAGTGCTGAGTGACCGGCTTTACATCGCTTGTATATGAAACACGAATTCTCAGCCACGAGTTACACACTTCTCTAGAGTCAGATTTCGTTGTTCGCTGTTGGCTCGAATGGCCTGATTCCTGCAGGTAAGTCTTGGCGATCTCCGAAGACACAGAACAAGGATGCCACAATCACTGCTTCAGTCCATTCTTGCAAGATTTGCAACAAAGAAAATGCAGAACCCCACATAGAATTTGCACTATCTGATTGTCCATGCACAACTGGGACATGAATCTTGTTTCTTTGCATGGGTATCTGCGCAAGAGCATGCCTCGGAATGCCGAACTTTGCGAGAGCTTCGCAGAGAATCGCGAGATCGACGCAGGGGTCGCGCACCATCAGCGCATCTTAAAGCTCTCGTCTCCCCCAGCTCCTTCGTAGGCTACGAGCGCGAATAGCGCCCGCTGGAGATGGCTCCAGCACGCATAGCTCGCCCTTTGGCGGCTACAGTTCTCAACCTCGGGCGTGGTTAGCTCAGCCGCCATCGGCGACGTCATACGGCGGCGTTTGGTCTTGCCGCAACGGTCTCGACTCAACACCAAATGCTTTCGGAGAGCTCCCAGCCACGCGTAAATCTCTTCGCACAGTGGAAGCGTCTACGGATCAGCCCTCACATATCGTCTCTCGCTCCTTCTGTGCCGTCTCCAAAGCCGTTGGATTACGGATAATTAATCCGCGTGCGAACACCTGCGAAGCGACAAGTCTAGATCCACTCCGCCCCTCTCGCCCCGACGATCTAAGCCTACTTCCAGACCACACCGCGCTGCGCTGGCCCCGACGCATAGCGGTGCAAAGTACAAGACATCCACGCCCCGCTCTTGCGCCTGTACTCCGGTGGCCTTTTTCTTTCGCGGTGTGCATTCTTTCTGGAGGTTTTCTCGAACTGGATTTATGATTTCGGCATAGCGAATACTTGTACCGGAGTGGAGGCGTCCCAATGAGTGTCCAGCAAACACTTTCGAACTATTGATGCACCGATTGAGAGGTGTTTTTAATGAAGATGATGGATAGCGAGGCTGTTGATGGCGGCTACTTTGGCCTGCCGAGTGGCCTACAGAGCGGACCGGATGCAACCAGCCCAGGTTCTGTTCAAAGCGCTGGCGCCTTGTCGATCGAGCTACCCTCACATCCGTCTTCGACCATGGTTGCATTAACAACACTGCAATATCTGCCAATTCCGCTTCTGGTATTGTCCGCAGATGCAACTGTTACGCTTGCAAACGAAGCAATGGGCCGTCTTCTTGGGATTGATTGGTCAGCTACGGCTGCAGAAGGGTTGACTGTAGCAGAGGCTTTGATTGGAAAGGCCATGGCTGAGCTCGGGATAGACATCCTCCAGAACGGCTCACCCATACTGGTTTCATGGCAGGTTGGATAGCACCATGAAACGATAGACGTGGTCAAAGCGACTGACAAAGGAGCAGGACTTCCTTAATTCTGTAGTCGAGGATGCTGCCGCTCAACGAAAAGACCGATTGTCCGTTGAAGCGAGTCAGCTAGACAGCGGCGGCAGCACACCCACCGCTACTCCCGGTGGCCAGGACTTCGCTGATGCACCGCCCAAGTTACCACGGTTGAGCAGTCAAAATCTCACGGGAGCGACAGTACACGACGTATCAGTGGATATAATCATAACTCCTACGACTCGTACCGGGGACCGTACCACATCACAAAACTCAAAATTCTCCCCGCACGAAAACGCACTTCAAGCCACCATGATCATCTCAGTCTGGGGTATTGAAGACACCAACTATTATACGCTGACTTTCACAAGTGCCCAACCTGTTGATGCGAAACGCAACACGCGGCCCTCGAGCCGCATTGTGACTAGAACAACAACCGCCTATCAGCTCTCTAAATCCCATGGCTCCAATTCCAGTTCTTCTTCGGGACACAGATCAGGACCAAGCCCAAAAGCCCTGACGCCAACGTTCTCTACGCCTGATTTCCCACCACGTGGTCCCCCACTAAAGGCCAGAAGCGATTTGTCCATGACCGCCAGTATCTTCCAAAAAGCCTCGCAGATGAAGGACGCAATTTTGAACTCAATCAATATGCCAGCATATGCTATGTGGCAGGATGAGGGATTTGGAATACCGAACAAGGCCATGCTCCGTTTATTGCCAGAAGATGCCGTGTACAATCCTACCGATCAGAGAGCCTTTCTCAGCCAATTTAGCTTGTGGACAGAGGACTTTGCGCGCAAGTTGGACGTGGACGAGCTTCCCATTATGGAGCTATGCCGCAGTCAGCAACCGTTCGACAGCCGCCGTATAACAATGCGTCATCCTAAAACTGGAGTACCGATAGCCTTTGAGGTAGCAGGCGAGCCAATCCTCCATGACGTGACCGGCGAGTTTTTGGGCGGAATAGTTGTCTTCAAGGACGTTACACAGTATGCTAACGAGATTGCGGCGCAAGTGCACGAAAATGAGCGACAATTTGAGTAAGTTCTACTAATACAAGCCCTTATCCGCATTGCAGTTCTCGCATCCTCTGCTGTCATGGGGGTCCGTACAGAAAGCCAGAAAATAATTCCAAGCTTTTTCTTCCCCTCCTTCATTAACCTTTCGCTAATGCTGGATATGTAGATATATCACAAATAACCTGCCGGTCATGGTATGGACCACCACGCCAGACGGGACACACGACTGGTACTCGCAACGCTGGTACGATTACACTGGGCAGACTGTCGAAGAGTCGTTAGGAGAGGGTTGGAGAGATGTATTCCATCCAGAGGACATGCCGACGACGGCTGAGCGCTGGTCCCGATCTCTTCGAACCGGGGAAGAGTACAACACCGAGTATAGGGCTAAAAGATACGACGGCGTCTGGCGTTGGATGCTTGGGAGAGCGGTTCCTTTCTACAATGGGGCCGGCAAAATTACCAGGTGGTTCGGTACCTGCACGGACATTCATGACCTCGTGGAAGCCCGACAGGCGGCACGACAGACAAGAGCGCAGCTACAACGGGTTATTGAACATGCCAAGGTCACACTTTGGGTAATCAACAGGAAGGCAGAGCTGCTCATGTTGGAGGGAGACATGGAGGGAGTCGGAGGCGCGAGAAAGAATGAACAGGGGAATGAGCAGGCCATTGGGAAGAATATTTTCGATTTCTTCGGCGACTTCGACCGTTGGAAGAGACCAATCCAAGAATTGCTGGAGGGCAGAGCGCGAGATGAGATAATGGAAAGAGTCAAGGATGATCAATGCTACCGCACAAGATTGGTTCCCCTCTACAAACGTTCCAGGGCCGGTGGAAAGGAGGGCGACGCATACATCGATGGGGTCATTGGTATTTCCATGGACGTTTCCGAGTTACGCATCAGAGAAAACAAGCTGAAAGAGCAAGGGGAAGAGAACAGTAGACTTTTGGCTAACGCAGCTGCAGCCAAGGAAGCAAGTCGTATGAAAAGTCAATTCCTGGCAAACATGTCGCACGAAATCAGGACCCCTATCGCTGGAGTCATAGGCATGAGCGATCTCCTGCTGGACATGAATCTCGATGAAGAACAGAAAGAGTGTGCCGAAAACATCCAACGCTCCGCGAATGGGCTTCTGGCGGTCATCAACGACATATTGGATTTCAGCAAGGTCGAATCGGGACGCTTGGATATCGAAGAAGTTCAATTTAGTCTTGCGGTCGTTCTACGAGATGTCAACAAGATGATGTCCTTCGCAGCGCAGCGGAAAAATATTGCGTATGAGAGCGCTGTACAGCCGGAGATTGAAAGGGACCTCCGAGTGATGGGAGACCCGGGTCGCTTGAGGCAGATTTTGACAAACGTACGTAGTGTCGGGGTTCAAAAGTGGTGTTTCTGTTGTTACCGATGTCTGGACGCTTCAGAGATCGGTAACAAGTTCGAGTTATACCGCCTGCTTCTGCCTACTTCTCTCTGTTTTGAACATTTCACTGACTTGGTATTCTCGCATTTAGGTTTTAACCAACTCAATCAAGTTTACAAGTGAAGGACACGTTCGTTTGGGAGCCTCGATCATTTCTGAATCGAAGGAGACAGTCACTGTACGCTTTGTTGTCGAAGACACGGGGATCGGAATCGAAGAAGATGTCCGCAAGCGGCTTTTCCAACCCTTTAGTCAGGCCGACTCTTCGACAGCACGTCGCTTTGGGGGCACAGGCCTGGGGTTGACAATTAGCAAGAACCTCGTACAATTGATGCACGGAGACATCGATCTGGAGTCGGTGCTTGGTCAAGGCACCACCGCAACATTCTGGATTCCCTTCAGCAAAGCGCCATACCAGGACGACGGGTCACCACTGATCGATCTCTCGTCGATCCCGGATCGCTTGCAGTCGGATGTGTCTGTGTCTTGCGGAAGCTCTGACGATCACACGCCGCCACAGACCCCTAAGCTGCACAATGTACACACCAAAATGCATGGTCGGGGAGAATCAACTCCGTCATTGGCCAGCCCTAGTATTCCCGACTACTTGACTACGCTGTCTGAGAGCGAGAGGAAGAAGGTCCAGGTGTTGGTAGTCGAGGACAAGTGAGTTCTTTCAGCAATGGCTGCTATTGCGTAGACTGATCATTTCCTGTAGTCATATTAATCAACAGATCGCCCTTAAAACGATCAAAAAGCTGAACTTCAGTGTCCAAGCGGTATGGAACGGAAAGGAGGCCTTAGATTATCTCTCGCAGGATTTCTCCGCTGAGCATCCGAGACCGGATCTGATTCTCATGGATGTAAGTGAACGCAACGGTGCGAATAATGCGTGCATATACTGAATTGTGTCTGTAACAGGTCCAAATGCCTATCATGGATGGGGTAAGTTTCTTCGCCTCCTGTTTTTCTCTTTTGCGCCTGCTGCTTTGGCCGTTACTACGAAGTACCCAATCATGTGCACGAAATTCAGGCGCACTAGCTTTTCTTGCACGATACATGCTACTGGATACGTGCTGACTTGGACACGAAGTATCAAGCTACCTCGAAAATCCGAACAGACTTCGAAACAGCCGATTTTCGGAATGTTCCTATCATTGCGATGACAGCGTCGGCAATACAAGGCGACAAGGAAAAGTGCCAAAAGGCTGGCATGGACGTGAGTGGTCGCCCCTATCTTGAGTCCGGAGTTGCTGAAAGTTGCAGGATTACTTAGCGAAACCTGTCAAAGGCAAGCTGCTCGAGAAGATGCTCGTGAAGTGGGCGATCGAAGGTAGGCGCAAGTTGGCCAAGCAGCCGCTATCCAAGAACGTTGAGGATCGTCGCGCCTCTGCACTGACCCCTCCCAAATCGCGCCCTAATGCCCCGTCCGATCAAACGCAAATCTCCCACCTCCCTGTCACATCTGAAACGACGGCGCAAGACTCATCTCTGACGGCTGAGCTTGACCGCCTCCACTACGAAAGCAACGCCGCCTTGGCTAAATCCTCCGAAACCGCTGACGACCGTGCGATGCGTCGCATTCACGCTGAAGAGAAAGCATCCAGCCTACGGGATGACAAACTGCTCTTCCTCACCGGGACAGAAGGGCATGGGCAGGGGAGCTACCAGGGGGAAGAGCAATCCCAGCTACCTCTGACACAGGAGAACATGCAGAGATTAGAGAAGCAGGCGGAACCAGCCGTCTTTCGACAGTCTCGCGAGCGCGACGGCCACTCGAGCGGAGACATGGAAGTTGAGCCTCAGAGCCGAAGCGACAGCAGGGCAGGAGGTTCTTCGAGTTTGAGACCGTCATTGAAAGCAACACAGAAGGAAAGTGAACAGACCATCACAGCGCAATCTCCAAGATGATATTGGGATGTCGGACACTGTAGATGCAAAAAACAGACTGGGGGGTACCGACAATGCCGCTGCCGCGTGGCCCAAATCGACCTTCACCGCTTCCTGCCTCGTCGCGCCGCTTTGTGCCAACCCTGGTACATTGCTGGAGTGTACTTGGAAAAGTACTTTACGGCGGAGCTCACTTCCGGTGGTCACGAATTGACTTGACTTGTTGGCATGCCTGCGCTGTAGGGCACCGACGTTGTGGTTGAAGCTACAGGATGTGGTTGAGGTCGGCGACCACACAGCCTCACTTTCATTGGACTGGCGTCTGTGGTATTAGCGCATGCCGCCAGACAGCTGAGTTCAATGGACCACAACAGGAAGGACGGCATGCAGCAAAGCCCTCATTCGAAAAAGGGGACGCAGGTGCCTGTGTGCTTCTGAGCGATCCCCGTATGCTGGACGAATAGGACAGGCTCTGGAGTGACCAAGTGCGGGAAATGAAGATGGAATCGGCGAATCACGAAAGATCTCATCAAAAGCTTAGCCCGCCTGAGTCGGGAGGAAAGAAAATTCATCGACCCCGCGTGCTCCATTTCAGGCTTCCTGTAAGATCCATTTCGGGTTACTGGGGATGGTGAGGTTCAACGGTTTTCGCCGCCCAGGTTAGCGGGGGGTGCAGCAGGCGAGATGCTAATTGAGATCGACACCACGCACCATGCGTGACAGAGGCAAACCTCGAAGAGGATTGGCAGATTAGCCTGCACACTCAGCGCGGCGGGCCGTGATCTGCTCTGTAAAGGAGGCTCAATATGGTCCCTGCAGACGCTGCAGCACGTGGTGGATAGACAATTCATCTGGCACTAAAGCTCAGATGAAAGATAAGCGTAGAGCTAATACAAGTGTTACAAGGGCAGCATATACTTGCAAGGTGGACTCGATCCTGTGAACCGGATGCCGCGCAAGAGCAGCACAATCAGGCATCAGAACCAATGCCAGAATCGTTGCGTGCGCCAACGCACTTTGAGACAATCTGTTCGACTTTGACCGTTCCTTCCGAGGTCATGCTCAGGTGAGGGGTCGATTCGTGCTTGGGAGAGTAGAGTAGACTAGCGAGCGTCTTGCCCGGAAATAATCGCACCATCGCAGAGCGAAAAAACTCAATTCGAACCACTCGCAACATGCACAACTCGTCCATCTGAGCAACAGACGATGTTGAACTCTATCTCGAGATCTCATTTCCTGTCCACAAAGCTGGTACGCAGTAAGCCCGCTAGGGTAATTATGCGGTGATCAGACGGCGACTTCTTGGAAATCCATCCACTTCTCCACACTCGAGCTCAGCAGCGAGCATGACCATTTAGAGCAGTAGTGCGGGAATAAGGTGGCCAGGGTATCTCGCCTGAGTTGCCCGACCTCAGGTCTGTCGCAGAAACAGTAGCTAATCTCAATTCAATCTAGAGGCTTGCGAATGCAGGGTCCACACGGTGGAGTGCCGAGCGCGTTAGCCCTGCGAAAAGGCGGCTTTGGTGGACATCGTGGTGGGCGGCCACGGCACGTCTGGTTGGAGGAGGAACATCCCGCGAGCCGTGAGGCGCTCAAGTCACTTGAACGTTGTAGCGCCGCGGACGGCTTCGACGCTATAGCAGAACGCGCAAAGTCACAAGTCTACGTCGCCGACCGTTGAGGGCGGCACACGATACCTACGACTCGCGCTCAGGTGCGGGATATGCCTCTGGCTTACGCAGCGAGGACGTCGAGTGTGGGAGCAAAAGGCCATGGTTGGCGAGCCGGTCCTACTTACGAGTAAAGCACCGGGCTTGAGGCGCGCCGAACCTACATGAAGGCGGCGGATTCACGATTGGCGGCCCTGCATACAACGGCAGTGAGGGGCTCCAGGGACAGCGCACGGTGCCCAAAACTCAGCCATTCACGTCGTTGCGACCGACGATGGCGGTGAGGGCAAGTTCCGCGCTGTATCGCCACCAGCGGAGTCGGGTTCATCACTATGTGCATGCATCCGCTGGCATGCACAATCGGGGAACGAGAAGGGCATGGGGGGTACGCCACGCTGCAGGCGTAGCGACGGAGCACAACTTTGCTCACCACACACGGCCCGTCATTCGACGAAAAGCTTGCCATGGCTTGCAATATCGAGCTGCCTAACTGGAGCAGGGGTGGGACAGCGGGAGATGCACAATGACGAGGGTCTTTACCGGCGCAACGGTTGGGCCCGCAGCGCTAGCAAGTTGGCATGTTGCACTCGCCCAATGGCATGAGGGCAGGAGAAGAGGGAGGCGCCAAGTCCTCCGCCGGCAGAAGTGGGAGGGATGCCAGTGACGACATTTGCAACCTTCGGCCAGCGCTGTCAGCAACATTGGACACTTGCGAGCAAGCGCTGCCTCGATCTGACCGAGGACATTGGAGGACTTGTGCAGAAAGCATCGTCGATGGCTGAAGTTGCAAAAGACGCAGATAGTCCGACTTGAGAGCAAAGATGCATCTCGAGTCAACTGTGGAAGTACCTTTGCTCATGTCAGCTAGGCAGTCGCCAGGAACGCGTACCCACAACCCAGCGCGCAGCAACGCTGGCCCGCTGCCCGTGGCCTGTATAGCACGTTGACATCATGTTGATTAGGGGTCCGGCGGAATCTGTGCAATAACAATATGGAGCCAAGCCAGATTGGAGCGGAATGCAGTTTTGGAGAGAACAGGTACCGCGACAGCCCTCGGCAGCGCGGGCGCGAGAGCGTTGGCGCAGGCACTACGCTGGAGCATGGCATGCCCCGACTCGCTCGTGACCAGGTATAGGGGCCACACTCTGGTTAAGCTAAACTACATGGCTTCGAAAAGCAAAGTGGACGGCGATCAAACGCATGTCCAGTGCTTGACGGCGCGCACAGGGCCAGTGTTCAGGGGAGGGCTAATCTGAACGGGGCCGAGGGCAACGGCTCCAATCCGACTCCAAGTCGCGTTTACGCAATTCACACAGCACGCTGACGGACCGAATGCACCCCCAAACGCACAGCCTCAGGTCCCCGGTCAGACCCCCTATCGGGCACTGCTCGTCCCAACGCGTGTTGGTGGTCGCCGCACGCACACCACGACGTGCGGCTGCTTGCTCGCGCAGGATCAGGGCGCGGGCACGGTCGCCGTCCAAGCCATCAGCAGTGCGCCGGAGAATTACAGCTCGTCGAAATGCCCTTAGCCATTGCCCATCAAGCCGCTTTGGGGCATGCGGCGTCGTCTGAAACCCGTATCTAGGTCGACGCGCTAGGCCGCATGGGCTACTATCGTATTCTGCGAGCAGCGCAAAGGGAAAAGTGCGTGCAGGGCCCTGGGCACGGCTGGCTCTGCGTGGTGGCGGCACGCCAAAACAAAGGCATCCCGCCCGCCCTCGAGCTGATTGGCTGGGCCGCGCTGCTTCCCGTGCGATGATGATGCTGCTGCTGCTGGTGCCGGCGGCGGAGAGACAGCGCCGAGGGCTGCCCGGAGCTGCTCACGACTCGCAGGCGCGCTCGCAGCGTGCACTAGACAGCCGTCGTGGTGCGCTTTGTCGGCGCCGTCGGCGCTAGCCGTGCGGAATCGACCTGCCGCGCCTCAGCACAGTGCCAGTGGCAGCAGTGGCGTGCCCGCACGCCGCCCGTCGAGCGCCCGGCGGGCAGGCAGCGTTGCGGTGCTCCCCACACTGCCCGCAGAGGCACCCTTGGGCGCCTTAAAAGCAGCCGCCAAAGCAGCGAGCTAGCGGCGCCAGCGTCTACCCTGCACGCACTGTCCGGGGTCCGTGGTGGCGCTTGAACCAGCGTGCTACTCTTGCCTTGGCTGCCAGCCTATGATGAAGTGCTGTGATCCACACGACGTAAATCAAAGCAGCCGAATGAATTTAACACTCAGCATTCTCCCAATTGCTGCCCGCCGATCAACATCACTGCCTCCCAATGCTCACTCAATTCCAAACCGTCTCTTACTACTCCGCCGCCGTCAGTCAATCGATACTCAATCAGTAGAGTTCACTGAACATCCTTTCTTCTTTGCTGCTGGTGTCCTGGTCACTAGCCAGTAACCTATCCATCACTCTCCTCGCGCGACCGTCGGACCGTCCCTGCGCCAGCTGTCGTCTGCCTCTCCACACTCTGCGCTGCACCTGAAACGCGCGTGCGCCTGCCACTCGTCATCTACATCCGCCAGGGCCCAATCTTCGTGGCCCACAGCCACGGCACCTACTGTCGACCGGTCCTGCGATCGGCATACCGTAGCGTTTATCATTACTCCTCCCGGAAGGCCTTTACACGGGTGCCCCCAGTGTCAGACCAAGTTCAAAAGGTCCGCAGATCCCACCGCTGCGTGCCAGTGATCGTCTCTCCCCACGTTGCTTGACCCTCGAACCGTCTTGTTTCAGCTACTCGACTCTCTGGGCTGCGTGCATTCACGATAGCTTCTTTGTCTGTTTGTACCTCCTCTCCATTTCGCCCTTAAGGAACCTCCTCCCGCATCTGCAACGTCCCCGTTATGGCAATGGCAGTCGATAGTCGCCAACAGTCCCAACTCAACGGGATGAGCTACGATCCTTTGCGTTACCCGCAGCCGCACTTCACCAACCCGTGGGTGTCGGCCGCGGGCCCCTCGCAGCAGCAACTGTATCAGACCTCGATCGCACCCAACGTGTCGGCTGGCCTTGAGAATCACGCCTCGTCCCAGCCTCAAGCCATTCAACGCCCGACCAGCATTGCCATTCCGTACCACGGTCTCCCGGTCACGGCCCCATCTTTAGGATCAGGTATTGCTCTCCCGGATGGCTCGCTTCCAGCAGAAAACTTACTAGACATGTCGCAAGATCTTCTATCGCGGAGTTACAACGGTGGCTATGGCACCACCACATCTGCTACTACAAACACGTACGCACCCACCTCGGCTCCTTACTCTCAAGTCGATTATGGAAACACCGAACGAGTTCCCTATGCATTCTCACAGGACAATGCCCGTCGTTCCTCACATCCGTCAGTACCCTCAGCACCGTATCTTGACAGCGTCATGGAATTGCAGCGTCAACGCCAGAGTTCGTTAGTTGACTTTAGCAGTTTAAGCTCTCAACCGCCTCGCAATAGCTTCAGCGATGCCCTCGACGCCAGTCGAGGTATGGTCTCCTTGAGCCAGTCTGATATCACACCGAGGAATATCTATGGCACCCAAGCATCCAGCCGGAGCTCGACCGACTCGTACGGCTTCCCTTCAACACACTCCGCGCACTCGTCCATCTCAGGAGCCAGTTACAATGGCACCAACTACTACGGCGGCGAGGGTTCCGTCACCGACTACAGCTCCGCATCGGAGTCCGTCGACTTGACGCACTCGCGAACACTGCCACGGCCGAGCGCGCTCATGGGAGCGAATATTCCCCCAGCGCCGCAATCAATGATGGGTCAATTTAGCTCCAAGGTCTCGTCAAGCTCGCAGAAGAAGCACAAGTGCAAGATTTGCGACAAAAGATTCACTCGCCCGAGCTCCCTTCAGACCCACATGTACAGCCATACTGGAGAGAAGCGTAAGTTAATTCGTTTAAGAAGATTGGGCCATAGGCTAACCAAGTGTAGCATTTGCCTGCGAGGTCGAAGGCTGCGGTCGCCATTTCTCGGTCGTCTCCAATCTGAGGCGGCACCGCAAGGTACATAAAGGCGAGGCTCAAGATCATCCCTCGCCCGATGACGCTTGAACCTGTCGATCACCAAGTGATTGACATGCCTGGTCCCCACAATTCGGACCCTTTCGAGTTTTTCATCACTGTTTGTTGATCTCTTCGTTTGCTCTGTGCATTTGAGATATCCACTGTCGCGATTTGGACAGCGCATCTGAGTTTTCATCGGTTGGATGCTAGACGGGGTCTTCTTCACGACAAAAGAGACGAATTTCTTCTTTCAGTCGCTTCACCGCCCGGTTCAGTCATCTACTACCCCGACCTCCTGCGGGCAACCACCCAAGGAGGTCATCACGGCGTTCATCACGGAGTTCTGGTTCGCGCGATTACCCCTTCATGAGCGATTTTCCATCGTTCTTCTGTAAGAGTATGTGGTTTTGGGGTTATCTGTTTGCGCTTTTCGAGTTGCCTTTTCCTACATTTTCGGCTGCCATGTCGACCCAGACCCATGGTCTGTCACATGTGCCACGATCATTCGCTACATATACTTTTAATGTTTTAGACTCTCGCTCGCACCGCCTCACCTATGTCATGGGGCAGGTTGCATGACCATTGTACAGTACCACGGCTTGGGGAACATGGGGAAAGCTTCGAGGCACCAACCATTGTCAGTGAGTCAGCCTCACACGCCGAGGCTGTTGGAGGCACTTTTTGCAAGAGAGGGGATGCCTACCGCCGGTTTCAGGCGCGTGAAAGCAGCGAGCTGTATGACGCAGCTTGCCCCAGGGACACGGACAGAATAGAATGGTTATGGTACACGTTAGCCGCGCTTTTGGAATGTGAAAGACCCAGTGACTGCATTGTGTTTCGGGCGGATTGCGCCCGCGGCGCGCAGCGTCATCGTCATTGTTCGTCGTGTGCAGCATCCACCAGACAGCCCTCGCGAACGCAAAGACAGCGCAACAACAACAGGACAGGGTGTCTGCGGTGCGATTCGTCGACGACGTCTGAGATGCCGTGTGCTGACGTAGGTGGCGTCGCTAGGCTTGGACCCTGGATCGATCAAGCTAATCCCCCTCGGGAGACGTGCCGGGGTGCGGGTGGGGCGGACGTTGCAACATGGCTTTGGCTTCCTTCTCGCAGGGCCATGTTGCGATGGATGGTACGCTGCGGAACGTGCTGCGACGCCTGCTCCGCCTTCTGCTTTCCACACGCTCAGCGGGAACGGAGCACGAGATGAGGCATCTTCTGTTGAGCCCTCGAACAGCGTGTTTCACGCACAGCATCGCCTCGCCTCGCACCGCATCTCCTCGCAAACTGTTTCGGCGAGGGCTTGCGCGCGCTTACGCTGGTCCCGTGCGGTTGCACCTGCAAATCGGACCGCCGTGCATCGGCCGGCGGGCCTGATGCGATGCGCCTACGTGCGGTGTTCATATCGCACCGCAGCCTGCCATTAGGAGCGCGAGGGCGCCGTGGCCGCTTCAGGCGCCGGGCGCAAGGCGAGCGGAACAGCGAGATATGACGACGGAGAGGTTGCACGCTCCGCGAAACGATGTCATCGCCATCCCTCAGGCCTCACCGCGTCGTCTCGTCCCCAGCACCACGCGAATACGTGCGCTGGGGCCGTGGCACTGGCCTTTGCCGCTCGCTCGCTCACCCGCATCGCCATATACGACAGCCATGCCCGTAGCATGGCACTCTATAAACGGACGTCCGCATTCAGGCGACGCCGTAAGCCCAGCTCAACCCGCCACCGCCCGTCTGCATCCAGCGGCCCGCCATCCATCAATGCACATGCTGCAATATGCGAGCATGCGAAGTTGCGATACCGTCGTGCACGAGACGGGGGTCTGCATCCCTCCTCCCCTCGCAAAACTCCCTCTGGTTCGTCGCGCACCCGTTTGCCAGCACAGCAGCGCCTCCCCCCGCACGTACCTACCTTCCACACCCGCTGCCGCGTGCATGCGCCCGGCGTCTCAGCTTGACGACCTGCGCAGTATCGGACCCTGAATAACCTCCAGGGCGTGCATGGCGTGTGGAAGCGGGCGGCGATGCTTCTGGAAAGCGGACGTGATTGGGCTGCTGGGCTGGAGGCAATATTGTTGCATGCGGGTGCAGCATTTGCTGCGACAACATGGTCTAATCATGAGGGTACATTGACGTGAGGCGAATGTAGTACAGACAGACTTGCATTAGGCGAATCATGTTGCGGCTGAGGTGCTTTGGTGTGGAGTTGGCGGTGGAGGGGCACGCGTAGACACCCCCACCGCCCATACATTTTCCCAGACATGGCATCCCGCTATATGCAAGCATGCTCTACCAAAGCTTTTGTACACCGAGTAATCCCACCAGTCGTCCTCCAATTCCCTTCCCGAGGCTTTGTGCGACCCCCCGACAAAAACGGGGCGCCGTGCACCGGTTTCCCAATTCTATCTCGCATCGAGATGGCAACGGACCCGTGACTGATACCCCGCCATAGTGGAGTCGATCCTATCTTGCGTGCGTCTCGCCTGCACCGCATCTCAACGCCATTGGAACATGCCGTGCGGAAATCTATGAGGAGTACTCTAGTTGTACGCTTTGCCCGCTCGCTTCATAAATGAGACAGAAACCAAAGCTGGTACGCGTAATGCTTTCTAGCAAAGATCTCCCCTTCCAACATTGCTGATTGTCGTATCTCAATCGCGGACTCCGAGGACCGCCAACGCCAACGCCTGTGCTAATGGAATCGATATCGGACCTGTATCTGAGCGCAACCGAGGCTGCCCTGCAGTGATGCTCTACTCTCCTGGTTTTGTGCAGGATCGATGAGCTACACCTGGACGCTGCTAGCCGTCGAGGCTATACGTGATCTTGTGGCGCTTGGCAGACTTGGGGTCGTCGTCGTCGGGCGCTTTCTTCTTCTTGCTGCCGCCGTTCCTGCTCGCGCCGTTGGACGTGGGCTGGCTCGACTCGCGTGTCGGGAACGAGGACGTCGGTGTCTGCCCGTGAGAGGGCGTCGTCTGCGCGGAGCCGGGAGTTGAGGATTCCTAATGTCAAGCGTCAGTTTCAACTAACCAGCAGAACGTAGGAACAGAGCTGCCACATACCCTCACGAAGGCGCTGGAGCTCCGGCTGAATATGCGGTCCGCCTCGCTGATCTGGGCCTTCCGTCGAGTCGCCGTGCCCGTCGAGCTGGCGGTGGTTACGGCGGCCGCGCCCTTGATGTAGTTGTCGAAGCCCTTGATGATGTTTCCGGCGCTCGTCTCTTCGAGGTACTGGGTTTCGACGCGGAGGATCGTGGCTTCGAGTTGCTCCTAGAACAGTCGTGTAAGTATGCAGGAACAGACATTCGACACAGAGCGTATGTACCAGATTGTGGTCTATGGCGCGCTTCTTCTGGAGGGACTCTCGCAGGTCGCGTCGCAGGCGTTCGTAGTAGGGCATGCCGCGCGACGCATCGGGCTGCGCGTTGCTGGCCGGCGCTGGGGGCGCATTCTCCGCCATGATGGCGTCTAGTCCGAGCCTGATGCGGTCGGGCGGCAGAGCAGCGTTCCGAAGCGGGCTGTCGGTGTCGCTGCGTGTTTGTAAATGATTCTCAACAAGCAGTCGCGACTTCCCTTGAGGTTCCAGTCCCGCCCACCAACCAAAGCCTAGACCATGCTTGGCTAGCGCCTCTCTCCGCGCAACCGACTGCTCAAATGTTCGACTTCTTTCACGCCTGCTTGCCTGCAAACCTCGCCCTCGTCCCCTGCGCTGTTCCGTGGTGTCAACTCGCCCTCCGCCACATAAGCCCGCGCCCGCCGCAGCTCTGCGCAGCTCTGCACGCGACCACCTGCCCCACATCCCTCGTCATCAGCCGTTGTAGCCATGGACCACAAAGAAGTCGCGCTGCGCGGCAAGGCGATTAGCAAGGCCATCGAGGCGAAGGAGCCCAGCTCGTCGATCCTGAAGCTGTTGAACGAGCTCAAAGACGGCATCAGGCCGACCGAGGATCTGCTGCGGCAGACCAAGATCGGCGTCACCGTCAACAAGCTGCGCCAGCACGCCGACCCGGCTGTCGCATCGCTCGCCACCCGCATGGTCACCAAGTGGAGGGAGGACGTCAAGAACAGCAAGGGAGTCGCCTCCCGACCGAAGCCTTCCGGCGCCTCAAATGGCACTTCGTCTCCCGCGCCCGTGCCCTCGAAGACTGCGTCACCAGCGCCCACCCCCGCGCCCGCAGCTGCGAAGCCGAAGCACGGTGTTGCGCCCGAGAAGCGGAATGCAAAGACGGACAACATCAAGTACCAGGTTACCGGCGATGAGCAGCGCGATAACTGCGTCCGGCTGATGTACGACGGGCTGGCCTTCATGAGTGATGAATGTATGTTTCCCAAGTAATGCAGCTTGAAGCCGCCAGGTTTCCTGACAAACTCTCCGCAGCTCCCGCCGATATCCTCAACACAGCCCGCGCTGTAGAAAACGCCGCATACGACGGCGCCGGCTCCCGCGTCAACGATGCCTACAAGGCAAAGATCAAGTCGCTCTTTTCCAACCTCAAGAACAAGTCCTCGGTCCACCTCCGCAAGCGCGTTCAGTCCGGCGAGATAACCCCCAAGCGCTTCGCCACCATGACGCACGAGGAGATGAAGTCAGACGAGCGCAAGGCCGCCGACAAGAAGCTGGAGAGGGAGAACATGAACAACGCCATGGTCGCCCAGGTCGAGAAGTCCATCTCCAAAGAGTTCCAGTGCGGCAAGTGTAAGCAGCGCATGGTCAGCTACAGCCAGGCGCAGACCCGAAGTGCAGACGAACCGATGACGACGTTCTGCGAATGCATGAACTGTGGCAATCGCTGGAAGTTCTCGTAGTTTGGGCCGCTTTGGGAGAGCTTAGAGCTCCTGGTGTGTGTGTACGGTGCGCGGGCTTGATACACGGACCTCTCTTTCAATGTGCGTTGGGCGAGGTGATTCGGGCAGAGGGAGGCGCTCCATTGGAACTGGCGTTTTCAGGGCATGTGGGCGGTGTCATGGGTCAACCGATCTTCGGATCTTGTATTTTCTTCCGAGCGCGATTTCGGGTTGCGACAGCAGCCATCTCAGTAGGCTTTATTGGGGTCAGACCTCGATTTGATCCCTCTGTGATGCTATGTGTCTTTTGTCTTCCGGTGGGCTTTGGCTTCGCTGGAACCATGGTCAAACAGTTGTGTAGAGTAGTTTGGACCTGCCCGTGAGGCCTTTCGGCAGAATTTATGCACGAACACGTAATATCATAGATCGAGCCGAAAGGAACATCCTCTTTTCACAGTGGATGACATAAGGCATGGGAACGTAAGGCGCGCACCTCATCCAGTGTTGACCCACCTTACTTTACGTCCATAAACACGTGATATGGTAGGTCAGCGTGGATGCTCACAGGGGACTCACAGTGAGGTGCGCTTCTATCTTATTGTGGGCCACTGTGTCTGGCAGGATGTGGCAAGAATGCTTTCCATGCTCACGATGCAGTGCCAGGCCAGAATTCCGCGCACACTTTGATATTCCACGAGGAGCAACGCAGTGCCAAACCCAATCTCCAGGCATGCTCTGTGGAGAACTCCACAACATGCGAAGATTACACACGAAAACATGGACACGACAAAAAGTACAGGCATAACATCGAGGTTTCATGCAGTATTCCAACGCCATCCCGCATGCCAACTCGAAACCCCAGCCTAGGCAACATCCACAAAAGCCCTCTTCTTCTTCCCCGCACCCTCCTCCGCCTTGTCCACATCCTCCAGCCGCACAATCTTACTCTCATCCACCCTCTCCCCGACAAACCGTACCGCCGCAACATTGAACCCAATCAAATCCTTGTCCCCGCTCAGCGTGCGCCTCAAATCATCCCGCATGCCCTCCAGCACGCTCTTGAGCTCCCTGCTTGCGACAATCTGCCGCTGGTGCGTCTTGAGCATGAAGAACAGCACGCGGCACGTCAGCGTGACGTTCCACCTGCGCTGGACCCAGACGGCGATGAAGGTGAAGAGCGCGGGCAGAGAGGCGAACGGCAGCACGAGGAGCGCGTCGTGCAACTGCGCGGCGGGGATCTTGGACAGCGTGTTGAGCACGTGGCGCTCGGCGGAGACGTTGTTGAGCGCGAGGAACAGCGGGTTGCGCTGCGGGGGCGCGAGGTTGGGGTTCGCGAGCTTCTGCTTGGTCCACGCGCGGACGAGGAGCAGGTCCTCGAGACCGAGGTCGAGGGCTTCTTGGATGCGCTCGCCGGCGGTGAGGGTCGAGGTGGTTTGTTTGGAGGCGGCGCCAACCTCGGGAGCTTCGGCGCCGTTGAGGAGCGGGTCTTCGTCTTCGAGGGACGTCGCGAGCGTGTTTTCGTAGAGCTCTTCGAGCTCCTTTTCGCGTTCTTCTTCGAGGAAGATGGGCTCATCGGTGCGCGTCCAGATGCGCATGCTCTTGTCGTGGCTGGCGGTGACGACGAAGTCGCCTGTGCGGCTCATGGTCATGGCCCAGATCTCGCCATGGTGGCCGCGTAACTTCTGGATGAGCTCGAACTTGTCGGCGTCCCAGGATTTGAGGACGCGGTCTTTCGAGGCGCTGAAGAGAATGTGTTTCTCGTCGGCTTGGACAGGGTGGGGGATGAAGGCGACGTTGAGGATCGAATCTTCGTGAGCGTAGAGCGCTTTGTGGCAGTCACCAAAATCGAGACCCCAGAGGCGGATGTTCTTGTCGGCGGAGGAGGTGGCGATGAGCTTGGAGTCACTGGATATCGACATGTTCAACACTGGCAGCTTGTGGCCGTAAAGGTTGAGGAAGAGCTTCAGTGAGTCCACGAAGAATACCTTGACCGTATTATCCATTGTGGCGACCGCGAGCAGGCGCGAATCGGGTGAGAAGTGAACACTGAGGACGTCGTCGTTGACTTTCAATATCCGTGACTGAACGAGCTTTAGGCGTGGCATAGTGCGTTTTGTGCCCGGGATTTCTTCTTGGACAATCTCGAAATCCCAGAATTTGACTGTCTTGTCAGCACCTCCAGTGATGAGGGATTTGCCATCCGGGTGTACTTGGAGCGTCCACACGGTGCCTTCATGTGCAGGAATCTTATCGAGAAGCGACGAAGCTGCAATGTCATAGAGCTCGATATCGCCGTCCTTGGTGCCGACTACCACAATCTTGTCTCCCGGTAAGAATGCAGCGCATAGTGCTTTCCCACACTCCAGCGTGCGAAGACAATTCTGTGTTCGAACATTCCATATCTTGAGTCCTCCGTTCGCAGATTTGCCGCTTGAGGCAGAAGCCAACATGCGATCGTCTGAGCTGAGTGCCAACGCACGGATGTCTTGTCTGTGACCCGCAAGTTCGACGGACAGCGTCCGGTTGTACTCGGGCTCGTCTTCGCTCTTCGATTTTGATTTTTGAGGTATTTCGTATACATCAAGAAGGTTGCTGTCGGTCCCGACTAACAACTGTAGCTTTTTCGACCTGCCTTGCATCCAAGAAATTGATCGGACCTTGCCTCCTCCAGGTGCTATCCGTACGGTGACATATGGGACAATGATGTCGCCAATCGCTGCCTCCGCCAGACTTATCTCCTCTTCAGCTTCGGGTGCTTCACCATTCGCTTCCTCTTTTGCCTTTTCGCGTCTTCTCTTTCGTTTCCTCGATAATGCTTTTTGGACTTCCTTTTCGCTTCGCATCCTCCATAATTCAACAGCTCTCTCTGATCCGTGCACGGCAATGTAATCAGATTTTCTGTGATAGGCAATTCCAAGCGTCCGGTCTTTGCCTTGGCGATATAGTGTCCCTCTCTCGTGAAGGTATCGCTGCTCGACGCCTTCACCGACAGACGAGGCCGACTGCCCCAGGCCCGCAAGATCGATGGTCCACACCCTCAACTCTCCGTCATTACCTGCCGTCATACAACTGCTGCCATCGGGAGATACTCCTAGCGCCCAGCACTCGCCGTTCGTCTGCGCGACATGGGTTTCGATGCAGTGCTGGCTATTCACGTCCCAGATCTTTACCAGCGAGTCTTTGCTCGTGGAGAGCAAGAAGGCCTGGTCTGTGTCCATCTCTACGTCTCCTTGATCAACGCCATCCTCTTGCGCTGCCTTTGTCGGGTGCAGAAAGTGAAGCCCGGTGACCTCTCCCTTGTGTCCTCGAAGCTTGAACAGCCCGACTTCGGAAACCAAGTCCCAGATGACGATGTCCGTGTCTTTTGACCCGCTCGCGAGGCGTACACCGGATTGGTCGAAGGCGAGTATAGTAACGGCCGACCTGTGTCCATTGAAGCTGATAACAACGGTTGCTGTCCTGGAATCCCACACTCTTATGCTTCCGTCTGCGTATCCTACAGCAAAGAGGTCTGTGTCCACATCGCTCCGGCAGATGACTGTGACCTGTTCGGTGCATGACGCATCGCGCCACCTGCTCAGCAATTCGCCTTTCTTGATGTCCCAGCACAGCACTTGTTCATTTGCGGCTGCATATGCGCGGCCGGCGCCTGCGGATCGGCTGGAGCCAGGTTGAGAAACGCCCTCGGCGGTCCACACAATGTTGGAGGTGGCGGTCGCGACGACACCGAAGGCATCCGTGTGCTCGTACTTGCTGGTGTTGTCAGCGGCAGTCCTCTCTGCCGGGCGGGAAGGCGCGACCTACTTGTACGTCTTCACCATATTGCGCGACGAAAGGGAACTGGGGTATCAAGAGGGAAACAACAGCGGGAGGGGTACGCGACGGCGCCAAATCAATCTTGCATCACCTGAGACGCCCAACGAGTGCGCCACTGTGAGTTGCAAGTGTGGTGAACTTTTTCTACGAGAGCTTGAACTTTTGGCGAAAACCCCACAAGTGCAGCCACGCTAGCTCAGCCACAGCCCACTCGATGAACATCACACCTCCGACCTCCGCGCCAGTTCACAGCTCCCCCGCCATACGCCCGACCGCCCACCCGCCCAGCGCCCACGGACACCGGCAGCCATGCTTCTCCTCGACTACCAGAACGTCCTCATCGAATCGCTGCTGAGGGAGCGTTTCCAAGGGTGCGCAATGCCCCGCCGAGGCAGCCTGCGGATCGGATAGCTAGCTAACAGGTACCAGCGGCGCACCCTCGTCCATCGACCAGGTCGTGTCCGACTTCGACGGCGTTACCTTCCACATCTCCACGCCCGAGTCCAAAACCAAGATCCTCGTCTCCATACACGTCAAGTGCTACGCCGAGCTGGTGCAGTACGGCGCACAGGCAGTCCTAGAGCGCGAATATGGCCCCTACATCGTGGCCCCAGAGTCGGGCTACGACTTCTCGGTGCAGGTAGACCTGGAGAACCTCCCAGAGGATCAGGGTGAGGTTGGAACCAGCCCGCGCTGAACGCTAGCTTACGGTCGAACAGAGGCCAAGGAGGACCTGGTCAGGCGCATATCGCTCCTAAAGCGCAATGCAATGGCCGCGCCATTCGAGCAAGCCTTCGACGAGTTCCAGCACCTGCAGGAGGAAGCTTCGAAATACACATCCGAGTCGGCGCCCCAGGGTGTCAAGGAGGGCGGTGAAGTGCGCGCTATCCACTACCGAGAGGAAGAAGCCATCTACATCAAGGCGAGCTACGACAGAGTCACCGTCATCTTCTCTACAGTCTTCCGCGAAGAGACGGACAGGATCTTTGGCAAGGTCTTCCTGCAGGAGTTCGTTGATGCCCGACGGAGAGCGATCCAGAATGCGCCGCAGGTCATGTTTAGGAACGATCCTCCGCTAGAGCTCCAGGGCATTCCGGGCGTCGACACCTCGGGCTCAGCCGACATTGGCTACATCACCTTCGGTCAGTCCATGCCAGTCCAGGTCTGAGTCGTTACTGATTCAAGTAGTGCTATTCCCTCGTCATCTCACAAAGCAGCGACGCGAAGAGGTCATCTCACACATCCAAACCTTCCGCGACTACTTCCACTACCACATCAAAGCGTCCAAGGCCTACATCCACTCAAGGATGCGCAAGCGGACAGCTGACTTCCTGCAAGTCTTGCGCCGCGCTCGGCCAGAGGCGGAAGAGAAGGAGCGCAAGACTGCAAGTGGACGCACGTTCAAGGTACAATCTTGAGGTATGCTGCTTTGGAAATATAATAGACTTCGCCGGGAAGGGGTATTCGTGTTGGTGAGTGCGAGGATGCAGATGGGTCCAAGTACTTCACACTCTGGAAGCGCAAGGACGGAAGCGGATCGGCATCGATTGAGAACGTCAGCATGGGCGGTATGAACAAAAGGACATAGCAAATCAAAGACAATACCACCAATCCGTTACCTTGCTTTGGTTGGCCAATTGCATGCTTTATGCTGTGGTCGCCATCAGACACCTAATCGGGAAGGCGGTGAGGCGAGATTGGCAGAACTTTTCGGAGCATCCACTTGACTCTCACCCCTCTTCACTTGCAGATCCTCTCACTACCACGGCATGTTATGATACGATCGTCTCTCCGCACTCTCACAAAAGCTATGGCTTCTCCGGACCCCAAGCGCGTCCCGATCCCCAAGAATGGCGTCGATTACCGCGGCAAAGTCGTCCTTGCGCCCATGGTGCGCTCCGGCGAATTGCCATCGCGGCTACTCGCGCTGAAGTACGGTGCAGATCTGGTATGGGGTGCGTCGCATGAACCCGAAAATTATAAGGCTGTGTTCTAACAATCACTGCAGGCCCAGAAACCATCGATCGCGCCCTCATAGGCACTACTCGCCACCTCAACCCGCACACCCAAACTATCGAATTTACCCGCCTTCCCACGTCGAAGCTGAAGAATCCCACGCTCGATCCCGATATGCGCGAAAGCGTCATCTATCGCATACACCCCGAGCTGGAGAAGGGCAAACTGATCTACCAAATCGGAAGCGCAAACCCCGAGCTAGCCGTACAGGCCGCAAAGTTAGTTGCGCCAGATGTCGCTGGAATAGACCTAAACTCTGGATGTCCCAAGCCATTCTCTACATCTGGTGGTATGGGTGCCGCGCTGCTCAAGACGCCGGATCTTCTCTGCAACATCCTCACGAGCTTGGTGGAAGAGGTGGGCAAGCCGTTTGAGATTGGAATCAGTGTGAAGATACGGATCTTGGACAAGCCAGAGGAGACGGAAGCGCTGGTGAGGAGACTGGTGAAGACGGGCATCACAGGCTTGACAGTGCACTGCCGGACGACACCTATGCGGCCCAGGGAGCGGGCCATCAGGGACCAGCTGAAGATGGTTGGAGAGGTGTGCAGAGAAGCGGGCGTCGCGTGTCTCATGAACGGCGACGTGACTTCCAGAACTGAAGCACTCAAGCTCGCCGAAGAGTTTGGTGTCGACGGCGCGATGATCGCGACCGAAGCGGAGAAGAACCCGAGCTGCTTCCGGCCAGACAGCCAAGGGGGACCGCACGAGTGGCGCTCGCAGTGGAAGACGGTCGTCACAGAGTACATGCGGTTCGCGCTACAGGTCGAGAACCGCTGGGGCAACACAAAGTACCTGCTCGGTCAGATGATCCCCGGCAAGGACAAGTGCTACGCGGCGATGAATCGGGCGAAATGCTATGCAGATGTTATACAGGCTCTAGGTCTGCAGGATGTAGATGATCTGCTAGAGCAGGCGAAGACTGTTGACGTACATCTGGGCATACCGCCGAAGGAGTCCCAGGCTTCGAAACGAGCGAGGGTGAGAGAGGCGGAGAAGGCCAAGAAGCAGGAACAGCAGCCGAAAGAGAAGAGGAGAACAGACGCAGAGGACGATCAAGCAGCGAAAAGGGTCAAACTACCCGAAGCGCCAGCCGAGATTTCCGTTCTGCCACAGGAGACCTCTGCTCCTGCAGCTTTGAGCGTATAACGGTCAGCATTGGAGGTGGAAAGGAGGAACTGTAAATTCTGCATAGCATGGGTGGCGTATATGGATAGGCTGGTATTCTCGATGGTACTAGGGAAGCCCAGTTCGATTGAGATGACATTGAAGCTGTTTTGTTCCAACCTCAGCTTGCATGGACGCCTTCGAAGAAACGTAGGGCAAGAAATAGACATTCGTACACAACACCATTACAGTAGTGGGTATATACTAACCAAAGAAACACAACACCATCACGAACCCCCATTTGCCAAACTCAGCTAAAACAACTCGCACAACACGACCCCACACACACGAAAAGCAGCACAAGCACAACCAACCCGCCCACAACCATCCCAATCGCCAACCCCGCCTTCTTCCCCGTCCCTAGCGTCGCCCAAAAATAGGGCAACGCCGCTGGCCCGGTCTTCTTCCCAAACCCATAGTCCACACTCGCAAACTCAATCTCCGTCCCCCGCAGCTGCGCCTCGCACGCGTACAGGAGTGTCTGAAACCCAACGAGATTCGCCGCGGCCACAAAGTCCTTGGTGTCCTTGCACTTCTCGCCGCAGCAGCACGGCAGCATGCCGTACCGCGAGGACGTGTCGGCGTACTGGGTATTCCAGTTGTAGTCCGGTGGGAGTACGCAGACAGGGAGCGTCCAGGTGCCGACCCAGCCTGCGCCGTCGGCCCAGGGGGAGGATGTGCCGTTTGAGGCGACGGCGGAAGCGAGTGCGTCGTGCGCCATGGGTTCGGTGAAGTTGAAGCGTGCGGTGCGGAAGGACGCTGCAGAGGACTTGGATATATCTGTGCCGGAGATGTCCCACGTGGACTCGTTGAGGTGGTCGAGGCCGGTGGGGGCTTCGAGGAAGCCCTTCAGGATGCCGGATTCGTGGTATGCGTAGGTGTAGTAGACACCACCGTCGGTCGGGGAGTAGTATCGTGTTTGATTGGGGCCGGAGGCGTCGGAGGTGTCGTTGGTTGCATGGAAGGTGGTCCAGATCTTGCGTTTGCGCCATTGGGAATTGATGATGATGGAGAAGAGCTGTTTTTTGTAGAAGGCTTCGATTTGGGTAGCGGAGGGAAGGAAGGAGTGGTCGACCATGGCGCCGCCCTTGAAATAGTCGCTGTGGTGGGTGAGCATCATTGCATGGGAGTAAGGAAGCGGTGGCTTACATGAAGGTGTAATTTGACGCGTCTTTGTCGCCGTTGAAGGTTGTGTTTGACCAGGAGTCGATGCTGGAGCGCAAGGTTTCGCCGTACTCGGCCGCAAAGTCTTTAAACGTCGCGATGCTGGCGAATCCTGCGATGGAGCTTTTTAGGAGTCAGCAAAGATAATCAGAAACAGATTGATCTCAACGTACTCGGGCTTAATCTCATTGCTGATCTGGCTGAGTCCAGCACCGGCGAGGGCCGCAAACCCTCCACCTCCGGCTGCAATTGCCGTTTCACCCCTTCTTGCTGCCGCCGAGGATGCCGCTAGAATAGGTGCGATCGCTCCGGCTACGCCAACGATACCCGACATCCATATGAGTACGTCTTCAGGCGCGAAGTTGGGTTCTCTCCATGGGAAGAACGTCAAGACCATTTTGTCCACCCGATCGGTGAAATCCAATTGCCCTTTCGTTATACCTTCCTGGGGGAAGTCAGCGCTGCCACAATTTCCAAGGTTTAATATCCTACCTCGATAGCTTTGAATAGAATATGCAAATTCACCATAGATATCTGCGACATGTACGCCCACACTGGATCGCCGTTATCTTCAAAATCTAATTGCTGTGAGCACAGTTTCAGCCATCTTCCCATGTCCATACATACCACTACACCCCGCATAGATGCAACCACTGTCATCCGTCAAGCCACACTGATATGGGACATGCGACCCAAATGCTTTCCCCAGCTCTGTTGTAAAAGCAGAGTGCGGGCCTGCCGATATTGTCGCCCACCAGTCGCGCAATTTAGTATCTGTGTCGGCACCCAAGTATGCTGTGGGTGTTGTCTCCCACTCGGCACTCGTATTACAGACTCCTCGTGGAGATAGCTGAGCTGTCGCTATCGACAGCAAGGCGAAACGTAGGAGTGTTACCCTAAACATCGTCGCGCATCTGAGCAGAAGCACGAATCCGGGACTATGGCTTCTACCAAACGTGGTAATGAAGAAAATGGCAAGGCCTATAACAACTACGGCAGCCGCGCATATGTTTATGCGATTATCGGGAAACCCGTAAGTTGGGGCTATATTTACGAGCATTCGTATAGATACCTTTTTCGTGATGGTTCCACCCAACAGCTTTGGGGAGCGCTCCACACAGCCTCGAGGAAGCGCTCAGCCCCTGATGGCCTCGTAGTAGGCGAATCACATCCATGGCGAGCCGAGCGGCGTTCCACAGGTCCTGTCGAGTCCAGCCTGGTCGCCACCTTGAAATCTGCGGTACGAGGACAATTTGTGGAGCGCATTCTTGTGGGAAGCGTCATAGCTGTTCATAACACCAAAAGTTACGAAGGACTCGCTGAAATGAAGAAGAGAGACTACGTCGAAGCGCGGCACTACAGACAACGAGACGGCATATTCGTGTTCGTGCCGAGCAAATACGAGCTTCGAGCAGCCACTTCTCTTGGCCTTTCCTAGGGTTCTGTTACGTGGGGGCTGTGGGTCAGAATCATCTTGATTGGCCTGTTGGGGTCATAAGCCACGAGTGTCATCTCTTCCATTCTCCATGCGGAATGAGGAGGTAGGTGATTGCTGAAGGTGTTGTGGTTGATGTTGAGTGTATCCACGGCTTCTCATGAGGTCGGCAACAGCGGGCCTCCGACTCCCGGTTCGTTCCTGCCTTCCTTCGTCCAATATCAAGCCGACCAACTCCCATCGACGGTCATCATGAACTCGATTCAATGCGAAAGCGTGCGTGCATGTCCCTCAGTATCACCGAGAAGATATTCGTGGTTTATCAGTCATTGTGCTAGGCTCTGCGTGCTTTGTTGGCAACCCCGCTGTGCACCTGGGTCATGCGTCGTATCGGCTACCTCACAGTGTGTAAACGGAATTGCAGAAGTACAAGGAGCGACCATTGCCTCTTTGGTCAATTCACACATCCATTAGAACCCATTGCGAGATCATGCCAATTATGGTGTGGCTTGGTCAGCGGTCCCGCGTCGTCATCATGCTCCTTATTGCGCAATGCAGTTACCCAGCGAACCTTACTAGTAGCATCAAAGCTCGATGCAGTTTTTACTAGATGCACTGGAATTAGTACCATTGGAAGATAGTGAGGCATGGGATGCAGCCAATGATCGCATGTTGCGATGTGCTGCAATTGCGACCTGAAGACGCCATTGCATGGAAATAGCAGTGTTTAAGGACGACACCGCAATACTCTGTGAACGGAGTCTTCAAAACGCAATTTGCTCTCGATCTCTGAGTTCCTGCCAGGTCATCTCGTGCCAATAACGGCTCTTGGTATTGATTGGTTAAATTCTACCCATGGCGAACGCCGTGCAGCGACTGGCTCAGGTGCAAGAGCAACTCGCACCACCTGTTGTCGCACCAGACCAGACTCCAACACTACAGGGCACGACGAAGCATTGGAAGCCACAACAGCGTCCGTTCGACTCAGCTCCGCCAGTCAAGGTGAGATTCCAGCACATGTCGGGGGCTTCGATCTTGATACAAGGTTAGGCCATCTTCGTCGGAGCCGGCATAGCAGGTATCGCGGCTTCGGTTTTGATCCCTCGCAAAGTTCCAAATTTATCCTATGTTGTCTATGAGCGACAGGGCGCTGTGGTATGTTCATATTTTATCTATTAACGACTCCGGAGGGTTGTTAAGACTCGCATGGTTCTTACGATCAGATCTCTGGCTTCATCAAGGTATAGAAACAAACAATGCATCGAATTTGGCTTCTAAGCATCTCTATAGGCGAGTAAGTGTTTGAAGACGAAGATGACTGACGCAAAGGGTAGGGCGGAACATGGGCGCAAAACCGTTATCCCGGAGTGAGATGCGATATCCCATCTCATAGTTACCGTGAGCTGAGTCTTCGCCATTGCATCGCAGTGCCTCCTGACACGTCTACTAGAGCTCACATTTGCTCCCAACCACCGTTGGTCAGAATATTATTCCCCAGGATCAGAGATCCAGAGCTACTACGAAGACGTAGTAAAACAATATGGCGTTAAAAAGCATCTCCGGCTCAAACATGATGTTATATCAGCAGCCTGGTCCGAAGAGATCCATCAGTGGGTGGTGAAGGTCAAGGATCTCACAACGGGGGAGGAATTTACGGACATGGCTCACTTCTTCATCACAGCGGCAGGAAGGCTGAATGTTCCGAAATATCCTGATATACCGGGACTGGAGAATACGTTCAAAGGTCATGTTGTTCACCCTGCACAGTGGACCGAAGAACTCACCCGCGCCTTGGAGGGAAAACGTGTAGCCATCATAGGCAACGGGGCGAGTGGCCAACAGCTCCTGGTGAACATCTTCGATCGAGTCGCGCACATAGATCACTACGTCCGGTCCCGGCAGTGGATCGTTCCGTCCTTCTCTCCGAATCTTCTTTCGGCGCGCTGGGATGTGCTCGGTGCACACCTCTTCAGCGAAGAAGAGAAACAGAGGTTTGAGAAAGACCCTAAAGCCTACCTCGAGTACCGTAGGTCATTAGAAAAGAATTTCCATGGCCGTTTCGGAGGATCCGTCAATGGCAGCGAAGAGAATGATAAGATCCGGCTAGCATACGAGGACGCTTTGTGGGAGAAGGTGAACGGCGATAAGACCTGGTTTGATAGACTGGTTCCGGCTTTCGCGCCCGGTTGCAAACGACCCACGCCCTCAGCTGGATATGTCGAAGCGATCAGAAGTCCGAAGGTCGATTATGTAGACGATGCGAGGGTCACCCATGCCACCGCAGACGGCTTGGTAACATCAGATGGTCGGGAGAGAAAGGTTGACGTCATCATCACCGCAACGGGCTTCAACAATGGCTTTCTCCCTCTGTTTCCCACTATTGGCAAGAAAGGATTAGACTTGAGTAAGCACTGGGCTGAAGATGGGCCAATTGGGTATCCCCAGACGTACTTTGGACTGATGGCTCCCAATGTTCCAAATTACTTTGGCGTCATCCAGGTAAGTGCTCCCTAAATGCATACTCTTTGGCTTGAAGTTCTAGAGTGAATTGCATGTGTATTGAGAACAGAGCTAACATACTGTCCAGGCAAACAGTAATGGAGCTGGCGGTACCTATCCACTTCAGGCAGAGATATCAGCTACCTACATCGCCAAAGTGATCCGCAAAGTGCAGAGAGAAGGCTATCTCGCCATCTATCCTTCGCAAGCCGCGACCGACGATTTTAACGAAATTATTACGGGCTACTTTGAAGACAAGGTCATCGGCGACGACTGCGACGGATGGTGGAAGAGCGGGTTCGGAAAATCGCGTCCGCTCGTCATGTGGCCTGGCACAGGGCATCACCGCTTCGATATCGTGCGAGAGCCTCGCTGGGAGGATTTTGTATTTGAACGAAGCAAAGAAGGAAAGCGCAACAGGTTTGCGTATTTCGGCAATGGTTGGACTGAGCGAGAGAAGAATGGGGATGAGGCGGTGCTTACGAAATATCTCAAGGAGGTGGGGACTGTTGATCTTGCTACGCTGCACGAGAACTGGAACGATTGAGGGCATACAGGAAGACGTAAGATGATTCCATCTATAGGACAAGAGTGAACGAAGCACGCTTTCGCGACACACCAGCACCGCCAGCCTTAAGCCCATAATCCTATTTGAAGTACAGTACACAACATTCGAATACATAGATGCCCTTTCTAGATCGACCTTCTCTTTGAGCGTTTCGGTCGATTTCTCAAGCGATATTGTTCGTCAGATATGCTAATGAAGGTGCCAATAACCGACACAGCCATGAACAAGAAAGTGATAGGATGACGGGAAGCGAGAAATGCCACTGTCCAGGCAAACATTGAGTTAATCGGCCAGCAAAACTTCGAGACCATGGTCCATATAACATTAAACTTGAAACGGAAGCGATCAAGAAAAGTTGGCGACAGGATTCGATTCCAATGGTTTCGGGTTGTCTCAATTTTGGGGCTCGCATCCGGAAGAAGGTGATCTCGCGTTCTGACTAAGTCCTCTGCGAACGAGTGTAGTTGCCGCGTTTCTGGGTCATAAGGGCCTTCCCGGGTCATGAATTTGGCCCATCGGGTCACAGCTGCACGCGCAGATCCATCTGCGATCTCAAACCACTCTCCGTGGCTTGCATGACATACATCGCATCGATAGGGTCGACAAAGATCCATGAGGTATGTTTGAATGAGGCGCTCGGTCCGAGAATAATTGTGCACCTTCACATTCTTGACCAGCTTGAGAGTGAGACCGCATTGGTATCGTAATTGGCCCATACGACTGATCGTTTCTTTTGACTTTCCTATTTTGTGAAGTTCGGGTCGTTTTGGATCTGAGAATATGTAGATGTAGCCATCCGAATCGTTCGGCGTAAGCTCTTTTTCAAGCACCGCTCGCACTTTGTTGTGTAGTTCCGTAGCGGTTATCTCAAGTTTAACGGAGTTGGACACTGGTGCTCCTTCTGCATTGCATTCATCTTCCAGCCCAAGCGTCGCTGCGCGAACTATGTCCGGGAAATCGTCAATTTTGGGCTGGGAAGGCGCCCAGTGCCGGTCTGCTTCGAGGTCTTCAGACGCTTCTAGATTCACCGAGGATAGTACCCCTCCACTGCCTCTCAGCTGCTCCTCTATCACGTTGGTTGCACATGTATCTTCTGACTCCAAAATTGGTTGCCGCTTTGAGGCCGATGTCGTGTCGAAAATCTCCTCAACTTGATATTTGATGTTCGTACAAACAGCACAAGTGTCTTTATGTCTTTTCAGCCAGGCTTCTGAAGAATAGTGTTTCTTGCCACACGGAGACGGAATTTTATTCTTCTGCAGGTCTGGTGTTTGGTTGGAGTCTTCATTGGAGATACTCGCTCCAATGTTTGTACTGCTATCAGGAGAAGATCGAGGTTCTTTGGGGAGACAAGGGCGCCGCCAGTCATGTCGTATTGGTAGTCCTGATTGTTGTGACTTTTCGAGGCTCTGCTGAACCGGAGATGGGATGCTTTGCGACCTTGCATGTCGCGAATGTTCGTGTGCTATAACTGGAGATCCACTTGCATACGAAGTTGTGTCTTGATGCTTGTCATAAAGACTGAATCTAGGTGGTGGAGCATGGTCATGCTGGAGATGCAGCGGTGGGATTTGGTGGGCTAAAGGTGATAGCCTGGAAGCCATGGTGGCCTTGATGAACGCAATCTTCAAGAAATAAGTACAACACGACGCGAAACTCGGACTCCTATCATAGCACTGAGGGACTGAATCGTATACATATATTTCATCTGCGAATCGATTGCAAAAGCCACGGCATACGAGGCTGAGCAGTGCTGTGCCGCAAAGCGGCTCGCTTCGCCGCCCAGACATAGCATACGTTTCCAGGGGGTTTCGGCGCGACAACACGTATACCTGTTAAGGGAGGAGGCTAACCAAAGCAGATGCTTGCATCTAATCTTGGATCACCGAAAGATCCGTGAGATGGGTTGGGGCCAATAACCTCAAACATGATCCCAGGTCAACCAATATCGACAATTTGTTAAGAGAGCTCTGCATATGTACATGCGTGCAGGCGCAGGGAAATATGCAGGCTAGTGGTAATTCTCACACACATTTTGGGACTGATTGGATGCAATCGCCGATGAGTACCTGGGTATGTGGCGGAGCGTTAAGCGCAGCGGTTGTCCGATTGAGTTGATTGGTCCTCAACGTCACAAGCAATATTCTTGCGACCAGGCCTGCCGAGTGCCGGGGAAGGGATAGTCAATGCGGATATGAGATGGTAGTTCATGAACATGTTCAGTGAGATATGGTGCTAGGTGAATTGTAAGGACAGTCCACACTCTAGACAACAATTTTCTTCTTGACATCCAAAATTTTGAATGCTCCCCTTTGTGCCTCGTACTTTTCATCATATCAGCCGATACACCAGACCGTTCCAAAAGGGCTCTTCGCTCGATTCAGAATCACTCAACCACTGTGATTACTTTGGCAAATCACAACATAACCATGCGGCTCTGCCGGCGATAAAGCATGTGTCTACAGCAACAGATGATGCATTCTTGGGTAATAGCCTCCGAATATCCATCAACTGCGACGAGATGCCAATGCACAGGGCCATCATGATGAGCAGACAATCTAGAAGTCGAGTCGGAACATTACTTTGGCGCAGGTGCCGTACGCTGAGGTAGTGCAACATGCCATTAAATGTCTGCTGTGGTGTAGCTGGAAAGGTTGCATTGAGTGGTATCCGTATGTTTGCCGCATTATGAGCAACAATGATGAGATATACGTGCTGGGAGTGCGAAGCAATCCTCGAAAAGCCGTCATGATCCATGCAAAACTTCATAAGAAAGTCGTACAGATTTCCAGCCGTGTCAGTTCCATATGATATATAGCATAGGAAGACCTGCGGGGAAGAACATGCGACCACGGCCAATGAAGTCTGAGCGATGAGCATAACTAGCGCGGGGACATAAGCCCAGACAAAGTGAACATAGCTTCGCGTATTGACTTCGGGGGACTCTGGTGTGCTTGCAGGGGTACTAGTTCATGACTTCGAACATGACCACCAGAACAAGCAGTGACACTGTAACGCACACTTTGTAACATCCACGGTGTGAAATGGGATTCCACAAACTAGTCGAGTCAAGGTCAAACTCCCTTGGATCCGCGCTAGCACTCTTCCTTGGTACGTGACTAGTTTTGAGTAGTTGAAACGAATAGCTCCTTTGATCGAAACCTGAGGTGGAGGAGCTTCTGCAGTTCATCTGACCTAGCTTCGTCCGGATGGTTGTGAGACTGGAGGCACCCGATTCCGAGAACATAGATAAACAGAAGGGCTTTGTGAAAGATCCAGAGCTAAACCTCCAATGGTAGTTGGATCAGACTACATACCTGAGGATGTCATCTGACTCTCGAGCCGTTGGAAGGCCCCGTCCTGCGTAGTTCCTGGGAGCTGAGGTATAGTTTTGTAGGGCCACGATGGTGAAAATCGGCGCAGCATAGATGTTTGAGGCATTGAACGCAGTAACAAATCTGCCGATGCTATCAACTCGCAGTTGTGATCAAATTGCAAGAGCCGGCAGACTTTTGAAGAACCTTTGAACATATTGTTGAGTGGTGGTGTCTACGTCGGCCACTGGAGCCGAGCGGTCATTCATCCAGCTATTACCCTCGAATATCTTTCTGCCAGCGAAAGAGGAGGGACGTGGCTGGTCGATGTACGTTCTACGAAGTGTCTCCGGTGGCTGGAGTACTTAAATGATACTTATACGCGTTAAAGAACCGTTTATTCCACATACGACCATAGGACACTGAAAACTAGGCTTCCCGTCCGCTCAGCCATATATAAGCAGTGTACCGGCGGATCAGTAGTTGCGTGGGTGACCAGCAGCGAATCCCCGCTGTTGTATGTTTTTTTTTCATTGCCGGAATGAATTGCGGTAAATTTTTGCCAGTGTGGGTCGCGTCGGCGTGGAGGCCAAGAGCGATCCGTACCGTTAAGTGCTGACTCAGCCACTGGCGTTGACCCTGACTCGCTGACACAGTAGGAGACTTGTGGACAGCTAGGCAAGTCACAGGCATGATTTATTTGATAATAATCCTATGCTCCTATATTCCTGGACTAAATTCCTGCTCTGTAGAGATACAACCTAATCCCTATGTAACACGTGCTGCAACATAAATCGCTTAGCGGATCTGTCTTTTAATGCCCATCGGGAGATGGTGAAGCAAACTTGACTTGCAACAACAACTACCATATCAGAACAGCATCACCCGGATACTCTTCGTATCAGCCTTCGGCATCATCGCATCGCACACCACTTCAATATCAGAATAGTTTGTCTCAGAAAGCTCCAGCGTGAACTTGCGCACATTGCTGCTAGTGCACGATACAATTCCGCATAGGGGGATTCATATAATCAGCAAAGTTTTCTATACGTCATTTCAACTTACTTATGTCCAGCGCACATCCATCAACCGCGGCCAAAGACCTCTGACAGCAGACCAAAGCAATTGGGGAGAAAGTATTGCGTGATGATGTAAGAGGTGAAGCACGAGAACAGCGACCCGAGGTCCATGGGCATTCTGGATTCTTTGAAATCCTAGAGACAATGGCACATCTGGTTGACTTTGTCGGCGACCGTGGACTCGAGCGCGCTGATGTTCCATCGTGGTGAAAAAAGGGCGCCGCGGCATGGCGCCGCAGCTTGTGCAGGCCTGCGTCAATAGTGTTGAATGTCGACTCTGGCGTGCCGAATTGGTTTTGGTGTGGTTCGTATTTTTTCAGTCTTGTGGTGAAAGGAGGACTGAAAAACGTCTCCATAAGAGATGGGTCGTTGATGTGGACTTCGTTGGGCGCAATGCGTGTGAGTTTGTTTATGCCCCAGTGATGGAGAAGACGGTTAACAGTGGCCACATCACGACCTCTGCTCCGGATCATTGGAAGTTATTACTAGAAGCAGCTCATTTCGTTGTCGAGACCTAGTTTATCTTCTAATAGAGGGGTGTCACAGAAGCGCTAATCCCTTTCGGTGATGCTTCAGACATCCTGGGCATCAGGTGTTTAGACGATGTATTTAGTCCAAAGTGTCATGGGTCAAGGCGTCCAGAGCGAGCGACTTTCTAGTCGGTCATCTTGTAGTTGCTCCTTTTGGAAAGCTATGCAAAGACGCAGACACACAAGGAACAGCCGGGACGTGACGTTTGCCAATTCCCATTTTGGTCGATCGACACTCAGCCCCCTCTAGATATGACTTCAGGCATTGGGCCTTTCGGAGACCATACGGTATGGTCCATAGCACCAGCGTCCACTTGTAATCCAGAGTCAACACCCAATTGAGATCGTTGAAGGACAGAACAAGTCCAAAGATACTACATAGCATGTTGAGGCATAAATTTGAGTGATTTTGTTGGCCTAGGAGAGACATAGATGCAAAATGATAATTTTCTAAACATTACGCAGCAGTTTGTTCTATATGTTTCGACAGACGAGAGCTTTGGAACAATGGTACGACGCGCAGCAAGACGAACCAACGCTACATCCACCTTTTTCTGATACCTTGATGTAGCTTTTCTCGATCGGCAAATCTCACAGAATTTTTACATGTTTCAAAACGCATCACCGCTCGGAAAGACTTCCCTAGCAGAGTCGAAGATACCATGTGTTTAGTGAAGCTCCACTTTAAGCCCAGGCTCAAGACCTTCAGCCATGACACCTGCTGGTTGTATTTCTGGTAAAGAAGCACCGGACTGCCTTCATCAGTCGATTCAGGATCCCTTTTTGGTCCCGGAGTTGGAGCGGAAGAAGACATGCAGCGGACCGCTGTGCATTTCGTGGCCCAAAACCAGCCATCGGGTCGATTGTGCGCGATCGTCGTGCTGAGCATCCGTAAGCCTTGTCATTTTGGAGATGTACCAAAAGACCAAGAGAGCTACAAAAACGTGATACTTCGTCATTTGTCGTCAGGAGATGGAATATGACTTTGGTTGTGAGCGTGCACACCGAAATGCGGCGCAGAAGCCCATACCCTGTTTGACACCAGGATTTGGTATTTTCTCGCTACAGAGGGAAGCGCAAAGATGACGAGCTGCTCCTTTGATTTGGGCAGAGAGCTTCAAGGTCCACCCATAATGCGCCGAGTTGTAGTCTTTGGTGCAGGGCTCAGACATAACAAGCGCCGAACCCGTCTGTATTTTTCTAGGCTTTGATGCAAAGGACGAGCAACACCGAATTTGCCTTTGGCGATTCTATTGCATAACCGAGCTTTTACATTATCCACAACTATTCATGGTAGGCTCCAAAAAGGAACAGAGCCCATCTTCCTCTCTATCCGGTCTTCTGGTCGGAAAGCAAAGGTTGCCACATAAATCTGTACTGAGTGCATCTTGATACCAAAGAAAGCCCCACCAGACGCCACATTGCTGGCGCTTTATTTCGTTTCCGGGAGAAGGGACAGAGCAAGATCCCATGGGGTAGGATATTCCTTGTTTTATCTCCCGGACAGAGCTTATCCAGTCATCGTTGCAATTCCGGGAAATTTGGGCTTCCAAGAGCCATCTGCCTGCGGGCTGCTCACGACAAACTCGAGCGAAGTTTTGGACGTGCGTGCTTAAGTTGAGTTTTGAAGTGTGGGAAAGAATTCCGCGACAACACCATGTCTTAGTTATATGCTCTTTCGTGATGTTGGAAATACCGATGAGTGTTTAGGCACAAAGGGAGGCACAGATGAACTTGGAAACCGATTGGCTTTATAGGCCCCGAAGGCGGTCCAGGACAAGCAGAGCTTTACGGAGATTTCGGAGCGCACACAAGAAGGTCGAGGACATTCCCATGCTAACATGCATGCTTTCGTTCTAGTGCTGTTACGAGCCACGGTAGATATGTGGAAGCCAAGGGAGACACACAGGTTAGCCGACCGTTATTAAAGGCCCAGAGGGCGATCCAGGGCAGCTCATCATTTGGATCTGACGTATGTTGTAGAGAGTGGCTAGAGGCACCCCGGAAGACCCATGTAGCAAATTCTTGGGTCTTTGCGTGCTGTAGCAAGCAACGATGAGTGTGCAGAAGCAGAGAGGGCTACATGTGACCTAGGAAGCTGAAAGGTTTGGGATGTCGAAAAATCCATCCAAGGTAGCTCACGGGTTGCCTCAATGACAGTTTTTAGAGTGGGGATAAGAAGGTCCGGGAAATCCCCATAGCCTGCGTGGTGCGTGGTTTTAGTATCATCATCATAGGCAATGATCAGTGTGTAGAACTGAAGGGAGCGCAAGCGGGAGAGCATTTCTATGCACGAGACTTGAGCGAAATTAACGGGACGAGGTTTCGACAGTCCTCAAGCCATTTGCAAAGTAGCTGGTGTATACACAGGAGACAAAATACCAAGGGATGACACTATGTCCATGCACGGACGAGGTACGCTCAGGTTCATCAATTCAAAAACTATCCTAGCTGGTACAGGATTGCATCCATCCTCGTTCCGACTTGATCATCGCAAACATTGCCCCCCAGTACATACCTCTTTGCCAGAAGGCTCGCACTGTACGTCAACCACTATCTTGGAGCGGGAGATGTTTTGATGGGTCACTCTTCTTGTAAGCACTTTGTACGCCTGTATGCCTTCATGAAGCCACGGGTGCCTGTGTCTGTGCTGACGCAGCTCCGGAGCCGCCCTTGCCGTTCACGGAGTGCTCCGCCAGGAACTCGGGGTCGTTCTCGAACTCTTCTCGTACCTGTCAAAATCAGCAAGGAGTTCCATCGCACGAGGATCTTTGAAACTCACAATGTCCAAGCCACCAACCAGCTCGCCCTCGGCGTACACCTGCGGAAACGTCGGCCAGTCCGAGTACTCCTTCAAGCCCTGCCTCACCTCGTCGTCGGCCAAGATGTTGAAGAACCCGTACCGGATGCCCTTCTCCCTAAGGAGAGCAACTGTCTGCCTGCTGAAGCCACACTGCGGCGCGCTAGGTGTTCCCTTCATGAACAGCATGACGGGCGCCGCCTTGACGAGCTCGCCCAGCCGCTTGTTCAGCTCCTCCTTGCTCGTCTCGGCGTCGCCGGAGCTGTGCTCGGGTGCGGTATTGGGATCTGACGCATTCGGTGCGTATCCGGCAAGGTCCTTCGCGCCGCTGGTCTGCGCAGGCTTGCTGACCGTCTGTGCTGGCGGGAGGCTCGTCTTCGCGTCGCCGCTTCCTGCGCCGGCGTACTTCTCTACCGCGGCGCGCACCTTGGCGGCGTCTGAGCCTGACACGGTCTCCAGCACCTGTCCGCCCCGCTGGAGCACTATGAAGGGCACGGCGGATACATCGTACTGCTCTGCAATCTCGGGAAGCTCTTCCGCGTCGAGGGCGACGAATTTTATGGGCGCATCGGCGGGGTATGTGCTAGCGAGGGTGGACAGGATCACCGACATCTGCTTGCAAGGCGCGGCCCATGGCGCGTGGAAGTAGATGACGGCGAGGGTGGATTGCGGGAGCGACGAGATTCCCGACTGGAAGGCGGACTCGGCCGTGACTTCTTGGACCGTGGCCATGGTGTGGGCGAGTATTCCCTGCAGCGCTGGAGTGCGGGAGGTATGCAGGGGAGAGGATCTGTTGGGAGAGCGGAGGGAGGTTCGAACAGTGCGAGGAAGATTTCCGCGGCGGGTGATTGTAATGGGGTGAGAATGCAGGCGCATCTGATAAGTCGATTACTGTCCTCTCTGACGTGCTCTTTGCCCCTCCATGCGCCCGCCAAGCCCTCCGCCGGATTTTTATCAGATCTTCCGGAGCCACGGCGCGCCGACGCCGACGCTGCAAAAAAGTTCCCAGCACGCCAAGATTTCGGATTCGCGACGTGCTCTCGAACCACGCGAACATGCTGCGACAAGTGTGAGTATCTGCCGAGGAAGCAGGTTACGAAGAATTGAAGACTGACTCGTTGCATAGCAAGCCAAAAAATGCCCGCGCAAAGCGGGCAATGGACAAGCGCGAGCCGCTCGTGAACGAGAACCCCAAGTCCACGCTCTTCGTGACCGGCCCCAGGACGTCGCAGATCCTCAAGCTCTGCACCGCCGACCTGCGCATGCTCAAGAAGCCGTTCATCGAGACCTTCACCAAGAAGAACGACATCCACCCGTTCGAGGATGCTTCCTGTGCGCTCCTCCCCTCACCCTACTCTGCCCCAAGACCAATGCTAACGTCTTCATTCAGCCCTCGAGTTCTTCTCCCTCAAAAATGACACCTCCCTCCTCATCTTCTCTACGCACTCCAAAAAGCGCCCCCACTGCCTCACGCTCGTCCGCACCCACGGCCATAAAATCCTCGACATGCTCGAGCTCTACGTAAACCCCACCTCTTTCCGCACGCTGCAGCAGTTCAAGAACAAGAAGCCCGCCGTCGGCCTCAAGCCCCTCATCGCCTTCCACGGCGCCCCCTTCGAGGATCCCAACCAGACAAAGTGGACCCTCGCAAAGTCGCTCCTGCTCGACCTGTTCCGTGGGCAGGAAGCTAGCGAGGTCGATGTCGAGGGCCTGCAGTATATGATTGACATCAGCGCGGCGGAGGCGGTCGAGGGTGAGCCTGCACCCGAGCTGCGCATCCGGTTCTACCTCATCAAGACGCTGAAGAGCGGGCACAAGCTGCCGCGCGTTGAGGTCGAGGAGATGGGTCCCCGCATCGATGCGACGCTCGGCCGCGAGCAGTTCCCCGACCCGGACATGATGAAGAGCGCGCTGAAGAAGCCAAAGGGTGCGGAGCCAAGGACGAAGAAGAACATCGACATGGATATCATGGGCGACAAAATGGGTAAGGTGCACCTGCCGAAGCAGAACTTTGGCGAGCTACAGAGCAGGAAGATGAAGGGGTTGAAGCGCGGCAGGACGCCGGAGGATGTGGAGATGGACGATGCGGATGAGGTCATCGATGAGACGGTGCCAAAGAAGACGAGGGTTTAAGCCGGCACTGAGCTCAGCGTGGAAGCCTGAGGCGCGAGACGGCGAGATATTGCATGGGCGGCGTTACGGGCATGCTTCGGCGTTGATGTGCAGATATACCACTTCAAAAGTGACCATATTTACGATTCGATTCTCTACCACTCCATTACTCCTCTTCAGATTATAACGTCCATCACTCAGTCGTCATCCCCTGCCTCATCCACCTCCAGCCACCTCGCCCGGCACTTCACAGCCGCGCTTCTAACCTCTCTCTTCGCATCGTCCAACGCAGCAATCAACTTCCTGCAAACCTGTCTCCGGTAAGGTAAAACGATTTCCAGCTTCAACTTATCCGGCACCAGCATCAGGCACCGGCAAGCGGCAGCGCGCACTCTCGCCGGCGTCGGCGCCTCCTTGTCCAGCACAGAATTCGCTAGCAGCCGCGAAATCAGACTCCCGGCGTGTTCCTGCACGACCTCTGGCTTCTCCGCAAGCGTGGACGCCAGCGTGCCGATCGCAGCTTCCTTGACAAAGTCCTCGCCCTTGAGATCGAGCGACTGGAGAAGCAGGAGGATAAGGCTTGGGACCTCCTCAATGACGATATCGAAAGGCAGCCACCTCAGTATGCCACTCAGCGCAATGAGGTAATTGGGTTTCATCTCCGCAGACGCATCACGGAACGCTTGCGTGATGTTCGGCACCAGCAGCGCGAAGGACTTCTGTTTATGCAGCCCAGATATCTGGCAGTGGTTCTGCTTGGTAATGAGGTCGTCTGGCTGGAGAAGCGTGCTGAATCCGTGCGCTATGGCAGCGCCGTATTTAGGGTGCGACAAGAAGTCCAGAAGCTGCGGGTATAGTTTAGCCAGGATGGGACTGCTGCGCAAGAGGATTCCCTTGAGACATGCGAAGATGACGCGTATCCTGGGCGGATCGAGCTTCTCTGGGTGGAAAATCTCGAAAGGAGCTTCAATGAGCGGGTCCATGCATGTCTTCAGGGCCGTAGCTGTATAGAACTTGTTGATGACGAGAGAGAGTTGGCGCAGGGAAGCCGAACGCACTGGGATCGATAGGTCGGGATGTTGTGTGTAGTTCACCAGTGAAGAGACCAGAAACTCGATCTCGCAGGGCAATCGGGTTTCTTTGCGAAAGGAAGCAAGAAGGTGCGTCGATACAATCATAGTCTTGTGGGCCTCAGGAGGGGCGCTGGTGTTGAAAGGTGGGAGTTCGGCCTGTGGAGTGCCACTGAACAGAGTGTATAGCTCTGATGCGATTGCTTCCTGCTGTTCTGAGGGCTGCGATCGGACAACGATGTTGCAGATTCTGCCAACAAGGTCTAGGGTGGTTTCGTTGTTGAAAGCTTCGGGATGCGATGCGTCTGCACTTGAAGTTCGCCTCAAAAGCGGTAGTACAATGTCCTGGTAGTAGGTCAATGTATTGGAGTCCTGTTCGAGCTTGTTCGATCCTTTCGTGAGCGCATAGAGAATTGCAGACAGGAGAGCCACGATGTAACCAGATGAAGCGTTGTGCGCAACTGCGGCTGAAAATTTGTTCTTGAGCCGAAGAATGACGGTATCGAAGACTTCTTCTTCGTTGGCCAGTTTGGCGAATGCTTCCAAAACAGCTACATGACCCCTGGAACCTTCGTCTGTGTCGGGAAGCTGCGCCATGAAAGCCGGAAATGCCTTGTCGATAACGACCTGGGGTTTCTGATGAGCAATCTCCACAAGGCTGTTGATGGCGCTCTCCTTGATTTCATCTTTTCCGAACGACTCCTCGTGTATGACAATGGCGTGAAGTAGTTGTATGATCTTTCCAATGTCGTCCTCGCTCAGAAGCTCTCGGACTTTCGATAATTGGAGCAAGCCATCTGCGCACACTAATCGATACGATACGTTGTTGACAGGCGAGGTCTCCAGGCCGTGTAGTAGGACTTCCAGTGCTTGATCGCGGAACTGCGCCAAAGCGCCCTTAGGCGCGGATGCACCTGCGGATCCCGTCGCCCGCCAGTCGCCATACACGTCAATGTTAGCTTTGATCAGCTGCACAAACACTTCCAGCAAGCCCCTCCGCTTCGCCATATTATCGGCGGACTGGAATAGAGTGAACATCGTCGGTAGAATGCCAGCCAGGAGCAGGTTGGTGACGTCTGGCGAGACGTTGGCAATCTTGGACACGATTCTAGCTGCGGCCTGGGATTGTTTTGTGGGGGCGTCCTCCAAATGCTCATTGCATTCTTTGATGATAGGACGAAGATATGCGTTCAGTGGCCCGCTTGTGCCATGGGACAGCGTTTGAGCTATCGCAGCGAGGCCGTTCAATGCTTCCTCGGCCAGATCTTCTTCTTGTACGTTCAGAATTTCAAATTTCAGCGCGTCCCATAGCGTAATCGAGTACAGCGAGATCGTTCGCGGGCCGTATTCCTGGACAGAGGAAGTGATGGTTTGGAGGACATCTCGCTTCGTGTTGATTGATGTCGAGTCCAATTTATCCAACAGGGCCGGAAACGCATAGGGCGCAAAATCCGCGGTTGACGAGATGCACTCCCGTAGTCTATCTTTCAAGTCTTGAGCTGTGATACCGTATGGATCGTCAGGCGGGGGTCTGAACGTGATAGGGAAGTAGTTGAAGACGGCATCGAAGAGGTCCTGCGCATCCGCGCCGATGTTCCACTCCGTCATGGGTACGCGCAGTATGGAAAACACAAGCATGAGATTCCGGGGGTCCTTCTCGCCATCGAAGTAGGCAATGAAGCGCGACAAGAAATCGGGTTGTGAATCGTGCAGGGTGCGCAGAGCGTCTCTGTATCTTGCCAGTAGTGCGTGTATCAAGAGTAGCGCAGGGTATCGTTCGCTTTGCTGCTTGTACTGGCGGAGCGGGCTGGTGTTCGCAAGAAGGGTTTCCATGATTGTCTGCGCCCGTTCGCTATCCCATTTCCCCCGCTCCTCAAGCGCCAACAGGGCCTTTGCGCATGAGCCTATGCCGTCGCCGTCTTCGGTGCGGGAGAGGACAAAGTCGCATAGTAGGTTCCCTAGATGTTCTCAGTTCCTACTCGTACTTCAGTCGGAAGTGAAGATCGAACGTACGCTGCTGTAACGACAGCACTTTAGGCGGGACGAAACCAAGCACTTCGGCGAGGTAGGCCATGGCTGGCAAGGTCAGAGACATCCTTGGCCGAAGGAACCAGAAACTCACACTTGGCCCGAATCGCGCCATCCTCGCTGTTGAAGTACTCGCCGAGCTCCTCAATCAGCTTCAACAGCTTCAAGTCGCCATCGGTCAATCCTGCACACCCGTCAGTCGCGTCTTCCTGGTCGCCGCCCGTCTTCACTCACGCGTCGCGCTCTTCTGAGCGACCTGGCTCGCCTCGCGCTTGTTGCGGTCATACTCCAGCAAGAACTGCTGGATGTCTGACATGCTCACACGATAATTGAACGAGGCAATGAGTGCGGTGCTGCTCAACGCGGGGCCATGCGATACGCGAGCTTCCCGATTACAGCAATGACGCTACCCAGCCGGCGATTGGCCGATGTCGCAAGGTGGGGCATCGCAAAAAAAGTTCAGGGCACGCGGGGGAAGTAGGGCGCGTGAATCAGATTGAGGATTAATTGAACGTGCGAGCCTGAAAGTGCTGTCGAGGCATCGAGTCGTATAAGAATTCGATCCCAGGCTTCCACGACGTCGTTGTTTCTCCATTGCTTTCCCTGATTTGCGCAAAAGCCACCCCAAGTCACCCCACCATGGCCGAGGAGAAACCCAATTGCAAGGTCATTCTTGCCAACAACATCGCGAAGAAGCTGCTGGAGGAGGTGCACGATGGGCTGAAGAAAGTCGACCGCAAGCCGCTGCTCGTGGGCTTCCTTTCGTCTCAAGACCCCGCCGCCCGAGTCTACGCGGAATGGACGGGCAAGACGGCCAACGAAAAGTGAGCGTGTTCGTCTGTTTACTATACTTTGCCAAAGGTACAAAACACGGACAGCAAATCTGACGAGACGCAGTGGCTTCGCATTCGAGCTCCGCGAAATCGACCGCGAGCTCCTCGAAGACGCTCTCATCGACGCAAACAACGACGCCAAAGTCGACGGCATCATCGTCTACTACCCCATCTTCGGCAACCGCCAGGACCAGTACCTGCAGCAGATCGTCTCCATAGACAAGGACGTCGAGGGCCTCTCGCACCAGTACATCTTCAACATGTACCAGAACATCCGCTTCCTCGACGACGCAAACACGAAGAAGAGCATCCTGCCCTGCACGCCCCTCGCCGTCATCAAGATCCTCGAATACCTGCAGATATACAACTCCATACTGCCCTACGGCAACAGGCTCCACGGGCGCACCATCACAGTCATCAACAGGAGCGAGGTTGTCGGACGTCCGCTCGCGGCGCTTCTAGCCAACGATGGAGCATGCGTACACAGCGTCGACATCAGCGATGTGCAGACCTTTACACGCGGCGAGGGGCTGCGCAAGCGCAGACACGAGGTAGAAGAGAAGCCTGGCTGGACGATCAAGGACTGCCTGCCCATCAGCGACGTCGTCATCAGCGGCGTGCCTGGTGACACGTACAAGGTCCCGCTGGAGCACATGCGCGCCGGCGCCGTCTGCATCAACTTCTCCAGCGAGAGGAATTTCACGCCGGAGGTCAAGGAGAAGGCGTCCATCTACGTCCCTGCAATTGGCAAGGTCACTATTGTGGTTCTCCTCCGGAACTTGCTGGTACGTGCTCAACAACTGCTTCGAAAAGGACTTGTTGCTAACGTGGTCATAGCGCATGGTGCAGAACAAGATTGACGCCGCAGAGGATGCCGCACAGAAAGCCGACAAGTCCCAATAGATCACCTGCAAGCGTTGAGCTTGCGCCATTTTCTTTTCGTCTCGATACCCTCTAGAAGGCATACAGCCACCAAAAGTTTCTCTTCATACGCTCTTCGATCCTACTGTATGCGTGATGCATTGTCAGGGTGATCTTTCCGTACTTCTTGCCCGCCCACTGACAGCTGCAACATCTGTGGCAAGCGGAGCGGCGAGCTATGCTGACCTGCTTGTCGTTTGGCACCCTACTGAGCTCATGTGCTCGAGGTGCACAAAGTATTGAATTAGACTTACGTATTGGACACGCCACCGCCTATTCACCCGATTGAAACCACAGCAGAAAGCTCGAATCATCCTCGGAGGCATCCCACATACTCAGCCCCAAGCACTCTTAGACCAAGACTGCTCTGGATAACGAATGTCTCGCCCCTCACCAATCCAACCCCCCAACAGCGGGCGGGACACGTCGCATTTCTATTTCCGCCAGTCGCACGGCACACTTAAAGAGCAACCGTCACATTGCATGACGGGCGCGCGGGAAGAAGCGCTGCCACGATCTGGGGGTCCGGGGCCGGCTGCCGAGCCTGTGTCAGCAGCCAGGCGTCCAGCGCGCGCTCTAGACGCTGGAGGGTCACAGAAGTTGCTGTGAGACATTGATTCTGGAAGAACACAGGATGAAGGTTCGTGCGCCGAGGGCTGCGCGTAGCGGGTGTAACGTACGTGGAGGTGCATAAGGCTGAATCTTGGTGCTACGGTGCTACGGTTGCTGTGACGGACGCATGTGAGTTGCAGAGACTTTCTGGCGGCAGCAGGCTGTTGCGGCAGTGGCGTTGCGGTAGCAGGCACAATCTTAGAAACCAGGTGCTTGTGTTTCAGATGGGGGTGCAAGGTGTGGCCCCCACTATGTGCTCGCGTAGTGCGCAAGGGGCCGAAAGGACACAAGGTCGATTTAATGGATACGACGCAAGGGTGTCCGCTCGAAGTGGTTATTTCTAATGGGACATTGCTCCGGTGGAATGCTCGAGAAGTAGTCGGTGCTTTGACGGTTGTGGTGCAACGCAAAGCTAGGACTTTATTACTCACGGCTGTCATCAAAAGGGCGTCTGGGTCTGGAATGCTGGCCGTCGGAAGATGTCGACGGTCCAAGCTCAAGAATACGATGACTATTAGCAGCCTGTTGTGTAGTCAGCTTGTACAGTGAATTGAGGCGCCAGATTCGGATGACAAGCGGAACAGTAATCCTCCATTGGGTACCCAAGCTCGTCTGATAGGATGCAACCTGCGCCCATCGACATAGCGGCTCTTCTAGACTTTTGAACAAGATCGTGCAGAATGGTTTGCGGGGACGCCACAGTCACGTACGTGCGCCTTGCCCGGTTCCCTCGGGCCATGGTCGGGCAAGAAGAGCGAGAGCGCGGAAGCAAGGCTACGCGAAAGCTCTCGCAACCTGTCTTATCCGGTCAAGCTTTTACTCTATGTGGTGTACCTTTGAGGAGTCCCCTGCGCCAACAAGGGCATCATGTCGAGTGCTAGACCATAGATCACCGCAAAGAGTATCGTGCCGCCGTCATGCGGGTACAAGTGCCACGGCTCTCCGCATACCCATTGGACGGCTTCATGCCTACAAGAAGGTCATGTGTAGCATATCCTATTCAGTTCGGTCAGAAGAAGAGCGTCTGCTCGGGGCAATCGACGTGATACCGTCGGGCATTGGTCTTGCCACCAGGCCTTATTGATTCTACATGGTAATTGGCTGCCGGTAACGCTTTTTGGGTGAAGATGCAAATGAACGGGCCGCAACCCGATCTCACAGGTGTAAACGCAATCGGGACTTCCTCCCGCTGTGTGTTTTGGCATGTGTCTTACATACTGCAAGAACTTGCAAGGGTACGAAGTTGCCGTTATAACATCAGAGCTCTGTGCGCAAGTCTTTGCCGATTCGTCCCTGCGCTATCGTGAGCATGGACATGAGTGCACAGTGGCTCGTGAGTGTCACACGCATGGATTCTGCAGGTACCCATGTACATTCGAAAAAGACTAGTGTAAAAAGGTGTGTGAACATGCGTAGGCTTTGGTGACCGAACAGATTTCTTACTGCAGATCCAGGCAGAATGTACCATGGATGAGCCTAATGAAAGACGCCTGGATTCTATCTCCATGGTGACACTGCTGCCGAGGGTGCCGGCGAATGTGGATCGAGGTTTTCTTTTTCCACCTCGGACTTCGTGAATCACTTCCTCGCTTACCAGGGTTGAGGTGCAAAAGGTGTGGCGTCCGCGCTTTTGGGGCTGAGCGTTCGTATCCTCGCCCCCGGTGTACTGGTACCCGGTCCGTACTAACATTCGCTTGGCGCTCCTGAGAAGAGTCGTCTCGTCTTTGACGATGGTTTGTATGTCTAATCACTGGCTTTGGTACCTGGTTGTGTTTGTCTTCTTATGTTGTCTCTTTCTCGTGTCAATCGCGGGATGACCACCAGTGCTTCGAGATTCTGAGAGTGTAGAGGTGGCTGTACTCTCCATGTCTCACGGGACGGGAAATATCTCCGTTAATCTTGTGGGGAGGATAGGTCTTCGAGGTGCATGGACCCCACGCGGTGGGCTTCCCTGTTCACTCAGTGTAAGTCTTTGCTTAGAATCGGGACTGTGCTCTCCGGTCTCACATGCGCGAGCGACCTTTCATCGGATCTTGCTCTTGTTAATGTAGGACAGTGACCCCCAACAAGCCAGCTATTGACTAACCAGGCTTACACAGAGTGTCGAGGGCTACAGCACTGTCCGACGCACACAATTCTTGTGCCTTTTATTTTTTGGTAATTGTGTCCGAGACATGGTGGTGAGCGAATTGCTCATGTCCTCGGTCGAACAGGACCACACGCCTCCACTCCACTACAAAAGGCGAACCATGGAGAGGGAAGGTGAACAGGTCCAGCAGCTCATCACATCAAAGAAGACCAAATTTTCATCCAGAAACGACGGGAGAAACAGTCCACGAAGCGGCTTGATCACGAAAGATTTGTTCCAAAAGATGTCGTATCCCGAAACCCAACAACCCATCAGCAGCGCAACCCAGGTATGCTGCTCCACTCCTAGCTCTTTTCCTACGATGTCTAAGGGGTAGACTCGCACTCTTCTGTCATGAGACTTACTGAACGAGTCCGACTTTCGCGTACGCTCGTTGTGCCTTGGGACTTCCGCTAACAATCCGACAGGCCAATGGGAATGGATCAGCCAATACGACTACTCAGGTCCCAGTATCGCCTTCGTCGCCAGCGATGGAGCGTTGGTACGGCGAGAGGACATGGGAAGAGCCGTTTCATGGCCAGGGTTCTGCTGGTGCATCGAACAATACCAACAACAGCGCATCTACTCAAGCCGAGAAGAAGACTTGAATAAGCAGTGCTGAAATACGAATGTCTATGGAGACATGTTGTGCATGACCAGGAAATTTGTCCATTCTTTCTTTCGCGACGGTTCATTCTAGATTAACTCGACATGCGATGTGAATCGAAGGTCGATCTGTCAGTATGCTTGGTGAGGTTTGGGGAGGCGGATCGGAGGGGCGCTGTTTTGTTACGAACGTAAACTGGTGATGGAACGATTCTGGACTTTAGTTATGAAGACGAAAGCAATGATAGACTGTTGGCTTCTAGCATCGTCGTACGGTACCTCGAGTGTCTCCGTCAAGATTGTAGGTAGGACGCGGTGAGGAAGAGCGTCCGTCAACTCACGAAGAAGAGCCTTGTTGTCCATGACAGCAGTAGCTGACGTTCGTAGAGTTGTGGTGCTGGTGGCTGTAACGTCGCGCGTCCCACGTTGCTCCTTCCCCGCCAGTTCCTGGAAGGAAGCGAGCTTGGCTTATCGATTGCTTCCTGAGGTACTGCATCTCGAGCTCCACATACCGTGTGCATGCAATCCACTCGAACCCGAGCCCAAAGATGCATGTCGAAACCAAGATCGCCATGCCGATACTGCATTGATCTGATACAATACCTACTGTGAATGCCATGCAGAGAGTAGCAGAGTGGCGGAACAGTAAGAACGGCCGCGGACGGCTACGGGCTGGATCGGTTATCAGCCGGTGCATCGTTTAATGCAGCCTATGCGACAGCATTTACTCATGCTTTGCATCTTTGACTCATGCCAATTGTCGACGCAATTAGATTTGCTGAATGCGATCCGTGCTGATTGCAAAGGGCTGCGGAGACCGCCGACGCTCGGTCACATGCGGGGAGCACCGCCGATGGCTGGTCAGCGACCTGCAGTCGCCATGATTTATTTCGCCAGGGAGGAACTGCACACAAGCTCCGCCTCCACCTCGACCCAGCACCATGATCAAAGGTAACACCTGCTGCGGACCTCGTATACCGTGCAATTGAGGCTGACGGAGCTTCAGGCTCCTTTTCGACTGCGCCTGATGCGTCGCCGGACCTGGGTGCGACCCATCTCGACGACCAAATCCCCTCCTCTGAGGATGACGACCTGAGCCCTGAGTCTTCAGATGAGCTGGAAGGCGCCGAAGTTTCAAGAACCATCGGGAGCGAAGCGCACGCAGCACAAGCTACTGTGGACACGAGCGCCCAAGACGGCGACAATGGTGCCGCCGATGATGCACAAGGACTGCTCCCGCGCGACAAGCAACGGCGCACTGCGTTCTACGACTACGCGTCTGAGAAGCAGATGAGCCAGTCAGAGGCCAAACAATTCTATCAGCGTCACCAGCTCGAGAGCCAGTATGGAGGCTCGCAGGCTGGGGATGGCTTTAGCCCTGTGATACGTGCAAAGACGCTGCCAGTGGGCTTTGGTGTCGGTGATGGCGTCGAGCAACTGAGCAGGACAGGCAGCATCCGCTCGCGGAAAAGCAATGTCAGCCTTGCGAATCAGGGACCACGATTGACGCTGCCTGTTGGAGTGTCACAGGCGGAGCTATCACATGAACCGCGATCGCATCCCTATGCTGTGAATGATCAGGCCCACCAGCCGGACACAACAGATGCATACATCCAAGCCGACGGCCAAGCTAGAGAACATACGAAGCACCCGGGTTTGCCCCACGAGCCCAAGCCCTTACTCACAGAAGAGGGTATACATGGCGCTGGCGCTGGCGTAGGCATCGGCAGCGGCGCAGGAGGTTTCGCCATGAATGATGCAAGTGTCGCTGCAGAACTGGGTGCCATTTACACGAACGTGCAAAAGGTGCTCGACATACGCCATAAATATATCCGTCTCTCCCTCCAAGGCAACTTTGACAACCCCAAAGACGACCCTTCTTGGAACATTTATCCACCCCACCCACAGCCGGTGTGGAAGGAAAAGGAGCGCCAAAATGCTTCGGGCAGCTTGCAGAACAGCACGGTCCTCGATCCAAATGATGCGCTCCAAAAGCCACCCCGCAAAATGGGTCAGAACATTGGAGAGGACTTCAACATGGATGATTTGCTGCCTCTACCCAGCGTTTCTGAGATGTCATTCCGTCTAGACGAGAGCGGCGTCTTCCAGGTCTACGAGACCTCCAAGTCGGCGGAGCTTGACACGCCCATCGTAGCCATCCCTACGCTACGAGACTACTACATGGACCTTGACAGCATCCTCGAAATCTCTTCTGACGGACCCAGCAAGAGCTTTGCTTTTCGACGGCTACAGTACCTTGAAGGAAAGTTCAATCTGTACTATTTATTGAACGAGTACCAGGAGACTGCCGACACGAAAAAGGTGCCCCATAGGGACTTTTACAACGTTCGTAAAATCGATACTCACGTCCATCATTCAGCCTGCATGAACCAGAAGCATTTACTCCGCTTCATCAAATCCAAGATGAAGAAGTCGCCAGACGAGGTCGTCATCTTCCGCGACGGCAAGGAACTCACTCTGAAAGAAGTATTTGAATCAATCAATTTGACAGCTTACGATCTCAGTATCGACACGCTCGATATGCATGTGCGTTTATTACGCTTCTCATTCTCGATGCCGGCTGACTTTCCCAGGCGCACACTGATTCGTTCCATCGTTTCGACAAGTTCAATCTCAAGTACAACCCGGTTGGCGAGTCTCGGTTGCGTACGATTTTCCTGAAGACGGATAACTTCATCAAAGGCCGGTACTTGGCTGAGATCACAAAAGAAGTCATTTCTGATCTTGAATCGAGCAAATATCAGTTCGTGGAGTGGCGCATCTCGATTTATGGTCGTGACATTGATGAGTGGGACAAGCTTGCTGCTTGGGTTGTGGACAACAAGCTGTTCTCGCCTAATGTGCGATGGCTCATTCAGATACCTCGTCTGTACGATGTATACAAGGGATCGGGCTTGATGGACAATTTTGAGCAAGTCATTGTCAATGTATTCAAGCCTCTCTTCGAGGTCACCAGAGATCCGAACAGTCATCCCAAGCTTCACATCTTCTTACAGAGAGTCATTGGTTTTGACAGCGTTGACGACGAGAGCAAGGTTGAGAGGAGAGTCTACAAGAAGTTCCCATACCCTTCCAACTGGTCGACAAAGCAGAACCCGCCCTACAGTTACTGGATGTACTATCTATTTGCCAACATCGCATCGTTGAATGTCTGGCGGAAGCAGCGAGGGTTCAACACATTCTTGCTTCGGCCACATTGTGGTGAAGCCGGAGACACCGACCATTTGGCAGCCGCTGTTCTCTGCACTCACAGCATCAGTCACGGTCTGCTTTTGCGCAAGGTGCCCTTCCTACAATACATCTTCTACCTGGAACAGATCGGTGTAGCCATGTCTCCACTGAGCAACAACGCCTTGTTCCTAGCATACGAGCGCAATCCCTTCCTTAGCTACTTCAGGCGAGGACTGAACGTCTCACTGTCCACCGACGATCCTCTCCAATTCGCCTTCACCAAAGAGCCTCTGATAGAAGAGTACTCGGTCGCAGCTCAGATTTACAAGCTGAGTGCGGTAGACATGTGCGAGCTCGCAAAGCACTCCGTCGAGCAAAGCGGGTTCGAGCACGTCATCAAGCAACGCTTCCTAGGCCAAAATTACCATCTCCCGGGCGTCGACGGCAACGACGTCGCAAAGTCCAACGTCCCTAGTATTCGCGAGGCCTTCCGCCACGAGACCCTCATGTCGGAGCTCGCCATGATCGAACGCTACACGCGTGCCTCGCAGACTAACACCAATGCCCTGACGAGCTCGAATCTCCAACCTGCATCCGCTCCGCCGCAGACCCCCGTCTCCAACAATACCACTCATCCTGGCTCCCCTGTCGCCTCGCTGAAAACCCATCCTTCGAATGCCAATCTGCAGTCCGACCATCAAGCTTTCTCCCTCCCACCGGCTCACCAGTCCCCTATGTTCCCCGCCCAGCAAGCGCGCATTCCTTCAGGCGGTCCCGCTGGCGACACGCGCACCCAGCCCGCATCTCCGACCCGCACCAAGGACCCAGAGTTCGAACGAGCGTACCGCGTCTCGAGCATGGGCATGAGCCAAGGTGGGTCTGCACCGCCGCAGCCCACAGGTGCCGCGCAAGGAAGCGGTGCCATGTCCCCAGACGAGTCGTTCGGCGGCCTGCAGCGCACGCAGAGCGTTGTTACCATCGACGGTGCGGAGCCCAGAATGTTTCCAGGGGTTGTGAGTCGCCATGGACGGAGGAGGAGCAGCATCCGGAGCAACGATGTTGGTGCGGAAGCGGGCGTGCAGAGCGCGATTCCAGCCGCAGTATTGCAGACGCCGGGGAGAGTCGCATTCAAGGAGAATTCCGTGACTGAGGAGCCCGACACAGATGACGAGGACTTGTAGACTTGGGCGTAATTGCTAACACGGTGGCGATGGAAGTCTTTCCAAATGATGGTGGCACGTGGGTAATGAAAAAACTTCCGAGGCAGCGACGGGATGACGAATCAATTTGGCACCTAGACTGGATGGATGGACTCGGATATGGCTTTGGCTTTGGAATTCCTACGACTATGACTTCAACGCCTCACGAAGGATCTGTCAACATCTCCTTCACATTCCTGATGTATTCTTTTCGCTCAACCGAGTGCTTCGATTTAGCTACTATCTTACATCGTCATGAGTAGACCAGAACATAGGAAAATTTGAATGAAGCTTGCGATGCCACATCGTTGCCCCCCGAGTCTAGCTGGATGTAGAGTGGATACCAAAAAGATGAGAAACCACAAGAGCAAAAAACTAACAAGCCTTGTCAAGTCGAGAAGCTGCCCACACCCCGCGCCACGCTGTGCAAGCCGAACCTTTTATATGCCCTACTCCGCCCAACAAAGATGACGCCCAAGAACGCACGCACAACACCTCTCGCTCGCGCCCATCCTTCGTTTCTTTCTCGCATGTCTTCCCCCCTCCAGCCTATTTATTTCGCAAAATGCAGGTCGTACGCCAGCCACTTCCTCGCGTTGACCTGTTCAACGCTGAGTCCGGGGCTTCCATACGTCAAAGGCGCAAAGAATAGATAGCACCAGCCCACTGCGGCGAGAATGACGCCCGTAGCAATCCAGCTGCCAAGCAGACTCTGCTTGGCCACCCGCTCGCGGACAGGCTTGCTGAGCGTGCGTTTGTGGCCCTTGACGACGGCGACCGGGGCCTCCGTATCTACAGGCTCGATGTTGAAGATGAATTCCACAAGGGCACCGGTGACGAGGACGGAGGCCAGGTGCGCGGGCAAGTAGTGATGCAGGAACAGCTGGCGGCCCATGATATAGAAGGGGATATAGTGGGCGGCCCAGGTGAGGAAGAAGAAACCGGTAGAGTTGTAGAGGCGGGAGCGGGTGCCTGGGTCGTGTAAGAACATGTCTCCGTAATGAAAGAGGGTGACAAGAAAGGGGAACTTACGCTCATCGAGGGCTTCTACGCCACGGCGGAGAGCCAGCTGGTCGGCACCAATGATACCAGCGAATACGGCCAGAAGCGAGGATGCAAGCCACCAGCCAAGAGGGTTACCTAAGAAATAAATCTGCTGCTTGGTGTCGTTGTGGGTCCAGAAGGAGACACCGCGGAGAAGGAATGGCCAGGAGACAGGGAATGAAGCGTAAGGGTGGGAGCTGGTAAGCGCGTTGTTGTGGTAGAACATGGCGCGCTGGAGCTCGATGTACTTCCGCAAGAAGGACAGGTGCTTGACCTGCTTGACTTCCTTCTTATTGCGCTCATCCTCTTCAGGGAGAGAGGGGATGTCATCGACGTACCAGACGTTGCTGCTTTGCTGAACGTTCTTGTTTCCGTTGATTTCGGCCTGCTTGTATGCCCACTCGGGGAGCGGCGTGGTGTGGGTCCACATGGCGACCTTGGTAGGCACGTGAATGAGCTTGAAATGAGACGACATGGTCTTGAAGTCTCCCTTGCCCTTGGGGTCAACCTTGATCTCGAAGAGAGTGTCGTTGTAGCGGCCTGCGTTCGCTTCCTCCATGCCCATCGTAGTGAACTCCTGATTGGTGGGGTAATACGGAGACGCGACGTCGTGAGTCAAAAGCATGGAATCAGTGATGATGTGGCGCAGACGGACGACATCTCCAATCTTGACACGTTGTCCCTGGGTGCTCTCAAGCGGCTTTGAGGGCAGAATTTGCCAATGGTTGTTGGTGTCGTTGTGAGGATATCCTGTAACCTGCTGGCCCTGAGAAGAAATGCGGCCATCGTCGTAACGCAGCGGGTAGCGGTCCGTGTGGCTGTGAAGGTACACTTTTGTCTCCTTGTGGCGGATTGTGATCGAGTCGTAGTAGTCGATTCCAACAGACTGAAGAGTCATGGCGTTGTCGCTCAACGTCTCTTGGAACTCCGGGGTCATGAAGTCGTCTCCTGGACCGGACCTGCTGAGGATGGAGAAGTGCACTTGGAACCAGAACAAGTAAAGCAGGAACGGGATGATGATGAGACCAATGGCACGAGCAGCGAAATGTTTGCCCAGTTCTGGAAGGCTCAAGGCTCCTTGACGGCGGTTGATGTTGGCAAGGTCCCACAGATCAATCATGACGGGAACACCGATGGAGAAGAAGGTGAAGGCACCAACGTATTTGGTCGAGATGACGCAGCTCAGAGACACGCCGGTCAGGAGCAACCACTTCCACCACTTACGGCTGAACGGGTCATGGCGGAGCTTGTAGAAGCGGATGTAGGCGAGGACGGACAACGCCATGAAGAAGATCAGGGTCGCGTCGAGCAGAATGAGGCGCGTCTGGCCAATGTGGGCGTTGTCAAAGAGCATCAAGCCAGCCGCAGTTATGCAAGCCGGCAGCGAGTATCCAGACTCCCACATGATCAAGAAGACGGTCGGCACGGTCAGTGCGCCCATGGTCGCGGGCATGGCACGGTAGGCGACGTACGGGACCTTGTTGGTGATGTACGAATCGCCGATGTTCTCAAACAGGAAGCTGCCATCGTATCCGACGAGCCAGCCAGCGAAGGCAAAGAGGAGCTTTCCGAAGGGTGGGTGAACGTCGAAGAAGTAGGTGCGCTGGAGGTAGTACGAAGCGAACTATGCCTGTCAGCCTCGCGCTCGCAAGTACGTCGCAGGTCTCTGCCTGCCTATTGCTGCGATGCCTCGTACCTTTCCGAAGTGTACCTCATCGAACACGACCTGGTCCGGGTGGTTGATGCCCCAGAAGCGCGTAATGAAAGCTAGCACTGTAATGACGGCGATGGCCAGCTTGTAGTCCCACTCGCTGCCCTGGTTCGCCTTGAATTCCCGCTTGACTTTGGTGACTGCATGGTCGACCTGGTCTACGATGGCATCCGGGTTGGGCGTGGTAGGTCGCTTCTTGTCCTTTGTGCCGCGATGCCGCACGCCAGTTGGGGAGGACATGGTGGGCTGTAGCTCCGCAAAGCTCCCTGCGCGCAATTAATTAGCAATTAAGAACAGTAACACGACGGACGAGGATCCCCAGTGGACTCACCCTCACAGGATTCGGAATGGAAGTGGAAAGGAAGGTGGACAGAAAGGAGCGTGGCCCCGGGGGTTGTTCAACGCGGCCCCCTCTAAGAGACACCTAATCTTTTGGCCGCGTGTTACCCCTTGTATGCGCCATGCTTGGCATTCAGCCCCAACACGGCACCACCGCTCTGGGCTCCGACACGTGATGCCGGCCCGCAACCAAGCACTCGCCATATCACGGAATTATACGACGAAATGTCTGACCTAGGATAATATGAACGAGTATACGCCTTGCTAAGTTCTACATCGCCGCTCTATGTCTCTACATCAATATGCACAGTGTATCACCAAGTCTATGCACAGCACCAGTTCTTTGACCGCACATACGCCCACAGCTTACTGCGCCTTCTTTCCGTTCTCCTTTACCGCCGCAGCCTTCTTCCTTTGCGGAATCTTGTACGTCGTCTCCCACCCGTACAGCGCTCCAGCTCCGAACACCATCGCCGCCCCAAACTTCATCAGACCACTCATCTGGTTCCCGAACAACCAAATACTGAGCATAAAGCTTACCAGCTTACGGATGTTGAGCACAATTGTGACAGTGACCGCAGAGGTGTTAGCACTGAGAATGTTGACACCAGTAATGCAAAGCAGCTGGGTGACCGCGTTGGCGGTCAAAAAAATGACATGCTGCGATGTCGAAGCAAGCGCTTTGTTGAGTGTGGGTGGAAGATTCGCTGCGAGCGCTGGCGGGACAGAGAAGGACTGTGATGCCTGGAGGCGCGTGAACTGCTTGTAGAGAACGGGCGCAAAGTTGATGAAGAGCGGAAGTGACAGCAAGTGCGAGTAGAAGAGATTCGCCTTCCAGTGGTTGCCGTACTCGAGGTAGATATCTTCTACGTACGCGCCCATGTAGGCGGATAGGAGCTGAGCGGCAAGAAGTATGAGTAATCCCATCTCGAAGGAGGCGCTGGTGTAGTCGATGCTCGTCGTGTCAAGTTTCTTGCCCTATAATAATCAGAATGCACTCAAATTTGCGAAATTTCGCCACGTACCTTCGATTGAGCATCTGCCCATGCGGACACCATTACGCCGAATGTCAGAACAGCTACCGAGAATATTTGCACAGGCGTGTATTTCTTTCCGCGCAGGTACCCGGCAATCATAGTCGTGACACTACCGAAGCTGCGGAGGATGATGTGCACTGGAACGGAGATATTGAACGCGAACGCCCAGTTGTTCATCATGTTGACTGTGAAAAACAGGGCGGCGCTGATGACCCATTTTCGAAACGGAACTGGTGACGGCTTGACAAAAAAGCGGTATCTAGGGTCAAACTGATAATGCAGTGTCGACAGACATGTAAATATGAACTGAAAGAGGGTGATGAGAAGTCCACTATCAGGTTCATGCCTGGAAACAATTAGTCGTGACTAGTGGCCCATCCATCTCGAACATACTTTACAATGGCTTCCAGACAGTAGACCTGGACTATATCAGCTTTGATGCGCACCTGAAGAGCTAAGAACTTACATTGGAACAACACCCTCCGAAAATGAGGGCAAAGCTTCCCGCAAGAGGCGCAATCGCTGCCATACTGAAAGCTGGACCGAACGTGACTATAGCTCGCTATTTAGGCAGGTGAAGAGATGCACCCGAAAGAGCGACCTGATGAGAGTTAGTTCAGATCGACGTACAGCTACGTGGCCAGCTCCCCTATACTCGGGGACATGAGGTCGTAACCCCACTGTTTCTAGGGACACCGCGGGGCTGACAAAGTCGATGACGAGCGCATAGATTGAGCACAAATAAACTTACGATAATTTGTTAGGAGGAGTGACTGGCTTGGAGCTTAGTTCGCTATCATGGTGCGATTCGTGAACGAACAAGCAGAGACGCAGTCAATTGGCGCGTGGAATCGGAAATGTCAACGTGGAGGTCCGCGCTAGCGCCGCCCGGAAGCGTCGTTGATCGTAGGGCTGAGCCGGGAACGCCCAGTGCCATGTTGAAGGATCCTAGACTGTCCTGGAGCTCAACGTCTCTTTGCATGTATCATGACACTCACCGTCTGTACGGCGCACATTGGGTTTTGATTACTTTTTGTTATTCCGATTATGGTGATCTCGCAGTAGACACTGCTCTGCTGCCACCCTTCCGCGATGCATAGCTACATTGAGCGACCAGACAATCTCTTCGCGCCACTTATGAGTTCCCCGTCTACCAGCCTAGCGCCGCTCCCTCGATCATGGCCAATTCGGAAGTACATGGGAAGAATGAGGGAGGAATACATCGCCAAACACAAATCTAGGTGCAAATGCACAAAGGAAATGTTTGCTCAAATGCTGGCCTTTACAAGGCTGAAAATACGAAGAGCTGTGCCAAGTTAGTCTGATGAACAGCTATTCCAAGTCTGGGATGCTTACATTGTTGGTAGCTGCAATGGCAATGCTATCTTCGAACGGATGCCAGCTCATGTGTAGGATCTTCTTGTTGAAGTCGATTTGGTCTGCGTCCGTCTCCTTTCGCATGCGTTGGCCTTGACCCGCGGCTCCAGCGGCTGGGCTTCCCGCTCTTGATCCTCCCTTCTTGGCGGAACTGCTAGTGGGACTTGTAGAAGAGTTCATGGGTGTCGGTATGCCAACCTTCTTAGCTTTGAATGCCGACTTGTCTGCCTGAAGCACCACTTCCGTGTCTTTCTCTGGATCGGAGGGATATATCATAAAGTTGTTGTTGTAGCTGCCCGTCATTACGTTCTTGGCGTCACCGGAGAACACAACCTCAAATTTATCGAAGATGCTGTCGTTCTCGTACGTATCGCACAGTCGTGGCCGGAGGTGCTCGTGTATTGGAATAGTCTTGATCGGGGTTCGCTCCATGTTCACATCCCAGATCTTCACGGTGAGGTAATCGCGGGAGAGAATGTATCGGCCGTCATGCGAAAAGCGGACATCTGATATCGACGAGATAATTTCTGAAAAGAAAGACCGAGAGGACGGGTCCTCTTCTTGTTCAAACTCTATGAGGGAAGTCGTCAGCTATGTACATGTCAGAACACAGATGGACTTACGTTTCGCATGTTGGTCGCACAACGCACTCTCGCGCATGTCCGCGAGCTTGATTGTCCCCTTGGAGCTCGCGTACATGAACCAATTGCAGCTTTGTGGGTGGAATTCAGCAGCCGTGATCACCTCTGTCAGCTCTTCCATGTTTGCTGGTTTGATGTCCACAATGTTGAAGCTCTGGTCCTGGATGTTGAGATTCCACAGGTTGATACGAAGATCGTCACTGCTGATGAACGTCTCGCCATCACTATTAACTGATATGCTGTTGATGTGGTAAGCATGAGCGTTGGCATACGTCTTTCGTGGCACGGCGGCCACGACGGTGTCGTGGTGAGTCAACCGCGGCAGCTTCAGGTCGGCGGCGCTGCGGAAGTTCACGTTGGGGTTCCGCACTGGTCCACCTCCACCAGCGACACCACCTCCTGGGGTCAACTCATGTGAAAGGTTGTTCTCCGCCACCACCTTTAACGATTTCTCAAACACCTTCCAGAGCTTTATTGTCTTGTCATTGGTCGAGAGTAGGTAATGTGAAGCGTTTTGTCGCCGGCACCACTTGATCTTGTTGATCTTTTCTTCTATCTCGAGCGACTTGAGGTAATCGAACTCGGGCTCGTGTGACTGGAACTCGGTGTGGAACTTGTACTCGCATGTCTTTTTCTGTACGCTGTTAGCCACCGAACGTACTATTGGCGTACTTCGCGAGACTCGAGTCCACTTACTGTCTCATTTCGCTCGAATAGCACTACGCGGCCGCCCTTGTCTCCGGTGGCCAGGTAGTTGCCCGTTTGATCGAACTCAACGGTGGAAATGATGTCAGCTATGGAAAGTTAGTGTTGGTAGCAAGGTGACTTTTGAAACCGCGGGAGCAGTCTTAAAAGGCGAAGGCTAGAGAAGCGTGTACCCGTACCTTCTGTTATGTCTTCGACATCACCTTTGTCGCCGAAGCACCTGGGTATGTCAGCATGAGTTGACGCAAATAGAAGCAACTATTCCATATGTACATGACTCGACATTTCAACCATATGCATAGCATCGCAGTTTGTGCTGCTGGGCCCAGGGATTCAGAGCATTGGTCCGACTTACTGTGTGAACTTCCACGTAGTGGGGTTTCCTTCTGCTTCAACCATAGTTCCGGGAGCGGTGTGTCAAAGTGCGCAAGCGAGCTAGAGCTGGAAGGGCGTCTCTCCGGGCGGGCGAGGTCGAGGAGAGTGAAGGCCGAGGATTTGGGCTGAGCTGGCGCGAGAATAGATCGGGTGGTGGAAAGAGCCGCCGACGTCGAGGCTGGGAGTCCGATGCGGGAACGGTGAGGCGATTGTGGCAGCCGGATCGGCGGCGGGGAGCAAGGCGGCGGTTCCGGTATGCGGGAGATGTTGCAGAGCGCCAGCGAAGTCGGTCGGCGGCAAGGCGGCGGTTGATGTAGACGCGGGCAGAGACAGCACAGCAGAGCAGGTATGAACAAAGGTGCGCATATGGCAGCGGTACCAGTCGCTCCTGCCGTAGCGGGGTGCTGGCCAAGACGCCAGCTGCTTCCGCCTTAGCGCGGAAAGCGGAACTTGGCGCACAACAATATTCGCTTCGAACTTCAAACCTTCGAACACTTCGACACTAACCAGCAGCACCTCAACACAATGTCCCACAGGAAGTTTGAGGCTCCCCGTCACGGGTCATTGGCATTCTTGCCGCGAAAGCGCGCTGCCCGTCACCGGGGTAAGGTCAAGAGGTGAGCATTGTCGAGATCGTGCTGCAGCACACAAGCTCACAGATTTTCACAGCTTCCCCAAGGATGACCCGAAGAAGCCTGTCCACCTCACTGCTGCCATGGGCTACAAGGCCGGTATGAGCACCATTGTCCGCGATCTCGACCGTCCCGGAGCCAAGCTGCACAAGAAGGAGATTGTCGAGGCTGTCAGCATTGTTGAGACTCCTCCGGTATGCGCACATGTGCAATTGAGATAACGCGAGGAAATATCTAACCGAGTGCAGATGATCGCTGTCGGTCTTGTCGGCTACATCGAGACTCCCCGTGGTCTCCGCTCGCTCACCACCGTCTGGGCCGAGCACTTGAGCGACGAGGTCAAGCGCCGCTTCTACAAGAACTGGTACAAGAGCAAGAAGAAGGCGTTCACCAAGTACGCCAAGAAGCACTCCGAGAACAGCGGCCAGTCAATCACCCGTGAGCTCGAGCGCATCAAGAAGTACTGCCAGGTCGTCCGTGTGCTCGCCCACACCCAGATCTCCAAGACTCCCCTCAAGCAGAAGAAGGCCCACTTGATGGAGATCCAGGTCAACGGTGGATCCATCGCCGACAAGGTCCAGTTCGGCCACGGTCTCTTCGAGAAGCCCATCGAGATCACCTCCATCTTCGAGGACAACGAGATGATCGATGTCATTGCCGTCACCAAGGGTCACGGATACAACGGTGTCACCTCCCGATGGGGCACCAAGAAGCTTCCGCGCAAGACGCACAAGGGTCTCCGTAAGGTCGCCTGTATCGGTGCCTGGCATCCGTCTCACGTCCAGTGGACTGTTGCCCGTGCTGGTCAAATGGGTTACCACCACCGTACCTCCGTCAACCACAAGATCTACCGCATTGGCAAGGGTACCGACGAGGGTAACGCCTCTACCGATTTCGATGTCTCCAAGAAGCAGATCACTCCGTAAGTTTCCTGTTAGAACTTGTCCTTAGCAGGCACTAATTATTCATAGTCTCGGTGGCTTCGTCCGCTATGGCGAGGTCAAGAACGATTTCCTTCTGCTCAAGGGTGGTATCCCCGGTGTCAAGAAGAGGGTTGTCACTCTCCGCAAGTCTATGTTCGTCCACACCAGCAGGAGGGCGCTGGAGAAGGTCGAGCTCAAGTGGATCGACACCTCGTCCAAGTTCGGTCACGGTGTCTACCAGACCGCGGCAGAGAAGAAGACTGCTGTCGGTACGCTCAAGAAGGACCTCGCTGCCTCCTCATAAAGAGATGGCGGTACTGGTGGTTTCGTTTCCTTCTGGGCTTCTTTGGAGAATGGCATGATCCGTTGTTGCTCACGGTCACATGAGCAATGAATGACAAAAATTAAATGATTCCCACTTATTTGGACTTTCAAGCTGTGTACAATGTCGTGATTTTTCCGATGCTTGATAGACCCATGAGACGCGAGTGAATAAGACCAGCATATTTGGTCACCACGCTTCCTCGACGAAATGTAGAGTCACAAGCGCATGTGCGTTTGACGTGGCTGCGCTGCCAAAGACTTCACGGCGACGGGCAAGCATCATGTCAAGGAAGATGCTAATACAGCTCCGACTGCAAATCTATCAACTCTGTATCAAGACTTTAATTTCTGCAAGCTTGGGTTTTCACCTTTGATACATACAAAAGTGCAACATCTAACTGCGAGAATAAGCGAGGAACGAAATATACCGTGTCACATGCTCGGTTGCTAATCTTGGACTTGGAGCACGATATACTTAAGCAGCGCCCGCGGCCAGCCCACAAAAGACCGCGAATATCTATGACGTGAACACTTCGCTGACTCGATTGTGGCAACATATCTAGCATTTGTGAGACCGAACAACATATCCGTAGACTCACGATCGCTTGAAATTATGTACGCAGCGGGTATCGAGCACAGGAATATATTCAGTGCGTGTGAACTTAGGATGAGTACCCAAAATCAAGACTATAAAACAAGATTGCAAAACCTCCGGTTGTAAGCATTTCTGTCGCAGCATATACGCCCTGTAATGACTGAATTGAATCTACTATGTGATTCCACTTGTCCGTGGTTGATGGTACTTAAGAAGTAGGGCGAAGAAAAGCCGGGTTCTTCGCTCCTGCCGTGACCGAGGTCTTGGCCTTGCCTTCCAATCAGAGCGCCGTTATTCAGCGAGCCTCGCCTTCCCATCATCGACGTGCTCTTCTCCAAAACTAGCACCCACCACCACGTCTCTCCCCTCTCCTCTCTTTCCTACGGTCGCCCATCATGAGCTGCCTCAAGATGCGCAACCTGCAGCTCGCGAGCCAGGTAAGAACACCCAACGCCGGAACACATGCGCCACTTATCCAAACCCCCAACCCGGCACCCTCCGCGTGATGTGCCACCGCCCACCAACATCTGAACGCTTGGCCACGCAGCTATCGCGCCGCCTCAATGGCCCGGCAATGCCCTGGGCCTTACATCGGGTGGTTTGTTGATACAGGGAGAGGCTCAATCGCTAACAATTACCTCGGCAGTTCTCGAGAAGCTTGCGAACACACTCACGAGCGTTTTCGTCGACGCGCCCAGCCGCCCGCATCTTCGCGACCGAGCACCTGAAGGCTAAGGAGGCTTCTGGATTCATTTCGCAGAAGTACCCCGTAATAGACCACGAGTACGATGCCATTGTTGTAGGCGCTGGTGGTGCTGGTCTCCGAGCGGCCTTTGGTCTCGCTGAAGCTGGCTTCAACACGGCCTGTATATCGAAGCTTTTCCCGACCCGATCGCACACCGTGGCTGCACAGGGAGGTATCAATGCGGCCTTGGGAAAGTACGTACAAGCCTCTGTACTAGAGTGGCGAATAAGAAGTGCTAACCAAGTACCAGCATGCACGAGGACGACTGGCGGTGGCATATGTACGATACCGTGAAAGGATCTGACTGGCTGGGTGACCAAGATGCTATCCACTACATGACCCGCGAGGCGCCACAGTCTGTCATTGAACTCGAGAACTACGGCTGCCCGTTCTCAAGAACGGATGATGGACGGATGTACGTCAGCACCCCTCGATCAATGAAGTTCTATAACTAACGAACAGCTAGTTACCAGCGCGCCTTCGGTGGTCAGTCGCAGAAATATGGCAAGGGTGGACAGGCTTACCGATGTTGTGCTGCCGCTGACAGGACGGGTCACGCTCTCCTCCACACGCTCTACGGGCAATCCCTTCGCCACAACACCAAATACTTCATCGAATACTTCGCCACTGATCTAATCATGGAAGATGGTGTCTGCAAGGGTGTTGTAGCGTACAACCAGGAAGATGGCACAATCCACAGGTTCATTGCAAAGAACACCGTTCTGGCAACTGGTGGCTACGGACGTGCCTACTTCAGCTGTACTTCCGCTCACACCTGTACTGGAGATGGAATGGCCATGGTCGCGCGTGCTGGACTTCCCAACCAGGATCTTGAGTTCGTCCAGTTCCATCCGACTGGAATTTACGGCGCTGGATGTTTGATTACCGAGGGTTCTCGTGGAGAGGGTGGTTATTTGCTGAACTCCGAGGGTGAACGATTCATGGAACGATATGCCCCGACAGCCAAGGATCTTGCATCTCGCGATGTCGTCTCTCGATCGATGACTCTTGAGATCCGTGAAGGCCGTGGTGTTGGACCGGACAAGGACCACATCTACCTCCAGCTCAGCCATCTGCCCCCTGAGGTTCTTCATGAGCGTCTGCCTGGTATCTCCGAGACCGCTGCTATTTTCTCTGGCGTTGATGTCACCAAGCAGCCCATCCCTGTCCTGCCCACCGTTCACTACAACATGGGTGGTATCCCTACCAAGTACACCGGTGAAGTCTTGACTGTCGATGAGCAGGGCAAGGACAAGGTTGTACCGGGTCTTTTCGCTTGCGGTGAAGCTGCCTGTGTGTCCGTCCACGGTGCTAACCGTCTTGGCGCCAACTCTCTCCTCGATCTGATCGTCTTTGGACGTGCCGTCTCGCACACCATTCGCGATAACTTCAGCCCTGGCCAGAAGGCTGACCCTATCCAAGCGGATGCCGGTGCCGACTCGATTGCTGTTATTGACAAGGTCCGCACCGCCGAGGGACCCAAGCCGACGGCTGAGATCCGTAGCAACATGCAGAAGGTCATGCAGACTGATGTCTCCGTTTTCCGTACGCAAGAGTCGCTCGACGAGGGTGTGCGCAAGATACGTGAGGTCGATTCCACCTTCGCAGATGTCGGCATCAAGGACCGTAGCATGATCTGGAACTCTGATCTCGTTGAGACTCTCGAACTCCGAAACCTCCTCACTTGCGCCGTCCAGACCGCCGAAGCTGCCGCCAACCGTAAGGAGTCAAGAGGTGCTCACGCACGTGAAGACTACCCCGACCGTGACGACGAGAACTGGATGAAGCACACTTTGACGTGGCAGAAGAACCCGCACGGCAAGGTTGATCTTGGATACCGGGGTGTTGTCGCCAACACTTTGGACGAGAACGAGTGCAAGGCTGTCCCGCCTTTCAAGAGGACGTACTAGACAAGTATTGAGGTAAAACGTGTGGAGGAGGTTGCACTGGCTGTATTCTATGTACATTGGATGATTTGCTGCAATGCATCGTAGTGGCAAAATCATGTTTGGCTCCCTTTTTTTGTGTATTGCGAAGATATCTCAATAAAAACGTATTGTCACAGTGCCATTCATCGGTGAGAGTATGCACAAAGCTGGAAGCAGGTTGTGGTCACAGGTGAAGGAAGAAAAAGTCAGCGAGAGGTCTCGATATCTCTGGCACGCTTCACATTAGAACTGATATCCTTGACATTGCATATTGGATGTTATACATTGCGGGAAAGTAATATACACAAAGAATGCAGTGTTGTAAAAAATATCAACAGATTCTAAAACGATACGATCCTTGGAAATGGTTGATGCACGGTGAATGTAAGAAGACTTTCTCCAGGCTCAATTTTTTCTTGTTGAGCTGACAGTCGACAAGCGCACACGCCGACATTGTCGCAAACATGGCCCTCTACCTTTTACAAGGCACGTGGTATGAACGTTCACCTCTAATTCCCCGCACTTGCCGCACACTACATAAGTCGTCGCGCCGCAAACCCCCAGACTTCGCTGTTTCCCATATCGCGAACCCCAACAACAGCATGGCGGACACAACCACCGGCTTTGGCGCATCGCAGTCCGTCGATCCGCGTACACTGTGCTCCTGGTGCAATGAGCACGCGCCACACCAATGCCAGCGCTGCATGTGTAGCCGCTACTGCTCTACCGCTTGCCAAAAGGCTGACTGACCCGTCCACAAACTCATGTGTAAGAAGCTCGCCAACTTCGACGCATCTAAACGTCCATTGTCCGACATATACCGCGTTATTTACTTCCCGCTGAACGGACCTGGCCCTCAATTCGTTTGGCTCGGCTCCTATGGTCATCCCGACAGAGCCATTTCCCATGTCAAGGATTAACCTACCTCGATGCGCCTTTACCTCGATGCCCTTGACCCTGGCTTCTTCGCTGCGAAAAATCTCTGTTACCTGGAATGCAACCAACTACTCAAACACTAATATCCTAGCTGGACTGCAGAATGGTCAGCTATCAATGATGTGGCTCCATCGAAAAGAGCGTCGCAAAACTAGACGAATTTGGTGGCACATTTCAACGCGGGCCCCTGCTGTTTTTCAGCTTTGAACGCGATCTAGACATTATTGATTTCCGATATGTGGCTGATGAAGTTCTCCAAATACCTTGGAATCACATGGAGAACGTCATACTGGCAGAGCTGGACTTCTCTGTTCACGGCGTGCGCGTAAATTGCTACGGAGACATCGCACTGCTTGGTCGTTCTTGCATGGAAGCAACAATGTGTGGACCTCTAGGGGTCAGTGCTTTCGGTGTTGCGTACGAGGATTGATACCATCAACTTGCCGCGACAAGTTGGACTATGCACGCGTCGTATATGCCGTCCATCTACCGAAGGCAACACACTACATCACTGTACTTATGAGATTCGCCGTTTAGCAGCCCTGATGCACTCCCGCTCCAAATTTCAGGGCCACTTACCTGCACGAATCTTTGGGAAAGACTCGTCTTTGCATAGGATGCAGCTAGCAAACGATGGATAGAATCCCCATTGTTGATCTACGAAGTTCAAGGCAATGTGCAATTGTATTGATAGCAAATAAGAAGAATCGAAACTTACCAAAACGCTTACTCCGAGCTTCTGAGCAGACAGCATATGCTCATGACGCATTCCCGATGTCACCAAAGCTCCCAGCAATGTTAACCAAGTAGTAAACAGCATCCCTGCTAAGGAGAGTCTGACTCGGCAATCAACGCATGTCTATGTTGATCGGTTGTCCTCGATACCGACTGCAGCATACTACACAGCGATCCTCATGACCGCTTGCACCAACTCCAACTTCCATTTTTGTGCCACAATGATAATCCGTTTGAGGTGCGGGGCCGCCAATTTTACATCTTCTAGCTGAAGTTCGTTCAACCTAGTCAGGAGATCAGTCAAAGCTTCATGGCGAGGACTCTCGTGAGGCCACGCCATGGTACCTCGAAGGTATCGATGGCTCGACTCCGGAAAGATAAGCAGAGTTTCTAGTATCTGGTACAATGACACTGGGTTCTTCGACAGACAATTCTTTGTAAATACCAGAAGTCATTTCCCGGTGCGTCATGGGTATCCCGTGGAACGGTGAGAATTATAAAAGCTCCAGGTGGTGAATGGGTAAGTCACGCAGACATTTGACTAAATGCGGGGACGATATCCAAGTACCTATGGGATCAAAAATCGGGTCGAATTCCACCATGGAGAAGGAATCCAGGAGGGGACAGCATACGAGCATCTGCCGAAGCTCGAGCCCGACCAAATCGAGACAACCAGTGCCGTTCTGGGGAGATACGGGCCTGGTCAGGATCGCCGAGTATTGGACGTGATGCCATTCCAAGCTTGCAGGAACGCAGGGTCGAGACCCAGCTGCATGATTCCGTGCTCGAGGCGGACGGTTTCGAGGACCGGCAGCCGAAATACGGGCGCGAGATAGTGCAGGTAGCTGTCGCACACACATAGCAACTCCTTCAAATAGCTGAAGTCATGGGTTGGCGGCAAGATGAGTAAGGGGGGATTGACACCTTTATGTCCCGCCGCTCTGTAAAAGATACAAGCACACGGGCAGCAAGCGTCCATCGTGTGCCACCAATCCCATTCGTTGGTGTCATCACGCAGTGTTTCGAGGTTTGGACACGCTGTGCCGATTTCGTGGAGGTCGCGGTGGTAAAGAGTGTTACTACGTGGAAGAATTTGACCTAGTCGACGAATCCTGGGGTCATTTTGGAAGGCGTTAAGTAATGGGAAGAACGGATAGATACTGCCTTCTTTGCACTCGGTCTCGATATATTGGTACAAGGACGGCTTCACGATCTGGTGGTATAAGGCTCTGTAGTCTACTGATTATCAACCAGGGCTTCATTTAACTCTCGCCATCGGTCACCAAGTCGCTTTGCCATGCACAGCCCTGCCACGCAGACCCGATGGAATTGTACAAGGACGAAGCTCCTTTCTTAAGCTTCGAATCCATACTGTGAATATTCGAACTTTCATCTACGAGTTGTGAAAGAAATCATCCTAGAAGTAAACTGGAACGCGAAGTTTGATCACATTTGATTCTCGAGAGTTATATCCAACGTGGAAATTAACAATGAGATACTATGTCCACCACAGCGGACCCTATCGTCTCTTCTTGGTTCATGGTCTGTTGGATAGTCAACGTAAATAATTCAGGAAAAAAAAAGAACAAAAGACGAGGTAGCTTCCAAGTAATGTTGAACGATCGTTTATATCATCATTCTGAGTATTTTCTATGCAAAATGACTAAAACAGTCGTGCAACCTGGTTTAATGTTGATGTGCGTCCATCAGATGATAGTTTGTTGGGAAGCACTAGTATGTTTGATGTTAGACAATATATCTTCAGGATATTGGTTCTCGGAAACATGTTCATGGCAAAATAAAGATTGGAGCGCACAAACTTCGCTTGAATAATATGTGAGGTACTAATATGGTGATATCGCGTAGACACGTTTACAGCTTGACCCGTTATCCTAGAAGTTGGGATTTTCGGCGGACGCGCAAGCGTCAAGATAATATTGACCTAGACAAGTCGAGTGTAAACACACTAGTGTTAGGCCATCGATCGCCGGTGTAAGCCAAGTTGCTGACTGTTCGCCAATGCGTTACCCCACACCCCGGATGCTGGCGCATCTAGGCATTGTCTATGGCCAAGATCTTACTACACAGCCAGATGACGACGCCAATGCCCTTCCATTGGTACTAACGCTTGTAGAGAGTGTAATCATGGATCCGAAAGTTGATCATGGCCGCGCGTTCCTTGTTTTCCCGCATGGACAACTTCTTCTCGGCGCGGTCCTTCGCACGTCCAAGGCTTGGTCGTTCGCGCCGTGAGAATGGGCAAGACTAAGACGATGCCGCTATCCACGGTAGCGATGTTTGTTGGAGGACGGTGGATGCCCAGCATGGCTATGCATGCGAGAGCGTCGGTAAGAGGGTACTACTAAGAAACCCCGCCGTGGCAGAGCAGGTTTAAGAGCAATAATATCGCCAATTCAGCTTGGTCTTGGTTGAGTCATTTCATTCTGCCTTTGTATCTGCACAACATTTTCCCTCTGAGAAGATGCCTTCTCGACAACAATTGACCCTCGCATTAACATTTTTTCTTGCTTCAACCCAAGCATGGCCAGCATACCCATTCACTAAGCGGCAGTCCTCCGACAGCCCAGCGGCACAATCTTCGGACTCCACATTCAAAGAAGAATATGATTTTGTCATCGCCGGAGGTATGCGAGTGTTGTTTGGCGTGGTCACATCCCATCTGACTGTTTAGGTGGCACCGCCGGCCTGACACTGGCCAATCGACTGACAGAATCGGGAAGATTCTCCGTGCTCGTTCTGGAAGCTGGTTTCAATCCCGAAGTAGTCGAGGCCTACGCTACTCCAGGTGGAAATCAATTCCTAAAGGGAAGCGCAGTCGACTGGGGTTTCGTCACGACACCACAAGAACACCTTGGCGGTCGTACTCTACAGTATTTGCGTGGAAAAGCGCTTGGAGGCTCAAGCGTTACCAACGGGCTGTATTACGCCCGCGGATCTGCCGAGGTGTATGACCGCTGGGTTGAGCTGGGGAACCCTGGATGGGGCTGGGAGGACATATACCCATTGTTCCGCAAATCCACGAAAATCAACCCGCCGAACTTGGGTCAGCTCTCTGAATTCAGCCAAGAATACAAGACCTGGGACGAGTGAGTAGATTTCATAATCTCTCTGAGCGATAACTCGAAGCTGACGGATTTCCGGGTCTGCATACGGTGGTGGGCCTTTGGAGTTGGGTTTCCAAGGATACGTGACAGATTCCACCAACGACTTTGTCGTCGCCTGCTCGGAAGCAGCTGATATTCCAATTGTCGATGATCTCAACCTTGGTGTTGGCCAAGGTGTCAAACTAGGCACCACAACCACGAACTCAGTTCTCCGGAGGTCATCTAGTTATGACAGCTTCTACCAACAAGCGCGGAATCGCACCAATCTGCGTGTGCTATACAATGCGCCAGTAACTGGAATTGCATTCAGCAGTGTTGAAGGCGGAAACACAACCTACGGCAACGCTACAAGACCAAGAGCCCTCGGAGTGAGCTACATCGAACAGTCCGCAGGATTCGTGAGGCAAGCACGGGCCCGAAAGGAGGTGATCGTCAGTATGGGTGCGTTCCACACACCTCAACTTTTGATGGTCTCTGGTATCGGGCCGTCTGCAGAGTTGGAGAAGGTCGGAGTATCGCCAGTGCATATCAACGAGAACGTAGGCCAGCACCTGGACGACCATTCGGTATTTTCGATAATGGCTCGTGCCCAAACCAATGCTTCGACGACAAGCATGTCCTCCAGCCCGGACAACCTCCAGGCTGCCCAGACAGAGTTTTTCACCAACTTGACGGGTCCATACACAGCACCCTCGGGTGTCACCAACGGCTTCAAGAAACTTTCGGTCGAGGAGCTCCAATCCATCGGGGCTCAGGCTGTGATAGACGCCGGATTGGCAAATCAGTCACACATCGAGTTTCTCTTCGAGACAGTCTGGTATCCTTGGATCCCGACGCCCTACTACACAGCGCTGCCGAACGAGTCATACATCAGTGTAACCGCAAGTTCGATGGTGCAGCTGAGCCGCGGCAACATCACGCTCCGGTCGAACTCGATGAGCGATGCGCCATTGATAAACCCCAACTATTACGCCGACGAGACGGACGGCATCATGGGAGTTCACTCTTTCCGCTACCTCCGTGATATACTCCGTCATCCATCTCTTTCCCAGTATACCATCGGAGACAACGCCGGCGAAGTTTCACCAGGCCCGGAAGTTGCTGATGATGACGATGACGCGATTCTGCAGTACATCAAGAACAACACGATGCCGAATTGGCATGCTTCGGGCACAGCGCGTATGCGCCCGGAAGCAGATGGTGGTGTTGTCGACTCTCGTCTGAAGGTATACGGTGTCGATGGACTTCGTGTGATTGACTGCTCGATCATCCCGGTGCTGCCCGATGCGAATATTCTCGCATCGGTCTATATGGTGGCAGAGAAGGGCGCAGAGTTGATCAAGGAGGACTGGGAAGATGTAGGGTACGAGCGAAGGATGAAGCGGAGCGCTTGAGCAACCATATGCATCGCAAAGTACCAAGCCCTGGTAGAAGGGGAGCACTTAATGTATGCAGTGTCCGATTGTTTTTTTATTGCCCGCTGAAGCCATGATACTAACGTGCAAATACTTTCAAGCCAGCGCGCTAAACAGGCTAACAGACTAACGAAAGATGATGAGAACTCAAGAAGAATAAGTTGCGACGGAGGTGTTGTCGCGACTGCACAAGCCACGTTGACGGGTGGCGCTAGGCTCTGCACGTGCTGAACTCGTACTCGGAAGGCTCGTATTGGCTCGTACCCGGGTACGATTCAACTGGCTCTGGCTAGGCTTGCGATCCGACGCACCATCATTGGTTCTGATACGGACATCTACCACATAATATTTGACAAGGATACGATGTAGAGTCCCGTTCACTTACCCTTGACTGTTGCCATTGCTGCCGCCTGAGCCACATATTGCACCACGCTACCATCGGATCTTCAGCTACCCAAGATATATATAACTCATCTCTCAGCATGTTTTCAGGGTGTCCATTGCAGCTTTTTCTCTTGCAGGCCTAATATGTACGACCAAACACTCCCAGAGGTCGTCCCTACCATAGACGCCGAACTCTACCATGATGAGCCCCTTCCCGCGTATACTGAGCTCGACGGCCGCATCAACATCGATCTAGATTCAAAGATCGCTCGAACTTTGGCTAGCTTCGTCCCAGAACCCCCGGCATATGCTCCTCCCGAAAATTTCTCGAAACCTCAAATATCACGAAGGTCATGGAAGATCCGCCTCAACATCGTCATCCAGGTTGTCGGCTCTAGAGGCGATGTTCAACCCTTCGTTGCCCTGGGCCAAGAACTACAATCATACGGTCATCGAGTACGAATAGCAACGCATGACTGCTTTGCTTCGTTCGTTGGAGGGTCGAATCTTGAGTTCTTCCCCATCGGCGGCGATCCACACGACCTTATGGCATACATGGTCAAGAACCCTGGATTGATTCCATCGATGAGCTCTCTTCGTGAGGGCGATGTCCAGCGGAAGCGCGCCATGGTCGAACAGATGCTGAGTGGCTGCTGGAAAAGCTGTATTGAGCCTGCGGCAGGAGAGAGCAGGCCGTTCGTTGCCGACGCCATCATCGCTAATCCGCCGTCATTTGCACACATACATTGCGCTCAAGCACTTGGAATCCCTCTGCACCTTATGTTTACTATGCCCTGGACGTCTACACGGCACTTTCCGCACCCGCTCGCTAATCTGAACGGAGCTAAGCTGGATGCCGGTGCTATGAACTACGTCTCGTATACGATTGTGGAGTGGATGACCTGGCAAGGGTAGGCTGGTTTCTGCGATCTCGCGCAAAGAAAGAGTTGCTGACCCAAATACCAGTCTTGGGGATGTTGTCAACTCATTCCGGTCCTCAATCGATCTGGAGAGAATCAACACTACGGTCGGCCCAAATCTGGCAGAGATGCTCCAGATTCCATTCACGTACTGTTGGTCGCCGGCTCTAGTACCTAAGCCTGCAGATTGGCCTGGGCATATAGGTTCGAGCATCTTCTACAGATACTGCACGATAGGTTACTAATGAGCACAGATGTATGCGGTTTCTTCTTCCGAGAGCCGCCGCAATACTCTCCGCCCGCCGACATACACAGGTTCCTTCAGAGCGGACCAAGGCCCATTTACATCGGTTTCGGCAGCATCGTCCTCAAAGACCCTTCCGCAATGACCAGATTAATCCTAGCCGCGGTTCGTATGTCCGGCACCCGAGCCATCATCTCCAAGGGCTGGAGCAAGCTTGGCTCGGACTTGAATCCTGCAGAGATCGATACCGCAAACATTCTGTTCATCGACGACTGCCCGCACGAATGGCTTTTCCAGCATGTGTCTGTTGTCGTGCACCATGGTGGCGCTGGTACGACTGCGTGTGGATTACGCACCGCCTGTCCTACCATCATTGTGCCGTTTTTTGGAGAGTATGTTTGAAGCAAGTCCTCTGTTAATCATTTCTGACGTCACATAGCCAGTCATTCTGGGGCAGCATGGTAGCAGCCGCAGGCGCCGGCGCACACCCCATGCACCACAAACTCCTGACCGCAGACAAACTATGCGACGCTATCAGATTCTGCCTACAGCCCACCGTAATATCCTCAGTGCAGAAAATCGCCGCCACGATGAGCGCCGAGTACGGCGTCCAAACCGCAGCCCAGTCCTTCCACTCCAATCTACCTTTGGAGTCCTTGCATTGCGAGCTTCTCGACGACCGCCCAGCGACGTACCTCTACTCAATTCGCGGGAACAGGATCAGACTGTGCACCGTTGCCGCGCACATACTCGTCCAGGGAGGCAGACTCAAATCCAAGGACTTGAAGCTATACCACTCCAAGCCCTTCAACATCACCAACGAGCGCTGGGACCCCCTGACCGGCCTCTCCTCGTCGGGCCTCTCCACCATCAAAGGTATAGTCACCGCCACGGGCGACATGCTCGCCTCGCCGTACACCGCCGTCCAACAGGCCGGCCCCTCCGACTCCGCCGCAAAGACAACATCAAAAGCAGCAGCCAACTTCGGGAAGAGCTTCGGCAAATTCAGCGGCCGGTTTCTCCAGGGCGCGGTCGTGGACCTCCCGCTCGCGGTGGCAGACGGTCTGCGCTCGGTGCCGAAACTGTACGGCGAGGATGTGCAATCGCACGGCGAAGTCACGGACGCGGCGAGTGGGTTCATGGTCGGGGGAAGGGGGTTCCTGCAGGGCATGACGGATGGGGTGTCTGGGCTGGTCTCGAAACCGATGCAGGGCCTGAAAGAGGAGGGCGCGCTGGGCTTCGCGAAAGGGACGGGAAAGGGGGTGCTCGGATTCGCTACCAAGACGTCTTCCGCGGCGATTGGGATCGTGGCGTATCCCGGGCAGGGAATCACGAAGTCTTTGATCGCACCTTTCAGGTCGACGACAAGGAAGAGTGTCATGGCACAGCGGGCGGCGGAAGGCGAGCACATGGCCAGGACCGAGGGACTGGAGCACTTGGACGTGCTCCGGAGATTCGACGCGCTGATGCTACACGGAGGCAGCAGCGGGACAGATGCGACTTCAGCGTCACCATACATCGTCTAGACACTCCCATCACGCACCTGCTCTCAGCGCCTCCGCCTCACTCCCATCCGCCGCAGGCCTCCTCTCCGCCAACCTCACCGGCACCCCAAACGCGCTCCCCACACTCTTCACCGCCATCAACCTCTCCCACCACGCCATCACCCTCGGAAGCTGCCCCCTAAACCCCTCATCCATAAACGTCTTCAACGGCCACAACAACCCACTCGCAACGCTCAGATCCGCCAAACTCACCTCCTCATCGCGGACTAACCACACCTTCCCCTCCCCCGCGAGATGCTCTTCCAGCCTCCTCAGGCACCTCATAAACTGCGTGTCATGGAACGCCACGTCCTCCGCATTGTACCCCACCGTCCCCAACATGGGTCCCAGAATCGCGCCCCCATCCACCCACAGTCCCGAGTCCGCAAAACCAACCCACATCTGCACCAACGCCCTGTCCTCGGGCGTGCGGCCGAGGAGTTGGTCTCGGAGGGGCCCGGAGTCGGCGATATAGAACGCGATTGCGCTGGCCTCGGCGAGGTAGAAGCCCGTGGGTGTTTCGAACGCCGGGATCTTGCCGTGCGGGAATTTGGCGAGGTAGGCGGGCGTCTTGTTCGTGATGCCGTACTGGAAGTTTGGCTCGACTTGGACGTCCAGGCCGTTGAGGTTTGCGGCGGCAAGTATCTTGGTGACGCGGGCGTGGAGGAAGGTTGTGGTTGTGTGGAGGGTGCCGAAGGGGGCCATTGCTGGGATTCGGGCAAGCTGTTTCGAGGACAGTGTGTTGCGAGGAGGTAGAAGAGTAAGGGAAATCTGAAGAAACGAGCAGCTCTTTGTATCCTATGTGATGTTGCGTGCTTCTACGTTTGTAGTCGTGACACCTGAGGCCACGCTATCTCGTATCTCGTAAAATTCTAGTATGAGTGTTACCCAGTCGTGCGACTAGGTGTTGTCGTTGCCTGGTGAGCATTAGTAAGACTATACTGGTGTGGACTCACCTCTTACGGGCCAATGGGTCGACAATACGAGCCGGTGATGCATGACGGTGACGTCGCACTCTGGTAACTCACCCTACGATTGAACCCGAAGAATACGACCAGCATTCCAGAAGACTTCGACAGGATCAATACGCGCCCAAGGTCCCGGTACCCCGCCACCAGCTTACCCGTGGGGTCCAATACCCACGCGAACCGACGCCCCCTCAGCTCCCCAATCCTCACACCTTGGACATTCACCACACCAAGCCTTGCCAAGAAGCTAGGCGCGCGGTCACGCCTACTTACAACCATTATGCCCGTTCCCGGCATCCACTTCGAGGAGGACGAAGAAGACGAGTTTACCGCAGACGACGCGCTGACGCCCCTCCAACTGGCCGCCTGGCAGGGCGAATCATCCACCGTCGCGGGGCTCCTGCAGGACGACGTGGACCCCAACGAAACCCCGCGAGGATGGTACGGCAAGACGGCGCTCCAGGCGGCCGCGATGCGCGGGCACATCGACGTCGTGCGGCTCCTGCTGGACGCTGGTGCCCCAGTCGATGCACCGGGCGGCAACAACGGGGGGCGCGCAGCACTCGCACTGGCTGCAGGCGCGGGGCAGAGCGCGGTGGTGGACGCGCTGCTCGACGCGGGAGCTGATGTGAATCTCCCGTTCCACAAGTACATGGGGCGCAGTCCGCTGCAGGCCGCCGCGGAGGGTGGAGATGTCGCGATCGTGAAGAGGTTGCTGGGCGCAGGGGCCGAACTCAACGGCGCGGTCGCGAGTAATTTTGGTCGGAGTGTGCTGCAGGCTGCTGCTGAGAACGGGCATGTGGATGTCGTGGAGTTCCTCTTGGGGCGCGGGGCAGAAGTCAATATGCCGGCGTGCCGCTTCAAAGGCGTCACCGCGCTGCAAGGCGCTGCGGCGCGCGGGAGCGTTGAGTTGGTGGACAGACTGCTTGAGGCGGGCGCGGATGTGGATGCTCCTGGTAGCTACTATTTGGGAGGGGCGGCTCTGTGGCTGGCGGCGAGCGCTGGGCATACCCAGGTTGTTGAGATTCTACTGAATGCTGGGGCGGACACAAGTGCATTGTCGGGCAACCAGGGGCAACAGAGCACGGCGTTGCAGATAGCGAACTCTAAGGGGAGAGAGAAGGTCGTGGAGCTGTTGATGAGAGTACAAAAATAACAAGACGTCACCTGACTTAGGGTATGGATTAGGGTATGGATTAGGGTATGGATTAGGGTATGGAAGGAACATGTGCTGAACAGACGATGGCAAGGCTTGTATTGAACTGCATCTCACGCGTATTTCGACAGCCTACAACCTCGAGTCAGCACGTCCCTCTTAATCGCACTTCACTGAATCCAACGTACTCAATCAAATTCCCATCCGGGTCCCGCACATAAAAACTCCTAATCTTCCCCCGCGCACCCGTGCGATCCACGACCTCACCACCTTCCAGGACCTCTATTCCCTCTCCTTTGAAGTCCTTCAACGCCGCTTCCAAATCCATCTCCTCAGCAAGCAGGAAGCACAAATCGGCGGTCCCCGGCAGTGCCGTGGTGGCCTTGGGCTCGAACTCCTTGCCCTGCTGGTGCAGATTTATTTTTTGGGTACCGAACCTAAGGGCGACTCTTTCGGTGCCGGGAGAGGATGCGGACGTGAAGCGCTCGACCGTCATGCCGAGGTGTTGCGAGTACCATTGGCAGGTGGCGGGGACATTGCGGCAGGTGAGGACAAGGTGGTCTAGGGAGCGGACGAGGGCTAGGGGCTTGGACATGGTGCTGGTTGTTTGTGGGAGGGTGAAATAGTAAAGTTGGGTGTTGAAGTGGAGTATTCCTGATCACGCAACATTCGTACCATGGGCTCGGCTACCGGAGCCGGAACCGTCTCCATGTTGACGCGATTTGCTGCTTTGAGCGGAGCAACGGCCGAGCTGATCCTTGACATGTCACTACGCGCACGGTTCAAAATATGAGACTGGTAACAACAAACAGGTATTGGTTTTTTCCGATGAAGGGTTATCCTTTCTAAAAGACTCCACACCGTCCCCGTTGGCGGAGCTCGGGGACACATCCGAACAGTACAGTTAACGAATGTGGGGGTATTGAGAAGAGAGAGAGAAGAGGGAAGCTACAAGTAGTAGTAGTGGACAAAGGGACCCTGGCAAGCGTGCAAAGATCGCTCGCTGTCGTCCCACGTAGCGTAGAAAAGGTATCATGCTCCCAGCCGACCGTCCGACCCGAGTGTATAACCAGATCCCTCCCGATTGTCTTCCCCCGCAGGGAAAGCAGCGTGATTCAATTTGTGGGGTTGCTGTGTGCAAATGACAACAAAGGGTAACATGCAAGATGAGATAGACCTGACCCAAAAGCACTCGCTTCGTAAATCATCAAGAAGAGGGGAAGTAGAAGAGGAAAAAGGAATTAAAAGTCCCAAGCGGGAGAGACGAAGAAATTGGAATCAGGAGGATGTTGTTCAACCGTCATCGTCGGCGTCATCCTCGTCTTCATCTTCGTCCTCTTCGCTTGTGCTCGTTCGTCGGTTGGCCTTCTTCTTCGTTGCACCCTTTAGGTTCGTCGAAGATGCTTTCCGTTTCGTTCCAGAATTTGCCGATGACGCGGTGGACTTGATCGCAGAATTGGCGTTTTCCTTGTCTCCGCCATCTTCGCCTTCCAGGCCGGAACCCTTGTTAGCCTCCATCTGAGCGACCTCCTCCGCCGTCAGGAACCTGCCACCAGGGCCACGAGGACGTCTCATGGCATGATTGTGCCTAGACTCGTGCAGGTATGGCTTGCGCCCCTTGGACGTCAGCCTCAGAGCGTCCTCTAATTTCTGTCGGGCCAGACGTCTCTTCAAAATACGATGAAACTGCTTGGCGTTGACATAGAGAGGGGCTTCTTCGGCTTGCGCACCAGCGACAAGCTCGGGCGACTGTTGGTGCTGTTGAGGCGCTTGCTGAGCCATGGGCGGGACCGAGGGTCGAGCCGCAGCGTGGGCCATGACGGGTTGGGGCTGCTGCATTGCGGGACTGTGAATCTGCGTGCTCATGCGTCGTTGTATGGCCTGTTGTCCTGGGTTCATTGGAACCTGCGAGGCGATACCCCCAGCACCCATGGCATTCGACACGGCCGTCGGAGAGCGGGGAGGTCCGCGCCCGTCCTGCTTGATCTGACCACCAGACATGCGCGGCGAGGCGCGCGGATCTTGGGCTAGCTGGCCCTGGCCCATCTGGTTGGGATCATAGTAACCAGCCGGCCCAGCTGCTGCCGCGGTTGCCATGGCCGCCGCCTGCGTCGGCGACATGCCGTACTGCTGATGCATGCCTGGCATATATCCTTGCGGATAGTTCATTTGTTGGTGTTGCGCATTCGGAGCGCCAGGTTGCGGATAGCCTTGCGACGGCAAGATGGGCGACGTCTGTTGATACGAATGCATCTGCCCTTGGGTGGGGGATGTGATGCTTGGGTTGGGTGCGCCTGGGTTCTGAGCACCCGGGTAGTTTTGCATGTGGGTAGGCGCATGCCCATGGTGGGGTTGTTGATATTGTGCGTAGTCGGTCATGTTTGCGGTCTCTCCAAGACGCGCTACTTGAGGTGTGCAGGGGAGAGTCTAAAGTACGCGACTGAAGGCAGCGTAGACTGGAGTGTTACCCCGGATGCGCCACTTCAGCACAGACCGTGCCTTTGTATTGATCACCGTGGAAGCTTTCGAACGTGCGCTTGGATGCGTGGTCGTGCGAAGGGTGCGCCGTGCGGTGATTGGGGCGCTTGGGACGAGGGAGTTGCGACTGGGGCGGGTGGAGACGCGCAGAAACGCGACTTTGGTCAAGAGCCGCAACGACTGGTAGGGGCCTGGTGCCTGGAGGAGAGGCGAGATGAGCACGTTTCGTTTCAAGCAGCCAATGCGCGCAGAGCTGGATCAGATCGGAGTCGCGACTAACGGGTCGAGTGTCTCGGTGCGCACGTCGATTAAAAGCTGGGTCGACTCGTCGCGCGTGTTTGCTGGTCGAGGGGTGATATCGCAAGGCGTCGGACAGCTGGGGTCACGTCACAGCAGGCAGATGCTCGATGCGTTGTCAATGGCCACGCTTGTGAGGCGAGCGTCTAGGGTGTCGCGCGCAGCGAGACTCGCGTAGATTGAGGCGCAATGGGTGCGATTGGGCGCGCGGAGGTGAGGCGGTGCGCGGACAGACTTCCAGCAGGATGCTTGGAGGCGCTGCAGTTCAAAGGGTCGCGCCGTGTGGGGAGTGGACCGTTGCGGGTGCTCACCAGTCGGGGGCGGAGGAGGAAAAGAGATCTATTCGGAAGAGCAACTGTCAGCTAGTGCGCGGGCAGGAGGGACGAGCAATTGGGTGCAGTCGAGGGGAGGCATGTGCTGGCGGGCGGGCGATTGGAGGGGTGATGCGCTGGCAATGCAGGTTCATGCAGGCGGCGAGGGCACTTACCGAGTTGGCGCTGGGCGGGCGATGCACGTCGCTGGGGGCGCGCAAGTAAGCGGTGACGCTGGCGGCTGGGCTCTGGCAGCAGACGGGCTTCTGCCGCGGAGGACGTGCTAGGTGCAAAGAGTCGCGGGTGCAGCTGACGCTGGGCTGGCGGGAAGCGGGAAGCGGGTGAGCACGAAGCAAGCCGGGCTATGCTGTAACGAGCCGTGTGCGCCCGTTCTGCGCGCGACGTTAGCAGCGGACATGACATGACATGACGAGCAGGCGAGCGGGCGGGCAGACGCGACGCCGCAGGCGATGGGCATCGTTCAGTGCGAGCGCGACGGCAGCGCGACAATGGCGGTGCGGTGCGCTGCGAAGATGCCCTGGAACGTGCGCGTGGGCGTGCATCGAGCGTGCAGCACGGTGGGCATGTTGCGGCTTACCGGAGCTGGTGTGCAGCGTCGGGCGGTCACGTTTTGGTGGAGCGGACGCGGCAGCCTGTGAGGTTGCAGGTCGTGGCACCGAGGCGGGCAGCTCGGGGCAGGGCAGGCCAGAGGCTGGCGGCAGTGCGGTGCGCGCGCCCTGGCAGCGGCCACAGTTGCAGTGGAAGCGGGAGCCACGAGCGTGCCGTGGTGCAAAGCTCGCGATGCTGCGTGCGGTGCGGCGACGGGCGACGGGCGACTGGCGACTGGGTGCGCTCGCTGGAGTGGCCGTGGCAGCTTTGATAGGACAGCCGGTGGGAAGGTGCGAATGATTGGGTTGAGATGGGAAGGGCAAGAACGATTGGGCGCAGCTGCTCTTCTTATTCGCTCTCCGCCGCCTTGCAGGGATGCCATCCCGGCCGCCTGCCACTGGGCCCGCCCTCCCACCGCCGCAGCGAGCAGACGGCCAGCCCTGTGCCGGCGCGCGCCTGGCCTGCCGGCGACGGCAAGCCTGTGTTTCGATGCCTCTCTCTGGATGCTCGTAGCTGCCCGCACGCACTGCCAGACCGCAGCGCCTGCCAGCTTGCGCGCGCCCGCTGCTGGCCGCCCGCGCGCGATGACGTCCGCTGCGCTGGGCCGTGTGCTCGCTCTCGCGCTCGCTTCCAGCCTCCCCGGGCGGCCAGGTGAGCGGCCGGAGCGCGAGCAACGCTGCAGCACATCGCCAGGAGTCGCCCCAGAGCCGCCTGCGAAAAAGCGCCAAATCACAGTCACACCTGCGAAGAATTATCGGCGCGTAGCCAACTGTGACGCTGCGCTTCTTCCGCCCGCTGCCCTTGCCGCCCGTCTGACCTCGCCATTGGGCACCACCTCGAAATTGGCCGTCTGGGGCCGCCGGAGACGGCTGCGTAGCGCGCACATCCCGCACCTAAACATCTCACCCTCGTTCCGAAACGCCTGAGCGACCCATCCCAAGTCGTATCCAAATCTGGTCTCTGGTCGACAGCAAACTTTCTGACTCCATCACAGTCGCACGGCCATGCGTCAGCCCCGGCCCATGGCCGTTTCGCTCTCGCTCCCGACGGCCTCTCCACACCCTACCTCTTTGGCTCTCGCGCCTGCGCTAGCCCTCCGCTGCCTGGCGTGTTGCCTTGGCTGTTGGCTCAGCTGCTGTCTCGGCTCCGTCTCAGAGAAGCTCACAGCGTCCTCTATCCATGCACCTCTCGCCTTTTTGATGCCCCAGAGCCGCAAAGGCAGCGCGCTGCCCATGCCAGCTTGGACTTGGTCTCCAGCCTGGCGAGCAGGGTGAAGCGGGGCTTGGTGCAGATCATGTACCCTCATTCAACATCACCTCAACGGCTGCGCGTCCGTCTCATGTTGGGAAACACATGATCTCCGTGTCCCAGCCACTTGCATCTTCACTGTGCGCCCAAGTCTCGTGGTCAGCTTGCTCTGCCTCATTTCGCTTTCCACCGCCTCTATGCACTTTGCACCCATCGCACTGGTCCGGCCGTTTCGCGCAGGTCACACAGCTTAGCAAGCAGCGTGGAGAGCTTCGGGGGCTTTTCCAGCCCGGTCCATCTCCGGATGCCTGAAAAGCAACTCCGCGTGCAGATCCCGTCGCGCGCTTTGTGCATGACGGGTCTCACTACAACACCATGTCCCGCTGGATCCCGCAAAACTGTTGGGCCTGGTGCCCAACACGCGCTCTGCGTCTCGAACGCGCCACAAAGACCTTACAGCTTTTGTCCCTACTACTTGTTTCTGGTAAATACAGAACTGCGTCCCAACCAGAGTTACGTGACCAGGGCCGAACTGCCGACATATAAACACAGAATGCGGAAGAGATTCTCTTCGGAATCGCCGAACATCCTGACCTGTCCGTATCGCCGGTGAGCTGGTCTTGGCCGTTTTACCGTGTCTGCAGCGTAACCCGGCACGCCTCTGAGGTGCCTCGTTTTTCCGCGTCACATGACTGACCTTTTTATGCAACGTACCCCAACTTTCGGAACGCAAACGCAGCCGGCTAAACTTATCGCCAGCCCTATATCGCAGCGTATCAGTTTCCATTGCTCATCACAATCATCAAATAAGGTTACATCCCACCTCATGCATGCGTCCCCTCACTTCCCAAGCTCCCGGACGATTGCTCGCGCTCACGCTTGCACGCGACAAGTGCCATGGTGTTTACCTAGGCAGCACATGCCAGTACAGCATTCGCATGTTTCGACTCTACTGCAGTCCCGCATCACGACGAAGGCTCGGGGTTGCATGTTTCGCACATGCTGATATCCATGTCGCGTTCTGACCGGCTCAATCTTGATTTGTTTAGCGCTGGGAGCATCCCACACTCGCGATGCCGGGGCTACATTCAGGGCGCCACTGTCCTAGGATACCAAATACACATCGCCTTCCTGTTTAGGGCAGACACAGGCACAACCCTTACTTTGGCTGTTCTGCCTTGCCGACCCCCAAAGTGGCAATGCACCCACATCGCAGTCATCTAGGGACGTTGAGCATGGATGGCTAATTGCTAGGTTGTATCGGTGTCAAAAGTGTCTCCTTGTGGTACAAAGTTGCAGAGCCAACGCTCTTAACATCTAACATGGAGTGCAAATAGGCATCGCGACTGACTAGAGGGAACCACCGCCGGCCCGCCATGACCAGGAGGAGAGTCGGTTACCAAACATGTTATCGATAACCAAACCATGGGTCTGTGTTGGCCAACCGGCCACGCCCTGAGAACCCTGTCAGTCCACTCTTACGAGAGACGGATGAGTGCGCCCAGACGCATGCTTTTGACCTTCATTTGTGGCGGTCACCTAATCTGCGGGATCAGCGCGGCATCCGACGCTCGCCTGTATAAGTGGTCGACTCCAGGCACAGCGCGCTATATGCGACTTCATTAAGCACCGCCTGGCATAACGTCATCTTAGAATGACGATAGCAGCTAACGACCGGTGTCCATAGCATGAACCGGAGCACGCAATGAGAGGGTACATAACGCACCGTGTCGGCGCTGTAGGAAGACGCCGCCCAGTTGTTTGTTCTACTATGTAACCGTTTGCCCTTTAGACTACGCACAACGAGCAGGTCGCTAATGGTACATCGACTCGGATCCGGCCTGGAGGTGTACCACCAGTGTATTTTGTGCTCGCGCTGGCAAACGACGCTCACTTCACTTTTCGCACAGTCACCGCCGTCGTCATCCACGACAGATGAGATTCTTGTCCCTTCATCGTACCCCGGCGTGTAGTCTTGCGATGCTGGCTGGCATAACGGAGATCGGCTAGTTGCTAGAGTGTTTACGGAGTGGATTGGTGTTTATGTGTAGCACCTTTGGATTTCGAGTGAGAATGAGAATGAAAATGGGCGGGGCCACACACGGATTTCGTTTGAAGACATGCTTACTGGAGGCGTTTACGCGATAGCGTTCGAGCTGGAGTGGGTTAGATCACACGCGCAAGCTCTCTGATGAGCAGCCATGGTAGGACGCTGGGCTCGCCAGAAAATATGGGGTACGTACACAGCGGTAGTCCCTCCCCCAATGCGTAGGTTGTTCAAAGTCGTACGTAAAGAGCACCACCTCGGCAGCAGTCCCAGATACCGTTGGTAGAAACAAAGCGAGATGTGGATTTCTAGATTGAATACGTGTATGTATTGAGGTCATGGCTTGGTGCTCGCGGTCGTAACGGCGGCGGGAAGGCGAGCGCAAATACACAGACGGGGCAGGTGCGACAGGTGTGACTCGACGTTGTAGACGACAGCAGACGAATCTTCAACCAATGTGATACAACCACCGAGCAATACCAAATCTGTGCAGACTCTACAGACAAGGCAAGATCGTTCAATCAACCGTAACCCTACACCAACATCACAGACAAGTCACAGCAAAACGACAAGAATAGAAGTAACGATTTATTACTCGTACTAATCATACAACAGACCCAAAGTCCAAAATAACGCCTTTGCTAAGCCATCAAAGACCTCGGTGTGCGACATAGGAAATAAGTGTTCGGGAGCCGGTAGAGCCTGTCTTCCATCTGGCCAGATGTGAAAGAATATCGAGCGCGGAAAACAGTATCAAGCAGAAGCCGAACGCGAAAAACAAATTTTTGTGCCCGTGAAGAGACTCTCATCCCAGTCCTGTGCATCCAGACACCTCCCCGTTCTCGGCTCACCCTCGAACCCCCCGATCCTTAGGATCGCGTCGAAGGAGGCGGTGGCTGGTCGTGGTATCATATGCAAACGACCCATGCGTCCCCGGTATTAGTAACAGTCTAAAGCAAAGCGGAAACGTCATCCCCCGTCACCAACGTTCACGATGTGAACGAGGCGTTTATTTCTTGCTGCCGAGCAGACCACCGACGATCGGCAGGTTGCTGGCGCCTCCACCCTTCTTCTTCTCCTTCTTTCCGCCGCCGAGCATCTCGGAGACGGATCCAAGGCCAAGACCGCCGAGCAACTTGTCGATGCCCAAGCCGCCGAGCAAACCGTTGACGAGACCACCGAGTCCAAGACCGTTGAGCAGTCTGCCGACCAGGTTGAGGACACCGGTGAGCAAGAGACCAACGGCAGCGATGATCTGGAACAGAGGCTCGGTGAGCAGAGCCCAGAGAGGGTTGAGCTTCTTCTTGGCGTGGGGCATGTCGTTGAGCTTCTTCTTCGCATTGTCGATCGTGGTGACAACGGAAGTCGTGAGCTCCTTGAGAAGGTCGGCAAGACGGTACTCCTCGGGTGTAGCTTCCTTGGTCTCAGAGCGACCCTTGGCCTGGGCAGCAATGCGACCATCGGGGTCGAGAGCACGGAGAGAGCCATTGCACTCTTCGAGAATGCGAGAACCCTCCATGATGAGAGGCTTGACGTTATTAACAAGCTCCTCCTCATCGAGCTCGTCACGCGGCGTGCGGTCGGCCTTCTCAATGTGCTGTATAAACGTTAGTATGTCAAAGTGTGGAAGGGCGATGAGTGTACTTACCTCGGTGATCTGCTTCATGACAGGCTGCACACGCTCAAGCGTCTGCTGGCAGATGTTGGCCATCTTATCAGCAAGCTCCGCATCCTCGCGGCGCTGCTTCTCCTCATCGGTCTCCTCGTGGTCCTCCTCCTGGATGTTCTCAAGAAGAGTGACCTCGCCGACCTTGTTGCCGTCGTTGTCAACGACATAGCCGTTGTCATCGATCTCAAGACCAGCGCAGTGACCGAGGTCACCAGCGGTGAGACGACCGATGAGATCGCCGTTCTGGTCGCGTACCTCACCCTCCTTGTTGACGTGCATGCCAGACATAGGGTTGATACGGCGCTCCTTCTCTTCAGGCTCCCAGCGCTCGGCCTTACCAATGACGTTACCATTCTTGTCGTTGATGTCGCCATCCTCATCGACCTTGTGGCCAACGAGCTTCTTGATGTCGCCCTCAATGACGCGGCCGATAATGTCGCCACCGGCAGTCTGAATGGTCCCGTCCTTGGCGACCGTGTTCTCCTCAAAGCCAGCGAAAGGTCCCTCGGGTCCAGAGCTGACACCCTGGACAAGCTCGGCACGTCCGATGACGTTTCCAGCGTTGTCCCAGATCTGACCCTGGCCGTCAACCTTCTTGCCGATCATGGTGGATGGGTCACCCTCAGCAACGCGGCCAAGGATCTGACCGGAAGCGTCGACAACGTTGCCGGCCTTGTTGACAGTGCAGCCAGCGAGAGCGCTAAGGTCGACCTCGGGCTCTTCCTCTTCCTCCCAAGGCTCGGCGTGACCCTTGACGTTGCCATACTTGTCGATGATATCGCCGTCTTCGTCGACGTGGTTGCCGACAAGCTTCTTGGGGTCACCCTCGGTAATCTGGCCAACACGGTTGCCATCACCGTCTTCGACAAAGCCGTCCTTGACGACGCGGAGACCTTCGAGGCCTGCGAATGGACCCTCCTTGCGCTGGACGCGCTCGTTCTCGGGAATCAACTCGCAACGACCGACAACCTTGCCAGTGTCGTTGTGAATTTGACCCTCACCATCGGACTTGCGACCGACGAGGTCGTCAAGCTTGCCCTCGACGAGGCGACCGATCGGTGTTCCGTTCTGATCAACAAGGTAGCCCTGCTTGTTAAGGGTAAGACCGTCGAGAACGGAGAGGTCATCAGGGATCTCCTCTTCCTCCTCAAGGGGCTCAGCGTGGCCCTTCACGTTGCCGTACTTGTCAAGGATGTCTCCATCCTCGTCGACTGCGTTGCCGACGAGACGCTTGGGGTTACCTTCAACAACCTGACCCACGATGTTCTCGTCCTCGTCAGCGACCTTACCGTCCTGAACGACACGGAGACCCTGAAGACCAGCGAAGGGGCCCTCTGGCTTGGCCTCACGCTCCTGCGGAGGGATGAGTTCGACACGGCCAATGACCTTGCCAGAATCGTTCCAGATCTGGCCTTGGTCGTCGAGTTTGCGTCCAGCGAGCTCCTTAGCATTGCCTTCAACGAGACGGGCGACCGGCACGCCTTCGCTGCCGATAACGTTGCCCTGCTTGTTGACAGTGAAGCCTTCGAGGGAGGAGAGGTCAGCCTCTTCGACCTCCTCAACCTCTTCCTCGGGTTCCTCGTAGCGCTCGGCATGTCCAACAACTGAGCCCTTCTTGTCAAGGATATCACCATCCTCATCGACGGCACGGCCCACAAGCTTCTTGGCGTCGCCTTCGACAACCTGTCCAACGCGGTTGCCGTTCTCATCTTCAACGAATCCACCCTTGACGACAACGAGACCCTCGAGACCGGCGAAAGGAGATTCCTCCTCTGCCTCCTCCTGGGGGACCGTCTGGGCACGGCCAATGACATTGCCCTTGTTGTCCCAGAACTGGCCCTCGGCATCGCAAGTGATGCCAGCCTTGGAGAGCTTCTTAGCGTCGCCCTCAGTAAGCTCACCGACGATGTTGCCGTTGGAGTCGATGATCTTGCCGGACTTATTGACAGTAAGTCCGTCGAGAATAGATAGGGGTGGTCTGCCGTCGTCCTCCTCCGCCTCCTCCGCAGCTTCCTCAGCTTCCTCCTCGGCACCTTCAGCAGCTTCCTGGGCTTCGCCGACCTGCTGCTCGACCATCTTGGGGAGAGTCTTAACTTTACCGATGACGTTGCCATCCTTGTCCAACACCTCTCCCTGGGCGTTGATCTTCTTTCCAGCGCAGTCCTTGGCGTCACCCTCGACGAGCTCACCAATGACTTCACCTTCCTCATCGAGAACTTGACCCTTCTTGTTGACCTTCAGGCCCTCCAGGGTGTCCAGTTCGGGGGTGATCTCCACCTCCTCGGTCTTGGGAGCTTCGCGCTGCTGAGGAAGAGCGCGGACCTTTCCAATGACGTTGCCGTCTTTGTCAAGAACCTCGCCCTTATCGTTGATCTTCTTACCGGCGCACTCCTTGGGGTCACCCTCCTCGAGCTCGCCAATGGGCTCGCCCTCCTCGTCGAGAACTTGGCCCTTCTTGTTGACCTTCAAGCCCTCAAGCTCGTGGAGCTCGGGGATTACCTCGATGAGCTCAGGCTCTTCTTCAGCCTCCTCGGCCTCATCACCTTCACCGAGGTCTGAGCCAAGGCGTTCCTTGAGGGCCTTCATGGCTTCAAAGGCAGCCTCACCGGGAACAACATCGACCTTTCCGACAACGTTGCCGTCTTTGTCCAGGACCTCGCCCTTGTCGTTGATGGTCTTGCCCACGGCATCGGAGATTTCACCGTCCTTGAGCTCACCAATCTCTTCGCCCTCGGCATCGAGGACCTTGCCCTTCTTGTTGACCTTGAGGCCTTCCAAGATGCGGACGTCAAGAGCGCCGGCAGCAGATTCCTTGAGCTTGTCCGCAGCGCCTTCGGCGAGCTCGACCTTGCCGAGGACGTTGCCATCGGCATCGACAACCTCGCCCTTATCGTTGACAGTGAGGCCCTTGGCGTCGGTAACGGAGCCTTCTACGAGGTGGCCGACGACTTCGCCGTTGTCGTCGACTACGTCACCCTGGGAGTTGACTTCCATGCCCTCGATGGCATCGACGCCAGGAAGCTCATCCTCAACATCGGCGGCTCCCTCCTCGGCGGTGTCCTTGGCTTCGTCGGCAACGCCCTCAATGCCCTCAGCGGCGCCCTCACCTTCCTCCTCATCCTCATCCTCCTCACCTTCCTCGTCTTGGTCGACGAGGTCGGCAGCATCAGGGTGAAGCTCAGCGCGGGCAATGACGTTGCCATCGTCGTCCTTGATCTCGCCGTTCTCATCGAACTCGCGGCCTTGGATCTCGGATGGGTCGCCCTCGACCACGTGGCCAACAAAGTCGCCATCGTCGTTGAGGATCTGGCCAGACTTGTCTGCGGTCAGGCCCTTGAGGATGCTGAGAGGAGGCATCTTCTTGCCATCAACCTCGTCCTGGCCCTGCTTGAGCTGATCTTGCGCAGCCTCGGGTAGGAGCTCGCAGCGACCGACAAGGTCACCGTCGTCGTCGAGGATCTCGCCGTCGTCGCCAATGGCGTAGCCAGCAAGGTCTTCGGCATCACCCTCAACAAGGCGGCCAAGAGGCTTGCCGTCCTTGTCGTGGATGAGACCTTCCTCATCGACTTCCAAACCCTTGAGGACGCTCAGGTCGGGGGTTGCCTGGTCAGCAGTGTCCTGGGCAGTGTCCTTTGCATCCTCGGCGGTGTCCTTGGCATCATCGGCGGTGCCTTCAGCGGTGTCCTTCGCATCATCGGCCGTGTCTTCGACAGATGCCTTTGCTTGGTCGGCAGTGTCCTCTACGCCTTCGGCAGCATCGCCGGCAGCGTCCTGGGCATCATCGGCAGCGCCGCCTGCGGCGTCCTGAGCATCTTCACCTGCATCCTCTGCAGCGCCCTGGGGGTCTTCGGTAGCCTTGCCGGCCAAACCCTGGGCTCGTCCAGCGAGTCCACGAGCGCCGCTCAGTGCACCCTCGCCCGAAGACTTGCCGCTGTCCGCGGCCTTGCTGGCGGTGTCTGTGACGTCGTCCTCGTCATCCTGGGTGTCGGCCTCCTCTTCGCCGGCCTTTTGGGTTGCGTCATCATCGTCGTCACCAGTCTCCTCGGCTTCCTCTTCAAGTTGTTTGGCTCTGGCGGCGACCTTGTCTTTCACATCAGTGGCCTTGCCCTTGGCGCTGTCGGCTGCCTCTTCGGCATCGTCAATTGGCTTGGGCTCGGCCTGCTCCAAGTCGTCACCGGCCTGGGAGACCTTGCCTTGTGCGTCGTCGGCAGCTTCCTCTGCCTGGCCCTCTGCCTGGTCTTTTGTGTCTGCGACGTTTTCGGGAGCATCCTCTGCGGTCTCGCGGAGGGTGGATTCTGATTGCGAGGGACGAATCTCCTGCTCTTCTGTCTTCTTGCCTAGCTTGGGGGCACCCGACTGGGGCTTCCTTCCGAGCTTGGTAGGAGTGCGGGGGGTTTCACTCTTTCCTGCGGCGGGAGAAGGCATGGTGTCGTCTTCTGTTTCCTCAAGGGGTTCTCGTGTAGTTCGTAAAGTTCGTTGCGAAGCAGCAGACGCGTTACTGGAAATGGATCGTGAACGTTGGGAACGGGGGGAGTTCCTGTTGGGGGTGGGGGGGAAGGAGTAGTATGTGTAGGAGCTGGATGGAGTATGGGGCATATATCAATTGACGGGTCACGTCTGAAAGGAGAGCAGGAGCAGGGCATGGGTTGACTGGGTTATATGGCAGCAGTAGTGGTGGGACTTGCAAGTCTGCAGCATGACGTATCTGTGAAGCTGGTGGTGGGAGCTGCCGTGGAGGAACAGTGGCAGGGGTAGCTCGCGCCGCAAGAGGCGAAGAATGGAGCTTGAGAACCTGTTTTGCGCGCCATGGGAGCAGCGTGTGCGACGGAGCTTGCTGTGGGAGCAGAGGGGTTGCGTCATGCACCGATCTTGAGCGGGGCGCCAGCTCCCACGGCGGCGATACGAGCCAGTGGGTGGGACACGAGCGGGTAGGCGCCTCTCGTGCTGTGGCGGGACTGGGATGCGGGACTGCCATCGACGATTGCATGCCGCGGGCATGCCAAGGCAGCCGTTCGATGCCGGCTGCAGTTGCGCTGCGATGGCGGGTGGTGGAGAGCTTGTGGCGGACGCGTAGACAGCGTGGTGCCATGCATGCACCGCACCCAGGCCGCCTCTCGACTCTCTCTTCGGTTCTTGCCTGGTGCCTTCTCGCTCGCGCGCCCTCTCTTCTGCTGCACGCCACACAGCTCCCCCATGGCCATGCTGTTCCCAGCGCCAGGCCCGCCTCCCCGCCCGCGCTGCGTCCTCGGCCCTCGCAGCCGGCCCAGTCCAGGCCCGATCGACGGCGCAGTGGCTGATGTCGCTGCTCATCGCGAGCCGCCCCCCTGGGCCTGCTGTACCGTGATATCACAGGCTGCGCTGCCGCGCTGTTACTTGGAAAGCAGGACTCGCCGAGCCATGACATCAAACATGCGGGACGGTGCTGGGGTAGCTCCGTTGCGCCATCCCTGCTAGCGCCGTGCCACATGACGATCATCCTCCTCGCCTCCGACCGACATCATGGCCAGCGGGAGCAACGCTGAGAATCGAGCCTCGCCCGCGCTATGCGGATCGACTCCTTGTCCCTGCGTAGGGTAGTGCGCCGCTGCGAGCTTAAGCGGAGGACTATGCCCATCTTCCGCAGGACGCCTGGCAGTAGTGCGCGGAACGCGGGTCGGTTTCACCTTCAAATCTTGTTCCTGATACCCCAGCCTGCGAGACGGAAATTTACTGAGGTCACCGCCTCCGCACTGGTACAGCCCACCATCGGAATCGAGACATGGCAGAGCAATCGCGATGCATCTGATGCAGGTACATGTCGCGTCGAGCAGCGCCAATCATGCCAAACGGAAGGTCGAACCGTGCGCCGTGTGGTTCGCTTGCAACGGCAAAGACGTTGCGTCAATCGTGGGGTCTGCAACCGTCGGAATTCGGAAGCACCTCTGCGTCGGGACCAGCATTTGACAGAGCCGACATCACCGTCTCGCACGCGTTGCAGGTCGCGCGAGTGTCTGGCAAGAAGAATAGTGTGCACAATTAGATACGCTATAGCAATAGGCCACGGCCAATTGCGGGATATCAGCAAAGAAACGCACCATCTCCAACGCCCAAATGCAGGTACAGAGCCAAGCGCCAGTGACGCTGCACCAGTCAACTGGGGCTCCTGGCTGATGCCGAGCTGCTTCAACGTCGTGCGCCCTCGCACCACGTCAGGTACCAACAAGCTCACGCTTCCCAGACGGCGCGATGCCACTCTCAACGTCTTGTCCGGACTTGCTCAGCGTCTTCTTGTGCTTGCTGTCTTTCCCATCACCACTCGACCCACCGGAGCTGTGACGTAGTTTGTGCCAGATCTTGCGTCTCCAGCTCCTCTCTCGCTTCTCAGCCTCCTGCTTTTCGTTGTGCGCAGCCATGAGCTGTCGCTCCTTTTCGGCGCTTTTGCTCTTGTCTTTTGACTCTTCCATCTTCTTCTCGTACTCTTCTGGATGGCTGGATGCAATGTCAGCATGCATGTACGTCAGCTTTGGCAACTTCACTTACACTACTTTGATCTCGGCATTGTGTACATGCTCGACGCCATGCTTGACTTTCCTGCGCGTCTTGACGTACATCTCAAGCCCGACCAGGACTGCGTACGACCGTGATATCGAGACGCGAGACATGTCGACGCCATTGTCTTTCATCGAATGCACAAAGGCACGGAAGTTCTTCGTTGGAGGCCGGTAGTGGCCCGATAATGGCGACAGTCGACGCAGCTGGCCGTCCTTGATCTTGATAAGCCCTGCCGCAGAGATGCGGGCACCATGGAGGAACGAGCTGTGCTGGAAGGCACCCGATTGCTTGATACCCACGTACAGACGGAATTGAGTATCGGCCACGAAGATCCACGAGTTTGGCTTTACGGAACCTCTCAACAAGTGATTCAGGACGGTCGCTGCAGACACGTACTTGATCTTGGCCAGTCCCTTGGATTGCTTCAGGTCGTGGTTCACGTAATGCTCCCCTTCCACGTCGCTGTGTTCTGCAGAAGTCTCGGAGCCTGACGAGTCGGTGGAGCTTCTCCGACTGGGACCGCTCTCAAGCTTGCCCCCTGGAGCATAAGCCGGCGTGCTGTCGTCCTTGGGGACGATACCATTGACACTGTCCTTGTACTCCATGCTCGTGCTTATCCTCTGGCCGTTCTTGGCCCAGCACAGCCGGCCCTCGTCGTCAATCTTCACCAGGTACTGCATGCGCTCCTCCCTCGACAGATAGCGCACTTGCTCCTTCTCGAGACGCTCTCGCGACACGGTCGGATGCTCAAAGTCCTTGCCATTCCCGCTGTCGAGCCAGTAGAAGAAGTTCTCGTGCGTGTCGGACTTCTTCCACTGCTCGTGGTATGCTCGCAGGTTGGACCCGTAGCGGTGTTTCTGGTCGACCATCTCGAGGAAGTACTGCAGGTCCATCATCTTGGCCGTCTTCTCGCGCTCCGCCTTCTGCTGCGCCCTTGTGCGGTGGTCATTGTCGGCTTCGATGTCGTCGACGGGGTCGTCGCCGCCGGCCCGTCTCGCGATCTCGCCCACGCGCTTCCAGTTCTGGCGAGCAGCGTCGGATGCGGCTCTGGACTGTTGCTCGGGCGTCGTCAGCGTCTCTCTCGTGGGGCGCTCGGCGCGCGGTATGGGCTTGGTTGCGCTTCTCCATTTCGCTAGTGGTGTCAACCATGTTAGCTCCGGGGTTCGACGACGCGAACGCGGACGGTGGGAGCGAACGAACCCTCCTTCAAGGCCTGTCCCAGTCAGTTGCGCACCGCATGTACGAGGCTTGAGCGTACTTCAGACCAACGCGCCCCGGCATCCAGCCCCATGCCCTGCAGCTGTCGCCGCTCTCGATAGCCGCGGTAGTTTTTCTGGATCAGCTGCGCAGCTCGCTCCTGCTCGTTGCTGCTGCTTGCGCCATTGTGCGCCGGCGACTGCGCTCCGGGCGCGCTCTGTGCAGGGGCATGGCGAGACGCAGGCTGCTCACCAGCCTCGAGGTCCGACATGTGAACGAGGGCGGTGCTACATCTCTCTGCAGTTCGAGCGGGTGGTTTTAATATGCAGCAGCGGCAGCCAGCGGCGGGGCCAACACCCCTGCTGTTCACGGAAGCCCGGCACCAGCCACAACGACTCCCCTCCCCCAGCGGATGAGCCACAGCGCCCCTGTTGGCACTTGGTTTGCGACACGCATCGCGGCACCTGCATCGCAGCGTGCATCGCTACTTCAACATTGCGAGTACAGTACACTGCATCTCCAGGGCAGGCGATACACAGGTCAGCTGTACTCGCACTATGAGGCTATTCGGACCTTCTTCCAAGGTTGTGTGCAAACACCCAATGTGGCATGGTACGCAAATCAGCCGTGGCAGGCAGCTAACGCCAACAACGTCAGGCGACACTGCTCGAAATGCGATCGCATTGGCCCTATCGCAGGCAGTAGAGAGGCATCTCTGGTGTTTTCTTCGTTTCTCACGGGGTGGAGTTGCTGACCCACTTCGCTGCCTGAATACGACGCCACGCTGCTCCCTCATTCGCCAATTGCCCGTTGTCGCCTGGCAGTTCTGAAGATATAAACCACGATGCCACGCTCAGTCGTACCCCATCGCAACTCGTCCTTTCCCTCTGCATTCACGCCCATCGCACCTGCCGTGACCGCGCTTGAAAGGATGCATCGTGTTCTCCATTTGTGACTGCAACTTGTACAAACCACGCTCCGACACATCCTCAGGGGCATCATGGCTCCACCCGAGACCAAAGATGCCGCCGGCTTTCCTTTGCTCGGCTTGACCAACCCGCTCAACAGCATATCTGACCGCTCGTGGGGACATGGCCTTGATCGTGCACGTTTCAAGAATGCGATATCGGACTGGTCGGGCACACCACTGATGCTGAGTGAGCGCAACATGATTGCGGTCATGGATCGGCTCACCGACAAGCCTGAGTGGACCCGAAAGGTCTTTGACGAAGAGATTGTCGCAAAGTGGAAGAAGGAAGCCATCGAAAAGTTCAAGGACGAGCCCCCGCAAAAGCAATTCAGCGTGAAAATGTGGGACTATGTAAGTGGCTTCGAGACCCTTGTGGAGTTACGCTCACCATTCAGTGTCTCGCAGAAATGCGGGAATACGCAGGGCTAGAGAAAGAGCACGGCTTTGTCCCAGCGCTGGAAGCCACTGCGACTGTGTTCAAGTCCGATAGCATCATTGATGCCCAGCTCAAGCATGACCTCCGAGTGGCCGCCTCCGTATTGGAAGACGTGCCGGAAAGTGCCAAGGACTGGCATCCTGGTTCGGACGATATGGTTCTAGACCTGGTACATCCGTCTTTGTTCCCACTCCTGTATGGTCGCTCCAGGGTGTTGAAGCCCAGTTATGGACACGTACTTGGTGACACCGACGGGCAGTGGGAAGGGAAGGGCGGAACCATGACGCTAGACGATTGCGAGCAATGGATTGGGAAAGGTGGCATTATGCCAGTACCTGGGCTGGCCGCAACACAGGTGTCATCCTTCGCCGGATTGTCCTCCTGGGATAGGTGGGGGCGGGCGAACGACCAGCACTTCTATTCTGCCAAGTTCCAGTGGCTACCATGCGAGGTTGCGTTTGCAGACGGAGACGAGGTGAAGATCACTAGCTACATCAATAACCTACAACCGAAGAAGCACAAAGGGCTTTACGAGGTCCTGGAGCACATGATCGCCAAGACAATTCCCATGTGGAACGCAACCCTGGACTCCACGCAGACTTTCCATAAGGAGCCACGCATCGACCTCCAAGACATACCCTGGATCGAGCCGGCGGGAGAACGACCGCGGGAAGAAGACGAGGGCTCATCTGATGAAGACACCTGGGAACTCGACAGCGAATGGAGAGAAGCAAATCGCATACTCATCCCTCCACAACCGAATACCTATTCGAGACGCGAAGGCACTTTCGCCATGAAGGACAGCCGCGAGAAAGCCGTCAATCTCCGCCAAGACTGGTCAGACCAAGGTCTTCAGGTCATCGTCAAGCTCGCCAACATTCATCTCACCCCTGAAAAGCCAGATTATGATGGCGGAGCCTGGCACATCGAGGGGCAGCTTAACGAGCACATTTGCGCGTCAGCGCTATACTACTACGACAGCGACAATATCACCGACTCGTACCTCGCGTTCCGCGAAACGACGAGCCAGGAATACCTCGCAGACAAACCGTACGAGCAGAGCGACCACACGCACTTCGAACTCCTCTACGACATCGATTCAGACGGCCCGTGCGTCCAGGAACTAGGCTCTACACTCACGCGCGAGGGACGCCTTTTGACCTTCCCTAATGTTCTGCAGCACCGCGTGAGCCCCTTCTCCCTGGCAGACAAGACGAGACCTGGACATCGCAAGATCGTGGCGCTGTTTTTGGTCGATCCGCATACTAGGATCCCGTCCACAGCCAATGTGCCGCCGCAGCAGAAGGAGTGGTGGAAGGAAATGGTACATGAACTCGACCGGGTGAATAAACTTCCAGCTGAACTGCAGGAGTGGGTGACGGACAGTGCAGGCGATTTCCCGCTTACCCTTGAGGAAGCGAAGAAGATCAGGGTGGAGTTGATGGATGAGCGGAGGCTGTTTGTGGCAGATCATGAGACGCGGATTGAGCAGGAGTCTTTTAGCTTCTGCGAGCATTGAGCGGAGTGGTGATATGATAACTCCGTTCGGCTACTCGCTTTCGAATATGGGTCGCTTGTTTACAAGTTCAAGCGCTCAATACGCTGCAACATCCGTTACTAAGATGATATTGAGTTCCAGCACTTCTTGTGACTCATTCCACGGCTGTCAAGGAGAAGGGCGCTGAGGCGGGTCCCGTCTTTTATTTGACTGTCCTAGCGTGGTGGAGTTCCGCCGCCCCCATCGTCATCTTCGCTATGCACGCTGACCCGCCCTTTACCCTTCACAAGACATTCCCGTGTGCGATAAACGAAAGATCTGTGAATGGACCAGCGGCAATGCACCCACACGAGTAGAGAACGATGTAGCTCGTGAAATATCCCTGGGCTTTTTCAGGAGAGCCTCTCACGTCGTCCCACCTCTGATCCTAACGCGGATATATTCCGCAGCATTCGCGCCACTGCACTTCACCAATGATTAATTTGCTTGAGCCTCTGCTGACCGTACCAAAAGTATGTCTTTCTGTTCTCAGTCTAGCTTATACTATCCGCCGTTTACATGGGCGTCGAGATGCGCCGCGGTGGAGCTCCGCTGCCCTCCTCTGGAAAAGGGCATAGGTGTAGACTCCATGGGAAGCACGATCCTTGAATCGCAAGCAGAGGGCGCAAGATAGCACACTTGTTCCCCCTGCGTAGCTCCTATTAAACAGCGACGGTCCGACGCGTCCAATGCAATAAAACATCACATTGTCCGGAGAATCGATTCCATATATACATCAAACCATTGTCGTTTCCCTCTCAATCACCATATCTTCTGCAAATATGTCTGCACAGCTCAACCGCCCTCTCAAGACGCCCAGCGGCGTCGTCTTCCGGAATCGTTTGGTCAAGGTATATCCTTCTACTCTGTAGATACAGCAGTGACGAACCCTAACACGCGACCCAGGCCGCAATGGCAGAGTCCCTGGCAGCCGCGGACAACGACCCCACCGATGCATACATCACGCTGTACGACACGTGGAGCCAGGGCGACTGGGGAGCCGTAATAACAGGTATACCCCTTCCTTCCTTCCTTCCTTCCTTTTCACAGCACTTGCTAGAAGTTCTAAGACATTCTTCCTTAGGCGAAATGGAAGTCTCGACAACCTACATGGGCCACCCTTACAACATCAATACCAAACCCGCCCCTTCACAAACACGCGCAATAAAAGACAAATGGACACGCTGGGCCCGCGCCGCAACCCAGCACGGCACCCCCGCCCTCGTCCAGCTCGTCCACCCAGGCCGCCAATCCCCGGCCGCCTGTGGCCAAAGATCGTTCTTCTCCAAGGCCATCGCGCCCTCCGCCGTCGCCGTCTCACTGGGGCCAGGGGCATCAGACTGGCTGGCGAGCAAACTGCTCTTCGGCACCCCCCGCGCGATGAGTCGCGACGAGATATCCGAAGCGGTATCCCAGTTCGCAGCGGCTGCGAAGCTGTGCCACGAGAGCGGCTTCAGCGGCGTGCAGATCCACGCCGCGCACGGCTTCCTCCTCACGCAGTTCCTCTCCCCCAGCACGAATCTGCGGACGGACGAGTACGGGGGCTCGCCTGCCGCGCGCGCGCGCATCGTGCTCGAGGTCATCCGCGCCGTCCGCGCCGCCGTGCCGCCGTCGTTCTGCGTGGGGATCAAGCTCAACAGTGCGGACGTGGGCGGGCGCGAGGCGGAGAGCTTGGAGGAGAGTCTGGAGCAGGTTGGCCTGGTGGCCAGGGAGGGCATAGATTTTCTTGAGATTAGTGGCGGGACGCTTGAGAATATGCGCATGGCGGCTGGCGACGCGCCTGCTCCTATGGAAAAAGAGATGAGCGAGAGCACGAGGCACAGAGAGGCGTTTTTCCTCGACTACGCGAGGGCGGTGCGCGCGAGGTTCCCGGAGGTGGTTCTCATGGTGACGGGGGGGTTTCGGAGTCGCGCGGGCATGCGGGAAGCACTCGATACAGGTGCGTGTGATTTGATAGGGCTGGCGCGGCCGAGCGCGGTGTGGCCCCGCTTGCCGAGGGAGGTGCTGCTGAATGAGGAGGTGGATGATGGGGATGCGAGGTGTGAATTGAGCCTGGTCAAGGGAAACTGGTTTGTGAGGAACTTGGCGCCGAAGATTGTGGGGGTTGGCGTCGATACGCTGTATTATGCGGGACAGATTGCAATGATGGCAGAGGGGAAGGGGACGAGTGCGCCGGGGTTGGGGGCGTAGGGGTGGGTGTATGGGGGGTGTTGGATTGGCGGATGCCGTAGGATAGAAGGCTTGTGTATGAGGTGGGATAGTGTGTTACCGACTCGCAGAGTGTGGAGGGCGCGGCACAACCAGCTCCGAAATTTCAAACCTAGAACGAGAACTTGATAGATTTCAAATTTTAGTAGTTTGTGCGGATTCATGAGTCGTGGAAAGTACAGTATCCAATTCCATGCAGCCAGCTCACATCAAACTGTACCCCTCTCCTCGTCCTTGCTCTTCCGCCCATCCCAACTGCTACCCTCACTGTCCGTATCCCCCAGCAACTCATCCCATGCAGCCTCATCTACACTATCCCTCCTGTCATCCTCTTTTCTGTTGCTCCCGTCAACCTTGACATTGACAAACAACACCCACAACCCCACGTCGTACGTGACCCTGCAAATCCCCGTGGCCACAAACGCCGCGAAGAACTTGTCGTTGCCAGCCAATATCCCAGTGATCGACGGGCCCACACTCATCGCCAGCGTGCGCAACATGTGCGTGATGCCCATGACACCAGTCCGTTCCTCGGGCTTAACGACTGCAGCAATGAAAGCCGCGCGGGGGGCTTGGTCCATGCTGTTCAGGGCTGCGCGGAAGAGCAGCAAACCAACGGTCCAGCCGACGGAGTTCGGGAGCGGGATAAACGCGCTTGCGATAGACGAAGGCAGATGTGTAAACACCATGGTGTTGATCAGGCCAATGTATTTGGACAGGGGCCCCGCAAAGATGGAGGACACGGCACAGAGGAACATTGATGCGGACGTGATGTCGCCAAGGGTCGCCTTGGAGAGGTGGAATTTCTGATCGACGTAGTAGTTCATCAGGGAGTAGGGCGTCATGCCGTCGGCGAGGGAGTCGATTGCGAGCAGCGCCCAGAGCTTGTACATGATGCTGCGTGTCTGCTTGGAGATCTGCGAGAAGTAGGACGCCTTCTCCTTGCTAGCGACACGGATGTTGGGTCTTTGCGACTCGGAGGAGCGCGCGTGGCCGTCTGTAGTAGGCGTCATGGCCTCGAGCAGGACCTCCTCTTCTTCGCCATCGCCGCGGGACACACCGCGCCCGCGTTCTTGCATCTCCTTGGTCTTTTCGTTGGCCGCCTCGCATTGCTTGCTCAGTCCCAGACACAGCACGCACCCCACAACACCAAACGCGGCATACATCCAGAACAGGATATGGTATGCCTTCTTCACGTCGCCGCTGCTCTTCTCGACCCACGTGACCAGCCGCCCAGCGACCTCTGACCCTACAGCCCCCGCCATCGTCGTAGCAGTGACATACCACGCTAGGACATCGCTCCTCGTCCGTTCGTTCGTCAGCCCGCTCAACGTACTCTCTTCTACCGCTCTGAATGGCCCAGCATCTCCACCCGTTACACTGATCACTCCAATCACCGCTGCGCCCAGTAACACCCAGAAGTTCTCGGACATGGCGAACGCAGTGCCTGACAGCACCATCATCGCGGAGCCAAAGAGGAGAGTCTTGCGGCGTCCAAGTTTGTCCGCTACGAGCGTAAGGACCAGCGACAGAACAACGTCGCCCAGCAGGGTCAACGTCATGAACAAGCCGATACGAGAGTCGGGGAAATTTAAAGACGCAAAGAACAGCGCGAGAATGAGGGAGGGGATGCCGGCGGAGAACATGCGCAGACAGCGGAGCGTGATGATGATGTAGGCATCTCGGCCTGTTGCGCGGAGGGAGTGCACGCCCAGAAAACGCGCGAAGCGTGAGAGGATTGTTGGAGCCATTGTGTTTCGGGAGGGTTGCTTTGGTGAGCTTTTCACGAGAATTGTTGACGCAGCAAGTAGAAAGCCCGCTCGACAGGCACAGCAACGCTATCTCATGCGAACAAGGTGTAGGAAAGAAAAGAAAAGAAAAGAAAAGAAAAGAGAGAAGTAAGAAGAGTCGCGAATCGCCATATGCAAGGCCGGCCGCGGTTGCCGTTCGAGCCTCGACTACTGCATCTGCTAACCTCCATTTTGACCGCTCTGTTAGCAGTTGTCCAACTGCAGGGCCTGTGAGGCGAAAGCGTTAAATCCGGAGCCGAGCGTCGTTTTCCGGGGATGAAATGGGTCGCGTGCGAGGTCGGAGTCATTCTCGGATCGGAGATACCCCACTATCGGATGGCGTCATGCAATAAGTATATTAAACAACGGACCAACAACGTGAATTTGAAATGCATCTTCCAAGGACGAAGAGGGTATCATTTGTGTACGCAAACATAAAGGAAAAAGGGTCGTCTCAAACGGCGCGTACCTCCTTAGCGACAGCTGCGCACAGCTCAACCTGCACACCAGCGCCGGACAAGACATGTAACCAGAGCCTCTGCGTGTCACTCAAGCGATCGTTCTCGCTTTTCACTTCCGCAAACTTGACCTCGCCTTTCTTTGCTCCCCCTTTGGCTTCATCGGCTACCTTCCACAGAAAGAGATCAGGCACGCCGCCTCCTCGTTGGCCGTACTCCTGTGCCATGACCTTGCACACGGTCGCTAATGCTTCGCCGTCAAAACATTCAGCAATTTCAACAAGGTCTGTAACGTCATATGTCCAGTCGAGACCTACGATGCAAGTTCGACGCTCGTGATGCGCGTCGTGGACGCCTTGAATAATGGCTGGCGCATCACCATTTGATATTTCGTTCAGTCGTGCGTTGATCTCGCTGATGCGGGACGGATAGAACGCGTCGGTGTGTAAATCCAGCGGGCATGTTTGGTACGCCGTTTGGAAAACATTAGGTACGTATGTGAACATGATGTCGGAGAAGAGGTATGCGAACAATGTGCGCACGATGCCTCCTTCGCTGTGGAACCCCTTCCAGCCTTCATTGCGGTAATGCGAAAGACACATGGCCTCTACGCTGCATTCGCCGCCTTCTCGCGGGTCAACCCATATTGTTTTCGCTCCACGTCTGCCAGAGCTATTAAACGTTGAGCTGTCGCTTCGTCTCAGGAGCGGAACTTGTCGCTCGATGCGGATGCCTTCGAACGTTACGACTATGGGCTTCGTTAGGCGCACGTGGGAGAAATCGTGTTGCGCTCGTTTGACTGTCTTGAGGCTCTTCTCAAGCTTTGTAATTCGCTTCTGCAAATCATAATGGTATATGATGTGAACAAGATTGTCCTGCAATCCTGCTTCGCAAGTCTGGAGTGCGATGTGCTTCCAGTGCTTCTTCTGCGCCTCATCGCTGCGACCTTCCGCATCTGTGAGTGCGCCCAGGTAGTGCTCCTCTAATAATGCTTTTCGCTGGTACCACGCCCCACGCCGAGAATGGTGGAAGAGGCGTTGCTGTAAAAGCTCTGTGATCAACTCGTGTTCACGCTTGTGATCTTTTCGCCGAGCGATTACCGTTGTGGCTTTGTGAATTATGCGTGTGTATACCCATGCTGGCGACAGCCGGCGCAGATAGGCACCTTCGCCACTGTGGTATATGTTTTCCTCTTTGCGTTGTTCTTCTTGCAGAAGAACTTTCCAGCGTGGGTAGACCTCCTCAAAGATGTCAATGATGTCTTGATAGCCCGCTTCGGAGACTCGGCCATTAAACTCCAGTATGTTGTCAATGCGGAACTGCGTTCGAATCGATGCCTCAAATTCAAGAAGTAACGAGCGCGACCCGAAAATGTTAGCAGAGCGGGACACAATATACTCTGGAAAGTTGCGCCGTGCAATCTTTGCCAGAATGATAGTAGTCAACGATTTTTCTGTCCATTCAGTAGAGCGGTAGAAGACCAGGTGAACACGCTCGAAGAGCTTGAGCGGTGCAAACGAAAGCCGAATGCAGGGTCCCGTCTCATTCATGATTTTGCGCGTGAAATGTAAGTCACGATTCGCATCGGATGTTAGATCCTCTGACGGTTCGCTATCCGGCGTTTCCAATCCAGACGTAGATGATCGCCGTGAGCTTTCTGTGTCCGACCGCTTCAAGCCGACAAAGCCCAGACCAACTTGCCGCCGGCTTGTCCGTCGCAGAGCGTTAACCAGCTCCTTCTTGTTTTTCCCTTGGACCTTCGCTTCTTTCGCAAAAATTTTGAGCTCGTCTAACTTCAATAGTGATGACGCCTGCTCCAGTGTTGTGATCTCCGCCTCAGAACGATCCGCAAAGGTGAACGAAGATGCCAGCGTTGCGCCTGCGGGCGCTGCCTGCTCACCGGGGTGTTCTTCCGCTGGCGAAGAGGTCGCAGGTAGATTATACGAGCGTTGCAGTGTGGCGATTGCAGCATCAAGATTCGAGATGTCACTATGGTAGCCGATGTTCTTAATACGATGCCAGGCTGACGTTTTGCGTAGAAAGAATCGCACGTAGCTAGATGGACAATTGTTAGCAAAAGCCACGCAGCAGGACTACGATAAAGGGAGTGGTACAGATACTGGGCTTCATAGTTCAGAGCCCTCCATACTTTGAACACCTCGGCCTCAGCTTCATCGAACAGATGGCTCTCCTCGTCGAGGACAGTGTCCAAAGCCAGATTGAAGGCATCGACGTATATAGAGCTCTTCCCTCTGACCCAGTTTCGACCCTTCAGTCGCTCCTCTGTCTCCTCCTTCGTTTCCTCCTGCGATGCCTTGAAGGCCTCATACTCCTCAATTGCCTCTTCGTCGCTCTTCACAGGTGGCAATGCGCTCTCCAGGTCCGTTTTATGCGGTTCGCTGGCCTCTTCAACCGGGACATTATCGTCTTCGGCATCCAAATCTGGTACCTCGCGGTTTGCAAACTTCGCAGCCTTGCGTGGGCTTCGCCTTTTCGAGGGAGAGTCGTCGAGTTTCTGCTTCTTCGTCGGAGGCTCCTTGACGTCATCGATCTTCGTGGGCTTTGACTGTTTAATAAAGCGTGTGATCATTTGATTGTGCTTCGAGGGGCTGCGTGGACTGAGTGCCATTGTCGCAGTCGAGGTTGCAGCCCCGCGATGGTAATGGATGCAGATGCAGCGCCGAGCATCAGCCTGGAACGCGCCAGCGAAACGCGTGGTCACATGATAACGCTAATCCCAGCAGGGTTTCTTTTGGCTCATCCCTACAGCCAACCACCGCAGTCCTATCGCATTGGAACCTAAGGCACGACGACAGCCATATCAATCTAAATTGAACGTTAAAGTCTCGACGGGCGATCTCAAGGTGGCCTTGAGAGCAACGCCCAAAGTCCCCAAAAGTCATACACATATAGAACATGCTCATTCAGATTCACCTATCCCTGATCACGAAGCCGATCCCATCTGATATACAGCAGGCACAAGAACACTCCGACCTTCTTCTTTGAGAAATCTTGTCCTGGGTACAAAGTGACGCGTCGTGCGACCATGCTGCTATATTGCAGCCTATGCTTAGAATACCATGAAGCCATAGTGTTGGCACCCTTCTGCATTGGTGAAAAACTATCTTCATTTCGCAGGCGCAGACCACTAGGTAGGAGGATGGTAGCTCTGTACAGGGTCATCGCAGGTGAGGTGTGATCGTTACTTTGACCAACTAGCAGCGCACCTTTGCGTGGCTGCCCGACGATCAGATGCGATGGCAGCTCTACTATGTATAAAACCACCAGGAACAGTACCTTCCTGATGGATGCGCTTCACATCCGAGTTCTTCATCGAGAGGTCAACCCGAAAAACCCTTCACGATGCAACTGCTCGATTATATTCCTCTCCTTTCTACCATCTTCTACAGAGGTACCCTCGACAGGCGTACCATCCAGGGCCTTGACATCTCCCACCACCAGAACAACCCTAACCTCACTGATGCCCACGGTGTTGGCCTATCCTTCGTGTACATCAAAGCAACCGAAGGCCCTACCTACGCCGACCCCAAGTTCACCGAGCACTACCGCGCAGCGACCGACGCTTCCTTCCTCCGCGGCGGCTATCACGTCGCACGCACCGACCTGTCCGATGGCGCTGCACAAGCACAGTTCTTCCTGTCCAACGGTGGTGGCTGGACCGCCGACGGTAAAACCCTCCCAGGCCTCCTTTCCATCGGCTTAGAAGATGACTGTGCGGGCCTTACACCAAAGGAAACGCAGGAGTGGATCCAACGGTTTGTGGAAACCTATGAAGAAGCAACGAAGCGCTCGCCAGTGATTGGAACAACAAATGAGTGGTGGGTAGAGTGCACTGGCAACACGCCGAAGTTCAACGAAAAGAGCGCATTGCTGTTGGCGAACTGGGGTGACAGTGTGGGAATGATCCCTGGTGGTTGGCACTTTGCGACAATCTGGCAGTATAAGGAAGGGGGCGCTTGGGGCGGCAACAGTAACATATTCAGTGGGAACGCAGACGCTTTGAGGGAACTAGCAGATGGTTGAGAAGGCCATGGTCTTTTGACGGGTTGCGCCTCTTCTTCGAACGGTAGTATTCTGAGTCCGCTGGTGATGTACTTCGTCATTACGAAGGTTTTCTTTCCGCTTCACCAGATTGGTATCCTGTTGACAGCTGAGCGGATGCCCAGGTGCTATCTGAATATATTGCGATGAACACTAACGTGGCTCTGCGTGATGTCCAGAAGTGTTGGGCAAGGTGCGTTGCTACTGCAATCCATTCGCATCTGCATCACCCTAAGTCATAACAGTCTCTCCGCCTCCCACTTTACTGCAAGTTGCCTTCATTCAGCCATATCACTGCCTGGATCGACCAGCAAATTGGCGCCTCTCGGAATGCAGCCCAGAAGCGAACGTTCACGTACGTTGCTGTGAGTACATGGTCATAGTCACAGCAGAAGACGACTCATCAACAACCAGAGAGAAAGAGTACGATGCAAACGAATCGCTGCTTTTGCGCTTGCCCACGGAGCTCAAGCTGGCAATTTACGAAACTGCTATCAGGGCCCCCAATTAAAAGATCAGTAGTACGTCCAGATACAATTGTGGCACTCGATTTAACTTCCCGAAACCGGACAACGACAGCTAGAATCCATTCAATCTCACCGCTGTATGTCGCCAGATCCACGCTGAAACCATCGCTCTCGTCGTAAAGCGAACCACATTTGATATTCATGGTTCGGTTAGATTGTTACATCAATGGCTGGATAATACGCCTTCACCAAAGTGCGAAAACATCACATCGATCTTGACTTGTGACAATTTGCATTACATGTGTACGGAATGTGCAGGACTGTGGGCAAAGGGACCTCTCTCGCTCACTGGATGCGCTCCCAGGTCTTGAGCATCTCCACGCAAAAATCACTTCTGGTGCGCATTCTGACAACATGATCTGATTCGTCTTGGGCTAGGGTCTTCTTTCTAATGGTAAAGTATCGAAAGATTGTCGATGGGATTCGATGAGATTTTCAAAACGGCAAACGTGGACAGACCGACTATTTGATTCCAGATAAGCCTGGTGAAAACTTTCGAAAATCAGAACACTCCGTTATCACCAGTGAGGCTATCTAATCGAAAGCTCTAAATGATCTGTTGAGTCAAGCTGTACTTCGATACATGCTCTCTATCGTTGCTCTATCTTAGGATCTATCACACAAGCCGCTGGGGCTCATCTCAGTACATCACCACCGCCAGCCGCCTGTTCTTACTCGCCACGTCTGGTGTGCCCGATCCGCCTACGATATATGCTCTTTCCTGCCTGACGACATTGTTCAAGTAGTCAATAGCCGCTTGGTTTGGTCCACCGTTCCAGTTTCCCACAGTAGTATCGGTCGCCCGTTCTCCGTTAGGCTTGTTGCGAATTGCTGCTTCTGGCGCACCGGAAACCACATCTTCAGTAAATCCGTTGATAACGTTGCTTCCATCGGTTGACGCGATGGTCGCGGCACCGTCACAACCTTGCTGAAGCGAGATATCTCCATGTGCGCCATGGTCGTCTGCGGCTTCCAGTTGGAACTCCACCCAAGTGGCGGGCAACTCCGTCCCACGTTGAAGGCGGCCCTTGAAGGTACTAGGGAGGGACACAAACTGTGTCTCATTGGGCTGCAATTTCACCGAGGTAAGAGGATGGTCGAAGTTAGCACCTGCTGTCCCATTGCCGTTCCAGTAGTTGTCGTAGAAGAAGTACTCGCATTCTCTCTGGGACGAATTTGTCAACACAATACCTGGACCGCCGTCGTCCACCGAGGCAACGGACATGGGCTCTTCGTAGGCTGCAGTCATCACAGGCTCGGGAGCATCCCTATCACAGATCGACAAAATAAGCGAGTGTATTGGCAGATCTACGTACAAACTATGTGCTTACCGCGGCGTGCAGTCGTCGTCGTTGTAACAGATGAGAATGTCACAGCTGCCTTGAGCAGCAGAGCTCTACTTGAATTAGCATTTGGGCCTAGCGGATCGGTCTGACTCGAGCGACTTACCTGAGCGTTGTCGTTAGCGTTACCAGGACTTCCTCCCCAAGCTCCGACGCCAATGTACGTCTTTCCATCAGCGAACGACCTGACGAACTCCTCCAGCTGCGGAAAGTCCTTCGGCGCATCGATCCTTCTAACAACGCCATCGTTAACGTGCACGCACTGACTCAAGCTGCAGAACTCCGATTAGCGTAGATTACAACCACACAAAGCAAACTACTCACTTGTCCTTGACCCCCTGATCAGCCCTGTTCCAAGCGTCGTTCAAATTCTGCATGAACCTCGGGTCCCCCTTGCGCGTCCAGTCCTTGCCAACTTGCTGGACAATCAAATTACCGCCAGCTCCGCAGATGTTGGATAGATCAATGAAGTCGTTGCCGCCAAAGCCGTTCTTGGTAAGCTCGGCTTGCTCGCCGATGCAGCCATCGTGGATAGCAATGATCGCGCCAGATGTGCCATCTGGGGCTTCAACGGTGGACTCTCCATTGGCGGGGACGTTGATGTCCTGGTTGTTGTTCCAGCCGTGGACTTGGAAGAGCTGGTCGTGCCCCGACATGTTGCGGATGAAGATGGTGTGGGACATGATGGATTAGGCTGGTAAACTGGAAGAGATGCTTTCGAATCTAAGATGTGATTGCTCACGATGAATGAATTGCTGTAGTACTGAAGTCTGTTGATGGTGTTCTAAGTGTACCTACACCAAGGTACTTATACATGTTGTACTGAACGCTATCTTGGAGAGCACTCGTTTCTCGGATGTATGCTTAGGTTCTTCGTACAGGGCGGTAAGCACGTGAGTATGATGCATTACCGGGCGTATCTTTTCAGCTGAGCTGGCTAAGCAGTGGCTGGTCGGTTCTACCCTTTCGCGGCGGTGTAAAGCGTAAGCTGAGAGGTGGAGCCTTACCGAAATCTTACGCGCAATCGGTCCACCTCAAAGTAACAAGTGAAATCGAGAAAATGCGACTTTCTTCGTGCGAAAGTTTCGATAGTAAGTGAAAGATGGAAATCGCATCTCCGTAATTGCGATCGCTGCAATTTTGAATACGTCCTAGAGGTGCAAAACTCGTGGCTACATAGAAGTTCGCTTCGCGGTGATTCCTATAGTGGCCTAGTTTACTTCCATGTCCATCTCATGCCATCGATAAAGTAAATGCTACCAGTCTCCGGAAAAGTACCTAGCGATATCGCTAACCATATCCAGGTAGCATTACAAGGATTTTTCGAGCTTTTGGATGACATCTGGTGATGTTCGCTGAGCCTCATCGCCCATTCACGTGGGTGGTGGCACAATTGCCCGGTACAGTCAGCCAATAACCCGAGCGTTTGAGAAGCCACATCTTACTGAATACTGCAACCCACGTGTAGGAGCAAAGCCTCTAATGCTACTGTTCGTAGTTTACGGTGGGATCAGGGCCAGCAGACTTGCGGTATAGCCTCAATAAGGCCAGTTTGGTTGAAGTTCAGCCTGCGGCTGACGCCGTGGCTTCAGGAACTCCGGGCCCTTACCGCCAGTGCTCTTAGCTACCTTCATTACCTTTACAAGAAACTGTATAAGAGCACAGCGGTTACGTCTTTGTTGTGCAGTAAATTACCAACTTCCTACACTTCGCCTGCCACTTTCCCTACAACAAGCACAATGGTCATCAAAAAGCGATCCCTCCTTTGGGACTACACCAACACCAACAACCTAGCCGGTAGGATGGACACCGTCAATTTTGATGGCCCAATATCTTCGGTCTCCAATTGGAATGCATGGGTTCCACCAGAGCTCAAGGGCCGCGCTCCCTTCCGTCCCATGATCCATCTCGAGCGCGAACTCAATGGCAACGAATGGCAGTGGATTCTAGACTCTGATCAACCGATCATCCACTTCTTCAACGAGCCAGAGAGGAACGGCATCAGCCCACAGAAGGCGGCTGATTACTGGCACAACCAGGTACCGGCCCTCCAAGACAAAGCTCTATGCGCAGCACTAATGCCGTAATAGGTGATCCCTGCTCTCCGCAACGACCGACACAAACAGCTCGTCTCGCCGTCTTGCGCTTCCGACCCAGCAGGACAGCAATGGATTGCAGATTTCATGAACCTTGTGGGGGACGCTCGTCCTGATTATCTTGGGCTGCACTGGTATGGCGTCGAAGCGTCGGAGTGCCAGCAGTTCATCTCTTCGATGCACGACAAGTTTGGTCTGCCAGTTATTGTGTCCGAGATCGCCAGTATTGACAGGAACTACGACAGTGTGCACGCTTTCACACGCGATATGTGCAACTGGATGGATGGTGTTGACTGGATCTTCGAGTACGCGTTCTTTGGCTGCATGCAGAATATGCCGGATGACTTTGTGAGCCCTGCGGCGCGGCTGATGGACGAAGGGGGCAATTTCACTGACTTGATGTGGAAATACATGAGCGACCAGCCGATGTTCTGAGGGGGTACGGTAATTGTTGAGGGGCGTACCATCCTATATATTCTCGTATTAGTCTCGTATTCATGATCTGTCATTTTGTCGCTTTTGCATTGATACCTCACTTGTTTATTAGTCCACTTTGGAAAGGCAGCTGCATCGTTAGGTGAAAAGTCCAAGTACAGCGTGTTAAAATTCGCGCCAAGTAGATGGTCTCCCAATATTGACTCATGGTGTCAGTTGCTCAAAGCACGCATGAATGTACGGGCTTTGGTGGAGTCATTCCCACAGAGGCGCAATGATCATACGAAGGCCATGCGCATTGTGGAGGCTATGTGTGCCGCGATTTTGAAATGATATGTGGTGCAGTCAATTGGTGGATATCTTAGCTCATTAGACGGCAAGAACATTCGGTAGTTTAGGGGACACTACTCTCCGAAAGTCGGATAAAGAACCGCGGTTAATAACATCCGGTGTCGCAGACCATCAAATATTCACATCGCGGCGGACTTGAATCAACAATCGCAACATGCCTTTCTTGAGTTCGCAGCCCAAAATTCTCATTGCTGGTGCTGGCATTGGCGGCCTCACCGCGGCGCTATCGCTACACGCAGCCGGGTTTTCGGACATCCAGATTTTCGAAGCATCGTCAACTCTTACCACATTGGGTGTGGGAATAAATGTTCAACCTTCTGCAGTATTAATCCTCCGAAATCTTGGATTACTGGAAGCCCTTGAACATACAGGAATCGAGACTCAAGAATTGAACTTCTACAACCGACATGGCGACTCGATCCTTAGCGAGAAAAGAGGCAAGCATGCGGGTTATACCGTACCTCAATTTTCGATTCACAGGGGCGAATTTCAGATGTTGCTTCTAAGTGCCGTGAAGGAGCGGCTCGGTGAGGATGCGGTGCATCTGAACCACGCCTTAACAGGATTCTCACAAGATTCCAAGTCAATCTCAGCGGAATTTTCTCAGCGGCGGGACGGCGCTGCGGCAGAGCTGTCTGGTATATCCGGCGATATATTGATTGCAGCTGACGGAATAAATTCGACTGCAAGGAGGATACTGTACCCTGACGAAGGTCCACCACGTTTCTCGGGTCGCATGCTCTGGCGTGGGTGTTTGGAGCGTGAACCGTACCTAACTGGCGCATCAATGGTGTGGGCAGGACATGCAGATCAAAAGTTCATTGCGTACCCGATTTCTCAGAGGTCAGCGGACAAAGGCAAGAGTCTTGTAAATTGGATCGCGGAACTGCGCATACGAGGGAAAGACGACAAGGACCTAACGCCACCAAAGACTGACTGGACCAAGGCTGTGGACAAGAGCATCTTTGAGGGGCCGTTCGAGAAATGGAGGTGTGGAGGCCTGGAGATGAAAGATCTTATCGATAAGACTGAAAAGGTTTTCGAGTTCCCAATGTCAGACCGTGACCCGGTAGACCAGTGGTCATTTGGTCGACTGACACTCCTCGGCGATGCAGCACACGCGATGTATCCCATTGGTTCGAATGGCGCATCCCAAGCCATCATCGATGCCGAAACACTGGCTAAACACATGAAAGCGACTGAGAATGTGACTGCAGCTCTGAAAGACTATGAAGTGGAAAGGTTGCCGCCCACGGCGCAGATTGTTATGGCCAACCGCGCGAACGGTCCTGATCATGTGCTGCAAATGGCGGAAGAAAGGGCGCCGGACGGTTTCACTAACATCTACGACATCATTCCAAAAGAAGAATTAGAGGAGATCGGTGCAGTGTACAAGAAGGTCGCTGGATTCGATATGGGGAACGTCAATGCGAAGGCAGAAGCAACAAAAGAGGAGAGCAGCAGGTTAAAGCTGAAAAGCCCGAAGGATTGGGTATAGGTAGTCAATCTTAGTTTAGCTGCATTTGATACGACCAGAAGACGATTTTCCTGGTAGCTAGCTATCGACTGGCCGCGAAGCTATTTTCTACTTGCATTGCTCGCCGATTCCACTGTACATCTGTGGAAACGCTGAGATGCTAAGGTCAAAAAATTTCTATTCCGGAAATTTAAGGCTTGCAAACCGTAGCGCCACAGTCAGGATCCTGATCGTCCGTGCCAGGTCTTGGAGCGCCGAAATCCTGCTGACACAGCGCTGTCCACAGGACATGGCTGGCATAATACGCATAGCTGTCCGCGTTCAACCGTGCCTGATCTTTGGGAATTTTGTCATAGACATTCACGGGACCATATCCGTCATTTCCGTTCGGGTTGTCGACAATGGAGCCGAAAGACGCCTTTATCATGCTATCCATATGCATATACTCATGCAGAAGGGTCATGCCTAGGGTGTTCATACGCTGATCACTTTGTCAGTACTAAGCATATAAACTAGCGTAGAGCAACACACATAACTGACGGTATCACCGAGGTCGCCACCATCTTTAGCGCATACCGTGTAGAAGTCGAGCGCATCCTCATCGTCTATATCCTTACTAGGGAGGGCTGTGACGGCCTTCTTCTTGAATGAGTTTGGGCAGAGCACAATGTACGGATTCTCCGTATCTTCATCGTTCGAGTATGCCAGTGTCTGGTCATCACACAGGTTATCATCGTCGCTCTTCTGAATCAAAATCTTGTCGAGGTAGTCATTGCCTTTCTGGCCGTTCGTAAGATCGACAAATATTCTCTTGATCTCGGCACGATCAGCTTCATCGAAGTAATGAGGGTAAATGTCGTTATCGTCATCAATGTATGAAGTAACGTAGGAGGCCAGCTCAAGTGCATCGTTTATGGCTGTCTCGGTCTTCTCAAGGGTGTTTGGCTTGGGTTCCTCATTCTCGTCGAAATCCGCACCTGTGTTAGGCTCGCCACGTTTCGTAATGCTAGGGCGATCAAGGATTGGCCCACGTCTTTGGGTAGTAGACCTTTTGGACAGGTCTTGTGAGGAACTTGGAGTAGGCGAAGCGAAGGCACCATGAATGGAGCCCGACAAGGCCAAGAAGGGCAAAGAAAAGAAGTACATGTTGTCTGTTGGTTAGATGAAGAAGTCGCTCGTTCTGATGATAAGTTCTTGAGCGCAATGAGCGTGTCTTTATACGGCGATTCGCTGCGAGGCTGAGAGTGAACCAAAGTCAGTAAATCGTTACTAATTGAGGAAGAAAACACAGATTGGGGCTCCATCATGATCGTCTTACTTATTGCCGGCAACCGGCACGTTCGCAATGCGGATGGAAGCATTAGTGCACTCTATGCGAAGCCAAGCGCCCATGTTCAGTTGTCGATTCACGCCTCCAGCTGACAGGATCCTCTTTTGTGTGAGAAAACTACGTAATAGGTTGCGCTGCGTCTCACACGCCTTGTATTCCTAGTCTTAGGCTTGGAAGAGTATCACATGTAATACTAAAAGGAGCTCAACGGTTGACCAATAGATCAACCGGATTCAGAGTTGTAGTACTGATACCGCAGCTTGATATAGATTCTCGTGCGAACGATCCACCCAGCCATACTATGTGCATGCCTGCCGCATTGATGCTCAGCTCATGTAATCCGAAACTCAAGCTTGGGCAAATCTTGGGCACCCAAAATCCTATAAGGTAATTTGTGGGCAAGAGCAACCCTTCTTGGCAGGTTTCAGAGGTGATCTTGAAGTAGGCAGTGCCTGGCGTTAGGGGGCCAGGGCCAGGGCATGACGTCAACCTCGTAAGCGGCTGCCAAACCCGATTACAGAAGAATAACGCCCATGCGTATCCACGTCTAAAAGAGACACTACGTACAAAGTCCATCTTATTGTCTCACAGCAATTCGACTCTTGTTCCCCTTCAGCCGGCTTCCAGATAATTCTTTCGAATTTCGTTCCTTAACTCCAGGCGAACCTAGCACACAGATATACTCAGCTCGATGCCAACCCATGATGGCATCTGCTAGCGAAGAATCACCTCGGATAACTGTCGAGATCGTTTTCGACCGGTTGTCTCATTCTTTCTCTCAGCCATCTCCTCCAATACTCACACTCACGCTCACTTCACACGCCAAGACTCCGCTGACGCTCTTCACGTGGGGAACTCCATTTTCCCTCCCCCGTGCTTTAACGAGCAATGGCTTTGTGATCACCGATACCAGCTCTGGACAAAATGTCAAGACATCACTCATGCAAGTACAACGCACGCCACTGAAGCGTACAAGAGGAAGTCCAGATGAACAATATTTCCTTACTCTCCAACCGGAGTCTCCTGTACATCTATCAACAGGCTTTGGTCGGGGCGGAGGAGGCGTCAAGCCGCAGCCAAAGTCAGTTGTTGAACGAGGCCTCGAGGTTGATGCAAATGGTAACGAGGTCAACCTGAGGCGATCAAAATCAGCTACTGGTGTGGATGGCTTGGAACCCGGTCGGAAATACGAGATAGGATTGAACACAGATCTCCTAGACATCATCAGGTGGGCTCCAGCTGAAAAAGAAGATATCCTGGTGGAAGGAACCGGAGAAGGGTCATATGTGCAAGATTACGAGTGGAACAAGGGCTCACTCAACTTCAGTGTGCGGCAATCTACGCTGAGTGTAGAGACATAGGATATGGCCAATCTTTGTTCGGTGTCATTCTCCAAGTGAATTTAGGAATAGCCACGTCCTGACGGTCATGATAATCTCTGTGATTTGCTGCTTCGGTCGTGCGGACCTCGTGCGAATGGAACATGTCTTCATGCTCTGCCTGCCTACTTCGCAATCTGATATACTAAAGGCGCCCTGAGCTCTCAGACACTTTGCATTGGGATGCGAGAAGGGGAGTGGATATTGTACACAAGGCTAGGATATCGAGCCTAATGTCCATCTGTATGCGCCGATTTGAGAAAGCTACCTAGCTCCTAACCCAAGAGAGACACTGATTGCGCTGACTCCCATCAGAGTTTCCATTCTATGTTGCAAATTTGATTTCGTGTGCCCCTGACTCGTCGTTGTCTTTTTCGGCCCCCCCGGAACCCAACATTATAAGCCACATGTTATCGTACGTTAGTGCAAGCGAGACTGTTGCTACAACTGGTAAGGCACGAAACAGCTAAGGATCGAGGGTGCCTAGCGCTTATCATATGGCTGACAACTATTACCTGCCCGGGCTAGCGTACACGCCATGATTTACAGTGTTGGGTGTACATCTCCACACCTCTACTCCATAACATCTGCGGCGTAGGTCTTGCTCTCGTGTTGGAGTTTTTCGACTGGTTGCTATTCGAGCAGCAGCTCCACTCATCAACAGTATGGATCTCTTCAAGATATTTGCAAGCGCAGCAGTGTTCTACTTCCTATACGTATCGTTGCGCCTGTACAGAAACTACATGCGAGCGAAGACGACAGGCTTCAAACTGCGAATTTTTCCGTTCGAGATCGGCACGCCTTTGTTCACTGTCATTGCTGGTCCTTTCCTCTCTCTCGCCCTACGCGTCTTCCCGCAGTCTTTCGCTCGAACATACGATCTCGGAGTGTATGGTGTCGAATACCGCGACAGAGTCGCGAAGCGCGAGCGAGAAACCCCTGCTTATCTTGTCGTAACTCCCGCCAATGCTCTGGAGCTATTTGTGGAAGATGGGGAAATCGCCAATGCCATATTGGCACGCAGACGCGAATTTGAACAAGATAACGTGAGCAGAAAGATAATGAACAACTTCGGTGATTCTCTTGCGGGCAGTGTGGGCGAGGGATGGTCCCGACAGAGACGTCTCATTGCACCCATGCTCAACGAGCGTATCATGGAAACCGTCTGGAGCGAGAGTCAACAACAAACACACGAAATGATGTCGCACTTCACGAATCTCGAAAATGGAACCACCAACGGCACTGTCACCGGATTACGAACGATTGCCTTTAACATTCTGAGCACGATTGGCTACGGCATGCCTGCAAAATGGACTGCAGATGTCAAACAGGCTAGGAAGGGCGAGAAAATGGATTTCATGGAAACATTGCTCCATGTGGTTGACGGTTTAATCTTGCTCGTTGTGTTCCCTCCTTGGCTCTTGAGGCAGTTCTGGATGCCGAAGTCGCTGAGGCAAATCGGTGAAGCCTACTACCAGTTCTATGAGCATAGTTCCGATATGCTACAAAAAGAGCGAAGATCCTTGAGGTCATCGGGTACCCCTCGCAACACTTTCCTGTCATCGCTGGCCTCTGTCAATGACCATGAAGAGGACGCGTACGAGAAGGAAGGACGAGTCAACAAACCCGCGTTCACCGAGGAACAAATCACAGGGAACTTGTACACCTTCACTTTGGCTGGATACGACACGACCGCAAATACCATGGCCTATGCTATTGCTATGCTTGCTGCTTATCCACAGTGGCAGGACTGGATCATTGAAGAGATTGACCAGATACACAAAGAGGTATCGAACCCAAACAGCTATCAGAATGTCTTACCAAGATTGGAGAGATGCTTGGCAGTGATGTTCGAAACTCTGTAAGCATTCGATATCGCTTGATGGATAATGCTGACTTTTCAAGACGTATGTTTACGCCAGTAGCCCATATTGTCCGCGAGTGTCCCGTAGAGAAGGTCGTCACCAGCCGTGGGAAGAGTTACCGAATCCCTGCCAACACTCGTTGTACCCTCAGTCTTGATGGCGTAGGCGCTCACAGGGACGTCTGGGGCGACGACGTGTTTGAATTTCGACCATCGAGATGGGGTGCCAAGGCTACTAAGCTCACCGGAGCCAACAGCATCGCTCAGGTACCGAAACTCGAAGCTGCCGGCGCAAAAGAACACTTCCTGCCGTGGTCAAGTGGCCCGCGTGCGTGTCCTGGGATGAAGATGGCTCAAACAGAATTCCTCAGTGTCATATATACTATCTTCTCGGAGTTTCGAGCCGAGCCAGCTTTGGAGGCAGAGGAAAGCTTGGAGCAGGGGCTTTCCAGGATCGCGGCAATTGTTGCTGACTCGCAACCTAAGCTCACTTTGCAGATGAACAGGCCAAACGATTTGAAACTAAAGTGGGTGAAAAGATGATAGGTAATCGAAACAGGCAAAATATTTGTTATCATGGATTTGTGTGGGCAGATCAAAGCAAGTGCGGTCTCTAAAATAGCGTCTCTATGTTCGTAACCTTCAGCGATCCTCCGTCACCGTGTACCTTCATGTCCATGACTCTCCCTTCCTCTGCGCCCTTCAGAAACCAGACTATCTTGACGCCCCAGCCATTGAACTCCAGCCCGCCCGTGTCCACAGTCGCGCTCCTGTCTGTCTTGTTCGTCGTAAGAACAATCTCAGTCTCAGCGCCTCCACCATAATAGGTGAATTTACTCTCTGGTACATCAAAGCTCGGATACAACTCCAGCCTCAGATCGGGAGTCCAACCCTGTATCCACTTTGCGTTGCCTTGATAGACATCTCCGCGTGGAATGATGGCGCCTTGCTTCACGAAAACTGGCATGGACGTCAAAGGCGAGGATATATTAGCCGTCGTGCCTGCAGAGTAGACCCGTGTCTTGTTGAAATATTCGAGGTATGATTTCGAAGGACCGTTTGGGAAGTAGACGCTGCGAGAGCCACCGGCATTAACGATAGGTGCAACCAGGAACTCGCTTCCAAAGAAATATGAGTCGTTGACATCCCACGTCTTCTCGTCTTTTTCTGCCTCTAGGAACAGCGCGCGTATGATCGGGAGACCTGTCTTAGACACATCGTTGGTGTAGGATTGAATGTAGGGCAGGAGGTCGGCATGAAGATTGGCAGTCTGCTTCATGACAGCCAGTGTGCTCGTATTGTCATAGGGCGGGTACCATGGCGTGTGATTTGTACCGAGCCTGTTCGCAATTAGCATCTACATGTGCAATGTTTGCTTGCAAACTCACATGAGCTCGTAAACGGGAGAAAAGGCGCTGAACCACATCCACCTAGCCCAAACTTCGGGCGAAGGTGTCAAAGCGCCTTCTCTCGTGTACCCTCCCGTATCAGAACCCCAGATGCCGAAGCTGATGAGCCCTGACCGAATACCGGATGCAACACTGTACGCGAGACCTGTGAAGTTGGCATGACTGTCGCCGTTCCATACGTGCGTCTTCGCTCTGCTGCGATCCACTGCTGAACGCGCAAAGTTGTAGAAGCGGCTCTTACCCCAAGTTCCCACCATTGAATCATATGCTAAATCCAGGAAAAGTGCCATTTGTTCATTTTGCACGTAGTCAGGCATCTCGCCTTCCTCGCCTCTATCGATCTTGTATCCCTTCACGCCTACTGCAGGGAAGTATTTCAGGGACTCGTCGAAGTAGTTGTATGCAGCCGGTATGGAGAGATTCAACGCTTCTCCGAGGCCGCCAACAGGGTGATCATCAGGAAACAGCCAATGGTTTTGAATAGAGGCATTGTAGAGCTTCGTGCCATACTGCGCTCGGTTCGCAATCCAGACCTGGAAGTCAATTCCTGATACCTCGGTAAGATTTTGGATGAAGGAAGCGGGATCCGGATACTGGGCTGGGTCGAAATCGAAGTTGCCCCATGACCTATTTCCACTACCGTATGGCCTATCCGCGAAAATCGAGGTAGCGCGAATGCGATTGTCGTACAAGTGATTTACAAGATCCTGGATATTCTCCTGGGCATTGGAAACGTTGCCGTGGAAATCTTGGGTGAAGTCGTCAGACCAGAAAGTCGGTCCCAATCCAGAAGTCGGTGGTATTTCGCTCCTAGCACTCAGCTCCGTATACTGTTCGATAACACTCTTCAGGCCTCCATCGCCCTTCGGAAGGATAATGTAATAGACTAGGCTGCTGCTATTGAAGATGAATTGGGCGCCTCCGGGGGTCGTGAAGTCGTAAGATCCCATTTTCAAGGTGTCTGCATATACGCCGTACCCGGCAGATGATAAGAAGAACGGAGCTCGAGCATTGCTCCAGTTGACACCAACATTATTCCCCACGCCCTTGAGTTCGAATGATATATTTGCATTGTCAATTCGATTGTTGAAAGGGTACTCCCAAACTCCGTAGAAACGCGTCGATTCGGATGCTGAGAAACGCGCACCGTGGAAGGCGTTCGATGTGTTGAGTGTTATTTTTGCGATCGTAGGTGTGAGGAAAGCGTAGGCGAGTCCTTCGGTAGCATTTTTCAACGGTTCAGCTGTAGTGTTCTGTCCACCGGCCAGGACTGCTGTATTATTGACCAGGGTGGTATTACCATCGGTAACGAGTAGTGCCGATGAAGGCGTCAGAGTGATTGTATAGTCACATAGCGCTGTTGTGAGCAGAGCACTCAGGGCCAGCCACAGTATTCTCGCCATTGTCGCGGGAACAGGAAGGCAAACGCAAAGGCGGGAATGTACATCATATACGCGATTATTTTACCCTGCATCTTGCCCTCCTATCCCATGACGAGGCAGCTGCGGGTGGTCAATATACCGATACTACGCCCAGAATAGGACAGATCAGCCAAAGATGGTGACATCCCAAAGCTGCAAGGTCCAATTCTTCCGTGGTTACCATTCCTGGCTTTGGCGTGTGGAGGTACATCCCTAGGGCCTTCCCCACATCCCATGCGGAGAAGCTGCGATGACGTTTCAAGTACAGCCTTCAAGCAATCTCAGGCATGACCATCCTGAGTTTCGGATGGTGCAAAGTTAAGCAAGCCCTTTACATTGAAATAAGCTGGGTCTACTTCAGCTGCGGTCGTGTCGAGAGGCCAACTCGGAGGGGCTGGGCGAGGTCGGAGGAGCTAAAAATCCTGCGGGCCGAATCTCGTCATCACTCCGAGAGCAGACGCAACAACTATCCCATCTTTGACAACCCTTTCCATTTCACACTGTACCATCGAGTAAGCTGACTAACTCGGCTTATTCCGGCGGTCTTTTTTTCTGGTTAACGTCTGCCGCATATACCTTATGGCAGCACAGGCTCAAGGCGTTCCCACCGGGCCGACACTACCGATCGTCGCATGCTTACGATGTAGAGAACAAAAGCTCAAATGCGGTCGGGAGCAGCCATCTTGCGAGCGCTGTCGGAAGCAAGATGCTGCATGCACTTACCCGCCACCACCAGATCGGAAGCGGATCGCCGCTGAGAAGAACCGATCAAAGGCCTCCCAATCGAACAATTCATCGCACACACGTGAGCATGAGTCTTCGTCTTCGGAGGCCAATGCAGCGAAGAGGCGCCGAATCAGCCATGATACCACCGGTCCATTCAATTGCCTGGCAGAGCCTGAAGCCGCAGATCTACCATCTACAGAAATCGGCCTACTGCTCCAAGAAGTATACTACAAACGTATATACAACGCCCACTTGATGTTCCACAAAACGGTCGCGTTCCAGGTCTATATGTTGAATAAGACGCCGGACTATCTTCAGCGGGCGATATTCGCACATGGAGCATTATTTCTGCAAGAAGTAGACCCGCAATATCAGAAATACGTTAAAGCATATCCAATGCAGACACTTTATGAAAGGTCATGGTCGTGGGCACATGCGGCAAGCGTGCAAGTTCTCTCGCACGTCGATGAGCCATCTGTCCTGAAGGTACAGACGCTCCTGATATTACAGCAATTCTACTGGGCGCGCGGCGAAATCGTCCGCGCCAAAGTTCACGCCACGTTGGCATGGCGCTTGAGCGAGTTGCTCGGCTATGGCAAACTGTGCGAAATGGAGGAAGATCCTACTCTGATGAACCCCAGCCTCGTGTTCGATCGTGAGATAAGAAGACGATCTTTCTGGGCTAGCTGGTGAGTAGACTATCGCGTACAAAGTGGACATGTCTTACTTGCGAAAGGAAAGACTTGTCGCTGAGCTAAGACGTAAACCACCCTACCTCAACTCAGACTGACTTTGCATCCGTTACTTAGGGCTACCATGTGTCTTCACAGCGAGGAAATGCACCGAATAGTTGAGAGCGTGTATTGTCTACCACTACCGGCAACATTCGGCCCAGGAGGTTCCATTCAAGGTGTAGACCTCATACATGGCAAGAAGTTGATCGACGTATGGAAGTTGTATGAGTCCCCTATACGAGACGACCCAGACGACTGCAAGCCTAGCTCTTTGATGGCAGAGTTGATGAAACTATTGGGAATCTGGTACGTTGCCCAAACGTCCATTAGCAAGTATAACTGCGGAGCTAATACATACAGGGCCCAAATCCGAGCTTGGGCGTCAATAGTCGACGATGGCCGCTGGGATTCACAAGCAATGCAAGAAATTGAGCGGATAGAGAAGTGTCTCAACCAAGTCGAGCCTTATATGCAATTTCCTGTCGGGGATATCTTCGCCAAGGCCAAGTCCTATGATGAAAGCCCTGAATTTCTTGTATGCGTCTGCTCCGTGTACTACATAAGCCGGATTTTCCTAGAGTCTCACAAGATGCTCGTTCAAAGCACTAGACTGCAATCGCTCGGAGCGGGGCCAGAATTTTACGTCGATGCTATAGGCAGAATCATTGCAGAGTCGATGCAATTCATTCGGCTACTGAAGCAACTCCTTGACAACGGACAGGACATCACAAGACTGTGGCATGTCACAGGGTATACGGCGTTTATAGTAGGACGGATAATGGCGGTGCGTGTTTGGGACTTCGCGTCTATCTATGCCTGCACAAGCTGACTTACTATCCAGTACTTGCTTGGTCTCCAACGATCGAAATCGTTTAATCTCATGTCCCCATCACAGGCCCTCGAATTCCGGTCAGAAGGAACAAAAACCTGCCAGACTGTGCTAGAAATCCTAAGCATCTATTGGAAACCTCTGAAATCATTAGTAAATGTCCTCTCCTCATTGTAATGTCTACTTAATCTAACATCTGCAGCTGGCAAATTTGGACGCGATCACAAAACTCGCAGACGATGGTACACACACAGGGGTATCCTATCCATGGGAATACATAAATTTCCTCCCCGATTGTGAGCCAAAACCAGACATTGGCATTCGAGAACAAGCCTTCAACCATAATCTCCTCGCCCTTAGCCTCCAAAAGAGCAAGCCGCAATTTGGATAGTGAGTCGCCAGCTGCTAGCACGATCGACAGCGCAGACTATCTCTCAGATGTTCCAGGACAGCGTGGAAGGGAATACAAAAAAGCAAAATGTGCGAGGAATCCATGACTAGATATGTCCAAGCTGCTATTCTATTTTACTTGTACGTGTACTGAGTGTGTGGTGATGCTAACATATTCCCTGGTTCCCATGGAAGATCCGCTGAACCAAACCTAACAGCACAATATCAATCGCCAATCGAGAACAATGAGTGTGAGTAGTCGCTCGCATCATACGCTAGAATGTCATCAATCTGCGCCTGTGTCAAGCTCGCTCCAAAATCGAACCCGTCGTCCAAGACTCTAGCGGTGATATTCCAATTATGGAATACGACTGCAAACTTGATTGCTCTGCCAACCGGACGGAGGAAGTAATTGCTGTCACCGCCTTCGAGGTTGCCCTGCCGATGGATTGTCGATTTTGCACGCACCTCCCCACGTCCCAAGATCTCGAAAGCGTCGAACTCGCCGCAGCCAGTCGACCAGCATGAGCAGGGGATATTCTTACGGTCATTTCCGTACTGCAGTATGCGTGGGATAGCCGCGTTGAGGAACCACCAGGCAGGTGCGTCGGATAGCATACCTTGGTCTGAACCGTAATTGTCGTAATGATCCATCTGAAACTCTATGAAGAAAGCTTTAGAAGGCCCGTCCCAGCCGTCTGTAGAAGGATTAGCGACTGCATTGGTCAAGGGGAAGTACATGATGGACTTACAGTGTGCAGTAGCATCCGGCCTCGCGTACTCGCAGTTATCGTCGCATTCTTTCTCGGTAAATACGGCAATTTCGCGCTCCGACGTCTCAAGAGTGCCGTCGAAAGGCGTACTGTCTGCAGCCACTCTGCTCCCGTCACCGATCACGTAGCCGAGGGAGTTACCGAACGCACTAGGTCTTGTTAGGATGTCGGCAGACACATTCAAACTCATCTTACTAGTCAAAGGTTCCGGATCTCTGAGGATCGCCTAGGTTGGCTAGAAACGCGAAGCCACTTGCCGCGGCGGGTGCAGCGGAAGCATAGTAAGCCACGCGACTCCAGGTTGAAGCTCCAGTGACTTTGACGTTGTTATCATATGATGGTTTGTTGGACGGTCCAGCTGGCTGAGGGGTGTCAATCGCAGTCGGGGATGGTTCATCGCGCTTGACAGGTGGAAGCGGACTTGGGCTGCTCGTTTCGCTTGCACTATGCGCACACGGCGAAGATGAAGCTAAAAGAGCAGGGGGGGCAGGTGAAGGAAGTGGTAGTAGCGGTGGCAGCGGTGTATTTGCAGCGGGCGGTGGAGGTGGTGGAGGACGAGACGGAACTGCAGCAGGCGGCGGAGGCGGTGAAGGTTGAGGCGGCGGTGTGGGTGGCACAGCACTCGACTCCTCGCATGGGCACTCTGTCTCTTCTGGTGCTCGAGGCGGGGATGACAATTGGTTTGGTCGGGAAACCGAGCTTTTTGGACACTTCGATTCTGTGGTCTCAAATGTTGTCGTTCCAGTCGTTGTCGCGGTCGTCGTAGACACACTTGGTGAGAGCGCTGCTAAAAGTACCGAAAGTGCCGGCAATGCAGGTAGTCCAGAACTTGCCGGAGGTATAGGGGTTGCAGGTGGTGGCGGCGGAGCTGGGACTGGAGGAGGTTGCAGAGGAGCAGCCGGAGGCGGTACCGGCGCAGGGAACGGAACCGGCACAGGTACAGGTATGATTGGCGGTGGAGGCAAGATCTGTGTTTGTGTAATGGCGGGCGCTGGGTCTGGGCAAGTGCTCCCCGGCACAAAGATCGTTGTGGTAATCGTAGGTGTGATAGTGCAGACCGGTTCACTCCTTGTCGGCTGCTGCATCCCAGGACCGCCAGCCTGTCCGTTGGAGACGATGACTGTCTGAACAACTGTGGCAGCAATTGTCTGTCTGATCGTAGAAAAGACTGTCTGGACCGTTGTGGGAGGGACTGGTTGCTTGGTCGTCGAACTAGGAGATTGCGACATTATTTTCACACTCGTAGAAGTAGTTGTCGCGACTACTATCTGTTGGGTTGTAAATGCCTTTGAATCAGACATTGTGTCGTCCGTCCACTCAGTAGTCCAGTCCCCTGTTCATCAAGTATATTAGCCGCACTGCAAATCTGTGCTGGGCAACTAGCAGCTGTCGTAGGTACCTTCTGTGTTCTGATCATCGTGAGTATGATGCCAGAATGAATGCCAAATAGATCGTATGGTACCATGTTTCTCACGAGGTCTTTGCATCTTCCGTCGTCTGTTCGCTCGCCCTCCGGTTCGACGGGTAGAGTCTCGCTTGGATATTGACAGGTCCGGCAGCTTGTACACGGCTATCTGAGACACGTTCATCGGACCGCGTAGATGCATGGAGAGCTGGGTGCGCAGATTAGCATCCCAGTGAGCGAACGCGGCCTTCTCAGAGTACTTCTCCGATCAAAGGGGTGAAAGGCCCCACGCCTGAGTAGGCTACAGGTTCATGGTCACACAGTCCGGTCTTTGGATTGACTCGCGTCGTCCTGTTATACTCTCCGGGCTGGCTAATGTTCTTGTACGTGATTGCAGTGACTTCTGAACAATACCAGTTGCCGTCGTCTGCGCGCTCAGCGGTTCCGCGACAGAGCTGCGCCGCGGTCCTGGAGAAGGAGATTGGGGCGAATAGAACGAAAATACTGAACAGTAGGTAGATCATGCTGGTGCTGTGCGGTAGATGTACAACGACAGGGCTACGTGTGCACGCGGTGGGAGGGGACATGTGTTGGAGGGACATTTAGGCGACAAAGTTATATTCATTGCTGATGACTCCGGAAGGAGGTTGCGAGAAAACGGAAGCAGCGCTTCGTGTGCCCACTCTATAGAAGCTACCAGGCCAAAGTTCCTTCCTTTTATCCACGTGTGACAAACTAAGCACTCATTAGCTATGCTCTACCCATGTAGTGGAAAGCGCGAGTGTAAGATATGTGCATTTCAGAGAGTCCGTTGAGTTCATCAACGTCCGAAGACGTTTAAAACAAGAGGTACCAGAAAATAAAATGTATTGGAATACTTCATCATTGCACGGGGAGGTGAGAATTGAAGAACATACCCGAGGGATCTCGTCCAGAGTCGCGACAAACGTCACGTCACGTCAACGAACGTGAAGCAGTTCTGGGCGATGCTGCAAAAGCACGAGTCCTCAACATAAGAGGATGCGGCTGGTGCAAAGCGACGCCGCGAGTTGATGTTCGGAAGACCAGGTTGGACGCTTTCCAAAATTTTAAGGAAAACCCGACGCTCGGACTGGTGCTTGGCGCGCACTAGGCAGAACGCCGCCTAGCGCACGTTTAGCGAGAGCACTCCAATATTGTGTTCTCTCGATCGTCGCGAACTTCTCTCCAACCTCGTCAACCTTCTAACACCGCAGCAATGGGTCGTCTTCACAGCAACGGAAAGGGCATATCGTCCTCGGCCATTCCCTACTCGCGCACTGCCCCGGCGTGGCTCAAGACCACCCCCGAGCAGGTCGTCGAGCAAATCTGCAAGCTCGCCAGGAAGGGCGCGACTCCCTCCCAGATTGGTGAGGTCCTTCGTGACTCCCACGGTGTCGCCCAGACCAAGATCGTCACCGGAAACAAGGTCCTCCGCATCCTCAAGTCCAACGGTATGGTAGCCTGCCCGTGTTGAAAGCGCATGTCGACCGCAGCTCTGCCTCTGGGCATCTGTCGCGCTATATAAATTTGCCTCTGTTGGTTCAATGCTGACAGAGAGCCATTAGGCCTCGCTCCCGAGATCCCCGAGGACCTCTACATGCTCATCAAGAAGGCTGTTGCCGTCCGCAAGCACCTCCAGACCAACCGCAAGGACCGCGACGGCAAGTTGTATGTAAAACCGAACTCTTTATGCGTGCGGGCCTTGTACTGACTTTTGTAGCCGTCTCATTCTCATCGAGTCCCGTATCCACCGTCTCTCCCGCTACTACAAGACCGTCGGTGTCCTGCCCCCTACCTGGAGGTACGAGAGCGCCACTGCCTCCACCCTCGTCGCATAAGGGAGTGCTGGCAAGCTTGGTGTGGATTCGAAGCAAAACACTCGATTGGAGTTACGGGTGCATGGATACACTACTGGTTACATAGCCTGTTTATGGGTGGACATGATATGGAATGAATGAAAAGCATCACGTCCGAGGACGCCTCTTCAATTGATACCCTGGGCTGGATCTCCAGCTCCTCACAATACTTCGAACGTGAACATGAATATGTGAATAAACTACAATCCCCGGCCCTAATGGGTATCATGCCTGTCACGATGCGCCTCAAAGCTTTTGGTGACCATGAACGCCTGTCCTATGCAAGCCATATAACTGACCTCTTAACCATTGCACGCCGCTTTCCACCTTCTCATCCCATCCAACTCTCTTCAGCCCTCCAACTCCGCACTCTTCTGTGCAAGCCACTTGCTCAAGTACTCCAGCGGCTTCTCCGGTCTATCCCACATTAGCAACACATCTCACCCACGCCCAATCTCACTTACTCTTCCGTAACCAAGTGCTTCATGGCCTCCAACAAATGCGGCGTGACATGCTGATTGAGATACTGCCGTGTCGGCGCCCCGTGCAGCGTCGCATGCACCGGGATCTGCGCTGGCCCACTGGGATGCGGCGAATTGCGCGACGATACAGGTGCTGGAGCCGGCGAGGGTGCAGAGAGCGCGGGCTGCACGTGTTGAACGGGCGGCGGTTGCGCTTGAGGCTCTGATGTGGGCGCAGGCGCGGACTCGGGCGCGACTGCGGAGGCTTCTGTGGAGGCTGACTGTTCTGTGGCAGGCGCGGGCGCTGACTCCGCCATCTCGACGTCCTCGGCGAGCGTGCCGTTCGGTATGGGCGCGACGGCGGGTGCGGTTTGCGGTGTTTGTTGCGCAGGATCGGCCATGGTTTGGTCTCCAAGAACGTGGTCGTGAAGGGGTAGCGCGTATACACAACCTGTATTATAATAGAGCGCGTCCTCTCAGGTTGTTGGCGGCGGCATGGTTTCGATGGTGTATTATCTTATGGTACTGAGTGCACGGGCGGTCCGGAGATGGAGCGGAGATTCCCCGGGTCTGATGCGTTCAGACACAACGGCGCTGTCGTCGGTATGGATACATGCAACAGCTGGAGTACGCTTGTTCTTTCTGAAATCGAGTTCTAAGATTGCAAGTCGTGGCAGCTCCCATGGTTCCTGCCGTCATGCGTAGTCAATCTTTCAGGTCACGCCCCTGCCAAACACCAATAAGAATTGGCATAACAAGTGCTTCAATTTTACTTCTGCAACCGCCGCTAGGTCAACGCCACAGTGCATCTACTGGTTTGATGTGTTATTGGAAATACTTTCTGTGCTTGTGACCACAGTGTCAATCTCCGTTACAAGCTCGCATCACCAACCACCAAGTCGAGCTTGAGATGTCACTGTCATGGTAATCGACATATTTACATAGAGCACTATGATAAAGCAGAGTCAATATGAGCTTATGGAGGATTGGATACATATTAGTATACAAGTCCACGCAGGCATCACTGGCGTCCAAGGCATTTCCGCCTCACTGGTACCAGTTCTGAGCCAGCATTCAACAAGTTCAAACCCCGCACAGAGCCCAAATTACATTTGATTCCCCCCTGAAATATGTTCTACCCCGTTGAAGTGCTGCTTCATTTCCCCGCGATGGTCACTGTCGGCTCTGGGCAAGAAGCACGTCGCTTCACAGAAGCACGTACAAACCAGATCATCGACCTCCAGACGTACGAGAGGAAAGCAGCCGTAGATGAGAAGCGCTGGACTACCAGCCATACAAAAGTAAGCACATCGTCCTTCAACGCCAGAACACCTGCTGACCGCCACGTCCAGTTTGAGGCCCAAAACCCTCCACCAGCCTACTACCACGCCTCCCCCATGATGCGCCTCCCCACCGAGATTCGTCTACAGATCCTCGCCGAGGTCCTCTTCGACCCGGACGAGATCACCTTCAACTTCAACGTTCCAGATCCGAGCGCACTTTTCCTCGACGCCCTAAAGCAGCACGCCGTTCAGCTGCCCTCCACCTACGCGAAAAGCTACTCAGAGTATTCCTTCCAGGCGCTCCTCATCCTCCGCCTCGCACCCCAGTGGAAAAACCAAATCTTCGTCGAGCTACAACAAAACGACCCAGGCACACCCCGCAAGCGCTCCAACGCGCGTAAACTCTACACAGACTTCCATGGCGACTCCCTCCACCGCCGGGAAGCATGCCTCGACTGCTACGTCCACTGCCGCTGCTGGGAAAACCATTCTGCACAGTGCACGCGCAACCGCGCCAACGGCCAGCTCCTCCGTGTCTGCAAAGCCATGTACTACGACGCGCTCCCCCTCCTCTATAACCTCAACGTCTTTGCCTTCGAAAATGCATACGAGATGGGCGCCGTGCTGCACGCCATGGGGCCCGGCCGGCAGTTCATCCGCTACGTCGACGTGCGCAGCCAGCTGTTCCACGGCGGCGTGCTGTGGGAGTACCTGCTTCCGTGTCGCATGATCCGGCAGTTGTACTTCCCGGAGTCGCATCGGTACATCATGAAGCAGGACGGGAAGAGGGTCGAGGTCGACACCGACCGCGCGCCCGAGTTCTTTGGCGGGTGGATGATTAGGGGTGGGGAGGCGTTCTTCGACATGGTGAGGCAGAGGGAGAAGGGGGAGAATGATCCGCTGGAGATACTGGAGTGGCATGGTGGGTGTAAGGATGTAGAGGCGAATCAAGCGGCTGATAGGGCACTGCGCGCGCGGTTGCCGGTCCAGGGGGTTAAGAAGAAGATAGCGGATTCACCTACTTCTATGGTGAGTAATCTTAAGCCTGGAGTATGAGCCACGGCTGATCGGTATTGGTAGCAGTCATGCGGATGGTACCTGCCCGTCTTTGCGAAGCCAGGCCCGATGCCGAGGGAGGAGGCCGTCGAGTACTACGTCTGGAAGGACGGCCCACTTGGCCCAGAGAAGACAAGGGCGCCGTCCACGCTCTCGAAAGCCTGCTGTCGCTTGTATAACGCCACGCTGCTCCTATGGACGTCTGCCCAAGCCATACGTCGCAAATTGGTGCAGGCCAAGGATGAGCTCAAGGTCGAGCTCAGGAGGTTCAAAGCGCTCATCACGATACGAAACGTTGTTGCCCTTCCCTGGCTCTTCATCAGGGGCAGTGCCTACACGATCTACGGTGCCTGTGCAGTTGTCGTGTGTTTTCCTGGGTGCTTTGTTGGGGGCACATTGTTCTTGGTCATACCCGCCGTCTATCTTCTCGTCCAGTCCGTACGGGAAACCATCAACTTCCTCACAGTTCATATCTTGAAAATACTGCCCAAGATAACGACGCCCAGCGAAGGCAAACGCCACATGAACGGAAATGGACATCGTTGAGAGTAGAGAATGTGCCGGGATCGGGCCCGTTAGCTAGAGCACGCGCAGTATCGACTTGGTGCTTCTACTTGGGAGTGTTCTCGCCTGTTACGGGGGGGGGGGGGGGGGCACGCAGCTGAAGGGTCCTCGAACCAGGGCGACGAAAAGACAACGGTATTCGATTTGCATGTGACATGTACAAGTATGATACACCACTCACAGATATTTTACAACAGTTTGCCAGTAATCCTCTACGCAATGGTGATGGTCTTCTGCTCAGCAGCACCCTTCTGCTTCGACTTCAGCAAGTTTTCTTCCTCCTCGCCAAAGGGCGCAGCGTCTCCATCCGGGACCCTGCGGACCTTCAAGTGCGCTGCCGCACCATGCATGCCCACGATGTTCAGTGTTCTTTCCAACTTGCCCCAGATCTTCACAGGCGGCGCCTCTCCCCTGAACAGCTCCCGTCCGGCGTGGATCAGTTCGTTTGCCGCAAAGCTGCCAGGGGCGTACTTGGGCTCGTAGGGCTTGCGGTCCCACTGGCTCCGCTGCTGACGGTACAGGGTCTGCATCATGCTGCCTTCTATCGCACCAGGCGTTATGCCCTCCTTGTCGATCTCCGGGGCGCTATCTACCGCTGCTCCTCCGCCGCGCTCACGCTTCGCTGACCCGCCTTTGCCGCCGTCTTTCTTCCCTGGGCCGCGAGCACCACCGGGACCACGGGCACCGCCGGGACCACGAGCGCCGGTCGCTCCAGGCGGGCCTCCTCCACGGGCGCGTAGATTGGGACCGCCTTGTGGCCGTCTGGCAGGAGGGCCTCCGTCGCGGGTTACGCGGAGCGTGGACGGGGCGCGCACCATGGTGCCAGGGGGGCCAGCTGGGCCGACTGCTTCCCTTCTGACGAGCGGCTTTCGGGGCGCGATTATCTTGGCTCCGTCTGGCGGGCTGGTGCCGGATCGTCTCGCAAGGACCGTGCCGGGGGGCGGACGGTTGAATGAAAGGTTTCCCACCTGCTGTGCGGCATTGGCATTTCGCAGACGGCGGGGTTCGCGCGGGGCTGCAAGCATTGGTTCGTTAGCATTGTGCCATGCGGCCTCGCATCGGGGCTGTCTGATGCGTCCGCACCTGTCATGGCGTCCTTGAGCGTCTTCGTCGGAGGAGCGCCGGGCTGGTCCTCGAGCCTGCGCGCAGAGGCATGGAATCCCCGGGCGCAGCGGGAGCTCGTGGCTACACGCTGCGATAATGGGCGGCCGATTGTGCCCACGGACGGGCACACGGAGCGGTGCGACATGGCGGCAGTGGATGCTGGACGCTGCAACTGGCACGCTGAACTTTTGGGAGAGGCCGTCGAGCATGGCCTGGGCCTTGGCGCGCTAGAGCCCTTCACGTCGCCCGTGCGCGCCAGCTGCGGAGCATCACGAGCATTGTCTATATCCAGCTTCCGCCGGAACCATCGTTTTCTGTAACCTCCGGACGCCGACATGATCGGTTGACGACGCTTTCTACATCTCATCTCCATTGGACCATCGTTTTTAATCCCAGCAACGCACCGTCACGGGAACCCCTCTCCAAGCACAGCACGCTACATCACCGCAGCAATCCCATTCAAACAACGCTTGCACGATACGTAACAGCCACAACACAACATGCTTCGCCGTCCCGCCACCACCATCACGCTCACCTCCACGGACCTGGACGCCTACGAAGCCAACCGCCAGCGCAAGGTCTGGGAGAAGCAGCAGCAGCAAGCTCAGGCTGCCCACGCTTCCAACGGTGCCGACACGCGCTCAGAGCGGAGTCAGCAGGGATCAGTCCGGCCGCAGCAGCGGAGCCAGAAGGATCGGATCATGGGTGGACAGACACGCCACGGTCACTAAACTAACGCGATGATTCGAAAAGCACGCATCAGTTCAAACACTAAGTCAATGGAACTAGACTCTCGGGTTCTGGAAGAGGACGATGATTGGCAATCCACCGACGACGAGCACTGCATCCAGGGGTGACTAGATGCTCGTACTAGATTCGGCGCTGGGAGATTGAGCTTTGAATGCGTTCTGCAGCCTGAGAGCATGAACAGTTTCAACGGTGTGAATTCTACAAGACCCCGAGGACTAGACAGGCCCTAACAGCCGGTCGATCGAATGTGATCCACGAACTATGGAGGATGGTTTCGATGCGCTATGGATTCTTCTAGGAAGCCCTCGAGACCTCAAATTGCGGCTACCGCGGCTAAATTCTATGACAAACTGATACCACCATTGCCATCATTGCCATGCATTCTCCTCACGCCATGTGAGCAAACCTTTGCCTCATTTGTCGTTGACAGCGGAATGCACCGGTGACGCGTCGGCCCGAGCAACGCGTGGAATCTCCCTGGCTTCAGCAACACAATATGCCCACCCCTTGGTGTCCGTCAATGTCTTTCAGTATCCTCTTACCATTGTATGACTTGTATGAAGTGAGACCTACAGCATGGCACGTCTCAAAACGGCGTCTGCGCTGCTCGTGACTCTCTTATCTCGAGCTTCCGCGCTACAGTACCAACTTGTACAGGAGTACAACGCTTCGAACATCTTCGAGGAATTTGATTTCTTTAGTGTAAGAGGAGCTCCACTCAACCACGCTGATAAGATACCTAAGCCACGATAGGGCCCTGATCCGACGGGTGGCTTCGTCCAATATGTGACCAAGGAAGTTGCTGGAAGCACTCCGCTCATTGGCAACTCTTCAGACCTAATCTACATTGGTGTCGACGACGCCAATGCCTACACCCCAGGAGGGGTCGGACGCCCCAGCGTCCGACTCCAAAGCAAACTCACCTTCACTGAAGGTCTCTTCGTCATCGACCTAACACACATCCCAGTGGGCTGCGGTACATGGCCAGGTAGCATGTTTCTCCCTAATCTGTGCGCCACTAGCTGACATCCGTGGGACAGCACTCTGGACAACCGGGCTGAATGACTGGCCTGCTGATGGAGAAATCGACATCATCGAGAACGTCAATGATGCTCGTGCTAACAATGCTGCCATCCATGCAACCGGAGACTGCCTTGTAGACGCCGCAACTTCTCAAACCGGTACCTGGAAGAGCACAGATTGCAGCGTCGGTCACGACGACAACCAGGGGTGCGGAACTGTGTTCACCGAACCCTTCAACTACGGTGCTGAATTCAATGCCAATGGCGGTGGCGTCTACGCCATGGAATGGACATCTGACACCATCAAGATCTGGTTCTTCCCACCTACCAATGTCCCGTTGACCCTCTTGAACGGCGGTGTACCTGACTCAGCAACCTTCGGGACACCGAGCTCCGTTTTCAATGGACCATGCTCAGGCTCGTTCAGCGAAAAGTTCTTCAACCACAGCATCATCATCGACACCACCTTCTGTGGTGGTTGGGCTGGTGGCACGTTCGGCACTGGCAGCTCCTCGTGCCCGATCAAAGAGGGACTAAGTCCACAAGATAGCTGCATCGACTTTGTAGCCAACAATCCTGAGGCGTTTAAAGATGCGTACTGGGGTATCAGAAGCGTCAAGGTATGGGAGAAGGTACCAGGTTTTACAGTGGAGGACCTTACAACACCTGGAATTGCCTTACCTCCACCTGGAGTCGCCTTACCTTCGCCTGTTGCGACCATTGAACCTCTTGATGTTCTCATCAAGGGTCCGGTATCTTGGAATGTCTCGAAACCTATGGCAACGATTGAGCCGCTGGACGTATCACCCCTGACAGGCGGAGTACTCAGTGCTGGTGATCACAGCGAAGACACTCTTGGCGACGATGACAGCGAAGACGTTTGGGATGACGACGACATCACCGAGGACGACTTGGACAATGTTCTTGATGCTGTCGATGATTTTATTGATCTCGGTTCATTGGATAATATTCTTGGTACAAGTATTCTTGACACAGAAGAACCCAGCGGTATCATCATCGACATCGACATAGGCCCTGCCACTTCTGACGCCGCCACTCTCTTGAACCAAGTTGCAACGACCCTATACGGTGGCGGTATCCTTGACATACCCTCGGTTTTGCCCTCTCCTGCTTCAATCCTTGTTCCTTTCGGTGTCGGCAACACTGAAGGCCACAAGGATCTATTTCCACCAGAGCTATCGCTACCGGTACCCACGAAGGGACCTCGCATTCCTGCACCTAATGGAAACACGGGCATCGTGCCTCCCCACCTTCAACAACTTCCACCCGTACGACAACAGAATCCCGCACCGAGTAGTGTAGTAGGAGTCCAGATACCAAACACTCTCCCTTTGCTACTCCCACAGCCCGTCGACAACGCGGCTCAAACGGGATTAACCCCGATGCAGATCGATACCCCAGCGGTCACTGCACCCGAAGTCGCCGCTCCCCAACTAGCCGCCCCAGTAGCTATTCCTCAGCTCAACGCTTCAGCTCTCAATGTCCCGACAGCTGATGATCCTGCGGTCGGCGTACCGCCCGTCGCGGTACCAGCAAGCGGAATCAATCCACTCCTCACACCCCCTCAACACAGTAATCCACTAATTCCTGCCGGCATCGGTAACACAGGAGTTGTTCCACCCAGCATCAGCGATAGCCCCATAGTCAGTCTCTGGTCTTCATTCGGCACAGAGCTTAAGAACAAGCTCATTGCTGCGGCAACGAACCTGCCCCCGCCCTCCCCGGGCAGCAGTCCCTTGGCCGACCTCTGGGCCTCCCTAAGCCCTGAGCTGAGGAGTGACGTCCTGAATGCTGCGAAAAATCTCCCTGCGTCGACGCTCGAGAACTCGGTTCCTACGATTTCCGATCTGATCAACGCTGCTTCGACCGGAAAGGTAACGAGCATACCTAATGTACCAGGGCTTCCAATACTGGATGCTCAGCCTGCTATCAAGCCTGCTGGTGGACTGTTGGGCTTCCTGGACGCAAAGACGAAGAACAAGTTAAAAGCTCTGCTTGGGCAGACTGCTGCTCCGCCAACTGGCGGTGATGATCGGAAAAGACAGATTCCAGTCCCGGGTTCTCTCGCCCCAGATCTTGTCCCAGTTGCACCCTTGGAAAATCTACTGCCAGTGTCAGGTACAGGTGCTGTTGACAGCACTGTGCCGAACCCGCTATCACAGCCAGTGGCAAGCAACCCACGGCCACTCGCAGGTCTGGCCCAGAATATTGTTCCCAATACCCTACCTCAGCCAGTAGCAAATAACATACAGCCACTTCCGGGTCTGAGTCCAGGTCTTGTTTCAGGTGCGCCATTAGCAAATTCAGGGCCAGGGCCAATTCTAGGTCTTGTTAACGGAACTATATCGAACCCGCTGTCTCAGCCAGTAGCAAGCAATCCGCAGCCGCTCGCGAGTCTAGCTCAGAGTAACGTACCCAATACGCCTCCTCAATCGGTCGAAGGTGCCTTACAGCAACTTCCTGGCTTATGGAATACTGTACCAAACGGTATCATAAGTACTGTATCAAATGCGCTGTCACAACCAGTATCCCCGCCCTTGAAGTTGACGCCAAATGTACCTGTTACTGCACTGACAAGTACGGATACAACAAAGGCTATGAATGGGCTGCTCAGCCTCCTCGACGATAGCACGAAAAACCAGATAGCCGACTTGTTGTTTGGACCAGACTCATCCACCGCGGACGTTGCGCAGCCAGCCATAGATACCGCAGATGAGATTACACGCCGCTCGGATAACAATGGCTTTACCCGTCGCCAGACCACCTCTGTTTGGAGCCCACAAGACAAGCTCGCTCTGGCGCAGAACGTCTACGTCCTGTGCCCCATCCCAGCTCTTGTGGGCATCCCTTTCCCATCACCGACTGACTTTGCTGTGGACTTGCGAGACCCCAACAAGACTCTCGAAGACGCTCTCGCGAACTTCCAGCGTAAGCTTCAGGCTTACTTTGACATAACGGTACAAGGCTGTTGGACGAAGATCAACCAGTGGCTAGCATGGCGACAGCTCCTCAGCAAGCCGGGAACCTCACACATCCTACCCTACCCGTTCCCGAAACCGAAGCGTACAATGCGTATTCAACGAAGACAGAAAGACAACGTGGCAGTCGAGGACTCCAACCCCCAGGGCTTCGTAGAACAGCAAATCTACACCATCTGCCCGAAGCCAGACACCTTCTCGCCTGCGGTTGACCAACTGATCGCCGACCTCAAAGACGAGAACGTTACCATGACGAGCGCCATCAGCAAGTTCCAGAACAAGCTCTGGGCGTATATGGCGAAGATGCAAGAGTGCTCCGACAAGATCAGGCAATATGGACCCAAGCTCAAAGCCCTCAGCGGCACTCCTCCCACCAAACCAGGGTTCCACACCACCACCGGCCAAGAGGAGGTGAAGCGTCATCACGCTCGCCAGATTCCGCCCCGCGTCGTTAGTGCTACGGACCTCCTAGACCACCTTACCAAACTGCAGCTGAATCCCTACTCATTCAGTAACCTCTCTTTCGAGGATAAGAAGAGCATCTACGAGGATCTTCTCGCTGACACCAGCGCCGGCTGGCCCGGGAATCCTCGCGATAAGGAAGAGCTCCAGGATCTCGTCTTCCAGCTGACGCAGGCGACCGCACCCCAATCATGGGGAGTTGTCTCTAATGGTGGCTCGCCTGGCACTGTCACTGACAATGGTGATGCATTTCCGGGCTCAGAAGATGGCGACGACACGCCGCCGCCGTCCGGAGATGATTCGGGGAATGGCGGGTCAGATATCAGTCTGCCGGTTGAGGAGGGTGGTCCAGATGGCGGCTTCGATGATGGCATCGACACAACTCCTGGAGCCGGGGACGATAGTACTGGAGATGGCAGCACCGATGGCAGCACTGGGGACGACAGCGCTAGAGACGAGAACCCCGCGAACGATGGCATAAATGGCTTTGCACCTGGAGAACCCAACCCCAGTGCCCCTGATGCGGCTAACACGGACGACGGCGCTGGAGCCGGGAGTGATGAAAGTAATGGTGTTGACCTTCATGAGAACGGCGACCTTGTGAAGCCTGGCGATACCGGGAGTGATCCCTCTGACCCAGGAAATGACCCCTTTGCCGGGTCTCCTATGGACGACAGTTCAAGTGGTGCTCCCGTCGACAATGGCTCAAATGATGCCCCCGTTGACGACAACTCAACAGCTGCCCCTATCGATGACGGTTCGCAAGACACTGCTTCTGTGGCAGATACTACATACGTTTTTCCAGGCATCAACACGCCGTCCACGGCGCCACCCGAGGACCCCATACCCGCAGACGACACCGGGTCCGCATCAGAAACCACCCCAGCCGACGAAGACACCCAAGGCCCGGCTACCCTCGTCAAAAGCGACATTCTCCCCTCCGACACTACAGCCGGCGACGCGAATCCCGCCTTCGATATCGAGCCCCCAGGTTTCCACTTCCGCTCCCGCATCCTCCGCAGCCCCGCTCGCCTCAAACGTCAAGATCAAGCAGATGCCAATGGCGTCATCCCCGACACCGAAACCCCCGCCGACCTCGACGCCATCCTGGGCCCCCACGGCACCCTCGACCCCTTCGGCTTCCTCGGGCCACAAATCGCGTCACCACCCTCCCCATCAGGCACACAGGACCCGCACGATAGCCCCACCGCTGCGGACGACGCCGCACTGTACAGCCTGCCCGACACGGCGGTGGACGAGGCTTCTCCGGACGTGGACGCTGCGCTGCAGGCGGGCGAGCAGGATCCGTTTGGACAGCTGACGTACAGCAAGGATGATGGTAGTGCAGAGGACGCGGGGGAGAGGTGGGAGAGTACGGAGTTTCTGGGGAAGCTGAGGGATCATGAAGAGAGCGAGCATAGTGGGAAGTATCTGGGTGATCCGAGGGATGTGGACGATTTTGTGGACAAGTTTTATCAAGGTGATGGGCATATCAAGGTGATGCGCAGTGAGTGAGCGAGTAGCTACAGCAGTGTTGGGGGAAATGAGGATGGGATGACCTGGTGCTATGAATGCTGCAAACGAAACGGCTTGAGTATGATATAGTGCTAGGTTACGCTGTTGAATTGGATTGAGCGTTTTTGCTTTGGAGTACCCGAGTAGATTGAACGGTCATCTACCACCGGCTCGTCTGTTCTGCAATCCCGGCTGTTCCGTGGCACTCCTATTTCGCTGAAGAGTGCGCCTTGTTCCAGGCTATGGCGTGATCTCTCAGGAACTGCCGTACCTCGTTCTTGTCGAGACACGCTTCTACCAGCGCCATTTCCGCGTTCTCGTGCGTCGTGCTCGGGTCTTCCTCTTTGAGCGCCGCCTCGATGGGCCACTCCGGGATCCACACGTTGGCATTCTCCCTGTGCTTCCACCCCCATACCCCGTCTTTCTGGTCGTATTTCAGTGCGGCCAGAGGTTCAGAGTTGTACCGAAACTCCTCCTTGTCGTGGGCTTTGGACATCTCTTGTCGCCATCTAACCGACGGGTGCATCCATTCATGGGTCTCGCCGAGTTGACGCAGGGGTGTGTGAGCTTCTGTCGATCTATCGTCGCAGGCGCCGGGTGTGCGCGCTTGTGCGCTCGAGATGACCTGGTACATCCGGGTGTAGCTATCCTGGTTGCGGAAAAAGGTCCAGTGGTCGGGCTTGTAGGGTGGGACCACGCTCGGGCTGAAGCAGTATGTCCGCACCATCTTTTCTTTGGGTGTTGCTTTCTCGCCCGACGAGGACGAAAAGAACGAGCCGAGCCACTTCTTTGTCGCACTCAGGTCCTCGGTAATGGTGGCGACCGTCTTGCCCACCATACTCGTACTGGGTGTTTCCTTTTTGCGCAAAGATTGCTCGGCGTCATCCTCGATCATGGTTTGTAGGTATCTGGAGAGTGTGGCGTTCGTGTACTGATCGAAGGCGAGGTACGGTCGACATTGCTCGACCATCCATGCGAAAGTGATGTTTGCCAATCCTGTTACACAAAGTGTCAAAATCATGTAGTCTTCACGGAGGAGGTTTGATCCGACAAATGAAGATGAAATGGAAACTTCCGCTGGTAGGGGGGGCAATAGGACCTACCTTCAAAGTCCGTCTTCGCATCGTCTGTTCCTCCACCGATGTTGATGTGGACGCCTATACAGTAAGTCAGCTCGTGTCGTCAGCTACTGACTTGCTTACTCACCTGTAAACCAGACTTGTACCAAGTCTGGCTTGTGGTCTGCCTTCTGCTGCTCAAGCTCTTCGTCGATGCGTTGCCGGTGTTCAGTAAGCTCCGGCCAATCCACCTCGTCCTTCGCTAGTATCTCATTCTCGGCTGCCAATACGTCTTCGTTCGGAATGTAGTACAGTGTTGGTAGGAAAGGCTGTCTACGGTCGTCAATCGCCAAAGCATGAAATGCATGCTTGATATCTGAGCATGGTCAGTCAAATCATCAAGACGAAAACTTTCGAGAGAGGCAAATCACATGGATTCCACTTGACATTGAGCCATTCGAAGACCTGCCGGCTCGATGCATGGCTGCGAATATACGTGTCTGCGAGTCCGAGACTTCCCACGGTATCGAAAACACCAACAAGCTCAATAGATCGTGAATTCTCATACTCCATGTCGCCCCATGTGCCCATATCGTACCAAGGAATCTTGACATTACACGTCTCTTTCTGGCTTTCAGGGACAAAAGGAGCCTTGCCCATTTTCCACTCAAAGTACTCTTTGGTCTTTCGGAAGTTGTATTTGCTCGTGTTCTTCTGGTAAGCGGCAAACAAAGATGCAAAACTCTGCATGTTGTCGGGCTTCATGACACCAAGGTCGGTGATCATGCCAGCAATAGCTCGAGCTGTGAAAGCGCCGCGTGAAAAACCAAAGCAATAGATCTTGTCGCCAGGTGAGTAGTTGTTGACCACAAAGTTGTAAGCTTCGAGCACATTGACAACCAGGCCGTCGCCAGTGGCTCCTTGGCGTTTGGACTCGAGGTCTGACAAGCTGCCGGATCCCACACCGGAGTCGTAGTAAACTACTTGCTGCCAGACTTTGCCGTCATCACCCCGACCGGCTTTTGCAATGGTCCTGGCAATGCGTGTAATGTTGGATGGCAGATTGTGCTTCCCGCTGACAGACGATTGCCAGGTGCCATCGCAGCACAAAACGATCCTTTTTGGGGCTGCTTCGACCACTTCTCCCATGGTCGCTGTCGGTAATGCTGCTGTAGAGACTTGTCTTCTAGCAGACTCAATAGTGTGGGTGCTTAAGAACAAGGCTGGGCAGCTACCCTAAATATCATTGATGGTGCACTGACAGGGCCACATTGGCGTGAAGCCGATCAGCTGAACCTCATGCAGGGCCACGTTGACGTGAAAACCCTCAGCTGAATATCATGCGGATATGGTATTCCCTAGCGAGAGACCATACATGAATAGATATTCACGATAAAGTGTACGCCGTCAATGACTAGTATACGTGCTGATTGGCGTCCTATGGGATTTCGGCGGGGCCTAACCCACTCTTTTTAGCGAATTATCCCTCCTATTGGCCTTTAAACGCGACGTCGTACCTCTCGTACATGCATACATATGGTATGTTGTTCTGGCCAGTCGTGCGCTACTCGCAAAGCAAAGCCAGAACGCCTGGTCCAGGTATCACGTGCAGAGGAGAGCTCCATTGGCCAATTAGGCAGGTTGCCTAAGCGAGAGACAGAAGTGTTGACCCAACGGAGATGGGTAGCAAATAACGTGACTGTTGGACTATCCGAGTGCTTGAGTAGGCTTCATTCAGGCGTAATCTAGACGCGATCATACAGATCTTGCACGAATGAGGCATGCGGAGATCCTGCAGCAGCAGCAGCGTCTGCCATTGTCGGAGCCCAAGACCTTTCGGCTGTTCCTTGTCTGTCTGTGGATGCGTCAAACTGCCGGGGGCCACCGGGCTCTTCTAAGTCAGACATACCTAGGGTGTATGTCCATAGCTATCTCTGTGTGGGCAGGGCCAATGGAAGAGTGGCTCAATGTAGCCCACAGGCCCATCCAAGGTTGTATGCGGTAGTCCGCGAAACACACCATGTCCGCGAGGCTGACTTTGATCTCACGAGCTGGTCACCTTGCGCCTCCCGCCCCCAAAACCACATCCCACTCCCCAGCCTGCGCCACAAGCACCAGCCGCAGATATACATCTCCCAACCCATGCCCTTCGACGTCGCCGAGCAGTACCCGCCTTCCCAAACAGGCGCCCCTCGGTCCACGGTGTCGGCATCGCCCATGCCAACGCGGCGAACCCGACCGCGTCCCGAAGCGGTAGGTGGGTGGTGTCGCACTCTGAGCGCGCAATGGCGAGCTGGAGATATGGGGTCGCACGAGGATGACAGGAAACGCGAGGGGCAGACCGCGCAATCGTTCATGCGCAGGCTGCGTGGACGGCTGCGTAGGCATGTCTAGGGTGTGTGCACGCGTACATGTGCACCGTGTGGACACGGTGGCCGAGGTGCGTTGCGCGAGAGCGGGGTAGGACTCAGTCTGATGCTTGTGCGATGGAGGGTTTGCATGTGAGGTTGAGGGAAAGGGCGGTGTATGATGCTCTATGAGTACGAAGTTGGATCGTGGATGTGGCGTGCGTCGTACAAGCTGAGAGCTGCGAACGCAGGTTCTGGACCCGGAGAGTTCGTGCGATAATTGCTTTTTTGCCTCGTGGGTAGGCTGATGGAATTGCATACGAGACGTAGATCTACTAGGAGGTGGGCAGGTATCAAAGTATCGAGTGACTGTGCCCCTGCAATGCGTGAGTGCAACGGCCTCACGACAAAAAGCATTGCGCTGCATTGAGGCGGATGTCTGCGTCGCTTGCAATGTGGCGTAGGGTACATCGAGCATTCTACGCCGCAAACCATAAAGTTACGGTGGCATTGACCTGCCGTGATATCGCTGATGCCGTTCGCTGAGCTGTCCTGACCCTACCAGCGAGCGATTGACGGAAATATTCATGCGACCACGGGACGGCAAACTTCGACAAATCTTTGTACTAGAGATCCTCACATGTCTCAGTGTACCCAGAACCGATCCTCCGCGGATTCACTAAGTAAATGTAATCATTCTGCGCTAAGGGAAGCCTCGTCGTTTTCGTGCGATAGTTCTCGATAAAGACTGTCCCCGTTTCCCAGAAATCGTTTTCGTACGGCACGAACACGCGTGTTGCCTGGTAAGGCAACATCGCGTGGCATCTGATTCAGAATGCCGCGAGCTACATCACGGTATGAGTATTCCTGTGGCCATCTATCCTGAATGAGGGTAGATGGTGGAACGAAATGGTACCGTGGCAGCGGAAAACGTTCGTGCTGATTTGCGCTTGGGAACCGCGGCTCGGACTGTGCTTCTTCAGGCTATGTTACCGACCGTAAAACCAAATCAGAAGTTGGGGGTCGCAAAGAACGCCTTCGCAATGCAGAGAGAATCAACAGTGGCGGTTGAGCAGGCAGACTCTCGAGTCTCGACTTCGTCCGAAATTGAACAACCCACACCTGGAAGCAGAGCCGCGATCAGAAAGCCTCACTCGAGAAGCTGGGCCACAAAAAAGAAACCCTACCAAATAACGAGCGTGCATAGTCTAGAGGTACGTTTTTGCGGACGAGTTGGTATTTGGTACCAGTATTGGCTCCTGTGTTCAACCCAGCGACATGGTCGCGGTGTTCTGAAGATGTCTCGTTGAGGTCTAGTGGGCACAACGCACGATCGAGGAGACGGCCGTGCTTGTGAGTCCAGTATAATTCTCCGCACCATGATGAACGTGGATCCTGGGCGATGTTGATCGCATGGCTCGCCATCTTGATCACCTGTCACAACAAAGCAAGCACACATTGTCGTAAACGTCCTTCTGTGTTGACGATCGCCTTCGAGATTGGTGTTCCCTTTGGGAGATCCAAATACGAATGTGGCCGCCAATGCATTTCTAGTCCCAACGTCGTCGTTAGATGCAGCGGCTACTGCAGCCTCTTTGAACGCGTTTCCCTAAGAAACGGTAGTTCAATACGAGCGGGTCGTTGCTTGCGTATCGCTAGACGCAGGTACACACCAAGTTCTCCATCATCGGGTACCTGTCGGGAGCTCGAATGGCGGGAGGCCTTGCAGCCCAGACAGAATTCGTAGGATTGGATAACGCGACTGGGTCGCTGGAACTGGAAATTTGCACGACCGAAGCTCTTGTAGGATTATATGTCGCGAAGCGTAGATGGCGTCGATGGAGGGGTTGGTGGCGGTGGTCAAAGTAAAAAGTAGTACCCATGGTGCAACGGAAGGTGCGGCCAATGTGGGGGAAAGAGCCAGGCTGGACCTCGTTCGTGGCCGCAACACCCTCCGCCATCGCGCTCCATCTCCCCGTTCCCTCCTCTATTGATTCACCATTCCACTTCCAGTCATTCTGGGGCGTACGCGCCTCGAACGCGTTGATTGGCTTGTCGCCGCTGCGATCGCCTGCCGTCGCTTGGCTGAGCCTGTCCACATCGAGGAGAGCGACGCCGTCAGTGACAGAACGGAATTGATGACAGTTCCTGACGAGACGGCACCGTCGACAATAAAACGCATCAACCGGGTCTCAAACCATCCATCGGACACGTCCGGTCCGGTCCGGTCTGCTTTTCTCAGCGGCCAAGGGCAATTTGCGCAGGCAGAAAACTCTGCCAGCTGAGATGAGGCACAGCAGCAATTGCTTGTCGCTCACGCTCCCCCTAGAACGCCAACGGGAGTACCGCAAAGATCACTGTGGAGGTACATCGCTTAGCCCACAGGCACGTACTGGTCGTCATTGGTACACTGTACCGCTCGACGTTGGGTAGTTGCCGTCACCTTCAACGCCCCGCCCACTCAGCGGCGGGAGCTGCTTCGAGGCCCTGCTTGGCTGAGTGTGAACACGCCAGGCGAATGCCCCATGCGACTCTGCTGAACCGATGCCCTTCAGCTCGCGATCTTCGAATCAGCGCCCGTCGGCGCGGTCAGCAATCATGCGGTACGTAATCGCCAGATCATCCAGCGGGTATGTCCTACGGCGGCGCGTTGCTGCTCTCGGAGAGCCTGAAGATTTACTTCTCTAGCCTCCGCCTGGAGCTGCTGTCCTCGACCAGCACGGCAATTTCTAGCTATCTTTGACGTGGGTGGCCCGCTGGAATCGAAGTCGACGTCCACGGCATCTCAATCCAGATGGCAGCGAATTGCGCAAGGCCAAGCTGGTGACCCTGTCACTGTCGCGCAAGCCGGCATTTCTAGCCTGGCGCATTGTTCCTGGCCCCCGTCACCCCTGACGCGCCGCCACCATGTTCCTAGTGATGCCCTAGTCTTGGCTTGTTAATAGGCACGTGCACGCGACATGGGTCTTTGGAACCTGCAGGGGCTTCGGTCTGGGGTCATGGATCGTCGCTTTAAACAGACCACCAGGAAGGTGGATGCTCCAACCAGAGCTCGCCCTGGCACTAGCTTTTCTCCTGGGTCCTGGAGCCCACGTTCTTTGCCATAGCGCGTCACCTATTTGATCGTGCTATGTCCCGCCTTCCTACTTTCCCTCGCCTTGGACTCGTGAGCGCCCCATACCGACCATATATATATCTTATTCACTCTTTACATTCACTCCGAGCTCCCCGCACTTAGGCCGCAGTCAGTCAAGATCCATTGACGATTGTTTCGTTTCCTATCTGTCGCACCTCCGCCGTCCCGACAGTCCAGCTCCATCTACGGTTTCATCTTGCGCATAATCCAAGTCGTCTCGGAACCGTACGATATTCTTGATATTAAGTGCGCCCACCAAGGATTCTTCAGCAAGAACAATCGATTACCACCCGTGAAGACAGTCGCCTTTTATATTCGCGTCCACCATACGGAGACAGCGCCTAACCTTGCGTTCTATGTCACATTCCCGTTACTACGCTCCCGCGTGAGGTACAAGACATGGCAAACTCAACACTTTCTTCCCCACTTCGGGGGAATTGTCCCGCACCTTTCTTCGATGCTGCGCAGTTTGGCTTCGGCGGTTGTAAGTATGCTGCTACAGAGATTTGTTCGATGTATTGACTTGCGTAGCTGTGGAGGGACGGTTCTGTGCCCCCATTCCCAACTTGGGGGATTGCTGTCTTCCTTGCCCTGCTACCGACTATATATATCCTGACGACTTCAAGAAATGGTATCGTGCTGCTGAAGCGCTCAACCTAGCTGGCCTTGTGTGCATGGTCTTTTTGTTGGTGTCTTTTATATGTCTACCTGCTGAGCAGACACGTCGACACTATCTAAGTTACTGTTTGATTGTCGCTGCGATGTTCTTGGCCGTTAGTAGGAACCTCTCCATACGTGAGTTACATGCTGACATTCAGCCAGCTTGGATTCGTCATCCCTTTCGGTGCAAGACCAGAACAATGCTACGATGAAATCACGCCAAACGACATGTACTCCAGCCTTACGTGCGCATTCTCTGGCGCCTTCATCATCGCTGGTGGCATGTCCATCGCCGTCTGGATTTTCATTCGCGCCTTATCAATGCACCTTCAGATCTGTTGGGACGTCATGCCGGGAAAGAGATTCTTCTACTGGGCGCAAGGTCTTGGCTGGACTGTTGCAGCAGCCTTCTTTACTGCTACCATCACTGTGACAGGTGTATCGTTCCGTTTTGGCGATGTGTGCCATGTCAATGCCGCCCATTCGCTCGCCGATTTCTGGGGCCCTCTCCTTGCCATTGCCGGCGCCGCGACATTGGTCCAGCTTGCGACTTTCGGTTACTGCATCAAAGTATACCTACAGAGCATGTGGAATGACGACAAGACCGAAACGCAAAGCAGCATGGGATTGCCCTCGTACACCAACAGCGTCAAAACCCGATCACCGCGTGCGATCTACCGCCGTGTGCGCAAGGTCGTCTATCTTCAATGGCGTGGAATCACCATCGTGGTCTTTATTCTGGTAGATGTCGTATTCTTCTCGATTGTTTTCATCTGGCTCAACTCGATCACCGCTCATGCTACAGACGATCTCCAGCTTGCGATGCCTTTCCTGGTTTGCCTGATATCGAACCCAGCGGACCACGAGGAATGCTCGCCTCTCGCGGAGGCGCTGTTTGTGAACAAGTCGACAGTGATTGCGGTTTTGCTTATGTTATCTTTGGCTGGCCTTCAAGTCTTCATCCTCTTGGTCCGTGGGTCCATGTTTACAGGATGGTTAGATCTGGTCCGATGCAAGTTTGGCAGCAAGCGGGAGTTTGTGTCTCTCGACGCCCACAAGTACGCAGTTGGCGAACATCAGTTCGAGCTTTCCCAGGTTCAACCCAGCATTGCCGCATACCCAGGCACCCACAGTGCAGACGTTAGCCCGATAAGTCCGTCGAAAGAGAAGAATGACATCGAACCATACCGACGCTCCGTTACCGCTACACCGGAACACTTTAGTAGAGAAGCCACCCGCGAGTACACAACGCCCAACCTGAGCTTCTCCGCCCCGCGAGCTCCATCTCAGGCCGTGACACGGGCTGAATGGGACCCACGCGCAACTCACGCAAGAGGTGGTCTAGGGTTTCATCCGCCGGTGTATGAGGAAGAATACAGGGCAGACAACAAGATTTGAGCGTGGCAAGCGGACCATTTGAAAGAGGCGGATTTTGAATTTTCTAAATCAAAACGACGGGTGCCCCAACGCATCTGCTTGCTTCTCCATCAACACTCCTTTGCTAGGCCAAGGCCTCAAAATTCACACCCTGTGATAGCGCGCTTATTCAGACGAGAGCTCGAGGACGTTACCTCGCGGAGCTTGCCTAGGGCCAGCCCGCAAACACGGAACGATTGTCGCACCGCTCTGATCAACAACCAGAAGAAGCCCACCTCGTTTGCCTAGCGACTCGCAGCTTCGGGCTCATGTTTGTCATGATTCCATTGCAGAGAGAGAGACCCGCAAGGGACAACCCGCTCTCTACATCGATTGGAACCAACCCTTTATAGGGGCACATTCATTACTGTTATGGATGATCTATGGCCGCCGTGTGCCAACCCCTTCTTCTGTCGTAAGCGACAACATTTGTCGGGTGCAAGCAAGTTCACGCAGCTGATGCTTCTGTTCGCATTTTAGCCTGGTCGTTCGTGTCTTGTCTACGATGGCTTATTGCCGGATTCACCAGAGCTCCTCAGCCTTTTCTTTATCGTCCACGGCAATCTTGCTTGCCATTCTGTATGTTCCTATACCGCAATGGTTACGTTTCGCATAATGTGTCAGTTGACGCTCATTGTGTACCATAAGCCGCCTGCCTCCATGCGATAGAGGGCCAAGCATCACTGCACTGCATTAGACATGGTTTGCATATCATTCGCTTGCAAGCACCACCAAATAACGAATCAAAATCAAACACCAAAAACATTTCAAACTGAAACCCATTCGCTCCATGTTTTTACACCTCCTGCCTGCTCGAGACGACTCCCCGCATACGCATACATCCTGTCGTCCGACCTCACCAGTACAGTCGATCTGTGTCTTAGTAGTCATGCCGCTCCACCAAGTGGAGCTATACATTGTGCAAATAAGATATTACGGATAAATTGTGCGCGCTGTCTGTACCTCAGTCACGCCCAGTTCTCTGGCCCTGCAGGCTGCGATCCTCCAGAACAGGGATGGCACACGAAGCGAAAGGGGGATGCGCACGCACATCCGCGAACTCTTCCCCCATGTCAATTTTCGGCTTGGCGGGATTCCGAGCCTGGTTCGCAAGCCGATGGGTTCAGCTTGGTGAGGAACCAAAGGCGGATGGTTCGAGCGTGCCGTCTTCCTTTACGAGGTTGGGGTTGGGATTGGGGGAGAATTCGAGAATTGCAGTAGGCCGGTAAGCGCTATGTACCGTGCTGATGGTTTGGACCTGACAGGGCCTGTCGATGGGTCGCTTTCATATTATCATAACGCTACATGCGTCCACGCACACAACTGCTCGACCACGGAGCCGGCTGAGTGCTATACGAATTGTGGATGACAGCGCGCGTCTGGTCGCGTATCGCCTGCCTCTTCATGATCGCATCCCCGGCTGCTTCGCCAGCACGCAATCTGCACCGAGAATCATAACAGAGGATCACTAAATCCTCCGACTGCGGCGCCATTCCCTTGAGCTCGCCGTTTACAGTGCGCAGAGCGCCAGAAGGGGCAGCTCCTCTGATTCAAGAGCGCACCGCGTCATGGCGAGCCGCGCGAGGAACGAGTCGCAACGCTTCGAGAAAGGCGCCAGAACACGACGCTGCGCGACGCAACGCGGAGTCACACACATTAACGGCAAGTAGCGCCGACAGCTATTGCCCATGGGTCGGCTATTTTCGGGGCAGGGCTGGGATTTAGCATGGCTTTGACGCAGGCGCGGGCGTGGCGCGCGGATGCAACAAGAGATTGCGGTTTTGGTATGTTAATGTCAGGTCCGCGGGATTGCGGCCAGGTTGGGCATCCGCTCTCTTGTAAGGCTGAGATTGCCTTCATGTCGGGCCGTGTCGGATGCGGTGCGATTGTCTGGTCGTCAGTGGCACTGACGCTCGGCTGGGTATGTGCTCATCGCCAGCACGGTCCGCTCTCCATGCGGACCGGTAGTTGAAGTCGCGTTTGATGAGTTGGGAATCCGGCTGCTGGAGTGAGCCTCAGGTAATACCCAAGCGAGATGTCCCCAAGCTCTAGCTCTCAGCAGCAGACTCGAAGCGAAGCGAAGCTCTCGCCAAACCTTCAGCGCCGTGCCATCAATATGCGGCATCTGGACGTGTGCCGTCCTCTGCAGCACCACCGCCATCGTTCGCTATCAGAGTACGCGGCATTGACGACTGCCCAAGGTCTCGAACGGTGAGCTGTGGTTGACCGCCCGCGAGCCTAGCCCATCTGAGCATCCCAGAAGACACATTTCATGCGATGGAGCAGCCAAGCGATCATGGTGGAGCCTGGGCTCGTGGGCAAGGTCAGCATCAAGCCATCGCCGGACCGACGTGATTCGGCACCTTGCGAGGACAATGATGGGGCAGCGGCGGAGAGGTCCGCTGGTTGAGTCGGTCGGCGTGGGGAGTCACGATGGCTTCTTCCAAGGCACTGGAGGATGGTTCTGAAACCGCCGACTGCCTCCACTTTGTTGGTACCGACCAGGAGCGCTTCTCGTCTAGCGCGTTTGAAGAGCTGCAAGACGCTCAACCTCTGCGACGGGACTTGTCGTTCCTGCTCTTGGGTCTTCAAAAACCTGCTGAGGCCGCGCCGCCATCGTGAAACTGCAGAATGCATGTGCCTGTGCCATGCGGTACTGGACGCGGTTCTTATCGCTTCGTCAGCCGATCATGTCTCGGCACCTAGCAACATGCAGGAACCGTGCTACACAAGCGAAGCTGCATCCTTGGTCCATATCGCACTCAGATTCTACTTTGACCGTGAGTGCGTTGGCTGTGAGGATTCAAAGAGGCCAGTCGTATACAGTAGAGTATGACGATATCGCAGAGCGATATCGCGACAAGCTAGGAAAGAGCCGCCACGGACGAATGAGGGCGACAACAGCCGCTTGGTAATAGTCCACTACCAACCACCAGTCAGCTTACTGTGGGTATCCTTCTCATCAGCAAACTAAACCGTGTTACCTTCTGAATACATCATTCTTTCGTTGCCTCTACCCAACTCACAAGCACAAACACAATGGGTGGCGGTGAAATCACAAAGCGGGGCTCCGGCTTGGTGCTCCTTGCAGTAATACCCTTCCCCGAAGATGCTGCCAAAGACACCATTGCGGAGATAAAAGAGGAGTTCCCGGACCTCGAATACAACTACATATTCCAGAAGTTTGAGATCAAGAAGAACGGCCTTCCAGGTGGGGATGTGGACGTGCCTGCAGGTATACCATCCCACTCCTGCGCTGCCCCACCATCTGCTCGTATCATGCCAGCAACACCACGAGTGCTTCGTCCGCCAAACCCGTGACTTTGACGCGTAGCATAACTCGATATCCACACCCGCTCTGAATCTAACGCATCTCCCAGACCTCCTCAAGCGGGTGAACGTCCTCGTCACCCTCTCTTGGCTCCCAGCAAAGGAATCCGCTGTCCCCAACATCAAGTTCATCCAGTTTATCTCAGCCGGCACCAACCATGTCGCTAAGCACCCCATCTACACCGATACCAAGATTCCGCTGTGCAGCGCAAATGGAGTCCACGGCCCGCAGATCGCAGAATGGGTTGTCATGATGGATCTCATACACAACCACAACTACATCGACTTGTACAAGAAGCAAGAGAAGAAAGAGTGGAAGCACAACGGCGAACTAAGCTCAAAAGATAATGTCGGCAGGACCGTGGGCATCCTGGGATACGGCAGTATTGGGAGGCAAGGTGAGTCGATCTTTCAATGATGCGTGTCTTACAACTGTCTTGCTTTCATCTATATCCTGGGGTGGGAGCTGCATATGCCGTGAGCAGGAACCTGGACCTGGATATGCAGTCAGACGAACACCCTCAGCGACTGCAAGGCCTCCATCACCGCAGCGCAAGGCAGTCTCGCGCTGGCGCTGCGGACTCGACTCGCGAGGAGCTTTTTCCCCGGGTGTTCCCGCCGGCCTTTGCACGTCTGCGACGTTCAGGCTCGTACAGCACGCGCATCCTCCAGCGCACGAGCACGGCGTACCGCATAATCGATCTCAAGCGCAATCGCCCGTCGCGCCTCCCGTGTGGCTTTCATCTACCGGATCCTTCCCACCGTTATCCTCTCGATCCCACATCTCAGGGCGCACCGCTTCGCGGCCATGGCCCCCGCAAGCTTACCCGGCCCCTCCTCCCCCGGACTTCCCTTTTCGCACTCCTCGCATCCAGATGCCCCGTGAAATGCGTTCTCGCTGACGAACTGTGGCACAGTTGCCCGCGTGGCGAAGGCAATGGGCATGAACGTCCTGGCGTACACGGCATCCCCGCGCAAGACGCCCGAGTCGAAGCGCGACGACGGGTTCATTGTGCCTGGGACCGGGGATGCCGAGGGCGAGTTCCCCAGCGCGTGGTACAGCGGGTTGGACAAGGAGAGCTTGCATGCGTTCCTGAAGCTGAAGATTGATTTGCTTGTGCTGGCGGTGCCGTTGACGTGAGTTCCTCTTTCTCTGTTTGATTTCGATTGTGAAGGGGACTGGCCACGAATGTCTGGCTGCACAGGGAAGTGGACGCTGGAGAGGAAACAAGGGAGATGCTGGACGAGCGGTCTGTCACAGACCCACCACCAGCATCACCCTTCACGTCCTCCCACCCCATCCCTGCACCGCCTACCCGTTCCCAACCCCACTTCAACCGCTGTCTCAACCCCATCTAACACATGCCCCACAGCAAACAAACAACGCACTTCCTCTCTTCTGCGGAGTTTGCCCTCTTGCACGCCTCCAACCCCTCAGGCACCTACATCGCCAACATCGCGCGCGGCGCCGTCATCGACCAGCCCGCCCTCATCGCCGCGCTCAAGTCCAACCAGATCTCGGGCGCTGCCCTCGACGTCACGGACCCGGAGCCGCTGCCTGCCGACGACCCGCTGTGGGACGCGCCCAATGTGCTGATTACGCCGCATGTCAGCGGGGTTACGCAGACGACGGGAGAGCGGTGCTTTCAGGTTGTAAGGGAGAATCTAAGGAGGGTGAGGGATGGGAGGGGGTTGGTTAATCAGGTTGATCGGGAGAGGGGGTATTAGGGCGGTGTTGAGGGAGTGCGAAGGGAGCAGGGGACGGGTAGATGATAGAATATGGAGAGGATGGGGTGGGATGGGATGGTGCGAGGAGGATGAGGATAGCATAGCGAGTTTGGAAACAAACACGATGATGCAGGATAGCATAACCAGCTTAGACATTGCTGTGGGGTGCATTGCCGTGGGTGCTCTGTCTGTGCGAGTTGATCATGCTTGCGCGTAGGGGAGGTTGGATCTCGTAGGTTATGGGACTGGACGGCCGTCGCCACTACATCGAGTCAAAGCAAACCTCGAGAAGCCCTAGACGGCTCCAATGACAGACATGCAAACTAATACTTTGGGGTATCCACCAATTCATCTTACGGCGCCGGAACCCGCTCAACGTACATAGACCATACTCGTACACACCCTCCTCTTTCTGCATCCGTCCGCGCCATTGCACGCGCGCACTACCTCACCGCCCGCCACGACTAAACCAATTGCTCACCATCCCACTCGCCAGATTCCTCGCCAGCCCAGAGCCATACATAGCATTCGACGCGAAGCCCGTCGCATGGCTAAACTTGTCGCAGCGCGAGTACGCGAGCGCATTCGTGAGCGTGAGGACGAGCGCGATAGCTACATGAGCGGTCAGCCCCTTGCCCATTCCCTAGTGCATGCCCAACTCACCAACAAGCGTCAACCAGATGGGCTCAAAGCTGAGCAGTGCCACGACGGCCAGCAGCACCCACAGCACGGGCTGCGCGTACAGCGCGATCCAGAAGAACCGCTTGTCCGTGGCGTTCTGCTCGCGGCTCTCGGGATCCGCGCTCTCAAACACCCAGCGCGAGTCCCCCGACGCGGTGTCGACTTCGTTCCACCAGCGCAGCCCGACGAGCCGGCGGCCCGCGATGTTCTTGAGGTAGTAGAAGTCGGTTGCAAGGAGCAGGATGGTGATGATGAAGATGAGGACGAAATTGGAGGTGAAGAGGCGCAGGCCGAAGAGGTAGGTTAGGAGGGAGGCTGGTATGGGTGTCAGCTCGAGCGTTGCTTCGAGAATGCAGTGGGGGATACAGGGGGCGAAGCTGCAAGCAAGAGGAAGCAGTGTTTGTGTGGCAGGGACGTACAGATGCGGAAGAACAGGTAGGTCAGCAGCGTGATGGGGTGGCTGCTGAGTCTCCAGCTCAGCGAGCCCGGCGCGGGCGTCTGCTGCGCGGTCTCCATGCTTTCCTCGCGGGGGTTGCTGCGCTACGAGTAGCTAGCTGTGAATTGTCGCGGTGGTAAGCTTCACGTGGCAGCTCCAGCGCTGGCGGAGGACGCGGTCCGCTGGGTCAGTGCGCCTCGGAGCTTCCCCGCGTCACTCGGCTTTGCAGCTATTCCCGCGCTTGGAACCATGGAGCTGCATAACATTGGCAATTGCGCTCTCTTGCATTTCTCTGCTTGCTGGAACTCTGTGTGAAGCTCTAGTGTCATTCTAGGAAGCCAGAATGGCAACGTCGAGGAACATAATCCGCCGGGCGCTCATGTACGGTACGCATTTGTCCCAGCGCTCTGCGTACCATCCCGAGCTCTGCACTCACAGCCATGTCCAGTCCCCGGCTCCTCCAAGAAGATGCTAGACAAGACCGCCTCCATGCGCGTCGACACCGTCGCCTACGACCTCGAAGACTCCGTCGCACCTCACATGAAACAAGAAGCGCGCCGCAACCTCGTCTCCATCCTCTCCAAGCCGCGCCCCAGCACCATCAAGGAAATGTGCGTGCGTATAAACAGCGTAGACACGGGGCTCGCCCTCGACGACCTCAGTTCCGTGCTCAAGGGCGAGCATCTCGACGCCATCATGCTGCCCAAGTGCGAGAGCGCTGCGGACCTGCACTTCGTCACCGACGTGATACGGCATGTGCTCCCTGAGCGACACCCTGCGGATGGCGTGCAGAGGGAGGGTGCGAGACCGCCCATATCGATAATAGCGCTGATTGAGAGTGCCAAGAGCATACAGAACCTCGCTGAGATATGCAAAGCGAGTCCCTATCTCTCAGGATTGGTCTTTGCCGCCGAGGACTTCGCAAAGGACATGAGTATAACACGGACGCCGTCGCTGACGGAGTTCCTGTATGCGCGGTCAGCTATCGCAACGCATGCAAGGGCCGCCGGGTTGCCGTCTACGATCGACCTGGTGTGCACGGCGTACAAGGGACCCGAGGGTCTCAAGACGTTGGAAGAGGAGTGCCTGAATGGGAAGGGCATGGGGTTCAACGGGAAGCAGTGTATACACCCAAGCCAGATCGAGGTATGCCAGCGGGCGTTTGCGCCTGGAGAGGCAGAGGTAGATTGGTCGGCGAGGGTTGTGATTGCCGACGAGAAGGCAAGCAAAGCTGGACGCGGCGCTTGGACACTCGAAGGGAAGATGATCGATGTGCCCGTGGTCAAGAAAGCGAGAGCAGTCCTTGAAAGAGCCGAGCTATGCGAGATCAATGTGGATGCTGTACGAGAAAGGTGGAAGAATCAGGAGCCAGAGTAGGCACAGCGATGCATAGAGACATGTTGTACAATTGACTGGTATGTGCCACCCTATTTACACCGTAATCATGACGCTGGCGTTCTTGTACCAGCTCAACAACGGGTTCTCTCCATTCCGCGTCTGCGTCTCTTCGATGTCTGCGCGGCCAGACATGAACACCTCGTGTGAGTATGTGCGCGCGAAGCGCCCGGTTATAGCAGTATACATGGGCTCGATAACTTCGAAATCGGTGGGGAACAGAATGTCGAAATAGCCTTGGTGGACCTGTACATAGTTAGCATTGTTCAGATCTTTGGAGGGTACATGGAACTTACGAGAGGTGTGCTGACGGGTATCATCTGCCTCTTGTACCGCGTCTGCACCACCGGCGCATTCAATCCTTCCACCCCATCGCTCAGCTTATGAAAGTCACTGCTGATGAGCTTGTGATTCGGAAACTTCTGGTACAGCATGTAGAAAAATTGCATGAGGCGTGTTGGTATGTATTCCGGCATCGTAAGCGAGTCGCGGAACGGTAGCAAAGAACGCATGCTGTTCATGAGGCGCGATCCCGACAGCGGGTCCGCGTATGACTTGCATGCCGCATGTCGCCGCTCAAGAAATTGCGCGGCTAATGGGTCCAGCGCTCGTGAATAATATTCGAACATTTCGCCGCGAGGATCGATGACAACGTGCGATTGGTATGGCGTCCCTGTCTGCCAGTCGTACTTGAGCGCATCGTGCGCAAAGTTGTCGAAGACTTCCAGCGCGAGAAAGTAACACGGGCTCGAGACGTACTGGTCCCAATCGAAAACTGATTTGTTCACGATCTCGACTTTGTCCGAATGTCCTCTTGCGTAGGCACTATGCCCCAGGCCTTGCTGCTGCAGGTCGGCCAGCTGGGTAGTGATCTCGATGATGTTGTATTTTGTCCTCTCATAAACTTCCGGGTGGCAATCTCTAATGTAGTCCAGAATATTCAGCATCATGGTTCCGTTTCCGGCACCCATTTCGTAGATGTTGAGGTCGTGGTACGGGTAGGAACTATACTTGTAGTCCTCGACGAGGTAACGGGCGATGGCTTCGCCATAGTACGGTGAGAAGAGCTCAGTGGGTGTATGCCAGAGCTGGCGCAGATCGTTGGGTTCTTGGAAGTCCAGCGCATCTTCGAAAGCGGTGTAGCGGTGACGCAGCGATTGGAAGAAGGCGTGTTCGGAAGGGAGCGAGGGGAAGTCGAAGGGCTCGCCGGGCGAAAAGATGACGACCTGCTTGGAGAAGTAGCCGTAGTGCGGGTTGTACAAGCTGTCTGTACGCGTGTTAGAGCTGCTGCGGGTGCCAATGAGTGGCATCGTACCTTCTATGAAGTCTCTGAGCAGCATCTTGACCCTCCTGGGCCGCTCTCTACGACTCCGCAGCATGTCCGATGTGACCAGCGGGTACCGCTCAAACTCCTCGGTTCTTTCGTGGGGAAACGCATTCCGCCTGGGCTGCCACCTGCTTTCCCGTTTCGTCTCACCCTCGCCCAGCCGTGTCGTGGTCCTCGGCGCAGCTTTGGTGGCTCTCCCACGGTGCTGGATTTGCGGCGTGCGGGCAGCTTGCGCGAGCACCGGGCGAGCTCCACGCACAAGACATTGCGACGCGCGATGCGAGAAGAGCTGGCGGAAGAGCTGCGTCACCTGGGGCGAGTCCATTGATGCCTGCGAACTGGCAATCGCAGACGGCGGCCGACGTGGAGGTGGTCGCGCGAAGGCACGTGGTTGTGGGTTCCTGGAGAAGGTTTCCGCCAAGACCGTCAGAGCTCCGCTCCGCTTACCACGAACTTCCTCTATGCGCTTAACCTAGATCCGTCCCTGGCATAATCACAAGATGAGCGATCACTCCAAATACTACATCACAGGAGCCTTTGTTCTGGGCGCAGTCGTGGCTGTGGGACTCCAGAGTCTGCAACAGCATAGCCGGGAAGCAGCTGGGCACCAACAGGAGCAACATCAGATAGCTTTGCGCAGACTTTCCAAGATCAATGATCTTGACACCTTGAAGAAAAATCTCTCGGACATAGAGATTGCTTCGGGAAACATCAAAGAAGGCATCGAAGGATGCATCGGCGATACGCCACTCATAAAAATCAAATCTCTATCAGAAGCTACCGGATGTGAGATATTAGCAAAGGCTGAGGTAACCTATGCTGAGCAATACTGTAGTGTCAAGTCTGCTGACACTGTTGCAGTTCCTGAATGGCGCCGGTAACAGCCCGAAAGATCGGGTTGCGCTGAGCATAATCCAAATGGTCCGTTTAAATTTGGGATTTCGTTCATGCATATAACTGATCTTTGCAGGCTGAAGAGAGAGGCCTTCTTGTTCCACACTCGGGCGACACCATCTACGAGGGCACTGTAGGCAGTACAGGCATATCACTCGCAGCAATATGTCGAGCACGTGGCTACAAAGCACACATGTATGACGTCGCTCCATCGTGTTTGTGACATAGCTAACCATGGAACAGCTGCATGCCAAACGACATGGCAATCGAGAAATCAGACCTGCTGCTCAAGCTAGGCGCAGAAGTAGAAAGAGTCAAGCCCGCGCCAATTGTAGATCAAAACCAGTTCGTTAATTTGGCCCGAACACGGGCAAAAGAGCATACCGATAGCAATGAAAAGCCTGGAAGGGGCCTTTTCGCAGATCAGTTCGAGAACGAAGCCAACTGGCGCGCGCATTTCACAGGCACAGGACCGGAGATTTACGAACAAACAGGTGGTGCCGTGGATGCGTTTGTTAGTGGAGCAGGCACCGGAGGTACAATATCTGGGGTCGCCCTCTTTCTCAAATCAAAGCTCCCGGACTTCAAGGTTGTGCTTGCAGATCCCCAGGGTAGTGGCTTGTTTAACAAAGTGAAGTACGGGGTCATGTTTGATCCCAAAGAAAGAGAAGGTACAAGGCGGCGGCACCAGGTCGATACCATAGTGGAAGGCATCGGGATCAACCGCGTCACGCACAACTTTGAAGTCGGCCGCGAACTGATCGATGATGCTATCAGAGTAACGGACGAGCAAGCCACCAGCATGGCTCGGTGGCTGGTAGAGCATGACGGCATTTTCGTTGGCAGCAGCAGTGCTGTGAATTGTAAGTTGAAGAGTCGTCTTCGATTTCATCACTGACATTCCAGGCGTCGCTGCAACAAAGCTCGCCAAGCAACTGGGCCCAGGTCACAGAATAGTGACCCTGCTTTGTGATAGGTAAGGATGTATTGTCTGCATGAGGTATATAACTGACGTTTCATAGCGGTGCAAGACACCTCAGCAAATTCTGGGCCAATAAAGACGTTGGTGGAGCTGAGAACGACGTGTCATTGGACAAGATCTTGGCTTCATGAACCTCTACAAGCGCCTTGACGCCCACCAAAGCCCATGTCTCCGGAACAGCTTCTAGATTACAACTAGATTTTCGCGCAGACGGCACCTCAAAGCCTTGCTATCTCCACAGCGTAGACAGCAGACAAGCCAGATTGCCACATCACGAGATGAACCCCGGCTAGTGCTTCGCAAATACGGCACAAACGCCTCCAGCGTCTTCACTAAATACCTCGAAGAAGCCGTGCATCACATAAATAGACTTCCTGGGGCGTGATTTGTGGCAACTATTCACGGCTGGCGGGCTTGCTTAATGGACATGTCACAATGGAACAAAGCCGTCGACACACTTCACACTTTCCAGCCATGTCTGAGCAGTGATAAAGGTCTAAAAACGAGTTTCCACAACTGTCTTTGTCTGATTGTCTCCATGAATAAACACAAGCGACCTAGACCTCTCCTCATATACTGGCTTTCGCAACCCCATACAGCACCAAGAAGACCACCTCTCGAGCAAATACAAACGAAGTTTCGGCTCCTTTGCAGTACTGTCTACAACCCACGCATACTTATTGAAAGAAACCGCAGCAACAGCAACACAGCACATGCAGTATCCACAGCGCAACCCCCCACAACCCCCAAATAATCCGCAGTCCAAGAAACTTCCCCTCATCACCCTCGCCCACCGCCGCGCCATGGCCCTCTCCCAGCGCAACCCCGCTCTCGCCCAGAAACTCTCCCAAATGCGCCTCAAAATCGCGCCTATAGTGCACATCGCAACCGGTCTCCCGCCCTCCCCCTTCCCATCCACCATGCTCTCCCTCTTCCTCCTCACCGAGCCCGAACTTGACGCTATGGCCGCGTACTACAGCCAAAACAACCCAGACCCTAGCCCGACATCGCTCACCTTTGCGTACCCGCAGACCATGGACTGGAATCGCGAGCTGCTAAGGAACGAGCCGGGGATGCTAGCCGAGGAGAAGCTGTCAGATGTGGAGAGGCTGAAGGTCAAGATAAGGATGTTTGCGAGGTTTATTGGGATGAAGGGGGCGGAGACGCCGAGGTGGGAGTATGAGCGGGGGGTCGAGATTTTGGCGAGGAGGATTGAGAGGAGAGTGAGACTAGAGGAAGAGACGGAGATGAGGAGGAAGGTGTTTATGGGACCAAGGGCGTGGCAGGCCTAGGAAGTTCAGAGTTTGATGGGTGTAGAAGAGAGGAGAGCATGCTGAGCGTTTTCGTTGATGGGCGCACGTCGGACGGATGTCCACAGCGTAAATAGAGCATTTGCATCGATGGGGTTTGAGCGCAGCATCTTGTGGAGGCATAGATCAGCACTGGCTTGTGCCCGCAAAGTAAAATTCGAAGCGCATTGAACAAAAGAATTGAATTCTTTTGCCACGTACATGTGTGCATCGACAATAAACATAGCGCATTTCGATTGATGAGGTAACTGCTGATTACTTGGTATATTGGAGTAGATAAGTTTAAGTGAACCCCACATTAGACATACCGGTACGCTCCAAAGCGAACTTCAAACCGCCACAAACCGCCCAGTACTCAACGAATCTTCTCCCTTCTAAGCGACACGCACCCGCAGAGAACCGCGTGATATAATTATCGTAGTTTCGTTTTGCTAAAATGCGATGCTGTAAAGCCACAGCAAAAACAATCGGATAATTGCTAAAAGCGGCTCACGGGCCCCTGACGTTCCCAGGGACCATCTGGGAACGCAAAAAGACGATATTAGACCTGGTGGGGTTCGAACCCACGGCATCCGCATTGCTAGATGTGCGATCATAAGAATCTGACGAGTCTTATAAGAACGGCGCGCTACCACTGCGCCACAGGTCTGTAAGAAATATCTTGACAGACAAAGATGTGATTTTGCTCAATTTTCTAAGAATAATGATACATATTCACATTAACTATTATGCGCTGTGGAGACCAGCTGCTTGGGATGGGTCACGAGAAAGCTTGCGTTGCTCAACAAACCGATGACGAGATTTAGGCGCCCATAATTCTCGCTTGTGAGCGGGGAGGCGGCTAGACCAGGTTCAGATGAGGGGCTGCAGCTGCTCGATATGCACTAGTGTAGAGACCACATCACGACATTCAGCTTCACCGTTACTTCCAGAACCTCTTTCACTTAATTGACTCCCAAAGAACTGATCAAATCTCTCGCTTCGGGTAAGTATGACTTTCGTTTGCGTGTTTTACCTTGTTCCGGCCCGCGACTCCCTCCACCTGCCTCTCTCCACCTGGGTACTCAACGCGCACTGCACCGCGAGCTCTTTCGCTCTAAGGCTACACGCCATCCTATGTATAATTGATACGCGTATTCCTAGGCAATACTCAACATGTATTTCGGCTTCCAATGGATAAGGGCGCGAAATGAACGCTGACTTCGGCACAGGCGCGCCTTCAACTTCTTGCTTGGGTTCTTGCCTGCGGTAGCAAGCATGACGATTCGCGCAAACAAGTTTACACCGGAGGTCCTACTCAGCGCCCCGCGCCGATCGGAGGGCATTCCCAACTCCAATGGCTCCAAGGTTCTATACAGCACGTCGACTTATAGTTTCGAACATCATGCCAAGACCTCGGAGATCCGCGTGCTGGACGTAAAAAGCGGCGAAGCCAGCCTTATCTCCGGCGAAGGTGCTAGTGAGCCGCAATGGCTGGACGACGACACGGTGTTGCTGCTGAATGAGGGCAAGGATGGTGTTACGAGCGTCAAGGTGGGCTCTGTCAACAGTTTCGATAACAGGTATGTGTGCTAGCTGTGGATAGACTACTGCAGATCAGTGGTTTTGGAAACCCGTTGTACGCAAATACAGTATTAGGACAAGTCTAAGTACAATCGGCCTACGTATTGCCCATTTGGGGTAACACAATGTGCTCAGACTTTTGTTCCAGTACTGTGCTTCAAATAGCATGCAGACGACTGATCGGGCACGTAGTTCGGACTGATTGGACTGACTCTATTCTAGCAGCTACAATGCCGGCACGGTCAAGGGTTCAGTCGGCAATGTTAAGCTAGTGTTGCTCCGTGATGGTGCATATGGAATTGCTGTGACAGGCAAGGCGACACCATCCGGTAACTTGTACAACGAGGCCGATGAAAAGAAGCCACAATCTTCCGGACGTCTGTACACATCCCTGTTCGTACGGCACTGGGACCACTGGATCACCGAGAACCGCAACGCCATCTGGCTTGGCATGCTCAAGAAGGATGGAGACAAGTACAAGTTGTCAGAGCTAAAGAACGCCCTTAAGGGATCGAAGCTCGAGAGTCCTATTGATCCCTTTGGTGGAACCAACAACTTTGACATTTCGAAGCATGGTCTTGTGTTCACTGCAAAGGATCCTGAGCTTAACCCGGCTACACATACCAAGACGAACATCTACACTGTAACCGGGAAGGACTTCTGGGACGACCTTTCAAAAGGCCTCCCCGAGCCTTTCAAAGTGCCCATCCACGGCTTCGAAGGTGCAAGCACGAACCCAACGTGGGATAATGAGGGCAAGGCAATTGGGTTTCTCTCCATGCGGACAGACGGATACGAGTCAGACAAGAATCAGGTCTTTATCATTCCAGACTGGACAAATCCAGGCTGGGTTCAGCATCTCTGGGCGACAGAAGATGGAAAGGGCTCCTGGGATCGCAGCCCTCAATCTATCAGTTGGGGTGCGAATGAGGAGATCTACTTTACTGCTGAAGAAGCCGGTCGAATCAGTCTTTTCGCTGCATCGTCAGACTTCAACAAGTCAACACGTGCGCCCAAGCTAATTGTTAAGGGTGGCGCCATCTCAAGCGCAATCTTGTTAAAAGATGGATCGCTGTTTCTTTCATCTTCCAGCCTCATTGAAAACAGCTTGTATTCCATATTGCCAGCTAGTGCATTCCTCGAGATCACCGCCAACGGCAACTCGTACTCACTCCCGCGCAATGATAGTGCCCCCGGACATTACCCATCTGACCGGGCTACGAAATTCGTCTCATCGAATACCCGCAGCGGCTCCACGTTCGGACTCTCCCGCGACCAAATCGAAGAAATCTGGTTTGAGGGTGCGAAAAAAAAGACACAAGTCCATGCGTGGGTCTTCAAGCCCTCAAATTTCAAGAAGAGCCACAAGTATCCATTGGCATACTTCATCCATGGCGGTCCTCAAGGCGCATGGGAAGACGCATGGTCCACGCGCTGGAACCCCGCTATCTTCGCGGAGCAGGGCTACGTTGTTGTTGCGCCAAACCCCACTGGCAGCACCGGCTACGGCCAAGATTTTACTGACGCTATCAAGGGCCAGTGGGGCGGCCTTCCTTACCAAGACCTCGTCAACGGCTTTGAGTACATTAAAAACAACCTCGAGTATGTTGACATCGATCGCTCCGTAGCACTCGGCGCCTCATACGGCGGGTACATGATGAACTGGATCCAAGGTCACGATCTCGGTCGCCAATTCAAGGCTCTCGTCACGCACGACGGTGTATTTAGCATGACCGCACAGATGGCCTCGGAGGAGCTTTACTTCCCCTTCCATGATATTGGCGGCAAGCTCTGGGAGAATCCCGAAGGCTGGGCACAATGGGATCCGTCGCGCTTCGCCGGCAACTGGGCCACGCCCCATCTGATCATCCATTCTGAGAAGGACTATCGTTTGACGATGAACGAGGGACTAGCAGCCTTCAATGTGTTGCAGACTAGGGGTGTACCGAGCCAGTTCTTGACGTTTCCGGACGAGAACCACTGGGTTTTGAAGCCTGAGAACAGCCTGTTGTGGCATGAAACTGTGCTGGATTGGATCAATGAGCATGTTGGACTGGAGAAGTACACCGAGTGGAGGGCGAACAATGGTGCTGCGCGTAAGTAGTGGCCTTGTCCACAGCTTGGGGTGGCTTGTGAATAGATGCGTCAATTGTGATATGAATCGCGGCGTTAGGCCCGTCCAGAACGCAGTCGTGGCTCTGTTAAGTTTCATAGTGCCCGAACAATCAAGAAAATATGATCCCACCATCTCATCCTGATTTCTTTGCGTTTGAGCAATGCCTTCTGGCATGGAAGATTGTTCTGGTTCACTGTGAATATTCGAATTCGCGATCGCAGAGGGGTTATCAATCAAACTCCGACTCGCTTGCGTATTACAAGGCTCCCAAGGATCTGTAGTACGCACTGCAGATCCCAAGTCTGTTCATAGACCAGGTTGCGATGTTGGTCAGGCTGAAGAACCAGGGTCTTGACGAATGGATGGACACAGCGTTTGATGGCGGGGTAGACATACATCTCATCTTCGCCCAAGCATCTTCTTAGCTGTCTTGTCACGCGAGAAGACGGTACTATATTCATCTTTTCTTCCGCACCCGGGTTTCCACTTCCTTCTGTTCTCCATACCGGTTGTAGGGCAGCCGGGTGACATCAGCTCGCTTGCGAGTCTTAGCCTTGTACTGCAGCCTGCTGTTACTGAATTGTTCTATACCAGAAGGTTTCATCGCTTTTCCTCTCACCCTCAAATTAACTTTGTATCATAGCTTCGATGGTAAACCCTCAACTTCTGCTACTGCCGACATATAGCCCAAAACTCCGTGGGAGTGTGGAACACACAATTCGCTATGCCTAACCTTCCAGCGGACACCTGGTATTGCTCAGTATGCGGCGCTTTGAACAGCGCGTGGTACGACATTTGTCCAATATGCGGCAGTGGAGGATATAGTGGTGGGGGTGGAGGATATAGCAGTTCATACCAAGACTCGAGCACGTCACGCAGCTCCTCGCATGTCTCAGGTCGCTCATCTCGGACTCCACTCAGCTCATCGCGGGTTTCTGAGAGATTTTCTAACTCAAACATCACTTCAGAAATCTCGTTCGACTCGCTGATATCTTACGGTGGCCATGATTTCGTACTACAAGAGACTATTGAGTTATTCTCGCAGGATGAAGTCACTCGTCAACTTCTATCGAAGGCCATACGAATTGGTATAGCCACTGATAGGATCGAGAGAAAGATGAGACGACTGCTAAAGCGACTCGGGGCCGATCTGCAGACCGAGTCTGAGACAGTGGAGCAGCGTCGGATAGGAAAGTTTATTGCGGTGAAGTCAAGGGCTGTTGCATTAGCGATTCTCAAAGGTATGGATGGGTTCGAAGACAAACCGAAGGAGAATCCACCCACACGTACCGAGACAACAGTGAAATCTGCAGAAAGCAGCTCTGAAGAAGATACAGAGTGAGTAACTCCGCGAACTATCTTGAAGACGGCACTTGACTGTGGATACGCGATCCAGACCGGAAGCAGACGAACCATATAGCGAGGAAAACGATTTGGGTAGGGCAAAGAAATTCGTCGCTCAGAGTGCAGCATTCGCAATGATGAAGCAGCAACTATGGCATTCGGTCTACCCCACGTTAGACTCCAAAATCGCCGCATATGTGGAGGATACTGGCAAAACCATTCCCTTGGACGATAGGGATCAATGGTTGAGCAAGGGCCGGGCTATGGCCACAGAATTTTACGATGTTCATCTCCATTCAGTACAAGCTTGCAGAGATATTCGTTCTTCTACGATGGACAGAATCAAGGTCAACATAGAACTTTTCACTGGAGGAAACTGGAATTGGTGGCCATTGAAACCACCCTTCCGAGGATCGAGCGATAACTGCGCGTAAGATGAATGCCCTTCTCTTCTGCGACGCCTCGTTCACAGGCTTTTGCGTTTCCCGAAAGGTCGGAACCGTTATGCTAACTCGAAATGCAATGGTAGATATCTCCATTGGACCTGCGTAGGATCTGTCAAAATTGACTTCTATGTATACACTAATATGTTCATAGAGCTGCGGAGAAGATCGAATGTTCATGGTCCCGGAAGATCTAGCGGAACAGGTCGAGCGATGGAAAAAAGAATTACCTCAACGGGAGGACTCTCCGCCAGGATCGGCATCGGCCCCTGTGCAACTGCTCCCTTCAGGTTCAAGCCAGCAAAGCGGAGCTCAAAAACCATTAGTTCAGGGTAATAATAACCCAGTGTTCTCCTCAAGCTCACAATCGACATACTCCGGGCAGAGTAGCGCCCATTCAACCACATCGAGTTCCCAACCATCTCCTGGCTGGGTCCTGCTCATGGTACAATCTAGAGGCGATTACAAGCTTGCTCAGATCAACATGAATGGGCACACAACAGACTCATTCTTCACGCAGCTGCGCTCTGAGTACCTCCGGCTAAGAGGCTACATAGCCCGATGCTTCAGCGTCTGGTACTACTCACATTGCGACTTCTACAAAGCAAGTGCAACCTTGTCCCAGCTTCAGCTTGTCCAGTACTGATGCTCTGAAGTTTCATATGTGGGACTATGATTCTGTGGTGCCCCTAGAAAGACACCAGTATCCAGAGCCATCAGACAAAGAATACAAATATGCACCGAAGCCGATGGCATTCATACCTCCTATAAGCAAACACGAATTCAAGAAGCGTCACGAGGCCTGTGGAAAGCAGCGCTTTCACATCCGCTGCAGTAAGTAGCCCCTACCGAAGCAAACCGAACCAGTCTCAAGACCATGCTCACGTGGACGCTGTAGACAAACAGTGTCCCTGCGTGAAAATGAAGGCGAAGGCACACAATCGCGACATAATCGACCTGCTTCCGAAAAGAGTTGCTCAGCTGGATTTGAGCGCAGACGAGAGGAAGCTGTTCTGGGGCCTATACGCTCGTCAAGAGATCAGCTTCTTTCGCGTTATAGTGTACAACGTCATCTGCATTAGTCCTCTTGTCTGGTTTTTCTTCATGTGGTTGTTTGCTTGGGACCACGGTGGAGATCAACAGAATGCTTCGGTGCCATTGATGACGATGTTGTCTTTCCTTTCAATATTCTGGACCACATTCATTGCGAGCTTGTGGCAGAAGGGTGACGGCGGCGCTAGCTAGTACCTGCAGATATGGTGAAGAGCTCACAGTGGATCAGGGGTATGTTGATTGAGTGAGGCAAATAAGATGATTTTGCGTCACTTCTGGAGGCGATCGAAAGCAACGGCCAGGCCGAAGGTCACATTAATCTGCAATCTGGAAGATGTCGTGATTCGCTTCGAGACTGGCGTATAACAGGAGGTTTCCCCATCTGGTAGCTGGGATCCTCATCTCATCTGTCCAACACGCTCAACCGTACACCGGCTTAACTAATAAGACCTTATGCATCTACAACAGACTTTATTGTCCAGCCCAAGAGACTTCCCGAGACTTGTTGTGACGCAATCCCATATTCCGGTCAGTAGGGTGGCAAGTTGGCGCTCAGCCACTCCACACACGTGCAAGGCTGAGCCGACACCGTTTTCCGAGTGAAAACCCATTCCAAGTTACCAAGCGACGCTCAGACTGGCTTCTATCTCCCTTGGCCATTAGAGATTTACTACGTCTAGATGTCAGCCGACGTCTATGCGTCTAATCGCAAACTGTCATCACGTTTCGTTTACTTCTATATAATTTTTGAGCCTGTAGGACGCAACGTGGTGTGTGCAATTCCCCTGACGCCGGATCACTGTTCTGTATGAGGGTGAACCGGAAGCAATTCTGGCGCCGCTTGGTCCGTTCAAGTGGACAAGAATTTGGCGAGGCTTTGAGAAGCAAAGAAGTCCTGTAGCCTCTCAACACGATATCAATGCGTTTGACCTTCATGTCAATACCCGTGCAGCAGTCCCTCTTTCTAGTGCAGACTCGGGAAAAGAAGCGCTTTGTTCAGCACCTTTGAGGCCTGCTGACAATGACAGCCTCGCCTCCTCTGATATATAGGCTTACATCAAATGCGAAGCCTTGAATGGCACTCGGTACGACATATGTCCCGTATGCAGCCGTATTTCACAGATTGAGGGACCGAAGCCTATATCCTCGATTCCGTCTGATGCCTGGGCATGGTAGCGAATGCGGGACCGTGACCAGCATTTAGTGTGACATCTGTCCCCTATGTGGCTGTGTTACGCGAGGTTAAGGGTCAAGTCCGTAGATATTGCCCGAAGTCGGACGAATCACGAGCCACCATCTCCGGTTCCTACGTCGATGGAGGCGCCTGTAGTGCACTCAACTGGTAGTGAGGTCTTCTCAATGTAAGAGGGGATAGAAATGGCAAGAGGGTATGAACGTGTAAGGTTATGAAGGAAAGAAGACTGAATAGTTGACTTGAGAGGGCGAGGGCGTGAGGGGCAGTTGAAGTAAGGAGGTAGGGACTGGGGGGGGATGGGAAGCAGTATACAGGGCATCCATACCCATTATCCCATCATACACTCTTTTGAACAAAACTCGTGCAATTTTTCACGGTCGATCCTGTGTCTTGGGAAAAGAGGCTGCATGCAGGCATAGTAGGATCAAGAACAATCTCAAGAGAGAAGGAAATCATGATTGCATCAAAGCAGCACCAAAGCTGAACAGCGCAGCGCAGCGCAGCTTAGCGCATTCAACGGGAGCTCCAGCAATTTGCGAGATAACGAGGTGATGGGTAGTGATGGAAGCGTACAAGGTGCGAGAAACGATAACAGAAAGTAGTACATCTGGTGAAGTAACTCTATTTACCATGGTATCGGGTCCTTCTGCGTTGAGTTAGACTTGTCTTTCTTCGAAAGGCAGATCGGCATCATGAGCTAACAGAGACTTGCTAGTCGAACACTTATGTGGTTGACTGCGGCCCATTGTACGTTGTATCAATAGATAACCGTGGAGCGACGCCAGCGCAGTCTTGCCTTCTCACGCAACTGCCATATACCCTTCTTTTTGGACAACTCGAGTTTACCTTTTAAATCAGCATAGTCTTCATGACAGACCTTAGTGGTTTGGTGGGTATCTCCAAGGGTGGCGGAGAACCCTGCGCATGCCCACTGGTACAGAGCGAGAGACTCGTCATTACGATGTTGCTGTTCAAGAATTAGAGCAAGGGAGTACACGTTCAGAAGTGTATCCGGGTGCTCTCGCCCAAATATCTTCTCAAATCCTTCCAGCGCTCGTCGAACGACCACCTCCGCCTCCTCAAAGTTTTTTTGGCCCATGAGAGCCATCCCCAGCTGTCCGGCACTGCTAAGTGTAGCAGGGTGCTCCTGCCCCAGGATTCTTTCTCTTATTTCTAGCGCTTGTCGTTGTATTGCTTCTGCATTCTCGTATTTTCCTTGCCTCTCTAGCACTGATCCAAGCCGGCTAAGGCAGGTGAGCGTTTCAGGGTGATCTCGGCCGAGAATCTTGTCTCCTCCTTCTAGTGCTCGACGTATCATCTTCTCAGCATCCTTATACTTTCCCTGCCTCTCTAGTAGTGTTCCAAGCTGGCCAACACTGGCAATAGTTTCAGGATGCTCTCGGCCAATTACTTTCTCTTTTCCTGCTAGTGCTCGACGTAGCATTTTCTCTGCCTCCTTGAACTTTGCCTGCTTTGACAGTACTGACCCAAGCTGGCTGATACCAATGAGCGTGTTGGGATGCTGTCTGCCAAGCACCTTCTCTCTACTCTCTAATGTTCGATAATGGATCGCTACTGCGTCATCGTATTTTCCATCCATCTCTAGCGCCCATCCAAGGTTCCCCGCGCACTGGAGCGTGTCGGGATGCTCATGCCCAAGCATCTCCTTCATTAAACACCATGATTCTCGGTAGGCTATCACTGCTGCAGCATATTGGCCAATGCTTTGTTGAGATCGCCCGATATATCCGAGGAGTGCAGCACCATTGAGGCTGTTTCTAGCACCCTCCAGTCCTACAACGTGGATCGCGTGCGGAAGGTACGCCCCCCATATTACCCATTCGCTGAACAGTAGGAGTTCCGTGACACGGAGAACTGCTATGTCTACCCAGGCCTTCCGCTGACTGTGTGCTTCCAGCCACCAGCTCAACGCCATGTGCACTAGCCGGTGCATATGGAAATAGCTCTCCTTGCCAGACCCTTGGATTGTTTGCTGACGCTCAGTAAGAAACGCATATCCTGTTAAGGTTCCTAGAGCTTTGGTATGTTGTACTCTTGAGTTCCCTGGCGGCAAGAGCGACTGAGGAATATCGGTCCGATCGATGCATGCTATGAATGAAAGGTAATCTGCTGCGAGAGGGTCTTGTCTCCGAATATGCTCAAAAGATATGTACCAGGTCCTTGCAACCGTGCTATCAGTGCGCTGGTATCGACTAGGATCTTCAAAACGCTCGCTGAAGAGCTCAGCTTCGGTACTAGCATGCTGTAGTAATGATACGTATCTAGCAACTGATACGTCATTTTGGTTCATGAAAGCGGCTGCTTGTACAATGGCAAGTGGAAGATAGGTGAGCATTTCCAACAGCTCGTTGATAGCGGGCTCGTCATCCAGTAACGCATTGTTTGTCGTTCGATGCAAGAGTAGTTGTCGAGCTTCAGCTCCACCCATGTCGTCTAGCGGAAGTACATAGTTCTGGGATAACTCTATGGCCGCTTTCCTACTGCGGGTGGTGAAAAGGATCGCTCCCTCATCACTATGTGGGATATAGTCGATCAGTGGTGTTGATCTCGGGTCTTCACTATCAGATTCCAGTAATATACTTGGGTCGTCGGCGTTGTCAACGATCATCAGCCAATCGCCCGAGACTCTCGAGCTTAATGTATCCCTCACGAGCTGCTTTAGATTAGCGTTGCCATCGCTTATTCCCGGTATGTTTAGGCGGATGGCGATCTCTCGAAAGGCAAGCTCGACGCTTTCCCGACTCATAGCAGGAACCCAGAAGATTTGATGTATGGCATTGGTCGCCAATGCGCGATACGCGAACTCGATCGCAAGCGCCGATTTTCCACAACCTCCGAGTCCGTAAATTGTCATACGTTGATGTGTACTACGCGAGAGGAGGGTCTGTTCGATCGCCTGGAGCTGGCTTTCTCGCCCAACAAAGAGCTCGTTTCGGGTAAACGGCAGCGATAAGGAAACTGTGCGGGATGAGCTGGATATGTAAAGTGGTTGAGACGAGAAAGACGTACCAGGCAAGTCCTGTAGATGCGTCTGAGTCTGTCTATGTTGGCGCTTCTGTATCTCATCCCGCAACCGCTGAGTCGCATATTCTTCCCCCTCTCCATAGTTAAGGGGCAAGAAAACGCCAAAAATCCCTAGAAGGCAGTACACTTTGTCTTCCTTCCATTTTGTAGTACGTTTCGCCACCCAGTTCATTCGCTCGGAAACGCCAAAATCAGCGAGATTCTGGCCACGTAATGCATTAATAGGAATGCTGGTAATGTCGTGTATTTCCTGCTCTAGCGAGACCTTATTGCCTAACAGCTTGCCATCCACCGAGAAGAACTTGATAGTAGTAGGCGCAAGTAATTCCTGAAGCGTCCACCCTCGCGTGGACTTAGCAATACTGGACCCCACAGGCGCTGTTTCACTCACCTCGGGTAAACCACCTGCTTTGCCGGAAAGCTGGTTCCCATGCGCGGGAGGCCTGAGCATCATCGATGTGCTGGGGCACTGAGACGTCTATCAAGTATACATAACATTTGCTTGCATGCTGGTACCAGCGGAACATAGAGTTGATTGCTGTGCTTAGCTCCACGCTATTAGACTTGTCGATGCAGCAGGTGTCGATCCAGAAATATTCGAGGTCATCTGCGGTAGCTTGCTCGCCGCAGAAGCGGATTTTTTTGTAGCCGCCTTTGTCCACACCTGAACCTGCTAGTAGCTCACTATACGTGACTTCCTGGCCTTCTATCCAGGTGTGCGAGAGGATAGCGTACGGAGGAGCGAGGTCATCATCAAAAGAGGCTAGCTCAAAGCCGTCGTCACCTGGGAGGCACTTGAGAAGACGTATCATTTTGCCGCATGATCTTCCATCAGTAGGTCCGACTGGAAGTTCGGTGTGGAAATAGAAGAGGCGCAGAGGCAGTGGGAGATGTTCGAATCCCATGAAGACGAAGCGCTTCGAGCAGGCCGTTGTATGGCTGGGGGCTGTTTCAGCCTGTGCTAGGGTAAAAAGCACTCCACCTCCGCCTCCTCAACACCGTTCTCGTCGAAACGTCGAAGAATACCATCTTTCACTAAGCGCTGCGCTGCCTGATCGCAAGGATCTGGGGAGAAAAGTGGCAGAGCGAGGAGTAAGAGTGACGGAGTGTTTTGGTGCGGCGGAGCGCCCATTTCGTGTCTTCGCCACACTGTGTGAGTGTGCCCAGAAGAATCGGCAAGATTATCCAGGATATAATGTTAGAAGAAACACAACAAGAAACTGAAAGAGCTAGCCCCCCTCGGGTTGCCAAGCAGCGTTTAGAATGGGCAATCTTCCTCTCGGTCTCTACACTTTAAGCTTTCCATCACTGCTTCCGCGCACAGGATCAATATTCTGACGTACACAATTCGGTCGAGGGAACCAGAGCTCCCTTCTTGTAGCGTATTGCACAGACTGAGACCCGGACTGGTCCCGTACATGTCTGAATAAGATGCGGTGCGCCGAGAATGCTTCCACAGAGAAGAGGCAATCGTTTGTCTTTTGGCACCTACAGAATGCCTGTACTGCGTTGTGCCGCGGCTTGTAATAGCTCGTGAAGAGCCGATGCCTGAAGAAAGGGAATCAAATTCGAAGCTGAACAGCGCAGTGCAACAAAACAAAAGTATCAAAGGTTGTTATACCAACCTCCCAATCCAAGCCAATACAAGGTGCCCAATCCGCTGGCTACAAATACAGACAAGTAACGACGCCGCAGCCTGCTGGCCCCGTCACCGGCCACCCAGGTTCAAAACTCTTTCGTCTTCCCAACATCACACTTGTTCCGTCTAACAGCACTCCTCCGCACACTCGCAGCACTCAGCACAGCACTCGCATCCCTCCTCGCAGACGAAACAACAGCACAGCGCTGCGAGACACGCGCCCAGACATCCGCGATCCTTCTTCTGCTTTGGCTGCTGATACATCATCTGCTGCTGTGGCGGCGGCGGTCCCTGCTGGTAGTACATCTGCTGCTGAGGGGGCGGGCCGCCGTACTGCTGCTGTGGGGGATAGCCGCCCTGAGGAGGTCCGTAGCTAAACTTACGTTAGCGAACATGCTCACACATAGTCAGGCGCGCAAACAGAGAGCAGACGAAAACAGATGGAGCGCAGAGGAATGAAGCAATGGCGCATACCTTTGCTGCGGATACTGCGGAGCCTGGTTACCGTAGTAGCCTTGGTTCGACATGATGTGTTGTGCGCGCGCGTCTGCACGTTCGACTGAATGCGTTCGTCCCGCGATGGATGGGCAGGAAAGCCTTTATGCCGCCTTTCCGTCAAAGTCCGGTCGTCGACTCAATTCGATTCGTCCAACGAACGTAAAGCGATGCGATGCGCTGCGATGCGATAGCGACTTAGCAGGAACGTAGGTTTGTAGGTGTAGGAGCAAAGTCGAGGAGGAGAGAAAAGGTCAGCCGGGCTTGTTCCTTCTTAAAACCCGCTGCACCTAAGGAGCGGGGATCCCAGCCAGCCGCCTTCATTCGATGCGCACCAGGACATGTGCACATGCAGCACCAGGGCCAGCACCAGCAGGCGCCACGGCTATCCATGCACGGCCACATCATTGGGCGCACACAAGCATTCCGAGGTCCGCTTATCCGTCATGACGAAGCTTGCCTCCCGGCTCGCCAGCAGCGTGAAGGCTTTGCGGCGGCGACAAACTGCGCCACGGGGTGCGCATGCACGCCTACATTGAAGGACTCCATTGCTTTGACTGCTGAGCAACGCAGAGCAGCAAGCTGCGACGGTGAGTTGATGGCGCCGAAGTGGTGACGAAGGCGCGCGCCACAGAAGCAGGGATGCTGCTGTGCTAAGCTCCCCGCCGAGCCTTGCAAAAAGCTTCGCCCCTGATCGATCCACAACACAGTCGTCTCATCCTACGCGGTGCCGTGCGCTCGGACTTCTCAAACAACCCGCAGGGACAGCTCCTGTGCAACGTATTTGACACCTCGCACTTCATGCATTACAATGTTCTACCCTAGTACCCTTCTCCCCCTCTTGACTTGCCAACGACCGATCGACCGACCGACTACGCTGCCAAGCTAACCAATCCTACCCCTCTCCGCCAAACGGTCCGATAATTATGTATAGTGAATACACCGCCATGCAGCAAGCAAACGACAACAGAAAACAGAAGCGACGAAGACGCAGTAGCATGCCATGCACGTTTGACTAACGAATATGGATGGGCCCAAGAGGCCAAACGCTATATACAACGCGTACACAACACCAGGACATAGAGCATGCGTACTGCCCCGGAGAATGCAAGTGCAGAGACCTAGAATCCAAATGGGTTTTCGGGGGCTGCACGACACGTTAGCTGGGGTGATGTCGTTGCAAAGGGTATACATACTGGCTTTGGCGAGGTTGGCCCGCCCCGTCGGCTGCGGCACTAGCTTCTTCGCTGGCTGCGTGCCGAACCGCACGGGCGGAGGCGGTCCCGTCTTCTGGGGCACAAGCGGCGCTGCCGTGGGCATCGAGGGCATGGGCGGCATGGGAGGGAGAGGAGGTGCATTTTGGCCAAAGCCTGTCGGTTGCGGTTGGAGGGCTGGTGGCAGGAACTGGTTGATGCCAGTCGCTTGCGGGTTCAGTGGAGATGGTGAGAATGAGTTGAACCCAGTGGGCTGTGCTTGGAGCGGCATTTGTTGGCCCGGGAAGTTCTGCTGGAACCCAGGTTGGAACCCCGTTTGGAAGCTTTGCTGCATGCCAGGCTGGAAGCCAGTGGGTTGCGCCTGCATGGGCATGTAGCCGGTTTGCTGCGGCTGCTGGAACCCTGTGGGCTGCGCCATCATACCATTCATACCGTTCATGCCATTCATACCGTTCTGCTGCTGCTGGAACTGACCAAACTGGGACTGCGGCTGGAAGCCAGTGGCCTGCTGTTGCATACGTTGCATGTTCAAGTCCTGCAGGCTTTGGCCGGGAGGCGAGATTTGGGTGTGCATGTTCGGGTTGAAGCCAGTCAATTGTGGCTGCAGTGGTGGAGGGTACGCTTGCTGTGGGTTTTGGGGGGCAGACGAGGCTCTTTGAGGTGGTGGTGCAATGAGACCACCTTGGCCCTGTACTTGGGGTGCTTGAGGTCGGACTCGCGGAGGAGCGAGCTGTGGGGGAGGTACGGCCTTGACCGCGGCGACTTGGTCGAACAAGGACTGATTGAAGCCTTGAGGTTGCGCTGGTTGTGCCGGCTGCGTAGGAGCCGTAGAAGCAGGTGCAGCTTGGGCAGGAGGCGGCGCTGGGACTTCCGGCTTCAGGGCAGGCATATCCAGAAGAGAAAGCTCGCCCATGGACCCGGTGAGAGCTGGCGGCGCTGGAGCTGGCGCAGGTGCAGGCGCCGCCGCCGTAGCTGGAGGCGGCGTTGGGGCCGCTGTAGTAGACGAGGGGGCCTGACGCGAAGGCTTGATGTCCCACGCGTTGTCTTCGAAGCCATCTGATTTCTTCTCCGGAACAGGAGCAGATGCCAAGGGTGTCGGTGTGGCTTCTGCAGGCGCTGGCTTCTTGACAGCATCGTCCGTCTTTTGTTCAAATGCCTTGGGGTCAACGACATCGTTGGTCTGTACAGGAGGCGCTGGACGACCTTTTCGAGTATTATTCCTGAGCGTGCCGCCAGGGCCAGAGAAGAGGCCTCCTTCTTCACCATTCTCTGCGAAACTGACGCTACGCTTCTCGCCGTCGCCGCTGCGATTGTACTTCTTGTCCAAAAACTTCATTACTCGAAGGATATCTCCCTCCTTTACACCCAAGTTTCGTAGAAGCTTCTCGGTGATGTCGGGCATATTTTCTTCGCCCATTTGATCGCGAGTGAATGCTTGCGCGTATCGCTCGCAAATCTGGGGATTGACTCCGCACTGTAGGAAGAAGTCAAACCAATCGTAGGAAGGCTTCTGTTCCACGGAGATGCCTGACGAGCGTGGCGCCGAGCTTTCTTTCGCCCGTTGCGTGCTTCTTCGCTTTATATCGGACAGCGGTTTGTCGTCGTCCAGTGATATACCTGTCGCTCGCTCCACGTATTCCAAGTCCTCTACGGACATTTTCGGTACCGGAACAGCAATCTTCACCCCGTTGACCTTGTGGAGGTGAATTTTGCCGTCTTTGATGGTCAAGAACTCGGCTTCGACCTTGAAAGACCCCGATCGATCGGTCCATGTTCGTAATTTCGCAGTATCTGTTAGAGTTAGACCCGATTTGAAACCAGCAATCTATCCAAAATCGAGCATATCTGGAAAGATGGCAAAGGTTGGGCACTGACTTGGTTTGGACGCGGTCTTGGAGTCCTTCGCTGTACTATCGCGCTTACTTCTCTGTGACGTACGAGGATGGTCAACTTTTGTTCGTAGAAGACTAGAATGGCGCGCGGGTAATTGCAGGCCAGGTCCTACCTGATCATTCCTGACTTCGCTATCCCGTTTCCTGCCTTTCGCAACTTGGCGCGTGAGCTCTTCCTCCTCCAGTCTATTCTGGTCTACGATAGACCGCCCTGCGTTGGTACCGGAGCGAGCGATGGCGGCGGCGGGCGGTGACATGGGTACGGATTCTGTGATTTCGACGTAGTTAGCTGGCACTACACCCTCCTTGCCATTCTTCAACCTCCGCACTTTCCACCATTCGTCACTAGCCGAATCATCCAGAACCAGAATCTCGTCGCCAAGACCCACGGTCACCTCATCGTCGCCCTGGGCCATGAAGTCGAACAACATGACGCCTTTCCTCTGCACATTCGAGTTCCTAGACCCTGCGGCCAAGACCTCGCGTAGACCGGCACCCTTTGCAGCACCGGAGAGCTCGCCCAATGCCGAGCAGATCTCGGAAGCTGTGTCCTTTGCGCCGCAGTGAAAGTCTACATCTTTGCTTGGCTGTTTGAGTGTCAGGAATACATGCTTCCCCTCTTGCGAGTAGTATTCCAGTTTGTCTGCTGTCCATTCCTGTTGCGGTCCGTCGCGAGACTTTTCAGGCGCAATCATGATCATGCCTTTTGCGATGTTGATCCCTAGCGTGATGGGCATCTTCTTGTTCTTGCCCGGCTGTGTCAAATATTCGTAGATGTTGTACAGATGGTAGCCGGAGCCGGAGAGCGGCGTGTTGGGCTGGTTGTGGTCATTGGGAGGATCGTATGGGTCGAAAGTGACGCTGCGAGCAGGTGGAGATCTGAACGAGTCTGTATCTGGAGAGCGCTGGGCGGTGTACTGCGCGTACTGAGTATGAGTTGGAGGAGGCGACATCTGACCAGACGGCCGTCTTTGCGGAAGACGTGGGGGAGGCGCTTCCTCGTCGGATTCTTCAGGCGTAAATTGGACGCGCCGTTGCGCTTTGGGGGGTGAAGCATAGTCCTCGGGCGGAGGAGCCGATTGCTGTGATCTCTTCTGTATGATGCCAGCGAGGGCTTCGGCAGGATTCGGGTGAGCCGGGCTGTCTGGTGTTGGCGGGCCGTGTCCATCGTCCGAGTCGGGCGCGGCAGGGACGGCAGGAGGGCGAGGCGGGAGTGACGGAGATGCGAGGGACCCGGCGGCAGCAGGAACCTCCTTGATCTCGATGTAATTTGCGGGCGCAAACCCATAGTCGCCGTCCAATCCCACCAGCGTCCAGTCTGGGTCAGAGACATCGTACACGTCGAGGTCGGCGTCTTCCTTGAAGGACAGCTCTTCGTCGGTCTGGCGGGCGTAGTCATAGAGCGCTTTGGCGTTGTATATTGGGGTAGCCTAGATTAGGCACGCTGTCAGTAGCTGCCACCTGCAAACACGCAGGATACTGAAGGGGGCTGGTCCGGCATACCTCTTCGATGTAGTTGTTCGGTATCAGACCCTCGGGCTCTTCCTCGTCCTCGTCCGAGCCCTTCTTCTTGGCCTTCCACCAGTCGTCGTCGCTCGACTTCTCCAGGACCATCAGCAGATCGCCCTCAGCCAGGGCGATCTCGTTGCCGCTCTGGGGTACATAGTCGTAGATGGCGCGGTAGATGCCCAGGAACACCATGGCGGCGGTGGGCTGTGTGCGGCTGTCGGGGGCACGGTGGTGCTACAAATGACGCGGAAGCGTGCTGCGGTGCATGCGCTGGGCGGAGGCACGGGGGTGGGTGCTGTGCGCTGTCGAGGGGCTGGCAGCGGGCGCAGGCGCTCTTGGGCTTTGGGGGCCCACGGGCGCTGGCAGAGTGCGAAGAGCGGGGGACACGGCGGAGCGAGCGTTTGCGGGGAGCTGCACTGCAAGAACGTGCGTGGGCGGCCGCTGCAATGGCTTGCGAGGTGAGACAGATGCCGTCCTCAGTTCGATGCTGAGGCGCAAGCACGAGCCACCGTCGAATCGGGCAAGCCCCCATAGACTCGGGAACGACGTCAATGCAGCATCGTTCCTGCTGGAGCTCTGCGGCTAGCCTCTGGTTCTCACACTCTCAACGGAACCCTGCATGCCATGTCTGCATCCCCTGAGCACTTCCGCTCGCGCCAGAGATCGTCTTGGTACCCGACCGTCGAGTGACGCGGCAATCGTTGGCCTTTGTGCTTGGCGGGTGCCTTGATGTCTCTCTTTGCTACGCAGCCCCCCAGCCATGATACATCTCAGTCTTGCGACATCCTATCCAAGATTTATCAAGCAGGGCATTTCGCGCTTGCTGTGAGCTAGTCGGCCCTCTAGAACCACCATGGGATTGTAGAGGAACCACGATTGAAAATTGCTCACCAAGGCTTATCCATGCTGCCTTCACCCTATCGCTCCTGCCCTGTCTAGCATCGCGACATCTCAGTCCATCTGTGGACAGTTGTATGCTTGCGAAACGCCCCGAGTCCTCAAGTGGCTGTACAGAGCATGTGGGATGTAAGACGCAACAACTTTTTCCTGCACTTTACACTGCATTCTGATCCTGCGTAAGCTTTCGGATGGCGAACAACTATCCGCCAGGAGCGACTGTACACCTGCCGCCCCACTCTTGACGATTGATCCCTAATACTCTTGTCATCCGAGCAAGAGTCGGAGCCCGACACTCGTAGAAGAATGTTTTACTAAGCGAGCCATATGCGCCTCGGTTAATTGGACGTGCTTGGAAGGAAGGCCGGTACCGCACCTACTACCAGATAAGTGCTCTGCGTTCCCTTGCACGACCATGACCCCTCACTTCGACCTTCAAAATGCCAAAGTCCCCTTCGACGCAAGAGTCCGGGGCGCTGGTGACAGACGTGCAGGATGTGGTTGAGAATGAGCAACAAGAGCTGGAGGAGCGAATCATCGACAGACTAGCTCGGGAGCGGAGCATTCGGTTGAAGGTCGACTTCCGACTATGCAGTATCGCCGGCATCCTGTGTAGCTTGAATCTTCTGGACAGCGGCGTAATTTCGAGCGCGTCCGTCACGTCCATGCTTTCGGATCTGGGTCTTGACCAGGGAAATCGCTACTCGGTATCGATCTTCATTTTCACCATCGCATCCATCGCATTCCAACTACCGTCGACAATCGCAGTGCGAACTTTTGGGCCCAGGATCTGGTTCAGTTTCATTACCTTCTGCTTCGGTATCATTACGCTATGCACAGCTTTCGTGCAAACGTGGAAACAGATGATCGCCCTTCGTATCTTGCTCGGCATGGCAATGAGTGGGATCTACCCTGGCTTAACTTACCTGATATCGACATGGTATACGCGGAGAGAACAGCAGTTGCGCTTCGCGCTTATGCAGAGCGGGGAAGTCATAGTACTGGCAACAGGAGGCATTGTCAACTTTGGACTCAACAAGCTGAACGGTTCGTCTGGGATCAAAGGCTGGCAATGGATGTTCATCGTCCAAGGTGCCATTACAGCTTTCATTGGCATAGTTGCATATTTCTGGATGGTCGATTTCCCGGAGAACGCACATAAAAGCTTCATGTTTTTGGACAAAGAAGAGTCTGAGATTGCCGCCAACCGCATCGAAAAAGACAGAGGTGACGTTGAGCCTGATGAGTTTTCTTGGGCCAAGGTACTGGTTCACGCCAAAGACCCAAAAATCTATGGGTTCTGCGTATTGTACTTTCTGCAGAACTTGGTTTCAACGAGTTTGTCTTATTTCTTACCCATCATCCTACAGGGCGGCATGGGATTCAGCAGCGACAAGGCGATTCTGCTATCGGCACCACCGTACTACTACTCGGTCATTCCTGCCATATTATCATCGCTGATTGGCGACAAATACCAACTCCGTGGCCCCATCATCACCTTCAACTCGGTTTGCCTCATCGTGGGCTTCTGCATGCTCGGCTTCAGCGATCAGGTTACGGTTCGGTATATTGGCACCTATCTCGCTACGGGCGCATACGTAGCCAATTGGGCTGGTATGGCAACGTATCAAGCGAATAACATTGTAGGACAGTGGAAGCGCGTCTTCACCGCTGCTGCTGTCACGGCATTCAATGGAGCTGGAGGAATTGCAGGGAGCTTCATCGTGAGACAGCCGGAAGCACCCAGGTATATGACTGCAATCTGGGTATCGATTGGGTGAGTCGATGATTGAACAATTGTAACACACGCTTGCTAATCCATTTAGATCCCATGTTATGATAATCGGTTGTATTGCCGCCTTTTCTTTGTACTTCTACATAGCGAACCAGCGGCAACGCACCGGCAAACAAGTGTTAGAGGCGACACAGGGCTTCAGATTTACTTACTGAGAATGGGGCTTTCCAACAGAAAAGGCCAACGTACCATAACAAGTTCAAGTACTTCCGATTTCATATCATCTCAACGACTAGCTATATAAGCCGTCTCCTCAGATGCGCGTTCAAAGTCAGTGTGAGTTGAAACAGGATGGTATACATTTCAGCGCCTTTGTGTCTGTAAAACCCATACACGTCATATCCGACTCCAGCTTCCCGCAACAGCAACCCTCACCAAGCAAAATTCTCCCCTACCAGCGCCTCACTAACCTCCCACAGCCTCTCAGCCTCCTTCTCATCCACTGCATACGCCGGCACCTTTACGCTGATCTGACAGTCCTCCAGGAACACGCCCTCCCCATCTCCTCCCAACCCCGAATCCACCGCCGCAACCACACTCGTCGCCGCCCCCTCTTCCACGCTCTTATTGCCCTTCAGCCCCGCTTTCTTTCTGCCCTCCAGTGCCTTTGCAAGCCATACCGGATCCGTGGACCGATGCAACTCGGTCATAATCTCCCCCGGATGCAGCGCAAAGCTCTTCACGCCCTTGCCTCCGACCTTCTTGTTTAGCCCTACGGAGAACAAAATATTCGCGGTTTTGCTGACGCCGTACGCGCCGAAGGGGATGTACGTCGTGTCGTCCGTGACGGGCAGCTTAGCCGCAGCGAGCATACCCACGTTCGGCTTTTCCAGCTCGGGGATATCGGCGTGACGCGTGTCCCAGTTGAGGTCTGAGAAGCGCACGGGGGACACAAATGTCCCGACGCTGGAGACGTTTACCTACAGTGCAGTTACAGAGTCAGTGTGAGGTAATATAGGGTGTTATATTTCTTGGCCAAGCGAGAAGAGAAAGACACATCCACTTTGCACCCGGTGGTTTACGTACGATGCGCGGCGCCGCGCTGGCGAGGATCTTGGGCATGAGCAGGTTGGTCAGCAGGAAGTGCCCGATGTGGTTGGTCGCGAAGTGCATTTCGATGCCGTCGGTGCTGAGCGTGCGGGTAGGGAGGTTCATTATTCCGGCGTTGTTGATGACGACGTCCAGCGCCGGTGTGTCAGCCCAGGATTGTACTGTAGCGGCGGCGGTGCGCACCGAGGCTTGCGAGCTGAGGTCTACGAGGAGCGGCTTGAACGTCACAGAGGGGTAGTTGGGACGGAGGGAAGTGAGGCTCTCATCAAGCTTGGCCTGCGAGCGGCCGGTGATGATGATGGTGGAGGGAGACTGCGAGGCGAGAGCTGCGGCGGTTGCGTATCCGAGACCGCTGCGATTGACGCCGGTGATGAGGATGGTGCGATTCTTGATAGCGTCTGGGAAGGCGGCGGCGACGGTTTGGGCCGTGGTGTTGAAGCCCCATTCTGGGTTGGTGGCGGGCATCTTGACTGGACTTGTGCTGGGTGTGGTACTGTATTAGCAGAAGCTTGGGAACTGAGCTGGCAGGCTCATTGCAGGTTACACTCGACTATTTTATATTGCCAAATCTCCTACATCATCCAACGGACGAAATCGCAAGATGTAGACTGCGGCGAGGTGTAGTTGCGAGCCGGCCAATCAGCGTGCGCGAACTCCGAGCGCGCCTGTGAGCGACTAGCGTTCCCGAGACATCACTTCGTTCATACATATCGAAAGAGGGCGTTGCGTTTTGAATTCCGTGTAAGATAGAAAAACGTCCTTATCGCCGGGTCATGTCGATCTTCATACTTGGACGGCCCTGCGGTAACGACACATATCATAGTATAGCATATAGAGTTCAATTCCTCTACCATACCCTAGTCGAGATGTCAGACAAGACTTAGGCCACAATACGTGAAGCCCACCCAACACGCTTGCAGCAAACGCTCCAGCCATCGAGATGAATGAAGGTAAAGCAATTATGGAACCTTCACTCGGGCACCCGTCAACAGCCGCACAAGCCGGCACGCGCCGGCACGTGATCGCTCACCAAAGACTACGACTACCAGGCGCATGCTAGCATCAACTACCTACACCGCACGTTCCGCACTCACTTATTGGAACTCATAGAGACGATGCCATAGATATTCTTGCTCCAGTGAGCTCGGTCTCTACACGTTAATACAATTGCTGCGGACCCGATGATTCGAGTGTCTGTTTGTACATCCATCGTTATACCTAAATCAAGCGAATATAGCCTCTAACTTCGACCATGCACGTTTCAAAGTAGGTGGCTAACAGTGTGTTAACGTCTGCACGGACCGGCCTAAGAAGCATGCCGCAGAGGCTGAGGTGGGTTGGTCATTTACTGTCCCCCGGCCGGATTGTACAGTGTCACTGCACGTCGTGGCCACAGCTCTGCTCAAGTTCAGGATCTACAATTCGGCCAGCTCAAGCATAGCACGTGCACTGCCAATCGGACGTTACCAGTCAAGGTGCCGCGAAATACTCACGCCTCCAACTACTGGACAGGTCACGACGTCCCACCTCAGCGACAGCTCTTTGACAGCTCAACCTCGGCAGACCGCTCGCATCCATAAGGATGTCACCACCTTTCCAGCACACGCGCTCAAAAGGAGCCGGTCCAAATTTCTACCCACTGCCTGCACGTGAGCGAAAGATTGCGAAGCAATGTGAAGCAAAAGCTCCGTGCTGAGGTTGTCCATAGCCATCCTGGCGAGCAGATGCGAGGCCCACGATGGTCTCGTGCGTTGAGATAGGAACGTACGCTAAGCTGGAGGATTTAGTTCAAGTTTCTTTCTGGGATAGGCGTTCAAGGGTCACAGTAGGATGGATTTCGTTTTTTATCGTCGGTCACTATGTAATAGTTATCAAACGGGCACCCGACCTGAGTCGGCCTTCTTCGATTACAAGACTCTAAGACCAAAGATCGAAAACTACAATTTGAAGAACGCATGCAAGTCTAATCCTAAAAGTCCCGCGCAGATGCATGTGTAACCAAGAATGCCGATGAATCCGCTCAAATGCACGCTAAATGAGACTCGCTATCCGATCCGAAGCCAGAACCTAGTAAAGAGAAAAGACAAAAGACGACTTATCAGACAGCCCAGCTGCCCTTCCGAACCGCGATCCCTGCACCCCCAAGTCCGTCGCCCGCCATGTTCGGGTGCTGTTTCGCCCACTCGCGGATGTACACCCGCAGAGCGCGCCACCGCATGCAGCTCTCCTCAGTGATCTCCGCGTCCGTGAGATTCCCGTCTGCGCCCAGGCGGATGTAGCCCCTCGACTCGGCGAGGTGGTCGTCTTGTCGTAGGTCGGAGATCGGGATGTTGGAGATGCGCGACAGCTCATCATCAAAGGGCTGGGCCATTGAGGGGTAGCCCAGCGAGAGGTAGTTGTAGACTTGCGTGACGAAATCGTCGCCATAGTCCTCGTCGATGGAGAGCGCGAAAGTGAGCTTCTCGTCGATGCACGCAAAGTCGGCGTTCGAGGCCGGAGGTGTGGGCGGGAGCAGAGACCCCCGAGATGGAGTAGGGCATGGTGAGAGGAGGTCTTCCCTTTCGATACGCGGGGTGAGGATTCCGGTGGGGCCTTTGGGTGCCTCGTCCTTAACGCAGCAGCCGGCCCACAGACCTTCCTTCTCTTTCTTCTCGTGATTGCTGCTGGCTACAGACCAGAGCGAAGAGACGCGGCTGAGATTTTTACCGTTGCCTTGCCCACACCAGAGACTCTCGCCTTTCTCGGATTTCTCGGCTTGCTGCGCTTGCTCTGAGAGGTAGCACATAGCTATTTTGACGGCATCGCAGCCTTGCGTGGTGTCAAATCGAGCTGGTTCGGGAGATGCGCATCGAGGAAACTTGATGTCCTTGCCGAGCATCGGTGGTCGAGCGTCTCTCCGCATCCGTTCAATCTCCTCGTTCTTCTGATACCCGATTATGTCCTTCTCGATTTTGATACCGGTCGCAACGTTGGCCCAAGGGCTTGGCTTGAAGTGCGATTTCGGGCTAATACCCGAAGTTGGTTCCTGGTTCTCTTGCTCCTCTCTGTATTGACGCATTGCCTTCAAATCCCAGTTGACTTCATTGAAGGTTGTACTGCCAGCTTTCGACGAATCTGTCGATTCATCATCCGCATCCACAAAGTGATCGACGTGCTCGTAGTAATTGCCGTTTGGAAAAGCTGCCATTTCTTGTTCACGCAATTGCTTTTCCACAGCCTTGGCAGCCAGTTCGAGTAAGTATCCAGAGGTCTGCTCGTCCACACTTTCTCGCATTCGTGTTGGCTCTTTGTATGAGTGTTTCTCGTAGCAATAGGCCCGGCAGGGGTAGTTGAAAGGTGACGGAGTCTCGCCTTCAGACTCAGAAGACTCTATAGGATCAAGGTCCGGAACGTGGAAGCAATGATGTGACGGTCGAGACCTCGGCATACGCCGTTGGTTGAGTGGTGATGTTGCGCGTTGGATCTCCAGGAAGAGGGGGTTTTGTGAAAAGTCAAATGGTGTGTTGGGTGGCGCGCCAGGAATGTCATGCTGAGGGGTCGTTTTCAGCTTCTCGAGTCGGCGAAGGGACGGCCGTTCCTCTGGAGCGCGGCGTGACCGTGACGCAGTCCCTATTAGTTCAGGCGCAAATTTGCGGGGCTTCTTCTCGTGCTTCTTGATGCTTGTTTGGTTGTCCCATTCTTCTGCAAACTTCTTCCTGCTACCGCGGTTGGTTTTCGTCGAGGTTTCTACCGGTTCGGGTGCGAACTTTCTCCTTGGTTTTGTTGTTTCGCTCTCCCAGTCATCCGCGAATTTCTTCCGACTGCTTCTCAGAGATACCTCGACCGATTCAACAGCGAATTTCCTTGGCTTTGAGGTCTGGTTCCCTGACCCATCTGTAGACTTTTTGCGGCTTCTCTTTTCTGAATGCTCTATAGGCTGTGGAGCAAAACGACGGTTTGTCTTTTCCGTTGTTTCCACGGGCTCAGGTGCGAATTTCCGTCGTGGTTGGGGTTCCTTTCCTTCCGTAAAAGGCTGGTCCTTGGACGACCTGGTGGTCGTTTCGATGGGCTCAGGAACCAATGGGCGATTAGTCTTGTGTGAGGTTTCTACAGGCTCTGGCGTGAACTTTGCTGGACGTTCCGGTCCCTCCTTGTCGTCTTCAGGCGTATCTTTGGAAGGCCTTGTCGTACTCTCGATCGGCTTAATGATGGATCGACGATTCGTCCTCGTGGTCGTTTCGACTGGCTTGGGAGTAAAGCGGGGACGTTTGAGACCATCTACATTCTCGCGCATCTCCTTGGACGACTTCGTTGTGGTCTCGATTGGTTCAACATTGAACTGTCTCGGGGGCATGGTGGCTGCCATACTTGATATAAGCTTCCAGAACTTGTCCTCCTTATTCTCATGCTATGCAACCTGCCGTGGGGATCGATAGGCGTGTCCACTACACTATTTTCCTCTATTAGGACTATTTTACGGCGAGGACTAGCGTTCGCTTGTAGCCAAAGGATGCAGGATCCGAATTGCGGGGAAATGGACGTTCGGAAAATACCGGTGTTGGAACGCGAATTGCTCCCGCGGCAGCGCTTCCCACGGGGAGGCTTGTGACGGCTAACGGGTACCAAGAATGTATTGCAATGTGCAGACGACCGTTATGCTTGCAATGCTGATGAGAACAACCTGGTTTGTCCCTTCAGGTACCAGGTGTATTCGGGTCCGGTAGGAAGAATGGTTCGTGTGGCGGCAGGTGCGAGGGCGGTCGTGGTTGCTGTATCTCGGTCAATTTTGAAGTTACGAACAAAGCGTGGCTCGATGTCCATACATGGCTCACCACTCGTCGCTGTCAGGAGGAAACAGTGACCACACCAGGTGTCTTTCGAACCCGCGGAAGCTGGTAAAGCGCGTCGGAACTGCGACAGCTGCCTTCATGTGAATGCCTGCCACTAGGATTGGTAGTTCGTGGTGCGAACGCTCAATGACGTCGTGGCGATCGGCTAGATGGTGATCGCGTGCTGCACTTTTGCGCACCGCGACGACTTCGGGAGGGGCACTGGGTTATGTAAAGGCGAAAAGGTAGTTTAGGAGAGACGCGCGCGCTGTCACGACTAGGAGGCCACAAGATTGACGAGCTGATGCGGCAATGCGGACCTGGACATTCTTGTTGGGCGCAGGGATCCGAGAGGGCTGATGGCAGGGGCGCGGGCCTAATCGTGAACTTCACTTTGGGGGGCCCCTTGAGCAGTGACGGATGGAATTGACCTCGCCCACGCCAGCAGCTCCACTTGTCCAGCCGATAAGGAGCAGCCCACGCGGCGTGCTTTTGGGCATCATCAAGCCCACACCTTTCTTTTTCTTGACCTCTTAGCAACATCGAAGGCTGTTCTCGATGGCGGAGTAAGCCCACCACGGACGCTGCTTCAGCAGCCACGCGGATGTGCCGCACAGTAGCGCGCGGCCGAGAGCCTCCCTCCACTGACGAGCAGGCCTGACACAGTCATCACTCTGCTATATACAGCGGACAACGAACCGCAAGTGGCCGACGACGCTGGCAACATTGCGGGCTGCAACATCGCGATATCGCCTGCCATACCATGTCGTGGACGCCGTGGAACATCTCACAATGGCAATGCTGGCCGTCCGTCAATTTACACCGCCCTGCAATGGTGGCAGCTCCAGAGCCAGCGGCAGGCCCATCCGTTCGCAAGCTCCCGAATAATAGCTCGTTTTCCAATTTCAGCCCGGACGCTACGGGATATCTCGGGTGGCAGCGAATCATCGCCCATGCATACGTGCTTTGCCCGCAGCAACGCCGAATTGACCGTTTGCCAAATTGCTCGTGACAGTTGTTTCGCCATGTGCATCATTGTGCGTTACGAACAGGAGGTCGCTCGTCGGATGAGAGAAGATATCTGCCGTCCAATACATTTAGGGTTGGCTGTACGATCGGACTGTACACAGACCCTCCGAACAACGATTTGCACCTTCCATGTCCCAGGGAAACCTACATCGCACAACCTTACATTGTGTACTTCCGCCTTATCGTCTTGGAAGCGTTCGCAAAATGTCAAGCTCTAAGGTTTCAAGGCAGTCAGAAAATGTCTTCACTCTCGTGCTCGGGCAAATGGTGACAGGCGATCACGCATTTACGGATGTCCATGTCGAATGGTGTTGCGTTCCCCGCACATTGACTTTCCCCGGATCAGCCTCCAGCATCATTCTAACAAAGTTAAATTGTCCTAGAAGCAGTCCCTAGTTTACCACACTCCGAGAACACTCCGACCGCCATGCTCGAAGCAACTGCCAACGCCCCGTGGCCCTTCCAAACCATCCATTGAATCAAAACAGAAAGCCATCCTCCCAGAAACGCGATCTCAGTCAACTCACGCTCGTCTAGCTCTAGTAAATTTTGCATCGTTCAAAGCCCAAGGCACTGGTCATCATCAAGGATTAGATGAGAAGCAACGACCCCGCGACAATACTGAGCTTGTGGGGTCAGTCTGAGGGGCCTTGCAAGGAAGTGGTACTCGAGATCTGCCCAAGCACCCTGTCCAGGACCCGGCGACATTGGATGAACGGATCGCGAATCCGCTGTCATCTCGCTATGTGCATCTTTGGATGGAATTCAGCCAAGTCAAGTAATCAAGGTGCTGATGACTTACCACTGCTGGGCTCGTTGTCCATACTGTCTGCAGTGTCACTGTAGTCAGACTCCGACCCCGGACTACCGTACAATGAATGCCCCGCCGGCATACCAGGACTGCTGACTCTTGAGAATCCCTCCTGAAAAGGGGATTGACTGGCGAGAATTCTGCTCGTGTCGACAGCTTCGTCGAGCGTGGCCTCACTGCGGAAGCCGAACTCGTTGTCAGAAGTATCAGAACCCACCAAAGTCAAGGTATCATCGTTCTGCCGGTCGTCATCATCACTTCCTCGACTGTGGCCACTTGCACGCCCACACCGGCATCCGCACACAGTCTGATTCAAGTGCGGAGGCCTGCTGGCAGAACGATTGCACAGTCCAGGGTCAGGATACTGCTGTCCTTCGTTGAGGTCGTACATGCTGGAGTATGAATGCCTTGCCAACGTCAGTCATTTTCTACCACGCCGCCTTCTGCCGTTACATCACCCAGATCGCTTTGACAATTGGTTCGCACCTTTGGTTGGGGTCCGAACCATGTAGCGCCCATGCAAGTATCGTTGCCACTTCCGCTCAGACACAGCAAGAACACCCAAGAGGCAGACCACTGGCCACGAAAAAGGCACTCACCTGGGACTAAATTTCCAGAATACGTCAAACTTGTAGACGTGAAGTTTACTTCCATTCCAGCGAGCCAGAGGCCTCACTCTTATGCTTTCGGCTCACAGCCTTCGACCAGCACGCAACATCACATCAATATATCACTACAGGTATACGTCAGACGTCCTGTGATCTCGTGGCGACCTCCGACACGTCGCTCTCATACTCATTTTACGAGCTCCCTGCCAACCGCATCTACGCGGCTCCGACACCGCACGCTCGCGCCATGTCTGCCTCCTCTCGTTTGCCAGACCGCGTCACGCCACCAGAGGCTCGCTGAGCAGTGCCGATGTTCGCTGATCCAGTTGTTGCAATGTTGCGTGTATATTTGCTTCTGCGGCGAGGTACGGCCGGGGGTTTCCGCCGCCGAGGGTAAGCGGCGTAGGGCTGAGCGTTCACCGGTGTGGGGTTGGGGTTGATCTACAGGGCTGCGTACGTCACATACTATGTCTGCCTGGTGTTTTGAGCATCGTAACGGCTTCGGTACAATTAACCCTGGGTCTAGGTCTGGATGTGGTGACCGTGCAAAGTAGTCCGCACTGAGCCTGTTGTAGTCCTTACAACATGCAATACACGTATGACAGATCATGAAGTGTGCAGACTCTCGGCGTATATCAAGTGACTTCTGAGCTCTATAACTCATCGAAAACACGCAATCTATCGTCCTCGGGCACCCCAGCCTCGGCCCTCGCGCTGGGCGACTCTATCCGCACATCCAGCTGCTCCTTGGCCTTATTCGGCCTCATGATAGCCTCCTTCGCCATATCCGGTATCGGCGCGTTGAGGATCTGCTCGCGCGAGGCAAAGTCCAGCGCGTGTGTGTGCCCTGTGTCTGGATGCACGGGTCGGAGCTGCTGGAACAAGATCGACAGCAGGACGAGACTCAGGAGGGCGCCGATGATACCCCAGAGGATACGCACATGGCCTGTCTAGTGGTCAGTAATTCGTATGTAAGGAATTTGGCGGTGGACGCCATACGCGTGTTCCTAAGCTCCAGCTCTGCCTCCAGCTTCATCCGCTTATCCACTCTGCTACGCGCGTCGGCCAGCCTGCCGTTCAGCGCCTCAGCCTTCTCCTTCCCGGCTTGTATCCTGCGTTCCAGCGCAGCAACCTGCCCCTGCTGTGTCTCGAAATTGTTGAAGCCCTCGAACTGTCCCTCTACATCTTCCGCCAGCTCCTGCGTGTCGGCCTCGAAGTTGTGATGTAGCTCGTTGGCCAGGTTCGACAGCTCCTGCAAACTGCCGATGGTCTGGCGACAAGTGGCGACGCGCTCGAGGAGGGAGTAGTACGTGTCGTCGAGGCGGCGCGACGTCTTCATCGACTGTTCGTTGAGGGTCTGCAGTGAGGAGCGGAGTGCGCTGTGTGCCATGTTAGAATCCCAGGTTCTGCTAGGAAGACGAAATGGAGACATACTCCTCCCGCAACTCAACCCTCCTCTGCTCGCGCACCAAGTCTTCCGGCCGGCCCAGCCTCCGTAGCGGCGGAACGTCTAGCCCTCCACTTACATCTGCTTGCCCTGTCTTGTCTGCTGCGCCGTCTGTAACGGCAACGCTCGCACGTCTGCTGTCCGCCGGACTGCTGCTGATGCTCTCCTTCGCCTGCTTCAGCAGATCGCCAAAGCTTGTCGGCGGCTGCGAGGGGAAGGCGGACTGCACAATCTCCTTTGCATGGTGGCGCGACGAGCGGTGGTGGTGGTGATGCCGGTGTAGGTGGTGTTTTCGTTTGTTAGGGTCTTTTTCGCGGTGCGGAGGTGCTTCGGAGCTCAGACGGGAGGGCGCGGAGTACAAGAGGGAAGGGCGGAAATGGTCGGCCATGGCAGCTTGCGATGGGTTGGTGGAGGGTACAATGAAGCTAATGCGCGGGACCTGGAGATCGCGCTAAGCTTTGAATGGTAGCGCGGTCCCGTAGACCAACATGCAGGACAAGGTCCCCAAGTCCATGTCACTCATCTTGCCAAACAACATTGATCTTCAGTATTCGCTAGTGTAGCGATATAGGTAGTTAGAAGAGCAAAGAAACTTAGACAAGTGCAGCAACACATCACAACCGCTATTGGGCTCGTAGAGTAACATTGTACGCTATCGTAGAGAATACAGGACCATAGTAAATGGCTCTACCAGTAGACGCGTCTTGATGTTTCCGCGCTCGAAGTCGTAATAGGTACTGCTGGACATGTCCGCTTATCACCTATGAGCGACTAGCCATGTCAGAGGTAGTCTCTGTCGTCATCATTGTGCTGTGAGCTTCCTGAAGTCCGATTCTGAAAAGTGCTGCCATGCGTGCTCGCCATGGGGTATCGTCGTGGATGCGTCTATGCAGCCAAGACATGCAGCCGAGATTGGAAGTCAGAGGGCGTCTCATTCCATAGTTCAACAGTCGTGTCAATCGTGGGCATGCTCAAGACGCAAGCATCTTGTTCCTCTTCTCCCGCCTCTTCAAGCGCTCAACGCGCTTCTTGTGCATCTTCTCCTCCATCTTTGCGAAGCGCTCGCGCTCTTCCTTTGCGGCTCGTTTGGTGCGAATCGCCTCAACCCGACGCTAGAGGGTGTCAGAAACGCGCATATCCCAGAGATCCTTCGCGCATACTTGTCGCTCTGCTTCCTTCTCGTCCTTCATCTCCTTGATTTTGGCCTTGGTGGCGTCAAGGGCCTTCCGCTCTGCCGCTCGCTTTTCGAACGAGGACTGGTTCGCCCGGGGTCGGAACGCTTTCTTGTTGTCATGCCACTGCTTGCCTGTGCGACATCGTGGTTAGTTGGTACTGCGTCGCAGACGGGTCCACACAGGGACGTACCATTCTTGCGCATTCCCTTCACAGCGCTCACAGCGCTCACCTCCGCGACCGGGGCGGCTTGTGTTTCAACGGCTGTCGACATTTTCGCGAAGGACGTTCTGGGACCCGCACTGCAATGCGAGACGGCGCGGTTCTGCTGAGGAAGAAAAAAGAGGGACCGAGGATCTTCCGCTATCGATAGGAAGGGAAGGCGCGATGGGGAGGGCTTGGCAGGAAGGAACGACAGGATGACATCCCACCATCAGATCTGATAAGATTATCAGATGCGCGATTTGCTTTGTGAATCACCAGGCTCTAAACGCCTTTTGCGCGCAATTCTTGCACGCCCACCGCTTCACCTTTCTCACAGCATATCTGTGATTGTACGAAGCTCCCTCTGATATAACAGGTTTTTCCGGCTGCAGAATTTTCATGCAGCTTTTGGCGCCGATCTCGTCGTTTGTCCTGCTACCACGTCCCCCGCCGTGACACCTCTCTTTGCGGCCCGGAGCGAGACGCGCAGTCGCTTCTCCCTGTCCCACGTCGTACCCAATAGCTTCCACAACCGCCCGTATTCCTGCGCATCCTTTCGCCATGGGATACATCATCGAATTGTAACGGCCTTTGTTGCTCTCCTCACCGCCTCCTGCGCCTGCGCCGCGAACGTGCCCCACACAACTCTAAAGAGTACCTCACCGGACCCCCGTCTTTTGAGCCTACACACGCAAGCAACAACAGAAACATGGAGCTGAAAGAAAACCCAGTACTGGCTGGGGAGAGCGCAAGTAGATTGTCTGCCTCATACATGGTGCACGAGGAGCCCTCCGCCGCATTAGACCACACACAAGGACAAGAAGCTTTGAAGGATGTGGTATGCGGATCGGTAGCTGGCGTTGTGGGTAAATACATTGAGTACCCCTTCGATACCGTCAAGGTCCGACTGCAATCGCAGCCAAACCGCCTACCTCTGAAATATACCGGACCGATAGACTGCTTCAAGAAGTCGCTAAAGCAGGATGGCTTTGTCGGCATTTACAGAGGCATAAGTGCTCCTTTGGTTGGGGCTGCGGTAGAGACCAGCTGCCTCTTCTTCAGCGTCAGTATTTCGCCGCCTGAGCAACCCGGACCATAGCTAATGCGCTGAATAGTACCGTCTAGCTGGAGACGCGCTCAGAACTTCTGGGTTCTATCCGGAGCTCAAAGGCCATCCCGAGAAGGATCTACCATATGCTGGAACGCTCTACTGCGGCATGGCTGCCGGTGCCATTACCTCGGTCTTCCTCACACCCATTGAACTGGTCAAATGCAAGATGCAAGTCCCTCTAGAAACCCCCAGTGCTACAGTTGCAAGACCTGGGATACTCAGCGTAATTGCTTCCATCTACCGCCACCAGGGGCTTATGGGCTATTGGCACGGTCAGTTCGGTACTCTCATCCGCGAAACAGGTGGCGGTGCCGCATGGTTTGGTGGATACGAGGGCACGAAGATGCTTTTCAAGAGAGCATCCGCTGTACCTGATGACGATATGCCCATCTGGCAGCGCATGGCATCTGGATCCATTGCCGGCATGTTGTACAACTTCGCCTTTTACCCTGCGGACACAGTCAAGTCGAGGATGCAAACTGAGGACGTCAAGCAGTTGACCGGGCAGAAGTCGACGTTCAGCGCGGTATGGAAGGCGCACTGGAAGCAGCACGGCCTGAAAGGAATGTATCGCGGGTGCGGTATTACCGTCGCAAGGTCGATTCCTAGTTCCGCGTTCATCTTTACGGTGTATGAGGAGCTGAAGTTGAGGTGGCCTGCGCCAAGAGGACAGGATCTATGATATACCATGCTTCGATTTGTCCATGATAGAAGCGCTTCTTCATCTACGTCTGATACTATCATGGGCAAGGGCCTGTGACTAATCTTTTCGCATTTTTCACCCATATCTCTCTATTTAGCAGGCGCGTTTGCATTGCGAAGGCGTTCGTAAGGCATAGGATAGCATCGTTGAGCGGTTCACTGAAATACCATACAAACAGTACATCATTAACAAACGCTATCAACCTTTGATGTTTTCAATTGCAATCAAGACGCGATAATAATACAGATGGAAAACTTGAAAGGGTTGCCCGACTGACTTGGGTTTAAGATTCAACGCATGTGGATAGATGACTGTCATTTACTGACATGTGCGCATTGCGAGCCACCTTCACATGCTTCCTATCCCCAGTCTGTGGCTAGTGCGGGAGGATTGTGTGGGGAAGTGTGAGCCGGCATGCGTCACTTTAGGCCGAGGCTCACAGCACCGCGACACGACCAACTCTCCGCGAACCGAACAACCCTCCATGTAGCGCAGGAGCCGCACGCTTCTCACTGTCCACGGCTTAGCTCAATGCTGGCTATTCCGACGTCTTTGCCTTTCACTGCCATTCCGTCCAGTGCTTCATACAGCTAAAACAGCTCCGCATCGCCGCCGCGTTACGCCGAGGCTCATCGACGGGCAGCACCCCGAGTCGACATTATCCACAGCAATGGACAGGTTACAGGTGCTTGAGGTAAGAGATTATCATTGGTGAGGTATGCGCAGTACAGGACTGACTTCATGTTAGAAGGCGATCGAGAAGGTCATCCTAGATCCCCAATACCACGACATACTCGCGCTCGTGAAAGGCATACGGAATGGCATCGTCTACGGGACCAAAGTGCGATTTCCGCACGCGCTGGTGTACGCTCTACTTCCCGTTCACACGTCGCTTTCCATGAAGCTAACAGAACCACAGCATGATCTTCCTCTTCCGCTCCGGCTCGTACGTCTCTCGCCCACCATCCCGCCACGCAGACACCAACTGACAACCCCAGACTCCGCTCGAAATGCTGGCTCGTCTTCAAAGCCACGCGCCAACACGCGCGCAACCTCGGCCTCTTCGCCCTCGTCTACAAGGGCGCCATGCTCCTCCTCCGACACACTGCCCCCGACGGCAAAGAGCGCCACTACGACTCGTTCCTCGCCGGCCTCCTCGGCGGCTACACCGTCTTCGGCCGCACGATACACAACTCCGTGTCCCAGCAGATCGTTATATACGTGTTTGCGCGTGTGGCTCTGGCGCTCGCGAAGCTTGCTGTGCAGCCAAGGCACGTGGGAGATGTGAAGGGCGGCGGGAGTGGGTGGGGCTTGCTGGACGAGAGGAGTGGGCTGAGGAAGGAGTTGGTGAAGAATGGGTGGGTGGGTTTTGCGAGTTTGAGTTGGGCGATGGTGATGTATGTGTGGAGGTGGCATCCCGAGGCGGTGCAGCCGAGTCTGAGGAGCAGTATGAACTACATGTGGGCGCTCCATCCTTCTATTTTCTGCTGTTGGTATGCTAATAAATCTCCAGTTACGGACAGTCAGACGAGTGGGACTCGCTGCGGACATTCATCTGGCACAACAAATAACGCGTCAGCATTCCGATGGGGAAGGCGTAAGGGGTCAACGTCACGATCTGCTTCTTGTATACGTTCGGTGCTTGTATGACTTTTTTCACATTTCGCACGGCGGCGCGACTTCCTTCAGGACTATGTAAAACCGTGTGACACGGTATGTCCCATCAACCACGCTAGAGCTAAACACATTAGAAAAGTAGAGGACACGAGACAAGCAAATTCAAATGCATCATTTTCGAACAGTAGGCAGCTCATGCGCCGCAGCATGACCTCCCACAGTCTGCCCACCCAGCTCACTTGCTCCATACCCCGGCCTCGGCGCAGACTGCGAAGCGACCTGGGCATAATACGGCGCAGCCTGTCCTGGCTGCGCTACCTCAGGTGCATTGAGGAACTCTGGCCTCAACTCAGGAGCAGTGGAGTACTCCGGCGCTACCTCAGGTGCGTTGCCATGCTCGTACTTGGGCGGCACGGAAGTATCCTGTGCGGGAGTTCCGGCTAGCGCGGGACGCGGGTGCCGCCGCTTGATGTAGAAGACTGCTATGCCGGCGATGCAGAGGAGTGCGAGGCCACCGATGACACCACCTATGATGGCGCCGACGGGGGCTTTAGAATCTCCTCCTCCGCTGCCGCTTTGACTGGTGGTTTCTGTCGTTGCTGCGGAACTCGTCGTTGAGGAGAAAGTCACTGAAGGACTTGTCGGTGGAGAGGTAGTCGTGGCAGAACTTGGCGTGGAAGAGCTATCTGTTGCCGAACTCTTCGTCGACGCAACTGGCGATATCGATATTGATGTCGATGACGATGACGATGTCGATATTGACGTCGAAAATGTATCCACAATGGACGTTGACGAAGCTGGCGCGGGCAGATCAACCGAGACGCCATACTGTGCGCAGAGCGAGCGGATGAAGTCGCGGAAGCTCTGTATATCGCTGGCTGAGCAGGCGGATGCCACGCACGGGCTGATGTTATCCCAGACGGTGTTTGCATGCCTGCAAATACATGCGCCGTCCAACGCATCACAGCTGGTGTTGCTGGAGAAGTCAGCCCCGCAGGAATTGACGCAGGAAGGGATGGCGCCGAGATCTTGTGCGGAGACAAGGCTGAAGAGGAAGAGTGCGAAAGAGGGTGGGAATCGCATTGTGAATCTTTACACGTATCGTCGTCAAGATGCGATCATGTTCAGACGCGATCTTCTTTCTGGCTGCTGGTCACAGTGGATACACTTGACAGGAAGGCAAGGCTCTCGACGGGAGCTAGAGTCGATATTCGGGTTTATCACCCCCCCGCAAATTTGTTGGCCCTAGAGACGAGGCTGAAGAATGGTTGCTCGAAGGCACGCTAGCTCTGGATATGCCGCTGAGTGAGCAAATACGAGGCAAGAATACGAGGTGTTTGTGTGAATTTGGGCGACGGAGACAAGAATTTGTTTTATGTTGCAGGGATGCGTGCATCCTGCGATGGTCTTGGTGTGTCATGTCGACACTAAAAACAGAGGCATTCAGATGAAAGAGAGAGAAGAATCAGAATCAGGTATCACGGTCTGGAAGGGCATGCGGCAGTAGAACTGCGCATGTTCTTGAGAGCCGAGGGCGGTGAGGGACGATACGAATGGCTGCCCAGGCTTAGCGATAACAATGAGTACGGAGCCAGGCTTCGAGCTTGTGGTAAGGCGGTGGAAGTGGGGGCCAAATATATCGAGGTGAAACATGTTCCTGGCACGGAGCTTACCCAATTACTCGCCTTCTTGGTCATGTTGTGCTTGGACAAAGCCACCCCCAATATATTGTTCTACTCTATGGCTAAATACCCGTGGTCGATGTCCACGCATAGAACATATGGGAATGAGCCTTGTGGACTACCAGTTCGCAACGGTCGCACTTTGCCTACAATATACCATAGGTAAGCCCAGAATATGTGGTTGCGGTACTGTAATATAAGTTTGGGCGGTGTATCGCTCCTCGTAGCGTAACACATCCTAATCAAATTCTTCTGCCGGCAAGTCAAGTTCGCCTCGTACATGATTCGACACCTCTCGTCCTGTTCATAACATTACTTATCATTCTGTTCGAGATAGCGCTCGCATTCTCCAGATCACACTCAAAAAATAGTACCCGTTATGGCGTATTTTCTTAGGCCTATTAAGGATTTTTTCCTTACGAATGGGGCAAGGACAACCCCAGAATGGATTCGACTTCAATTCCAAGCACGGTAGGCTGTTTCTAACAACACTATCTCTCGGGACATTTTCTTATGCAGCTTGTCCGTGCGTACAAACGGACATTCGCAAGCGTCCGACATATTGACGTTTGATGCAGCTCTGGGATTGAGCTTCGTCCCACGATAGATGAGACCGAAGATTATGACGGCGTTCTGCCTATGGCACGAACTATAACGAGACCAAGAACCAGATACCTTCGCTTGTACGCAGTGCTACGTTTCTCCAAAGCCCTGGGCGCATCTTGGAACGCGAAATTCCCAGGATGGCGAAGCGTTGTCGCTGCGTACTCTATTCTGGCAGCCGCCACGCTCGCATTCAACATAGCTGCACTTATCTGGGCCGCAATACATCTCGACGATGGACCGTACGCTACAGTTATGATGGGAACATACAAGGACATGTCGAGATATTCAAACCTGATACATTTGGGCATCAAAGTACTGAGCACTGCGCTTCTGGCTGGTTCAAGCTACTGCATGCAATGCTTGTCATCACCGACACGTCAAGAGGTGGACACAGCGCATTCCCGAGGTACTTACCTAAACATCGGCATATCAAGTTGGAGGAACATTTTGGCACGCGGGAAGAAGACGCCTTTTCTTTTGGCGCTTTTGATGTTCTCCATTGTTACTTTACACGCCACGTAAGTTGAAGCACGATACCATGACAAAATCTGAGTACAGTATCGTAGCATGGTGTAGGCATTACTTTGGAAGATTGTACTCAGAGATTTTGCTCAGGTATCGTCTACTTACCATGATTTTCCAAGCTAACGTTGTAGATCCGACACTTCGGTCGTTTCTACCAACGCATTCCAGGCCTTCGATATAGCCTGGATCACGCCTAATTTCCTTGCCGGTGGCGGGGCTCCGTTCTATGCGGGGAATGTGTCTTTGTTACATGACCAGCGCCACGACATTCGCTTGACGCGTCTTCAAAGCTTAGCCAGCAATGGCCAAGTATGGAATGAGTCCAGATGGACCCCGATGTCCTTCACGGACTGTGACTCCCAGATTAAACAACAGCTCAGACCAGATGGGGGTAGTTTGTTGATTCTGGCAGATCCTGGGACTGTCAAATGGTTTAACTCCGGCTTCCAATATGAAATTTCTAACACGCTATCGGAGCCTTTCAATTGGCACTTCAGTGATACTGTATTGATAGAACATGCAGCCGAGCGTGTCCGAAATTGCTTCAGCTTAAAGGTCCCGGGTCGCTGCCGTGTACAGATACATATCTGGTTCCTCTTTACTACGACGATCATCAACTCCATGAAATTGGTGTGTTTATTCTGGGGTCTTTCTTGAGAAGCGAGATCGACCACTATTGATGACAGGTGATGCCATAGCGTCATTTCTAGATTCACCTTGTAAGCATACACTCAGATCGTGCTTGCTATCCGAGGTGGAACTCAACGAGGCCCAGATGAACAAAGGAGTTGAAAGCTATGTTATTTCAGATCAGGAAGCAAGGGAATTTGAAGGAAAAGAGTTGGGGTATTATGAGTCAGCGAACCATGCTCGCTGGACTGTTTATATTAGCCTGTAGGTACGACCTGTACTCGGGTACTTTTCTCGCAATAATTTTAGCCAGATGCATGACTCTTTTGATTGCAACAGTGTACCTATACACACAGATCATCAAGAGGCAAAGAGGTTTAACATATCCGATCATGTCCGACGTTCCATATTTGTCATCTCTACCGCTGCCTGATACGTGGGGTCGATTACCTGTGCCGTCATGGTCCTCGCTATGGAGAACAGGCTTCGGAAAGCTAAGCTATGAGTCCAGTGGCAAGCTCTCGCCTCCTTGGTGTAGCCTCTACGAGTCAAAACATGAGCAGATGACCTGTAGGAATTTGGGGAAGGACTATTTCCACATGATCATAGGGACAACCCCTCAGCTCATTGTGTCCGCGATGTACCTCAGTCTCAATTATCACCTTACGGCGATGGTCCAATTGCGCGACTGGACAAGACTTGCGACCAAGCGACAGCCTCTACGTGTTAGCAACCCCGAGTCAAACTCGGATCAAATATCGACTTATTGGCTCTCATTACCATATGCATACAGCATCCCTTCGCTTCTATCAGCGGCTATTCTCGGCTGGCTTGTTTCTCAGACTCTATTCTTCTACTGTCACCGGGCGTATGACAATGACGGAGAAAGATTCATTTACTACGAGGCTCCCGGTGAGTATCGTCCATTTTCTGGAGACACGCAAGTATTTCAAGGACTGGGCTACTCGGTCTTTGGCCTCATCTGTTCTCTGCTGTTCGGCACAATTGTCTTCGTCGCATCGTTGGCAGTTGGTCTCCAAAAATGCCCGCCTGGGCCCCCGCTTGGTCCATCCAACAGCCTCGTGATAGCCGCCGCCTGCCATCCACCTGCGAGCGATCGGCATGCAGCAAGAAGGAAGGTGAAATGGGGAGCGATCCACACAGAAAGTAGTACTGGACGACGGGCTGCACCGTATCATTGCACAATAACGAGCCGGAAAGTTGAGAGTCCTGTAGTGGGTAGGTGGTACGCATGATGCAGCTGAGGCTGTATTTGGGACTTGAAGTTATAAGCAGACACATGATGAATAAAAGAACGGACGACACAATACCACATGTATATGCAGCTGCGTTGTGGGTGATGTGGCCTCCACCTACCGTTGCCTATGGGAGAAAAAGATACTTGGCGCATGCACCGATGGCGAGGAGGAGGGACGGGGTTGGAAGCGATGATCTATGCTGAGGTAAGACTGTCCTAGGTATATGCAATGTACTCTCCACACTCCCTCGTCGACAGCAACGCCATGCGTGCACCTCCCACCTCTGTTCCGAATCCCAACCCTAACGCCGCCCAACCCGCTTGAAGCAAAAATATGCAGTTTCAAATCAACAAACGCCGCGCGAAATGAAGGTGTACGAAAAGCCATTCCGTACCATGCAACCCATGTATATCAATCATCTGAATTAGTGTCCCATCTACGCCAAGCTGCGTATCGTAATTCGTCGTGAGTCATCCCATCGTAAAGCGTTCACACGCGGACGCCGCTTCCACCCGTCCACCTCAGTCGCCGCAGGCCCATGCCCGCGCCACGGAGACCAGATGCAGCTTCCTTGCCGCACCTGCCCGCGTCTCCGCCGACAGAGCCGAGCTGGCCCATGGCTTCTGTGTGGCCGACCTCCTTGCCGACGACGTAGCCGGCGGAGAAGCTCAGAGCGCTGACGAGGACAACGGCGCCGGCACCGACCACCCAGGTGAGTAGAGTGGGGCTGATCTCTTCGACGAGCGGACCTGTTTGCCGTACCTTTTTGACGGCGCGGCGCTCTTTGCTACTGCTTCTTGTGGTTGAGTTGTTGGCTGGGCTTGCTTTGCGTTTGGACTTTTCGGACGGGCTGCTGCTGACGGTACGGGGTGATAATGGAGCGCCGGTGGAATCATCTTCGGCGATATCCCCTAGAGCGACAGATTCAGGTACCAAACGAAGGGAAGTAGGGTGTCCTGAGGGATGGGAACTGATGGGGCGGGGTTGACCTGGTTTGGGCAGGCCTCGCACCGCAGCAGCGGCGGTGAGAAGGGTGGACAGACTGGCTCTCAGAGCCTCGTCGTGGTCTGCTTGTGCGTTCGGAGAGACAGCATTGTAGGGTGTGTGTTGCGGGTACGAGTGGCGCTGGGACGAGGGACGGGCAGAGGGTCTCCGAGGCGTGTAAACAGTTCCAGATTGCGAGCGAATCGAAGGCTGTTCGGATGGATGAGAGAAAGCATTAGGACGCGGCGCAAACTGTCGCCGTGAAGATCGCGGGTAGTTGACCGCTGTTGCGTTCTCGTCGTCGCTTTCACCCTCATCGTCGCCCTCGCGCTCCGACAGAGGTTCAGAAGAAGCGACCGAAGATGATCTCCTCAGCTCGTTCTGGAGCGGCGAAGGGCCGATGCCCTCGTTGGAAGATGTCATGACCCTGTCCGACTCGCTTTCGCTCTCGTCGTACTCCTCTTGACTACTGTTTCCACCTGCGCTTGCCACTCGGTAGCCGGTGCCTATCTCAAAGGGACCAACAGTGCGTGCCCGTCGCCGTCGCGGGTGTAGGTTCGAATCATGCTGGACCCTGAGACCTGTGGTGATGATCTCGTCGGCAGCCGAAGATAGCGAAGAGGAGGACGGGCACGAGGCAACCTCGACCCATGAGTCTGGGAAGTGTGAGTCGGATGAGCTAAGATTTGCACTGATAAATTGACGAGATAATACAGAGGTAATTTTCTAGTTGACAGCAGTTTTGGCAGTACAAGTGTATGCTTACCCTCTGAGTGATGCCTGTGCGGAAGTCCAGCCGATGATACCATGGCGTGCGTATCTTGAAGCGTTTCCCCGCCTTGCCTCGACGACTGTGGTTGGAGTGCACCGTGTTGATGCTGCATACTCTTAACAACAAGAAACAGCGAGACGCGACAGCGAAATCGGACCGCCGTATGCGTTCACGAGCCCGAGCTCACGCGTGGGTAGATGAGTGGGTTGCGGTGGAGTATGCCCCAAGCGGACGTATCCCGACTTCGCTTCTTTGTCTGGCGCTGGCCTTCAGGGAAGCAGCACTTGGCCTCGCAACTGACCGACAGCAGCTGGCAGCCGTCTATCCTCGTCGAGCGCCCGATGCGCCACGCGCGTCTGGTTTGGAAATTGCAGGTGAGCCCACTCGTTCGTGACGCTACGCCAGCGGCTGGCCTCGGTGCGCCGCGTAGAGGCCGACGTTTGGGACCGCTGGAATGACGTTCTCGGCAGCCTCTCGCTCCGATGGCGCGTTTGGCGGGGCAACAATCAACGAAACCGTGGAGGAACGTCGAAGCAGGGAGACAAGGGGAAGGAGGGGCGAGAGAAAGGAGTGCGGTGTTATGTCCGTCGACCCCAGGGCTCCGTGGCAGGCCTCATGAGCGTCAGGTCACGGTGCATTCGTAGTTGGACACATGGCGACGGTAATGGCGGTGGCAGGCGGTGAACTGACGAATCACGCGCCGTTGCTCACCTTCCCAAGTCGGGGCTTAGACAAGCACCACACTGCTATCTTGCTCGTCTGCCTGCGACCTGAGACAGTGCGTATCACTGCCATGAGTAACTGCGTGTACTGACCTCGCTGCTTGCTATGGCGATTCGGTTGTGCATTCAATCCCCTGGTGTTTGCCATGTCTGCGTTCTTGATGTTGATGTTGCCATCCGGACAATTAACAGACCCCGCAGATGACCCTGTCCAGCTATTACCCACACACTCGGGCGGTGTACACTCTCGCGCTAGCCCTGCGCGGTAGCCGGCCGATGATCTTCTTGCAAGGCAGGGTCTAGACGGTTGTTCAATATGTGAGCAGCACACCATCTTCGTACACTCTTGTAGGACCATGTGTATACGTGTTCTACGGCCCAGTTGATTCATCAGATCATTACATGAGGCTGGGTATACTTTCTTTATCGACAGGCTGAATTCGTAGTACACTATCGAGACGACATTTCGACCCCTTCCTTACTCCTAAACGCACCACCAACCACCAGTGCCAAAATCACCGTACACTATCAATACCACAGCAATGCAAATTGTCCGCCGTAACAGCGAGCGATTCCGAATCGGTAATCCCAGGAAGGAAATGATTGGGGCTTTGAAAGGAAATCCTAGCGGCGCTCCTGTTCAACAGAGGACCCTCCACCCAGGAAATTGTCATATCATCTTAGTTGCACACGGATTACCCCAGCGTCATGATATGGTACAGAAAAATGTGAAAAGCGCAGCCCCCAACACCGTGTAAAATGCGAGAAAGAATCGCAAAATGATGTGAAGCGAAGTGTTCGAGAAACTCAACTCGGGCGATCGTCTCGTAATCGAGGTCATGCTGGGTGCACCATCTTCTCTCTGCTGTTGCCTCGTCTAGTTCGTCTTCTTTTGCTGCTCTTCCTTCTTCTTCTTTGCGTCGCGGCGGGCCTTGAAGAAATCGCTGATGGCGTCCTTGAACTTCTCCCAAGGGTTTCTGTTGAGACGATTGCTGAGCTGGCGATACTTGTACATCTCGCCCCAGCAGTCCCGACCCCATTCACAGCCAGCCATGTTGACAAGGAAATCCCTCTCCTTCTCGTGGTAATGGATGTGCGGGTCGTCGCCCTTCTCTCCGCACGCTCCGGGTGGGAAGGCGTTGATCTTGCGCTGGTGAATAAAGGCAAGGTGAGGACGTATCCAGGGCTGGTTCTTGTACATGTATTCTAGAGCATCCTGCTCTTTGTGCTCCCACTCCATGTGCTTCTGCTCGTAGCCAACGGGGTCCCACCAAATGTCCATCAGTCTGTCAGTCCAGACACTTCTCCGTACAAAGAACGAGCCCAGGTTGAAGCCACCGCAGTCCTGTGGGACGATCATGTTGATTGAGTCAACTTTGCCGTCACCTACAGGTGATCTAGTCTCCGGGTCGAGGTACTCGTCGGTAAGTGGGTGGCTGATGTTGAGCGGGTTGTAGTGGTTGATGTCGCGGTACGTGATATCCTTCAGCTGCTTGAAGATGTGGCTCTGGAGAGAGTAGTTTGGCTCCATGATGAACGTGTTCGTGTCCAGCCACCAGAACCTAGCCAACGTTAGCGAGACGAACTGCCTGTCCGGATACAACGTACCATTCAGCGCGGGGATATTTGCGCATCGCATTTCGGATGGTATCCACCTTCTCCCAACTTTCTCTCCACTCGTGGGCATACCGCTTCTTCGTGCTCATGTCTACAATCTCTAGGTCATAGCCCCACTTCTGCGTGTACTTCTTCTTGTTCTTGACGCTGTCTCTTTCGATCGCCCACTCTCTGGGACCCTTCCACTCCATAACACCTCCGCCTTGGTTCGCTGCGAGAATAACGACGAATTTGCTGCCTCCGCCGAACCACGAGGATCGTCGGTACACGCGGTGCAATGCTGCGACGGTTAGTCCATGTAACATGGCTTCAGCTGAAAGTGACTTACGTGTTGCGTAGAAAAGGATGTAGAGGAGCAAGATGGTCAAAATGGTTCCCAGCGGTTTTCGCAGGCGCCATAGGTTCCACCCGATTCTGTTCAGCATCTGCAGAAGCTTGTTGTTGCCCTGGTATCCCCGCCCTCTGCCCAGCTTTTCCTTCTCTCCATAGCTGAAAGGCAGGCTCGTGGAGAGCCGCCGGAAGTGCTTGCCAAAGAAGCCCTGGTTGCGCGGAGCAAATGCAGTGTACCCCTTCACATTGGCGCTGCGTGCCTGGGCCGAAGCCCAGGTGACGTTGTTGGAGCTGGAGCTGGAGCCGCCGTTAGCGAACGGGCTGGTGCGCCCTCCGCTGTCATAGGGCGTGTTCAGGCCTGGACTTGACCAGCCTCCCGGGCGCGGCGACGGTGATCTTGACATCTCAACGGCGGGGGTGCCTGGGATGGGAGGCAGGATGCCCTCAAAGGAGCCGCCGGTGGTGTTGCCGACTCTGCTGCGCGACTCGGAGCCGTCGTCCAGGTGCAGGTTCGGCGGGTGCTTCGCAGCAGATGAGCGCCTCCGACGTTGGCCAGACGAGGCGGAGAAGGAGTTCGGGGAAGCCAGGGCGAACGACTTTCAGCGGTGTCGAGGGGCGGCGGAATGAGGAAAAAGCGCCACTGCGCGTGGCTTGAGATGATCCCACGACTTCCCGTGGGCCTGGGACGTCGGTTGCCTGCGCAAGGAAATTGCTGTCGATGCGATGGGTCCGCTGCAAACGCAAGGTGTCCGCTCGGAGGTCGCAGGCCAGCTAGCTTTCGGCGGTATCGAGCTGCCTGGGGAAGAGGTGTCCTGTGTGCGCGCGTGGCTGGTTGCACTGCCGAAGGGAGCTTCTCGCGACGGTGCAACGGGGCTTGTCTGTCGCAGCGGGTGCAATTGACCAGTACAACACCACCGGCGAGATCGCTCTACAAAAGGAGGGCCGCGATAAAATTGACAGACCCAGACGCTTCCCTGCGAGCGGGCGCTGAGGCCACCTGAAGTCCGCTTGGCGCACATCTACAGAGCTACCGCGCCGCCTATCTCTCCTTTATCCTCCCGCGCCAACATTGCGAATCTCGCTTGGCGCACGACGGGCCCATCTGCACTCTGCGGTGCACAGCTGGAGACATTGCGATGTTCGCACGCCGCTGGTCCATCTCAGCCAGTGCTGCCCGCCTGCATGGATGAGCCGCCAGCGGGCATCACGCGTCGGCCGCAGCCCCGTTGCCCTCCCGAGTCAACTGGCTCGGCATAGGCTGTCTCCATCCGTGCCCAAGGGAGGGAGGGAGCCGTTGTGCACGCTGGGGACACACAATCGTCGCCGAGCCATGCCTTCTCCCTCCGTATGCTGTAGCACGAGGGACCTGCACGCGACACTCTACCTCAGCCTGCCGAGCGCAGGACGGCCGCAGGAAGGGCCTTTGGCTTCATCTTGTCCGCGGCGCTCTTCCTGCCACCGCATACCAGATTATCGTGTAGACCCGTTGTCGGACCGGTCCAATTGATGCTTAGTCTTCTTCACAGCGTGCTACAGGACCTGCACCTGTGTACCCATGGGGAAGTGACCAATACTTGTGGTGGCAAGGGCAACTATCTGGGCCCGCATCAGAAAATGCGTCCGTCCTTGACCTTCCAGCCTACTCAGTCAGTAGGCTTGGCCCAACCGTCAAACATATGCAGACACGCATTCCATTATTGTGGACGAGAACGTGGATGCCCACAGTGCTCGCTTGGCATTTCTATTTACGCGCCAGGTCAGGCGCTTAACAAGGCGGCTCTCGCTTCTGACTGGCTGCACCACCGCACTCCATGATTTGGCCAACAACCACGACGAGACCGTTCTCTGGAGCGTCTCAGATGTGGCTTTGCGTTGTACATCTCAAGCCTAACGAATCCCCGGGCGCCTATGAGCATCCAATCTGTTCAATGGCGCCCGCCATGAGACCAGGCCCACTCGGCCGGGCAACCGCCGCCTCCAATCACCTCACGCAGGGCCCTGTTGCCTCTCTGCTTTGCTGGGGTAGCCTCACGCAATCCATCGTGTCCTGGGCGCTTGTCGAATCACAACTCGAGACACCCAAACTGTACATGAAGCTAGCACTAACTGGCATGGCGGGTAGGCAGCATGGGTTTACAACAGCTACCCGTCGTCGTGGCGCGAACCGCGACGGAAACGCATCTTTTCTCTTCTTCACCCCGTCTCTCTTCACGTCTCTTCTTGCTGGTTCACCTGGGATCGTTACCCCGCCACTCATTTTAATTTGGTTGTTGTTCTATTTCCTTCACTTCAGCCTGTCCCCAACAATAGAACCCAAAAGCATAATCGCTAAACGGCCTTTGTTTCACATCCTCGAGGACAATGCATTGTATCGATACCATTTCTTGAACAGTCAGATACGCCATATCGCGAAGCTTCACATTAAACTTTTTGTATCTCACGTTTCTACACGCGAACTCACGACTCGCCGAAATCAATCGACATGAGCACTCGACAAGAGTATGGGCAGCAGTCTCACGAAACAGCCTTACAGACTACGACGACGGGCCGAGTCTATCCTGCGCCGTCTGCAGGCAGTAGCGGACAGGATGAGGATGGCCATATACTTGTACATTTTAACGGCCACTTCAACGGTCAATTCAACGGCGCATTTGTACTTCCCAACAACATGCAGCAACAAGCGCCCGCCGAAAGCGACGCACAGATAGCCGCACGGAGAGCCATGGCGAAACGCAACTCTCGCTCATTCGCTGCGAGAATAACACGGAATCGATCACGGAAGATGGAGTTCGCTCGAACGGCGAAACCCGGTATCACAGTCGACACCAGCTTCGCACGACACCGAGGCAATGTACCGCATCAGGTATATCCACAGGATAACGAGAGGCGAAGCGGTGGGTCGATCAGGAAGCAGGGCTGGTTTGGCCTGGGGAGATCCGACACGAAGAACAAGGGCCTAGGAATAGTAAAGGGAATGACACCACAACCTGGACGTTCTTCGGAGGACCGGGAAAGGTCAAATAAAGAACCGAAAACGGCAGACTCCCTGACTGCAGGAAGTAAATCCTGGCAAGAGATTTCGCCGTGGGACCGACCTATTCCCATTGGCATCACAGTACCTTCGGACAGTGTCACCGACTTCAGCCCGTATCAAGCAGCACGAGCGCGATCAGACAGCGATGCCACCCTTGCTACCCCAAACATCATCGTCACTCCAGCTGCAGCTATGAAATCTGTGTGGTCACCCGATACCGCGTCAGACTACACGGCGTCCAGTGCATACTCACGAGCCACTCACATGCCGCCATGGGCTTCAGATGTACCGCCCGTCCCGACACTTCCTGCCGATGTACACAATATGCATGTGCAGAAAGCCGGCATCGAAGTACAGCGGGACTGGAATTTCAATTACCCTAACCGGGCAAGGGGTGACACGCTGGAATCCAGTGACACGGCGTTCGAGGAAGAGCAGGACGACATCCGAAAAGACCGCATCATGTCGACAGGAACAGTATTTGAGGAAGACGATACGCCATTGCACGAGAAGAAGCTGAAGACTCTGTCTGTTGACACATCGATGGTTCCTACGCCACGGAGGTCTCAAGGCTGGTGGAATGTCATCACAACACCCTTTGTCATGTCGCGCACGAACTCTGTATGGACCCAGGGCGGACGAAACGGCGAGAAAACACCCGACATACCCATGGTGCCGGCCGGATTTGGGACTTACCGGAACTCGCCTTCACCATCTACATACATCTGGTCCGCAACCGACAGGAGCCCTTCTGCTCTCGGCGAGTCTCCCATGTATCCAGCTCAAGCGAAGTTCCTAGCCCCGACCACAGCGGAAGTGAGCGGCCGTGGACAGAACAATATCAACGTAGACTTGGTCAACAACATCGATATCAAAGCCCCCCCAGCGCCACGCACGATAGATGCGGTCAACAATCCCCTTGTCTCTGCTCCCAAAGCCATGTCTGTAACATCAGAAACAGCTTTTCCTCTCGCTCAACCAACACCGAAAGCACCGACTGAATCCGTGTCGCCCCCTCTGACAGATAAGTCGGCCTCTCCGCCAGTCGGCACCATCGCAAACGCAGGACTGGCAGTTGGACTGTCACCTCATCCTCAACAGCCACAGCCACAGCCACAACTACAGCCAATCAATGTAAATATTGCATTCCATGACGGACGAGTGTTGGCCAACAGTCACTCTCACCCTTCCGGCACGTCTGCGCAGACCCAGCCAGGACATGTCATCGTGGCACCGCTGCCTGCGTACGCCAACAGCACTACATCAAGAAGCAATACACCTCCCCAAGCCGCTCCATTCTTCTTTCCGCCGCCGCCAAATGCTTCCTCCAAAGATAAGCAGTTCAGCTTTGGAAACTTCAGCAGAGCCAGTAGCCCAGGAAACTCGGTGCACGAAGCTAAGCAACGGCAGGCAAAGCAGCATCGCAAGATGAATAAGTTCTTGTCAAAGCTTGCACTTTGCGGCCGCAAAAAGGACGATAAGAAAAATGAAAAGAAAAAGAAACGGTCACGCCGGTGTATGGTTTGCTGCTGCTGCCTGATCCTTTTGATCTTGCTTGCTGTCCTCATTCCAATAATCGTCATCTTCACGAGGAAACACAACAACTCTACCACTCCTATCGCAGGGACCCCAGACACAAACTCGGACGGCCCATCCCAATGGCTCAACAACACTGGCTATCCACCTATGAAGACCGGGCTTCTAACGATCGCACAGCCTGAAGCCGTGGAGGAGCAGAGCGGCTGCGTCGCCCCGACCACACTGTGGAGCTGTGCGCTTCCTAAGGAGCAGCAAAAAGACATTCAACCTAACAAGCCCGACCAGCCCAACTTCAAAGTCGAGATCACCTTCCAGAACGGCACAGCGGCAGACCTATCGAAACCCACCCGCCGAGCAGCAAATCCCGTCTCAGCAGGCGCGTTCATGCGTTCCCTTCTCCGCCGCGCCACGCCCTCTCCGTCTCCCGCTCCTCCGTCTACTGATGACATGAAATTTCTCGGCCAAACCACCGACGGGGTCTCTGCCCCCTTCGAAGGCGAAACCACACCTTTCTTCATGACGTTCCAGGACCCATCCGCCTCTACTTCTTCTTCTGCACCCCGTTCTGCCAAGCGCGCCGACGACCCCACGAACATCACCCTCGTCATCCCCCCTCCCTCCCTAAACTCCGACGGCACCGCAGCAGCCGCAAACTTGCTCCCCCTCCCATCCGCACAACCCCTTCGCCTCTTCAACCGCGGCAAGTCAGACGAACACTACGGCTTCTACACGTACTTCGACCGCTCAATCTTCCTGAAAGACATCAGCTCCTCTACAGGCCGGGGCGGCAACCCCGCAGACACGAACGGCGGTTCTACGCGCGATGCAGCGACGCTACGCTGCACCTTCACGCAGACACGCTTCCTGGTGCAAATCTGGACGCGATCGAACCAGCCACTCCTGAACCCTCCGCAGAATACGACTGACAACGCGTTCAAGCGGCCTGGCACATTCCCGTACCCCGTAACCTTCACGCTGGACCGGCACGGCGGGGATGTCACCAAGAAGAACCTCTTCTGCTACAAGATGGAAAAGGACGGTACGATTGTGAACAAGGATGCGAATAAGTTTTTCCAGTTTGAGGATCGCGGGTTTGGTGGGAATCTGGTTAACGGGACGCAGGGGAGGCCGAATGCGAAGGGGCCTATTGATGGAGGGTCGGGCGGATGTGGGTGTAAGTGGCAGAATTGGGTGGATTGAGGTGGAGGTCAATTGTATCGGTGTTGGTACGAACTCAACGTTGTATGGATGGGCGTGCGTCTGTGTAGGTTAGGAGTTGGGCATGAGCTTTATTGAGACCACTGGATGGTTTTTATTGTACATTACTTAGAGTGCGTAGAGAGGCGCTGGATACTTACCTAATAATGATTGATCGGCTATGAGCAGCCTGCGTTACGAAACCATCGACCATGCGCTCGTCGAGTGAGCGGCCCGACATTATGATGTACACGCTAATGAATGCTTACCACCAATTGGGTATCAACCCAGTTGCCTGTTCACTGCCGGAGCAACAATATCGCGTTGCTGACCTAGTGTTGGCTTGGGTACTTCTTCAGTTCTCGAATGGAATTACCATGGGTGTAGGTAGAAGATGATACGCTTTCTCAAGCACCAACTTTGCACGGAAGTCACGGGCGGAGTCTTGCCTCAATTGAACGTCAAATTCTTGATACAGTCACCCAGGACGTTCGGGAACCAGCGTGTTGGGGTTGGCGAAGCCCTACGTGGTGTTTTGCAAGATTGCAGTGAGCTCCAGGTTTTTGTGTCAGCCCCTTGGGCCATTTACTTTAAGATGGCGCTGCGTGTCTAATTTCCTGAGATCTGCGATGCAGCGCTTATGAGAATCGGCACAGCACGGATGTTGAGCGAGGGTATGCGTGCGCGGGACGGACGCATTTGTTGGGACGCAAGCTTTGACGGAACGGAAGTTGCTGTGGAGCATGAAGATTCGAAAAGAAACTATGTAATAGTCGAGGCAAGGCTGATCGTCTGGACGCGAGGTTGACTGGAAAGATGAGCATGGCACATGGGTCGTGGTTTGGCAGCCATTCGATCGAAGTGTTTGGCGGTAGCATCTGCGGCTCATTCCCGCCGCACTGTCACGGCAATCCCGAAACCAACGGTTTGCACGCACACGAATGATCTGGCAGCATCGAGAGCAACTAGATTTGATTTCGGAAATGACGACTCTACTCCCAAAGCTGCGACTATTTTTGGCAGTGCTCACGGCAGTTTACGTCTATTATTGCGTGCTTGCTTGCTATGGGCGTCTCGAAAGACAGTCACCGCGGTAATAAGCCGGGCGTCTGGCCTGATGTAGGGGACATAGTCCCGCTTTAGGGGTATCCACCGCGGCAGACTCCCTTGTGGAATAGTACGCGTCTGGCTGATCCAAAGGGAAGCATTTCGCCAAGGGTGAACCCGCAGAGCCTCAGGGTCCGGGAGTGAGCTTGCGCGAGCTTGCATGAGCACGGAGAGGGCCAAGGGTGTAGTGGGTGTGGCGGAAGCTTGGGTTGACGTTCATCTTCCTCCAGTATTGGATTGTGCATGGGAAACCAGGCTCCTCGACATACGCATTGCAGTGCCATGATCAGTGGTGGCATAGTTGTGCGGTAACATGGGCTCGTCCGAGGACCCTCAGAGAAGCAAAAACGGGGCCTCCTGAGTGTACGTTGCGATGTCCCTCTCACGGAGATGCAATATGCGCAAGCAACCCTCGTAGCATCGATCCGGGATATTTGCGGTACCCCATCGCCATCGATGCAGTTTCATGCGCGAGTCAGCAGACTTGGGGGCGCTCCGCAACTAGTGCCTTCCGCTGCGGACCCCTGCGCCTTCCAGTTCTTCAAAAACGTGCCCCTCTCCTCCAATGTGATTGGCTCCATCCAACCTCTGGTGTCGCCCACGCACTTTCCCCATCGAGCATGACAGCAACAGTCGCCTCGCTCGAGACGAATTCGTTCGTAATGGCGGCGACGCAATAGAAGCTCTGACAAGCCGTCGGCTGGGAGCTTGTGCAAGCCTCCTCGGAAATATCATTGCTTGGCCCTCGTCATTGCTCGCAGTCACAGACGACCTGCGTAGGCTGGTCGTTCCAGCGGACGTCTTTTTCGCAGCCAGATTTGGTTTACAGGCGAGGACAGCAGAGCTACACGTTGTAGGAGCAGGGGTTGTACAATTGTTACTCCTCCCGCATGTCCCCACAGCAGAATATGCACGTAGCGTGTGGTCGCGTGCGCTCTTGCCCAAAGCGGCCGCGCCGAGAAGTATCCTTCTCCACTCACTCGTCCGCCGCCTCTGCCGGCAGCCCACCAGACCAGAGCCACCATGCCCATACCGGGGGAAGATTTTTCTGAAGCGCCGGATCTGCACGCGCGGATGTCGCCTACAATGTATTTATTACCATGCCCTCGCGGTCGGGGCTCGAGTGTTGTGCCTGCTTTCCTTTGCGCCTCCCACCAGCGGCTCACCAACGACCCCAACGGCGCGAGAGCCCACGTCGCCTGTGTTTGCTTTGAAACATAAGCAACACCTCCCATCCTTAGCAGCGGTTGATCATCTCGATATCCCGCGCACGTTGAGACGCCTCCTACGCTATACCCAGCGTCCTCGGAACTCAGCAGCCTATTCCTTCAACCGGTTGTCATCTGCCAACGCGCTTGCGAGCCAGTCACACGTCGCCATTTTCCTCGTCCTCCAACAGCCTGCATCTATCTGGCGGCGACGATTGAACGTTCACGTCCAGTTCCCTGTGCAAACCCTGGGCTAAATTCCGCTCCAACGTCATAGCCGCCGCGCTAGACATCCGTGTGGATTCAACCCTGCGGAAAGAAGCTTGCGGTTTAAAGGCTTGAATTGCAACTGCGCTTGTGCTGCCAAAATTACCCAGAATCTCTTGGTGAATTAGTCCAGCTATGGAGATTGGTGCTCTTCCCGTGCCCCATGGCGCTCCTGCCAACGGGGGCGAGTATGCGGATATGGAAGTCAGGCGTGGTGAGTAAAGAACTACCCTTTTGTTACTGCACTTCCATTTTCGTTTGACCCGCGCAATGCTCGCGCCGAGCGTCCGGCACTCGCTCATCCGGACGAGGTTTTCAATTCATTCGAAGCATCATTTATCGCGAACACGCCGAAACTGCTGCGGAACACTTGGGCTCAGCGGTGTCACGATATCATAACAACGAGAGTTATCGCTGACCGAACCCTCAGACATGACATCCCAAGAACAAGATGTCTTTCACGCCATCCTCCACCCAGACGACATGTACGATGAAAACGGCACCTATTGGGCTGACATGCCACTTGGCCAGCGCCTCAAATTTGTCAACAAGGTCGACAGCCAGGAAACGAAGAAAGAGGCCTCATCCATCTGGACAATGTTCAAGACCGACCCGCTCGCGCCCGTGGGTTACTATCTGAAGAACATGGTTCTTCCCGGTGCCGGTCTCGGATTGGAGGGTTATGTGCTGTTCTCTATTGGCAACGTCAGGCCGCTTCTTCAAGCTGCGTTCCCCACGTGCTGGAAGACAAACGAGGTTTGCGATAAGCGCTGGACCGAGGCCGTAGACTACCTTGAGATTATTGGTATCATTGTTGGTAAGGATTCCTGAATAGCTTCTGAATGGCCAAACTAACACTTCAAAGGTCAAATCCTCGTTGGATATCTCGGTGACTACCTCGGTCGTCGATGGGGCCTTATCCAGGACGCCATGATCATGTTCATCGGATTGCTCATGCTCACTGCGTCGTGGGGCGTCACCCTAGAAGGCTGGGTCATCTGCTACGCTTGGTCCCTATTCTTCTACGGAATTGGTGTTGGTGGGGAGTACCCCATGACTGCTACTTCTGGTATGGAGAACGCTGTTGGTTCCGGTAAGGTCTCAACCAAGGACGATCGGCTCCACCGTGGCCGCAAGGTTACTAGCGCTTTCCTGATGCAGGGCTGGGGCCAGTTCTTCAACCAGGTTATTCTCATCGTCTTACTCCTCATTTTCCACCACGGCAGCGGTAACCCGCCTTACTCCAAGGTCGCCGCGCAATGGACGTACCGCGTCTCTTTCGCCATCCCGGCAGTCGGCACCCTCTGGCTCGTCTACTACCGCTACTACAAGATGCGCTCCGCAAGCAAGCAGCTCATGATCAGTAAGAAAAAGGGCAACGTTACCGGATACGACACCAAGTCGCTGAAGATGACTCTGACCTACTTTGGCCCTCGCCTGATAGCCACAGCGGGTGCTTGGTTCGCCAACGACGTCTTCTTCTACGGCAACAAGCTGTTCCAGAATGAGTTCATCAAGGTTATCACGCCCAATGGCAGCACCGTCATGACCGGCTGGCTCTACAACTTGATCAATGTTGGCGTTTCGCTTTGCGGCTACTACTTGGCATCGTTCCTCATCGACAACAAACTGTATGGCCGCAAATGGATGATGATCGTCGGATTCATGGCCGACTTCATCCTGTTTGTTGTTCCTGCGTTCAATTTCGAGTTCTTCACTACTCCTGAACACGTGCACGCGTTCCAGGCCATGTACTTCCTTTCTTCCTTCTTCAACCAGTTCGGCCCCAACAGCGTCACCTTCCTCGTCGCTGCCGAAGTCTTCCCGACCCCCATCCGCGCCACTGCCCACGGTTTTTCCGCCGCGATCGGAAAGGCCGGTGCTCTTCTCGCCTCCGTCCTCTACAACTACATCGACACGCAAACCAAGTTCTACGTCGTACCGTGGTTTGGTCTGGCTGGTGCCCTCCTCACATGGCTCTTTCTCCCCGATACCACTGGTCTCGACCTCAAGGAGCAAGAGCGCCGCTGGTCCTACATTCGTGCAGGCAAAGAGCAGGACTACCACGGCATCGCCATCCACTGGAAACATCTTTCCGTGTGGGAGCGCTTCCGCGGCATTCACAAGGCTTATGATGCGCGCCTCGACTACGAGGCGAAGATCAACGAGATGCGCACCGAATGGGTCGAGCACCAGCAGAACAAATTCGCGGACGATCTCAAGGGGCACGAGGACTTTGACGACAACGAGGGCGAATTTGAGAAGGGCGTGCACGATTACTTCTCGAGGACGGCGCCAGATAGCTTGAAGGGGCACCGGCGCGTTGAGAATAATAATGGGGTTTTGGGGGAGAAGATTGATAGGGAGAGTGAGAGTGGAGGGAGCACGGTTGCGGATGCCGATCGGATTTCTGAGAAGAGAGCTTAGGGCATGGAAAGGGAAGAGACGTGTGAAGAGGTTTGTGCGAGTGCATCGAGTGCATATGATTTGGCTTGCATTGGACGATGTGATTAGCGATTAATACCCAGAAGCTGGAATGAACAAAGCTTAAGCTACTTTTATTGATGACTACATCCCTTGCTGTTGTGTGACTGGTGATGGTGATGGTGACGGTGATGGTGACGGTGATGATGCGCTCGTAGTTGTGCATCATCGGATTTTCGTCTCGTCGAGGACAGTTCATTGGGCGCTTCAGTTATTGCTCCTAGTTCTTGAGAAGAATGACTTTCGGAGACGTATCTTGGGCACAACATATCCCAATCGCATCAACAATTGAGAGTATAGTTTTGGTCTCCAGACGCCCCAGGACCTCCATAACTTCTTGGAGCGTACGATTTCGGTCGCCTGCGCAAAGCTTCACACATATCCGTCCAGCTTGCGTTCTTGATGCCCGAAGACGTAGTACAGAGTGTTGAGGAGAAAGACGTCTGTGTATCCGAGGAACGTTCTATACTGACAGAGCCTCGCTGCAAGGACATAACATCACAACATCATCGCTTTTCAGGAACAGCTCTCGCACATGCATTACTCGAATGCGGGTTCTAGTGCCAGCGAATGGTTTACGCGTTGAGAGTGTACACGCCACCCCCTAGTCCTACCAAGTCTCTGTATTTGCGTCTCTGTTGAACACGCAGAGCGAGTGCAACATTTGGTGGTCATCAGTCCTCGCGAAGAGCGCAGCATCGCTCGGGTTTAGATGTACTTTTAGTTCCAGTAAAGTAGGTGATGTGTGTAGAAGAAGTGGGTCTCTAGAGAAGTGAACTTCAAATCTGAAGCCGGCCCGAGGCAGACATGGGCAATTGCTAGAGTTATTTGCACGCGCACTTGACAAAGACAGGAAAGCACCCAAAAGAACTCGCATTCAGGCTACTCTCATTGCAACTTCCATAATATAAATACACTAAATATGGACGAGTACCAAATCGTTAATCCAGGCATGTTGCTGATTAACTTAACCCACCATTGAATCTTTAAAGAGTAGTTTATTCCTTCTTCGACAGTGACTGCTTGAAGTCCCAGTTGTTCAAGACGCCGCTTCCGACCTGCACGGAGTGTCAGTATCTAAAATAAGTAGTCTTGCAGTACGAATAAGGGACATACGCATAGGTACGTAGCAAAGCTGAGCCAGCCCAGATAAGGAGCCAACAGCCAACCGCACACCGGGTCAACTTGGCCCCAGATGTAGGCTAGATAGCCCACAGTACCGCCAAGCGCAAGAATGTCGACTGTTGCGGCGATGGGCTGATGGAGCGAGAAGTACAACGGAGTCCAGATGAGGTTCAGGGCAAGCTGGAGGGAGTACAGAGTAGCGCCCTGCTTAGCCAGAGCGACCGTCTCAGGGTTAAAGGAGGTTGTGCCAGTGGTCCATGCTCGGTAGGCGGTGTATCCCATGGTAGTATACAGGACAGTCCATACCGGGCCAAAGACGTACCCAGGAGGATGGAGCGGCGGCTGCTTGAGTGTACGGTATTGACGCTGTGTATCGCTGGCTGCATAGCGTCAGTGAATATCACGTGGGGCCATTGATGCAGGTGACTGTACGGCTGATGGAAAATCCGACGGCGGTACCGCAGACTACAGGAAGCAATATCGCTGCAGCTGGGTTGCTGAAGAGAAAGCTCGGCAAGGTCAAACTCGGGATATAGGTCGTCATAGTGGGTGCTGGAATTGACAGTCAAGACAATCGTCAGGCGTCAAAGAGGAGTAAGAATTGCAGACGATCCGTGGACGAGATATTGTTCCTTGCGATCTCACGCGATGCTAAAGTTGTCCACATCGATGTGATTCTACAGCCAATCAAGCCGCGGTGCCTCGGCTGTCACAAGAGCCAATGCGTCGGATGCACGTGCCGTTCGCCGAAGCGAACTAGGCCCGTTCCAAGCATCACCTGATCCTCTCCATCACCATTGCTGTCCACCGACCATCATTGTACACCAAGTGAGGACAGTACGCGCGCTCCATGGCGATGATGTCTTACTATGCCCCACTGTCTTATATTGGTCAGCTTCTGCTTTTGTGCCTTGGGCTACCTCTCACAAACCCATAGAAGACGAGGTGCTTTTTTGCCATGGTTGCCCATGCAATGGGCGGACTTTTCTTTTTGAAGTCACGTCCGAACCGGACCTTGAAACGTAAAGACAAAAAGCAAGAGCTGAGATTCAGGCTAAACAACCCCACATCATTCACTCCTATCCACTCTCCAGACATGTAGTGATGCTGATATCCCTCAGAAGCCTCACCAGAACCAACAATACAGAATCTACCCTCAACATCTGGGCGAGCAACAGGTAACGCCCCAAGCGACTCCATCATCTCGAAAAAGTAGATCTTTTAGGCCGACCGCAGAGGCACCTGTACAACTGTGTCTAATACTTTTAGACACCGCCCTAGGCGGACGACCATGCTGTGAAGAAGGAAAGCTGGAACAGAACTGGCGGTGTTTGTAATCCAAAATTTTCGCCTAATATTCAGACGCATGGTGATGGTAACCAGCACCACTCTCTAGTGTGACTATGGAGCTCTGTCCACGTCGACCCTCTTCATCAGGCCCATGGGGTTCGGGCAGTAGCGCCTTTGGCATGCTGCAGAGTACCCCAAATGCCCCCAATGCTGCCATGTGCCCTTCCAATTGAGGTTTCTAGACCTGAAGAAAGCTCCATGGACAGTTGTCTATCAAACTTTGAAACCCAAGTCCCGGAGAGCGTTGTGGTGTGGAGATTAAATACAGGAGCCCAAGTCAGCGGATATACACTTAGTCTTGGCTCAATTCACACCGTTGTACGTGTTAATATGATAGCAATCATCATCAATCGTAATTAAACACAGGGGTTATGCTCAAGCCGCTGAGGAACACAAGCACAACGAGCGGCGCCATCAAAGTCTTCTCTGTTACTTCTTAGACATCCCGAAAGGCCCATCAAATCTCTCAGGCATTTCATATCCAGACTCCAACATCAAGTGAATATGGTGATGTGAAGAGGAAATCTGCGAACAAATTAAGTGTATTTAGATTCCGACCTCGTCCTGAGCTGCATCACAGCTAGGCATGCGGTGATAGAAGCCATCCGTGCTCTACATCGGGCCCATGGCGCTTTGATCCAAGCAATCTTAACACACGGCTGCGTTCAAGGACCTCGAGCAGCACTATGAGAATTCGGATTAGGCTTTCAAAGCCCACCACAAGCCCATGGAAGTTGAGGGTTGTATTTTTTAGTGGCCCTTAAAAGCCAGACTGAGAGTGTGAGGATCGTGCTTAGGACTGACTCGGCAGTATTTAAACACTGACACACCGTCTCAACTTGAAGCGTTCAAGGCGGCTGACGATGGTACTCAGCATACGAGCGTGAATGAGAGCACTCGGCGTCTGCCGTGTAATCGCTACACGTTCATTTTCAGAGACAGCCATGCAAGGGTCCCCTCGCGCAGACCACAGAAGGCACATGAGCGTCGCGGTCGGCAATTTTGTTCTTCGTAGCTCTTCAGTTGTGGAGTTTTAGATATCCACGCATCCAGTTGGGTGGCGTGAGAACAGAGATGAGAATTGACGGAAATATCTATACCATAGGTACTTCCGCTCCCGTCAATCTGATAGCGTTGACTTGATGAACGGTGCTGGTGAACATCGCGACATCGCGGCCGGGCTCTAAAAGCGCCTGTTGTGGTTGCTCCCGTTTTCCTCATGGGTAAGAACCCGATGCTCTTCGATACCTCCCACAAAGCCATCAACCTGAGGGACGCAAGTTTCTAGTCCCATGCCCGGGTCGGGGCCCAGGTTTTAGACTTCAGCTCAAGCAAAGCATGATAATATGGAGAACAAGGACAGGAATATGCAGCCATATTTATACGTCTTCGTCGTTTCAAGTTTCACGAATCAGTGATGATCAGCACCAACAAGTCCGTCGGCGATTGAACTGTATGCTGAGGTCATTGGCCTTCGTCGTGGATCGAAAACGATGAATTTTGGAGCCCGAGATCTCGCCAGTCCACACACAACACAATGTTCTGTTATTCCCAGGTTTCAGTTCCACATGGTACTTGTCAGCCTGAGAAGATATCCTGTTAGAACGCTTGACTGCAAATTGGGGCCTCCTGTATATTTCGATGACCCAACGTACTCCATCCTCTATTCGGATCGTTACACAACCACCTTCACACCTTCCCCATACCATAATATGAAGCACACCCATGATGTTTTGACACCATGAGGATCACAGCCACCCTCATGATACTCCGGTCCCTAAGCCTCTCCCGAGGCTAACAAGCCCGGCCATCCCCAAACAGCAACATAAACGAAATGTCACGATCTGCACTAGTTCCTCCCGCGTAGATCCGCATCAGCACCCGCGCTCCACCCCAGCTGAAGACACGACCCTCACGAGGAGAAGCCCGGATACAAGCGCTGCAATTGGCAGTGTCTAGCCTCTCTCATTTCTGCGAGCAAGTATAGCAGGCAAACATCGGCGCCCTCTCCTCGGACAGACACGTGCAGCGCATAGCATCGCATGTAACCGGAACCGCGAGCGTAGAGTAGGTAGACTATGTCCCATGGACCGCCGTCGGTTACATTTACAACGCAGAGAAGACTCTCTTGGCAAAATGTCTTTGACGCCACCCCGCATACACACACCCACGGTTCGCACAGGGTGCCTCAGGCTCAGGCCACACCGGGCGCGCCTCCGACCCGCGCTGTTGAGCGCCCCGCGCGCCCGTTAGGCCCGCAGCGGTCGAGGCATCTCGAACGCGCGCATTGTTTCATCCAAGTCCGCTTGCATTCCGGTGTGCAGCGCCAGCTTGCGCGTTTGGTCTGCAACCCAAGGACCCGGGATGCAACATCGATTCGCTCGGTCCCTCTGCGCCGCGCTGCATTCCGGCGCGCGGGCCTGCACGTCACGCCTCGTACTTTCTGCTCCTGGGGCGCGCACCTCAAGATACTGAGATACCGCCAGGTACAAGCGCGTCGCGCCGTGGACCTTTCTGCCAGAGGGAATGCGCTTGGCGCATACGCGTTACTGCACCTACACCAGACACAAACCAGCGAAGCCTCGCCGCGCGAGGGGTCCGGTGGGGGGCCGGTCTTGCAGTCTGGTGGTCGCTGGCGCCGAGCTGGGCGTGGTTCATGCGGAGGCGTTAGTCGTGCCTTTAGCGGTCGTGATTCCCGGGGCGTTGTTTTAGCGTGCTGGCGCGAACGTTTCGATGCTGTGGAGGAAACTTGTTTGGACGCGGGGAGAGCGTGCTTGGAGAACGAGCATTGCGCTGCGAGATGCGTGGTACGGGGACAGCGCTGCGGTGTTACTGATGCGCCAAGTCGGATGTGCAGTGGGCAGAGAGGGCACACGAAGCTTATTTAGACCCTCGTGTGGAGGCCGAGACAAGCAGATTGCGACACCTGATAAACAAAAGAATTAAGGATGCTTGTGCAACACCTTTCGGTGCCAATGTGATGTATTTTGATCATGCTGGGGCAGCTATCTATACAAGACCGACATGCATCCCGTTCGTGAATACATATTAAGGGAGCATACAGTCGTTCCAAACCCATCATGAATCCCGATGAGCGATCCCTATCCGTAAAAAGCCCCGGGAATAATTACGCATCCACCGTTCGCCATGTAAAACATTACGCCAACTTTCCGTGCATACCGGGCAGTCCATCGTAAGATGTCGCCGAAGGAAGCCTTGAGATCTTACCCGCATAGACTATGCTCCGCTCCATCTGTGCAACGACAAGAATCCCAAGGTATCAGAGAAGCCGCCGAGAGAATGTCGATACAGTTCGAAACCATGGTAAGGTGAAGATGTGAAGTGAAGAGACGCGTCAGTGGCCGAACCGCATTTATGCGAGGAAGGCGAAGAGACCCGCGAAGAGAGCACCCATGGAGACGTAGGTAGTGGCGGCACCGCTGCCAGCACCCTGGGTGGGCTGAGGAGATCCAGAGGAGGACTCGCCAGCGGGGGCGGAGGTGGAGGGAGCACCGGTTGGAAGGACAGTGCCGTTGGTGTAGACAGCACCAGATGAGATGGGGTACGGGGCAGAGGAAGCTCCGGTACCAGCGGGGACGGAAGGAGCCACGGGGGTGTTGTAAGCAGACGAGGGCTTAACAGGAGCCGGCGCGCTGGAGGGCACGACAGACGGCAGCGGCACAGGGGTCACCGAGGGGAGAACCTCAGTGGCGGCCGGAGCCGAGGGGACCTCGTAAGAGCCAGCAGGAGCGCTGGTAGCAGGGGGAGCCTGTTGTTCGTTAGTGGTGAGTCCAAGCACCAGGCAACGGACGGGAGCTTACCTGGATCTGACCGTCGGAGATCTGGGTGATGGGCTGGACGTCCTGGGGGAGGGCCTGGGCGCCAATGGCGACGGCGGCGAAGATGGCGGAGGTAGAGAAACGCATCTTGGCTGTGTGGTGTTGCGGTGGTGATGAATATGAGTTGATGATAGAGCTGTTGTTGAGAGGCAGCGAGTGGGCACCGGGCGTCGACGTGAGCGAAGGACTGCGAGTCTGGTTCAATTTCTGGCTTGCGGTGTGGAAGGGACGGGTTCAGGTGTGGCAGCAGCGAGGCAGCTCCTAAATACCAGGCGCGAGGCTGGAGGGAAGGCGCGACCGCCGCACGGGCCCACCTGGACCCACACGCACCTGCCGCTTGAAACGACAAGGCTTGTGCCAAGGCAGCCAGGACAAACCTTGGAACCGCCCGCCAGCCGCTTGTTTTGCGGCCGTTGAGCCAGCTCCATTGCGCCGCTGTCACTGCCATGGCATGGCTGCAACTGTGACGCAGCCGGCTCCCAATAGCGCAGCTCCATGCCTTCCCAATACTGCACCTGCAGCCGCCCGCGACGACCACGCAGCAGACAGTGATTGCGCGCCCGTGAGAGGCGGTGCTGGCCGTGCGCTGCCAGGCCTGCACATCGCTATCAAGCTCCCACCCACATCCACAGCGGGCGCCACTCTGCGCTACGAGCGCCCTACGTCAGTCCGTCGAGGCACCAGGGGTACGGGCGCCCACAGCCCAATGGCGGGCACCGTGTGGATCGCCATTGCCATCGCCATCGGACTTTCACTCCAGCGCCTCCCCGCCGCTGGAGCCCTGCCCGCCTCTTGCCAGCCTCGGGACCGTTGGCGACGCGCATCCAGCCGACCTGCGGCGAAAATGCATCGCCGCCACCAGCCCCTGCTAAACATAGCCAGCATGCAACATCGCCGACGCGTTGGGGACCGCCTCCCTCACCATGTCAAACTTTTCAAGCCTGCTGCCCTATACCGCAAGATCACCCCATCCGTCCCCTGAGTGACGTCGACGTCAATACCGGCTCGCTTCCCTTGCTCAACCAAACGGGGAACCGTCCCGCCCTGGGTCGACTGCAATCATGACCTGCCTGTTGCCCTGGCTGCGAGCTCGATCGCGATTCGTCCTTGCGCCTGGCCCAGCAGCCACCCGCATTTGACTGCTATTATCCGCTATTTTTCGCTGCAGATTGCGAATTGATTGATTTGTGCGCTGCCGGCCGCATGTCGTGTCACTGCTCCACACGCGATCGGAAGGAGCGTAGCTGTGCCTACACCTTCCCTTCTCGCGCGCCGACTGCTCCAAGCAGCTGTCTGGCGTCGTTGGCGTAGCGATATTGCTCGCGCATCTCGGACTGAAACCTCCTGAGGTTTGACGTCTCGAGCCAGTGGCGTTCTTGTGCAGCATTGCGAAACCGGACGTCTCTGGCTGCTTGGCCTGGTTAACACGCGTCGGCTGAAAGATGGGTGCTTCGCTCAAGTCTTCCCACGACTTCTTCCGTACCGCACGGCCTATTCTCCGGTCCCAGATTGATTAGACGCCTCTTCCCGACCCCAGGTGCGGCTCACGGTTTTCCCATGGGCCACCCTCAACAATGCATATGGTCGTGTCGTCTCTACCAATTTTGCAAATGCTGCAAACGTTCATGCCTGTATTATCGGAACGGCACCATAGAATGATTCGCGGTACAGCATATGTGGGGGAGCCTCCCCGCATGTAAAATGATGCTTTTCATGACCATGCTCGCAAGTCTGGTCCGTCCTTACGAACGCAGAGACTGAAGTATGTCATACAGCCGCTTAGAGCCAAGGACAGGTCACTGTTTGCTTCTTGCTTCTCGAGCGATTTCCTTACAGACGACGTCCTGTCCTTGCTCAACAACTCTGCTCCAGCAGATTTTTTTTGTCCTACTACTTTCAGAACCTGCTTGTAGTATGGTTCTACAGGAGGATGCGAAAGTTTGGACGGGACCCATGGAGGCGGTAATCTAGGGTCTTTGTGTTGCAGAGAAGTCCGGTTCATCCTTCTTTGCATTGCGACACGAAAGATGTCCATGCGCGATCCGCTGACGAAGATTCAATAGTTTCGAGATGCTTACTATGTGTTCACTTTCAAAGTCAGTGCGAATGGTAATGTCCGGTGTGCGCCGGGCGTACGCAAATGTGAGGTTTCGTTGCGGGCGGGGAGGCCGGTAGACTATTGAGGAATAGCTCTACCGATCTGCGTCCTGGGTGACATGCGATTAGTGAGAGTTCTTGCAGGCTCACACGACTTTCTTGGTCGTCAAGTTCTGCTTTACCACCGCATGCTACAGTCGTCCTGTCCAATGTTTCAGCACTGCTATGTCTTCGCCATCGTTTAAATTTCATCCTCACTACTTGCAGATGATGCGTGTCACGGGCAGCACTCATACTCATCGGAGGGCCAACATCGCGCATAGAAAGTTCTCTGCTTCTTGGGACTGTTCCAAGAAACAAAAACGTCTCTCTTATGCGTCTAAAAACTTGAAGTGCGCCCTTGGGACAACACGTTGCATGAAGAATATTATGCTGGTGCTGGGTAGCGTGATTGGCACGATTTTGGTACGGCGACTTACTCATACTATCCAACGTGCAAGTCTTTTAGACACATGCACTGGGCAATACGTAGGCCGGCCGTGGATGTGACTTGCATCCCAGTACTGTATCTTTCCACCCTTCGGAGTTATAGCCGTGATCTTCACACTACTCTGGTTCCTCTAGGGGAACTCAAAGATCCTCGTACAACACTCATGTGTGTAATCATCCTTGAGTGTGACCACATGGGAGGGAGAGGGACGAGTGTATTTCAAATCTGGAATTAGGTACTCATGCGTGTTTCAAAAGCCTACGTCCAGACGATACATGGTACGGAAGCCCAGGGAGACTTCGACTGCGGCGTCTGACATTGTCCGGGGCCAGCAGACATGTGTCGCCATGCTGAGGTTGCATTGACACTGGCATTATATCGAAGATATCGTATGCAATCTTTACATGAGAACTCTAAAATATCTCGGGGGTGGATTGCACGTGGTTTGCTTGGTCGGAGCCATGGCAGGTTGATGGTTTCTGATCAATGATGCGCATCGTCATTAGCAGGCTTCGTGGAAGAGCAGGTCAAGATGAAGAGATGAGATAGCTTAGGACATAAATAACCCAGACTCTCTTGTCCTACTTGGGTGGAGTCTAAAAGCGAGAGTAGGACAAAAGATGGATAAAAGGAACCATGGGAGTCTCCCAGCATGAAGTCTCCCCGTCAAATTGCATCCCCGACTACATCATGGGGAACGTTTGGAGTTACTCGGGTAACGAGCTTACAGTCCTCTTCGAACATCGTGATGAGTGATCGTCATCATCACAGGCTAGCGTTTCTGCGCATTGAGATGGCGCAGGTATATAAATAAATGCCCAAGACTTTCTTCCTCACACTACCAAGTTCTTCATTAGAGACTAAAAATATGGATCTCTGTAAACTCATGAGCCTAAAACCCACATCAAGAGAACTTGGGGCAACACACAGGTATCGTTAAAAACGACCGCAAGCCGACGCTATGTGGCAGAAAACCGTGATGGCGATCTTAAGGCAGCTAGCAAAAGAAGACATGTTTGGTGCTCATCATCTCCATACATCGAGCAATGCGTGCGATATGAGACGGCGCAGATGTTTGAAACCGCCCCCGAGCGCCAGCTTGTCTTCACAATTCCGCGCGGCCTAAGCCGTGGTCTAAGATCCAATCCCCAACTCCTTCCAGATTCAAAGACCTGGACCATGTCTCGCGCCGGCCCTTCGGTTTCTCTTATCCCAAACAACACGCTGCAGTGGCGAACACCACACCGCCGATAGCAGCCTAGTACTAAATATAGCAGGACAATTCTCGCGTCTCAGCGTCGAATCGACTTCGTATCTCCTTTGAACACTCGCCAAAAACGAACAGAAGACCCCCCCCCCCCCAAATTGGGATCTGTTACATTGTTCAGGCGACTTACTGCATTGTGTTTTACGAGGCTTCAAGAACGAACCCAGGCCTATAAGTACCTCCGCACTTTCAAGCGTTCAAAGCTGTAATCTCACTGGACAACAAACACATCCGCTCAAGAGCATTTGCCATCGCTACAATTCCTCGCATATACACAGCATTGCCATCTTGTTCCCATAATCACAATGATACCCGGCACCCAAGGCATCCGCGCCGCGCACCCGAAAACTTTCTTCTTTGCCCCCTTCCCCGACACACAGTTCGACCCGCATGCAGCCGCAGCACGCCCACAACACACGTATTACTGCGGTATCCGCCTGCGCGACAGACCGAGGGCAGACAGTAAGTACGACGTCCGCGCGATCTATCCTGCATCCCATCCCCTTTGTAAGCCTCCCACCGAGAACAAAGCGCTAGCCAAAGTGGCTGAGCTGAGTATCGATGACTACTTCCTGAAGGCTCAGGTACCGGAGGACGATGGATTTTTGAAGCCGCTCTGGGAGAAGGCAAATAAGAAGAAGAGTGGGTGGGAGGCTAGGGGGTCAGATGAGGAGACTTCCCCGTCCCCCTCTATATTTAACTTCCAAGCCATCTCCATACTCCTCTTCCTCGTACTAACCCTCTTCGGAATGTTCGGGTCCTCTTCAAGCTCGCTGCCCTGCCCCCTTCCGCTCACCGGAACGCTCAACTACGCCCTGCTGTGCGCGGCGTACACGCTCTTCCCGCCGACGCTGTGGGTGCGCGATGGCGTGCTGCAGGTCTCGCTGCGTGCGGGATGGTATGGAAGGTAGAAGACGTTCTGGTGTTGCGTCGTGGTGGGTGTGATGGTGTTTGACTGGGTGCGAAGTACAGGTAGAAGGGGAGAGAGCGGTGTGGTAGTCTCTCGGGGCGAGACAGCGAAGGTGGGTGGAGGGAAGGTGCAGGTGAGTGTTTTGTAGGCGGTATAGGTTTCGTAGCATCAGCGCAGTTTGCAGCGTTCTATTGGCATAGTAGCATCTTAATGAAATCTTTCCTCTTGATTTGGAGAACAATCATCTCCGCGTGAAGACTGCAGTCGTGCGCCCTCTAATCAGTAGCTACTTGTCGAGCGAGAATAATCTAGAACTTACTTTTCCAGCCCGAAGCGCGACAGCTGTGACTTACGTACTAATACCATATTCGTTATCAAATGAGAAAAACACGTCAAAGACGTGATTCGAACCGCCTCATCGTCTGGTGTCTTCAAGTAAAAGGGAAACAGGGTAAAAACTAAAAGCCACTTCGAAGCCCGGCTCAAAGAAATCAGAAATTTAATTTTTTGTTTGATTTCGTGAAAATATTCAGGACAGAATTATACATATAGAGAGGTGAAGTGTTAACGTCGAGGGAGAACGATTGAGCGGGCGGCTGGGTGGAGTGTAGTGAACGACGCCGTACGTACTTGACAGATGTTTTTCTTGAGTATGGGTTTCAGGTGGCCATCTCCCGGCATCAGCGTAATATATGGTATCGTATTGGACTACTTCTTATAACATGCATTTGACCTATTCGTACAGGTATCCATCCTTGTGGAAACCTCGCTCGCGCCCGCTTAGCCTCTCAATATCGCACAATCAGTCTTCCCAAACCTCTCCGCAACCCTACACCCCACCATTTGGGTACCCTCCTTGGTCCACAGGATTCGCCGGTCCACCCGTCTGACCCAGCGCGCCACCCATGCTCGCACCCGCCTGCCTCTGTGACTTCATCTGGTCCCTCGCCTCCTGCTGCTCCGCCTTCTTCCTGTCCAGGTCGCTCGCGAAGTCCTGTTCCTTGCCTGCGCCGCCCGCGCCGAAAGTGTTGTTGTTGGCAACGGCGGCAGCGATGTCGCCTTCGCCTGGTGCCGCCATCTGCGCGCCATCGAGCTCGTTGTGCCGGCCTACATCTTCTTCGGTGAGACCCTTGGCTTCCTCGCCTGGGGGTGCGCCCTGCGGGGAGGGTCAGTCATAGTCCGCAAGTACGGTGTGCAAATTCAGATCGAGAGGATATGTTGTTGTTCTGCGAGTGCTCGACGCCCGATACCTGTCCCTTGTTCACTTACATGTATGCCTCCACCGGGCGCCTTCGCCTGGCCTTCAGTTCCCGACGCGACTTGCTCGTTAGGTACGCGCCTGTCTACGGGCTCCGAATTGTCGAGGGCAATGGAGCGAGCATTGGAGTCTGTCTGGATTTGCTCGGCGGGCTCTTTGGTTGCGGCGTTGCCGGGGGTCGTGTAGGCCTGGTTGAGGCTGGGCTGGGACGGGCCTGTGGGTTCGAGCGCGGACATGTTGGATTATAGATGATTACAGTATTGATTTGGGGTTCGGGTGTAGGAAGTGGTGTTGCTTGAAGACTGCAGGGAGAATGGGATTGTTGTTGCGGATTAGTTTTGTGCATGGGAATTTGGAGAATGATGACGTAGGCGGGGTTTGAGGAGCTATCAGTGACGCCCCGCCGAGCTACAAACGTGCACGTAGGCCGCGGCGTCTATCTTTTACTGTTGCATTCGGGTAATGTGGGTAGCGAGTGGGGGTGGTTTCGATTTTACTCCTGTCCAGTTTACGTAAGGCTGTCGATGACACGTTGTTTAGTGACAGGACCAACCTGAAGATTGCATGCGTGCACTCAAGCTTGAATCGCTTGGACATTTTTCAATTTGGAATTCACTGTATGCCCAAGAGTACAGCAAATGTGACTTTGGGATAGCAGTTTCTTTGACTGTACTCGAACGGTCGATTGCTGCCAGTCCAGGAGTCGTCTTTCACGAACGCTGCTTCGACTGACTGCGTAAGATAAGGACGACAAGACGTGACCTAACGCGTCTCGCCGTGGTACCACTCAAGTGACGCCCGAATTAAGGATGCTCCGCAATGCCAAGTAGATGGCACCTACTACTGCAGCGACGTTTTTTTCGGATGAACACGATCCAAATCCAAGTTCAAATTCAAATCCGCCCAAGCCAACTAGAACTCCATATGCGCCATCCCATGACCTCGTAACGCCTTCGCTATGCTGGCAGGATTCGAGCGCAAGGCGCTATAGCTCCATGGCGATGTCCTGCGAGTTTTCCCGAGAATCGATCGCATCGGATAAGTCTTCCATTTCGACGTTTTCACGCGGTGTGACGGTGGCTTTGGCTGCCCTCTCCCGGACTTTGTGACACCATTCTTCTATGGATTCTTCTGCGCCTCCCTCGATCTTAATGGGGCGGAGCTCAGCTGGTTTGCCGATAAGGGTGCCTTGGTATCGTGAGTCGACGCCAGTCTTGCTGTGCTTCTTCATGAGCGCTGGAGGGAACATTAGCCTTGCGTCTTCAACATGCCATTGTCCAACATACTGGTGAGGTAGTCCTCCATCTCCTGTGTGTCTCGTTCCTCTTGCGCGGTAAGCGCTGTGGTGGGCGCATCCTTTTGCTTCAGTGTGCCCGCTATCCTCATGATGTCCTCGTTCTGCTTCCCTTGCACCCAGTCAATGAAGGCCGTGACATCAGCCGTGTCCTGGCGATCACGCCTCCTCTCCTCCTCTGCGCGCGCGCCGGCATCTTCATATTCCTCGAGGGGCTTGCGCAGAATCTCTTTCCAGACCTCTTCCGCCGTGGTCAGCGTCGGGACGAGGAGGCCGCAGTCCTGCATGGCCATGCGCACGTCGGTGACATCGGGTTCCAGGTCATTGTGGTTTGAATACGCGTTGTAGGCGGTTCGAGATGCGAGGAGGGTGAGGTAGCGCGCGGTGAGATCGACGACCGTGTCGACGACGGAGGGCTTTGCGCCGTTGAAGCCAGCGGCGCGCAATATGTCGAGCACCGCCGGCCGCAGGAGGGCGAGGTAGACGTCGTTGGTGGACATGGCGGCGCGCGTGGAGGCTGCCGGGCAGTGTGCAGAGGTCCAGTGTGTCGTCACGGGTTACCGGGGCAGCAGGCGGCGCATCGTGTGCGGCCGTCTTCGGTTTGCGCAGGTGTGCAGGTCGCGTCGGCGGCAGGAGCTCTGGTCCTTCACTTTTGGTGGCGCCTGCCAAGACCGTCTCCTCCGCATCTGCAGGGCTCCCGCCGCAAGACAGCCAACGCTCCTTCACTCAGAGCACGCCTCGCCCCGCCCCTTCTTCAGCAGCCAGCCACGCAGATGCGGTGCGCCCCCGCTGCCAGACCGCCGCCGTTGCCGCCTTCCCACCCACCGAGGACGCGCCCGTCATGAAGCTCAAGCTCAAGACCAGCTCCCAGGCCGCCGATGGCGCGCCTGCCGATGCGCCTTTGCCCGCACCCGGCGCTGGACCCAAGCTCGCTCTGAAATTCAAGCCCGTGGCCGCCCCCGCTGGCGACTCTGCCGACGGCCCTGGCGACGCGCCCAAACAGAAGCGCAAGTACACAAAGAAGCCCAAGTTGGACGAGAATGGTCAGCCATTGCCCGCGTCAAGGCCAGGCCCCAAGCCCAAGAAGCGCGCGCTCGAGGACGGGGAGGAGCGCGACCCCTCGAAGCGCAAAGTCAAGCCTACCATGAAGAGCCTGTCATCTGCCTACGTGGACGAGAGCGACGAAGACGACGAGGTTGCGCCAGCCCGCGCCCCCGTGGCGCTAACGCAAGCTGCGCGGGCAAACTCCATCAAGATCTCGTTGAAAAAGAACACCACCGGCGCAGGGCGCCCGCCGGCGGCAATCCTCAAAGTCAAAGGTCACGGGAGGCCACCCATGCGACCGCCGGGTGTGGGATATGACAGCGAAGCAGAAGAGGCCGAACGGGACCCCGCCATCGAGAACCAGTTCGTGTTACGGATGGTGCCTGGTCCAGACAATGACCTGCTGCGGAAAGCCATCGAGGAGAAGACCATTGGCAAGAGCATCAGCAATGGGGGACCGGGCGTGCAATTCCGCTTCTTCGACCGCGAAGGTCGCAAGGCCATGGTCACAATCCAAGGTCGTCACTATGCTGCTACTATGGTGGAGCTGCCCTGCGTCATCGAGTCGCTCAAGAGTTGGAACAAAAAGGACTGGGTAAAATCCGCAGACGTGTGCCAGATGCTACTCGTTCTTGGCCGCGTGCAGAGCGAAGAAGAGGCTAAGAAATACACACGTCCCCGGGAGATTGAGCCAGACTCGCACCGATATCCCCATGGTCTCACCCCGCCCATGCGGTGGGTGCGTAAGCGCCGCTTCCGGCCCCGCAAGTCGTATCTCGACGTGGAGCGCATCGAAACCTCCGTCGAAGAATTGCTCGCTCTCGACGAAGGCGCCGAAGATGTTCAATTTGGACAGATTGACAGCGATGACGAATCTTCTGAAGCAGAATCCGACAATGAAGACGCTCAGGGCGAAGATGAGGACATGCCCGACGCCGACTATGCAGAAACGCCGATGGAGCTAGCTGATGAGGCTGAACTCATGGCAATGTTCCACGATGAACTCGAAGGCGATCAAATTGAGGTCGAAGCCAATGGTGACGTGAATGTAGATGATCTCTTCAACGGAAACAACGAGATCGAAGTAGAAACTCCCGTAACGGCTGGCGCCCGCGAGGTCGCGATGCATGCGCTTTCCCAGAATGGCAACATCGTCATAGAGCCCGGTAGTGCAGCATCCACCCCAGCAGCTGCCACATCGCCTGACGATGACGACGAGGATGACGACGACGACGATGATGACGATGACGACGAGGACGACCCCGAGGCCGCAGAAAGGCAACGTGAGCGAGAAGAAATTCTGGAACAAATTCGCCTCCTCGACACTGCGATTCAGCAAAATATCACGCAGAGGGATGCGACGAACAACATGCTGTTCAAGAAGAGAGTGATCAGCCGGCTCGACGGACTCATCGGTGACAGGAGAGTCAAGCTTGGCCGACTCGGGATCAGTGAAGAGGAATGGACAGGTGAGTAGCCCTTCGCAGCCACCAGCCCCTGGGGCTTGTAGGATGGAGCTGCTCTGTTGGAAGTAGCAAACAATTGCGAGCGCCCAAAATTGGCACTGGGAGTGGTACGAGCCAGCGTGGTGTTTTGGTGTTAAATGCAGCATTTTATGGCGTTGATTGGGGGAATACGTCCCAGCGGGTGATATTTCGTCCCACACCTCACATGCACTGTATAACAGGCTTGCGCAGTATCCATAACATAAAATCTAATCAACTGTTCTTACGTTGATAATTCCGATCGTTCTTTCCTGCTGTGGCCACACTGGCGCAACAATTGGTCACTTTCCAGATGTGCATGCCAACGTATTTACGACCTCTGGTCTGACACTGTTCATACGCAAGAGCGCGAGAACGAGGAAGACCCTTAGAGCGCACAAAATGCTGCTTACGCTTCTGGAAGGTCACTTCCCGAGCCACCTGACCGTCCTAATGCTCAAAAGCCATTGTGTAATCCTAATCGGAGGAGCAATCGGCATCACTGACATTCTTCCTTTATAAAGCACCATAAAAAATGAGAAAGGGATTATTCTGAGGGCGAGGCTGGATGTAGTGGCTTTGATAAGGTGGGAGGTGAATAGGGGGCTACACGAAGATTGTGGTTGTTGCGTGCAGGCCGGTTGACATGTGTGATCGGATGGAGGATGTTATTGCGTAAATTGGGAGGGAAAAGGCGGGAGATGTGAGACTGAGGTAGAGTTCAGTGTGCTTTCGTGGTGAGCTGGAATATGATTGGGCCTGCAGGAGCTCTGGCTCGCACAATGGTGAGAGTAGGAAAGGTTGAAACGTAGCCTGGGAGGCATGTAATAAAAACATATGGAGAGAGAAAGAATCAGCTGACCTAGGCCGGTATTTCGGCATTCGACCACCATGTCCTGCCAACAGCGGCTAGCTCTTTCTCCATCCATCCCTTCAAGCCCTGATACAACACCTCATAATCGCCTTTGCTATACGCTTCCGTAGTAACCCACCAGTTCGCATCCACGTCGTAGCCGCCCAGTTCTTCTGTCCACTTCGTTTTCATGCCAAATGGATATAAGTAGAAGCAGCCGACGTATTCGCCCTGGGTGTTCCTGATGGCATACGCAAAGGAACTGTTGTCTCGTGCTTCTTGTGCATGCCATTTCAAATCGTGTAGGTTCTCGTCTAACGTCAGTTCGGTGGCTGGCCAGGAGCCACCCCGAGTACGCCGGATGAGGTCCCGGCTGGAGTTGACTGCGACTAGGTCTTCTTGCACGTCTTCCTCGTTTAGTATAGTGGCCGTCAGATGTTTGTACTGTAACCGGGCAGGGGCTTGCCAGCCCGATGGTACGGATAGTTTTCTGTTTTCCATAATGCGGATGCTGCGTGAGGAGGAACTTCAGCTGGAAATCCTCGTCAAAATAGCTTTCCCCCAGTACTGTGTAGCCACATTCATCACGTATGGGTGGAGCTCATGCTTGAATGTAACTTACTGTGGGCTTTTGGCAGTCGATGATACGTGATTCTTGGAATCTAACGGGTCCGTCTTTAGCCGTTGGCCGGTTCGTAAGTACGGGTAGTTGAATTGGTGATTCCAAGAGCGCCAAGAGGGATGCGATGAGGCAGCCATGTCATGTGATGACGCGGTGGCCCGTGCCTTGGAGCTCGGAGCAGATTTACAAAACTATCGCCGCTCCCACTTGCGCGATCCTCCCCATCTGCCTGCAACCAGCCTCACTATAATATCTGCGACGATTGCGCACTGAGGCAGCGCTTACTATTGACGCGCACGATTGGCGACCCCCCCACGCTCACTCAAATCGCTGTTACGACTAACGTCGAAGTTGATACAGCGCGCGCATCCTGTGGTCAAGACCTAACTGGACGACTTCTCTTGGGTCGAGTCGATTTCGCAGCGGAGCGTTTAATTACGTCCTCCTCTAGTGGTAGAACGACTTGCGCATTCTATATTACATTAGTCCAAATACAACGTACTACCATCCACCATGGCGGACCGCAAGGGCAACAAAGATGGTAAGCGCGCACAATCAAGGACTCGTGCAGTTCAAGCTCAGAATCAAGCTCACGCGTCTTCAGCTTCGCAGCAGAACAACCTCGCGCAATTCAAGTATGCGGCAATGTCCAACTTGGTCCTGCAAGCGGACCGCAGATTCACTAGCCGCCGTGGAGACGAAGCCACCGGAGACCCAGAGTCGCTCGCAGGACGCATAAATATCAAGGACATGGGAGGACGGACGGCACGCGACAATGCGCCGACACAGAAGAAGAAACCAAAAAGCAACTTCGAGGTCGAGCGCGGCGGCATAACTGAAGGTGGCGATGTCTTGGAGCGCGAGCAGCGCAAGCGCAAGAGAGATGGCTCCGGTGGTTTTGGTGCAGGCAATGTTGCTGAGCAGAGTCTTGATATCGAAGACCTTCGATACAAGCCAAGAACGCAGGCAACGCGCTCAACGTTCGAGCTGATCACAACCATTGTGAGCAAACACCTCGGAGATGTTCCCACGCATTTCACTAGAAGTGCCGCCGATGCGGTCCTGGAGTTCCTGAAAGATGAGAACCTCAAGGACTTCGACAAGAAGAAAGAGGTGGATGATTTGCTTGGGTCCTCTATGGGCGCAAAAGAATTCAACGAATTGGTCAACCTTGGCAAGAAGATCACGGACTATGACGCGCAGGATGAAGACGAGGAGATGGGCGATGATGGTGCGGGCGACGGTCCAGATAACGACGAGACGCAGGGCGTTGCAGTCGTTTTCGACGAAGACGAGGAAGACGAAGACGCCCCGCAAACCTTCGAAGTACGTGACCAAGACACCAGCGACGAGGAAGATGAAGAAGAACAGCCGGTGGAAGAGATAGGCGGCGAGGGAGCAGAAACTGACGGTGTCATTGCTGGCGAGGAAGAGATGATCATCCAGGCGGATGCGGTTGCAACCGACAGCAAGGCAGACGGAGAGCGGATAATACCAGCTCATGAGATCGATGCCTATTGGTTACAGCGCCAGATCGGTCAGGTCTACGAAGATGCGCATACCCAGCAGGAGAAGACCCAGGATGCACTCAACATTCTCTCCGGAATATCGGAAGACGGCGAGGAGAAGCCCCTGCGTGAGATCGAAAACGACCTCATGGAGCTGTTTGATTACGAACACCACGAGCTGGTCGCGAAGCTTGTTCTCAACCGGGACCGGGTCGTGTGGGTTACTCGATGGCGCCGCGCCGCCGAAGACAACGACGAGCGAGCTGATGTCGAGAGGGAAATGAAGGCTGCAGGTCAGCAACAGATCCTCTTGGAGTTGCGCGCTCGCGAGACTGGTCAGAAAGGCGACGCATCGGGGCCAAAGAAGATGAAGTTTGATCTGAAGGACATTAATCTTCCGGATGCATCGAATGATGTCGACATGGCGGACGCTGCCAGGCCAGAAGGTGTCGTGGGCGGGTTGCAACCATCGAGCCGACTGGTCAATCTGGACAACATCGTTTTCGACCAAGGAAATCATCTAATGACGAATCCGAGCGTGAAACTGCCCCAAGGGTCGACACGCCGTCAATTCAAGGGCTACGAGGAAATCCACGTACCGGCACCAAAGGCAAAACGCGATCCGAACGAGCCAGCGCTCAAACCAACATCTGAACTACCAGATTGGGCTCGTGTCGGATTCGGAAACTCAAAATCGCTGAACCGTATCCAGACCAAGTGCTACCCTACTGCATTCGAGGACGACGGCAACATGCTCATCTGTGCCCCCACTGGATCTGGTAAAACTAATGTGGCCATGTTGACAATGCTGCGCGAAATTGGCAAGCACCGTGACCCGCGCACAGGGGAGATTATGCTCGACGATTTCAAGATCATCTACATTGCACCGCTCAAGGCTCTTGTACAAGAACAAGTGGGCAATTTCGGCAAGCGTTTAGAACCCTACGGCATTCGCGTCTCAGAATTGACGGGTGACCGCCAACTCACGAAACAGCAGATTGCTGAAACTCAAGTCATCGTCACTACTCCTGAGAAGTACGATGTCATCACCCGTAAAGCCACAGACACGAGCTACATCAATCTAGTGCGACTGATCTGTATCGACGAAATTCATCTTCTCCACGATGATCGCGGTCCGGTCATTGAGAGCATCGTCAGCAGGACCATACGGCGAACTGAGCAGACCGGTGATCCTGTGCGCATCGTTGGTCTGAGTGCTACACTGCCGAATTACAAGGATGTAGCCAGCTTCCTCCGCGTAGACCCCGATAAGGGTCTCTTCCACTTCGACGCTACGTTCCGACCCTGCCCCTTGAAGCAAGAGTTCATCGGTGTCACGGACAAGAAGGCAATCAAGCAGCTGAAGGCCATGAACGACGTTTGTTACACGAAGACCCTGGAACAGGTTGGCGAGCATCGTAACCAGATGCTCATCTTCGTACATTCTCGGAAAGAGACCGCGAAGACAGCCAAATATATTCGTGACAAGGCTCTTGAGCTGGAAACGATTGGACAGATCTTGCGATCTGACAATGCAACGAGGGAAATCTTGCGAACAGAATCCGAGTCAGTAACAAACGCTGATCTGAAGGATATCTTGCCCTACGGATTTGGTATCCACCACGCTGGTATGACCCGAGAAGACAGGACGACGGTTGAAGATCTCTTCTCCGACGGTGCGATTCAGGTTCTTGTCTGTACGGCTACACTTGCTTGGGGTGTCAACCTCCCGGCTCACACCGTCATCATCAAGGGCACGCAGATCTACTCCCCGGAGAAAGGTAGCTGGGTAGAACTTAGTCCCCAGGACGTCTTGCAGATGCTTGGTCGTGCCGGTCGCCCCCAGTTCGATACGTATGGTGAGGGTATCATCATCACAACGCAGACCGAGATCCAGTACTACCTTTCGCTTCTCAACCAGCAATTGCCGATCGAGTCGCAGTTGATCAGCAAGCTTGCTGATAACCTTAACGCAGAGATCGTATTGGGTAATGTCCGGACTCGAGACGAGGGAGTCGACTGGCTCGGTTACAGTTATCTTTTCGTCCGAATGCTCCGGTCTCCAGGACTTTACCGGGTTGGCCCAGAATACGAACACGATACGGTACTAGAGCAGCGCAGAGTGGACCTTATACACGCAGCTGCCCACCTCCTGGAGAAGGGTAATCTCATCAAGTATGACAGAAAGTTAGGCACACTTCAGCCTACCGAATTGGGCAGAATCGCTTCTCATTACTACATCAGTCACAATTCCATGGCAACCTACAACATGCACATTCAGCCTGGAATCACCGCCATCGAGTTGTTCCGCATCTTTGCCCTCAGCGAGGAGTTCAAGTACATTCCGGTGCGACAGGATGAAAAGCTTGAACTCGCAAAGCTTCTCGGCAGGGTCCCTATCCCTGTCAAAGAAGGCGTGGAAGAGCCCCAAGCAAAAATCAACGTTCTTCTACAAGCGTACATATCTCGTCTCAAACTGGAAGGCCTGGCACTCATGGCTGATCTGGTGTACGTCACCCAATCTGCTGGGCGTATATTGCGTGCCATATTCGAGATCTGCCTGAAGAAGGGCTGGTCACAGGTGGCCAAGCTTGCCCTCGACCTGTGCAAGATGGCCGAGAAGCGGATGTGGCCTACGATGACGCCTCTGCGACAGTTTCCGGTCTGCCCTAGAGAAGTTATCGGAAAGGCGGAGCGAATCGATGTCCCGTGGTCAAATTACTTTGGTCTCGATCCTCCGAGCATGGGCGAGCTTCTTGGAATGCCCAAGGCAGGTAAGATCGTCTGCAGTTTGGTCAACAAGTTCCCTCGGCTTGAACTGGAAGCGACACCACGACCAGTCACACGATCGATGCTGCGCCTAGAGCTTACCCTGCGCCCGACTTTTGAGTGGGACGAGCAACTTCATGGCGCATCAGAAGCATTCTGGATTCTGGTGGAAGACTGCGATGGTGAACAAATCCTGTTCCACGACACCTTCATCCTGCGGAAAGATTATGCTGAAGGTGAGGTCAATGAGCATCTCGTCGAATTGACCGTGCCCATCGACGACCCGATGCCGCCGAACTATTTCGTCACGGTGTTGTCAGACCGCTGGATGGGTTCCGAAACCAAGCTGGCTGTCTCCTTCCAGAAGCTCATACTTCCGGGCAAGTTCCCTCCCCACACTCCGGTTCTCGACTTGCAGCCTCTACCTGTCTCTGCACTCAAGAAGAAAGAATACATGGCGCTATACGAGGACGTCGGCCGCTTCAACAAAGTGCAGACCCAAGTATTCAATTCACTTTATACTACAGATGACAATGTTTTGGTCGGTGCTGCTGCAGGTATCGGAAAGACTTTGTGCGCTGAATTCGCGATTTTGCGGCATTGGTCCAGCGAGAGTGAGGGCCGCATTATTTACCTGGCGCCATTCCAAGAACTCGTTGACAACCAATACAAGAACTGGAACAACCGCTTGTCAGGCCTAGGTGGTGGAAAGGACGTCGTCAAGCTTACTGGCGAGACCACGGCTGATCTGCGATTGCTCGAAAAGGGCGACCTCATCCTTGCTACTCCGTCGCAGTGGGACTCGCTCTCACGTCAGTGGCAACGTCGCAAGAATGTTCAGTCTGTTGCTCTGCTTATCGCTGACGAATTGCACATGCTCGGAGGCTCAGGCGGCTATGTGTACGAGGTCGTAGTTTCTCGTATGCAGGCAATGGCAGCACAGCTCGAATCCGGTATGCGCATCGTCGGTTTAAGTGTCTCCTTGTCCAATGCACGAGACATTGGAGAGTGGATCGGTGCCAACAAGAACACCATCTACAACTTCAGCCCTGGTGTTCGAGCCGTTCCTCTGGAGTTGAAAATCCAGTCCTTTACCATTCCACACTTCCCGTCGCTTATGCTAGCAATGGCAAAACCGACCTACAAGGCTATCACGCAGCTCTCTCCAGACAAGCCTGCTATGGTATTTGTCCCCAGCCGAAAGCAGGCTCGCGCTACGGCAGTGGACCTGCTTGCCGCGTGCGTCGCAGATGACGACGAAGACCGGTTCCTGAACGCTTCAGTGGATGAGATCGAGCCTATCCTCGCAAAGGTCAACGAAAAAGCCCTGGCTGAGTCGTTAGCACACGGGATTGGTTACTACCATGAAGCGCTCAACCCGTTCGACAAGAAGGCCGTTCAGCACCTGTACAAGGTGGGCGCTATTCAGGTTCTTATCGTCTCGCGGAACTCTTGCTGGGAGATCGAGTGCACCGCTCACCTAGTCGTTGTCATGAACACACAGTTCTTTGAAGGCCGCGAACATCGATATGTGGACTACCCCATCAGCGAGCTGCTGCAGATGTTTGGTAAAGCTGGCAAGGTCGGCCAAGACAAGTCTGCCAAGGGTGTGTTGATGGTGCCTGCGGTGAAGCGGGATTATTACAAGAAGTTCTTGAACGAGGCGTTGCCGGTCGAAAGCTATCTGCACGACTACCTACACGATGCCTTCGTTGCCGAAATCAGCGCGAAGACCATTGAATCTACTCAGGAAGCCGTCGACTGGTCGACATACACATACTTTTATCGTCGACTCTTGTCGAACCCAAGCTACTACAGCCTGCACGACACCTCGCACGAGGGCCTGAGCGCGCATCTGTCTGAGCTAGTGGAGCAAACACTGAAGGAACTGGTTGAGGCCCAGCTCATCGAGCACGATGAGGAGGAAGACGCCATAACCCCTCTCAACCCGTGCATGATTGCTGCATACTACAACATATCGTTCATCACCATGCAGACGCTCATGATGTCGCTCAATGGCAAGACGAGTCTCAAGGGCGTCCTCGAGATCGTCACTGCGGCAACCGAGTTTGAGGATGTGCAGATTAGACGCCACGAGGAGCATATCCTCAGCCGAATCTACGACCGTGTGCCGTACAAGATGCAGGATGTCAACTTCGAGACACCGCACTTCAAGGCGTTTGTACTGTTACAAGCACACTTCTCGCGCATGCAGCTTCCTATTGATCTTGCCAAGGACCAGGAACTGGTCGTCAAGAAGGTCCTCAATATCCTGAGCGCCAGTGTAGACGTGCTTTCCTCGGAGGCCCATCTCAACGCCCTTAGCGCAATGGAACTATCCCAGATGGTCGTCCAAGCCATGTGGCAGAAAGACTCCCCACTCAAGCAGATCCCCCACTTCGACGCCGACACCATCAAAGCCGCGCAGAAATTCGACATCAACGACGTCGACGGCTTCATCGACGCCATGGACCCCGATGAAAACCCAGACTACAAGAAGCTCATCAAGGCGCTGGATCTCGACGGCCGCCAGCTCCAGGAGGCCGCCACCTTCACCAACGAGTACTACCCCAACCTGGAGCTCGAGCACGAACTCGTCGACCCGGAGGACATTGCGACCAACTCGCCCGCGCACATCAAGGTGCGCATCACGCGCAGTAATCTCGAGGACGACGAGCAGCCCAAGACGGACGTGCACGCGCCGTTCTACCCCGCAGAGAAGACGGAGAGCTACTGGCTTGTGGTGGGTGATCAGCGGGAGCACACGCTGCTTGCGATTAAGAAGGTGACGATTGGGCGGAAGATAGAGACGATGCTGGAATTCACGCTTGAGAAGCCTGGCGAGCATGAATTGACGCTGTTTTTGGTCAGTGATAGTTATCTGGGTGTGGATCAGGCGCCTACGATTACGCTTACGGCGGCGGAGGGTATGGAGGAGGATGAGGATGAGGAAGAGGACGAGGAGTAAGTAAGATAAGAAGTGGTGTGTCGTATTTTGAGAGCATTTGTTTTTGCACGGTTACGGTATAGTTCGCGGCGAAAATGGGGCTGGGAATTTGCATTGTATGTAACATTTAGGTGATGGACAACGATCTGTTCATTTCACAATCTGAATCGTCAATTTTCGATAACTATGGGACATCAGTGGTTCCTGCCGTGTCTGCAGAGCGCTTTCAGCGACTAACTAGCTGGCTAGCTACCAACCTCTCCCTTAATTTTTCTCCAGTGATAGACGCAGGTAGCAGCTGCGAATGACTTACCCACACACTGCTCCTCAAGTCACGCCAGCTCGCTGCCTAGCCCGTGCAAAGCAGCCTTTCGCACCAGCCCAGGCACCAGCCCACACGTGACCGCCAAGCGCGCTACCACTAGCGCTGCACGTCCCCCTCCGTCGCCTATATAAACCCGCCGCCCCTCTGCCTCCTGCTCCCTTCTTCATACTTACCTTCTTGGGGTTCCCTCAGCTCACGCATTGAGGAACCAGTCGTTCTCGCCTGCATTGCACAGCGCGGAGCTGGGAGCGACTTCAGTCTCCTTCGGGGGCCTGACTGGGGCAATTTTTGCTGGACGCACGCGCAAGCGCGCTTTTTCATTGACTGCGGAGCCGTTGGCAATGCGTCGAGGAAGAAGACGAAGGGCACGTTAGTGGCGCGTTCATGGTCCTGAACATGGTTGTTGCGCTCACGGGTCCTGCTCGAGGGTTGTCGTGCGCTCTTGTCCGGTCCGTAGGACCTTGCTGGTGGGCTGTTGGTCGCTCTCTAAATCTGTGTTTGTTGATGTTCCAGTGCACTCGACAGATCCCTTCGTTACCGCTCTCGCCTCTGCATGCTGTTCACGTCCCTGCGTTCTTACTCGACATCTGTACTTCCGTTGTCGCGCCTTCCGCAAGAAGGTCTACTTCGATCATGTTTCCCTACTCAATGCATCGTCACTTCCTGCCACGCCTGCGTCGACCGATCCCACGGACTTATTGTACCGTCACACCATTCATCGCACACCTCCCTCAGTCGCCTTGACTTCAAGCTGTCGCACCCCATCTCCATCTGCGACGTCCGCATAGACACATTCCACCTCCGTTCCCCAGTCCCGAATCTCCACCCGCTTGCTCTCACTCCATCGCGGAGGCAATGACCCGGTGCCGACAATCCCGTTCTCGACGAATCGGTCCGCCCTATCCAACCAGGCCGAGTCAGCCCGCTGCTTGCGCTCGCCGTCTCACTGACACGCCGCATTGTCGCTTGTAACGCCGTGGTCGACCACGCGGAGGTGCTTCAGCTCGAGGAGCTTATGATGCACGGCGTAGAAGCCACGATGCACGTATGTCTTCGCCCAACCGGCGGCGTTGAGGACGTCTATAGTCGTACATCCCCGGCGGCGCGAGGTGATTGAGCAATCGTTCGCAAGATGCACTTTCAGCCGCATAATGCCAGCCAGCATGTGCTGCGAGAGCGAAGCCACGCATGAGACCGCATCGAGTCTCTTTGTCATGAATTGCTGTGCCAAGGGGGAGGGGGAGGTGCTTCGTTTCGGCATAGATCTGCGAGCAAGTCTCAAGGAGGGCGAGCGCGGTGTTCGGGGTTGTCGGGGACTCATCATTGGTGCAAGTCGTGGTGGTAACGGTGTAGGGCCGGGCGAAGACGTAGGTTTATATTTTGTTGGGAAGCTCGCCTGGGAGCTGCAAGAGGGGAGACATCGAGGTGCTGCGTGTGGTACTGTGAAATGTCACCCTGCTGATCTCTTCTGCGTAGAAGGTATGCATGAACGCTACAGTCCTAGAAGTTACTCACACTGCGTGTCAGTCTGGAGACATTTGCGTGTGTAGTATCACCTCGAACTGCGTATGATGTGCTGCAAAGTCTGCACAGGGTCTTTCATGTATCCCAGGACTGGCCCCGGATCTCTGGGTGAAAACCTCGACCCCTCCTGCCTTCAGCGAAGGGCAGTGGTTGATGCTACGCGCGGGGTGGGTCTTTGCAAACTGGGAGTGCGCTTGAGGCTCTTTGAATCCTTCCGCCAGGGCAGCGACTGCACGGGTCACTTTCACCTACGAGCATCCACACAGTCGATGTGCGAGTCATTGTGTCTTTACCGGGTTGCAAGGGATGCTCTTGCTCCGCACGGCGTAAAGTTTCGTCCTGATTGCACCATGACAACATGGCACTTGCCCTTTCTCAGGCCGAGCAGTGCATTCCCCGCATCTCTGTGAGTTGCGCCCCGCTGCATCTAGCAACTCATGCGCCCTGTCTTGGCTGTCCGGAGCACATACACACCTCAAAGCCCAAGGTGAAATCAAACACAGAGATATAAAGGGTATCAACGATCTACATCTATCACATTAACTTCCGCTCCCCGCTCACCTGGCCCAGCCCAGTCGCTCCCAGTCGCTCCCTACCCCAGCCTCGTCCACGTCCCCTTGGTCTGATGAATCACCAGACTCGTCTCATCATCGCTATCACCCTCCTTTCGCATATAATCGCTCTTTACGCTCCCGCCCTCTGTCAGGTCATCCACACTCTTACTGTGCACCACGCTCGTCTCTCCCGGTTGCAGGCCCTTTGCATGCACAATTTCCCCAACATTCTCTTCGCTCCCATCAATCGGGTCACTCTGGATGTGTATGTCCTTGGTGACCTTGATCTGGTCGCCTGTGGGCATGAAGCTGACGGTGCGGTCCTCGCGCTCGGAGGCGGACTTGATGCCGAAGTTGGAGAGCTCCATGAGCGAGGAGCGACGTGCGTGCGTGCCGGCGCGGGTGGCGCTGGACTTATGGCCCGAGGTGGAGAGGTTGCCCGAGTCGAATTCGGAGGCGATGCGGGCGCGGTTGTCGCGGCCGGCTTTGCGGGACGAGGACACGGCGATGCGCTTGATGAGGTTGGCCATGGTCATTTCGATGTTGAGCTTGACGAGATATGCGAGCGGGTGGAATTGGATGTAGCTGCGGGGTCTGGGTTAGTTGGGTGGATGGAGGGTGGACGGAAAAGCGTACATGAAGGAGTTTGGTATCGACATGGCGGCGATGATCATGACGTCCATGAGGAGAGAGAGCATGATGATCCTCTGGTTGAAGCGCAGGAGCTTGTTGTATTTTTGTAGACCGTTGTTGATAAGGTTGGCCTTCACTACCCGGAGGAAATACCAATTGAGCGCTGCGTCGATGCCGAGATATAAGACCTTTTCGATGCGATCCCAGATTTCGTTCACGAAAATATACCTGCTGGTTGTCAGAGGGGGCAGTGCAACAATACTGAGCACGAGCATACGTATGATTGATTTGCATGCGGGCTGGAATCCAAATGTTGAACACGCTGATGTTTATCCCCGTGACTACTGCTGCGGTGGCAATCATAATCATCTTCGAGCGACGTCGATCCGGTACGATTAGTCGAATTCTGTTGATGATGATCTGAAGGAGTAGCTGCACTTGGATACACCAGCAAGTTACTGCGTAGTGTTAGACTCGTGAAAACATCCTGCGAAGTGGCTGCATCGAGGCGTTTGCAACTCACAAATGGTGCAGAAAAAATAGAAACCTATGCAAGTTAGTGATGCATACAATGCTGTGGGCATGGGAACGTACTTGGTCTAAGACACTTCATAACGTACAAGAAACACATCAGGCCCATGATGAACGAAGCAGCCATCTCTAGCCATATCATCCATATGTACACGCTCCGCAGAGGCGATCGGGAGCTCTGGCACTGTTTGTACCCGAGCCATCCGGCTATGATCAGATTGGCGAGCGTCGCCAACCATACCACACATGTTATGGCAACGTCTGTATGGGTGATCGACTCGTTCTTGAAGCCCTTCCCCACGAAAGGGCCCCATGGGGCGGTGTTCACATCTGGTCTCCACTCCCTGTCCATGGCTATGATAAAAGATTTGAAGGAGTGACGACTACTTTCGGAAAAAGCAACGCAGAGGCACACGCTCAACGAAAAAGAGCTGGATAATCACACCTTTCTAGAATAAATCCATACCGACCGTGAGTCGAAAGGGGTTGCCAGTCTCTTGAGAGGGAAGGCAGAGCGCGACAGGAAGGCTAGTCCCAAGTGTCGGGCTCTGACATTCATGGAGCGTTCGCATTTAGACTTTGTTAGCGGGCTAGGGGAGATGCATGCGGATTCTAAAAGCCATAGAGCCGCGTTTCATGGATGGGCATCTGCGGTCGGCAGCACCGATCCCGCGAATGGTACCCCAGATCGACAGTGGCTTCGCACAGATACAAAACCCAGAAAAAAGTGGAATAGTTCGTCGAATCATGCGGTAACGTATCGGCGTAGATCCAGCTAGGCGACGTCGATCTTTGGTAGGGTGAGATTGCCGTGCTGGAAGGGGATGAACCCGGGTCTAGAAGTCGCCTCATCAAAAGCTAGAGAATCCTTTGGGCACTAAGTCTGAATCGCGAGGTATGGTGAACCCTTCCCGTTTCGCGTCAAGGCGTTTCTTTCGGCCGCAAGATGCTGCGAGCATAAAGCGACGAATCGGGTGCTTAGGAAGACCTACCGCGAGGCGTCGTTGGAGCGAGTCATGTGTATGCTAAGTGATAGCCACCGCTGAGGACTCTCTTGGAGGCTGCGGCCTTATAATTTTCGTGACATGTCGCTGTCTCTTCTGTGGAAAGTGAACCGTTTTCAAGACCGGGAGAATGGAGCTGGGCGTTCGTGGCTGTAGTAGAGCTCGTAGCCAAACTATGCGCAAGAGACATCACGCATTGGTACGCGTTGGCACTGAAACGAGAGGTAGAACGAAGTTCGGAAGTGCGGGCCTATCGCGGGGTTATTTAAGAAGACAATGCACTCGGCGTAATACTTCAGCTGCGGGGAACGAAGGTTCGTGATGAGGGTGAGGATGTTGTAGTTATGCAAATTTGTCGCTCGCGCCATGGCGGCTTCCCTTCCCCGAATGCACTGGGTCCCGCTTTCAAGAGCGCCCGCTTTCAAAAGCGGGAAGGTGTTTTAGACATCGGCGCAACCCTGTACCTGCGTCGTGCTAGGCTCCAGATCTCATCTCTTCCTGTACCAGAGTTGACATGTGGGTCACGCCGCGCAAGACAGTAGCAAGTGCTCAACGATTGTAGTTACATAGGCACTGAGGACATGCATTGAAACATCTCCACGCGAGCAGGGCTCAGTGGGGTGATATTTGAGCACGGAAACAACCCTCTACATGATCTTGGAAAACCACAGAGTTCGCAGTCAAGTCTTGGGGTTCCCTACTAAGGAACAGCATTCAGTTCACATGCTTGACTTTTTCCATAGCCAATTGAGAGCAGCAGCTCCTTCCCTGCTATCGTCCTCGTGCTAGTTCCAACCATCATCCGAGCTCCAGCATTCGCCATCTTTGCGAGACTCTCTCTTCTTCTCATGCACGCTAGTAGCCCTCGATTGCTGCTTCACCCAGTCTTTAGTCCTGTTCGTGCCAGCTGAGTCTGCAGGAGCAACCTCAGGCCCTTTCATTTTCTTCGCCAGCTTGGTCTGCAAGTCTAGTAATCCATCGATCAAGGCATCTTTCGGAACCTCCTTGAGCCGCTGCTTGACATTGCCGACTTCTACAGACGTAGTCGGGCGGGCTAGGGTGAGCTGATCAACAGGACTAGCGGTAAGACGCGCGGCGTCAGTGGGAACGATGTCCTTGCCAAGTATCTTACGGAGTGTGCCGTGGCCGCGATATTTGAAACGGAAGACGGCGTACTGTGTCTGTGTCAGTGATTTTGCCACCTCGTCAGAACTCAGAAGGATAAATTGAGTTACGAATACTTACAGGATTCTCGATGTTATCAAGATATTCTGGTCGGCCGATAGCATGACAATATTTTGAGCCCTCGCCTGCGCGCACCTGGTGCTCGACACATTTCTTCGTGACATCTTCTTTGATCATTTTCAGCAGCGACTCAGCATTCATGCTGTCATTCCTTGAACGAGTTCTAGGATTCTGATCTGGTGGGAGGAGCGGGAATTGCCGATGTCCTTTGGCGGCTACTTCTGTCGTAGGGGATCGCAGTTGACGATACTTTGATAGTCGTGGCTTCGATGGTCGACTCTTACCCCCATCAATGGTTATCCAGGTATTTCGCCCATTCACCATGCTTTCCGCTTTCTGAGGAGCGGACCAGCCATTGATTTCAGCCTGCCAACTGGTGTCACTAGCCTGGAGATCCTTAGGCTTTGACGGGATATCCCATGGTGATTGTTTCATTGCACCACCATGGTCGTTCGCAGTGGTCCACTCATCTTTGAGAATGGAAAGTTTCTCATGCATTTGGGATGAGTGCCTGGCTGGTGGTCTCGTTGTCTCCTGTGCAGTCCATCCGTTCCCAGTCGTGTCCATAACGGGCTTCCCCCATCCTTTCTCGTTGTGCACCGTTCTGTAGTCGTTTACAATGAGAGGAAAATCATTCATCAAGTTCTGAGGCTTTATCTTGTTCTCCAGGGCTGGGCACGCCTTGGGTGCGAGCTCTGAACTGTCCACTTTCCAAATTGACGCGGTCTTGCCGTTACCAACAGCATTACGTACACACTTTTCGAAAGTACTGAAACCTTCGCTAGGAAATGGCACTGGTGGCGCTAGGCTCGCTACAGGAGCTGTGACCACAGATCGTCTCTGTGGCTCTTCGTCTTTTTTCAAGGAGAGCAACGTCTTGGAAAGGGCATCAACAAGTGGAGCTTGACCCACAGCCGAGGCAACCACAGAAGGGCCGGCTACATGTGAGATGCTTTCCGAAGGATGCACTGACAGAGGCCAAGACCCGGTAGAAACTGAGCTTGCTTCGATGTGTGCCCAATCTTCACCGTCGATATCTGTCTCCCAAGCAGATGCTGAGGGGCGAGATCGTGCAGTGTGAAAGTCAGAGGATTGAGTCCATTGGCCAGTACGAGCTGTCTGGGCAGCGGTCGATGGGTCATGGGCGGCAGGAGCATCCCATCCCACAGGAGGCTGCTCGTGCGCCTGCTCAGACTTAAATATACTTTGTTGGTTGCCTCGTTGTTGTGAGCCCCACGTGTCTCCTCTGTCCCAGATGGATGGCCCTTTCTCTTCCTCTCCTCCAGAGTCCCACCCGTTCCCGTCATTCCAACCTCTTCTTGATGGCTCAGGGCGGCGTTGATCCCAGCTACTCTGCGCACTCTGCAGATCTGACTGGAGCCCCAGAGCCGCGGTCGACGGCAGAAATGCCAGGCCTTCAGGATCCTGGACTGCATTCACAAATGGAGAAGCCGGTGACCTATTAGGTTCTGGCCAGGAGCCAGGTATATGACTCGGACGCGCATCAGGAGCTCCGATTGAGACTGTAGGACTTTGTGACGAGATTTGGTAGTATCTGTCAGGGCTTCTTTTGGCAATACTCGCGAGTGCCTGATCTAGAGAATGCGGATCGAGTGGCATATGCGATGCGGAGGCACCATGGATACTTGGTGCCGGACCATGCATCGAAGCGGTCCTGCTTTGATGAGGTACAGGGCCGCTGCCATAACGAACGCTTCCGGCGAGACCTTCCAGACCTGGCACATAATCTGGCAGTTGGGGCTTAAATTGGGGGGCTGATGACGTGTGCCTTGGCCTTGCAACGTAGGACCGAGAACTCAATGGCGGGGGAGGACCACTGTGAAGGTGTGAAGAACTTATCGTGGGAGCGCCGTGCCTGCTTCCACTGTGTACGTATTCCCAAGCGCGATCATCGTACTGTGGCGTGTAGGAACTGGGTGCTCCGTCAAGACCGAAGTGATGGTCAGGCAAGTCGCCTGCGCCGTCTAGGTTCATGGGCTTTACATTGACGGTGGCTGATTTGGCGCTTCGCATGCCAGCGCACCGTAACACGACGACTTCGATGCATCCGAGATTATTGAGGAGCTTCGACGAGCAGGCTTCAGGAGCCTCATTCGCTGAAACTACATGGTGTAAGCAGAAGTCGTATAAGGTATGGTGCGCAACTTACCGACGTCGAGCTTTTCGAAGTTCCAATCCCGAGCTATCATCGTCCCGTCATCCTGGCGCTCTTCCTTTTGCCGCACTACGAAGTCCACTAGAGATTTCCGATCAGGTGATTTCCGCAGCTTGAGGTTCTGACGGTTGCGGTTGCATTGGTACACGCCGTCAATGAAGACATACATGGCTAGACCTGGGGCGATGAACCTGCTGGACGAGAGGCGGATGGCGAACGACTGCGGCTTCTCCGGGACAGCAACAAAAGTCTCCACGTGGCCGTCGCCATAGGTGGTGCCGAATTCACGAAGTTGAATCTTGCCATTGGAAAGCTCAATGAAGCAATGGAGGTCCTTGAGGGTCGGCATGCCCGCTGCTGCATGCGGTCGCGATAGCGTGAGGTCAATCGAGGAAGCGATGAGAGAGTCGGCTTGATGGAGAGTGCGTAAACGTGAACGACACCGCCGTAGGGACTTTTCAAATAAAGTGCTGCGGAGACAGGCCGGTCGCGGAGGGTTCACTCAGACAACATTTGAACCTTGGAGATTCCAGTCCACGCGACCTCTGGTGATATGTGCTGCATAAACCATGCAAACAGACCGCCAACAAGTGAGATTGGGCCGAATCAAGTCGCGAATGCGTTGAGCGCGTATCTAGTAATCGTCGCTGTCAGTCAAAACTCAATCTTGAAGTGGCTCCATTGAGAGCGGTTTCCCTTCACACTTCGGCCAGTCCTTGATCGCCCTACGCAAGGATCGAGATACCGTCAGGAACACAGCTGCGTGAATGACGGGCCTACGGTTTCAACAAACACCTCGGAAAGCTTGCAAACAGGCCTCACGATTCGACCGCTGCTAGGCGAACATCATAAGCACAGTCCACTTGTACGAGCACTCAAACGAGGAGCACGGGGGGCAACAAATGGTTCCAAGTGAGTGGATAGGCAGACGTTGTTTTGAGGTGCCAACATGGAAGTCACGATAGATTATCTCAGCGCCCCAGAGAGGGCTATGAGAACAAGATGCGCCGCTGCAATGGTCAAGACATCGTACAAGTCGATGCGATATATTCAAGTCTACGGGTATCAGAAGTAGAAACTTTGAGTAAAGAAGGAATCCAAACCCCTCAGTCGTAAGCCGTGTCTCTCCTTCTTGCTCAGACCTCCCGGAACGCGACCTCTTCTGGCAGCCGGAAGCTTGCGCAGAACATGGTCTTTTTGGGCGCCACGTCCCTGACGTGGAATACCTCCAGCTCTGGTGTCTCGGGCGTAATTTCGAAGTTCAACTGCCGGCTAATCTCCTCGCAGATACTCTTCGTCTCTGCCACGTCGTCCTTGCTCTTCGTGCTGAAGCAGTGCACGTGGACCATGGGCAGCTTCACGTCTGTGTGCGGTGATAGTAGTTTCCGGATTTCCGAAGCGGGCATGCCAGGGACGTTGGAGTAGAGCCCGATGAAGGCGGGGAGGAAGGTGATGGCGGAAGCGGGCAAGTTCATGACATAGTGGCTAAAGATGCGTGGCTGCACGAGGGTGCGGAGCGGTTTGGGTGGTTCTGTCGGCTTTGGCGCGCTTCTTGAGAACTTTTTCTTGGGGAAGATGGGTATCGAGCGGTCGTCGTTGAGCAGCGCGGCGGCACTGGACCTGATGAAGGCGGCGCCATCGGTGTTGAAGGCGCGCACGTACGCGTCGACCTTGTTGGTCTTGATATTCTCGGCGAGGTACTTGTAGGAATCCGGGTTGAGGTCGTTGGCCCATACGAAGCACTTCTTCTTGGCCGCGGGGACTGCGAAGGGACCGACGCCGGCCATGGCATCGCAGATTGCCTCGCCTTCCCGGAAGAGCGCGCAGAGCCGCTCGTGCTCGGTGTGGAGCCGCGTGTTCCAGTAGACCTTTGCGAAGTCAAAGTTGAACTGGCAGCCCTGCTCGTGCACCTCGACATTCAGGTCGTCGTCGCCCACCAGAACCTCGTACTGGAAGGTGCGGTATGCGCTCTCGGTGCCGACGTTGTCGAGCTTGTTGATGACTGTGGTCACGATGGGGTTCTTGTCCGCGAGCACCGCGGCGATGAGATTCTTGTATGGCAGGTATCGCTCTCGCAGATTGAGATGCGCGACGTGCCCGGCGAGGGTGAAGCCGGTCGGAATCTCGTCGTCATTCTTCTTCTCGGGCGGAGGGATTATGGCATTGGTGATCTCGGAGTAGGTGAAGAAGTCGTAGTCGAGGTTCAGCTGGTACGGGATCACGCCCACGGTGCCAGCCTCTTCGAGCTGTTGCAGCGCGGGGCTCCAGGTGTTTCTATCTGGCCGGGTTCAGACTCAGTCCGACATGGCGGCGGCGGTGGGGCAGGCACGAGTCGCACATACCGTTGTGCACCACTTCGGGCTTCAGGACCAGGCACTTCCCGCCCTTTGCCGCGCGTGCAGCGTCGATGTCTGGCCGTATCCCATCGAGCCGCGTCCTGAGGGTGTCGCGGCTGCGGTCCAGGTCGGCGCGGACGCGCGAGATGTCCTTTGGGCTGAAGATGCGGGCGGCCGATGTGTTGACCGTCTTGTGGAAGAAGGAGCGGTCCAGCACCTTCATGGCGCGGTTGATGGGCGGCGCGAACATGGCGTGCGGATCGTCGGACATGGGAGCAGCAGGGCGCGCGAGGCTGTTTCTGTTTCGCGTGTGCAAGCCGGGCGTGCGTTTTGTTTCCTGTCGCATGCGCCCGAATTCACATTCGCATATTTTGGCCAGGGTCCAGCACGTGCGCACGCTGGCCGCCCGGGGGTGCCCTGTAGCGCCGAGGGCCAGGAGAACGGCGGCGGGACCAGGATTCGCGTCTAATCTCGAGAAGCTGGCCACCGCAACAACAACCCCATCGCGCGCCTCCTGAGCCTGCCACGCCCCTACGAGCCCCCGACGACGTGCCATGAAGCCGCCCGGGCCGAGCGCTTCCTCGTAGACCCTCATCCGCACCCAGCACCCGCACCCGAAGCTGCTGCGCCGCCGCGAGAAATAGCTCGCCGCCTGCACCATGGCGCCAGGAGGGGGAAACATCAAGGTCGTGGTCCGGTGCCGGCCGTTCAATGGCAGAGGTTCGCGCCCCGCAGCTGCCCACCGCTATCCGAGTGCTCACAGCCCGCAGAGAAGGACCGCAATGCGCAATGCATCGTCCGCATGGAGGGCAACCAGACCATCCTCTCGCCGCCCGCGAATTCGGGCGCCGTGGGCAAAGCCGCTGGCAAAGCCGCCCTCGAGGGCCCAAAGAACTTTGCCTTCGACCGCTCGTACTGGTCCTTCGACCGCGCCGCCCCCAACTACGCCGGACAGGACAACCTGCACGAGGACCTGGGCATACCGCTGCTCAAGAATGCCTTCGACGGCTACAACAACTGCATCTTCGCATACGGCCAGACGGGCTCCGGAAAGTCGTACTCGATGATGGGCTACGGCAAAGAGTACGGCATCATTCCCAAGATTTGCCAGGACATGTTTGAGCGCATCGGGAGCATGACGGACAACAACACAAGCTGCACTGTCGAGGTCTCGTATCTGGAAATCTACAACGAAAAGGTCCGCGATCTACTCAATCCCAGTAACAAGGGAAACCTCAAGGTCCGAGAACATCCCTCGACCGGTCCGTACGTCGAGGATCTGGCCAAGCTGGTCGTGCGCTCCTTTGCCGAGATCGAGAACCTCATGGACGAGGGAAACAAGGCCCGTACCGTTGCCGCCACCAACATGAACGAGACGTCTTCGCGCTCGCACGCCGTCTTCACTCTGATCCTGACTCAGAAGCAAAAAGATGTCGAGATGAACATGAGTGGGGAGAAGGTGGCCAAGATCAGCTTGGTCGATTTGGCTGGTTCAGAAAGAGCAAACTCTACGGGAGCCACGGGAGCTCGACTCAAGGAAGGTGCCGAGATCAACAGGTCGCTGTCGACCCTCGGTCGTGTTATTGCAGCGCTGGCTGATGCTTCGAGTGGAAAGAAGAAAGTGCAAGTCCCATACCGAGACTCTATTCTGACTTGGTTGCTCAAAGACTCTCTTGGTGGCAACAGTTTGACGGCCATGATTGCCGCCATCTCGCCTGCCGACATCAACTTTGAAGAGACGCTTTCCACGCTGCGATACGCCGACTCCGCTAAGCGCATCAAGAACCATGCTGTTGTGAATGAAGATCCCAACGCACGTATGATCAGAGAGCTCAAAGAGGAACTGGCTCAGCTTCGCTCCAAGCTGAGTGGTGGCGGCCCTGCCGGCATGCCCCTTGAAGAACAGTATGCACCAGATACGCCCCTCGAGAAACAGATTGTCTCGATCACGCAGCCAGACGGATCGATCAAGAAGGTGTCCAAGGCCGAGATCGTGGAGCAACTGAACCAGTCCGAGAAGCTGTACCAGGATCTAAACCAAACTTGGGAGGAGAAACTCGTAAAGACCGAGGCTATCCAGAAGGAGCGGGAGGCTGCACTTGAAGAACTCGGTATCACCATCGAAAAGGGCTCCGTGGGCTTGTCAACACCCAAGAAGATGCCGCATTTGGTCAACTTGAGCGACGACCCCTTGACTTCGGAGTGCCTGGTGTACAACCTGAAGCCGGGCGCGACCACCGTTGGCAATGTAGACACTGAGAATCAGACAGCTGACATCCGTCTGACTGGTGCGCAAATACTACACGATCACTGTACGTTCGAGAACGTAGACAGTGCAGTAACAGTCATACCCAATGGTAACGCCAGTGTCATGGTTAACGGGATCCGCATCGATAAGCCCAAGCGACTACGGAGCGGGTTCCGCATTATATTGGGTGATTTCCACATCTTCCGCTTCAATAACCCGCAAGAGGCACGAGCAGAGCGCGCTGAGATCGGCACAAGCTTGCTCCGCCATACCGTAACCGCAAGCGCTCTCAACTCTCCATCACCACGGCCAAGCCACGAAAGATCTTTTAGTACAGTAAGTCTAGCGGCCTCTGATGTTGACTCGGACAGCCCACGAGCTTCGTCGCCGGCATTTTTCCAGCGGGAACGTGTCTCCGACTGGTCGCTTGCGAGGAGAGAGGCGGTGACTGCGCTTCTGGGTCCTGACCAGAAGATTGCATCCATGCCAGACGAGGAATTCGATGCGTTGTTCGATGACTTACAGAGACTACGAGCCACGCGAAGATCCAGACCAGAGAGCAGGATATACGATGTGAATTCTGATCCAGAAGACATGGAATCTGTGAGCTCGTATCCTGTTCGCGAAAAGTATGCATCGAACGGGACCATCGATAACTTCTCTCTGGACACAGTCCTTACAATGCCTTCAACACCTCAACCTGGCGAAGAAGATGAGAGCTTCCGACAGGTCCGCGAAAGTATGCAAGAGAGGCTCGAAAAACAAAAGGAAGACTACCAGGCTAAGCTGCGCTCATCCGGGGATGAGAATGTCGAGATCGAGGAGATCAAGGCGGAGAAAGCGCGAATGGAGGAGAACCTTCGTGCAGCGAAGGAGGAGATGCAGAAGCAGTTGAAAGAACAGAAAGCAGCCTTCCATCGTCAGCTCAAAGAGCTTGGACACGAACCTCCGCCGGAGCCGCCGCAGCCGCCAGAAGAAAACGCAGCCGAGATCGAAGAACCTAGTGAGCAGCACACAGTGCTCGTCAAGAGCGTCTTCGACCAGTGGCGAAAGCGCAAATACGTTACAATGGCGGAGACGATTCTTCAGAATGCCGCGACGTTGAAAGAGGCGCAGGTTATGAGCCAGCAAATGGATAAAAATGTAGTCTTCCAGTTCTGCATTGTAGACGTTGGCCACAACATTGCGTCCTCGTACGACCTGGTTCTCAACGGCATCCCGGGCGAGGACGATGAGTACCTGGAAAACACCCCGAAACCATGTGTTGGCGTAAGGGTGGTTGACTTCAAGAACGAGGTTGTGCATCTCTGGTCGCTCCAGAAGCTCCGCTTCCGCGTACGCGTGATGCACCAGATGCACCAGTACATGAACCGACCAGAGTACCTTCAACACTTCAGTCTCGAGAACCCATTCTCGGAACCTTGTATGCCAGAATTCTCGCGCATTGGCGATGCCGACGTCCCACTTGCTGCTGTTTTCGAATCCAGAGTACAAGATTTCAGCCTAGACGTCATCTCTCCGTACACGACGAACGTGGTTGGCATAATACGCTTAGCCCTCGAACCTTCTTCCGCAGAAGCCCCTTCGACTACACTAAAATTTAATGTCGTCATGCACGACATGGTCGGCTTTCCAGAAAGAGAAGGAACTCAAGTCCACGCCCAGCTTTTCCTTCCAGGTATTTCTGATGAGAGCGGCGCGACGACTACGCAGATGATCGCCGACTTTGACGAAGGACCAGTTCGATTTGAGAGCGTTCATAGCATGAGCATCCCATATCCAAGTCCACGAACCACGTTCCTGCGCGTTTCCATCTTCGCCAAAGTCACGTCTATGCATCTCGACAAACTACTGAGCTGGGATGATATGCGTGACTCGGCACCGCGGCCAACGCAGAAACGCCGCAAGGCTCGTCTTGCAGAATCCGAATTCTACACCGAGGACACGCACGACATATTTTCCCGCATACAAGTCCAAGAGATATCTGAAGACGGCACTTATAAGCCTGTCGATGTCATTCAGAGCGGCGCCATGGACGCGGGTGTCTACCAGCTCCACCAAGGGCTCCAACGCCGTGTCGTGGTCAATCTCACGCACACCAGTGGCGATACTCTCCAATGGGAAGATGTTACCTCCATGCGCGTAGGACGTCTCCGCCTCGTCGACACCGAGGGCAACTCTCCTAGCCTCGACAGCAGTCCCGTACGCGAGGTTCCTATCAAGCTTGTTTCTCCACCCGTCGTCAAGTCTAACGCTGATGGCACCGCGAATGTGACCTTTATCGGCCAATGGGATTCGTCGGTCCACAACTCGCTACTCCTTGACCGCGCAACGCCAGATAAGTACCGCGTTCAGGCATCTCTTCTTTTCAACGTGACATCCACGAAACTTGCCGAGCCTATGGTCTTTAGTCTTGATCTCGCACTGCAGGTTCGTAGCAGAACGTACATGCGGCAGGTCTCGCTGTTCTCTTTCTCGAACTTCTTTGCCCAGCAGCGCGTCATCCACTCCACAGTTGGCGTGTTCAGTATCGCTATCCGTCCTACCAGCGTAAAGCGCGCTACAGATCTCTGGCGGATGAACACCAACGGTGACTACATCAAAGGCGAAGAACACCTCAGCGGATGGACGCCTCGAGGCGTGTCCCTCGTTCGAGACTATATAGCGCTCAATAAGCGCCGCCAGCGCATCGCTGAGATCGAGACCGCGCGTTCTGTCCTCTCCTCCCGCGCCCTCACTACCTTTCCCTCCTCCACCTCCACCACCTCCCTCGACACTCGTCAAAAAGACCTCCTTCAGCGCGTGATAGGCCTCTGGAAGAACGGCCGTGCCCCGGCCGAAGTCATTCTCAACTCCACGAATCTAGAGCCGCCCACCAACGGCGCCGCATTCGCACCTCGCAGCCCCGATCATTCACCATCTCGCGCGCCAAGCCTTGTTGCTACCGTGCGGTTCGTCCCAAAGAACCCAGATCTGCTCAAGTCCTCGTACCTGCTCACGCCCGATCCGACCAACACTCGGTGGGTGCGTCGCTTCGTCGAGCTCCGGCGGCCCTACCTGCACATATATAGCGCCGAGGGCGACGAGCTGAACGCCATCAACCTGACCAACGCGCGGGTCGACCACAGTCCGCAGATAGCGCGATTGCTGACGGGTGCGTCTGCGGGGCCTGGTGAGGGGCGCGGCGCCGGCGGCGTGGGTGACATGGTGTGGGCCGTGTTCGCGAAGAGCAACACGTACGTCTTCCGGGCGCGGAGCGAGCGTGAGAAGATTGAGTGGATACTACGGATCGATCAGAGCTACTTCAGCTCTGAGAATAGCGACGAGAGCAGCAACTGATCGGAGAGGACAACGTTTCTTTTGTTCACAGCATACACGAGTGTTCGGTCGCTCACGAGAAAAATGTCTCTTTTGTAATACGTACGGCGAAGATACCCTGGGCAATAGATGCTCGTTGGTTATTGGTGTGTTTTGTATAACGTGCATTAGACGGGGAGGATAGTGGTCCAGATGGCTGGCCAGCTTGGAGTGCAGTGTGAATACTAATTGTACATAAATTATCAACTTTACGGCGAGTTTTATATTTGTGTGCAGTTGTCTGCCGCAGGCCATGTGTATGTGATGCTAACAACCAAGACAAGTGTGACGATGATGACGAGAATATCTGGTCTCGGGACTGCCCGCCTTTGTTGACACGGCACCGAACTCTCAGACATCGGTTTTGCTCAATCTGTCGCAGGTTCTCGTCATTCACTTACACACCTACACTTCAAAATCAATTGCGGTCGTTGTCGTCACTCATGCTCACCTGACGTCGATGGAGCAACGTGCGTGGCCGGCCGCTACCCTCACTTTTTGCATTGAATCTTCTGCGAGTCGGTCGCAGAATTGCCCTTGGGATCATTAGCAACTCCTAGCCCAGGAATTCGAGAGCGTATTTGCCAACTGTTCCGCACTCAACGCCGCCAGCCGCGAAAATGCCGAGTCGAGATCAAACGCCGCAAGTTTTCCTGCAGAAGACAACCTCGAATCCATGGACGCTGACACCTTCAAAGCTTGTTCAACTGGCCGGTTGCAAATTTGGAGACATGGGACTCGGTGAGACAGTGAGCGACCTCTGCGTTCCTGTGCGGCAGTGGCGAGCTGATCAGTCTCCCATAGACGCCATGTCTACCCTACAAGCAAGGTTGTTCCTCAAGCAGCGAACGCAGCTCAGCACTTTCGCGACATCGAGAAGCGTGTGACCGCCGTATTGAATGCGATTGACTACAACACTGGAGATATCCACCGAATGATCGCAGAGGATCTCGCATCGCCTGCTGCGGAAAGGGAACTTGCTCTCCTGCCAACAACGTAAGACTAGTCATGATCCCAGATAACATGGACATATGCTGCTTTGAGATCCTTCTGAATTGACTCCAGTGATTATTGTTCAGTCAGATATGCTACTGAAATATCGGAAGAATGCAAAGCCATGCTCCGCAACAAGATCAAGCGATATCAGAGACAGCATGCGCACAATCTCGCACGCGAGGAGATGATCGACATCGTTCTCAAATGGCAATGTAGCCGAGGCAGTACGCAGCCGTGCCGGATGCTGCCTGAGAAGGAGCTTGCCTACGTTAACATTGCGGTACGGGGCCTTCCACCTGTCGAACGCTCTAAGACTGACCTGGTCACAGCACAACTGTCGGTATAAATATCTGGACTGGAATCTCGAACATTCTGAAGATAAGGAAGAAGATGGCACGAAGTACGTGCCTGGTGAAGTCCGCAAGCCGCGCGGAGCAAATCGTAGCATCCGCTATCCACCCGCTACCCACGAAGGCGGCTTCTATACCTGTGTGATCCAGGATCTCTTGCCATTCCTTGAGAAACTATCTGAGGGATGGACTACTTCAGTTCAGGTGGTTGTTCGTCCGAGACTCATGACCAAGGACGAACAGATGGAGATGGACGCGTACCACGCTGCTAGACGCCAAGCAGAGGACGCGCTCAGGCTTGGTAAGGCACTGGAAACGATCAAGAAAGAACGTGCGGCAGTGAATAATGAGGAGATGAAGTGGATGAAGGCGAGGCATGATTATCTCCGAGAGGAGCTGATCGAGCGGGAGACGGAGAACTTGCTGCGGCAGGACCCGGTAAACTACATTTCGATTGGGATTTACTGGTAGTTGCCGTGCATGAGAGGAATATAAGCTGGTATGCTCTGATCGAGACTTGGAATTGAAGTCCTGTAATATGATGCCATGAGCACAACCACGGCCTGTTTACAGACTCCGTACGATCCCGTCCACAATCGTGTGGTGTATATACGTAGAAGTAAGTAGAAACTTCCAGAGTCGGCAGTATCTACACTAACTCCATTTCATATAATCCTCCTCTAGAATCCGGTAGCATTCTGGTCCCGCTATCCTGGGCTCTTTGTGCCTGTGCCCTTGCTTGTGAGTATAGTCTGACCATGTAAGCGGACTTTCTAACCATTCGGATCATAGACCGAGGCAGCTTCACTCATATTTGTATTTTGTATATGAGCTCGACGCCAAGTCTTTCAAACTGCCTCGATGCTTCCAGTTGCGAACACGACGTCGGCATCGACCCGGCCTAGACGATGGCTGCCCGCAAGCAGAAGCTCAATCTCGATAAGATGACAGTCATACAGCACAGTAAGTGAGTTGGCCGTCAACTGAACCTTTACAAAACACCGCAAAGAGTCTTCCTTTGGTTATGGCGAGTAAAATGCTGACACAAGCATGCAGTGCCCAGGCTAACCGGAACAACCGTCCGTTTCTTCGTCTGCCTGGCGAGATCCGCAACCTACTCTACGGCTACGCCCTCGGCGGCCATGAGCTCCGCCAAACCCGCACCGGCCCAACTGGGGAAGCCGCCTATGGTTCTCATTAGTAATTGGACTGCGCGGATGTTTTCCTGCTTGCTGTAGGAAGTGCTACCCAGAATTACCTACTACAGGTAAACACACTATGCAAACAGGTACGAGCCGCAGGCTGGTGGAAAGTGCTTTCGGCAACAAGAGAGCGATATGTTCAATTTACATACCTCACACATGTGGAAGTGAGTGTGACACGTGTGTGCATGCGCTGTCTCACCCGAAAACCAGAAACCTGTTGGGAGTGGCTCGGGTGCCTACCTCTGGTTTCACCCGTCCGTCTGCCCACTTTATATCCACGTCTCTCTTCATGGTCCCTCACACTTGAGCACTCCAGCCCCACAGAACCCACAACCACCCACGGTGCCCCCCGTTTGCCCACGAAAGCCCACGTCCACACCCGAATTGCAACCTTTCCCTCGCTTCATCACTGCCACGGCTGAGCACACTTGTCACCACCCGTTACAATGACGACACCAGCTCTAACGGACAGTACCTCAGCGAGGAAAGGACAGTCGGCGAAACCGCCGTCCGCAGCGATGGCGAACGCAGGCGACCCTCAAACTGCGAAGACCTACCCGCGCGTGCGCTTCCTCCCCAATGGGTTGCTGGATGTGGATCGCAAGAAGGGCAAGTACTTCAAGATGTAAGTCGCTGGGGGGCTGGAAAAGTTTCCTTATCATGTTCATGTCGGGATATGGCCTTCAGCCATGACGAATCAGGTGCACTTTTGTATCATGTGAGATCAAGACTAACAGAAGACAGGGTGCAGCAGAACCAGCTATCGTCACCCTTGCTACAGCTTCCAGGCGAAATTAGATCCACCATCTACGAATATGTTCTTGGAGACGAGACGTTCACGATCAATCCCGCCGCCCGTTTGCTTGGCAATAGCGAGCGGAAGAAGAGAGAATATCTCGCTCTGCTTCAGGTTTCGCGCCAGGTGAGCCACCTCCCAGTACAAACTGCGCTTAGCTGATACTCTTGCCAGACGTACGTGGAGACGGTCTTGATGCCGTTCAAGCTGAACGTGTTCCATTCAGACTGCCCCCAAACTATTCGCAACTGGATGGACGAGGCCAACATCCCCATCGCTGCGCAGCAGACCATCACTCGGCTTCAATTCACCCTCCAAATGCATTGGCACGCTTACATCAAACGATCTGTCGGACCATTTAAGTTTGAAAAAGTGGTGCCTGGGTGGTCGGCGCACTCTGGAGCCTTCGATCAATTTCCGGCGCTCCGTCAGATCTACATTTGCACTGCCCTCACTCAGTGCTACTGCGACAAACCAAAGGCACAGCAAGATGCTCTGATCAAGTATGTCGAAAAGTCGGAAGAGCACCTCAAGACCTTGATCAAGAGGAGTCATAAGGCCACCACGAGCAACGATTTGGATATCATCTTCGAACGCGACCTCAACTTTGCTCTCGCTCCGGCTCCATTGGATATTTTGGATGTTGAAGGTGACAACTGGTCCGGGGAGATGTGAAATATGGAATGGCATTGCCAACCAGACACAAGTCCGTAGACTCGGCCTTGCCATCGATCAAGCACCATCTTCATCCGCTCTGACCTGAGCGACGGCCGAGACCACGGGCCGTTAAGTTCAGTCTGGATGGTCTTTATGCTAAGAAGTGACCCGAACGTACTGAAATTAACCCTGTATTGAATACTTTACCGTTCAAAATTGGAGTTCTCCTACAGAAGACCGCGGCGTGGCTGCTTTCAAGGATGGGAAAAGCCACGCGCCAGTCGCGCCCAGCAGGTCGAGCTCCATCCGTCTCCAACGCCGATGAAGAACAAAGGCGTCAAACGTGTCCGCGCACAGTGTGGGCGACGGAGGCGGAAGCCATCAATTGTGTTGCACTGTGACAGGACGCTGAGTACACTGTGTTGCCCCGGGATGGATGACGGATATAACATCGGGACGTACAAAGGTCAGTGTGGGGTAAGATAGGAAGGTGTATGTAAAAACTTCATCAAACCGGCTGGAAGCTATGTCCACGTGCAGTTCGCACTATCCATGCATCGCCTCGCCGAGAGGATCAATCTCCTGGATTATCTCAGGATGCATCATGACACACCCAAGCATGCCGCATAACCTCACCATCACGCATCACGCTCCATCTTGCACGCAGCCTTCCTCCGTCAGCAGCTTCCCGAAGTCGCCTCTCGCCCTCTTCTCCTCGCTCTGCGCCCTGTTCGCATTGACGCAGTGGAGCCTCGCCTCCGCCACCGACCGCGCTTCCTTTCTTTCCAGCGCCATTGCAGCCACCCACGTGCCACGCGCCTCCAACATGCAGACCAGGGTGCCGATGATGATCTCGGCGAGAGAATTGCCGAGAGCAATGCTTGAGTAGGGCCTGTGCGTTAAAGCATGCCGAGAGATAGGACACGAAGACGTGGTGAGTGACCAGAGGCAAAAGGCAGCCTGAATGAACTTGAGGTTGATAGTGGACCATGCGAAACTGCGAGGTAGCGTCAAGGCCAGGATGACACCAGAGGTCCGGAGCGAGAGCTTGCCGCGGCGCTTGGCCTAGTTGAAGACGAAGATTGACCGACGATGTAGAGGGGACGGATGAAGTCGGCGAAGGAGTCCGACAGGGAGCCCACGAAGAGGAAGGGATCGCCAGTCCAGACGAAAGCCCAGACGGTGTTCTGGTTCATGCTGAGGGCTTCTGGGGTGACGTATCGGGAGTTGACTTGGTGTAGGTTTCGTCTGGTGGCTGGAAAGATATCAGTGGTGCCCAACAGTCGCTCGACGAGAACGGAGCCGATGTGGAGTAGACAGTACAAGAAATGGTAAGAGGCTGACTGGTGCTTGAATATTTATTTGGATCATGGAGGTATACCTAAGTGAAGCACGAACAAGAACAGGATTCTCGTTCACCGCGCTTTATGTGTGTGCGTGTCTGACGGTGAAGAGGATTGCGCTGCCGAGCCTGGTCCACGCATTTGGATCAGAGAAAGCTGCCGCTCGAGAAGCGATCACCGAAGCCCTTGGCCTTGTTGAGCATTTCCCGCTTCTGCTTGTGGTTCACCTTCCCACCCAATGCCATGTCCTTCTCGTAGTCAAACGCGCGTTTGCTAGGGTCGTCCTCTTTCTCTTTGCCAGTCTTTGCTTCATGTGCCTCGACCAGACTTTTGCCGCGCGATGCCTCGAGCTTTTCCCTCATCCTCATCGTCTTCTCTTCCTCGTCCCTATTCCGACGCGTCTCTTTCTTTGACGTCAAAGAGTTCGAGTGGGCCGAAATACCCATGGCTTCGTCCTGCAATCGTTTTAACTTCTGCTCCGGAGTCTCGGTCCATATGTCCATGCCGCCTGCACCACCGGCGCCCGCGCTCTTGCCCGTGTTGAATTTACGGGCTCGCATCTTGGTCGGGTCCATGCGCGCTGCCAGATCGTCTTGTGTAGGAGGCATCGTCATCCATGAATCACGCTGCACCTTCTTGTTCTCCTCGCTGTACTGCGGATCTGTATCGAAGGCTGACTTGGCGGGTCTCGAGGACGGGGCATCGTACGAGGTGTAGGATGCACCTGCAGGGGGAGGAGCAGGCCCGAAGTCGTCATCGCTACTGTCCGAGTCGTCCGAGGGCGGGTTTGGCGGCCGCTCGTCAAGAGGAGCTGGGGGAGGCGCCGGTCCTAGCACGCGTGCTGGCTTTGGAGGCGGCGGAGGTGCAGGGCCGACATGGCTGTCTTCACTGCTGGATCTCGACCGCGACTGGGGCGGTAATGAGGGCCCTGCTGTGCGCGGAAGTGAGGGTTGGGCGGGCGGAGGAGCTGGTCCTAGAATCCGGCGGCGCTTCTCGCCGGACTCTGGGCTCGTAGATCCCTTGTTCTCGTCGTCGTCGTCGCGCGCGCGTTTTGCGAGGTGGGGAGGCAGCGAGGGCCCGATAGGCATTGTGGCGGGTCGGGGGTGAATGTGCATGCGGGCAAAGGTATCGAGCTGCACGAGTGACGGTGGAGGAGCTTGGGCGCTTGGGCCTCGGCGGTGCGATCGACGAACTGCGGGTGGGTTCGTGAGCTCCAACTCGCGCCTGCGCTGCTGCTGTGAACGCCTGCGAGATAACGCCCCAAGCTTGTTGGTGGATCACTTCGAACCATCGATTCCTACCGGACACACCGTCAATCGCTACATCGCGGAACCGGCACCGAGTGCCGATCAGCAAACTCCCAGGCAGCCACGCGATAGCGCAACCAGCGTGCGCCCCCAATTCACTTCTGGGTTGGCAAGAGCATAGGCATGCAGTAGAACAGGCGGACTCTTGATACTAGTAGACCCCCCGGACTCGTCCACACATGCGCGACTGAAGCAATGATCCACGGTCGACGAGCCTCATGAGCTCAGATTCGGGAGAGAGCCAGGCGAGCGCTCACCATGACGATGCCGACGAGGTAGACCTTGGTACACCGCCCGCGGCTCTGCCTCTGGGGGCCGGTGAAGCGGTGGGGGACAATGAGAATGCGCCGTCCAGCCAGGGGGAGGACATCGCAAGTGGGGGCAACGAGATGACTTTTGCTACCAGGAGAAGGAGCGAAGGGGAACAGGAGGATGACGACTCTGCATCCGACCTCCCAATGCGACAGGCGTTGCAGCGCCCACAGAGCCCCGAGTCCACCTCTACTCCGGACGATACCCCGTCGATCCAGGGCTCCATGCTTTCTTCTCCCAGCAGCAGTGTCCCCGCGTCGCACAGCTCTCTGCGACCCCATCGTCCGACCTCTCTGCAGCCTTTCGAGCGCCGCTTTTCCGCACGACTATCACCGTCGCCATCGGCCTCTCCACGCGCCGTGTCTAGTCCCGTCTTTCTCTCGGCACACTCGCGACAATCATCGGTATCCAGCAATTTCCTCTTTCAGCCGCAAGCAGACGGAGCGAACACGCCCCAGTCCCCGTGGGAGGTTGTGCGCTGGACCAAGCTGAAGAAGATCACAGGCCAAGTCTTCTCCGAGGTAGGAAAGCGCAACTTTGGTCGCCCCACATGTTTGGCAGTCGCCGCCTCCCTCGTCATTGGGACGTCCAAGGGCTACATCCTCGTCTTCGACTATCAACAAGTGCTCAAATCGATAATAGGACCAGGGACGAAAGCCATCGAGTGCGGCCCTGTGACAGCGTTGGCCATATCTGCCGATCATTCAACGGTAGCTGGAGGACATGCCACAGGGCACATCTTCACATGGGAGTTGAACAGACCTGCCAAACCTTTTTTGCACATACCTCCTCTAGACCGGAACACTCTCGATGAAAGGAAGTCAGATGGTCACATCTCCGGCGTTGCTATCCTCCACATCGGTTTCCTCGGTACTCGGCATACAGCACTCGTTTCCGCTGACGATGCTGGCATGTCGTTCTCCCACCTGGCGACGCGAGGTCTAGGCGCGATTGCGAGGACAGTGAAGATCACGCGTGTCCTTGGCAGGTACCCAGTATCCGACAAGTCAGCGGAAAGGCCTCGGAAACCTAGCTCCGTGCTTGCCTTCTCTCCTCTTCCGCTTGGAAACGTGGAACAACCAACAGATACCATGGGCTTGACCGCGCTTTTGACTCCATACCTGCTGGTCATCGTATCCACCACCCCCATTGCCCAAACGCAGCACAAGGCGTCCAGACCAAAAGAAATTGAGCCGCATAGTGCGCTGAGCGGATGTCTGGCATGGTTTCCTGCCGTGAAGCTTAAGAATCCTTCCAATGACCCAAACAAAGCCGTGTCGAAAACCAAACTCGTCTATTGTTGGTCAAACATTCTGACGGTGCTGGAAGTGGACTGTGTCGTGGCTGCGCCCAACGAGAGAGAGAAGCCGACCGAACTCACATTCAGACCGCGCAGCAGGTGGAAAAGTGAGGAAGCGATTGTTGCAGTTCAATGGCTGAGCAGATCCGTACTTGGTGTACTTACAATAAGTCAACGCCTCATCATCTTAGAGGACCATACTCTACGGCCGACCGACTCTTTTGACCTCCTACAAAAGCAGATATATCACTCAGATTTGTTCTCGCGGCAGCTTCGCCCGGTCATTGAGCAGTTGGACGAATCAGACACATCCTTACACGGTGTAGTTGCGGATGCTTTCTACATGAGCTTTCGTGCATACAAGGGTCGATTGTTTCTTTTGGGAGTAAACGATGTGTCCATCGGCACTTTGTCAAACTGGGCCGACAGATTGATGGCACTCATGGAAGATGGTGATTTCATCGCTGCAATTGGCCTTGCGACTTCCTATTATGTAGGCGACGCAGACAAGTTGACCGTGGGATTACCAGAAGATGATAAAGCACGCCATGCCCTGGTACAAGAAAAGCTACTGGAAATGATTTCGGCATCACTCAAGTACACTTTTGCTCGGGATGGCCGAGACACCAAGTCAAACGACAAGTCGGAGAAAGACCTCGCAGAAGTCTGTTTCAGCGGACTCATCAGCATGAAGGAGCACGATTTCATGTTCGAAGAAGTATACGATGCTTTCGAGGAAGCTTCTGCCGAAAGCATCTTCTTTGAAACACTGGAACCCTATATTCTAGACGAAGAGATCACCGATGTGCCGCCGAACATACTCAAAGATCTCATCACGTTCTACGCATCGGCTGGTCGCGCGACGCGCTTAGAGGAGATGATATGCCGATTGAGTACGGATACAATGGACATCAACCAGGTCACTACTCTGTGTCAGCAATATAATCTTTACGACGCTCTGATCCACGTTTGGACGCAAGCGATTGGCGACTTCATCACACCTCTTGTCAACATCCTATCGCTCATTAAGATCATAGATTTCAGCGTAGATGAGACCGAAAACATCTTCATGACTTCTGCTATGAAGATCTTCCCATACTTGGCATATACCTTTACTGGTCGTGTCTATCCTGGTGGGGCTTTACTTGACGACGAGCAGGCCTATAGTGCGAAGAAAGACATGTATAGGTTCCTTTTCTCTGGAAAGAATCTTGCTTGGCCACCTGGCTCCGGGGACATAGTCTTGACAAGGACCGACAAAGGACCTGAGCCGCCATTCCCATATTTGCAGCTGATTCTAGAGTTCGACGCATCCAGCTTCATGAGCATGCTCAACGAGGCTTTCGAAGACAGCTTTTTGAATGGAGAGCAGGACGGAATAAATGGAACCCAGATCAACGGGGCCAAGCATAGCACAGTTCCCACCCCTACACGACAGTACATTATCAACATCCTGCTTGGAATCATGACACCAGAGAGTTTCGATCCGGAGGACATTGCCTACTTTTACATGTTCGTAGCCAGGAACCTGCCCAAGTACCCGCAGCATATGATGCTTCCTGGTACATCCCTGCACCAGATTCTGTTAGGCCTCTGCAACTACCCGACGGAGATCATCAAAGAAGACTGCCAGCTTTCTGCTGAGTACCTTCTTTCCATCTATCACCCTCCAAACCTTCAGTCGCTCGTACCGCTCTTTGAAAAAGCTGGGTTTCACCGCGTTCTCAAAACCGTCTATCTTGGCTCACAGCAGTACGCAAAGCTGCTCAACACCTATCTGGACGATACCGAGGACAATGAAGCTGTCTTCGGCTGCATAGCAGACTGTCTGCGGCCGAGCAAAGGCCTCACGAAGAAGCAAGTCGGCGAAGTCAAGAGCGTAATTGTCTCTCGCGCCAAGGACGTTGTGAGGATCGATCCCGCTCGTGCTGCGACCACACTAAAACAATACGGCTCAGATCTGCTGAAGCCCGTACTCGATGCCCTTGAAGAAGAATCGGATGCACAATACCAATACCTGAACGCTCTTATTGAGCCAACAGACCCTACCACTGGTGAATCGCGTACGATTAGCGAAGATCTCCCATTGGGCTTCATCGAGCAATACGTTCAGCTTATGTGCAAGTACAACAGCGCTCACGTCGCCGACTTTGTCAGCGTGCTCAAGTCTGGAGACTTGAGACTTGGCCCAGTTCTCCCTGCACTTGAGAAAAGTGGCGTTGTTGACGCGGCTGTCGTTCTCATGGCTCGCGATGGCCTCGTCAGAGACGCCATGGAGCGCCTGGTGAGACATGTCGGTACCTTGGAGACCGCCTTAACGGGCTTGATCAGCGCAGCGTCAGAGACGCCAGATGTGGCTAACACTGAAGAAGCGGTACACGACCTGCTTGAAGACATCCAAAAATATGTTAAGGTCGGCATCTGGCTGTGTCAAGGGCAGACCCGATCCACAGACCGGATGTCTCACAGTCTCATTGACAGGCGAAAGTCGGCCTATGGTGAGGTCCGGGAAGAAGACCTTGCACTTGACGAGCTCCTTTGGTTAAATCTTGTCGACGCAGTTGTCAGGTTGATTCAAAACATTTCTGCCGCGACCACCGACCTCCAAGCTGCTCTAGCATCCTCGTCCGCTGCGCCCCCTGAATCCATCGACACCGCGAGAATAACGACGACCCTGCGCTCCTCCGTTCAACAAACCTTCTCCGCATTATTGGCCTCTACTACCGTACCCGCGAAACGACAAACACAATCAACGTCCCAATCACATCCAAGCAGGCCCCCTCTCACGACCCGCCGCTCCCAGCCCCAGTCCAACCCATCCTTCCTCCGCATCCTACGCACCTTCCTCACTCGAGCGTCCACCACTTCGCCTTCACTATCACATCTCCGCTCCGTCCTTGCGGAAATCTTCTCAGCCTACACATTCGAAGAAACAATCCTCAGCCTTGCAAACCGCTTCCTTGACAAAGAAGGCTTCGAGCACGTTCGCGAGATCAACGAACTACGTCAGCGCGGATGGCGCCCGCGCAGACAGGTGTGCGAGGGGTGTCGTAAGCGTGCATGGGGTCCCGGTGCTGGAGGCACGATTTGGGACGCGTGGGAGCGGAGCGAGAATGATAGGCTATTGAGGCGAATTGAGAGTGTGGCCGAGGAGAACGGGGCGAAGGGGAAAGGGAAGAGCGCAAGGGTTGATGTTGACGAGGGAGGGATCGGTGCTGGGGGGAGTGGTGCTCTGGTGGTGTTTGCATGTAGGCATGTGTGGCATAGAGGGTGTTTGGAGAAGGCTGATGCGAAGGATGGAGATGTAGTGGCGGTTGGAGGGAACCAAGGGAGGCTGAAGTGCCCGCTTTGTGCATAATTTCTTCATTTCGTATGTAGTTGATCTTAGGATTTCTTCTCATTTCGCTTGCGTCATGTATGTGAACTTGGTACTGGTCGTGTACAAGGGGATCAGTGGAAAGCTCATGTTGTGCACGGGCCTCGTATGAAAGCACTGCGCCGGCGCGTCGCTTTTGCGTATCCTTTGTGGAGACACCGGGGATCTTGACGGACGGTGAGTGGGCCGATACGCCCTGGCTCTGGCTAAACCAGTTGTGCATCGATCAGTCCAGCATCAGCGAAAAGAATCAGCAGGTAGCTCAAATGGGGTTACTCTTTCACGACACAATGAAAGGTCCTTGTCTGGCTAGGCAACGGAGCAGATGTAACCGAAAAAGCCGTTGGATTCGCCGCAGAGTGTTCAGGGAGTCTCGAGGTAACAAGTTCCGACCTAACCGAGCTTCAAGCCTTGCAAAAGATTATGTCCAAGTAGTTCTGGAATCGTTTGTAGATTGTTCAAGAGTTCGTGTTGGTATGTCGTCATGAGCGGCGCTGCAAGACTTTCTGATGCAAACTTCTGCGAACATGATAGACACGTGGGCTACGTGGGCCACGTGGCTCGGATGCACATCTCACTTGCAATGGTCTGCGTTTGGCCTTTAATGGAAGTCAGGCTGGATCTAACCTACCAGCAAAATGATGTTGGTGGCGATTTGTGGAACCTGCTCGACTACCCTCGCTATACCAGGCAACATATACTGCGGCTATATAAGGGGGCAAAGTGAAAAGATGGTCAGGATCGCCGTGCACGGTATGCTCAGCTTGGTCACGCATCAGGTCAAGATGTAAGTCGATTATACGGTATCTGCTCAAGATATCCTTGAACAAATCATCGAAGTAGAGTTCATGGCCTATGTTGACAGGCATTTCTCACAACAAACATTAACGAAGTTGGAGATAACGACTTTGACAGTTTCGTAGTCGCTTTGAGGGAGGCACTAGCATTGAAAGAGGCTGAAAATAAGGCACTCAGACTGGAGGAGACTGACGAAGATTCACCCGGACTGGGAGAGCCTAAAGATGATATGTACAACGACAGACAAGACGTCCCACACAGACTTACCTCGCACGAACCTGAAAGCCTTCCTATCGCTCTCAAGACGAAAGCTTGCGAGATCATCTCGTAGTTTTTCCATGATTGGCTTTAGACAATTCCATAAAGATGGATCCGCAAAATCACGGGGTGGACATAGGGCTCGTGGCAGTTCGAACATTCTAAGTGCATATCTTCCTTGCTCGCTCTGGAGCCAAGCGCTGGTTCCTTTTGCGATTACATCGGTTGGACAGTTGAGAGCAGCATTATCACGACAACAGATAGAATGCAGATGTACATGAACTTGATTAATATTTATTTTGTTTTTGGTTTCGGTCTCCCTTCTCGGGTATCTGACCCTCAAGCCGTTTACCACAGCTCACAAACGGGCTCCTTGTTCGCGCACTTAAAGGCCTCCTTGAAGCCTCTCTGGTTGGCGACCGTACCCAGAATGCGAACATTGGGCGGAGAGTGCGGGTCGGAATAAATTCTACGCACAGCCTCGGCCGGTCGCCTCTCGCCACACCAGACACCTCCATAGGAGAGGTAGAATAGCTGCTCACGAGTGTACTCCTCGAGACCAGGAAGGAGCTGGTTGGGCTCCGCTTCGTTCCTTTTCTGCCAAGCAGCAAAAGCGGCTGAGAGACCACCAGTGTCGGCAACGTTCTCACCCTGGGTAAGCTCTCCATTGATGTGAAGCTGCTCGCCAGCGGGTGTTGTGATGCTGTACTCGGAAAACTGGTTAATGAAGCATTGCGTCTTGTTCTCAAATGCCGCGAGTGTGGCATTGTCCCACCAATCTCTGTATGCGCCATTTTCGTCGTAATGCGATCCCGAGGAATCGAATGCGTGCGTGAGTTCGTGCCCAGCGACAGCTCCAAAGGCTCCGTAAGAGACGTACTCCGGAAGATCAAGGTTGAACAAAGGCTGCTGCATAATACCGGCAGGGAAAGCGATCTCGTTGGATGGCGGGTTGAAGTAAGCGTTAACAGTAGGCGCGGTCATAAACCAGCGGTTCTTATCAGTAGGGTGGTTCAGGTCGCCCCAAGTGCCGGCAAGGGTGAAGTTACTGAAGGCGAGACCATTCTCGAAGAACGAGTCCGTCACGTTCAATTTCGCGTAGAAGTCAGCAAGTGCTTTGGGGTCCTGCACGTTGGGAGAGATGTCGGGGTACCCAATCTTCTCAACCATGTTGAGAATCTTCTCGATAGCCAGCTCCTTAACCTCATCGCTCATCCACTCGTACGTCTTTAGCTTAGCCTTGAACACATCTTCGACATCCGTGATAATGCGCTCACCAAAGGTCTTGGCCTCTGGGCTGAAAGCTTCGCGGACAAAGAACGCGCTCTCGATCCATGGCAAGTTGACGTCCACATCACTGAAGCACGTCCTCCAACGCTCTGCGGTGGCTTCAGGGTCTTTGCCTTGCAGTTCATTCTGAAGGCGTCGGTACGGAGCGCTGACATTGTTGGAGAGACGCGTCGCCCACGTCTGGATCAAAACCCAGTCTAAATAAGCATTGACGGCTTCAGTCGTGGTGTTCTTGAGAATCGATGATACAGCCGGGAAATAGTCGGGTGTGTACACAATAACATCGCCAACGGTGTAATTACTGGGAGCGAAAGCTTTGATCAACTGAGAGAACGAGATCTCAGGTAGCAGATCGTCGGCCTCGGCGATGGGGGTTGGGTTGTAGTAGTACTCAACGTCGCCTGCCTGAGAAGCATCAGGAGAAGCGTTAGCGAGAGCTTTCTCGAAAGTTACAATCTCGGCGGCAATCTTCTCGTTCGCGTCGTGCTTATCATCGCCGTACAAGTTATCAAACATTCCCACGATGGCCGTCGTGTAGTTGGCGATGGCCTCGTTGTCGGTATAGTACTCCTTGGCGTCGAGTCCAAGCAGCCCACTAGTCAAAGCAACAGTAGTAATGTTGGGGTTCTTGTCGTCTGCCGTAGTAGTGGCCTGAACAATCCCCGCTCCACCATAACGCTGAACCCAAATGAGTTTCTCGGTGAGGTCTGTTCCGTTCCCGGAGGCGAGCGCATCGAAAGCACTCAGGATATCCTGAAGGGGCTTGGCACCGGCTTTATTAACAGCATCTGTATCCATGCACGAGTCGTAGGCGGCAATCATCTTTTCGAAATTTTGCTCATCTAGGCTCTTGGCATCGCCTGTGGAGTAGGTGCTGTTGATAGTAGTGTTGGATGGGTAAGGTGACTCCAGGATTGACCTCATCAGCGCTGTGTTGACGTCGGACATCACAGATAGCACACCAATGTCTGAAACATCTGTCAGATCCAATTCGGTAATCACAGGTTTTCCTGTGGGTATACTTACTTGATTGGTCGGCTCTGAAATCGTGACTCGCCCACCACCCAGCACAGGTGTAAGTGGCAAAGTCGTCACACGGATCGAGATCTGTGTAATTGGACGCACGACCAGCAATGACTGAGTCCGCAAAGGACTTGCAGGCCTCGGTCTCACAGATATCTTCAGCCTGGCGGCGAATCGGACCTGAGGAAGACCATGATCCAACCAGAGGAGGCGGTCTGGAGTAAGAATGTGTGCTACGCTTGTAGACTCCGCCGGCTACTTGAAATATCAGCTTTGGACTTTGACAAGAGCATCGAACATACCAGGACGTTGGCCACTGAGAGGCGACGCAACGACGCTGCTGAGCAGAGCCACGGAAGCTACCAGGATCTTCCGGCTGGACATTGACGATGACCCGTTGTAGACCATCTTGGCTGGATGTACTTAAGCTGTTGTCTTTCCTTCACGTGGAACAACAGGGGACTGGTGAGGAGGAAGAGGAGGGCGAACGAGGTCGCTTTATACCAGTGAGAGCCATGGCGACCGTGTGCCATGGTTCAGGAACCATCGCACAAGGCAAATGGGTTAGCGTGGTCGGCTGGACATGTAGGAATAGGTGGCGACAAGGTGGTAGGATTGTTCCTGTGTAGACATACTGCCAAGTCAGCGCTAGTACGGGTGAGGAAGGTGATAGGGAATTGCGAGTGGTAACGCGGAAGGTGCCAAGATGCAGCCAAGTCTGGTTGTCGTGCCTCGGCCGTTATATTACATGATGATAAGCATCATGCCCCTGCTTGACCTCCATCAAGCAGGTCGGTGGAACGCTTGATGGAAGCAAAGGGCCTCTTTTGGCTACTTTGGTTCCAGTGCCGCGCACTGGTACCGCGGAGCGAATTGCTGCACGGCATAAGTCCTCTGACCATTGTCCTGGCCTTCGGAGGCAGATCAACAAACGAGCCTAGACTAAGGTTGGTGAAAGGTGGGGAGGAGACAGGGCCGTGGCTCCAACATCCTGATGATGCATAAGGCACATTGTGGCTCAGGTCTTACGAAGTGTCAGCTGTTTGAAACATGGTCCTTGCTCCTGCGCGGGTCCTCATCAACTGAGAATATGTGGGGTTGATCGTACAAGAGCGGATACTCTTCAAAAAATAATGGTCCAATTTAATGGAACTACGATAGGTATCGAGCTAGTGTCGTTTCTTTCCACCTTCATCACGTTCCTTAGTAGATTTACGCTTGCAATACGTTTTCAGCGATTTGGAGGATTATGGTAGGTGTGTAAGATGTGCAGAACACGAATGTGGAGTTCTTTCCCATTCCATCCGTTAGCGCCGCTGACTAGCGCATCAACAGTATCATCCCGGAGTAGAGGCCGAGGAGCACGATCGGTGGCATTGATGCATGAACAGATAATCTCCACTCAAGATGCATGAAGAAATCGATGAGGATGCGATGAAATATAGAATACGGGTCTGTTACACTTGGGCTCTGCCCAGTGTTGGTTTGGTGGCTTCAAGCAGACATATTGATCGTCCCGATGCTTGCAGACTACGATTGCCATCTTGTCGTCGTTGCAGTAAGGCCTGAGCAATTAAGGAAAATATCACGGTGATATTACTCTGTTGAAGTGTCAGTTTTTGCGGCCGTTTCTGGATTCAAAGCGTTCGAATTTCGTCGTACTACAGTGGCCGACGATAAAATGGAGAATCCCCCAGTGTGAACATCCACGATAAGCTGATACATAGTGAGTTCGCAAACATATAATAGAGTATGCCAACATAAAATGGACCGCGCGCATGCATTCCCATTTTATGTCATCCACTGTGTGCTATGTTCGTTGTCCGCACGTGCCTCTACGCAGTCCGGAAGAACCATCCTCGTAGAGTATGGCGAACGAGAACTCTGGGTCGCAAGTTGCAAATCTGGTGCTGATTTCAGGCCATACGCGTAAAGGATACTGTTATCGGCCCTTGTTTTCGCCCCGTTGGGTTCGCATCATCTTGCCTTGTTCAGTTCGCATCGTCTTGCCTTGTTCAGTTCGCATCATCTTGCCTTGTTCAATTCGCATCATCTTGCCTTGTTCTGTTCGCATCATTCCGCCAGTCTTCTTCTGATTTTCGAGTATCATATCCTGAAAGAGTGCAGGTAGCCTTACTACCATGAGAAATGGCATGATATTAGCGAGAGGAAAACGCTCGTGTGCATCAGCAATCCGGCGCTAGAAGCAAAATCTTAATTTATCCAATGAACGTAGACCGTGCAACGCGCGCCACACGACGCATTACGAGAAGCAATCGTATTCAAAAGAAACACAGCTGCACAAGTAAGAGTATAGATCATTGGTATCGCGGAGGATGTAAGGTGGTTGACGTTCGAGAAGATGCTCGCTTATTCTAGCACCTTCGGCAAGGCCCGGGAAGCTTCACGCGCTTTCATTGGTGCGCCAACAGAACTCGGTCGAATGAGCGGCAAGGCTCTCGATCATACCATCAGACCATCGCGATTTCTCAACTCACAGGTATATAAACACAGATGTGTGTAGAGACAATCCCTCATCAAAAATCAACCTGCAATCGAAACAAGCTAAGGAATATAAATCCGAACCCTGGGAGTCTACCATATCACCATCAACCAACCAAGGCAACACAACTTTTCACACAACCAACACAATGGCCGCCTTCGAAGTCTTCTCGTTCCACGACTCCAACAATAACACCATCAAGTATCTCTTCAACCCCTCCAAGCGCCTCAACAATAGCGACGAAGGTCCAGCCATGCTCGACCAAGTCATCGAGACCTTCGACCCTGAGCTCGACACCGCACCTGCGTTTCCCATTCCGGAGCCCAAGGCCGGAACAGAGATGCTCGAGTACAGAGCCCGAGACGGCGCTTATGTGAGATACCAATTCGACCCAACTGCACAAAATGGCAAGCAATACGTCGTGGCGATACACCGAGAGCCGATGAACTGGCAAAGTCTGAGAGAAGAAGATCTGGCGGTCGATAACGAGCAGGAATTGAGGGATGCCGTCGAAGCTAGGTCGAACCTCAATGCTCCGGAAAAGATCCCTAGCCTCGAGCGAAGGGACTCTGCGATGGATCTGGATACCGAGGAGTAAAGAGGGAGTAGCGGTGCACTCATGCGACATGAGCGCAGATGATAAATACAGCTTTTGAGAGGGCGCTTGGGTAATTCCAATGCCTGTAGCTGCCACGATATATGGTACTGAGTTCGGGCTGCCCTAAATGGCGCAGAAGGCTATCCGGGGGAACAGTCCACTCTTCCATCCACATCTGAAGATGGAGGATCAGCGCGGACCATTTACCTTGTACACATGTTCAAAGAGTACGAGAGGTTGATGTGACCAGAGACGTGAGAGGGCTTAGAAAGAGAGAAAGAAGTCAGGATAAGGCGGCGATACTCAGGGAAAGTAAACACTTGTCACAGTATGCTCATTATGCGCGGTCCATAGCCCCCTGAAATATGAGTTCCAATATGCAACCAATGATACTCCAGGCGTTTTATGATCGTTTCTTCCGTAGTGACTTCATCCACATACTCCATTGTCTCAACTAGATTTGCCTATAGAGCGTTCGGTAACAATGACATTCATATCGTCGTGAATGTAAAACCCAGCACACCACTCCTTAAAAGGTTCTTTAAGGTTACATGGTTGGAAGTTGAAGCGTAGCAGAAGCTACTATTATTAGTAAGTTTTCCCTCGCGAAAGGCGTCCGCACATACCTCAATAAGTGCCTTGTTCAACTCCATATTTGCGACCACCTTGCCTAGACATCCAAATCGACCGTAGCCGAAAACCAGAGAAAGAGTCTCGTTCATCCTAAGCATATGATTCTGCATTTCCTCAGTGCCTTCACTCGCAAGCCAGCGCTCCGGGCGAAAAATGTCGGCGTCCAGTCCAAATATCTCCTTGTTGCGCATCAGGCCCCAGCTGTTCCAGGCAATCTGAGTACCGCTGGGGGCATACTTCTCCACGCCGTCTACATCTATTTTGGCACCACCTTTGGGGACCATTTTCGCCAACATGCCGGTGATTGGTGGATACACACGGAGTCCTTCTTTGATACAAGCCTGAAGATACGGCAATTGGAGAGCTTCTGAGTTCTTGATGATAGGCCGACTGACCCGTCCAGCGGCTATAGCCTCCTTGGCTTCCGTCAGTAGACGTTCCAGGATGGGTGGAGATGTAGAGATGAAGTGTGCGGTGATGCGCAGCGCGGAAGCCGTGCTGTCTGACCCAGCTGTTATCTGCAACATGGTCTCGCCTTCGAGCTCGAGCTGCGTTAGCCCATTCTTGATGAACGAGTTCAGCATGTCCTGGCGCACGATTGCTTCATCGCCAAAGCGTTCTAAAACGCGTTCTCTGGCAAATCCCATAACGCGGCCCAGCCCACGTTTGTCCATCGAGCCCGGCAATGACGCTTTAATAAAGGGTATCCTGAGGATGTTCGTGAGCTCATGGTATACTCCGAACCAGCCTATGGCGGGCAGAAATTGCTTCATATTAGCCGCGTATCCGAAGGGGTCATCGTTTGCTTTTAGAAACCCAAAAGGCTCTCCAAAGGCTACCTTGGAGATGATGTCAAGGGTGAAATAGGACGTTACCCTGGCCAAATCCATACGACGGAGGAGACCTTCCTCTGGTTTTGCAACATATTCTTTCTCAATAAGATCAAGCATTTGCAGGATCAGGTCGTCAATGTCTTGCTCCAGGTGCACGTTCTCTTTACCAGAGTATCCGTGAGACATGCGACTGCGCATGTCGTTGTGCTTGTCTTCATTGGTATAGCAAGCGATGTTCTCACTCTCTGGGTGCAATTTCAGAGAGGTATACCAAGGACCTCTGGTGAATGAGGATCGTACGGCGTTCATGCGTCGCACAAGTTCCGGGTCGCTTGTGACCAGCATCTTTGGTGCAACTCGTGCTGTAGATCCTATAAACTCGCGGTATCAGCCCGTTTTTCCAGATGCTACCATGATCTTGCGAGAGCCAATCAAGCAAATTCACACTCTAGTACGTAAATACGGTTCAGCTGCTAGAAGACCGAGTTGTAGCTTTAGAAATCCTTGAACTGAAGATGAACTCGTACCATATTTGTCGTTGACCTCCGTGAATTGAGTGTTGATGCTTCCACTAAGATGACAGCGAAGAAGCCACAGCCTGGTCCAACCGGCCGACCACGGTCCTCCGAAGTCGCGTAGCTCCAAGTATGTCTTCACACTTTTGAAAAGATAGACTGAAAAGAAGGCAACGCCCGCGATCAGAGGTATTGACCACATAATTTCGATTGTGAAAAGACGTTCAAGGAATACCTAACCGACCTACAGGGTCCGGCGAAAAGTGGACTTGGAATGATCGCAAAATAAAAACGAAAGAAAGCATCTCGGTATATAAAGCTTAGTGCACGTCTTTCCATGTCAAGTCTGGACATGGCTCCCGTTATTGCAGGCGCCCTGCGTCACAAAAGTGATATGGTCCACATATGGGTGGCTCCTCGGGGCAGGGATGCCTGCAACTGTTGGTACTGACCAGTAATGACACTCGTTCTGTTAGCACCATTTAGCGGCCGATACGAGGCTGCAGCCTCCACCTCGCATGGGTGCAAAAAAAGAAAGCGTGCCTAGGCTGGACATGTTGAGGCGTATAGCGGAGATGAAGACAGCTTGATGTGTGTGTAATGCTGCAAGCTCTCCTCGGAGTGCTACGGTACTGACAGTAATCAGTGTTGATACGACGACCTTGTGCGGGGTCGTAGGACACTGAAGGCTTCAGCCTTGTGATATTGTTCAGTGCGACGGGGCTGGAGTTATGCCTGCCCAATCATCAACTACGCTAGCGAGAATCCTGCTTCCTTGGGTACGGTCTTGGTGCGTACCAGTGCATGACCGTCACCGATAATTGTGAGAGTATGTCGAACTTTCTTGCCTCTCGGGCAGTGCTCCGAGCACAAAGCCATGGTAGTCAGCATGCCAAACTGATGCATGACGTACGATCGCGCGTTACTTGATATGATTATCTACAGCAGACGTGGTGATGCTCTGGTGCACGATACCCTTACGCACGAGAGAGCTGGATGCAAAGGCAACGCATCGGTTATGTGGGTCGCTTGGGGGTTGGCGGACGTTTTGAACTTGCTCGTCGCCATACTATCGCTTTCGACATGACCTAGTCACCCGACCTGTCTGCTGTCAAACCTCCGTCTAATTCGCAAGCTTTGTTTCCGCAAGCTGAACACAGCCAAAAGGTAGACCTCCATTCGACTATTTCGTCACCAAGCTTCGACGGTATACAAGTATTACAGAAACCAGTATTAAGAAAGAAGCAGCTTCAGCGGGAACGAATTCACGTTTCTTGAATAGACGTAGAGAGTATTTCAGGGAAAATTTCCCGGATCCTGCCGAGATGCATTGAAGTAAATCCACTAATATGGGTCGTTAAAGAAGAGCGTAGCGCTGGGGGCGAGATATGTGAAAGTCGAGTCGGTCAAGAACCCAGGAACGCTAATTACGTGGGCCGTCCCCACGCACGTGGAAACAATTTGATGACGGTGGCGATCAGAAGACTGTGATCCACCTTCTAGAAATGAGATTCATCTGGCCTCTGCGTTAACTTGAAACCATCCATTGTCTTTGTACGTGCCTCACTGCCTTCCACGGCATGCTGTCCTACCAAGGTTGCCGGACTCATCTCCACAGATCATGGGCCCCAAGTATAGAACCTAACATAATTTCAACGCGCGCCTCAGTTTGGTGACCCCCTTTTCCAGTGTCGAATGGCGCATATCATTTCATTCGCGCGCGACAACCATGATCCATGAACACATGTACGCGCGCCGTGGCCGCTGCCGCCGCTGAAACCAGTGGGGTAGGTTTCAGCTGCGCCACTTGCCATAATTGGCTTTGCAAACGATGCAGGGATACGGATCTAGGCGATGCAATGGTGGCCAAACGTGTCAATGGAAGTTGGTAGAACTGAAGGTGTGAATGCGGTACTGTCGAGAGAAGATGGAAACCTGATGTACATCATATTCGAATGAAGACGCTTGGGTGTTGTTGCCATGGTTTCAAGCTCCACAATTGACGTGAACGCTTCGGGGTCAACTTACGCAGCTAGCACAAGCGACGCGGTGAGCGGTCAATTTTACGTCGATGCGAAACCGGTGTAGCGGCGCAGATCCCGCTTACTCATCAGACCTTCACTTTGCTCTGATTCGACAGCACTTTCAAGATCTTGGCAGGCACGAAGAACGCAGCTTCCCATTCGCAGTCGCTGCACTTTTGCTCTGGTTGCAGAGGACCTTGCTGACTGTGACAGATATCTATATAGGTCTGCCTATTGCAGACGAAATCGACCGGGACTTCTGCGACTGTGGTATCAAGATTGCGACTAACGAGACGCATTCTGCGGATAGCGGTCTCAGAGACAGCGGATTGGACTGATCTAACGGACATTTCCCCGGCTTTCATACCTCAGATACTAGTTTCAACGCATCATTGCGTATGGCCCGGTATGTACTCAGCATTGTCTTGTCGCTTGTCTCACGGCGCTTTCACATCGCCATCGGTTCACAGATCCTGATCGCAGAGGCCTAGGGGCACCTTCCTTGTACATAAGGAACGCAGCTCCTGCACCTCTGGAGCCAAGCACCAGCAGTCGTAGCCATGGCATGTTGGAGCCCGCGTCGCCGAGAAAGATCCAGTAGCCCTAACGATGAAGAACAGATGGCGATGGCGATTAAAGTTGAGCATCCAAGTATTACCCCGGTTCCGCGTCCCAGAACATCGTCGCTAGCAAATTTACGCCGCGGCGGCAAGCCGTGCACGCCGGTCAAATCTAACACAAGTAAGCTCACCGCTGACCCCTGCCAAAACAAAAACCAAACCCGTGCACTGCCAGCATCCTTTACCCGGCAATCGCATGCGTTGGAACCACGCTTTCCGCGCTCCATTTCTATTCAACTGCACCGCTCGCTGAACTTGTCGGAGATTTTGCATACTGATATTCTGCGACCCTCACAGCATCTCTACCGTTACTTCCCAGCCTTGGTTCTGACTCGTGGGACCATGTCAATAGCCTAGGGCCGACCGACAACACATTAGGTTCATCGAACGAATCTCCTTCTTCTGCGTCTGGCAGTTCTGCCATGCCTGCAATTCATACACTCCCTCGCAATCCGACCGGACCTTTGGGCATTGATTCACCCATGGCTCCTGAGCTTACGCCGGCGCCCAACGGCTGGGCTCGTCCGAACGCGCACGCTGCCTCACAAGCCTCGAAGACGTCACAGTACATCGACAAAATCACATCCGAGAACGAGAAGCTGAAGAGAGAGCTAAAAGCCGAAAGGCTTGCGCGAGAAGAGGAAGCAAAACGCGTGACGGCCGCACGCTCGAAAGCCGAAGACTCCCGCGCCGAGCACCAGCACCTACAACTACTCGTCGACACAAACGCAAGGGCGTTGGAGAGAAAGGACAGGAAGCTGGAGGAAATGAAGGTCCAACTTGAGCAAGAGGCCAAGAGAAGGAGGGCTGCCGAGCAGAGGGCAGAGGAGGCCCTGAAAATGCTGGGAGACACGCGCTCAGAGACGCAACGCCAGCTCGCACTCGCATACGAGCAGAAACACCTTTCCGAAACAAACGCTGACACGGCCCGCGAAGGCTACAAGCGCATGACCGATGGTTATGAGAAGAAGATCAAGTATATCACCGAGCAAATGAACGAACTACGGCAAAAGCAGTACGAAGATGCAGACAAAATCAAGCGGCAAGCCATCATCAGCGATCAACTACAACATGAACTCTCCCGCAGACAACGGACAGAGACCAAGATGGTCGACATGATGGGACAATACAAGCGCGAACACCAGAAGGAAATGGAGGATTTGACAAGAGAGGCTGAGCAGCTGCGAGTGGCAGTGCCCAAGAAGGAAGAGGAGGCGGCGAGATTGGTTCAAGAACTGCAAGAGACCGGAGACAAGATGAAGTGGGTGATGGCGCAGCACCAGCGACAACTCTAGTTGTCCGCGCTCTTTACGACTGTTATGATCATTTTGCGCTAGAATCGGATTTGTACGATATCTCGACTGACGTTGATTATGAGCGAGCATTCTGGGGAACAGGCGCTTTCTGGGCTTTGCACCGGGTTGGAAGTGGTATGACTGAGGGTTTCTGCACCAACTCCAGGCGTTTTGTAGGGCTAACAACCCTTTGTGGTCCTTTTCGGAAAGCTGATGTCGACATGAACACCATACCCCAGCTAGAAACATACTCATCCTAGCCGATCTCGCATCTTTATCTCTTGCCACTTTTCCTGATACAATACGAGTTCTTGTCCTTGCAAATAATTCAATGTAGTTCGTGCAAATGTTTCGAGGCAATTCTCGAGCAAATTGCTCACCGTTTGCCGTTGTGTGTCTGAGTCGTTGCCCTCCGAGGCACAGCAAAAGTCCACTTATATCAGTCATCGCGACAAATCACTAATGCACGCTTTTACAGGGGCTGGCGTTGAGGCATTAGCAGGTCCTATGACTCCTTGACCAAAATGGCACGCACTGCCGATCCACCTCGCTTGCGGCTTCCTGCCTACCCGCATTCATCGTATCAACCACATGAGCTACCCGCCGCGTCATAAATTGAGTCACCCTTCGTCCTGACCGGTGTTGAACGCGACGCATTTGCTAGTGACAGATCAGTCAGGAGATTTGGATGGGGTTTCGTTGGGGGTGGTTGCGTGCATGGTCAACTGTGACGGAACTGCATACCAACACCGCGGCGGTCAAGGTCAAGCAACAAGATGCGAGGTTTCCAAGGATCGCGTTCGAGTGGGCTAAGTGGTAGGTAATGAGAACACCAGCTGCGATACTATTGCTTCGATCAGGCGGATGTAATGAGCAACGCACCATACGCCACAGTGCGATTATGCCTTTCGCATCCAGCCGATGCTCGATCGAGCAGTTGAAAGCAAAACAAATCGCGCGATTCAACAATAATTTGACCAGCTGTACCTTGAAAATAGCGCACATCTTGCTAACTTTCCGGGCACTACTTCGATGCCCACAAGCCGTCCTGCTCTGACAGAACGCCATGTTCTAAACGAGCCGCGATGTATGCATGTATGATTCATTGCGGTGCACAGCCTTACTGCGATCTCACCCGTCCCTGAGGTTTTCTTCCGTGCAGCTAGACACGAATGCAGACGTTCTATGGCATCTTACGTAGACATAAGATGCCTCGACGCCAGGCTACTGAGGCCGCATCATCACCACTATCACTGATTTGGATCCACACACGCAAGCACTCACACAGGCACCCACGAAGTTCAATTAACTACGCACTCTTTGCAATCGGCTTACCATAAGCTGTCGACAATTACGCAAACCGCACTTGATACCAGCAGTCGGCTTTCCCCCTTCAGAACCTTCCACGAACAGGTCGCGACAAGAGCGCGTACGCACCTCTACTGGATAATTCCTCCCAATACAAATACGACCAAGGCAGCAACTACGACAGGTTACGACGGAGCTCGCAGATACTCCGCCATCTTGTCCATCGAACACATCCGAGCCTCGCCTTTCTCCAAATTTTTGCACCTCCACCCAAGCGGCTCCAGCGACATCGCCCCCACTATTCACACCAGGAGATTGTTGGTGCCTCCCACAGCGGATAAGATGCCTAATCAGTGCGCCATTTCCCACCTCGACCCGTAGCCAGCGCTGACAAGCACCTCCAGAACCTCAAGCTCAGCATCTTCCACCTCGCCCAAGAGCGGTAAGACTCAGGACTCCAAAGATTTCCGGTCGAAAATGATGCCAATATCTACCATGGGGCAAGGCCAAGCCATGCTCCTAGCACAAGCTACGCTGCCAGCGCAGACGGACGAACAAGTGGCCCAGGAGGGGGAGAATGCGTCGGCGTCTGAGAAGGGGAAGTCCTCCAGACCAAGCATGCGCGCCGCCCTTTCCAGCATCAAGGACAAGGCCAAGCGTCTCTCGTTCTCCACTTCAGCGTCGGGCAAGGACGACGATACACTCGCCTCTTCCGCATCAGTCAAGGACGACGCTACACTCGTTGATAGAGAGGAGTACGAGAAAAGAGAAAACGAGAAGAGGGAGGCAGAGAATAAAGCGTTTGGATTGGGAAAAAAGGGGGTGGGCAAGGGAGGCGTGCAGATGGGTGAGTAATTTCCTGGGTATATGGGCAGTGGAAGTACGGGCATTGCAATGGGGATGCAGACTAAAAGTTGGTGAACAGCGTAGAGTGCGGGCGTCGAGTGTCCCCGCCCGATATTGTCGAAGACTGTTTCTCGATGTCTGTTTGGCGATTCAGTACGTGGGGCGATGCCATGTTTCGTAGAGCGCTTTGGCTTTGAAATCGATAGTTGAGATGTTCGAGTCATGTATACGTGTTGTGACCATGTACGGAGGACTGTTTGTTAGACAAAAACTGGAAGATAATTGTGACCAGAGACACTGCAGGGGCGATGTGTAGAGATGCAGGCTTACTGCTTAAGGGGAGTGGGGCCAAGGATAGCCAATATCCAAGAAACAATAACAAAGGAGATGAATTTCATTTCAGTATATGTACAGGTTCAAACCGCTCCAACACCTCTCCCAGCGGGCCCAGGAGCAACGGGGAATCGCTCCCATGGCTGCTCGGACTTGATATTGTCGTCTGCCAGCGCCTGGTGCTTGCGCTCGTTGTCCTCGTAGGCCTCTCTCTTGAATTTCTCGATGACCTTCTCCATGTTGTTGACCTGTCCGGCAGGGACGTTGTATGGCGAGCCCTGGTTCATGATCCTGTCGGATGTTAGCGAGGTGAATTGCTGGTGCTAAGCCCAATAACTTGATTGCACGACATATGCGCCACCCGGAGCTTCACAATATGGCAGTAGTACATACTCTGGGAACCGCATGTTGACGTGCTCCTGCGGCCGGGTCTTCATGAAGAGCACTCTGTCGTTACCGGCTTGCTCGACCATGCTGACGTGCAAGGCGTTCCTCTCGGCGTATCGCTCGGTGGTTTCCGTGTACTTGTTGATGAGGCGGGTCATGATCGGAGGCGCATTGGGGTCGCTCTGCGAGATCCAGTAGAGGCCGGAGAAGACGGGGATCGCGCCAATGGGAATCCAGAAGCCTAGCTACACGCCCAATTGGGTCAGCATACAGTCCACGAGGGCATACAGCGTAATGGGAAGAGCTGCTACACTGTCGTGCGGGAGCAATTGGTGCGCGGGGGAAATTGACGTACGCCCATGGACTCGTTGACGGGCTCGCTGTGGGCGTGGTGGTGCTCATCGTGGGCGTATCGGCGCTGTTGGCGAGGCACGGCGGTGCGGCCTTTTCGGGCAGCAGTCGCTGCTGTCCTGCGGAGGGCCTGCATAGTTGTGTGGGCGGGGCGGTCGTGCTGGAGGTCGGGAGCTCGATGATGGAGCTTCGCGGTTGCCAGAGCCCGCGTCTTGGCGTCTTGGCGCGGTTTCTCTCTCGCAAAAGCTCCACTGCAATACCTGCTGCAATGACTTGCCCATCGCGCGTACAACGACCTCTGACAACTGCACCGACCAACCCAGATGCCTTGATGATATAAATGAGGTTGTTTGCCGCATCCGCTCATGAAGCAGCGAATCTACGACTATACTACTTACGAGTATACAGGCACGCAATGATTGGCTACTTGAGGTACCACCAGTAGTCATTTGCAATCGGCTACTAGAGTCACACATGCACCGGCTCCTGCCTCGAAAGGCGCAAAGTGGAGAGCACACAAACTTTTGATTCACACGTCTATCTGACCTGAGGGGTTGAGAAGAGCAGCCACTGTGAAAATGCAACAACGACTCCGAAACTATGCAGACAATTTCCCCTGCGCTGAGAACCCAGCAATACAATTACATCAATGTTCCTCGTATTCGTCCAATCACGCCGTACGCTGAGCCAGGTCCAAGGAGAGTCGTGCTTCACGACGTATCAGCAAGCAAAAACATGGCCTCTTGAGCAAAATCACCTACCGAAAGGGATGGTCTAGTTCACAGGAGTACCGCAAGTAGGGCAGCACTTTCCGGGAATGACCCAGACAGTCTGACCGCGCTCAAGGCACGCTGGGCAACGGCGACCGGGAACCTTGACAATGTCAGTCGTTTCCTGAAAAAGTAGCGCAAATGACAACATACCGGCACAGTAGTGACACCGTCCATATCATACATGGAGGGAACGGCAATCTTGTCGATGGGGTGTTGCTGGCACATGGTCCTCGAGGATGATGAGAGACTGTGAGTTGGGATTGGAATGTTGAATATAGGTATGAGTGAGGTTGTTCGATACTGACTTCCTCGTGGGCACCAAGGTGACCTTTATACTACTACACGGGCATTGTTCGGTCTCTTTTCCGGTCCATCTGTATCTGTGTCTCTATGCAGCCGATAAGTTAAGGGTTATTCATGGATCTCCCCTGTCCACGGCATTGATGCAGGTCGCCGGCGGCTCTGTGTACCCTCGAGTGAAGGGCGTACGGCACGGCATGCACCATACCGATCAGGACGATTAAGACAAAAAAGCAGTGGATATTCTGTGCCACAACGCTTGATTCGCTGTGCAGCATGCAGAGACTAGTACGCATGTTCGGAGAAGAAAACAAGGAGCAAATGCAGTCGAAGATCCATGTGCAGCGATCAGACACATAGATTCTCACTTGTATAGGCACCCGAAGTAGCGGTTCAATCGAACCTTTTAGGAACAAGCTTGATACAGGGTCAAGGCAGCTGCGGACTCCAGCTTACCGTACGAACAGCTTGACGGTCCATGCTATGACCGTTCAAATTTATCTCAACCTATTCCTTCTGTCTAAATTTGGCCGCCTGAGACCGGGCGCAACAGTGACATGTTGATAAGCGTATGCCATGACGGTTTTCGTCGTTGAGCTGGCCAGATCTTTTTGTCCAGGCGATGTAAATGTGAGTTCTCATATCCCTTCCGCAGCTTGGGTGATCGACGCTAAGCGACCCGCCATGCCATGTTAAGACAATTCTCGAACAGGATCACCTTGGCTCTTAAACTCGAGCGGAAGCGGGAAATTAGCCGTGGTGCCTTGATTGAAAACATTAGGTTCGCGGGTTGCTTCCCCAGGTCTGCTTCCAACGCAGATATCGTGCGATTGCAAGGTGCGGCATGATAACCCCGCGGTAATTGTAACATCCTTGATGAGATGCTGGTCTCCCACCTTTATTTCTCTTTGGCCAACATCTCGGGAATGTATCCCACTCAATCCCTCCAAGTCTTGTACATGTAGTCGGTTTCCGTTGGATCCATATTCGGCGACCAGGGGACGTTTTTCACAGAGGATGGCAACTCTATCCAATGTTTTCTTGCAGTGGGGAAGCTGTCTCAGACCGCTGACATTATGATTATGTGCGAGAAAACTCTATTCGACCGTTGGGGGCGTGCAAGTATACGATTAGGTGCGCGACTTCCATGTCTGGTGGACAACCCACCCCTGGTGATTGTACACGGAGGGTTGACCGCATCATAACGATTGGCCACACTGGTTCTTACATCGTTTGCTCCAAGCGCTGCTCAAATGGATTCTAATACCCATATCATACACGACAAACGACAACTACGTGTGGTACAGAGTAAGCGACAAGATCACTATCTACCACGGCTACTCGTGCGATACTCGCAAACATGTGGTTGGACGTGCATGTCGATGATATTGCCCTTCTCGAGCCTACGACCTAGGATCGCGGTTACCGCCTTGTCCAAGAGCGCCACCCGTCATTCGTCTCAAGTGTCGAGACCTGTCGCAGGTTTCACGAACGCGGTGCGAGCCGTCGGTGCCTATCACACGTTTACCACGTAGCAGACCGAACCGCGGTGTCGGGTTCCCAACATCTCTAATACGGCTTTAGCTGATACGTCTAGCCCGTAGTATCACGATTCACATTTCCGCTTGGCGATGCTAGGGTGTTCACTTGCTCTCACTATTCCGTTTTGGCCCAGATGAGACGGGGACAACACGCAGCTCCGGATTTTACACTAGCATCGATAATTCACCAGTCACAATACCTCGAGATACCCTTGGAGGCTTTCATCTCCACTGTGTGGAATGCTTCATCGCTCGGTGAGCTATAGCTCGGAGCGATCGGGCGCCGAGATAGCGCGTCACATTCACTTTGCCCGATTCACTCCTCGAGACGCTGAACTTGTCGCATGAAGTCCAGCTGGCCTTCATTGTGGCGTTTTTGCAGGCATGGTACACTACATGCACCCCAGTGCCTTCATAAGTGGGCACGATAAGGATCCCGGCCGGCGGCACAACACTTACAGATCACCTTCTGGCCTGCACATCTAGGGATATGCAAGATGCACAGGAACGACCATGATAGTGGTCAAATATTCACACCGTTTATCGCTTTGAAAACATGATAGTTCATACCAGCTTCAAGTCTCACACACCCCGATCGTCCCTGATGTTGCGATGAGAACACCATACAGCATCTACATGTTCGACTCCCTTGGTAGGCGTCTGCGAACTATGTTCCAATGCCGAACCTCCCTTAGGTCTAGGTCGCGTCAGACAAGAAGCCCACCAAATTTGTAGCACGGCATTTGTCAACGGGCATGTTCCGCATATGATTGTGGACTTGTCGCAACAAAGTGCAGTGCCGACTCCTCAATGCGTCTTCTTGGATAACTTGCCAAGCTGCTCGAAATCCGACCTGATTAAATACAACCCAAAAGGAGGAGTTACAACGGTGGAAGGTCTCTGGAAGTACTGAGTAGCACTTTTCATAACACTTCGTTCACACACAAACGTGTCTTGTAACTCATCATACGATCGGGTTTCGCAAATACGAAACCTGTACTCGCATCTATCGGTGACGGCATCGAAAATTCTTGTCGACTTTTGTGTTATCCAAGCCCTTGAGCCGGCGCGAACGGTGTAGTGACTCCGAGTTTCTCGTACTCCCATCTGACCGAGCATATTGCACTCGCGGGAGACGACTAACGACACGGAAGCAAAGCCGATTTCTTCGGTATCTTGCAGGGCGTTCCGAGCCGTCTGGAAGGAGTGTACATACCCACCTGATCCCCATTATCAGCTCTCCCCTCGGACGCGGCCCGCATCTTTACAGCCTCGAGAACAATGCCAGCAGCCCGGCTACCGGTAGTACGCACGAAGACGCTCCCCGGACCCAGCCAAGCCGTACAACCACACTCGAAACCATCTTGCATCCGACCGTTTTTGAAACCGCCCGCCTAGACACTAATTGTCCTACATGCCAACGCATGACACTGCTGGTCAGGACACTCGCCAGCGTCAGCATGCGATACCCGCAGACATGACTCGCCTAGCATACTCTTCGCGTGGTCGCATAGCTGCCTCTGCTGATCCGCATGCTACAGGGGCGGATCTCAACAGATGCTGTGTCCGGGAAACGGCCAAGTCGCCGAGGGCAGTGATTCGGCACCGTGTGCATTCACGAAGGCGTCGTGGCTCGCGATGTAGTCATGTGCTTGCATGTTGGCGCTGTTGACTGATTACCCAGCGCAGCGACCCCCGGCTCTCGCACAGCGCCACGACCCTCTTGCAGCAATGCACCATTGGCGGAACAAAAGCTTCTCTGGAACTGCTTTAGGCCACAGCGAATTGATGATCTGGGACGCCTGCTGGATCATCTGGACTTCAACGCCGCAGCCAATTATGTGTCTGCGAGAATCCCAGGAATAGCATCGGGTCACCGCTTTTAGAGCGAATATCCGATGCATATGCAGGACACCACTGGTACGGTCGGTGTGACTTTCTGGAGCGGAGTACTACCTTCGAAGGTAAAAGCGTGCCGTTATCGCTTCTTGAAAATCCGTTGGAGGTAATATTCGCGATGTCGCCACCATGCCGCTCCACAAGGCTACTTGACGATTAAAGGTGGCACAGCACCTTTGGCAACGTCAAAGCTTGAATACACAGCTGTTCTAGCGTCTGTATCCTTTCCATGAGTGCTCAATGTTGGGTCAGTCCAGTCTACGTCCAATGTTTCAATCTCGGTAATCATTCAAGGAACAGACTTGATATGGCCATGATCACAATACAAGCAAAACATAGCCGACCTAGTGACGTATTCGGTTGCAAATATGATATCATTTCTATGCAGGCACTGCTCGCTCCGAATGCAGCACAAAGGGGAGGTATACGTTCAACGCACAACGCATCAAGTGACCGGTTCAAAGTGCAAACGCTAAGGCTTCCTACCCCCACTGCTTCTACTGCGACTCGTCCCATGCTTGCTGGCGTGCTTCTGCGACAGATGGCGCGCCGGCTTGTGCTGTGGAAGGTGGTGTCCACGTCCATGTCCTAGACTGGCCCCACGATGAACCCGAAGACCGACAGGGAAGAACTACATCCACAGATCAGTATTGACTCCCCGTGGTCTGAAACAAAGGAAACAGAACGGGATCCGGGAGGCGGATCACGGCTCGGCGCGCCAGTACAGTTCAGGAACAGTAGAGTTACGAACGGAGGCGCAGATGGAAGCAGCAAGCGGAGCTAGAGCTGTCTTCACGCCTTACTAACCGTCTTCTTGATCCGCACCAGCAGCACACCCTTGGACACGACGCCGTTGGAGTCGTAGAGGTGCAGCATGCGGATGCCAGGTTGTAGGCGGTCAAGCCGGAAGCAAGCCCAGGCCGCGAGGTCATCGCTGATACGCTCGTCGTCCATGACTTTGAATCTGCGAGAAATACCATATTAGCTCCCATCTTATATTGATCCTGGCTCGAAATAGAAAGAAGGGGAGCATCGGCCCGAGTGATACGTGTCGACGGAGATGCGCGATAGATGGGAAATGAATACGCGGCACGAGATCCGGACAAGAAGGACGAGAAAAATGGGCAAAAGGTAACGAGAAGTCGAAGATGTGAGTAGCCGCATCTTCGAAACGGATATAGCGGCGATATGCATGAGGAGGAGCGCTAACGTGCCCGATCCCAGCGGTGTAACCAGAATCTCGGTAAATGAACCGGGCTTGATGCATACCACCTGCACGGCCAATGTCGCTGGAGCAGATGCAGCGGTTCGTTGCCTCACTCAACGTGTCATGCAGACCTGAGACCCACAGAACCCGCGAAACGGGATGTATCGCACGTTGCAAAACTGAGCTCGCCATTGTGTAACAGGCGTGCAGCAGAAGCGGGGGTATTGCAAAACTGAGAATGACTTACCTGACGAATGTCAATTCTTCTGTCACCCTCTTGACACCTTTGAACTCTACGATTTCTCGGCCAAAATCGGGATTCGTTGTCTTTGCAGTTCTGGTCTTCTTCTTATAATCGCCCTTGTTGCTCGCCCCGCCTCCTGGAATTGCCTCGGCCTCCCCTTCCTCAGGCTTCTCGACGTGCAACTCGACCTTGATGTAAGGCTTGAAATCTTTTGGATCGTCTTCTTCGGGAGGAAGCGGAATGTCTTGCCCGGCGAGGAATTCAATGCTGAGATCGAGGTTGTGGTGCTCTATGGCATCCTTTGGCAAAGTCCCAGAACTCGCGCCTCGATAGCCCTCAGGTTTCAGCACCCATCCAGCTGTGCCCGCGAACATAGCTTCATTTTGCATCATGCCCCCATCCCAGCGTTGCCAGTTGAGAGCTACTATCTGCACACCCTGTCGCCAGAAGATGGCTGGATTGAGGTTGGAAGAGGTCACTCGAAGGCCCTTGGGGTATGCGCGCATGAAAAAGTTCTTGTTGTGCTTGAAGAGCGCGGCGGGGCTCGTTTCGTGGACTTCCATAAGTGTCTTCTCCGAAAGCGAGAATACGTGTGTGGGAATGTTGGCCTCTGCATGTTGATTAGCGACAGATCGACATTCGTGAGATTGCTTCACGTACCCGGGACATCCAATCCTTTGTAGTGGTAACCCCCGAAGTAAACACCGAGCTTTGAAAGTGCGTCAATGACCTTGGGTTTGGGCGCTGGCGGCTTCTCTGGGGCAACTCCGGCGTCCTCGGAATCTGAACTGATTTCGGACTGCGCAGACTCATTGGTTTGCTGGGGGGTCAACTGAGCGGGCGCTTGGAGAGTTGCAGGCTTCGCAGCAGCAGCGATTGGCTTGTGGCTCACGCGCTTCACCTTGACGAGAATTTTGTTCTCCAGATCTTTCAGAGTGGGAAGTTTGATCTGTTCGGAGGCCTCGGATGGATCGAGAGGTAGATCGACCAACATACCTCTCCAGTACTCCTTCATGAGTTCTACCATGATCTCCTGCTGCGCAGGACTGGTGTGCACTTCCAGGCTTACAATCAAAGGGAGGTTCGAAGAGGCGAATGCATAGTCTCGAATGGTCTGGCAGACTTCTCTGAATGACATCTCCTTGGTCAAAGTGTAGCCTGAGGTTTGTCAGTCAGGAACTCATAAAGACAACGTAAAACAGAAGCAGGACTATACCATGAAGCACCCTCGGCTCAGCCCTGCTAGAACTGTTCGACCGCCATGGTGCAATTCGTTGTTCGGCAGCTGGGGGTGGTGGAGAAGCTGCTTTTGGAGTTTCTTTAGGAGGTGGAGACGCTTTTCGCCCAAAACGTAGCTCAAGCCTCTTGCGCAAGCTCTTCTTTTCCTTTTTCACCTTCTCCTTCACCCCACTGCCGCTCGTCTTCTGAGCCTCCTCGTCGGAACTAGACTCAGAATCGGACGGCGGCTCTCCATCCCATACATCGACCTCGACGCAGCGGCAACCCCTTTTGAGTACCTGCGAACATCAGTGACGCGTACGTGGAGGATAGCGTTGCGTCTTACATTCTTGTAGGCGTCCACGCTTGCAGCGCTTGCTAGCTGGTTTCCCGTCAAGTATGTGTTGTGGCTTGAGGAGATGAAGTAGTTCGATATGGGCCACGATCCGTCTACAGCCTCGGCAGGCTTCATAGCGTTCCCCGTACCGCTGGTGAAGTAGTTGGCGAAATGCGAGAACGAGCCATCCTTGAGTATCTCAGCATCCACAGCCGGTGCCTGTTGCTCATCGGCGAGCCACTCGGCGAGCCCTTGTTTGGATCCGAGCTTGTACTTCTTCTCTACCTCTTCGTAGAGCGTCTTCAGGTATGTCGACAAGGTCGAGTTCAGCGACTCTACGGTCCTCGCTTTTTGTGCCTCCGCTGCACTGCCTCCTCCGGCCTGCAGCTCGGCCTTCTCAGCTTTGGGGACACCGAGCTTGGGATCTTTCGCAGGACTGGCTGCCTTCGCATCTGTGGGTGGAGGGGCTGCCATGCTGTGGTGGGGCCCAGCGGGGTCGGATAACGGGGAGCGGTCTGTACGAGGCGGGAAAGTAGCCAGGAGAGAGCGGCCGGGCGGTCCTGCCTAATGTGCAGGGAAAGGAAGCAACACAGCTGCGCAGCTAGCTGATACGCGGGAGAGGCTGCAAGACATCAGCTCAGCTATTTCAGGCCTCGCTCAGCAAATAAACATGGGTAATGGAGCGTTTGCCCCAATTGGGACAGATCTGAAAGACTCACCTGATACGCATGCAAGGCCGCTCTGCGGAAAGCAAGATTCTGTGACTGTGCAAGGCTACGGGGTGCGGCACAACGTTAAAGAACGGCGCGCTTCAGCAACGGCAATACGGCTGCAGGGCTGACACCAGCTCGTGTGGCTTGGCGGCCTATGCCTGTTTGATCGTCCGACTGCAGCGTCGCCATGACGCCGCAAGCTTGTTTGCAGAAGCGGCGCATGTCACAGTGCCCGTCGTCGCTGCAATTCCAGGAATCAGACAGTGTTGCGTGGCATGCTTCAGGGCGCGATGCTCCGACTGCGTGCCTGCCAAGCGGTAGATAGCGTTGACGTCACCCAGGGTCTGGCTAGGGACGTTTCACAGTCCAAGCTCCACATACTGACACTGCTACCAAGTCTTATCGCACTTTCTACGAGTATCAAGATGCCTTCGCGTAACGACGCAGAGTCCAAGGTCCGATCCTGGGGCTTCGGCCATGTTTTCACTTGGACCGATGGACCGTATGCTCGCACTTGCTTGTTGACATGCTTGTGGCTGAAGCAACTGACCAGTGTCGCCACAGAAACGCCCATTATCCGCCACATAGACACAATGGCCTAACCACGCATCTGATTCTTAGCGGCGAATTGACCATCACGTATCCTGAAGACAAGGAACCGAAAAAGGAAACGTTTGGACCGGGCGCTCGACTGGACGTTGATGCCAAGAGGCTTCACGAGGTTTGGATGGGAGAAGGCGGCTGCAAATACGTTATTGGAGAATGAAATCACATTCCTGTTCCAAGTCTGAATCTTTTGGTATGAAGACAGCCAGCGTGATGCAAAAAACAAAACCACCCTTCAACGATCCCCACATACTTGTGGCGTTTCTAACCAACACCTTGCTCCCGAACGCCACCCATGCACCTGAAACGGTATAGAATTACGCTTCATTCATCTCGACGTCCCCACTCTCCAGCAGTTGTTGCTCACCTTCCTCCTCTTCGCCTTCCTGGCCTTCCCACCACATGCATGGTCCTAGCCCGGATTGATTCATCGATGCCTTGAGCGCGTCAGCAAGTGTCATCTTGCCGCAGAGCGAAAGAAACTTACAATAATTCTCCAAGGCACGCCTCTCCTTTCTACAATGTTTCCGTGCTCGTCTTTCTGCACGATGCTGGGCTTCTGGTCGAACCATTCTTCGCGTTCGACTCTCAATAACACGGTCTCGCCCTTGTCGAAGAAGAACTCTTCTCCATCCGGGGGACTCCACACCCAGGCGTTCTCACCGGGGTCGTAGTGGGAGGGCTCGAAGAGGTTGGCTTGAGGTACAAACACCTCGTGGGTGAAGTCGAGGTCGATGACCATGCCTTGCTCATTGGCGGACTTGATGCGTCCGTGTAGAATTTCACCGCGGAAAGGGCGAAAGACTACTAGGCGGAACTCGACTGTAGATACCAATCAATACATATTGAGCCAAACATAAGATGGAGAAGAGGGAACTACCGTTGACATTGACAAGCCCAGTCCCGTGACCGATAAGACCCTCGGATGCCTTGAGCATATCCCACATCGTTATACACAAGCCAACCTTGTGTATGACCTTGTTCGCGTACTTGATGTTGATCGCATCCTTGATTGCTTGCGCGCTTTCCTTGCTGAAGTCCTGGGGCGCAATCTGAATCAGATCTTCAAGGGTTGTCTTTTCAAAAGGTCAGTGCAGATTGGCGGTAAAAGCGCAAAGACCTTACAAGGATGAACATGACGACGGGAGTTCACGCGCATGCTCAGGCGTGTAGAGCTCTCGAATTTTTGAGGTATCTGAACATGAGCTACCGCGTCATTGGAGTGACTAAGAAAAGTCATGTTCAAGACGCGAATTGGTGCCTCGGTCGCGGCTACGCTAGCGCTAGCGCATCTTATCGATAACCTTAACTTTTCTGAGTTGACGGGCCTCGCATAGGCAAACTTGTATATCATTCTTGTTGACACCCCGAACTCTAACACATGTTGAATACTTCGCTTCACCAAAGGTAGCTACTAGCGAGGCCAGCATGGCACCGTTCAAATTCCCGCCTCCGCCCCCGCCCCCGCCGCCGAAGGCATCGAACGACGCGCCAACAGCGTATGGAAGCCAAAGAGGAGGACCCTCGGGCAGAGGTGATAGAGGCCGCGGACGGGGCGGTGCACCAAGAGGTCGCGGTCAGAATCAAGTGGCAGGAAATCCAAGAGGTGGAAGTCAGCGTGGTGGGCACAGGGGCGGACAACAACATCAAGGTGGAAGAGGAGGCTCTCAAAACCATGGTGCTCTTTTCCAGCAGCAGCAACAACAGCAACAATCGTATACGGTAACGCAGCCCTATTTCAACACGAACCTCTCCCCTGCGCATCCGAACCCGGCGCACTGCAATCCTCCTACGAACTATGTTCCACCGCTAGACCCTGGGGCCTTCGCACAAGCGATGGCATTCATGGCGACACCCGCGGGCATGCAAACTATGGCTGCTTTTGCAGCGAATATGGTAAATGGGAGCGCGAATCCAACTTGTGACCAACCTGTCCCGCCACAACAACCAACACTCCATGGCCAGTCTTCCAACCCTCAACCTAGTCCCAGGAAGAGGCAACGAAACGAACGAGTTGAGCGGTGGCAACCACAGCAACCTCCCAAACACAATCATCCGCCCATTCAGAAAGCTCCTGCACAGAGTGCGCCTTCACAGAAGCCTCCAAGAGCAAAAGCGAAGGCCCCTCCTTCTATACCAGGCTTTGGCTTCTCATTACCGCCAGTCCCACAGCATACGGACACATTGAAAGCAGGTGGGGCACATCATCATCACCAGAAGCGCGTAAAGCTGGGCCTCACTAGTTTGAACTGCGATGAAGAGTCGAGCAGCGAAGACGACGACAACAATGTGGACGAGGAGGCACTTCTTGCAGCAAAGTGGGATGGAAAGGGGATGACATTTGAACACAACGGCGAAACGATATCCTTACAGACAGCAGCAGAGTTTGCCGAATACATCAAGGACAGGAAGACCAACTTTCCGACCCAGCAAAGGGCTGCAGAGAAAGCGCACTTGGCTGCGGAAAGGAGAGCCAATGAAATAGAGTTTTTGCGCAGAGTCAAAGGCACTCCAGGGAAGGGAAGGCCCGGCGGGGAAGCGAAGTCAAAGGACCAGCGTAAAGGGAAAGCCGCGAACAAGTACGGATCGTTGAAACCCAGGCCCGAAGAACTCCGCGAGAAGGCGAGAAATAGCATGGCATCAAAACATGCTGCCGCGAAGCCTCCTTCAGACAGCAGCGCCCAGCAATCCATCGATCTTGGTCTAGGATACAGGACCGACACCGAGTCTGACGACGCAAGCTCCATCCTCTCAGAATCTTCCGTGGTATCAAGTGACGAGTCGTCCGAGGGCGCCGCATCCGAAGCCGAAGCCGATGAAGCCTCAGACTCCGACGCACTCCCCGAAGCGCAAAGCTCAAAGATCATAGCAGCCCCCAGAGTACCCCAACCTCCGCCCAGACTCCCTGCTCCTCGGGCCGAAACCTCGAGTAAGTCCCAGGCGGGCGTCTGTCAGCAGTGGAAGATGACAGGGCGGTGCAAGTATAAGTACTGTAGGAATAAACACGGCGAAGAGGAACCGAAGAGCATGGGCTTGTATGAGAGGATGGTGGAGCAGGAACTGGACAAGGCGGACCGCCTAGCTCTTGAGGCGATCAAGTATCTGGGTAGGAATGGGTTTTTGGGCTGAGGATTGTGGTTTTGATACCCTATTGTATATCAGTGTGGACACAGGATAAGTCGGATATGCTCGCTAGTGAGTCCGTTGATGAGGATGCGATGAATGCGAAAGCAATGATACAGCACCAGAACACTTTCTGGATGGAAACGTCGGCATTAAACAATTGAAGTCTTCATATTGGTATAAGCAGAGCGTAATGGGGTATGTCGAACAAGACCAAGCGCCGAGAATGCCTGCTAGAAGAAGTCCACCTACTTCTGAGAATCAAAGTCCCATGCTGCGATCCGCGATGAAAGTGAGTTCATCGGAAATCCTATCTCCCATTCACACCCTCATGCGACCCCTCTAACCGGCCAACCAATCTCTTGACTCCACTCCACTCCTCACCCTTGGTCTCCACACCACCAAGGTCGCTGCCGACCTCGAACACCGTGACGACGCCGTCCATGCCCGCGACCGCGACCCTCCTACCCTCGTTCTTCTCCCACGCCAGCTTGTTTAGACTTCGCTTCATGAAGCCCATACCACCGGACAGCGCGCCTCGCTTGTTCTCGCTCGGTGTGACTTTCTGGACGGGAACTTCCACATCGACGTTAAGGTCCCATATCTCTAGGCTACCCGCGCCGTCGACGAGGCCGAAGACCGAAGGCTTGACAGGGGACCAGCGAGCATCGTACACGAGGTCTTCGCGGGCGATGTCCAGAATGGGCGTGACCTGCTGTGCGGCTCCGGGCGCAGCCGTGTTCGAAGGCCCTGTCGCCGCCGGTGGACGCACTTTCCAAAGTTTGACACTCCAGTCGACCGAGGAGCTGAGAACGAGATCCCCAAGATCGATCTGGCCCTTCGCCGGATGGAAATCTAAACTCATGACTGGCGCTGCGTGGCCACCGTACTTCACACGACCGTCAACACCAGCCTTGGCGCCAGCGCGGTCATAACGATGGCAGGGGTAGATTGAACCTTCTTCTGTGCCAGCGAGGAAGTATGTCGGGTCAGATTGCGGGAAGGCAATACATGTGACCGCCATATCGTCTGTCTTGGCAGGTGGCGGGGAGGTCAGCTCGAGGAATTCTTGCGGTTGCGAGAGCATGTCTACTGTCCAACCGCAGACCACACCGTCTGTTGAAGCTGAGATGATGTTGTTGGCGTTTTGTGTTCCGACAATGTCAATAGAGTAAACCGGATGGGTGTGTCCCGATCCTGTGAGAGGTGTCTTTTGTACAGGAGATGACTTTGCACGAGTGTCCCACAGCAGGACTTGTCCCGAATAGGCACCCCCAATAATGAGGTTCGGATGGAAGGGCGAGAACTTCGCAGTCAGGATGTCGGATTGGGCGTGGAAAATATATTCCGGTCGGTCGTGCATGTGGAGGTTCCACACCTGAATGAGACCATCGGGATCATGTGGGGCGGAGGGATTCTTGGTGTAGGAGGCGAGGACAAGTTCGGGGAACTGTGGATTGTGAGCATGTGATCAGTATATAGACATTGGAATCCTCACCTTAGTAGAGAAACCCAGATCTGAAATCATCCTCTTCTTGCTCCACCTCTCGTCCCAGAACTGGGCGATTTCCTTTATTCGCCTGCCCTTCTTCCCTCCACTCGAGCCATAACCCTCGTCCTCATCGTCAACGCTAGCACCTCCTAGCGCGTAGTCAGCCAGGATATCGTAGTCCAGTTGCTGATCTAATGCACGCTCCAGAACCTTGGTGCTCCTCTCCACGAAATCTATGAAGTCGTCTGAGTTCTCAACGGCCGTCAACTCCTCGTTCGAGAGGGTCTTGAATGGGTAGTTCTCGCCCGAGACTGTTTGCACTTCTCCAGCTTCTGCGGCCTTCTGTGCTGCTTTGATTTCTTCCTCAATCTCCTTCTTCAGCTGCAGCCGGATCTCTTCGTCCCGCTCTTTCTGGCGACGGCTCATTCGCTTGGGGGTCCGCGGCGACCGAGTCGGGCTTTCGTCGCGCTCAATGTCGCTTTCGCCTGATCCGCGCGTCTTTCTTGGACTCCAGTCTATGTCTGCCTGGACGCCCTTACTGTATGTGATGACCTCGGTGTCCCTTTTCGGTGGTGGGCCGACATCGACACCCTCAGACTCGTAGACGGTGGTCAGGTTGCCTATTGACAGCGTCTGTATGCCCTGATCCACCATACTCGTAGGGATCTGGTATTGTGCTCCAGTTCCTGCTTGCGCTTCATTGTCGCTACTCAATTGACTTGCGCTTATGACGGAGGTTGGTCGCGTCGCTCGTCCGCCAGCTGGGGAGCCTGGTTGCACTGAGCTGGGCCGGCTGTCGCCTAGAATATCATCCAGGTATTTGTCGAGATCGCGCCTCTGCTCGACGTCATTTCGCCGTGGAGTTGGGGACAGTATCTATGCGAATTCCATTAATGCTGGTACACGAACGGTGAATGTAGTTCTCTACCTCTCGCGCGGGCGAACCGCTCAGTGATTGCCTGTTCGAGCCTTCTGCTCTGCGCAACTCACGCTGCTTCTTGAGCTCGGCCAACTTGGCCTTCTTCGCCAGTATCTCCTCGCGCCGCTGCGCGATCGAGTCCATGATGTGAGCTTCGTGGGAGTTTTGCTCTCTCTGCCAGGTTCTGCCCGGGAAGCGGATGTTCGGGCTGCCTGTTGACAACTAGTTCAGCGGCTCTTCGATCTATTGTGCGGTTGCAAGACTGTATCAAGTGCACATGAACATGTGTTTGGGGGGTTGCAGCCAAAAACGCGCCAAGCAGGGACGGTCGGACCTTCCTCGGCGAGACCCGTGCTTGCCTCGCGCAAGATTCTGGTCGAAGAACCTCACTCCCCAGCTGCAGCCCAACCTCCCCGCCAGCCAAGCGCCCGTTCCTCCCGCGACCCCAGAGACGCCATCAACAGCCGTCTCTCCATCGCCTCCTCCGCCATTGGATACGCACGACGCGCATCTGCATTCTCTAGGATCCCGCAGCGACCAGCACGATGTCTACTTCCGTCGGCGTTAACGTACGTCTACGCCTCGCCAGAGTTCCCAATGCACTACACGCACCTTGGGGAAGCTTCGACAGGCGCTTCCGATGCAAAGGTGGTTGCTAATGCGATGAGCGCAGGTTCTCCGATGGGGTGCCCTGGCCACCGGCGTCTTCTACGGCCTCTACAACCAGGTCTCGATATCATCGCGTGAGCGATTGCAAGCCAAGCAAAGGGAATGGGACCACCACGAGTCTCTGATCCAGCAGGCAAAGGCTGAGTGGGCGAAGACACATCCCTCAGAACAGCCAAAGCCAGCTTCCAGCGGAGGTACGTTGCCGACACTGCCGAGCCGCGGACCTGTGATATCGCCAGCGTTCCAGGATCGATTGATCCCCAAACATTGTGGTGCTAACGTATGCGCAGCGAAAGCAGACTCTCAGGACCCTAACGCCGACATAAACGTTGTCCTCGGCATCGCGGACGAGAAATAAGTGTGAACTCAGTTTCTTTTGTTTGGCATGGCTTGTGGTAAATACAGCGGCGGCTGGTGAGGACAACAAAGGTGAAGTTGCGGAAAGTCGTAATGCGAGATATCACTCTTGTATTAGTGTACTCTATGTACAGTATAGACCGGGAGGTTTAACGTTCCAATCTACATGCTCATTTCCATTCCGCGACTTTCAACTTCTGATCGCGCATGTCTCCGGCGAGTCCCCAGCGAGTCTACGCGCGCCAGCTTGACAACTTAGGCTCAAGACCATTCATGAGCGGGAAACCGACAACGAAATAGAAAATCAGTATCTCTACACAGGCGTCCCACTACAATCTGGCAAGGACGTCGAAATAACGAACACAAAAACCCTCTTCAAAGCAATCGAACGATGCAAGTTGGACTGATGTCGTTCACCAGGAACATCATGCCAGGCACATGTCCACAGTTACTATCTCTTGCCTTCAAAATCAAAATAGCTCGCCGACATGCAGGCCCTAGTTACACAATGTCTGACAATTAATGCTGAATTCTCGTGAGCCACGTCTGTCCAACAATCTGTGTGTATCCTCGGAATCAGCTGCAGAGTGAGAGTTTCAATATCACGACCGGCGCCCCCGGAGTGTGTCCAGATCTACAAGGACTGTTCTCCTAGGGGTTGAGAAAGTCACAGCAGATATTTAAATATTTTAGAAACGCTACGACATTTCGTGATTTGGTGATATATTATGATCGTCGAAATGATAGGTACGCCTGGATATCGATCCTATGCGTATGTCATGACTGTCATACCTATCTTTTCGACATGTTGAGAGGCTTTCGGCTATCTCGCATGTGGTAGGCCGACAGCTATATGAGCGCTCACTAAGATGAAAACCTTGCGGCAACGCATAGCAACCATACAAACGAAGGATCGTAGTGTGCAGATCGCGGGGTAATACTTGATGGTTGTTTGCAGCGGATCAAATATAACTATGGCGACGCGGAGGGCAACGGTCCCTCTCGGTATCAACCCGACCCTTTCCGATGTTTCGGCGCGTGCACATGCTGCTACAGATGGCTGACTCGAGCTGAACCACCACGCCGCGGACGGCGACAGCGAGGTCATCCGCACACGAATGGCGGGCTGTCGTGGTCATCTGCATTCTTCTCATCGGTGCCTATTGCTCGCCGACACGGAGAAGATTAGGGATATGCTGCGAAGTATCGATAGATCAGCACTGACAGCGGGCGCGGGCCTGCATCAAGACGGATATGGGATCTCCTTTATGCACCAACGTTAGACGTAAAGCGACAGATTAAGGAGCCAGCGAGGTGCACATGTGTGGGGTCCCAGGCACGGCACGTGACTGCGAGGGCTAATCGCCAAACCTTGGTCTGGCCGCGCATGACGACGAACCTGCATTGCATCCGCAGGAGGACTTCACGCCTGCGCCCAACCGACGCGAACACGCTCGCATCTCCCCGAACACTATCGGATCATCCACCTAGGATATCGCTTGCGCTTTATTTCGGCCACGCCACGCTCGATTGTGGCAGCTGCGCCTGTTGTTTATCTGTTTAAGCAAGCTCGGCCCCAGGACAAGTTCCCGACACGTCTCTCCGCGCCATGGCGTCGCTGGGTGAGGAACTGCTCAATGTCGTCAACCGCCTGCAGGACCTCGTCTTCAACACCATCGGCAATGACTCCCTCGATTTGCCACAAATTGTATGTTTGCCCCACCCCTGGCGGCGCGCGAACGGAATGATGCACTTGAACCATCCGTATGATGAATTTTCCCACTGATTTGAATAGGTCGTTGTAGGGTCGCAATCCTCCGGAAAGTCGTCGGTTCTCGAGAACATTGTCGGTAGAGATTTTCTACCTCGAGGAAGCGGCATCGTTACGCGGCGGCCTCTGATCTTGCAACTCATCAACCTTCCGAGCGAGCGCGAGGACAAGCCTGCCCACGATGAGATACACATCCCACACACGCCCGCCAGCGTCGCAGGCCAGCAGGAATGGGGCGAGTTCCTCCACCACCCTGGACGGAGGTTCTACGACTTCGCCGAGGTTAGGCGCGAGATCGAGGCCGAGACAGCGAGGATAGCAGGCAACAACAAGGGCATCAACCGACAGCCCATCAATCTCAAAATCTACTCGCCACACGTCCTGAGCTTGACATTGGTCGACTTGCCTGGACTGACAAAGGTATGTTGGGAGGCGCCCATGGTTGCGGACGGAGCTGACAGCCGTAGGTTCCCATTGGTGACCAGCCTACGGACATCGAGAAGCAGACGCGCAACCTCATTACCGAATACATCGCGAAGCCCAACAGCGTCATTCTCGCAGTGTCACCCGCAAATGTTGATCTCGTCAACTCGGAAGCCTTGAAGCTCGCCAGACATGTGGACCCCATGGGCAAGAGGACGATCGGTGTCCTTACGAAGCTCGACCTTATGGACCATGGAACGAATGCTTTGGACATCCTTTCTGGCCGTGTGTATCCGCTGAAGCTTGGCTTCATTGGCATTGTCAACCGGTCGCAGCAGGACATCCAGACCGGCAAACCGCTCGGCGATGCTCTCGAGGCAGAACGTGATTTTTTCAGACATCATCCGGCCTACAGAAATATGGCTAACAGATGCGGAACTCAGTTCCTCGCAAAGAGCCTCAACCAGACCCTCATGTCTCATATTCGAGAACGTCTACCGGACATCAAAGCTCGCTTGAACACATTGATGGGTCAGACCCAACAAGAACTTGCTAGCTACGGCGATGCAGCATTCACCGGAAAGGAACACCGCGGTTCGCTTATCCTGCAACTCATGACCCGATTCGCGTCGTCCTTCATTGCCTCGATTGACGGTACCTCCGCGGAGATCTCCACCAAAGAATTATGTGGTGGTGCTAGGATCTACTACATCTTCAACTCGGTCTTTGGTAATTCTTTAGAACAAGTGGACCCTACGCAGAACCTCTCCGTGTTGGACATCCGAACAGCGATCCGGAACTCCACTGGTCCGCGACCCAGCCTATTTGTTCCGGAACTGGCCTTTGACCTCCTGGTGAAGCCTCAAATCAAACTCCTCGAAATCCCTAGTCAACGCTGCGTCGAGCTCGTTTATGAGGAGCTTATCAAGATCTGCCACACTTGCGGATCAACAGAACTGACCAGATATCCCCGGTTACAAGGAAAGCTCATCGAGGTGGTTTCCGACCTTTTGCGGGAAAGGCTCGGACCCTGCTCCACATACGTGGGATCGCTTATTGATATTCAGCGGGCATACATCAACACCAACCACCCCAACTTTCTCGGCGCAGCGGCTGCCATGTCATCCGTCATCAATGACAAAGAACAACGCGAGAAGAAACTCGCCATGGACGCTGAAAGGAGAAAGCGGGAACGGCGCAGGTTGAAAGAGCTGAACAACGGTGCGAACGGCGAGATCGCTGAGGGTGAAGAAGAAGGAGAGGCTACGAACGAGAAAATCCTTCCGCTCCGGAAACACCAGACTCAAGCAAGTCGCAGTATGTCGCCAGCAGTAGGACGCTTGCTGAACGGATCCCACAACAGTGTATCCAGTGCACTTAATGGCCACAGAGCACGTTCACCTCCTCCTATCGGCGGGTCAGGGGCACGTGACAGTTTCCTCAACTACTTTTTCGGCAAAGACGGTGCACCACAAACCAACGCAGCGTTGGAGAGCAGACCCGGGAGTCGACACGTCAGTCAGAACATTGAGCCTAGCATCTCTCAAAGTTTCCGGCGAGGCGACACCAGGCAACCGGCTCACGTTTTGGAAATGGTGCCGGACGACGACGACATGAATAGTCCTCTGAAAGACACTTTTGACGGTGGATTCGTGAGTCATTCTAAGTCATATATTCATGTTCCAATGCTAACTGATACAGCCCACGGATGCCGAAGCCGCGCCTGCCATGACGGAACGTGAAGCACTGGAGACCGAGCTCATCCGCCGCCTCATCTCCTCATACTTTAACATTGTTCGCGAAACAATTGCCGACCAAGTTCCCAAGGCTGTTATGCACTTGCTGGTCAACCATTCGAAGGACGTTGTCCAGAACAGACTGGTCAGCGAACTTTACAAGGAAGACCTCTTCCAGGAACTTCTCTACGAAGATGACACGATCAAGGCCGAGCGCGAAAAGTGCGAAAAGCTGCTCACGACGTACAAGGAGGCAGCCAAGATCGTGGGCGAGGTACTATAGGCGATGCTATGGAGGCCACTGTAACAACGACGATTGTACGGATTTCCCTGTAGGTTCAAACGTGGTGTGTGAATAGCTAAAGGTCTCTTCTTTCGATTTTGTACTCGACACCGAGGCGTTGGGAGGCCGCCTTGTTGATATACGCTGTTTTTGTACTGGCCTCTTGACCGCATATTTCTACTCATCTGGCACCTGGCGGTCTGTTAGACGTGAGTGGCAGGGCGTTTTGCGGCCCCATTTTCACATGGACGTGTATCAAACCTCCGATCAGCAAGGGATGCGTCGCCGTGTGTAGAATACATCTCTTCTTGAACGTCCACTACACCGGTGGCTTTTGCTTGTGAGGCCTCGCCACGGTTGGGTCTTGGGCTCTCTCGCGCTCGGAAAGTGACGAATACATGTGCTGATATCTGTTATCGCAGTGGACGCACTTGAAACCCGTCCTGCGTCGAAGCAGCCTCCTGCGCGCCACCCTCGTAAGCCTCGCGCAAGCGTGTCTCGCAACACCTCCGTGTGAAACACTTGACCTCTGAGCTGGCTCGCTCTCGCCCGGTTTTCTTCAAAGACGAATAGCGCGCAGCAAATGTTTCCTCTTGCGGGATTGGGAAGGGATACGTCACGCCACTCTTCAAACAGTTGGGGTTTGCAACTTGGCAGCGTGTACGCGCTGGGGGGTTTCGGCTAAGCTTTAGATGTCCCGCTGCTCCCGACCGCGAGCCAACGCTTGCTGTCGCTCTCTACACCCACCCACCCGTCCTCCAGGGCATTTTATCCCTTCGATTCTAAGACCGCTTTGAAAGTGGAGTTTAATACAACGAATTTTCACATACACATACATTCTTTAGGGCAGCAGGCTGTCATTGCATCGCTACTTCCGTCGGCATCGCACCGCATCGTCTCGCACCGCGTCCACCAGACCGCCCAAAAGCCAACAACAATAAAAAGCGCTCTCTATACCCGCCCACCCACACCAACAACACTCCCTTCACACAGAAAACTCCCATCACTCTGGCACCCATGGCTCGCTTCGAGTTCCTCGCGCCTATCACTACGCCCGAGGCCTTGCGCAGCGTGCAGGCCGACGCGCGCCCGCTCGTCACGCTGATCCTGGCGATCGTCGGCATCTCGCTCGAGATTACATTGTGCTGGTACATTGCGTTTGCGACAAGGGACCCGAATAAGAAGAGGGAGCCCAAATGGCAGCAGTTCAAGGGATGGTTCAAGAAGTAGAGGGATAGAGGATGGGATGGGCAGGACGAATGTGGATTTGGAAAGATCGCAAGGGAAGGGGACGTCGCGATAGGAGTGGTAATACCGAGGAGGGTGCCAAAGAGAGTATTTCTTGCGACGGCCAGGTCGATATATTTATAAATACTTTTCGTTTCTTTGTGTGGGCGGTGCTCGTGCGTTTCGCGGCGTGCTTGAGCTGGCGAGTCAAGTCTGGCTATGTTTCATGCGTCCAAGCCGGCTGTGCAAATGCTAAAGATGTGATCGTATACATTGGCTTCTTTCGTGACAGGCAAGTTTTCCGTATCAAAGATGGACAGATTCTTCATGCTCTCCCGTTCGATTCTACTCCTCCATACCCTCGCATTCACAGTCTCCCGTCTCCCTAGTCCCCAGCAGTCACCTTGGGCGGAGCTTGATATCCACGCGGAACCGGGGCGTCGTACCCCAATTCAGCATGTCCATGTTTCTCAAGAAAGAAGTGAACGTGGTCGAAGAAGTGGAAACGCATATTGCGCTTCATCTTGTCAAGGTATCCACGGCCCATGCTGACTCGTCGTTTGAGCCAAGTTCGTGCGTTGGTAAGCCCCTGTAGTGGGAGTCGATACCGCTGTGAAGCCAATTTGAGGAGACGGGACGTACTTGTATGGAGATGGGACCAAGCTGAAGTGTGGGCATCAATTCCTCCGCCAGCTCGAGGAATCTCGGGAATGCCAGAGTAGGATCCCTAACCAAACTAGCAAACACCACCAGATCATGAAGTAGTTAAACTTGCATCGCATTCTATAATATGGTCCCAGTCTCTGATTGGGCCTTCATACCCTTGGATGGTGGGATGGTCAGTTGCGGTGACTTTGCGCTTGGTCTTGGTGCCGGCAGGATTCTCGTCAATACCATGCTGAAAATGCGCAATTAATCTTGTAAGAATGCTATTAAGTCGCAAAGGATTCACCGCAGGCAAAAATCTGTAGAGATCGTGCGCGAGGTTGTCAAGAATGGTAACGCATGCGTCTAGAATCTGCTTGGGAGTCAGCCCATCTCCCTCCATGACTGCTGAGTGCTGCGAGAATGAAGATGGTGCGGAGAATAGAGTCTGGGGAATTGATGCATTAGCCGTCACGGGAGGTATCTGGGGCTGTGGTTACGTTGTCGAGCACTTGCTTTCACCTCAGTTGGCTTCCGAAATCCAGGTTAGCCAGACCACCAAGCTCAAATCCCCAGAGTCTTGCTCTCAGTGTGAAAGATGAATAGTTTGGAAGGACTAAGTTCGGACTAGAAAGTTGTCACAGGATCTTATCGGTAGTTAAAGTTAATCGCGTGGGTGCTCAATACTTTGTACGTACTATAATTCATTCAACTTGAGTAAGTCATAGGAAGCATTGCATGCCGATACTATCTCCATATTGATTTATTCTATATACTACACTAGAAAAGTCATAAAGAGTGACATGTCATCATCAGTAAAAAGGTCGAGGCGAATGATACACAAGAAGACGGTTCCCAGCGCATTCGTTACCATGCCATGCAATCGATCGATTTTTTTCATCCTTGATGTATCGTTTGAAATTCCACGGCTGATGAGCTACATCTAGCACTCGCGGACGTACGCACCAATGGGCGAAGGGTTGTAGTCTTGGAAGTAGTCCAAAGACAATCCTCCAGTAGCGCACATCTGGAAGGTCACAGTCTCGCCAGCAGGGCAGGATTCCGACACAATAGTGTAGGAGTTGCCAGGAGTAACGTTTTCCACAGTCTTCACGGCCGTGCAAGTGCCCTTGTTATCCCAAGAAGTCTTGTTGTTAGCGTTGGTCTCGCACTTGGAGAACTCAAGGCCACCGGAACCGGAGATTGTATAGCTTGATGTTTCAAGATCCATCTGCTCCGGGAAGAGGAAGATCAGGGAGCAGCTCTTTGCAGAGTATGACTTGGGAATGTCGAAGTTGAAAACAGAGCAGACGTCACCGTTAGCCTTGCCGTTGTATGATGTGCCAGGGGCGTTGGATGGCTGAGAAGCAGAGACGGGGACGATCAGGTGGGGATACTGGTATTCGCCATTCAAGTCTGCAGGACAACCGTTGCCATTTTCGTTATCGTTGGATGGAGGCTTAGACTGGGCTGGCTGTGAAGGAGCTGGCTTTGAAGGGGCAGGCTGGGACTGAGCAGGAGCCGAGTAGCCTGGCTGAGATGGTGCAGGTTCAGACTGAGCTGGTTGGGAAGCAGCTGGCTTCGAGGGTGCAGGTTGAGACTCCTTCGGCGGCTGCGATTCCTTAGGAGGCTGAGGAGTTGGCTGCGAAGGTGGAGGAGGTTGCGACTCCTTTGGCGGCTGAGGCTGCTGCGGGGGAACAGAATAGCCTGGCTGCGAAGGCGCGGGAGGCTGCGACTCCTTTGGCGTTTGGGACTCCCTTGGAGGGACGGAGTAGCCTGGCTGGGATGCAGCAGGCTGGGACGCATTGGGAGGTTGAGATTGAGCTGGCTGGGATGCAGACTGAGAGGCACCTCCGCCATTGCCAGCACCGCAAGACTGGCCAGCACCTAAAGTAATCTCGACACACTTCTCCTGGCCAGGGGCAGGCTGAGTGTAGACGTTGTACTCGCCGTTGTCGTTGACAGGGCAGGCATAGAACTTCGAATTTCCGTTATATGCGACCGAGCCTCCATTGATGGAAAATCCATTGGTAGGGCTGGCACCAGCATCACACTGGAATTGGGTCGTGGGAGGGGTAAGGATACAGCCACGGCCATTGCTGTCCGTGAAGCCGCCACTGCCGTCGAGGCAGTAGCAAGCAGCCTCGTGCCCCCCACCAACGCGATTCTGTCCATCGGATAGCTGGCCGAGAGTACCTGACGCACCTCCTGAAGCTCGGAGCTGCACACATTGCTGGCTCTGGCGGATGGCCAAAGCTGAAGAGCCTACGGCAAAAACGAGTGGGATAACAGCGTACTTCATCTTAAGCAAGTTAATGAAAAGAGATGCAACGAATACAGTGAAGTGATTGTAATGATTTTTTGTGTTGACCTGTAGATGAGGATGTCATCAAAATGGATGAGGGCCGTCCATTTTATACCATAGCAGACACGCACCAGGAGAAAGCCACAAGGTCCTCAGCTTCCGCGCTCATGATCATGTATGACATAGAAGTGGGTTGAGTTGCTAATAGTTTGAGCTATTAGATTAATCCACTGGATAAGCCATAGGTAGATCTTATTCAAGTGTCGAAGCGGGAAAGCTTGGTTCGACTTATTATTAGACTTTTCAAGTAACACGCCCACTTCCTATTGACCACAAGACTAGGCAGTGAACGGCAGTCGCCCAATAACCAGGCACAAACGTAGACTGCGTTCTGTAATACGAGGATTGACAGGTACGGAACCAGTAAGCAAAGTCGTGCGGGACTGTGGGTCCTCTACAGATGACCGTACACGATTGACGTATGATGCGGGATTTATACCGAGGTTGACGAATGGCCAGAGGGAAGCTATACTCGCTACTCAGGGTAACTCAGGGCGCTGTCAGACCCACGGCCGCGAAGACAGAGTCATCGTAGATTCGAAATCTGGCGAGGTTTCCGAAGCTCATACACTAGCACGGGCAATCAATCCATTGTCATTCAAGAGGGTATTGCTCACTGCCGAAGCACATTCGATGATTCTCTACTAGAGACCTTTCTGATTCTCAATCGAAGCGTTGCTCAAAGGCGCTGTGTGTCAGGTCAGTTGTCAATCGGAGGCTACCCTCGATGGCCGCGTCAACGCCGGAGAGCAAATTGTGATCCACGCCGTTGTCAAATCTGTGCGGGTATGAACCAGTGTCGCCGAGGTCCATCGCAAAGTTCCCGATATAGTCATTCACGCCCACTGTTTTCTTCACTTACAACCAGTAACGAACGTCGAGAGAAGCTTCTAGGAAGACCCTAGACTAACGCTATTCCGCAGTTCTCGTTGGGACAACGGCATCATGGAGAAATGTGGAGTAGACGAGCAAGTGCAGCTTCCGCGTTCTCCGGGGTACAGTGCAAGGATTCTAGACTTCACCCCAGTGGGTACAGGGTTTGAAATTGACATGAATAGTTTCGTCGGGCTGCTATTGATCGAATAACCGGCATAGAGATAAATGGTTCGCGATTGCTTAGCATCGACTTGCGCGTCGCGAAAAGCAGGTACAATCCATTGGGAGTGGTGCAGATCATATGTTGGATGAGGCACCGATGACGAAAGCGGGTGGGGAAACATCAAGACAACGAAAGGAGCACACGCGACAGCTCAACCCACGACACTGCCAGTGTGCATGCTCAAGTGCTACGAGCCCTAATTTGCGACTGGAGAGTTAACGATTCGATAGCTCATACTTTCAAACTTCCATCTGTAATTCTGAACTGCACCTTCATCTGTCAACATGCGGACATCCAAGCTCATGGCCCTTGCAGCTAGCTTAGGCGCAGCTCTCGCCCTACCCACCGAACTATTGCAACAACCACTCGGAGACGCGACACCAAGCAGCTTTCTCAAAGTTCAACAGGAGTACGCGTCACACATCCACATAACTACACCCGGACTAACATTAGCATCGGTAGACTGAGAAAAGCGGAGATCATACCCACAGGTAACTACATAGCCTACCTTGACATCAGCGCTCCACACCGTGCACTCACATCGCGATCTAGTAATCGACGATTTTCTGCCCTCATTGACCCTCACGGTATCATGGAAAAAGGATGCTGCCGACCTCGGCAATACCATCAAGCCGAAACGCTTACAAAAGCAGCCCACCCTCTTGCTATACGATGAAGCAGGTCCAGAGGGATTGTCATCATCCGATCTGAGTTATGTGGTCACTCTCACCGACCCGGATGCTCCGTCCCGCGACAATCCGGAATGGTCAGAAATGTGCCACTGGATAGCGGCCAACGTCTCCGTCTCGCAGAAGACTGTGTCCATCCTCCCTATGCCTATCTTTGGAATGGAAGAAGTAGATGAAGCAAGTGCCCCCGACGACGTTATCGAGTACAAGCCACCTGGCCCACCCGAGAAGACAGGCAAGCACCGCTACGTGTTCCTGGTATTTGCACCTCGCAATGGGACGACTGAGCCGCTGCATTTGAGCAAGCCAGAGGACAGACAGCATTGGGGAACTGGCGAGGAGAGAGGTGGTGTGAGGGATTGGGCAAGGGAGAACGACCTGGTGCCTGTGGCGGCAAACTTCATGTATTCGCAGCACAAGAAGCAGTGAGAAGGTCGCACAAGAGCAGCCGCTGGCATAGAATTTGTACAAGACCTACGGCATTCGAATCGATTTCAGGACGAGCTTGAACGTCGTGCAATACTTCAAAAGCCGCCAGATCAAAGTCATAAAGACGTATCCACTGCCGGACTAGTGTAGGGCACGCGCGAGTTGTTACAAAACTTCTATGCCGCAGGAAGGCCAAAGCACTGGTGCATCGCTCCATTAATGATCTGACCATATCATCTTCACTCGTTCCCTTGCCCTATCCCATTTGCAACCCTCCCTCCCATCTGTCTCCCTATCACGCACTCTCCTCATCTCCCTCCACACCCGTCACCACAAACACCCCCTCTGCTCTACACCATGAACACCCCCGCCGCCCCCGCCAGTGCCCCCGCAAGCCCAATCTTCCGATACCCCGTCGGCACCGCCTCGCCCATGTATACAACCGCCGTATTCGACCCCGTCGCGCTGAACCTCTCCCCCGACGTCGTCCGCGCTGTCTCCACTCCCGTCCCTGCTATCGTGGTCCCATTGCCTGTTGGCCGCTCCAGCGATACTGTGAAGGCGAAGTCGCTGGTTGGTAGTGTTGGCGCGGCTGCAGGCGCGGTTTCTGACGCTGTGGAGTTGGGGACGAGGGTCTCAGTGGAGGGGGAGAAGGAAGTGAGGTTGGTGAGAGAGGCAGAAGAAGTCGTGGATTGTGCTGATGCGGTGGTGCTGGAGGATTTTGTGGTGAGGCCGAGGAGGGAGAATAGGGTTGTTTTGCGGAGAGAGGGGCGCCGCATTGTGGTGGAAACCAAGCCTGAGCTGTGGTTCAAGGACGACTAGAGGTAGGAGCGCTTTGTATCGTTTGGTAGAACTCTTGTGGTAGAGGTAGTGATCGATCGATGTGCTGGTCTTGGCCGGTATGCTTCTTGTGCGACGAGTGAGGAAGTCAGGACCGTGTGGAAATGCAGGTTTCCACTCGAATCTTAATGGATCCCTCTGCGATTCAAGAGTCTTGCGTTTCTAGATTGCAAACGATATAAGACGCAGCGACACTTTCCTCTGCATAAGCTACCCATCAGTCACCACTACCGATGCTTCACCAAGCCGGACTCCGACCTACGCTCTCGTTGGCCTCACCAAACCAGATCGATCGAATGTCTAGCCACATCGAGACTGACAGCTCCTGTTGTGTTCCTTTCCGGGGTTTGTGGTTGGGCGTGCATGAACGCTGGCCGCTTCGGCTCTCCACAGCTTGCCGCAGCTGATGTGGTGGGAGCCGAAGGTAAGGCTGACCGAGCGGGGAATAGTTACACACTGTACATGTGCAATATAATCATTGGCTTTTCGAGGCGTTGAGATGGAGAACACGGAGTAAAAGCGGGCCCGCTCGTGGAAGGTGGAGATGCATGCGGAGAGAAAGCTTGAGGAGTTGTAGGCCGTGCTTAGGAGTTGCTGTGGCCTCGACTATTGCGCCGCATTGTTGAGGGCAAGTCATATTGGCAGGTGAATATCTTTTTCTTAAGAATTACTGCACGTTAGTATCGTGAGATTGTGAGCGATAAGTTGCGGGCCGGTGGATTGAGAACATCGTAGAAGCACTACGGTAGCAATTCACTGAAGAACAACAGCACTGAGCTTGACCTCGTCTTCCACACAGCTAGCTCCCCTACCATAACCACTGAGAAGCTTACAGCGCAATGAATAAATGTGCGAGTATTGAGGTGCGAAACATGCTTCGACAAAGAACCACACGTTCAACCCTTCTCACGCACTTTTGGTGCGGGTTCCGGTAGGTGAACACCTCGCACCTCACGCGATTTTTTGTTTTTCTCAGCGCGTTCAAGTCTCACAATAATGTGATACTTTTGCGAAGGATGCCACCATTATGATCTAGCCCCGCCGCGGCCCATTCCTCGCAATGCAATGCCCCTCGTTTGCCACGCGGAGCCCCTCCGCCAAAACAAGAGGTTCCTACTGTAGCGTCCTGCAACCCAGCTGCAGGGACTCGCGCGGCGCGTGACTGCCCCGACCTCACCTCTTGCCGCCCACATCCAACAAAGATGCGTTCACAATACGACAGGACAATATAGACATGTACGTCGCATGCAGCGCACGGCGTGCGACCGGGAGAACGCGAACGCCTGACGCCGGAGGGTCAAGTGACAAGCGCGCGTTTCAGGTTGCGATGCGATCAAAGAGCGCGAGGGAGGCACCCGTATGTAAGGTCATTGACTTACGGGCTACGCGCGTGACTGTTGGAACAAGCTTTGAGAAGAACGGTGGCTGGCCGCGTTGATGGAAGAGGCAAACAATCCATTGAGCTCTCCCAAAGAAGAGGATGCGTGGACAGTCCGTTGTCGTGGGGCGCTCACTCTACACGCGCGTCAGGCAGGCGCATTGAAAGAACCCGAGGAATGGTCTTCGGATGCTGCACCGAGGTAGGGCTTGGGCTGGTTGCACAATGCCATCATGCGCAAGCTGTGCACCTATGCTGTGGTACCTTCGTCGGCCAATGCCGTGGTACGGGCAACGTTTCTCGAAACCTGTGGATTGCAGGCGGATCGAAGCATGGGAGTAATCTAGCCGCGACTTGGATAAATGAGAAGCTGAAACAGATACAACGGTCGTTGGGTGATCCTGAGTAACATGGTACGAGGATTACCAGTAAGCAATCATGTCGCATGAGCAAGATCGTGTCACGCACAGCAAGAGCAAATATGGTTTCAAGCGTTTTCATTTTTGGCCCGTTATCTGCCTGCCATGTACAGAGGCCCTCGCCCTTGGCAGAGCCAAACATCCGCGCAGCAACGTCGCATGCGTCATCAATGCAATTAGAAATAAGAGCAATCCTTCACATTATCCTCTCCCGAGAAATGCTGAGGTGATATCATTCGAAAGCAAAACATAAACAGAAGTGAAGAGAAGTGAGGGACGCTTATGCGAAGTAGGCGAAAGCACCGATGGCGCCGAAGAGAGCGGCAGCGTTGACGCCGAAGGACGACGCAGCGCCGGTGTTCTCGACGGGCGGGGAAGAGCCAGTGGGGGAGCCAGAGGCCTGGGACTTGGTCGCAGAGGGAGAGCCAGTGGAGATGGTGCTGTTGGCGCCGGCGCTGGGGACGATGGAGCCGGAGGCAGAGGCGGAGGCAGCAGAGGTAACAACGGAGGTCTTGACGGTGGTAGAGACCTCGGTGGAGTGGGCGGTGGACGAGGCAGCAGCAGACGAGGCCTTGGTGGAGTAGGCAGACGAGGAGACTGCCGAGGCAACACCACCGCTCAGGGCGAACTGGCCAGAGTAGTTGGGCTCAGCGCCGGCCTGGCGGATCTCGAAAGCGTAGTCGTCGCCGTTCTCGAGGCTGGAGGGAACAGCCCACTCGAAGGAACCACCAGTGGAAGTGGCTGCAGACTGTTAGTTTCTGGTGTTGTGCTTACACATGGGGTTGCGACGTACTGGTGAGGGTCTGGAGAGTGTCAAGGTTGGTCGAAGGGCCCTTGCGGAGGATGATGGTGGTGGCAGCATCCTTGGGGGAGTAGGTCAGGGTGACGGTCTGGCCGGCCTTGACGCTGTCGGGCCACGAGTTGAACTCGACGGCGAAAGCAGCAGAGATGAGGGCAGCGCCCGACAGAACGACCTCGAAGAAACGCATGTTGACTGTTTGGGTGGTGTGGGTTGGTGTGGTAGCGATTGGCGGTTGACCGGATTAAAGAATTAGAGTGTACTAAGGGTATGTGGTTGAAGCGGGCTTGGTAAGTGAGTGACTGGGTGAGGAGGAAAGAGCGCGGTGGAGAGCAACCGCAGATGGGCAGCAGGCAGCCTTTTAGGAGCGCGTGGGCGGGCGGCAATACAAAGCCAGAGCAACGGGAGGAATGCAAAATTGGCTGCTTAGCCTGATCAGGCCTGGGTAGCGACTGGGTAATTAGCATCCTCCTGGTCCATGGGGCCAATGGCGAGCGGACTGGCTGGCCCCGGCGGCCCCCTTTCCACATCGTGTCGACGGGCTGCGTCGTGGGCGCATCTCTGCCCTTCACGCGCGACGGCTTGGCCTGCATCGGGCCACCCACGGCGGTGCTGCCTGGTCGCGCCGTGCAGGCCGGCTAGCTGCTTGCGGAGTCGCGGTGCGCCGCCCAATAACGCGGGGAAATTCAGGGGCAGCCCGCTGGGCGAGGCCTGCTGCGCGGCGCCGAGCGCACACAGGGCACTGCGAGATGCACGATCTGCTGCTATCGATTGAGGCGATCGCCGCGCCTCTGCCATCTGGCGGCGCACCTGGCACCGCTGCGTCGCGCATTCTGCATTCACAGCTGGCGCCCGGCAACCGCGACTAGACAAGCGCCTGCCGCATTGGGCCGCGCGCAGCGCCCCCGTCCAGATGCGAACCCAATGCGAACGCCGCCCTGTCGCCATCCGCCACCGCTCGCGCTCGCGCGACGGCTTCCAGCTCCTGTCCTGTCGCCGATGCGCCGCGGTGCATCCAGCCTCTGCGCACTGCCCGACAACGACACGGCAGTCCCGCCCGGAAATGATGGGTGAATGCGGCCGGCGCACGCCCGATCACCACGAACCTGGACTGTTGGAGCGGGTCCGTCATTTTCTTCTGCGAGCTAGCGACGCTCATTTCGCTTTGCCCATGCGCCGCGCTGAAAACAACGCTCGCCTGGCCTAGCGTCCATGTGCAGAGCCTCATGGGTGTGCACATAGAAAAGGAGAGCGTGCCCAGTGACGTCGATGTGCCTTTGTTACTGACGTCTGCACTGCTCAACAAGGATGTGCTGCCGTGCGCTGCCATGCACAGCCAACCGGCCTGCTGTTTGCCATGGTCGTACCCTGGACAGCCTTTCACCAACGGCCCACCGTAACAACGCTTGACAGGTGCCACATGGATTGTGCTCGAGTGCGGTAACAGCCGCTAGACGGTCCACAGAACAAGACGCTGCGTCTTTGAGTTGGAGCGTACGCGGTCAACCGTCAAAGAAGCACCTACAATGCCATTGTCTTCCGCCTCCATCTCATTGAACACCCTTCTTGCCGAGCTGACGCTCAGGTGTAACCATGCCATAGCCGCCTCATGCCTCCATAGAACCCGGCCTCGGCAGACCGACCGTCCGCACAAGGAAGCATCATCCCGGCCATCGTCCAACGACACGACAGATCCCGATCCGATTGCAATACTCCGCGTATGGATACCGTGATCTAGAACCATTCCAGATGCCATCACAACTCCACATTGTAGCAGCCTCACGATGACAGTACCACCCGATGCCCGAGTTCACGCACGTGGTATCGATGGTAGAGTTTTCGAATTACTTATATCGATCTAGAATGTCCCAGGGAACATGACTTGTTGTGCATGAGAACTTCCCTCGTTGGTCCGGTGGTTGTAGCTTGAGCTTGCATGTAGCGTATCCTGGGGTAACACGCAATGCATATACATGGTCAAGTTCCCTGCCAAGTGGCCATGATTTGAGCAACGTCACAATCACTCTCCATACCCAGAAGACAACCCATCCACGAAGTATTCAACGATCTGTAATCCACGAACCGATTCCCCGCAAATCCTCATTCTCGTTCGCATCCATCCCCTAGATAAGATCGTCCTCGAGGTCCTCCTTGAATCCCTGGAAATCACCCTCCAAGTCGAAATCTTGTTCGAACTCGAGACTCTTCAGGTCCTTGCCTGGCGTAAGAGAAGCCTCGTCGGCGATCATGCCCTTCTTTCCACGGCCATTGGGAGTGGCCTTCGGGGTCTTCTTAGGCGTGGCCTTCGGCTTCTTCGGAGTGGTGGGAGGAGTCGCCCCACCAGATGCACCGCCTGCCTAGGTCAGTACTGGCTCCTTGGTAGCGAGAGGCTAAGTTGAGATACGTACCACGCTTCTTAGCTGGGGCGACGGCTTCGAAGGTCTCGCCAGCGTCGACGCGGGCTTGAAGCTCCTTGGCCTTCTTGATAATGGAGCGGAACGAGTGCTCGAAGGAGGAAGCAGTCCTCGTGCCGTCGAGGGACGACATGATGTTGTATTGAGCCTTGCTGATCGAGGTGCTGCCCATGGCCATGAGGAGGACGGCAACCGTGTCCTCGGAGACCACCTTGCCGCCGCCGCCGCCGGAGTTTGCGTCGTTGGCTGCGATGCGTGTCAGTAATGTGCAATATGGCAGCTGTGTCTTAGCTTGGCTTACACATGGCGATAACTGAGGAAGGAGATTCTCGCAAGTTGGATGGCGGTGTTGCCGAAACACAAGCACCGGGATTCGAGTCTGGAAACGGATTGTTAGAAGAGGCTATTCCTGGAGAAAGAAAAGAAGAGAATGCGAGCGACCTGAAATAGTTTGCGCGGCCGTGGGCAGTGATGCAGATGTCGCAGGACCAAGGATAGCGTGGTATTGTTTTGGCCAAGAGGGGAAGATCGCAGGCTGAGGTTTTCATGGCAAAGCGGGTGAAGCGGGCGAAACTCGCGTTGCTGTGGTGAAGGTGAGTGACAGGTCTGCGGCGCACTGGCACCAGGAAGGCAGCGACGACGTGGCAGCGAGAGCGGTGAGATCGCGATGCGTTCATTGCCACTTGCTTTTCAGCAACTAAACTCTACTCTATCCTATGAGTGGGTTAGAGACGCGCTCTAGTCTCATCATCTCAAGTTCAGAACGAACAGGAATATATCATTCAGCACGAACAGGAATATATCATTCAGCACGAACAGGAATATATCATTCAGCGGACGCATCGTGAATCAAGTCTCCTCAAGATGCTTTGACAGAATGGCTACATGGCTCTGTTACTGCCTCCAGCGGTACGCAGTAAACACATACGCGATTGTAGTATACATCGAGAACGTGCTTCGAGCTCTTCGCATACGCATCCCTCCTATTTCCCCATCTCAGACAACAGCTTCGCCTGTCGTTGGATAGCCGCGTTCATCGCATCTTTCGACCCAAATTTACCCAGTAGTTCGCTTTCGACTTCAGAGAACTTCTGCTGCACGCTCTTAGTGAAGGCGTTTCCCGTGCCATGGCTCATTGTCGATGTGACGTTGATCGTATTCATGAGCATGGCCGCTATGAGTGCCAAGTCCGCGCCAGAAGCAACTTCAGCGCCGGTGCTCGCCAGATACTGTGCCAGCATCGCCATTCGCCAGGTTTGGACGACGCGGATCGGGTGGTGGATTTCAGGGTAGAGCTTGGGTATGACATGGCGATGCCGCTTTGCACACTCGAGCCATGCGCCTTCGTAGTTGCCGACCGCGAGCATGTTGACGATGAGTTCGTCCCTGAGAGCGGGTAGAGGTTGCTGTTGGACGGACCACAGGTTGGATTGGGTGCAGAAGGCGATAGCTTCCTCGAGGGAGCGAATCGCTTCGGCTGGGTCGGATTGTTGCTGTGCTTCTTCGTACATGTTGAAGGCTTTCATTTGTAGTGTTGCAACTCTTTGTTCATCGCTTGGCTCCTCTGCAGACTGACCCTGAGCACGCTTGACTTCCTCGTTGGCTAGGTTCCGATAATGAGTTGTCAGACTTCCCAGCTTCCTTGACCAACCGTCTTGTTCGAAATCCAGACCCTGTAGACACTTGCTGCACTTACACTCAAAGAACCAACGCTGTCCAAGCTCACTTTGACGTCGCAAATAGGGCATCGTAGGGTCGATATACGAGATGAAAAGTTCCTCGTCCCTTTTGATGTCTCTAAGTGCTCGGAGCTGCATCTGCGGTCCGTCCATGACAATGTACGTGTTCGGGTCGCAAGAATGGTTTAGATGGCACAATAATGCGTCGATGAGGATTCCCAGCGGCTCGAAAGTCGGAGTCACCAGTGTCATCGAATTCGACAGAATTCTGGCATACATTTGAGCGACAAAATCCTTGTTGAAGGTATCTTGCGTGGCAGAGAATTGGCTGGTACCCATGGCCATCAGTTCGATGCCTTCGTAGTTTCCATTGGCTTTGAAGTCGTCGATATGTGAGCCAAGATGGCACAGTAGCTGCCACGTCTGGTCGTCGATCAGGCCGTGTTTTCTTCGGACCAGGATTTCCATGCAGCCAAGTACGGCTTTGGGTAGCTCTTTTTCGGCCACCGGCTTTAGGTTCTTACATTCGTACTTGTGGCCGCGCTTCCATGCTTCTTTCTGGCATGCCTTTAATGGTCGTCAGTCGATTTGCTTGTTTGCAATGGGTCGTGCAGTGTACCTTGCTGCAGTATCGGAACCTTTTACATCCCGCGCACATTTGCACTGTAACACCTTCCTTCACATACAATCTCGAACCAATAGATGTGCCCTCGGTCCATACATAGCAGTTTGCGCAGGTATCTTTCAGTCTCTCGGACTCAAGTGAAGCCATGAGTGGACGTTCTATCATAACGATAGACTCTCCACTTGTGAGATCTCTGTTGCTGAAGAAACCTTTGCCCGCGGCCTGTCCACCAATGATGGAATCTCTAATGTAGTATCCATCCTGGCTCATGGCGCCAGTATCCAGCTGGTGAAGCTTGGGCAGACCTCGGGGTGAATAAACAGCTCCGCGGTGTGTTGGAAATCCTGTGTCTTTCAGTGTAATCCAAAAATTGGCTTGATATGAATCCAGCAAGCTGTGTTGCTCCAGATGGTTTACGTGTTGTGCAGCAACATGCCGTTCCAGTGTTCGTGTTTGAGAAGAGGCTCCATGCTAACCAATATCGGATTAGCGTATATTACAAGCGAGACTTCTTAGCTAGGGCACCAGCTTTGCCATTACCGCATGATGTACTTGCTGTTTGTCTTTATACTAGTGCCCCCACGCAGAAAGCCAAATTTACATGTTGAGTGATCCGGCCTGCTAATCGCCCGTGAATTTCTGTGTTGGGTCTAGTTCGATTGTTTTCAGGAGACCAATGGTCTCAGCCTTTTCAATCTCTTGGTAATATGCTTCACACGCGTTGCAGCAGTCGGGGCTATGCGTGCGATACTGTTCAGTCGTCGCAATTCATGCCCATCATACCATGCAATCTCACAGTGCTTAACATGGTTGACAAGCACAAACGATGCACTGTACTATAGATCCTCGCTTTGTTGAGGTGCCATATGTGACACTGTCATCTTGTTCCATATCTTCCATTGCAATCATGAATCAGAACCAAACCAACAAGCCAAGTCTCGAGACTCTTCCTACTGAAGTCAAAGATGTCATCACTTCCTTCATTGACAGCTCGTCAAAGCTTGTTCGACTCGCTTGCCTTTCACGAGAGCTGAGAGAGTCCGCGCTCCAAGCTTGCTGCAACAAGCGTCAATATCTCCTTTCAGCATATCGCCTTACTTATAGGCAGATCTGGTGATATTGATGACTATCTTGCTCTGCGAGGGTTCGGGATTGTGGCCACAGCCTACTGGGCACTAATGTCCCTGGGATCGACAGTCTTTTTGCTTCCGTCAAGTTGAGTGATTTCAGAGTAGGATATCTTGGTGAGTGCTGGGAAATACCTAGGATCCAACCGAAACCCTTCTGCTGCTGATTTGGTGACCAAAACACGAAAGTATCATAGTACATATCACCGACAGGAAAGGTGTACATTAGGTACTCGAACTCCATAGTGAGTTTTTCAAGACTGTATGGGACGAGTTTGTATGTGCCTAGTCGAGAGTCTCCGTTCCACCAGAACCCACGCGGTTTATCGCGGGACGGGTTGAACCATACGGTAGATATCACCGTCGATTTGCGCAAGCTTTTGAGACGGCTGAAATCTGTTGTTTGACCTTGCGATCGCCATTGCTGAAAGCCTTCCCCCTGATTGTCTCTGGTCCGGGCGGCGTGTCCTCGAAGCTCTAGTTCGCGTGGATTATTTGCATATGATGGAAGGGCGGTACTGAAGTTCTCAGGGCGAAAGGGTACGTTCAGTACTGATACAGAGAGAAACATGAGGCCTGAAGCTTGTTTGCGGAGTTCGCTGATTTCGTGGGTCGTCAGGGTCGTTTCTCTTAGCCAGACCTCTTCCTTGTTCTCTAAATGGGCTTGCTTTTCCAGACTACTGATAGATATGTCATTGTTGGGTCGGGGAAGACGATTTTCCAGTCATTTGGCCGGCCATTAAGCTTATATTCCCATGAAGAGGAGCTTCCAACGACTTTTCTTACCCCTCGCACCTAGCGTAGTTGGAGGAATAGGTAGATATGCATTCGGGTGGGAAAATACCAGCTCCGGTGTTTCAAGGCTTTCCACCAGTGACCAAAGATGCATCCTTGGCCCAGCATGCTGAATTTGTCCCCTTCCGCCAATGCTTAGAGATATATCTCGGTTTCTTTATCTAATCTTAAAATGATTGAAGTACGATTTTGATCGGCTATAAGCTGAAGGGACTATGAAAATGGACTAGCCATCGACGACCAGCCAAGCAACACTAAGTGAAGACGTCACCGGCAACGAAAACCAGTGCCATTTCCTCCCCGTTTGTTCACTTGCCATCCTACCAAAGTATCAGCGCAGCAAGTTCGGGCGCACGCTGTTTGATGTGTATATTGAGTGTGACAAAAGGGAAACGGCGTATGCAAAAGGAATCAGATCATTGCTTATGATCACCTGCTGCCCTTCCGTAAGAACTTAAATTCTGAAATTTAAAGGCTGAGAGACTGCGCTTTTGGAGACGGTGGGTGGTACGATATGTAGGCGACATCACTTACACTCGCATTGCAATTTGATGTATTAATGTATACAGGTGTTTCAATTGCACTAGTTGCAGCGACATCGCATGGGATAAGATAGATAGTCGCTGGAAAGGCGCAGCTCGACTCCGCAGGTATGTTTCGCATTTCTGCAGGCTTGACTCGATGCTACGGTACTGCCGGCGCTGCAGTGACGACTTGGTCAAAAACAATTGCCCAGATTTGTGAGATATGCCAAAGCCTGCGAATAGAGGACATGCCTAATAGAAGTCCTTCCAATTTCCCCAGATGATCTCGTTTTTGTACTTCTTCATAAGCTGTCCCGTCGGATCCTCGCCCTTCACATGCGCCCATGCGCCAGCAAAATGCACCAGAAAGTGGCCGTGCCTCCAAGGCCGCGCTGGCTCCTCGTAGCACGGTATTTCATCCGGAAACGAGTTGACCATCCACTGCGGAATGCTGGTAGTCCTGGCTTTGGAGACTGGGTCTTGCTCCATGTGCTTGGTGATCGCATCCTGCTCGCTCAGCTGCGCCTCCGGGTCCACCTTCTTTCCAGCGGCCTCAACAGCGTACACATCGTCTAGGAACTTGAGCGAGCGCTCGCCAGATCGGACGATAAACGAGCCGAGGTTGAGATTGTTGCAGTCGTTGGAGAAGAGGAAGTCAAGGTCATCTGGGTTCGTGGCGTTCTTCAGCGTCTCCTCGATGATGTCGGTGACCTTGATGTCCGTATTCGTAATCAAGGTGTCGAAGTCGAGCCACCATATCCAGTCCCACTGTTCCTTCTTGACCAAGCGCCGAATCATGTCAAACTTCCACCACACTGTGCCTTTATCCCTTGTGTGCGCTTCGTAATCGACGATGAGGTCGTAGCCATGGCGGCGAACGTAGTCTGTCCAGGTCAGTCAGGCGGCTTCTGGGTTCATTCTAGCCACGTACGGTCTTTGGACTTGAGCGAGATGTGAATGTACGAATTCTGATCCGTCACGAACGTCACCAGAGCTACGCGAAGAGGCTTCTTGGGAGCGGCGGACACAGGCTTCGTGGTGGTAACTGGGGCTGGCTTCGGTGCAATTGAGGCTGTCGAAGGCTTCTTCTCAACTGCTGGCGCTGGAATGCGCTCTGCTGGCGGTGGCGGTGGTCGCGGTGCGGGCGCGGGAGTGGGAAGCGGCGAGTGGCTAAAGTGCCATCCAAGGAACCCGCAGAAGATGAGAAAGAGAAGGAGCGTCGGCGGTATCCTCAGCGACCGCATCAGCATCTTGAAAATGCATGCACTTCCAGGCTATCAAGGCGGGCAGAGAGCTGGGCCAGGGTTGCCATCGCGAAAGCCGCCCTTACTGACTGCCAAGTATATGAGGGCTGAGGGCTATTCTCGTGGCGCCAACTACGCGGGTCGAGACCATCGGCTGAGTCGGGACGAGCTGAAGCAGGTCGAGATCACGTTACCGCGCGAAAAGCGACATAGGAACAAGACATAGAGCACACGATCAGCGTAGCATCTCGTCGTAACGTTAGGTTCCCCGTTGCGCTCCACTCTTTGGTCCTGCCAAGCTGTTTGTTCCTGGATGCGGGAGCTGCGGGCAAGCTCCACACAGTGCAGCAGCCGCTAATCCAGCCGCGGCACTGCCTTCCCAACCACCTCCGAATGAACGGTGATATCGTTTGGTGATACCCGCACCCTTTCGTCTGCACTATATTGGGCGCTTTTTCATAGCACAATGTCGAACCTTCGAGGCAGAGGAAGTAACGCACGCGGAGGCCGAGGAGGTGCATGGCATGGTCAATCCTCCGCGCTGAAAGGAACCTTTCTCAACGGCGTTTGGCACTGTAGGTCGATGCGCGATACTGTGGACTGCAAACATCTAACAGAATTCAAGGTGATTGCACCCCTCCGTTGCCTGCAGTACATTTCCAGACAAAGAAGGCAGGTCCAAACAATGGGAAATGGTGTGAGTATCCGCTATCAATAAGGTAAACACGCACACACCTCTGAACATGCTCGTAGTCCGAACTTGCCAGAAACCGCAGGAACAACGTTGCAAATTCTTTCTATGGGACACGGAAGCCCATCCGCGTGAAGCTGCCGCCCTAGCGAGCAACTCGCGCAGTGAGCCTGATCATGGAACTACGACTACACCCCGAGCCCAACGTGCTGTGTCCCCTCCCCCAACATACGCGCCAGACGCTGGCCCTTCAAGGAGTGGTAGGAAGCGTGACCGAGCGACAGCCCAAGAAGAGCAAGATGAATTCGACTTGGGCGAAGGCAATGCTGATATTCGAGACGAGCTCGATCAGGTCATGGCAGCTGCAGAAACACCGAGCAAGAGGCCCCGCACTGATGCTTTTGCAACTCCTTCTCGTCCAGCTAGGCGCAGGCTGCCATGGCAGACCGACCCTGAACCCCTACCAAGTGCACTGCCGACGCCACAAACAGAATCGCGAACCTCAAATGAACTCTTCCCAACGCGGTTTACTGCTCCTGGAGGCTCATTGCTCACTCCTTCACGTTACCATTCATCCGAAGAGTTCGGCACGGTGACACCCAGCTCCTCTCCGAACGAAACCCCCACGCCGGCTCGCTTCAAGAACGCTTCCGAGCACGATCTCGTCCGAGATGCCTTCGATGTACTGCGCGAGGCGAACGTTGAGCTGAGCGAACAGACAAGAAGAAACCTGGCTGCGATTCTTTCGAGGCATGCGACCATCGCTGAAGGTGTGAAGAAGGGGCGCAACGTTGCAAGAGCCTCAATAACCGCCAAGACAGCAAAAGTAACCGAGCTTACGTATCGCGTGAGCACGCTTGAAGCTGAGTTGGAGGCCGAAAAGGCAAAAGTTAGCCATCTGCAGTGGACCGTGGAGCACGGGCAGCAATCAGATTAATGTTTGCTTCAATGTCAATGTTAACCTTTAGTATTCTGTAATATGGGCTTATGGCTGAGTTGCACAATCTGCACCCGCCGTATCGTGCTACATCGCGAGCGATGTCGCGTTGGAATAGGCCCATCGAAACCATGCATTCACACATGCCTCCTGCTGGTCATCATTGGCATCTAACAGCCAGAGTCACAGGTTCTTATCGCGGGCTGCGCAGGTGCATGCCAATACAGAACTAGAAATGTATCTGGCATCGCTCACGTGGCAGGATGCAGTTTTGGCGCCTAGCATTGATATGATGCTGTTTATGAGGGCGCCACTAAGAGGTGGAAATAGAGCCAGGGCGTAAGCGGAACTGGGAGCGTTACTAGCGTGGCAATTAAGCGAGTTTGGGCAACTACACGTCAAGCTTTCTTCATTTCAGGTGCATGCTTTTCACTTTTGTAAGCCACGGGTGACACTTACGCAATACCGTGTAAATTATGAGTCGTTCCTGGCGTTCGGGCGCCTCTGCCGTGGTTGGTCGTGGGGCGGGCACACGCCAGCGTGGTTTTCGCGACAGTAATGACGCCACCATCGACTCCAATCGACCATCTGCGCGTTTTGTGCGGTTTTCACTAACGCGCTTTTTGTGCGGCTCACAGCTAACCCGCCAGACATTCGTATGAAATCCGTCTCCCTCCCCTCCTATGCTTCTTAAATCAGCGCAAAAACTCAGTGTACTCGGTCTTAGATTCTGTCGCTCGATCGCTCGCTTCTTCGACTTCAAATTAAGCAACCCCGGCTGTATCGTCGGTTGTGACCACCCCCACATATTAACTACACCGATTCCCGGGATCGGTACCACACTCAGGCTATCCAGCCCATATTACTGAGCCTATCCGATCACTATGGCTCCCGCACATCCAAGGACCAACCCTGGCCAACCACGCCCTCAGTCAGCCCAGGATATAGTAACGACGACACTGTTCATAACCAACTTGCACTGTCCATCATGTATAGAGGTTATACAAGACTCCCTGAACGGTTTCTCGCCGGCGCCAGAGTTTATTTCTTACTCTATTGTTTCTCATTCCGTTGTCCTGCGCCACACAACATCCCTTACTGCACTGGACATCGCTGCTACACTAGAAGCCGCTGGTTTCGAGTTACACAGCATTTTTCAGGACAACAAGACTGTGTTCGCCCCAGTTGAAATTTGCCACTTCGACGATCGAAGCAAAGAGTGGGAGACGAGTTTAGAACACGCAGTGGCGAAGTGGTTTCAGAAAGGAGCCCCAGAAGATTCAAGAGAAAACATGCACAAACGGGAAAAACACGCGGAGCAGTGTGAGCAATGTAAAGCCGAGACAGGTGGCGTGCAGTTGAGGATCGATGGCGAAGAGTCATCATGGCCCAGCAAACCGCAGACCGTTGTGACATCACAGGCGCTGGGCCTCGCAGACAAATTCGACGGGACAGCATCCCAGAGTCTCGAGAACGTAAGCATTGGCAACTCGTCGGCGACTTTGACCTGCAGAGCGACGATAGCGATCTCTGGAATGACGTGCAGCTCCTGCGTGAGCAGCATCACACACACTGTTGAAGGGCTGCCGTTCGTGCGGTCTGTCAACGTCAATCTGCTCACCAACAGCGGGACGGTATTGTTCGAAGGAAGAGAAAGACTAAATGAGATCATCGAAAGTATCGAAGATGCAGGGTTCGATGCGAACGCTGAGAACATCGAGGTTCTCGATACCTGGAGAGCCACGTATGCTATCGGCGGTATGACTTGCAGTGCGTGTGTTGGAAATGTGACTCGAGCTTTGGAGACGCACAGGTGGGTGGAGAAGGTGGACGTCAATCTGGTCACGAACAGTGCCACCATTGTATTTTGTGGAAAAGACAATCTCACACAGATCACGGAAACGATCGAAGATGCAGGTTATGATGCCACACTCGATAAGGTCGAGCCTGAGAATACTTCGAAGTCGGAGTCCAGCGAGAGAGCTGTGGGAATTTGCATCGATGGCATGTTTTGCCACCACTGTCCGGCTGATATTATGAGGGCTATTGGCGAGAGACATGGAGAGCAGCACGGTGTGGAGTTCGAGGGACAGAACTTCTCGGAACACTCCCCAATACTGAACATCAAGTATAAACCAGACCCTCCGAATTTCACCATCCGCGATGTCTTCAGGTCGATCGAAGACCTGAACCCGAATTTCAAGCCGTCGATCTATCACCCTCCGACAATCGAAGATCGCGCTCGGGAGATGCATGCACTGGAACGGAAAAGAGTGCTGTTCCGACTGTTACTCTCCGTGGTCATTGCGATACCTACATTCATCTTCGGGATCGTGTTCATGAGTCTTGTCAAAGAGACTCATCCGATCCGCCATTACGTTATGCAGCCGATGTGGGCTGGTAACGCTACCCGGTTGAATTGGGCTCTCTTCATCTTGGCAACGCCTGTCTATTTCCTCGCCGCCGACACCTTCCATCGTCGAGCTATGAAGGAGGTGAAAGCCATGTGGCGCCCGGGAAGCCGCACTCCTTTTCTCCACCGATTCATTCGATTCGGAAGCATGAACATGCTCATGTCGCTGGGCACAAGCATTGCATACTTTGCATCAGTTGTCGAATTAGCTTTAGCGGCGGCGAACAAGTCTTCAGGATCCATGAACGACTCCTACTTCGATGCCGTGGTCTTCTTGACGATGTTTATCCTTATCGGTCGATTCTTGGAGGCATACAGCAAGGCGAAGACTGGCGACGCTGTCACGTCTTTGGGCAAGCTCCGACCCGAAGAGGCTATACTGGTAGATTCGGAGAAGGGAGACCTGAAGGTGGCAGCAGACCTGCTTGAAGTAGGTGATATAGTCCGCGTCCACCATGGTACCTCGCCGCCATTTGACGGTACAATACTGGATAGCGCCACCACTTTCGACGAGTCTAGCCTTACTGGCGAGTCGCGACCAGTCAGGAAACAGGTAGGCGATATTGTCTACTCTGGCACAGTCAACAAAGGGTCACCTGTGAAGATCAAGGTGACGACGATCGCAGGCACTTCCATGCTCGATCAGATAATCAACGCCGTCCGCGAAGGTCAGACCCATCGAGCACCCGTAGAGCGTGTTGCAGATACCATCACAAGCCACTTCGTCCCATTTGTTGTTCTCGTTGCTATTACTACCTGGCTGATCTGGCTCATCCTCGGTACCAGCGGGGGGATTCCCAAGGACTGGATGAACGAAGGTTCTGGTGGGTGGGCGCTCTGGTCTTTACGTTTCGCCATCGCTGTGTTTGTCATCGCCTGCCCCTGTGGGATTGGCTTAGCGGCCCCAACTGCACTTTTCGTCGGTGGTGGTCTTGCTGCGCAACATGGTATTCTTGTCAAAGGTGGCGGAGAGGCTTTCCAGGAAGCGAGCACGCTCGACTGCATCGTCTTTGACAAGACAGGGACTTTGACACAAGGAGGTGATCCTGCTGTGACTGACCACAGCATTAACGAGGAATGTGGCGAAAGTGCCGCTGTTGTCTTTGGTCTCGTCAAAGCCTTAGAAGAAAACAGCAATCACCCCATCGCAAAGGCCCTCGTGGGCTTTTGCAAGACTAGGTCCACCGACACCCTCGACACTGTCACCGTCGATGAAGTCCCCGGCAAAGGGCTCAAAGGGACTTTCAAGCTGGCCGACCGACAGATTACTATCATCGCGGGCAATGAGGCCTTCATGGCCGACCACTCAGTGTCGATACCAACTGCCCAAGCATCAAAATTACACGCTTGGAAAGCACGTGGAGAGTCTGTCGCATTGATTGCACTGGTCTCGAGCCACGACAACGCTAAAGCTCCCGAACAACCCTGGAACTTCGCTTGTGCTTTTGCCATCGCCGACCCGTTGCGACCGGAGGCAATCAACGTCATCACCCAGTTGAAAAAGCGGGGGATTGATGTCTGGATGTTGTCTGGCGACAACCAAATCACAGCAAATGCTGTTGGCTTACAAGTTGGGATCCCTGCGTCCAACATCATCGCAGGCGTCTTGCCAGACCAAAAGGCAGAGAAGATCACCTATCTCCAGAAGACGCTCACCAAGACTCACAAGTCTGCTCTCTCCCGTCTGTCCTTCGGCAGCAAATCCATGCCGAAGCGCGCCACCGTCGCTATGGTAGGTGACGGCATCAACGATGCGCCCGCGCTCTCTACAGCTGACCTCTCCATTGCCATCGGCTCTGGCTCCGACATTGCGCTCTCTTCTTCCTCTTTCATTCTCATCAACTCACACCTCGCTTCGCTACTCACTCTACTTGATCTTTCTCGCGTGGTGTTTCGCCGCGTTTACTTCAACTTCGGGTGGGCGCTCATCTATAATATCATCGCTATGCCAATCGCTGCCGGCGTCTTATATCCCATCACCACGGGCACACAGACGATGGACATGCATCACAATGGCATCGGTATGGAGGCTGGTATGGGTATGGGAGACTCTGGCGTGAAGCATGTGCGGCTAGACCCGGTGTGGGCGAGCTTGGCTATGGCGCTGAGCAGTGTGAGCGTGGTTTGCAGCAGTCTGTTGCTGAGGAGTAGTCTTCCGGGCGTGGGGTTTAGGGTCAAAGAGACACGTACGGCTGCTGGGGGTGCGGTGGCACATGAGGAGGAGGTTTAGCCTTGTCCGAGGGTTACATTCGCTTAATGTACTTGTGTGGTGGTTAAATGTATTCGTAGGAGTTTTTGTTCATACAGGCATACATATCCCACTACCAATTTTGATGCACACAAGTGGAAGATGGATATATCATAGCCCAGCTCAAAGTATCATATATCATACTTATTGCAGCCGCACGCAAACCCTCAGCCCGTCGGGCAAGCTTCGCACTGCGTGTGATTTGGCCGGTGCGCCCAACATACCCTGCCATGCCTCCTCAGCGTCTTCGCATAGCCGCCTACTTGTACCAGCGCCTATTATCCACCTACAACCTCAGCAAGCTAAACGGACAGGTGTTACACATATGGCACTGCCACCGCCCGCACGGCCAGCTGGGCGCGATATCCGCACGGGCATGGAGTAGTCGTAAAGTTGTAGTTTTCCCTGCGACGGGCGCCGTTGCCTCGGCCGCGGAGGGATTGGTTGTAGAAGCAGTAGGACATTTTGGCGCTTTGCTGGTTGCCGTCGACTAAGTTGGGGAGAGGCAGGGGCGCGAGAGATGGATGTTGCTGTGGTGTTGTTATGTGAGGGACTCTGGGGTGTATGCTTGGTTTGTAACCATAGTTTTGCTGGCATTGTGGTGTACAAGAACCGACTCATGGGGTCGTGACTTGTCTACTAAAAGCACTGCAAGTGTCGAGGTCCACGGCCTGTTCGTCAGTCTCTACGGTAAATACAACGTGTCTCAGATGCCACGGAAAACTGATCAAGGTATTCCAGAGACATGACCGAGGCGTGGAAGATTTTGGAAACGAATCTGCTACATTAACACTACTCTCTCTTATACACTCTCAGTCGGGTTCGGGGAATACGATCCCCACCGACGCCCGAGAAAGAAGCTTTTTACTTCATCCTCTGTGGGGAAGAGTTGCCAAAAGAGATTAAGAAGTAAATGCATGTTCGCCAGAAGGGCTGACTGGGCTAGAAACACCGCTAGTCATATATCATGTGGCGGGTGACCGTTTCAGTGCCGTCGACTAAAAGTTCTGCAAAACCCATTTCAAGGGATCGGTTCGCCCGTGAAGCCATCAGACTTCTAGACCTTGATATCGTATTAGACGTTGCGCAATCGGCGGGGCAATGTCTTCGACGCTTGTCAGGGTGGGTTGTCTTGTCTCAAAGACATTGTTGCAAAATCGCAAGTGCGGTGAGAGGAGGGCCGAGACAATGCACGAGCAAGGGTAGGATTGCCTGTTTGGAGGGTGACTACGTCGAAGTGACTCGGGGTCGTCCGTGGAGAGACATTCATGCATGTGAGATGGGATTTTGATTCGGAAGCATGAATGTCGGTGTGCTGGGAGTTATTCACATCGCCCGCTTGCGTCTGTTCTTACATCTTCCAGAGTCAATGGTGTGTGGAGGGTTTGGATATCGGAATAGCATGTATGTGAAGAACTGCAGAACATATGATTATCGACTATAGCCCAGGGTGTTCCAGCAACGAGGATTTCGAATGTGCATGTTATTGGACGTGGGACAAGCATCGTTGTCACGATTTGGCTGGCCATGGAGGTGACTGCTATCGAGGACAGGACCGTACAGCAAAACAGCAGAGGTATGCAATGTTGCTAAGGTAAGAGATTATTGGGCGAGCGGCATTCTTGGTGAGCGGACAGCGATGATGCGGCTAAGAGCAATGTCAGGCGAATCTCAGCCCCCCATTCATTGTTTGCAATCAAGATGAGCGGGGTGTTCTGCCGTGCAGGCGAGTGCGAGGGTGCGATTGGATGGCGTGTTCCATTAATTGAAGGGCGTTTTGTTGCGTTTCAGCGGTGGTTCGCAGCGCGATTGGCGGAGAGCGGCAGATGCGGCAAGGACGAAACGTCAAGCAAATAGATTGGCGACGCTTTGAGGTGTTTATGCGCATACAGGTGTTCATTGCGCCTCGTTTGCAGAACAATGCACACGGAGAGGCGCAGGGTCGAATTGGAAAGGAAGAGGAGTGGTAGCCCAGTTGGGGGGCAGCGTGTTTTGACGGGTGACACGGCGTGGGCTGCCACCGGAGTGGTTCTCATGCTTCATGCACCAAGCAGCAGACGTCTGCCGTCACAGCCGTACGCGACGTTGTGTGCGGCCCCAGGTGTTCGCATCGTGATGCGGCAAGGAACGAGCTATTGGCCAGCGCGGCGACTAGAGATGGCCACACCGCGCAACAGCAGCGCGGGGCTCGGGGCCCTCTAATAGACGGTCAGCGGTTCTGAATGTCCGCAACACGAGCAGCGGGCCTTGTGGCTGGTGAGGAGTTCTGTTCTAGGCCACGGCATGCAGCCCGGAGGCTCCTTCTTGATGGACGACCCAAGTCCGCACGACGGGGTCTGTGGCTGACGACGGGTCTCATTTCTTTCGCGCGAGGACCCTTGAGCAAGTCCGAAACGGCGGTGCTGGACAGCTCCCACGGGACGACGTGCAGCTGGCGGCAAGCCAGAGGGCACGTTTGCGTTTCCTGGGCGGCTGGCATGTCCAAACGAGCACGGCAGCGAGTGGGCGACAGGGCTGGCGGCCGGCGAGCCCTGGAGCGTGCGTGGGGACGGGGCGAGGCGCGCTAGGCCGCACCGGGCGCTGGCGTGTCACAGGCGCGAGTTTCAGACAGGGGCGGCCGGCGGCGGCCAGACGCCGGAGCGCTGGGCGCCATGTGTGTGCGGCTCCCGCTGCCCTGCGCCGTTGCGAAAACCCATCCTCTCGACGGTCCCTCGACGCGCCGCCAGCGCAGGCACAGCGGCCCAGCCAGCACATGGCTCTGCAGTGGGCCCAACGTGCCCGCAGAGCGCTCGACGGCGCCTGCTGCCGCGCGTGCTCGCGCTCCACCACCGCCCCCGGCGCAGTGGAGGCCGCGGCCTCGGCGGGCGGACCACGTCGTCGACAGGCACAAGCGCGCGGCGGGAGGCTGCCGGCCGCCAAGCAGTTTCAAATGCACACGACGCTTCGCTGAGCTTGCGCGTGGGCTAATCGAGCCACGACCGCTCGGCCGTTTCCATGCGTGCATTGCTTGCCGAGTACATGAGCCACGCCTCCCCTCCCCATGCTCCTTCCCCAGAGCCCTGGCCCGACTGTCTCTCTCCGACCGCTCCTTCCTTCGTTTTCGCCTTCACTCACATTCTTTTAGAGTGCTTGCTTCGCCTCCAGCAGACGTCCCTCGTTCACCTTCTTCTCCCTTCCCACGCTCTCTTCTCCCCTTCACCCCGGGCCGCATCCTTAGTCCCGTTTGCGTGCTGGCACGTCTTGGCCGACAGCCCTTCTGCCTCAGTTTCGCCGCACCTTGACAGTGCTCGTGGATCGTAAGTCTTGGTAGTCTCACCTCCTCCGGCCTTAGGCATAGTGCATCCACCACGGCCTCCCTCTGCCTCGCTCCCTCCTTCCGCACTGCCACCCCCCCTGAAAGGCGTCGTCTTCTCGTCCATTCACTGTGTCTCATGTTGTTTAACCACATGGACCGTCGTCGTCTTCTCCTTCCTTAAAGCTTCCCCATATTCCTGTCACGCTACCTTCGACATCTCCCGCCACAACACCCCCGCGGGCTGACCATTTGTTGACTTCTTGCAGCGCTAGTCGCCCTTTTTGTTCTGCCTGTACCGTTACTGTCAAGACAGCCACACGTTCTTTTACTCTTCCATCTATACCTTCGCCACACCTGTCCTGCGGACCCTGTCTCTCTTCTACCTAATCCAACATGAGGACTTCTTTTGCCCTCGCCGCCCTCGCGGCCTCTTGCGCCAATGCCGTTGCTGCCCCCGCTCCCCAGGACGTCGAGGCCCTGGCCACCCCCGAGGAGACCGTTGATGGTCTGATCGGTCTGTCCAAGAACGGTACCTGCGCTCACGACCCCAACAACTCCAAGGAGGTCGTCGTCATGCTCGACAAGAACGAGATCCCCCAGGCCAAGTCCTTGCTCGCCAAGCTCGGAAGGCAAGCCGACGATGATGGTGTCTTCGATGTCATGGACAACTCTCAGTGGAGTGCCATCGTCATGCACGCTACCCCCGAGTGCATCACCTACCTCGAGGACCTTACCGAAGTCAAGTTGGTTGATGAGACCGCTCAGATCCAGTCATTTGTCACTCAAAAGACTGGCGCACCATGGGGCCTTCAGCGCATCTCCAACGAAGCCGGCGCCTCTGGCGACCCATCTGGCCAGGACTTCACCTATTCCTTCGATGACGCCAACCTTGGCGCTGGTGTCGACGTCTACGTTGTCGACACTGGTGTCCGTGTCTCCCACGCCGTCTTCGGAGGCCGTGCCAAGGAAGGCTTCTCCTTCACCTCCACTGCTGCTGACGGTGATGGCCACGGCACCCACGTTGCTGGTTCTGCCGCTGGTGCCAAGTTCGGTGTTGCCCAGAACGCAAACATCATTGCCGTCAAGGTTCTCGGCGACGATGGCTCTGGTTCCTCTTCCAGCACCATTGCTGGTATGAACTGGGTCCTCAACAACCACGAGAAGCGCAAGACCGAGCAAGGCTTCGTTGGTTCCATCATGAGCATGTCTTGGGGTCTCCAGGGCACTGCCAACTCCGTCGATCAAGCCATCCTCTCTGCCGTCTCCGCCGGAATCCACGTCTCCGTTGCTGCCGGTAACGATGGCGCCGATGCTTGCGGCACGACCCCTGCTCACCTTGGTGGCGCCAACTCCGACGTTGTTACTGTCGGCTCCGTGAACATCCAGAACAAGGTCTCCTCCTTCTCCAACATTGGCAAGTGTGTCGACATTTTCGCGCCTGGAGAGCAGATCCTCAGCGCCTGGAGCACTGGTGACAACGTCATCAACTTCCTTTCTGGCACATCCATGGCCACTCCCCAGAACTCTGGTGTCATGGCCTACCTGATGGCACAGAACCCGACCGAGTTTGGTCAGAACCCCAAGGCCCTCAAGGCTGAGCTTCTCAAGCTCGCCCGGCAGGACGTCATCACTGGCTCCCTCGGTGGCAGTGCCAACCTGCTCCTCAGCAACGGTGTCAACGGCGCCGTCCAGAAGCGTTCCGTGACCGGCAGCCCGGCCTCGTGGGCTAAGAACATGGTTGACAACGAGCTCTCGACCCGTTGGGTCGTCACCGACGACTCCTCTCCGCTTCGCTTCTAGATCAAGATTACGATCGGCATTGACAGCTAGATGTTGTGCAAGGACTTGTGATACCCCGCATCTGCTGTGCGCACAACGTCCACGTTGGCACGTTTGGAGGAAGACAAAAAAGTTAGACGCATTGTACATGCCCCAACCACTTGTGGTTTCTCTTTTCATACATGTTCAGCCCGGCATCGCATCATCATCTCTCTTGCTTATCAGAGAGTTGAATTGGAATATACCACGCCTAATAGCGCATTTCTGGCATCTGCTTCATTCTGTTCGCATCTACTTTCTTTAGGTCGCTGGTCTGGAATCTACTGCGCGCTGTATCGGTGGAGACGTTGAGGGAGGTGCAGTAGGAGATTAATTTTCTGTGTGGATACTTTTCTAGCTGCATTGATGTGCATAAGAGGTGTTCGGTTTGGGCCACGAGGCTACAGCTAGCGCATGAGCGGCGTGGTGGAGACGTGACGATAATGCAGAAGATGCGCAATTGCAAATCTGGAAACCATGATTACAGTGCATGCGGACTTCTCGCACGGTGTGATGACTGCGTGATTGTCGTACGAAGTGGTTGTTGTGTGCGCTGTCGATGGGGTATGTCATCGAACATAGACTTGCACAACAACAATCAATCCAAGCATCTTCATTTAACCGAAGACGATCCACAGTGTTCAGCAGGAACACGCCTGCCGGCCGAGGCGATGCGCATCGCAACCGTCGATCTTACGCTCGCCGCTCGCACACTCTCGGCGACGACGTACGTACGCACGCACGTACCTCACGACGACAACACCGCCGGAAATTTTGCACTCCCGCACCCGCGTACGTAACCCTCCAAGAAGCCAAGTCAACCCTTTTCGTTGTCCCTTCTAGATGCCGCACCGGCTCCCCGTTTTTTTCTGTTCCTGCATGCATGCCCCACATTGATGGTCGATTGAAAAGCTCAGCGGTTAGCGGACCCACAGCAGCGCCCTTGGCGACGCGGCGAGCGAGGCCCGCGGGTTCTAGGTCTCGAGCGTCTAACAGACTGGGCTGCGCTACTCCGCTGCCCGGCAGATGGGGAATCGGGAAGCTTCTATCTATGACGTTGTGCGTTGGGTGTTGCTCGTATCGAGAAGAGCAAAGATAGCTCTGGCGGGTGGAGGGGAACTAAAGATTGCGACAAGATAGCTTGGAAAAGCGCAGTCGTGTAGGAAAGCGTGAGCGTGAGGTGAGATGCGAATGTCCGGTCGAGAGGGCTGATGGTGCTACCATGGCGCGGTGTTGAGGAGCGGGGGTGGGGGCGAGGCAGAGTTTCCTGATTGAGACAGTGTTATGGATCGGAAGACGTTTGTTTGGTTCAGGGGAAGGGACCAGTCCGCCGTTCCTTCGTGATCATTCGGTACCGTATTTCGATGTCCTATCTTATCCAACTACACACCACGTGGAAGCCAGAGATACCACATGACAGCAAATCATACAGAATGTACAGGTTCCCTACACGCAATCCACACATCCGACGCGCTCATGCCACGCAAACGAAGCCAACGCGAAAGCGAAAGACAAACCCCCAAATGCTATCTATGTCGTCTCTTCCCCAAGTCGTACACAAGCGAGTAGTTTACACATCCTCGTCGCTGTCTTCGCCCAACAGCTCCCCCTCATCAGGGTCCACAACAGCGTAGTCCCCTCTCCCCCTAGCAAAAGAGCTGCGACTCGTGTACGTGCGTCCGTCGTACCCGCCGAATCTGTTCGAGATGGCTCTCCAGGCAGCGCCCACGACGAGCGGTATCGCAGCCACAACAGCCACCAGGCCGGAGATGGCCGCAACAGGCCATTGTATCCAAGGGCTGTCGCTGTCGAAGCCACCGCCGCCCTCACCCAGTCTGATTCGTCCAAACTTGCCGTCCCAGTTGCGCCAGACGTAGTATCCGATACCACCGGCAGCCGCGAACGGCAAAATGACGGCAAGGAAGATAACAAAGCCAGATACTCCGTGCTTCTTCTCGTACTCCTCTTCGTGGCCGGGACAAGGGTGCATCTGACTGGTACGGTCAAACTCCTGGCCACCTTCACAGGTTGAGGCAGGGATCTTGCGATAACCTGTGGGATCCCAGTATTCCACTGCTCCCGCCTGACAGACAGCCAGGGGATCTGGCTTTTCAAGACCCTGAATCAGCTTGCATTCGCCACCGGGCATACGTTCGTAGTTGAAATCGCTGTCGGAGTTAGTATTGTAAAGAAAAAGACATTTTGGGTAGACTTACCATTCAAAGTCGCGCCGGGTGCAGGAGCAGTTCCGGGCAATGTTGTGCAAATGGTCGATCCGCTCACCGTTGTAGCAGTTGGCGCCCCTCCTCTTCCGGTGGTACTGAGCTACATGCCCGAAAAGACATTGGTCATCTTCTCCTTGCATCGGGTGCTGCGGAGTCCATAACTCGTAATCGCCCTTCTCCGGATCATTCTCGTTCAGCTCGCACTTCTTTGAGAACAGTCCGCTGAAATCGACATTGATGGCAACCAACTTCCTGCCATCTCTGCCCCAAAGCAAGAAGTTCAGCGAAGTGTCGCTCGGCACCGTCGTGATGGCATCAATCCTGTGCTTGCTGTCGGAGAACTTGTGTTCCTTAAATGGAGTCTCCCCGTTATCCAAGGAGTAGTACAGGTGGTTTGTGTCTTCATTCCTGCGGACAATAACAATGACGGAGCCTTGGTCGCCAAACTCCCATGCGTAGTTGCCCTTCTTGACTTCCTTCCACGTGAGGCCGGCATCTGTGGTCATAAAGGTGCTCGCTTCACCAATAGTAGTGAGCTGCTCTCCGACATTGCCAACACCCATCATGATGCCGACAGCACTAGGAGAAGAGTATGACTCTCGAGGGTCAGGACGTTCGGTGTACCCATGCAGATGCAGCGCGCACTTGTCCAGGCTCTTACCGCTGCATTCGTATTTCTTGTCATCCGAGTCCTTCTCAGGTGGTATGAGTGCACCCCAGTCAGCACCATCGTTGTGCGTGATCCTTGTTTGCTTCTTTTTCTTTTCGCCTTGATCGACCTTGTCTGCATTGGCTACGATATTCGCAATCGCGACACCCTCGATTCCCTGCATCTTCTCAAAGTCAACGTACCCGGCCGTGTTCCTGTTGACACCGTTGAGGCTCATCACGTACGAAGTTCCATTGCTGTTGCTCTTGATGATAGAGCCATATTCTTGATCGAGACGGCTGTTGACAGTCACATGAAGGAACACGGAATGCGTAGAACTATCGAGCACAGTGTACGCAGTCTGGTGATCGACTTCGAATTTTGGCGGAAATTTCGCCTCTGCAAAGGTCTTTGCGTCGAGACTGGCGTCCAGCTTGAGAGATTTGCCATCGTCGCCCTTGGTCGCGACGATGATGAACTCCGACATCGTGGCGAATTCGACAACGGACTTGAACTTTACATCTTTGGTCTTGAACCAGTCCTCGCTTGAGATGAGTTCAACAGGGGCACTCATTTCCTCGTTCGTGTGCTGTTCACAGAATACTTCTTTCTTGTCAACTTTACGGCCGGCTTCGCGCCAGACGAATGCACACTTCTCGACGTAAGGCATCAGAGTCTCCCAGGTATCCTTTGCGCCGTTCTTTTGAGAGATTGAAGCGACAGTGTGGCACTCGCGGTCGTTGGACTTTTCGCAATGCTCGCCACCAATCCAAATAAGCCAATCAGACTCATCGGGATGGAACTGCATGATTTGAGCCTCCAAGGTTGGCATCTGTGGGGCTTCCGAAGAGTGGATGCTGTCCTTCAGACCACGATCTTTCGAGTAATAGAACTTCTTTGTTGCGGTGAGGAAGAAGACGTGATCATTGTTATACTGGTGCGGATAGATGGCAACGATGTTGTCATCTACTGCTTTCTTCCATTGCTTGCCGTGGTCGTGAGAAATGTAAGCTTCATTCTCATCCGTGAGCATGACAACTGTCTCATCCTTGTCCTTGTTCTCATCTCGACCCTGTGTGGGGCGTTCGAGATAGTAGTATTCCTTGAACTTAGATCCTGGGAATGGCGTAATCTCATTCTTGATGTCTCCACTGACTGGAGGCTCGGAGGCAGAGTCGCAATCTCGCTCGACCTCCTTGTCTCTGTCGGTAGTACCCTCGCATTGGTTTCCGGGAATCTTTCTCCAGCCGGAGCTGCCCTTGTACGTTTTCGCATCGCCTTTGCAAGCACCTTCGGGGATCTTTAAGGAGCCTGCGGGGTTGCATTTCTTGTCCTCCCCCTTGCCCTCCGGCACGAAATTGTAATCGCATTCGTAATCCCTGACCTCGTCACACTTGCAAGGTTCAAATTTCGGCTGCGCCTCCTTGAAGTTCTCTTCGAGAAAGCATTCGGCGTCCCACTTGCGACGCTTGAACGTCTGCTTGTGGCCCATTACGCACATGACGTCGCCATTCTCGTCTTTGAGAGGAGACCAATCCTCCAAGTCGTCATCTCCGCATTTCCGCTCGTGCAATTCGGCGAAATCGAGGTGGATGATGGTTGGTTTCCTGCCCTCGCCGTCTTTAATTCTAGTGGCGTAGAGAAGGAACTTCAAGCTCGTCGAATCGGCTACTGTCGTAAGCTCTTGCGCGCGGATCTTATAATCGAGCTTGATTTCTTTCCAAGAGTCTTTGCGGCCGTGCTTGAGCGAATACATGATTTTGTTGGTCTCCCTTTCATCGACAGCAACCAGCACGGCACCTTGGCCGCCGAACTCGTACTTGTGAGCATTCTCCAATGCACGTTCCCATGTAAGTCCGGCATCGTCCGAAACCCAAGTGTCGCCGTTGTTGTACTTGCCACCGAGATATTTTCCGGTGTTTCCAACTCCTATAACGATACCAGGGGCAGGGCTTGAGAAGACGCGGCCGCTGTTGCGCAACTCGGTGACCGAGTGCAAGTGTAGCGTGTCGTCCTTTCCCTTGATTTTCAGATCAGCGAAAGTCCTTCCGTCATCGAAACTGATTTGCGACTTGATCTTCTTGATGGCCATCGGATTCGTGTCCTCGGCGTTGTCGACAATGTTAACAAGCACGATGCCTTGGATGTTAGACACCTTTTCGAAGTCGACGTAACCGAATTCGTTGCGATTGGTATGATCAATGTTTTTGGTAAAGTACGTTCCATTGGAATTGCTGGTGTACAGTGATCCCATGAAAGCGTACTTGTTGGTCACCACATCGACCTGAATGCTGTAATTTGTGGATTCAAGCATTGTATACGCGTCTTCCTCAATCTTGCCTCCACCAAATTCTGCATGGTGCCATATCTTGGTGTCGTCGGTAACGTACATGGAAAGCTCGTCCGAATGTTCGGCCTTGGCGGCGGCGACGAAGTAGCCCTTGACAGCAGCCATGTTCGTCATGCCTTGTACGGTACGGCCGGAGGACATGACAGGCTCTTCCTCGTTCTTGAAGTAGTCATCGGAGATGACAATCTTGTAGTCTTTGGAACGTTCCGAGTATTTTCCAGCCACTATGCACAATATCCGGTCGTCGAGGGAATCGTCATCCAAAGCAAAGCGCTCGGTGCCCTTGGCCCACAAACACATCTTCCGGCTCTCGCGGGCAAGCTTGAGCGACTCGAAGCCGTCCTTGGTAACATATGTCTAAACAGCGATTAGCTCGGCATTCCTGCTCGGACAAGCACCAGCTTACCGTTCCGAGACATGCGCCAAAGAAGCAGTCGTTCCCGCCACCGTGGAACAGTATCTTCTTGTTGTCCGACGCGTGGAAGCTCAGCGGGTTGCCCAGAGACGGAGCTTCGTCTGTCTTGAACTTGCTCCACTTCTCGCCCTGGTCGTAGGTGATGTAGTGCTCCTTCTCGCCTAGCACCACGGCCACGTTCTTATCGAAGGGGTTCTTGACTATGCCGATTGTCCGCATGTCCTTGCCGTCGGCCTTGACCTTGTCCCACGACTTTCCGGCGTTAGAGGAGCGGAACACCTTCTCCGACTCGAGCTCCACCAGCATGGCGACATTGGAGTCGTCAAAGTAGAAGATGTTGAGCAGCTCGCTGCCAAAGTCTGTTTCTGCCACGAGTGGCCCATCTTTCTTCGCCGCGGCGAACGGCGCGAGCACCGCGAGGGCGGGCAGCCATATGCCCTTAAGGAGTTTCATGACGCATAGAGGAGGCGGATGCGCAGGCGGATGGGTGAGAGAAGGGGCGCGGCGTTAGGGACAGCTGGCTGGTTGCAGTCCGCAGCCTCGTATTTGTCGTATGCCTACGTGAGATAGCTGAAGGCGGCAGCAGCGTCTTGGCGCGCTTGAAGCGGGCGACTTGACGCGGCGGTGCAGAGGGAGTTTCTTTACAGGTGCTCCGGGGAGTGAAGTGCTCACGAGATGTCTACGCTAAAGACAATAGACGATGAATGAAAAGCTGAGTCGCGTGGGAATGTCTGAGGTGAGGCGACATGTGGCAGTGGCCGTGCAGGTGCGACCAGGGTCGCCTCCTGCCGCTTCCGCTTCCGACCTTAGTGGAATAGTGGACCCCAACGTCGTCACCACCTCATTTCAACACTACTCGCTGAACATTGTCGATCACGACGCACCGAAGTGTAACAGATATAATACATGTCGCTAAGCAGAACTTACAGCCTAATCATACAAGCCTAACGGAAAGTCATCAACGTTCTCGAATGCTGGATCCTGCACATAGAATCACCTCGGTCCTGGCTCGACAATAGGAGTTTCCTTTGCAACCGTTGCGTCTTTGGCCCTTTCAAAACAACTCATTTTCAGAATAGAGCTCTGCACAATCTGCCATACCGGATTGCCAACGATGTATTTTTCCTTAAGTGTCCTCGGCATGTAGGCACCATGTTCAACAAGGGAAACCGCAATCGGAGCCAGCTTTTTCATGCAGCTCAGATTCTCCCGCTTCAGCCATGCATCGATCAGCAACTTGTGAAGTGGTGTTTCGCCAGTTCGGTCAGCTTGGTTTGGATTCGCTCCATGCTGGAAAAGCAGCTCCATGATCTCAAGCGCATCGGTTGCGGAGCCAGTAACTGCCAGTCGTACGCAGCGATGTAACGCCGTTAGGTTGCTGTCTGGTGGCGAGTAGGATACCATCGCACCGTTAACGATGAGCAGCTTGGCCACGTCGAGGTTGCCGAAGTGAATGGCAATCATGAGTGCCGACTGTCCATTCCAGCCTTTGAGAGCGTTGACATCAGCACCGAAATCTAAGCACAGCCGTGCGATTTCGAGGTGCTTTGGTGTTTCTACTGAAGGTGGTGAAATTGCGAGCTTGTAAATCAGATAGGGCCAGTGTTGGTTGACGTCTTCGCCATTAGTCAGGCGCAATCTGATCTCAACCATGTCTTGATGGTGTATGGCTTCTTCGAGATTAGCATGGCGGTATATGGGGTGCGTGCGGACTGCGCGACGACGCAGAGAGGACTCAATCGGGCTAGGTGGATGTCGTATCGCAGTCGTAGCGACCTCAACCTCCAGAGTCACGTGGTCTGACTGTACCAATTTCTCCTCTCTCGAGGCGGACATTTGACGCGCGTATATTGGGCGTCGACCGAGTCGTGGTATGAAGTATCTGAACATGGAGATGGAGCAGTATACGAAGAGTATCACGCCGAGCCAAACAGCCCAATACGACACCTCCGGCATGTTCACGTCTGCTTGTAGAGCTTGCGGAGCTTGCGTAGGTTGCGGCCCTGTATGTTCAACTTGTGGTCCTACATTGGACTCGTTCTGCTCAAATCGATGGTACACCACGCTCCTCCGCCTCTTGTCCAGTATACCTGGGTTCACATAGGGAGGAGGTGGTAGTTGCGCTTTCATGGCCTTGAGGCATGCCTGGCTTTGTATTCCTGCAGCCACTTCCTCTCTACACTCCTCAATGTAATCCTTTAGAGCCGTCCATTCTGCCAGCTGGAGCGATTTTTCCGACATCGTTTGTGATCTGAAAGTCGGCGAAAGGGCGACTACTGTGAACACTACGCTAAGAAGTGCTATCGCCCATCCTAGATTTGCTGATGTCTTCGTCGATAGCGAGAGCGATGAGCGAACAGACTGCCATGACAGGCTCGGTCGTAAGGACGGCGTGGAAGGTGTTTCAGTACGGTCAATTAACATGATACTTGGCTGTCCTGTAGAGGTAACAGGCTGCACGGGTGGCACCTGGTCAGAGGCATTGGTAGTGGTAGTAATTGTTGCAGCAGTACTCATCGCGCTTTGCCTCAAGGGTGGTCGCACTGAAACATGTACAAATGATGGGCTCGTCACAGTGGTATATTCACAGATTAAGGCCGCGAAGGCAACAACGCAGCGCATGTCGATCATCTTGAAGTGGGGGACATATAAGTATCCATTTATGTGGCTGTCCATGTCCAGGGTGTGGGGTTGTGGCTAAGGGCTTACCTACGTCATAGTCGTCTGATCACAATCGAAGCCTAATTAGGGGTATACCACTCACCACTCCTGACTGCACGACCTTCAAATTTGGGTATCGCTGCTTCTGGATACCATGGTATATAATTATCGACAGTCTCGAAACAATACCAGTCCACGGCTCATCACAAGTGACAACTCAACCCGTTGTGGGTGAGGCTGCAGCGATGCGGCGCAGCAGACTTTGTTGGAACCTATACACGATGCTCTCAGCTATACACGCCACTTTGACCTAATAGATACGTCGGTGGATGAAATATCGGTTACCACATACCATCAGTCCAATACCAGAAATCAAAGAAGCATAAGTCGAAAGACGCTTTGCTTGAATCGAGTGCTCACAAATTATTTCCCAAATTACCCGCCTGTTATCGATCGGTGAAGCTGGCGCTTTACGCCCTGCACTTGGACTTTTACATATAAAGAGTCGTCCCACCATCACAACAGGGCCTTCCTTGGACGACAGCGTCGGGTATCTTCACGCCTAGCCTGGCCGATCAGGACTTTCTCCGCTGCTACGAGTTGTCACACAAACGTTGGCGCTGATTTTGCTCTCGGTATGGCACAAATCTTACATATAGGGCCACAAACCCAGCTGGATTCCCCAACATGTTGGACATCACCCTAGGTTCGATCGAACGACGCTACCTTGAGACCGAAGCGCTGGTAGCTGGGCGCCATCTTTGGTGGGACTAGGGCATCAGTTGGGTCCGCGATCTTTCAGTCAAGGGTGCTGGCAGTCTGCCCATTCATCCCAGTTACCTTCTTGCAGAAAGTTTGGGCTTGGAGAAGGATAATTCTGCGGCTCAGTGCAGATGATCCATCGGCTTGGTTTAATATGATCAAAGAGCCTATGAAAACCTCAATACAATCCGATATCAAAACGGCTTCATAACTATCATTAATGATTGTACAAGTGGCCATATCGCAGAGTTCTCTGGGCATGCGACAGCGATTGAAAATTTCATGTTAGTGGGCTAACACAGGGTGATAATTTAGCAGACATTGTATCTGCATCTTGATCATTATGACTCCCTCCTAAAAGCAAGAGGAGTGGTCTTTCCAAGCACAGTTCTCAACTTTGAAATGAAAACATGCCACAGCACCGGGGCAAACGTCCGGGTACAATCGGCCTACGAATTGCCTGTCTTGAGATAACACCCTATTCTCAGACTTTTATCCTAGTACTGTACCAAACAAGAGTAAAGTCACAAGACTCTACTAACAAGCGTGACTATCAGATGGTGTTTATCTTGGGCTGCTTAGATTCTCGAGGTGCTAAGAAAAGACAATGGGCCATGTCCATAAACAGTCAGCATCTGAGCAGGGACAAGAGAAAATGAGCTCACGTTATTACCGATATAAGTTCCCTGATTGCTCCAGTCCTGCTACCAGCATCGAGGTAACTTTATTGCGCGTGCATCTATATTTTCAAAAGGCACGTCTGTCTCATTTCCGTACAACCTCACGGCTAGGATGGTAGTTTCATTGTCCTTTTCTATTGTAGTTTCTCTTGTCGTAAATATCAAATCCACACTCGGCGATAGTAGAGGGGGACAAGTGTCAGGATATGGTTCAAACTTAGCTGATGTCAAGCTGCGTGAGAATTAACGTCCAACAGCTTTGGTACGTTGTCTATCAAACCAAAAAGTGGTACGCGGAATTCGATATCAGACAGGTGAGATCTGCTGGTCGTCGGAGCGAAGACAAACCGTTCATAAAGGAGGCGGTACACGGTTGTGTCTGCTTCTGGTGCTGGCTGGGTTTCATTCGAGTAGCTTGAATATCTAGAAGGAGTTGAGCTCGTGGCCGTGAAAGACAATATAAGAGATGGCCCTGAGCTTTACAGACCAGGCTAGGCAACACCAGAGAAGACGAGCAGAGCAAAGAGAAAAAGTGCGTGGGAAACATTGTTGGTCCTATACAAGCGATTTCGGAAAGGGCAATCAGGTGCTGCTCAAAGACGAGATCCGCCGGCTCAATCGGGCGGACTTTACTTTGAGTAGACACGCATTGCACGATTGAGAAGACAACCTTTGATGCACGTGGCCGGGCGCATGATGTTGAGCTAACAGTACATATATGAGTACGATTTTGACGATTTATCTTATTTCAACTCTTACCTGACAGCAAACTAGTTGGCCTCACTACATGTGCGACTGACTGACTTATATCTCGCCATACTTCTAACCACAATTCTTGCGCGCTGTGCGCTCTTATCGTCAGTGAACTGGCTGAGCGGACAAAACATTTGCCTAATGAAGGATGTCACTGACGTGGACCTTCTCTTCATACCGGGGAATCCGTCGAAAAGCACAGGTCATCAAGGGCACCCAGGTTGATCTGAAGGACGACGAGAGAATACAAGTGGCTTTCATGATGTGGTGTGAGCCAGTCATTTGATAAGCTGGGCTGTCGTGACGACATTCGAATTAGTTGGGAGTCGAGGACAAACAGAGCTACCTATTTCTTCCCACCGGTAGCTTTCCACGCCTTGCTCCTTGACTTGCGACCGTTTGGCCCCTTCTTGCTGCTCGTCTTCCCGCCTAGCTTCAACCCGCTCTTGCCCTGCTTGCTACTCGCCCGATGGCCCTCAAACACAAATGACTCCGCAGTCTTGAATTTCGCTGCCTTATTGAGCATCGCACTAGCTCGTCCACGCTGCGACTTCTCCTCGGCCGAGATCTTGGCATTATATGCACCCTTGGGTTTCGCGTCATCGGCCTTTGAAGGCGGAGGACCCGCAGGCTTCTTGTCTTTCTTCTTCTGCGCCCTTGCCCTGGTAACTCGCAGTTTCCGGGGTAGGAGGGGCGGGTACTTTTGGTCGTTGAATTGCAGCGCTGCTTCCACAGCATTCTCATCCTCAAACTGCACGTAAGCGAAGCCTTTGCTAACTCTTGTTTTGGCGTCGCGGGGTACGCGCACGCTTTCCACTTTGCCTGCTTTCGAGAATTGAACCCAGAGGCCTTCTTCCACATCACCTGGGGGTTTGCTCTTCTTTGGTTTGTCATCACTGGTTGGCAATTTGCTCTCATCGTCAACGAAACCTAGGTTGCCTACAAAGACGCAGCGGCGATGGTCGACCTTGGCCGGATGCGCAATCGAATCTACGCGCAAATGCCGACCGAGAATAACCGTGCCGTTGAGACGTCTGGCAGCCTCACGTGCGGCGATTTTGGTTGAGTAGACGACATATGCGTTTGTGGACTTTGTGGTCGAATCCATGATCTCCTTCTTTGCGAAGGCAGCTCGCTTTGGCAGCGCACCCGCGAATGCGACGGATCGGAAACGGATGGATTCCACCTTGTGCGGTGGCTTGTTGTCGGCCAGGTCTGCTATGAATGACGAGAGGTGCTGCTTCAGCTGCTTCTCTGCGGACTTTGACGTAATGGCCTCATTGGAGACGTTGCCCAGGAAGACAGTGCGGGCAGCCTTCTCAACCTCATCGTCGGTACCGTCCGCTCCCGCCAGTGTCTCGTGCTTCGGTATCGTAAAGGTCTCTTGGTCGGACTCGTCGTCTTTGTCGCTGCCGTGGACATTGACGGCCTTGGTCTTGCGCTTCTTCTTGCGCTCCTCTTCGTCCTTGGCCTCTTCCCGTGCGATCTTTTGCATGTACACATCCTCGACGTCGTCGTCGTCTTTGGCACCCCGCTTTCGCTTCTTGTTCGAGCGCTCGTGCGCGCCATTCGCGGCCGATTCATGGACTTGTGCTAGCGCAGCCTCGTTCTCGGGCTCTCCGTCATCGTCTGTCGAAGGCTCTTCAATGTCCACGTGGGAGCCATCCTGCTCCGAATCATCCATGTCTTCGCTCGCGGAGGATAAAGTAGCATCGTTGTCGTCTTCGTCTTCGCTGGAGTCCTCTCCGGTATGCTGCTTGACGAGCTCCTGGTATCGCGACTTTGGCGGAGGCTTGACTGGTCCCAACTGCGCTGCATGTCAGTACAATGCTTGTCGCCGATGAAGGGAAACGCTGCAAAACTTGCCGCGGGCGCGGAAACGTACACTGCTTGCGAACAGCGATGCCAGGCTCGGGTCAAACGCCTTGTGGTCGGCGGGTGCAAGCGCACCGGTGCTCTTCTTTGAGACACCCATGGTTCTAAGCGAGCGATGCGATTGCGATTTGTTCGCTGGCACAGCAGAGGCACACTGGCAGCAAAAGTTTCGGTGGAGCCGGCGAGCCGCTAGTGCAACGCCCGGCGCCGGAACAACGTGACCTGACCTGGCAGGGATGCGGCGACGAGCGTCAGGCGTTTCCACCGCTGCTCCGCCAGCTCGCCGTTGTCTCTCCCCACGCCCTCTGATGCTACAAAGCGATCGACGCTTGCGCCCGCTCCCGCCCACGTCGCCTGCCGCCCTGAGAAGGCTGCTTCGCCCTGAATTGCCCCCGCCCGCACCTCGGCACCCGCGTCACCTGCAGCGGCAGAAGCCTCTTTGCCCACACACCGCGCCCGAGCCCTCCACTGTTCGCGCCCTCCAGCAAGCAGCAAAACTCTGGCGTCGGCGGATATTTCCAGTCGCCCGCGAACACTCCCACGCCATATTGAAGCAGAGGTGACGCAGCTTCCCGCTGGGCGCACCATGAGCGCGCACCCGCGAGCGAGGAGCAGCGCTTCGAAATCGGCTCCCGAATCCAGCACTGACATCGCGGAAACACAAGGTATGTTCCCATGTTCTTTCTCTGCCGGATACAGGCTATACCCTCTCCCTCGTATGGGCCATTTCCAAGCTTGCTGCCTCTGGTGCGAGCTGTGTTGAAGCCCACGGAACCCAGCGAGAGCGCCGGACCCCACGGTAGTCCCCGCTCGCTGTGCACCTCTTCAAAAGCTCTACCAGGACATGTAGTTGACTAACTCATGTCACTTCGAAGAAACGGTTCCAACCTCCAATAACAGTCTTCACGGCCCCTCCACTCAATCGCCGCCTCGTCCAGCCGCGCAACCGCATCCGACGACGGAGCGCGATTTCGACGCTGCAGAAATGCTATCCACACTGGCCGCACCGGGGCTTGGTCTTTCCGAGTCCCAAGCGGCTGAGTCGAGCAACGCTCCTTACGACAACCACGGTGATGACCGGTCCAGCAGCTTGAGCGAGCTCGGGGATGCTTCCGACGACCAGGATGAGCCTACGCCGCGACCGGCTGCAACTTTGGACCTCGGAGACAACGATTCGGAGGCAGAAACAGAGCGTTTGGACAACACTCCTCAGAAGCCAGCGCGCACAGCCCTGGATGCATCACTGGCATCCGAGCATACGTATCAAAAATCGCCGAGTAAGCTCGCGCACTCGAAATCGATTGACCAGAACGAAACTGCACATTTCGACTCGACCGATGGTCCGAGGCTTGGCAAGCCAAATGATGGTAATGCGGCTTTGCACGCCCTCTCTCTAGCGGCTTCATCGGAAGCGGCAAGTTTTACAGAAGGCGTGGCAAGGAAAAGAAAACGTCCAAGTGATGAGGCCAGCACGCCACAGGAGCAGGCCGAAGAGCCAGCGAGAAAGCGAAGTGGAACTGCTAAAGACTTTGTTCAGCACGAAAGCCGAGGCGACGCAGTGGAGAGCGTGGAACAGGTAGACCCGGAGGATGAAATGCAAACTGCGGAAGAGCGCATCTCGCAATTGGCGCAAGAAGAGATTGAGCTTGAAGAACGTCAAGCTGATATCGCGGCGGAGGCCATCACCGAACTCGCTACAGTCGCAAAACACACAAAACCACGGAAAGGAGGCAGGAGGGGAAAGCGAAAGCTGGAGGAGATACCAAGTACCCACGAAGCTTTAGCAAGTATCGAGGGTCCCGAAGGCGAAGGAGACGATGATGACGAAGAAGACGATAGTGGAGCCGTGGACGAAGAGGGTAAGCAGGCCTAGGTTATTAGAAGACGACACCGATTAACGTACTTGTAGTGGTCAAGAAGAAGCATGCGATCGATGAACTCGGCAAGATCCAGAAGAAATTCAAGATCTTCCGCGAAAAGTGAGTGTCCTTTTGCATTGAAAAAAGACATTGTGCTGACCCTGGCCAGATTATGCGATGAACAGATAGCGCAGTGCGAACTGGAGCTTGAGATGCTCAAACAACCTCACTGCGAGCACCCAGAATACCTCGCTATGATAAAGGCTGTCGACGACCGACGAGCTGAGAAGATCGCATACGAAAGACAACTGCTACACTATAAGCAGAAGAATCTCGAGATCATAACGACTGCCGAACGGCACCAGCTGCATAGTCAATACTTCCAGACCGTTCGAGACAAACGCGAGGATATACTCTCGCTATGCAACCAGAAGATCTTTGAGTTGCAGCGAGGACGTCGACAGCTGGGAGTTGATGAAGTCGAATATATGATGAGATTACCTGAGAAGCGCTCAGACCAAATCCGTCACCAGACCGCTTACAACTTGGAAGTTTCCATCCTTTCTGGTGTCGCCAAGTATGTCGGCTTCCCTGCCGCGCCGGAAATCAGACCTGCACGAGCGTCTGAAATAGACGATGATTTGCGAGCTATGAAGGTACGTCGATTGCTCGAATAGTATGCGCACATTAGTTGACACTCCTAGATTGTGACTCGCCCTACGGCAGCACCTGTAGTCGCCTCCGCTCCCACCTATGTACGGCCGAGTTACGGTAGAACCTCGACCACCGACGAGGCAGCAGCGGAGGAGCAGTTTATCGAGCGAACACCTTGGGCGAACCCACAACATCCGGCCCATCAACAATCACATCAGCAATCGCACTACGGGATTACTTCCGGTGCACCGAGGGTGTCCAGTTACCATACTCCGATAGGCCAAAGACGAATGGAAGTCCCGAACGGATCTGCTTCTACCATTGAAGCACACTCGAACCCGCCTTCGGGCGGTCTTCAGAACCACCACGGACGAATAGGAGAGTCAGAATCTCCAGTCCTGCAGATGAAACGGCATCCTGGTGAGCACCAACTGTACGCGGAAATTCCGGGACCAGTCCCACGTAACATGGCCGGGATGGGGCGTGAGCCCTACGGTATGTCAGGTCCCGCTGCACCACACATGGACGCACCGCCAGATGACCAACCACCGCGATGGGGTAGCATGCGCCCAGGGACATCAATACCGGGGCGACCAGATTCAGCGAGAGTACCGCTGACTCAAAGAAGCGCTCTTGGTGCAGTCAGTGTGGGAAGCGGAAACGGGCTCTTTGGTCGGTGATCTTGCTATATCTTAATGTGTGTTGTACGACCGGCGTTAGTTGCATCGGCTTGGGCCTTAGGCCAGCCTCATCTCATCCTATCTCTTTCGGGCGTTCACTTCAAGCAGGCGGCGAATCTCCCACTACTGCATATATCCTGGCAGGATTGGCGTGTCAGCTTTTTCTTTGTTCACAGGTAGACACGACGACTGGGCTCGGTTTCGGGTTAGCGCCGGCTTGCGCGGGTGGAATGATACCTCTGAGCGACTATTTTTGGTCAAACGATGTTGTATAAATGCAATAGTGCACATTTGAATCCTGCAATAGTATGAAAAGTGTTGCTTGTTGGCTAGTGTGCGTTTGGTGAGTTGAATGAAGGTGGTGCCTGGCTGTTCCTGCTTGAAATGGACACCAGAGCGCGCTAGTGCACGTGATATTGTGGAGCCCTAGCCAAGGGGCTATGTTGGTATAGAATATCCTATAGAAGTTAATTCCCTAGTAATTTGTTCTATCCTTCCTCACCTGTCTCTTTGTTTGAATCCTTGTTACCATCATACCCGCTTTCACTGCAAGCACCTGCTATCACAGCTGCGAACTCAGCATAGTGCGAAGATGCATTCATGTCAATAATTATACATATCAAAGCTATGAACTTAACTTGTCCCCGTAGTAAAGCTTGCTCATTCTGGCCTTCGCTTCTATGGGGATCTTTGCCTCCCTTCGAGTCAAAACTGGTCAGGGCATTGACGTCTCGTGAGCTTTCTCTGAACTCATCAACATCGAATCAGCTTCCTCTGCTCCTTAAATCATCCTGTTCCACCATAACCCTGCAAGCGAGGTCCCAACGCTCAAATACGTGTACCGAATGCGGCATCTTAGCACGATGAATGGCCAACAATGTGGCATTGCTTCGTACTGATCCCACAAAACGCACACACACCGTCGCTCGCCGCCGTCTGTGCGACTACCATTGCTGAATCGGCCAGTCGCTCCTGGCCCACACCAAACCACAACGGTGGCGAATCTACCCATGACTTAGTGGTACAAGGACTCACCATCGGATGTGCAAAGAATGACGCTCCACAATAGAGTTCCTCGCGTGGTGGATTGCTTGGCCAGATGGCGTCGACAGGGAAGCCTGGCTTCACATATAGCGCAGACTCGCTCCAGATGTCAAATTCGCGATTTTCATTCCAGCTCGGGAGGCATGAAGCTAGATCGGCTTGTGGATTGAGGAACGTGGCGCCAGCAGGAATGGGAACAGGAGCGAAGGTCTGGCCATGGAAGGTGATGTACGCGCCGCAGCTTTCGCCAGCCAAAACGACAGAAGAAGCCAGAATAGGACCATGAAATCCACCGGGTGGTGGGTGTATGAGAGAGATAACAGATGGAGGAGATCCGGTTTCCTTGGACAGTTTGGCGGCGGTGGGACGGGAGGTTCCAGGACCATTTTTACTGTGAATCAATGGCCTCAGCCATTGCGGTGCTCAAATGAAGTCGACATTTCACTTACAAGTAACCAACCCCCTTTACAGAAACAATTGTACAATTCCTCTGCATGTCTCGACTAAGTGCATCAAAATGGGATCTCGGCGTGTCTTTCTCGGCCGCAATTTCACTACGCTTGATTGAAACCCATTCCGCCTCCACGGGTGCATACTTGAGTGACAGAGACAGAGCTGGTGTGCTGACCCCAGTGAGGTTTGAGTTCAGGATATCCTTGCTAGGAAGATCATTGCAATGCATGAAATCGACTCACACCAAAAAGATGGACACCATCATGCACAGGAAGCGGGCGGCCTACTTCGCATCCTAGAGCCAAGTGCCGACCCACGGGACCCACTAGTGTGTTGCCTGTCGATGCTACAGCACTAACGCTGACTTCTTCAGAATTGACCTCTTCGCAAAAAGTTGCGTCTACTCTTCACGGTATGCTGTTGCGCCTGGTGCGGTCCTTTGGCACCACCCGCTGGGCAATTGGCATACTTTCATCAGTTGAGGCTCCACGAAAGAACGCCCACGGAATTGAGTTACTCGATCAATGCAGCAGCCGCCGGTCTAGTGGGTGGACCTCATCTTTTTATGCCAATCGAAAGGGTAATAGGCCGAACCTCAGTCATCTTTTGGAGTTTGATTGGGACCGTTGTCTGTCAGATCTGGACAGCTTGAATGACTGGATCCCATGACTACGAAGCGTTTGTTGTGTCATGTCTCTTCGCCGGCCTTTTTGGATCAACCATCGACAATACTTGGTGCTGGGTATATATCGGACTAATATTTCCTTCACCAGCGAGGCTGGGCCTTTTCTTGCTACGAGGTAAGCCTACTGCTGGGTGTCATTTGTAGTCCCACTATAGGGGCCTTCGTTGTGCAGAGCCATCTCTGGCCAGTCCCCTTTTGGTGAACGCTTGTACCCGTTCGCATCGGCATCATTCTTATCTTCTGTTCCGGCGAAGAGACGGGCTTTGGTAGTGGAGGCACGACTGTCAGTTACCCCGAAGCCCCGTCATCGTTCTTACAGAATCGAATCGCGACCCTTCTGCCGGGCACCCGGGTGAGCGTAAAGAACCACACAGATAGCATAGTAAGTCTCCCTCCAGAAATGTTACACAATTTTTTTTTTATCAGGTGGCTCTGGGGAAATCTTTCATAACGACATTGATTATTGGCACATCACCGGTCGCCGTGATTGCTGGGCTCTATCTGCTGATTTCCCTCGGATTCAGCATCATGCTTGCTATCCAATCAGCATATATCTTCAACCGCCTGTGAAACATAGAGGCTACGGTTTTACTGCCGCGCAAAACGCATCGTGTTAGTCTAGACGTCCAGTTCTCCAATTCAAGCTACCTACTAACGCTATTACGGTCACTTTCGTACCTTGGTTCACTGTCATTGTGGCACAGGGCATCAGCCTAGTAATGAGCGACAGGCTCCCTTTATGGGGTGCCCAAAGGTTGAACAAGGGAGTCTAGCGTCCTGAATTTCGAGTATGGAACATGTGGCTCTCGACTATCATCGCACCCACAGGACTAGCAATCGTTGGCGTGACGTTGCAATACCATTACCACTAGATGGTCCTCGCCTTCGGTGCCTTTCTGGTCAACGACGCTTCTCAGCTCTCGGTCCCCCTCTTGATCAATTACGTCATTGAATGCTTCATTGCCCGTCCAGGTGAGGTTTCTGTTGCAATGAACGGCTGGCGCTTGGCCTTTGGAATAGCTGTCAACTTTGCAGTTGAGCCATGGACCGAAAAAGTTGGAAATGATGGATGTATGGAATGGCATCCCTCTTAGTTTTTGGAACAAGCCTCTTGACAGCAATTCTTGCATGGAAAGAAGACATCTTGCGAAAATTGTGCGCCCTCTTACGATACAGACAGACTCTTCACGGACACAAGTCACTTTGCACATAACAGCGATTTAGGCTTTTACATAATAGTCCAGAAGTTCCGCCAACATCTCATGAGGCGAGACATGATGATTGGAATCCTTAGTAATTGAAATCAGTGAAGACGCATCCGGCAATGCTACATACAAGCAGCGGTGGGCTCTCGGATCATCACAATCAACCACCCGGTGGAGATAGTTCCGGTATCGCTGTTCGATTAGAATTTGTTTTGTGTGAGCCAAACCACCTGAAGCTCCAGTACGTTTGCAATAATGCTCTTGAAGCCTCAAACAACCCTAGTCGCTTCGAAAAACAGTCCTCGGCTAGTTTTGTCTATCTAAGACTTGTCTTGTTCGTTTAGAAGGAGGACATCTAGATCTATGATACGTGCTTCGACTCTCTAGCTTGTACTGGTGGTCTTACTAGACACGATCCCAAAGCGTTTTATTGGTGTCAGCATTGTGGAACAACCTTGGTTTCAACCTTGGTTTCAATCTTTCTCTCCAAGCCGGTTTCGTCTCGACTTCAACGCTTTCAAATTGGCATGCCACGACCGTGGAATGTTTCTTCGTGAGCTCCACTGAACCTATCAAGGCATTAAATTGGGTCTCAATATCTCAGAGATGAAAGATGGCACCAGCATAGACTAAACCAACTTTTACTTGCAGCTGCTGCCGAAGTAGAGAGGTTGTGGGTGCGCTGGTATCACCCAGAATAGTTGATCTATGAGATGTGGTGTGTAACGCATGGTATTAATACTATGTGTGTGTGTGCGGGATTTATTGTTCATAACGAACGTAATGAGGAATGAATTATTTCATATAGACTTTGGTACAACCGGCTACACTTTAAGCTAGATTGGTTTAGCTTAAAATACCTTTTAAGCGTTTTAATTGGTTAAATACACGTGACCTACGCGTTCTAATTAGCTCTTAAAGCCCAACGTAATATTATTTCTCCGAATGTTTAATGCGGCCAATAATATAAGTGTATAAATACTAGCTACACCCCTTTAAATTTAGCTATAATATTTTGGACCTAGAATTAAAAAGTTCTTATTAGAAAAAAGAATTAGTGTATTATATAATCTAAAACTATATAATTAGTAAGCTATATTTTTCCTAACGTGTTGGATCAGTAAGCTGGCCAGATCAGTAAGCTGGCCACCCCACCAAGCCGCGCAGCACTTCAACAGCGATATCTCTACGACAACATGATATTTTTCTATGAGATTTTGTACATAGATAGTCTATTGCTGCTTACACTGAGTCCTTCTATGTCCTTGCTCATGGCACTTGCTGCACGTAGGTGGTGCGCGCTGGCGTGCAGGCGTCGATCCAGCATCAGCAGCCTTAGTGAGAGCTAGATGAGCTGTAGCAGCTAGAGCTCGCCCCTGATTAGCTTCTAGAGCTCCTCCTGTCGTAATATACTGTCTGCGCCTATCCTACCTTTATCGCCAGCGACGATTAGTTACCTATAGCCTCCTATTCTCTTCTATAAGGAGCGTTGCTGAGTTTATTGCAAGCTGACAACCCTTAATAAGCTAGGCAAAAGCAACGCTTATAGGGCTCTATAAGGACTTCTGAAGGCGATTCTATAGGAGTCGTGCCTGCTTCTCTAGTTGTTGAGTAGTATGAGGCGTCTCAGCTGTCTATGTAGCCTCAGCATCTACTGCTGCCCCTAGTGGTGATGGGGTCCTGACTACTATCAGGTGCGAGAGAACGTGATCTGGATAGGGAGGGATAAGTCCTGTTGCTTGAAAACCACTCTAGATATTCTTCTTTATGAAGACTATCCTGCGTACGCATGGATAGATAGATAGAAACTCCTCGTTGTCCACATGAAAGACTCCTTGTCGTGCTAGCTCAGTCACCTCACGTCCATATGCAGCCTTGAGTGGCGAGAAATAGCTCATATCTAGAGGCTGTAGTAGATGGCTCGTGTGCGCAGGCATACAGAGGCTGACTATCCTATATTCTACACAGTACTGAGTGAACTCTAGAGTAGCATGACTACTGTGGCCATCTAGGTGTTACGAACCGGAAGGCAGAAGGGTGGAACGGGCGCTTATGAAGGTGCGAGGATGCAGTGGCAGGGTTGCGACGAGACAAAGAGCCGCCAAGCCACTTAGATAGCAGTCACGTGACCTGCTCAGCTGCTCAGGAGCCCTGAGCAGCCGAGTAGACAAGTATATAGGAACTCGAGTATAAAGCTCTTATACTCGTGTTCAACCTGTTTATTAATCTATCGTTTGGATTACACTCAGGCTATATTATTAACTCGTTATATCCTCCTCTAATACTATTATCTTAATAAAACCCCTTCCCTTCCCTTAGTTGTCTTGCCTAAGAACCAACCTTAACCCTTTAGGACTAGCTACCCTTCTGGATTTAACATCTTAAACACCCTTAA